CAAACCACAAAAAACAAGCTGCATGTCCAGATAAGGTGAGCATATCCAGGAGATAGGAGGCTAATCAGTGTCCTCTAACATACTGATATTGAACAGGATACTCTGGACATGCGGCGTTAGTTAGCATGTGTGTCAGGGACGCTGACTACTTGACACCATGACAGATAACAGTGATAATTAAAGCACAAGTTACGCTCTGGTATGCAAGGATCAAGCAGTATTCTCAGCAGGAAATAAGACGATCTCCCACTAGACTAACTCTCATTTTCCTCCCCTACACACTCGGAGCACAGTCCACACACTCATCTGCTTGACTTATGTTGCTTCATTCGACTCTGCAGAGTAGTGGTGCAGCAGGGATTCATTGCACTTCATAAAAAAGTGTCCTTTTATCTTTTTCCAGCCTTTATAATTACTTCCTTATAAGGACAAGTGCACATGGATGGTCACTTTCTTCTGCAGCATTTCCACACCACTGAAGAAGCAGACATTACTCTGTCCTTGACTTGTCTTACTTCTTCCCACAAAGCAGTGAGTCGGGTGGTAAAATACATCTCCTGAAGTGCTGAGTCAGACATTTAAAGCTAGCAAGGTTAGATGTCCTGTTAGCCTTTTGTTGAGATTGCAAATGAACAATTGTGTAATCGGCACTGTAGGAGCAGATGGGTAATATAAAGGGAATGTGGTTTGACAAGAGAAAGTGTAATGGATACCTGCGGCTGATGTCAAGGGGAGAACAAAAACAAAGTTCGGATGTGATAAATTTAGAAATCTAGGCACAGCTCATATCAGTATTGAAACCACATCTAACCACTTTCCATTTTCTAAAACCACTGCTAGATGATCGGTGACACGGGTTTCATAAGACATTACATTATATTTAAGATATCGTCGATGTCTGTGGTTTTAAACTCTCATTATTGTCATTTCCTGTCTCACGTAATTTCCTGTCTGCGCTCTGAGACGTTATACTTTCACTAAAACAGTTATTAAATTCCATGACAATAACATTCAAGACTGCACCTCTGACACATATAAGACTACTCTGCATATTATAAAAGAACAAGATGTGCAATAAGTTTAACCAATTAAATGACCAGAATATTAAAAAGATAAACTGAAGCATAAATATTTTTTCTGCTGACTCTCTGCCAAAAACTGCACAAACTACTGCGCTAACATTTCAGTATAAACAAATATATTAATTAATCTGCAATTGGAACAAAAAATGTAAACAACTAGCAGCCTTATGAAGAGCATCACTTGGAAATAGAACAAAGACGTGCTGCTGAAAACGCACGGAGGGACTGACATTGAGCACACATGGTGACATTAATATGCGTTTGAAGTTGCACTTGACTGTCAACTGAGCTCCTCGCATTCCTTCCACAAAGAGGTCATGAGCCAGTCGTGTTGAAGACTTTTGTTGATGTTCAACAAATGTGTAGACAACTCCCTGCTTAACGCACGAGATGCCACGTTTGGATGGAACATCAAATTGGACAAAGAGGTCAGCCATTGCCTCGGGGAAATGATCAGCAGGCTCAGGTATGCACTAAAAATAGCCAAAATGTTTGTGTTGTTACTGGCAGCAGCGGTGGGGATTTCAGCAAAAACTGCCCCTAGAATTACTAAACTAAATGCCAGCTGGGTGTCATCCAGATTAGCAAAGTCTGTGCAGTTTCCACTGAGGTGCCTGAGTCTCTAGTTCCTCCGTTTAATGGGCCATTATCAGGACAAGAGCAGCCCAAAACAAACACAGGCCTGTGGCAGATAATGCCCTTCAGACGTCACTGCAGACGCATACAGGGTGACATGCAGGAGACACAGGCGACCTAGGCAAAGCGGCTGCCCGGCTGCTCCTCTCTTCTCCGCCCTGGGGGAACAAACGGCATTGTTGTTCAAAAAAATGCACAAAAGGAAGCTTAGTGCCAGCAGAGTGGAGTTTGCTGGAAGCGGTGGTGCAGAGGCCTGTAGAAAAAGACGAGTGTGAGTGAGACCCGGAGAGAGATAAGAGCAGTTTGTGTGCGGGGGGGAGAAAGAGTTCATCTGGGGAAAGCAGGCTGTGCAGCTGTGTGTATGTTGCGTTTGGTTGCATGCCAAAAATCTGCTGCCGGCGACAGGAACGCCATAAAACTTAAAGCTATTGTGAGTGGAGTGGGGTTTTTTTTCGTCTCAGTGGCTCGTCCCTCTGAAAGCTGCTATTCATGACGAGGGCAGAGAGATACTACACAATGGATCTCCATCTCTCTCGCCCAACACGGCCCTGCCTATATGGAACAATAAACAAACGTATTCAGTCTTTCCAGCCTCCACCCCTGAGCTGGTCCAACCACATGTGCATACTGCTGCAGCTAAAGGTGGAAGAGAGGAGGCCAAAGGTCTGTGTGGTGCTGCTGGCTGTGTGTGTCGCAGCCCCTCGCCATTCTGCAGGGTTCAACGACAGCGTGCATGGATGGAATAATTGATAAAGGCTCGTACGTCAGACGGCTCGTTAGAAAACAACGCAAAGGTCGTAAAAGTGCGTTTGTTTTTCAAGAGAAGCGGAAATAGGATTAGTCAGACAGTGACATAGACGGTGTGTGTGCGTGTGTGCATTTAAATGTGAGTGTATGTGAGTGCCCAAGGGTGCAAAGTCTATTTTTATCAGTTGATATTTGCAGGTGCCTTTTATGATATTTAGGTACACACACAATATTATTATTATTATTAACCCAAGCTAATACCGTTGTCGAGGAAATTAAAAACAATAGCAGTTACACAATCTCTGTCCACATAATTAGTTTATATGTTTGATGTTCTTTTAATTAAATCTATTAATAAGTTCACAGTCAGGGTCACACTGCAGCACTGCTTGGGATACAGAGAGATGAATTCAGAGGTGGCTGCCAACCAGGACAAAGGTGGCAGAGGTGGAGGAAGAAGACGTCATGATAGAGAGAGCGGGTAAGCAAACAGAGCTTTTGACATGATAAGGAAAGTTTAAAAGTAATTTCACTTTTCTTTTGTTTCATGGTGCAGATCTGCACTGAACTGACTTAGAATCCCCCTTTAGCAAATACTAGGGACCGCCCAATGAAACACATGGAGCTGAGTGAGGAGAGTCCAGTTCAACTGCCAAGAAAAACATTAATATTAATAATAATAATAAAGCATTTTTACCAAAACAGTAGAAGAATAGAGAAGAATCTCCTTTAATGCATTAGAAAGCCTTTAGGATGAATTAATACCTCAACAAGGGGTTACAACATTTCTCTGGAGCCAACGTGGAGCAAGTGACGTGTGCTTTTAAACACGAGTCAGGCCTACAGCAGATACAGAGACACCGTGTGGAAGACAGGAGAACTGTGATAGGTCAACTTGACCTGATTTTGATTTCCTCTACATGCCCTAAATGCCAATAAAGGGAGTGAAGACATGCTATAAACTATATCTGCAGTAATTCATCACTCCACGGTTAACTTTGCTTGTTATTATATTTAACAGCAGTCAATTGATGCTCTGATAACAGCCTTTTGAGTAACAAATGTTTGGAACGGAATCAGACTAAATATTCACCTTTCAGACACTACTACCCAATTTAATCATTCAATCATTTCATTTTATCCTTTTTGCAAAGTGAATGCAAAATAGTGATCTTTTCACTGTGAGGGACATGACTTAAGCACAATAATGACAGACCACATATCAAATGTTATCAAAATGATGTAGGGGTAGGTACTAAACACTGAACTGTAAATCTAAATTAACCATTATTAACCATGTGAGGCCAGTAAACCTGTTAACCCCATTAGATTAAGGATGAATTGAGCTTAAACCTCAGCACAGTTGTTATTATTACAGTGGGGAAAAACCAACTGACAGAACATCAGTCAGTCACATACCACCATTATGAAATTTGGGTCTTTTTTAAGTAAAGAAGAAAACTTAAAATCCTGTTTTGAAACTTCTGGGATTTTTTTTTTGTCATGGCTGAATTTCATGCATACTAATGGGAAGAGAAGAACAACATAATAACAATAATAATAATACATTTCCTTTGCATGCACTAGTAAACTGTGTTGACTGACTGGGGGTCAAGAACTGATTATGGGCCTGTGCAGTGATTTCCACTACAGAGTTGTGTCTGTTTTTGATGCAGTGCTAACTTAAGAGCTGAAATTCACAGACATCCAGTGTTGGTTTTCAGCCTTGTCCCTTTTGTGCAGAGAATTTTACAGATTCTCTAAATATTTTTTTTCTATCGTGATACTGAAGACGTTAAAGTCCCTAAAGTATTGACATTTGTGAAATTGTTTTGTTGTTTTTCTTTTTTGGAAATTCCTTCTGTGGAACTAATAAAAGTATATCTTATCTTATCTTATTGTTGAACTGTTTGGTCCCACAGTCTCTCACAGAGTGACGAACCTCTTTGTATTTTCTACCTCTCTGTAATGCTCCTTTCTTACTCAGTCATGTTGCTGACCTAATTTAAATTAACCTGAGAAATGTTCCTCCAGGGTTGTTTTTTGATATGAATAATACAACTCTTTCAGCGTTTTATTTTCCCCATTTCTAAATTGTTTTTAACATGTTACTCAGCAAACATTTTAGTTTCAACATTTGATATGAATGATTTTCAAAGTGTCAAAATTTGTTTTTATCAACATTTTACAAACAGTGCCTCAACTTCTCATGGAGTTGAGATCAGATTCTTTCGTTGATTGGGATTGTGCAAACTGAACTGACATAGGTGCATGAGAGGGTTTGTGCATTCAAACACACTGAATTCTTTTGACTTATTATGAATGTTGTAGTTTTTACTTTTAAATGCAAAATAAGTATTACTAAAACTTCAGTCCAAGCAATCCACCACCTATATCACAGGAGTGAAGTCGTGTTTCACCGCGTTAAAGCAGTGATATTTGAGTAGCTCTGCAGACTGAAGTTAAAATTTATTTGTCTGCAAACTGCTGACCTTTGTTCTTACAGGTCAAAGTGCAAATGAACGCCTGGAACGGACATTTGGAGGTATCATTTCTCTCTTGAATGAGAGTACTTTCCCTTCACGTCTCATCTCTCTTAAGAAATCAAGATACATAGATCAGAGAACAAAGAGAGGTCAAAGACACTCTTTCAACAGAGTTTCGATAATTCAAGAGTTCAAAAGGAGCCTCAAAATCTTATTTCCGACAATAACAGGACACTCTGAAACATTCATAATTTGGTTAGTGATACTAAAATGCCAAGCCTTGCTTTCAGTTTACTGGGAATGCATGATGATTTCCAGAAAAGTCACATGGCCTCACTCTGTCTTTATCTTTAGCACTGATTGTGTTCAGCTCAGGGCTGAATGATGCAAATTATCTGGAGAACAGAAGGAACACTTCTGCACAGACATGAAGCAGGCTCTAAATTACTGCATGTGACCGTATCATGACATGCTGTATGAGGAGGAATGCACTCACACACATATACTCACAAATGTGGACCAAAATCAGGAACAAGCTCATACAGTGTCTAAGAAAGTAAATATCACTGGCAGTGCTGGTGGTTGTAAAAATGCAACGGTCATTGTGATAAATCAATTTTAACAACATTCCTGATCAAAGTGCAAGAATTGATTTTGGTTTCAAACTAATTTTCACCGTTAGGTTTATGACCACATTCTCACATTTAACCCTGCAAGCATTATCAGGGCTGACTTTTCGAGTGCTCTATGACCAAGATTAAGGTTTTCATTGCTCAGTAGAAGAGGGACAGATTCAGGAGAACAGATCAGAAGACTGTGAGCATGAAGGTTTGTTTTACAAAAAGTACACAAAAATTCAGCAGTAGACTTAAGTGATGAGGTAAGGGTGAGAAATTAACCTATGGCAGACACACTGCCATCTTTGGAGTCATGCTGGTCTTGACAGAGCCACTCAAATGATCGGGGATGTTTTCTCAAAGTTTTAAAAGCTCCCTTAAAGCCTCAAAAATGTGTGAAAGAATGTGACCACTGCATGAAAATCCCTGAAAATCCCCTGAAAAGAGGAAACCACCCTTAAGCCTCATAAGATGTTGCATGACTGGGCGTTCAATGTGACAACAGTGCAGAGTCACAGTAACAATATGAAGTAGTTTCACTTTTGTTTTCCTAGCATCTGTAAATTTCAGGAATCAGAGAGGAAAGAAGGGAAAGAGGGATGAGTGGAATTTCTGCATCCTTGCATCATTTTAAGATGTTTTAGACTTCTGGTGTATCCTGAGAGATTAGAAATGTAAACTCATCAAACAAGGGAGAAAATCTACAGATTGGTTCAGTTAAAGGTTGTTTCAGAAAGCAAGGCGTGAAAGTTGAAGTGACCCCTTTAAATACGACTCAGACTCAGCCAGATTGACTTACAAACCTCCTCTTTGCACACAAACCTACACACACACACACACAAAGGGGTCTGACTTACTATTAATCAGAAGCCACATGAATGAACGCTCCTCCCTCCCACCACTACGACTCTGTTCGTGTAACAGTTTCAAAGGCATGTCGGCCGCAGGAAAAGGTTCACCCTGCAGGTCACACTGAGGCCACTTCCTCCGCAGCCCACCCTGAACCCCCCGAGAAATGATGTCTGCCTCCTCCTCATCCTCCCTTCATCTCCGCTTACTTCCTTTCTTTTCATGCTCCATCCTGCTCAAGAGGTCACCAAGTCCACCTGCCTTAATTAAACAAGCAGTGGCTCCTGTCTTTGAAAACGCACCGTGAACTCTTTCAGACAACTTCAGAAACTGCATGTCAGGAGAAACAGCATGTAACCCTAAACATGTCGTCTTTGTGCAGTGAGTTTGGACATTTCTGAACAAAAAGTCTGCTGTGGTTGAGTTTTACATACAGGAATGTGTAAGCAGAGATACGATCATACTTTACAAATGGAGTCATTATGACCGCTGATTGCTCTTAATGAAAACAAAAACATCAGATAAGTAGTTCAGAAGCCCGAGCAGGAGGAGTATTGTTAGTTTAAAACAGCTCACAGAGGTAATTTGCACAAAGAGCCACTGTAGAAGAAGAAATGCTGAACAAAATGTGAGGCCTTGTTTCATTTGCATCTATAAATCATAGTCAAACAAAGCCTGAGTTCTTTAAACATGAGCCCATTTGACAGACTGTGAATGCAACACCTGATTTCACTCACTGAAGAGACACAGAGACTTTAGACACAGGGACAGGCAGTGATTGTGAAAGTCTCAGACACCTGGTTCTGCTTCGTTTGAACAGAGAAACATAGTGAGGGATCATACAAAAACTTTGGGGCCCAGGCAGTCTTAAAGGGATGCAGATTCTCCATCTCAAACAAAAAACACAACACTTGTGGATGCAAGCTTCTTTGCCACAGGTGCCGGGTCTCTTTCCAGTGTCCCCACATGGCCTCAGCGAGGGAGCACACACTGATCTTTGTTTGGGATGCCAGCAAACTTCCACATAGGCTCATGAAGGCCACCAAAGAAATGAAGGAATCCTTCAAAGAGGGACACACACACACACACACACACACACACACACACACACACACTATAATCTTTATGAATGATTTATTTGTAAACCGTGCCTTTAAGAGGAATCTGTATGCATTGCTGCATCTAAAACTTTACCCAGTTAGTTTAAAAGCCACTGGGACAACCCCACACACAGTCATCATGAAAGCATTCAGAGTTTTTTTTAACTCTTTACTTTAAACAAATCAAATCCACTCCTATTCCTCTTTTACCTGTCATACAGAAAGACTGATTGCTGTGCTCAGGTTGGACTCTCTCCCACTCAGACAGGATGCACCCATATTTGGGCATCAGCCTTATGAAATCTCCTGTATGCTCGAGGAAATAACAGAAGAGGCGAGAGTTTGTGTCTTCACATAAGGTGTGTCTTCCTGTGAGTGGGAGTACTTCAAAGCACTCATCTCATTCCAACTAGACTCAATGACTCCTGTAATATTCCTGCAAGTTTTACTATCCAGCTAATTTGACCTACAAGTGATCACGTGCAACACTTCACTGTCACATGCAAGCATGGAAAATATGCACATATGGAACCGCTGACTGTATGTAATTATGAATGGCCCACCTCCTTCTTCTCCTATAAAGTAACACCAAAGTACTACCCTCAATGACACTGACATATTGAGCTAGCATAGCCAAAGAATGAGCCAAAGTTAGCTGGCTGGTGGAGCCATTGTTACAATACACACATATAATGCTGAAATAGTGTGTGCCCATACAGAACCTCAGAATTTAACCTCAGGTTCTGTTGTCCTATTGGTACAATACATATACTATATTATAACTGTTAGTGTTGGGCGGTATGATGGTATATACCGTGTGACGGTATAAAAGTGTCTACCAGTAGAAATTTTGCTATATCAGAGAGAGAGAGCGAGCAGATGTCTGCTGCATCTCTATGAGTCAGTGTGTAGTTTCTCTGCACTCGCTAACAGGAAAGCTGGAGCGCATCCATTTGGGTGCATTTCCGCGTATTCACCAGCATGTGGCGCAGAGTTTGTTCGCTCTGTTTGATTGATCAGGTTTGGGTGCGCTACCAATAATCACCAGCATGTCCAGCAGACTGCTTGGCATAGTTTAGACGAAAAAGAAACAGCTTCACTGGTGGCGGTCATGGCGGACGTGGAGATTAGTGGCAGTACGGAGCAAATAGAGGCAGGCCAACCCACCCAACATGAGGAAGAGGAGAAGGAACTCATTCCGAAAAACGGCGCGAGCCGCAACATTGGTTGTCTGGAGATTCTCCGGATTTAGAAAATCCGACAATGATCAAAAACAATACTATGCCAAGAGTGTCGTGTGGTTGTCATTGCTGGAGGAGGAAACACCAGCAACCTCTTCCATCACCACAAGATGAGACACGCCAAGCTCTATTATGAGAGCCAAAAGATGCGTAGCGCATCGGCTGCACCAAAAACTGAAGCTGCAGCAGCTCCTCTCATACAAAAGAGCTTGGCAGAGTCTTTTGCCAAAGACCAGACTGGTCTGGCATTTTGTTTGCATATGTGGCCGAATCTGAGTTTTTTTTAATAAAAAGGAAAATTAACAAATGTGACAGTATGGTTATTTTTAAGCCATTCATTGAATTTACCGTTACCGTGACATAAAGTTACTCATACGTGGTATAAGATTTTGTTCATACCACCCAACATTACAGTCAGTGAGGTCACCTGTTTGTCTGTGAAGTAGAGTGCTGAAGTCAATCAGTGGCGGTCATCATATATGAAATGCTGACTCAACCTAGCTACCACAGGTTTGGCTTCTTTGCACATGGTAACAGTGTGCTAGCCAATCAGTCATCAATCAGGAAACCTTAATAACTTTGGAACGAACATGCAACAGAAAAATTCACTCCCTGCACAGCAGGTGCAGCTAGCCTCCAGCAGGCACTCGGGGAACTTCAGTTTTCAGCATTAGCTTCATCCCTCAAGACAGGAGTTTGCCCCTCGGTACGATAGTAAAACACACGCCAACCCTGCAGCACCAACACAGCTCTCTCAAGGACACACCCAACGGGAACTCTCTAATTTTCCCTCAACTGGAAAGTCCATTGTACTTTTCTTCTTTGCTCTTTTTTTGTGTCTGGTAAAGTTGCTTGCTATTATTCTATTGTTTGTGAAGGACAATCACAGCCAAAAGTTTCTCTCTTAAATTATAACGGCACCAGAACAAAGTGCAAAGTCTTGATGTTTTCAGGACGTTCCATGAAGTCTTAGAAAAGCAACAACGACAAATGCAGAATGGGGAGCTAACGTCAATGCTAACTGTTAGTCTCAGACATTTCAGTGGAAGTAAAATTTACAGTTTGCTTTGTGACTACAAAGACCCACAAGTTGCATTTCAGACACGCTCAATGGTGCTGAAATAAGAGATTTCATCGATTCCAGTGTAAGATAAACAAGTGTTGTTTTAGCTGCAGATCATGCAAAACCAGTCTTTGGATGGAATGTTCCAAACAGGCATATTGGAAGGTGGAAATGAGTTTAATAAGTGTCTAGCCTATTATTATTAGCAGCAGCTTTGTAAGTGTTATTACTACAGGTTGGTTACCAGCAAACAGCAGATCATCTACACACTGAAGTTCACCTGAGACTCTGCTTATGTCTGTTACTATAGCACCCTTCCAGTAAAAAGTCCAGACAGGAACCTGACCTGCATGGTTACACACGCATGCCATCTGAGCTGTTGGCGACTACTGGAAACTGACTTATTGCACACTTATTGCAGAGAGAGGCCTCTTTAGAACCCCTTCACACATGTTTACAGTGTATCTGAACCACCTCCCAGTGCGTAAGTAACAGATGGTGGATGGTGCATGTGTGAGGGAGACATGTAAAGGTGTTAGGAGGTTAGGAGATGGGTGACACACTTTAGTTTGTTTTCAGCTTGGCATCAAGTGAACATAAGAACTGCTTATGCCTTTTTACTTAGATTCATAACCAAATGTGAAAGCAGACGAAAACCACACTTATTCCAAGAGCAGGTCAACCTCTCTTAAACAGACTGCAGATCAAGTTAGACAGGATGTAGTTTAAGTGCACCACCTTGTGGCAGAAAGGAGACACCACAGATCATTGAGGTCATTTAACAGCAGCAAGTGACTTAGTTTGAGTACAAAGAATGATTGTCCAGACTACTTCAGTTATCAAACAGTTCCTCTGAGCACATTGATATTTATAAATTTAAGCCTTTCAAAGTTTTCAAGCTGAAAATGTTGAAAATCCAACACACAGAGCGTCATTGTTGGTCGAAGGAGGCAGAGCACCAGACCACAAAACATGACTAACATCCTCCTGGTGCCCATCACTCGGAGGACTGTTCTTCCTCAGCTCTTTGAGATAAAATCGGCCTTTAATTCGGTGGCAATATGACACAACACATCTGTTTGTTTGAGTTTGCAGCAGCTACTCCCACCTTCCTCAGCTGACACAAAGTCAAACAGCAGATGGACAACAGTGACGTCTCTGCATGTGGCAGTTTGAAGGTGAAAACACGGCTAAAAATAGACTCTCTGTTGTCATAACTTGTTTATAAAAAGCCTCTAGTTTCCTCCTCCTGCTTTATTCATTCTCAAATTGTTTTTCTGCCCACAGCCTCCACATTCACAAACACATACACTCATACATTAACACACATAAAAACATGGATAGAATTACTCGGAAAAGGCTCAACTTGAAACATGAATTTTTCCTATTCAGCTAACTGTGAAAGTTTGAGTGCAAAATCTCTTCATTCTTGAAATTGCATCATAAATAAATCGTTTTGTAATGTTTAGAAGCCAGTAAAAGAGGTTCATCATTAAAATCTCCAAAAAGTTAGTTGTGATATCTTCACCAGTAAGAGGAAAACACATTTTAGTCATTACAGTTGGGAAAACCCCTTTAATTCAGACAACACTGATGTCCACTTCACTGCTCTGTTTTCAGGGTTCTGGTCATGAACCTGCTGGTTTATTTTCACTCTGTCATCTCTGACTGGGACCAGTTGACTTTGAAAACATTCAACTTGTCAAAACATGCTGTATGATCTCTCCACCTCCCAGAGTTGTTATTATTGCTAAATGTAGAGAAGGCAGATGCAAGGCTGTGTTTTTCTTCACAAGTAAAAAGTGTCTCTGACCAACATAGGGCTGGAAAATATTTGATACAATTCACACACAAACACAGGGGTTTGTCTCCATATTTTGGGATATTCTCAAATTAATTCACTGCTAAAAAAAAAAAAAGAAACAAACTATTTCTGTTGGCTTTCAGTTCCAACTGTATGAAAGAGGATTAGGGCCACAAGAGGAGAAAAAAATAAATACAGGAGGAAGATTTTATTAACTTCCATTTTGAGATTAAAGTTGAAATGTTACAGTTTAAATGAAAAAAAAAGTCAAAATTTTGAGATTAAAAAGTCGGGACAAAGTACTTACAAGAATAACGTTGTTTTAAATTATTACTTATGAGAATAAAGTTGTGGTTAAGTAATTACTTAGAAGAGTAAAGTCGTCGAAAAGTAATCAGTTACGAGGGTAAAATCAGAATTAAGTCCTTATTTTCTAACCTGCTGATTAAGATGACCGTTTTTGAAATGAGAGCCATGGAGCATTTCGTGAAAATGTACTTCAATGTCGGTTTCTCAAACAAGGACATACTTAACCTTTTGGCACATCAGCACCACATTATCATAAGTATCATAATGATTTTATTACGACTCTATGCTCATAAGTAATTTTTTTATTACGACTTTATTCTCGGTAGTAAAGACTTCATTCTCGTAAATTAACGACTTTAATCTCAAAGTCTTAATTTTTTTTCTTAATGTGGCCCTGATACTCCATTGTACAACTGAGCTTGAAATTGTGATACTTAATTGTACAAATATATTTTCCTCTTGATTCATGTGTTTTTATTAAGCCATTTTTTGTGTTTTTAGTGTTCACTTTATTCAAATAGTTCTTTCATTTGACACTTTGTCTTGAGCTTGTGCGGCACTTTGGTCACCTGCAGCTGTTTTACAGGGAAAAGATATACAGCAGTTTATTTGTCCCTGAGGGGAGATTCTAATTTTACACCCTGGTGTTGAACATGCCACACATGATCTTATGGACATGCACGAATAAAGAACTGTCAGAGAGGGGAGGCTTGCACATTTATAAGCACCCTGAGCCATTGAAAGACAGTGTCAAAGAAAATATCTATCACCACTCCAACTGCCAGTCTAATTTCTGAACCTGATCACTGACCCTGAAGTTACCAGGCCAAGTACCTTTGGGCTGAACCACTGCTGCCTGTAAAAAATAAAGGTTGTAACTAGAGGTTGCAACCCTTCATTTTTAAAGGTACAACCAGCAACTGTAGCCTCTGTATAAGGAGCGCATACTTTTACCACTTGGCCAAACTGTTGCCTTGGATAAGATTTATAAATAAACTTTGACTTTACTTGACTAATTATTGGAAAACTTTAAGAGTGAATCAAGTGAACTTGATATCAGACTTATTGACTAACACATCTTTCTGCTCTACCTGCCAATGTCACTCTATGAGAGTTCAACATTAAACTGGCAAGCAGTCAGCTTCATTGCTTATATACTAACAGTTTGAGGGACAATCTCTGATCTAACCTCAGATCGGTCTCTATAAATAACTTCAACCTTTGTAGTATCATAGTTTCATAGTTTATACTCTCAACACCCCTATCTTATCCGCTTCCTTGGCTCTATCCAATCAGAATACAGGAGGGTGAGACATGTAGACAGTAGCACACTGAGGCCTCCTGAAAAAACTCAGCTTTAGGGGTTTGTAACTATGAAGTTCATTTATGGAATTATTATGTAAATTCTGCAGCTGCTGCAGCCATGAAAGATTTTTGATCATGCATGATACAGTAATGAAATCTTTATTTGAGGTATGCTTTACTTATTAAATTTAAAAACTCAATTTAGTTGTATAGTTCAGTATTTTGAACCAGCACTTTAAATCTTGATTTATTCAATCCAGGATTATATCTGAAACAACAAAAATTCCCTAGACTAGCAGACTTCAGATGGAGCTGTTGGGCTGACTTGTTAGCTTCAGTATCCAGGAAGCAAACAGCAGAACACGGGCAAAAAAAACATTTTTGAAAGAGTCAACAGAAGTGTGTTTTCTTTCACACACAGAAGTTTCCTTTTGTCCTCTTTAGCTCTGCCCAGGTGAAGTCACAGACTGACACTAATCAGATTTCTGTGTCATACCCTGACATGCTTTCACAGGCCCCCAGTGCTGTGTAGACACTAGCAGGTTACAACATACCGTGTATGCATATACAGGCAGTCATCATGACTTATTGCTGAGAGGTCCTTTTCATCCCTAGAGTCAGTGCACACATCATCATCACCAAGACTAGTCTGCATTATTTCAATCTTTTACAGAGGATATTTACAGAATAAGAACAGACCTCACTTGGCATTATGAACCAGCCTTTCATTTATTTGATAATCACAGTTTAAATCCTCAATCCCACAAACATGTCAGGCATCCACTTTGCTTTTCTTTCTTCTACATCATAGAAGATATTTGGGGGATTTGTGCTGCTGCTTTGATTATGTAAATTTCAGCCAATGAACAGAAACTGACAGATTACTTGATTATAAAAAGTTGCTGCCCTATTTTTTCCCTCCTTGTAAGGACTAAGCTTAAAAATATTCAGCATAAACCTTTTTACAGCCATCATTAAGAATACCATTCCTACCCTGAGCCTGTATGAACTGATCTGTCTGTGAAATCATTACATTAAAATCAGCATTTAGCTCCAGGATATGCTCTGTAGCTGCAAGAAAAAAAGCATTCCATATTTTTTTTCCTCCCACATGGAGTTTAGGTGCTCCATGTTTGGGTGGAGACGCCGACTTTTTTGTCTGTCAACAGTCACCTCCACTCAGACTGACAAACATTTGTAGAAGGAAGAAAACCACTGTAGCTTGAAAGACAAAAGAGAGACCAACTATGAGCCAGGCCAATGATTCACACTTTAAAAAATTCCACACATAAAGGAAATGAGGGGAAAATGGGTCCGTTGTACTTGACCTATCTGAGATGGTTTCTATGACAACACTTCCTGCTTGGTTGACACACATGTACATCTGAGTTTGATTCTGACCTGATTAGCACATGAGCAGTAACAGTGTCTCCTTCCTGAATCCTGTGGTGAAAATCTACCATCACCTCTGAGCAGAAACATTTCAGCACCTCTGACGTTTCACCGGCTTGAAAGTTAAACAGAACAAAACTATGAAGATGATTCTGTTTATTTAGAGCCAAAACAATCAGGATGCAGTCACGCTTGGTAATTAGTAAAAGCAAGTGATTCTGATGCCAAACCAACAGATGGGTGTGACTGTGTATCCGCAGTGTCACCACCGCGCCTCTCAGCACATCTGCCCCCGGGCAGGGTGGAATTCAAGCAAACCACTGTAGGCTGGGTCATGTGACTACAGAAAATACACACACACAGGCACAGAAAAACTCACACATACACTGAAAAACACACCAAATGCAAGCCTTGAAGTACATTTTTTCTACACTTTTCAACAGTATGTGTAGTTCTGTTTCTCGTGAACCATGATAACCTGACAGGAAAGTTTAATTTGACTGACTGACAGCCTCGACAATAACGTTTACATTTGCTAAAACACTTTAAAATGTTTTATAAGACTTATTCATTTCTGAGGAAAGGGTCTGCTTTTAACATTTGAGAGCCGTGCCTACCTTGGTTTAACAGATACAAAGCAAGTTTTAGTTTTATAGAGGAGTAATGATAACCTTTTTCTTTAAGTAGGTCATCAACCATTTTCACAGTTCAAGCAAACACTGTTTAGTCTATGAAAAGTCAGAACTAATAAAAGTCTTAAGGAAAATTTCTTAAGGCTTAGTCTGAATCTTTGGGGGGAGTAAAAACAGTTCAATCAAGTACAGTCAGCAAACTAGCGGCCAATTCATTTCCTTTTTACTTTTGGTTAATCTGCAGACTGTTGAAACTCTGTTGATAAATTTACTACTTTTTATACTACTTTTTTTATTCATGTATTCTCAGAAATACACAAAATATTCGTGCTCTGTATATAAAGGGACGATTTTTACAAGACTGAATTGATTAAATACGATTAAGTCTGTTTCAGTTTACTGACCATCCAGTAAGTTTAGTTAACAATCCTAATATAAACAGTGAGGAAGAATTTATATACTGATTAATATATTTTCTGCACCCTATTTTCATCTAACGCTTACTTACTATATTAATGTTTATCCAAAAAATATATACTCTGTTTTGTGTAGTTAGGTTGTAACTGTGAGACCTAAAAGGAGAGAAGTATGTGAGTGTACTAAAGGAGGTGGAAAAATAGATTTTTGGTACACCTCGTGACACAAGTTTGAGCTGTGTGTTCAAATATTCAGATATGTGAATCATTTGGCCCAGAATTTCAGCAGAAAGATTTCTGAAAGACTCTAAAACAAGAAAGCACAGGTATGTACACGTACCATGACTCTAACAAAGTCAGCGCAATGAAAGAGCTGCAGGGAAATACACACACATACACACACCAAACACACAGCACTATGAGGAAACAGATCCTGGCCAACCCCTTCGTCTTCCTCCTTGCTGCTTGTCAAGAAGTCGCCAACAGAGCTGCAGATCAAGTCCGACAGCATTCTGTGTCAGAGGAGATACACACGGCTTCCAGAGCAGCCTGTTAGTTAGTCCAGAAGGTATTACAGCATTGGTTACAGATCCATGTGCCACTTCCTATCCACATGATCTCAACAGTTCATCCCTTGTTATACGAGTTAAACTCATACAGAGACAGGGGATTCAGATTCAAATCGGTCCCACTCTCAGTCTAAAACTGTACAGGGACTTTCCAAACTGAATCCTGTTTTCTTTTTTTTTTTTAATCTAATCCTTTGCCTAGAGCAGGACATTGTTCCAATCTCCACCAGCAACCCCCTCCTCCTGTTACTAATCAATTTACATGCATCACACGTCACTTTAAATCCTTCCAGCAACCCAGGCCAACCTAGACCCGCAACTCCAAATTCAGCTCATAGTTTATAACAAGTCTTGGCTGTCAAATTTCTCTTTTTTTTCAACCCTGAATTTAACAAACACCAAAGTTATATCAGTATTAAAGGACATGAAATCAAAACTTCTTGTGTAATGACACATTTCTTCCAATACAAAAAGTCACTGTATGACTACATCTGTCTGCATTAGACAAAGCAGACCCTGTTACCAATACTAAAACTTAAATATTTGCCTTTTCCCAGGACACTACATATAAGTGTGAAACTGAGTGTGCACTGAGGTGATATCAGAGACAAATACCACTGCTACTGCCAGAACCAGTATCAGTATTAGATGATACTGGGATCAGAATTGGGGCAACTATTGTCACAAATACACATTCACGACTCCCCAATCTTCTACATCTTAGAAACACTCACATTCGTGTGGTTGTAACCCTCCTCTAAAACCAGGGGCACTTCCCCCTGACACAAAATTCCCTCATAAGAAAACCTTATGCCTTCTCCAACAAACCAAATCTCTGCTGTTGCCTTAAAATGCAGGAAGTATGTGATCCTCAGCTTCCACTGTGTGTGGTGCGACCCTCTCATGTTGATGGGCGTTGAGAGGAGGCTTTGATGGCGGTGAATGGGGTACTAATGAGTTGGCCTTATCAATGGCCAGTCTGTATTCTGTCCTCCTGATGGCCAGGGGGACATCAACAGCGCTGTTGATGGTCCATGTAAACATCTTCCCTCTGTGTGGCCTCCACTTCAACCATCTCACCCAGTTCATAATCTCATTGGCTCATGTTGGACTACACCGGCACTGTTGCAAGCGATTACCTGTTGCATAATGTGAAGGAAGTGGCTGGTTAACATATCTATGAAAGTGTTAGTCAGCTCTGCAATAATAAGTTTGCTTTCCAGAATAAGTCATTATGTGGCAAACACAGTAGGTGGGGCCTGTGGGGAATAATCAGGGCAGAAGGCCCAGGCACAGAGCTGCTGAGTAAACCTTGAGCCCGAGCTATCACCTGTTGAACGATCATAAAGTAATGACACTCGTGTTAATGAGTGGGGGTCACTGAAGTTACAAATAAGTCCAAAAAAATGTAGTCCACTGTTAGGTTAAAATTTGCTGTGGTGTCACTTGAGTGTTGCATAAACGGATGAATGCTGTGAAAGCTGGTAGCGGTCTCCCTCGATATGTCAGATAATAGAGCTGACAGAGACAACTGTTGCTTCAGGTAGAGAGCGTTTTATGTCAGCTGTTACACTGACACTTAAGCGACACATGGCAGTCTTACCTGGCCGGGGTAACGCACAGTCTGGTCTAGCCGTGTCTCCTTTTACTGAAGCCGAACTGTATCCGTCAACAGACTGGGAGGAGACCTTTCCCTCTACTCTGTCGCTCACAGCGCAATGTCACAACTACACTATCGTGTTTACACCACAGACTGTGAAAAACCAGCTCGACATGGATCTCACCGGACTCTTCAAAGCTGCCGTATCGCACCGCTTTCACTTTCCGCTGACGGCTGGTGTTAATATTTAATTTTCGTTTACTTTTTTTCCTTCCTTTCTCACTACGACCAGTCCCCCCTGTCTCCTTTCCTTTTCCTCCTCCACTTGGGCGCTTCGAGAGTCGACGACAACAGCCGAGCTCAGTCGGAGAGAGGCGGAACAACCGAAACCCGAGCGAAGGTCAATTACACCAGTTAAGGTCTGACATCCGGTCGAGACTTTCAAAATAAGACTACAGTTAACTTTATAAGCTGAGACCAAAAATCTTTATAGTATACTGTATATTGTTAAGGGTAATTTCTATTCCCCAGACATACATAAAATATTCCGATTCTGAGTCTGTTTCTGATTGCTATCTAACACAAAATTTTTTAACGAGTAATTAATATTTCTGTATGACAGAAACATTTATTTTACTAAGCCTGATTTTTAGTAGGGGAGAGTGGGGTATGTTGAGCCAAAGTGTAAGTTGAGCCACCCTTCTGTTGCTTGGAAATGGTAAAAGAAATTGATTTTGTGACCAAATATTTAGGAGATGGGCACCAAGTCATGGAGTCTGTGAAGATTAGAAGCACATTGGTGAAGGGGTTAGACATTTATTTACAAAAAAAAAAAAATTCACTCTTGAAAATGAATTTAGTCGGTCATGAGTTTTACTAGAAATATGTTCAGACCCAAAAAGATCATTTTAAATTTGTTTATAAATCAATTTATGAGCCGCAGGATGAGGTCAAAAATAAAAGTCCACCATTTTAGCTTAGAGGACTAATAAAGTCATAATAGTAGTTCTGGGGTAAGTTGAGTCAGTGGCTCAACTGAGAGAGTAAAGGAGTCTGATGAGAGGATCAGAGTTTCAGTTCAGATTGTTGAAATGTGTTACTTTTTCTTTTCAAAAATACAGCTGTGAATGTTCTGAATCACTTAAAGACATTCTCATGTTAAAATGACTTTTTACAAAACAGCTTTTTAGCAGTTATATGCATTAATGAAAATAAATATCGAACCCGTTGAATCGTGGATAATAGATAAAAATACACATGAATGTGGAGAAGTGACTGTTATTTAGGGAGAGAGAAGGTGAGGGAGGGCAGGGGTGGAGAGTGAGGGGTTGTTGTAGGGACACGGCTCAACTTACCCCGCTCCTATAGTCAACTTACCCCATACACGGGGTAAGTTGACCATAGGAGACCACTTTTTTTTGGCATGCTATATTATCAATACAGTTATGTTTACACTCATTCTGTTGGTTTGCAGGGATGCACAACATTTTGAAATAAATGCAGATACACTAGTTAGAGACAAAACTATGATAGCCTTGATGTAGTGATCTGAAATATGAAAAATGGCTCATCTTACCCCACTCTCCCCTACTTATAGTTAATCTATTCTACTGTAAATGTAACTGTTTCCAAATCACAGTGTCAGTAACCTTAAATACACAAAGTCCTTGATTGGATTGAAGTCTTTTTTCAATACTTCATAAACATTGCTATATTTTTGTTGACATTTCTTCAAGAGGTACAGTCGTAGAAATGATATCCAGCTTTCATATCCTGGACTGAAAGGCTCCCTTTCTTACTCATCCTGTTGGTGAAGCAAATTGTGTCCTTCAAGGACAAGAAGCTCATGTGATTCAAATCAAGTTTGCTGCTCTATTTGTCGATTTTTTTACCATCAAAAATGATTATCAGTACAAAAAGAAAATAATGATTTTAAACATAACTTATGTGACATGAAGTTACATTTCTACCAAATCTGCTCTGCAAATTGCCTCTAATATCTACACTCTGCACCTTGAATATAGTTCATGCATCCAGGGCATTATTTTGTGCTCACACTGTGTAATATTCGGCAGAGCATTTTCATCTCAGTTCTTGTTAAACTGCTCTACATATACCATACCTAGATGCTACATATTGTACATCATAATATAACTTGGCCATAAATGACGGTAATTCTCTGTCCTGTACATTGATCTGTACTACTTGCCTTTAAATTAAGTTAAAGGTATCCACCATCACACCAAAAGTATTTAGGTGATATTTAGGTGACCTATAGATAGAGAAATCTAACCTACTGTCAGGGGTAACTTTGCATGTATTATTTAGCTAGGTAATGAAAGAAAGGTGACAGGAGTCTTACACACCTAAACTAGACTATATTTGGACTGAAATCCTGATTATATATGAAATTTAAAGACCAAAGATGCAGTATAACCAATAAGAAAAGATTTCAGGTTTAAACCAGGTTATTCACATAATCCTGTGAAATTAGGCAATAAAGAGCTGAGAATTGCAAGGAGACAGATAAATATATAACCTGTATATATGATCCATATCAATTTATTTATCCATGTCTCCAATTTTAAATTAAGCATTTGAAACAAGATGAAACTCTAATGCCTCTCATTTAGGATTTAAAAAAAATACAACTTCCTTTTGCACCCCAGCCTTTTCTTTCTAGCTTTACAAACAACAAATGAGAGGGGAGGTTCTGCTGTCAGCCTTGTAGTGGCGCACTCTCCCCACAAGAACATCCAGTATGGTCAAATGACAGAAAAGGATAAATCAGTTTATTTGGAAGACTTAGGAGACAGCCTATGACAAAATAAAAACTAAAAGAAGTTCCTGTTTTATGGAAGTTATGATCAGAATAATATGTAAATTTCAAGTTGAAACTAAAAAAAAAAACGTTAAGAAAATTCTGGTGTCATTACCATAGACCAGGGGTTCTCAACCTTTTGCAAGCTGTGGTTTGAAGCTCTGTTCTGAAGTTCTTCTGCAGAACAGAGCAAAATTAAGTTAGGGTCAAACACACCGTAACACCGAGTTGGACACCTCGTCAAGAGATGAATGTTTAGGGTCCCAGCCATAGCGCTAACCACCAAACATCTTTTAGCTTTGCCTTTTTTCTTCAGCAAAGAGACTCACCCTCACTCCTCCAGCAGCCGCTTGTTTGTATGGAGACATCCAGGCGAGACTGCGGCGGGGAACACAGCTCAAGGAAGAACATTTATGATCATTAATTTATAATTTCCTTGAAGTAATAATCATCATATTAATCATTTTGCACTGCAGACGCGGTAGTTCTTCTGACTTAGCATCTCGGTCTGATTGCATTTCCATGAAGAAATGATCATTAATGTTCTTCCTGAGCGCGTGGCTCTCTGTATTGCTATCTGCGGTCATTACTAAAGTTGGTATAACTAGAGAAGCAAGCAGTCGGCAACATTCATGTCTCGACAGATTGTCTAACTCGGTTTTACGGTGTGTTTGACCCTTAATTTGAGCTTAATTTTACGCCAGAATATCCCTTTAATTAATTAATTAATTAATTAAAGTTTATTCTGAACTTGATAATGATGTTTATGGTCTATATTCAAATTAAATCATCTTGCTTGATGATATGATATCTATATGAGTTGAAACAAGGAGAGGGATTACATGATAATCCTTAAATCACCAGTGCCACTATATTAATCTCAACGTCTGCTTTGAAGTATTTCAGAAAGCATCTAAGTTTACCAGTGCAGTTTTTTCAGAGTATACGGTAATGTTACTGAAGACATTTTAGCTTGCTCTGAATTGCCCATCTGTCTTTCTTGCTAACTGAGCTGCGGTTGCACCTCAAAGTCTGTGTTCCGCCATGAGCCCAGCAAAAGTGAGAGTGAAACACAACTATTTCATACCTTAGACTATATATAGTCTTTAAAAGGATATAGTTTATAGTATATGTATAGTCTCGATACAGTCTGTGGTCATTACTGTTCTGAATCTTACAATTTGAGGTTTAGTAGCCGTAAAATCTTATGAAAAAATATGAACTTTTAAAATAAAATATCACCCCATTATTCACAAACAAGCATCAGAAAGTACACAGGAGTGTTAAGTAAAAGGCTGTTTTTATTTAAATTAGCATAAAAAGCAAAAACAAACCAAAAACCATGAATAATAGGCTACAGTCAACTTCAAAAACATTGATGCATATAATTTATGAAGTTGAAAATGCGCACTTTATATAAAAAAAACAGATATCTACATTGTAACATAATGAACACAGAGTATGCATTCCTCAAAGTGAATATGTGGTCTGTACGGTCCACCCCCTCAGTGATATACAAAACTTCGACAGCAGTATTCAACATGATCTACTTTCTATGTAAGAATATACACGTGACAAAAACTTTTAAGGCCTTGACTGAGCACGTCATTCTGCAGACAATCAAAATAAGAAGCTAAATTTACCCAAATATCTTACTGCCTGTCTCCGTCAGAAGTTCCAGTCTGTACAAAAGACGTCGTTTCGTCACACTTTAAATCGAAACTGGAGTGTAGCTGGTGCTAAATGCAACATCTGACCACAAAGAAATACTTTATCTTTGCACTGCACTCTTTTCTTTTTTTTTTGGCGTCAAAAGCGTTGTGCAATAACAAATGTACATTAGTTATGAAATGTGAGAAAAGAATTCCCCATGAAATGAAAAGGACTGATACGAGTATTGGTATCATTCAATCTTGAGACAAACTCTGGGAAACATGGCTGCATAAAACAACACAGCTGAGGTTTGGTGCACGTAGTGAAAATGATAACTGTGGAACTGTCAGGTACATGCAAAGTGGATCATTGATGGAATTTTTTTGACAGGGGATGTACAGAGAAAAACCTAACTCATGTAGGAGGGAGGGAATGATTGGAGCAGTAGGTAGCAGAGGGGCGTCTTGTTAATTTCATACAGTGTGAAATCTACTCTTGTGCCTCTTTGCCGGTCATCTTATAGATCTCAGTGGGGCCATCAACGTGGGTGATAGTGGTCGTCAGCTGGATGTCCTCTCCACTGTTTGCTCCAATGTCTCCTGCAGACAGAAACAAAATCATTAACACAGAAGAAAAACATGAATACAGGCCATTTTAGAAAGGACAAACATTTGTTCTACATGTTCTTGTACAACTGCAGGCAAAAATCTGCAGTATATCATGTTGTTCAAGCTGAATTTCATTTACATAAATACTTTGAGCTCGCTGTAGACAGAAGTGAAACTCAAGAGCTTCTGAGGTAAATCAGCAGAGACTGAAACTTGGAGAGAGCCACCCCTCCCATATAGATGGATTGGTTGACGCACTTCAGGGAAAGCTTCCAGCACTTCAAACACCTCTTTTTCTCTCTGTGTCACTGACGTCAGGAGATGGATGGATGGTTTTCATTACTTCCCCTCTCTCTATCCCCTCCCCCTCTCCTTTTCCTCTTCACTATGCCTCTCCTCTCCGTCTGGAAGGAAGCCTGGTGTCCATTAGAATCACCCTCTTGGGCCAAAAGGACCCTGCTTTCCCCTGGGAATCTGGGTCCCTCTGAATTACCCCATCCTCCTCCTCCAAACACAAACTCTGGCTGAATAGAAAGCTTTACAGCAGAGGACAGACACTCAAACACCATGAGAGAAAAGTAAGAGACCCAAAGAAATTTCACCTGGTTATTCAATGTAGCCAAGAGGATTTGTTTTTAACACTTTGAATTAAGTTGCATAAACTAAAAGTATCAGTTGTTTAAATGGTTTGTGTAATTATTTACATGTTATTGAGCAGTTTTTTAAAAAGTATGTTTCGGGCGATTTTTGTCTATAATTGATAGGATAGGTTGAAATGTGGGGAGATAGAGAGAGAGGAGGGAGGACATACAGCACATGGTTGGGGTCCGACTCGAACCCGCGACCGCTGTGGTGGTGCACGCCAATATCGTGCAGTTTTTTAATTTTTTTTCTTGAATGCTGACAAAAAACTTTATGCAAGTCAATAACAATCTACTATCCAAATTCTGCAGTAGTTGTAATAACTGAATTTTTATGATTGCCATATCATTTATAAGACTAAACTTAATCAAAAACACAACAAATCAAATATTGAAAGTGAAAAATACACCCACAAGACGTGTTATGTTAAACACCTGGGCTATCTATTGTAACAGTTCTACCAAAAATTCTTCTTTAACAAACTACTGATCATGTCCACACAGCCTGAACATTTTACTGTATTCTTAGAGGATAGTTTGTGGCAAAGCTGTTATATCTGATTGCCTTGGAGTGTGCTGGTGTTCATAATGCTGTGGCTGGTTGGCGTATGTCCTATTTTTTTAATTTGATGCCAGCATCATGTTTTAAAAAAGTTGGGAAAGAATTGTGATAACCATTGTGTTGCACCACCTCTTCCCTACTGTTTGGGGGACCAAGGAGAGCAACTTCTGGAGTTTTGAAAGTTAAATGTTATCCCATTATTTTCCGGATGTCAGCTGCAAAACAGTTTAGGATGCTCATTATTGTGGTAACAGTTTGGGGTGCTCATAATTGAGGTATCATGCCCCCCCCCTTTAATACAACGATCCCACACAACTGCTGACACTGCGCCAACCCGTCTGTCAATCTCATGATTAATTTAACCCTCACTAGTAAACAAAACCCCAAGATACTTCAATTCCCTCACAAGGACCAAATCCCAACTCTGAGGGAGAAACTCAGTGGGGAGAGCCACGGCTTCAGACTTTTCACTGTATTGTATTGACATTTGGGGCATTTTTGGACAATGCTGTTAACTGCACAATTTAAGTGCAAAACTCAAGAAACCTGTTCATAAACTACTGAAGAATTAAAAAACTTACAGCATCTGCAAAAAATAAGTTATAAAGTGTGTCTCAGAGTTAGCCTCAGCGTTTATATAAGCTTGCTGCTATGATGTTTTATTATGTCCAGGTCAAATTTCATAAGCTTTATTCATAAATGTAAATTGATAATGTATGATAAAAAAATTTTATTCCTCCTGATGTCCTCCAGCTGCTCCTGTTCTAGGCTCTAAAACTTAAGTCATTTTGACAACAGGGAATACAGCAGAGAGTGACTAGACAGTGGCTTCAACCCAGACTCTTACTCAAGGGATGATGAAGATGGCAGGGGGCAAGGAACCAAACTTGGCTCTAAATCCTTATTTGAACATTTAAGATCCTCTGCCTCCATATATTAAGGCAATCTGCATGTCAGAGTAGTGGTCCATGAAACACTATGTATTAAACCCTGTTCTTGTTCTCCGTTTTGGGGTGGGACTAAGTATTTACCACTGACCCTCCATCCACCTTATTTTCTTTGTGAACTACTTATGTACTTATATAGTGCTCCCTGGTACTATTATTTGATTCTATTTCTTGCTAGTCTCTCCATCCTTACTGAGCCTGAGCAATTGGTATTGTACTCCCAATCTCTCCATGTTGTATTGTCATTGTATTTTATTTGCCTCTTCCCTTGGCCAGTTCGCACTTGCAAAAGAGACTCGTCTCAATGTGATTTTACTGGTTAAATAAAGCTTAAATAAATAAAATAAACTTGTGCTCTGGGTTATATAATGGACTGCATAGGACAGGCAGAAAATAAGCCATTGACTCCAACTGATTCCTTCTTGTGCTCACTGATTGTCTGAATTGAACCGGTGTAAACATGTGAAACTGTGTCATTTCATATTCTCTAATTTTTGACTTTGTTTTTCTCCTTTCATAAAAAGACTGAAACATTAAATAATGTCACATTCATTCCTTCATTTCTTTACAACGCTAGTAAATTTGTATAGTTACCAGTGATGCACTGACCACTTGACTGCTCGTCTCCATATCGTTTGTGTGACGGTGCGTAGAGGAACATGATGGCAAAGACATACAGGTTCCACATGCCGTAGATGCCTGTAAAGAAGGCGCTGTTCACCTGCACCGTGTGCTCGCCCCAGTGCCAATGACCTTCATTCACCTGCACAGAGAAGACCAAAACAAGAACAGTAAGTTTTATAGCCACTATGATACACTTAGCTAAACTACTCCACTTAACACTAATGGCACTGTGAAAAGATAAACGACACATTAGTTTCTTAAAAGTGAAGCCAAAACATTTTGCTTTTTTCCTGTACATGGCAACAGAATGGATCATATGTTGCCATATCATATGGATCTAAAATGTAAAAAGAATTATAACAAACTTTACATCAGAGTGGCCTTACCTGACTGATGATGAAGAAGATTACAGTCATGGCAGCACAGGTCAGGGTGACCAGCATGAGAAACTTAAACCTGAAAATAAGACCCTGTTGAGTGGAAAAGAGCATGTATTAGCACCAAATCATTAATAAAAAGAACACAATAGCAGAAAAATCCTGTACACGATCAATAATAATAATTATTATTATTATTATTATTATCATTTATCTATTTTTACAGTACCTCTAAAAACATGGCATAACTGAATGCTTTGACACACAAACAAAATATACATAAGAATCAAGACAATGTAAGAACCAAAAACCCAAAGAAGTTAGAGAACCAAATAAACACAATAAAGATGAACTAAACACTAAAATCTCAACCAGGAAAATGAACAAAAAAAGGACTTCTCAGCTTAATATCCCAAACACAGTACTAACTCAACATCCTAAGAATCTGGAAGGGAGACAAACAGATGTCTGTCTGTCTGGTTCTAAAGAACCTCCCAGAGCAAAAACACTGAACCCTAGGATTACACCACACACCTCGTAGTGCAGGCGTCTGGCCTTAGACATGGCAGGCAGGGACGTCCTCTTGCCACTAATGTTGCGGAAGACTTGAAACACCATGAAGCAGAGAAAGAGGAAATAAAGGCAGGCGCAAATCCCTGCAACTATGATGAAGGCCATCTGAGGTCAAATCAGTCAAGGAAGTAACTGATGATTGTCCTTAAAAAGAGTCAACATGAAGAAAGGGCTATTTGTGTGAAAGATGTTACAGCTACACAAAATGCTTTCCACAAGTAGACACTTCTTTCAAAAGCCAGAATGAAAGGTATGTAGGTTGGGGTACTAGATGGTGATTTCAATATACTATATACACTGCAGAAGACTACCAAATAGATATTTTAAAAGTGTGCACCTACAAACTGTTGGCTTCTATGGTTTGATTTTACACATTTTATAAGCAACGCAAAAAAATGGATCAAAATTGTTTGTGGAAATGTAGATTTTAAGACACCCCTCAAAAAAACCTTTACAGAGCTTTCTGCTGTGGGGAGCAAGTCAGGGACGTGAGCAGTGGGCCTTTAAAGATTTGATGATCCTGGTTAGTGACAGACTGAACCAAATGTCTCCATCAAACAGCTGCACTTTGAAGACTTACTTTTGGACAGGAGTGAGAGAAGAGGAGACAGGAAGGAGCAGAAGATTTCATTCCATATGAACCTTCGTGTTTGGTAGTGATGCTTTTGAAAAGGTGTGCTGATGAATCTTGCACACGTAATCACATCATCTTGAGACCCTGAGCAACGCTTTCACATATGGCACTACTAAATTATTTCTCCAGCTCGGGCACATCTTACAAAATTACTGCCTGAAGCAAACCCCAAGTAATGGCACCTAGAAAAGTACTTTTTTGCGGTCAAAAACAGTATTTCTAAAAGACAATTTGCACCAACAGTAAGAGCAGACTATAAAAGTCTTTACTGGCTGTTCAATGGGGAAACCTATTTCGGCCATTTACACCCTCTAAAGGATTTTACTGCATCAAGCATGTCAGATGAGCTGTTTGCAAAGATAATGGAAGACTCTCAATCTGATATTCTCGGGGGAAATGAGGAAAAAGGATACAGCCAGCTCAGTTCCCACATCAGACGCCCAGATGCTGTAGAAAGGATTTGTCAGCTGGACCCCTCTGGTGACAAAGAAAAAAACATTTATGTTATCAGTTGTGAATGTTTCCCGACATTGAGTTAGAAAAAATGAACATTTTCGCATGAAACAAACAAAAAATAAGTATACAACAGTATGATAAAGTGCATGGTGTTTTTCTACCATTTCAGTTTATAAACAGGTCTCTCCAAAGGTTCAGAGTGGTCAACATAATATTAGACTTGGCCTCACCTCTCACACATGTCAAAGATAAAGAGGCAGAAGGATCCAAACACAATGGGTCCAACCTGCTTCCAGTAGACTGAGAAACGGTTCCTCTCAGTCTGGTCCTGAAAAAGAGGATGAACAGTCTTATACACTCACCGGCCACTTTATTAGGTACACCTGTCCAACTGCTCGTTAACACTTAATTTCTAATCAGCCAATCACATGGCGGCAACTTAGTGCATTTAGGCATGTAGACATGGTCAAGACAATCTCCTGCAGTTCAAACCGAGCATCAGTATGGGGAAGAAAGGTGATTTGAGTGACTTTGAACGTGGCATGGTTGTTGGTGCCAGAAGGGCTGGTCTGAGTATTTCAGAAACTGCTGATCTACTGGGATTTTCACGCACAACCATCTCTAGGGTTTACAGAGAATGGTCCGAAAAAGAAAAAATATCCAGTGAGCGGCAGTTCTGTGGGCGGAAATGCCTTGTTGATGCCAGAGGTCAGAGGAGAATGGCCAGACTGGTTTGAGCTGATAGAAAGGCAACAGTGACTCAAATAACCACCCGTTACAACCAAGGTAGGCAGAAGAGCATCTCTGAACGCACAGTACGTCAAACCTTGAGGCAGATGAGCTACAGCAGCAGAAGACCACGCCGGGTGCCACTCCTTTCAGCTAAGAACAGGAAACTGAGGCTACAATTTGCACAAGCTCATCGAAATTGGACAATAGAAGATTGGAAAAACGTTGCCTGGTCTGATGAGTCTCGATTTCTGCTGCGACATTCGGATGGTAGGGTCAGAATTTGGCGTCAACAACATGAAAGCATGGATCCATCCTGCCTTGTATCAACAGTTCAGGCTGGTGGTGGTGGTGTCATGGTGTGGGGAATATTTTCTTGGCACTCTTTGGGCCCCTTGGTACCAATTGATCATCGTTGCAACGCCACAGCCTACCGGAGTATTGTTGCTGACCATGTCCATCCCTTTATGACCACAATGTCCCCAACTTCTGATGGCTACTTTCAGCAGGATAATGCGCCATGTCATAAAGCTGGAATCATCTCAGACTGGTTTCTTGAACATGACAATGAGTTCACTGTACTCAAATGGCCTCCACAGTCACCAGATCTCAATCCAATAGAGCATCTTTGGGATGTGGTGGAACGGGAGATTCGCATCATGGATGTGCAGCCGACAAATCTGCGGCAACTGTGTGATGCCATCATGTCAATATGGACCAAGCTCTCTGAGGAATGCTTCCAGCACCTTGTTGAATCTATGCCACGAAGAATTGAGGCAGTTCTGAAGGCAAAAGGGGGTCCAACCCGTTACTAGCATGGTGTACCTAATAAAGTGGCCGGTGAGTGTATAAGGGGTGTGCTGTGCCACATATTGTACAATCAAGACTATCATGACCTTGATTGAGAAAGATTGTGGAGATATCATACTGTAGGGAAAAAGAAGCTCTTTCTATAGCCTCTTTAAAACATGGACAAAGTTCCAGGACAATTCCTAAAATTTGCCAGCAGAAGAGGTCAGAAAAGGTCAAAAGGCAAAGCTGTAAGGTGCTGAGTACAGTACCATGAGGTGCTCCCCGCAGAAGATGATCCAGAAGGAGAGCAGCATGGAGTAAAAGATGCCCTGCCTGATGTCTCCGAAAAGCAGCATCCAAGTCCAGTTGAAGCCAACAGAGAACCACTCCACCGGGATGTTGATAAATGTCATGGAGATTCCCAGAGCAAGGATTACCCTAAAAGAGGAAGAAGAAAAACATCTTCAAACTACAATTTCTCAACAGCTAGCAGGGCTGAAGGACTCTTTGTGGGGGGATCAAAAGTATTTTATTAACAGGGATGAAAAACTTTAGCAGTTGTTTTTTTGCTTGCAAACAAAATACATGCCAGAGTACAAACACACTTTCCACTGTGAAGCACCTTCTGCACCGCTGTGGATAAAATTCTAAAAGAAAAAAATTGTGAATCAAAGAGATGCAAGGGTGACGGTGAGAGATTGTTCCAAGTATCTTTCATGGTTGAGAAAAAAAACTGAGAATTTTTTTAAAATGATGTCAATAATAAATGATGGAGGGAACTCAGCTAGCAGCCCCGTGAACATCCAGTATGAGAAAAACATGGACTTTAAACTTAAACCACCTAGTTTCTGGAGATCAGAAGTGGAGGGACTGTTTGCTCTGACATGAGGCTGAACTTTTGTTAACCGCTTACTTGGCAGCCCCCATAAGACAAAATTACCTGATGAACAGATTTCAGTAATCACCTATAACAATGTCAAATTTGAAGTGACCTACATCAAAGGCTCTCTTTGTGCAGTGTGCCACAGTTACTTGTGACTGAGATTACCGATAATTACATCCTCTCTCTGTTGCTCAGAGCTGCCCTCCGTGAGCTCTCGTACTGACGACAGTAAATTCTACCCACACCTATGATGAGCTGGACAACCTTAATTCTCAATCAGAGCAAATTTAATGCACAGGTCTGCCTATAGTAAAAGGGGTACAGGTACTCTCTGCAGTAAAAGCGTATACAGGACCCATTCTATATTTGAGGTTTTACAGTATTTTATTCAGTATTTTTACCCACTTTAAATAATTTAACATAAAGAAGGAATAAACACCTTCAAAATGTGCGGTAAAGAATAAAATTTTTTATAAGGATGCTCCATTAAGTGGCAACGTTATTAAATTGTGCTGTGTATTGAGATAAGTCTAAGTATTGATTTATGCAGATGAAATCCTCTGGTTTACATATTTTTGCCATACTGCCCTGTCCTATCTAAGCTGAGCATAATTCTTCATAAAAATATAACATCATATATCAATTACACATGCATACTTTAGTTTGAAAATAAACTAAAAAAACAAAAGTATCTTTATGCTTTTTGAAATATTAAAGTGTAGATTTAACAAGTGATGAAAGATCAAAGTAAAGAGGTTTGACTTTTCACCTAAATCTGCTCTTAAGCTTTAATAAAAGACAAAATCCATGTTTCAGAAAGGGGTGTCTGCTGAACGAGGCTCATTTATCTTGAAACATTATCAAATTACTGATTCAGTTACAAGCACGGCGTGTGTCCCCATTGACCCATCTGATTCCGCATAATATACTCCAACCTCAAAATGTCTCATTGTTACATCAGAGCTTCCTCAACCTTGAGACCTCGACATCTAGAGAGAAATCAGTCTACAGAAAGACAGGATAGAGATGGTCCTCCAGGCCTGCAGCATGTCCCTGCATGCAGCCAGTAGATGAAAGGCGGATCACAAATAGACAGTTAAGAGGGCAAAACAGAGAGAAGTGTGTCAAGAGAAAGGGAGTGGGGGAAAAAAGGGGGGAAGCGGATCAAGGTGACCTGAAAATGTGGGTGCAAAAGTATTTTGTGGATAATAGAAGGAACATTACACGGCTTATTTGCAAATCCACCCCAGACAGTTCATCAGCAATGTTCTAGGGAGGGTACAGAGTGAGAGCACATTTGGCTGGTATGCAGGGAATGTGTCCTGAGCACAAAGAGTTGTGGTTGGAATCAACGTGGATGTGAAGACATTAGTGTGAAAATCTGCGAGTTCACACGTCAAAGGTCCAAAGTAAAGCATTTTACTCCAGACATTTTGACATGTGATAGCAGGAAAAGCAAAGGTGTTACTAACAACGTCGATCAAGTCCGCATTCCATCTGGGTAAGGCTCTTCCTCTATCTGCTGTTCTGCAAGCTAGCTCACACACATTTCTTAAAATAAGGCCATCATTAATGTTACATGACAATGGATGTTTTAGTGTAACACACAAGAGTTTATCTGGGCCATTTTTCACACTTAAGAGCCGTCCTCTAAGTTTAGAGAAGTCTGAGTCTTCCCGTCCTGACACCTCTGTGGACTAGCACGACAGAAGACGCTGGTAAAGCTTTTACAGCATGAAAAAATCATCTGCTGTCCTCAAATAGGGAACGAGTTGCACTTCCTGAAACTCTGCTGGTCATTTGGGAATAAGAGCCTTGAGCCGGAAAATACAGAGAGAAGGAGAGAGACCGCGTGTGTGTGGTTGTGCACGGACTCGATGTGTGTCTGCAGCATGTGTCGCTTGAGTGCTAGCTTGCAGATTTTGTAACGTGTTTCACGCTTGGCCAGGCACTTCCTGTGGCGCAGAACGCTGCCTCTTACTGATCTGTCTTCCCAGCTCGGCGGGGGGTTAGACAAACACTGGGCTCCGAGCACGGCTTCAGTTTTTCAAAGCATGGCTTTCAATCTATCTGCTTCAGGCACAACTACACATATTTGTTGCTCTAACTTTTATGAGGTTAAGGAATGAACACAAATAGCAGATGTTTTGAAGATATTTTCAGAGGAAACTCGAGCAACATAGTGGTCTTAATTTGTTTTGAAATCTGAATCCAGTAGACCCTTTTTCGGCATTTTCACAGATTAGTCTGATTAAACTTCCTTCCTGGCAGTTTGACATGCATTAATAAAGCTGAGTGAGACCTGCTGACAGTTCTGGTTTGAAAATTCCTGCTGGATGAGCATTCCTGTCTAATTCAAGTGACCTACTCTACATATGACATGCCTGATTTGTTAGTGAATTAATAGTTAATGCCTACTTAAACCCCGGAGACACACGAACACCATAACTGTGCCACTCCCTACAACTAACACAGAGCATGAGTGAGAGACTAAGCTCTACATACAGATGTTACTTATCCTGAGATGACTTTCAGTAAAAATTATGATGTTCCAAAATAGAAGTCTTAAAAAAAGGATTTTACAACACAGATATCATTCCTGAGACATGGTGAATTATGAATAAGCTCCCTTACTTCTCCAGCAGCACAGGAGGTCTGCTCATGAGGGTGATCCGTCTCCAATACCAGATCATGATGATGAGGATGCTGGGTGTGAGGAAGGTCTTCATGGCGAACCACACTTTGGTGAAGCCCCCGTTCTGATGGATGCCCTATGAGTAAAAAAAAGAACATCCCAGGAGTCAAGTATTTCTATGCGTGTGTTTTTTATCAGCAACAAAGACAGCAACTTTGCTTAAAAAGGTACTATGAGAGACTTTCGTGTATGAAAAAACTGCATTTCCTGGGAGAACCATCACCCTTTTGTAAAGATGTGGCCGTTGTTAAAGTGTACACACAGAGTGTTAATAGAATGGGCATCGTCTGCCTCCTCGGTGGGTGGAGCCACTCCAAGAACAGCACCCTCTGGTGACGGGCTGCAGTATAGGTCAGAAATCCCGCCTCCTCCAGCAAACCTTATGGAGTTGTGGACAAACTTTTGAAATTTATCTGAGAGACTATACTTTTTTTTTTCCCCCTGCTTGCATTGTTGACATGTAGTTACAGACTGGTTTGTGCTCAAGTCCTCTTTTTTCTGTACAGCTCCATTTTTTAAGTTATTAGGGGGTTCATGTTTTTATGACTGACTCTTAAAATAATGACAGAGGGTGGAGCCAAAATGTCCATAGTATATACAGTCTATGAGTGTAAACTTGTCATGGAAGCAAATGAATGCAGTGCAGAGCCTTTTATTTTCTTTTGCTTGAGACAACTTGTTGCAGGATGCAGGGTGATGAGGTAATGAACTGAGTAGGACTATGTAACATTATTAATTGTAACACGTCAATGACAAAACTTTGTGAACTCTGGTTGTTACGGTTAGTATGCTGACAGGTGGTGACAGCCATACACACTGCTCAAATAGCAGTGAACATTTAATCCTGTTCACAGCTAAGCTACTCTTTCAGCTAGCAAAGGTTGTAGATTTTCTCTTTCTAAAACAATATTTGATCAGAAAACCCGTCTTTCTACGAATCCTGCTCCAAAATCAGCTGCAAGTGCAAAAACATTCTGTAAAATAAAAACTCACTAAAACCTCGTCCTGCTTGATAATTTACTTGCCACTGGTAAACTATATCAGCAGAATTCCAAACACAGCCACTTGAGTTTGACTGAGGAATATCAACTGGGATTTTTTGTGAAGAAATCCCCCGAAAAAAAGTACTTAAATCCCTTTAAAAGGACAAAACTAATCTTATTTTATTGTGAAAGTCATGAAGAGGCATCGGTGTGAAGCGAGACTATTTCGCATACATAGTTTCCACTTATTTGCAAACTTACAACCAGACGAATGTCTTTGATTTCTCCGATCCCCACATTAATCTTCTTCCGCTCATTGACAGGCAGGCGAATGTTTAGGAGGTAGTATTTGTGGGCCACACTGCCGACTTCCATGAATGGCAGCAGATCACACTCATAGTAGCGCCCCTCGTTCTCAAAGGTCTGGGAAGAGAAACAGAAACATGTCAGACCTGGTTTAAAGCACATTTGGCTACACAACAGTGTCTAAATTGAGATATAGACAACTATCACTGACACATACAGAGCTCATCAGCTAACACTGGTGGTATCAAAAAAATTAAAAGGTATTTAAAGTTCAAGCTTGAATTATCTGACATGTAAAGAGGCTTACTAATGTTACAAAATTTAGATAGAAGAACTTGAGATTAAAATTTGCAATGTTAAAAGGAAAAATAGATTCTTATTTGAAGAATAACATGCGTTTGGGTGTTGTATATGCACCTTGGCAGTGGTGAAATTGCAGTTGAGTTTCCTCTTTTCAATTGAGTGTGCCATCTCTGTCCACTCGCCGAGTGTATCGTCTCTGTAGGCCAGGCCCACATCAATAGTGACCAGTGCTCCATCCTCTAGAAAGAATCAAGAGATCAGATACAATCTTTTTACACTTCTACAAATACTTAAAACATGAGTTTTTGGTCAAATAGTTTGCATGTGCAAGTTTGTCACTGAACATCTTAAACTCAAGAACATTATGTGTAGGGTCGTTATAAAGGCTTTTATGCGTATAATGTCCACAGAATAACACCGTACTGACAGTGGGTTGAATTCATGGCAACAAAATGAAACAACTTGTACTGATAAGAAGAAAAAAAAGAGTCGGTAAGAACTTTTGTGTCAGTTATACCTCCACACTGCGCACATCTGTTGGCTGTTATTCTAGTGAGAGGATAAAATTAAGTCCTGATGACAGACAGTAGCACTGCAGTGGCCTTTTGATCGGAGGCCCAGCAAAGTGATGGCACTGCTACAACTATCTAGTATGGAGACATTACTAAACACAATCTAAAAACAAACATGCAATTTATGTTCATAAAATGCATCACATAGTGAAGCGGAAGTATTTAAAATCTATTCTTTTGAATCACTTAACAGGTATGGTGATTTTTTGCTCATTGACAAATTATTTCACTGGAATTTGGCTGATATATTTCAAAATAGACAAAGCCAAAACATCTGAGTGTTAATACTTGGTCCCGTCTCTTGAGCTGAGTCTCAAACTGTAAGAATAATCATGGTGACCAAGATGAAGGTTTCTTCCTACTTGACATAAAGTCCAATAAGACCTTGAGCTGGCCTCCAACAGCCCAGCCCCTGTGATTCCAACAAAAACTACCAATGCCAAGCTATTAAAACCGCATCTTTAGATCACATTACAAAGCCAAGTGTTCTCTCCTCCAGCCCTCCAGAGTGCCTCTTGTACCGTTATGAAACAAGCTGGAATGAAGAGAAAGAAACCCAGTGGCCTGTGCTGCGAGAAAGGGGAAAAAAGCAGAGGAGGGGGAGAGTGAACCAGATGAGAACTGGCAGCCGACTGTCTCTGCAGTGTCCTCCACTCTGCCATTGGTCGAGACAGACGGCCTCAAATGTCGGCTCACTTCATGCAAACATTCCTCTCTAGTCCAACAGCCATCGCCACGGTGACTAAGCCTTCTCCACAGCTGTGTTATTGCTGGACCCGGGCCAGTCAAGGGGTGCCTGGTGCCGGCATGGAGAGGGGCAGGTGGGTGGAGTGGATAATAAGGGCGAAGCTCTTCTCTGGGACGCACATTGTTACACAGATAAGGTAGTCAAGGAAAAAATGGTCCTGAGATTATTGTCGGACGGTTGCACAACAGAAACCACCCACCTTTGGCACAGAGGTTTGTGGTCAGGATTGAGACAGACAAATAGACTCATTTACGTTCTTTATAGAAGCTCTGGCTCCACAACTTTTAGAGTTTGAGTTCATTAGAATTTTCTAATGACTGAAACTGGTATTTGATCCATCCAAATATGTTTGAAGTACGGCCTTCATGAAAGTTTTTTATTGAAATTTTAAGTTAATAGGTGTTTTTTTTTCCAGATAGAAAAATTCAAGGCCCCCAAAACACACACATCATAAATGATAAAAAAGATGAATCCTGTACTGTACTTAGTCGATCGCAGCTAAGAAATGACTATGTACGGCTGAGTCTCTTTGTGTTAAAAAAGAAAGAAAAAGAACATGAATTTTTCACAACAGTGTGCTCAGCCCCTACTACTGCAGCACTAACTGGTTACTACAATAACAAGCATCTTTGAAAGTCAGCGCTCTTTAACATTAACTTGTTCTTACAACACCTTATGGAGCTCGAAAAGATCTGTAGCATCTGGCAGAGTGATCCACCAGTCTGTGGTCAGAGGCTGATTCACTGATTTCTCTGTCTGGTGGCCAAGCCATAAACAAAACGCAACCCCCAAATATTTCCTGCTAAAGCAGCCAAGAATGTGAGCAAGCAAATGATGGTGATGAGTATGCTAGCACTGTGTCATGACTGTTTAGAAAAGCCAGGCCAGAGAGGTCAGGTCATTCAAGATCAAACCACAAATCTCTGCTCTGAAAATTGCCACCAGCATGTTTCTGTTCCTCAAAAATTGGTCCAAAGTAGATCTTTCTCAACACTTGGAGGAATTCTGCTCCACAGACAAGGTTTTAAGAGCACTTTCAGAGAGCTAAAGTTGACAGGAATATGCATAGCTTTACATGTTAAGTAGTGAAGTGAAAGATGTGATTAAGAATCAAAATCTCTTGCCTGGGCACTCCTGGTATCCCTGTTACTTATTAGACTCTCCCATCATCCTCTTTAATCCCTGCTTTCAGGATCCTGAGCACCCTGCCAGGCTACCAAACCCAGTCTTCTATAAGCAGATAGTGGTGGTGCTAAATGTGTTATAGTATAAGTCACTGGTGGGGTCTCCCTTCATAATAACAGAGAATAGATTCATAGCAGAGCCTAAAGACAAAAAACAAGGCCAAGTCTGTAACATAATCCTGCTTTAAAAGGTAAGACAAAATATATCTGTGCGACAAAATCCAAGTTTTTACTTTCAAAAAGCTTTAAACTCCAATAAGTTGCTGTTTAACCTTGATTTTACACACTCAACTGGCTGCATAATGAGCAAACCTGAGTAGGTACTTGACTATGTACTACACATCTTTCTGTAGGACACCTCTAGAGGGCACACCAGAGCTCAGGTCTTATACAACTATAGGATTCATGAAATGTAAACAAGAGACATGACAAATCTCGTGAAGGTTACAGTTATGTTCATTTTGGGTCTCAATGGCCCAAGGAGAGACAAATTAATGAGCCAGCTCAGGCAACCGATGACCCATGTATAGGACAAACTATTCACACCACAACCTCGCTCAGTTTTTCCAACGTTTTCTTCCTGCTAAACTAAATGAAAACAGTCTGGAACTGTTACACCCAAGCTCTGTTTCCGCAACCACGTCTAAAATAAAGTTTTTCTCATCACTAGCTATTCTGACAAGCATGTTTGTTGCTGCAGTGTTATATGGTACAGATGTGTATCGTTGAGGACCAGACAGCGTACAGTCTTGTCTTAAAGACTTGCTGTCATTGCTGTTCCTGTTGCTGTGTTTACTGCCACATCTCCTTTGTCCCTGTCCTTCAGAAGCATACAACACTCTGCACAGCCGACATGCTGGTCAGCTTCAGACTCAGAGCATGTGTTTTGATTTGAGGGGATTTTAACATCCATGTGAGCAATCAGTCTGACTCTTTTACATCATAGTTTTAAGATTTTTTTCAATGCAAGGAACATCTTAATTGTTTCAATGAGAACACACTGAAATTAATATTAATTTGTTTGTTCAAAAGAGTTACACAAAAAAGGTCTGATTCCCCTAAAATCCGATGATCTCATTTCCAAAGTATGTAAAGCATTTGGTTACATTCCATTGCTAAGAAGCATCAACAAAGAAATGGTCTGAATTACCTCTCCCCTCTTTTATACCTGCCACGGGGGCATCTAACAAACCCGTCTACACAACAGCCCAGGGGTCTAAGCCTCTTTAGAGAGCAAACAGCAGGACATCCATCATTGTTTGCTGCCTTTTATTGAAACACGAATCCAATCTAGTGAAAAAGAGACATTTGATTCCTCGAGATTTCTACCTGATGGACTGAAATGAAAACACAGAACAACACTGTTAGTGTCCTCTGACAGAGAAGGCAACATAAGAGACAAAACAATCAGAGTGAAATGGTTGATTTGGAAATTTCCCAGTCTTTTCATTTATGGTGTGAGTGACTGGAGGTGACAAAGGATGTGAATATTTCAGTGGCTATCTAAGTCTGACTTAGCCACAACTAATATTTGTTTTTAGATAGAGAAGAAATAAAAGGAGGTGGAAAAATTATGGTCACAACTGGAAAAAATAAAACCTCAAACAGAAAAAAAATGTAGTACATGGAGAACAAGAATTTGCTTAACTTAAAACCCATGTCCCAGATTTCTTCCCCATTTTATGCCATCATCATCCTTTTTTTATTTTCAACCCAATACGAAAGTTTCTGTTCTCACCTATCTGGTTGTACATCTTAAAAGCGATGTCAAACTGCAGGATGACCAGCATGAACTGGAACCAGGGACTCATCTCTTTGTTATTCATGGGAATGTGGACCGCAAACACAATGTTGTTGGCCTCAATCTTCTTGGCCATGGCTTCGTCAAAGGTCCGGATCTTGTCGCATTGGTTGGGACCCCAGGGCATAAACCATTTTGTTTCCTGTCGGTGTTTAACCGTGTCCACACACTTGGTGGCTAGGTAGTGGATCGCTGTGGTGGGACTGGGAGCTGGGGAGAAAAACACAAAGTGGGAGAGATTAAAGCAGGCATCAAATTGAATTACTGCAATAAAGCGATGGCAAAATCCTGTCTAAACACCACAAAGTGTTTGGAAGCTGAGCTCTCCCTCTCTCTCTCCCTCACTCTCTTTGAAGTGCTGTGGAGGGAAATTTCCTGAAAGCTTTCAGGCACCAATTACACTGTTTACCCTTTGACATTCATGAGCCTGACTAGACTAGTGTTTCTCACAGGACAAGGAAAAGATCCATCATTATCAAGCTGACAAAAGAAAACTCTGGTATCCTGCTGTAAAAGACGAAGGACTGATGTCATTGATATTTGAGAGGTCTAAGAGTCGAGGTGTACCTCAAGGCACAAAGCTAAACCCACAGGTATTTTATAAACATCCTGTAGCAGAGGTCGCATCAGATGTTTGGAAGAGCTGCATGTTTATTGAATCTGCTAGACTGACAGTGAGCTGGGATTTTCCCCTTTTTCAAGTACAAGAAACAATAAGGTTAGTCTTTTTTTACAAGCGAATACACCCTCTCATCAAACAAAATCCGTACTACCGTCAAAGGGAATTCAGGTGGTTACTTTTCAAAATGCTGTTTGGTGTCTCAGCTGCGTCAGTAAGAATTAGAACTCAAAAATACAGTTACCCACACAAAAAAACAGCTGATAATCTTTGTTACTTAAATGAGATAATTATTTCCATCTCCACAACATTAGGCTCATAAAATTTTATATGGGTGTGTCCTTTGGGGTAAGTAGATCATACTGAACAACTTGTTGGATAAAATTACCACCACATCAACTGATAAAAGAGTGGCTGGTTGCACTCCTATAAAAAAACATATTAATAAAATGAAAACTGCTGTTAGTTCCTAAGAAAAAAGACATGGAAACTATTAACCCACATAACAAAATCAAGCAAATAAGCCCACCTGTGTGTGAGTCACTACGAACTATGCTACTGTGGGCAATGACAGCAGAAATTTGAATCTGACCTTTACACAAAAACAAACAAAGAAAGCCACTAATATCAGTAGCAAGTATTCAACTATGCATCATACTCCACTCTTTCAGGAAGTATAAAGGAAGGAACAGCATCCTTTTGTGATTCCTCAATGACAGAAAAGCCTCTATGTTTGTTTAAATTCAGACAGCAATATAGCAAAATGTGTTTGTCTGATTGTAAAACAAGAGGACATATGCCTTGAATATATGAATACATGCCCAGCAACCAATGTGAACCATCAATGATACACAGAAATCTTAACTAACATCCTTTTTCAGTGTTGTTCCCACGTTTATTTCTTACTGTACAGCCAGCACAAGAAGCAGAGTGCTCCGTAAGTGTGGTGTAGATGCTTACTTTATTTTTACATCTCATTAGACCACTCAAGTGATCGCCAGAATAACCCATAGAATTCTAGATTACTAAACTAATCTATTACAGCAGCTCTATTTTGAGTGTGTCTTGTGTCAAAGGAACTGAGCTCATTGCAGGCTGAAGTCTCTGAAAAATGAAGATGAATGTGCAGATGTTTCCAATCTAAGCAAATCAACAGAAGAAATACTTGAGTCCTGAATGTGCTATGTTGTTTTTGACGAATCAAAGACTCCATAAGCTGTAATTACCTCTGAGTGTGCCTGTTGGGAAGGACTGACTCATGGAGGTGAAGATGAAAGCTCTGAGTTTTCATGTTCAGCCCATTAAAAAATTGGGGTATCTCACAGAGTTAAAGCTGTAATCACTGTTAAAGGTACTTCCAACAAGTACAGACTTGTGGAGAGTAAAACTCTGAGATCACACGCCTCTCTGGAACTGCAGGAAAACTGCTAAAGCGAGCAAACAAAACAAGATAGTTTGTCCATGTCATTTATCTGAACATCTTATCATATCTGTTCACTCATAACAGGGCACTAAAGGTGGACACTTTACACATCTTTCAGCAAACAGACACTCCTCTTACATGTGCATCGAAAGATGTAAGGAAAGACTGTCATAATAACAACATTAACGGTGGTAAAACAATATCTGACATTTTCCCAGCTTTGACTGTTACTCTCTTTGATAAGCAAGAGTATCAGATCAGTGCATGGTGCACGCATTGATACCCAATGCCATGTTTAAAGGCAGGATTGGGGGTCTGTACTTATACTGTTGTTGGTAGCAAAACAAATACTGCCATGAATAAAATGAATAAGAGAGACTGTTTTTGGTGTAGCGTTGTTTTCATCTTCAGAGCACTGAAAATATGGTTGATTCAGCCAAAACCAAGCAGCATCAGTTTGCAGCCAGCAACCATTTAGAGTGGCATCAGTTTGTTGAAAATCTATTGATCCTCTCAATGATAAATATAGAAAGGTTTCTCAAAACTAAGTACTTTTCAATACAGCATCATTTGCAATCAGACAATAGCCGTTTTTATGTTGGATGGCATTGTAAAGCACCGATGCTTATAATCAATAATTTACATGTTTTAAAGCAGAGGGTGCTGCGAGCGAATGACAGGGAGAGACAGGTGAGCAGCTATGGTTGATCAACAGGGATTAAGAGTGAGACTGCGGTATACTGAACAAGCAGCACAACTAAAAAATGAGATGTTATTCTCTGATCCAACATCTTTAAGCAAAGTATGCCAACAGCCAACACCAATGCAGTGTCTGAAATGCTTAATTTCAGCTGTTGCATTCTAGAAATCTCGTCCACTGTTGTTACGAAGTATTGTTTTTTCAACATTTAAAGCTCCCATGACTTAAAGAGTTCAATTTATATTAATGACCTTTTATGATACACAAAAGCAACTAGAAAGTCAGCAACAAAAAGTGTATAGTATTTAATTAGATGCCGTAGGTGTTTAATGGATATGGAGCCAAAAGATTCTGTTGCTTTTGCTCCTCATGTGTACCTTAGCTTGTTATTAAACATTCTTGCATGGATGAGGACCAGTTCTTCTTTTAAAACTATTATGATTACAATCACTACAAATCCCTCAAGCTACAAAATGGTTCATCAGGAGTATGTTGGAGATGAATATTCATTCAAGTCTTTTAAGTTAATAATAATCAATTTAACATATGCACACACAGATAGTTACAAAATTTTCTTCTAGAACTGATTTTCTAACAGTTAAAAGTCTATGTATGTGTTTGGAACCCATTAACAAATCATTCAGTGGAGTCTGAATTCATCTAATTTAGTCTGAATAGATTTTAACTGAGGAAAAAATTATATAATGCCAGTAACTGCAAGAAAACTTCAAAAACTAGTAAAATTTGTTAGTTATCTCAAGATCCCATTATATCTCTGTACTTGGAACACAGCTAAAAGACAGTCCATGATTTAAGAGAATTGAACAACCATGATTTCAAATCTCTGAAACACAGAGTGATAAAGACTACATCCCCGACCAAATTAAACCCAGTTATCTGGGACAACTTGCAGTTTAGTTATATTGTGACCCTATGAGTCCATCAGCACGCCGGCTTTTCACAGTGTCCAGAATAATGTCCGTCCCCCTCAGCTTGCCGACCCCATACTGTGTCCCAAGGTTTGTTGGGAAACAAGGGGGGAAAAACCCTTTATACTCAATTACCCCTGCTGCCCTCAGCCACTGAGCAAACACAAAGGAATCTGGCTTCATTAAAACCATCTCAGCCAGCAACGAACCAAACCAGCTAATTTATCACCAACAGCCATGTAGTGAGTGAGAGGGGCAGCACAGACCCACACTGGTGGATGGTTTCCAGATTCAGCCCCAAGGAAAGATAGGCATCTTTCACATGGACTCAATTCCTATCAACTATGTGCGTGTACTTGTGTATGTGTGTGGGTGGATTTGAAGATACTTGACAGCAACTCCAATACAGTCCTCAAGGCAATATGCAACTTTGACAGCTGTGTACACTTGTGTATGTGTGTGGGACTGTCTTAATGCAAATGAAACCAGGGAAAAGGGGTAGAGGAGGAAACATGAATACTGTGCCCGCTAGGCGCTAGGGACTTGGGGAGTAGGGGAGGAAGAAGGAGGAAGGAGTGAAAGAAAGGTAGAGATGCTGCTTGGGGCCCCACACAGCAGACAGACATTATATATGGGAGGAGAGGGAGGTATGGGGAGGGAAAAGGGGTTGGATGAACATTCGAGTTTGTATTTCATAAGTGAAAGAAACACACACGTACATACAAAAGGACTAAATGTGTGCACGTAGTATCGAAAATGAGAAACACAAGAAATAACGCCACAAAGTACGAGTGCCCTCTGTTATTTTTAGTTAAGGTAAATGAAGCCAATGCTCGAGGCAAACACCTTGGTACAAAGCAGTGATTTAGCAGAGGTGCACCACGACAGCTTTAGAGTCAAAGTGACAAACAAAAGCGCCGCATTGTTTGTGAACGACTCGATTATGCTCAGGTGTTGAAATGCAGCAAAAAAGTTAGCGTTTATCGAGTATTCTGTCTGACTCAATCCCGAAACACCGGATAACATGTTTGTGGGAGCATGTGTCGAAGAGCTAATCTACAAACTTTGTTCTTTCGCCGTTTGGTGACATTTACGGTTGGTTTTCAACAGGCACACGCGCACAGAGACAAACGTTAGCCCAACAAAGAGTACAAGTGAGGAATAAACTTACCAATTAAACCGCCGACCATGAAGGCAAACGCTTGGAACAAAAGCAGAATAACTCCCACTATCACCAACTTTTTGGTGCTCATATTTTCAATAATAGCCCCCGCCATTTCGAAGGAAAGGTGGGGGTGAAAATATCACACCGAGCGAGAAACGAACAATAATGTGGAGGAAAAAAGACAAAAACGTTGCATCAACGGCAAGTAGGAAGGCAAGCTGGGCCCCCTCCACCGCTCTGCTCCTGCCTTTCAACTTAGAAGGAGGAAAGAAAAAAAAAACAGGAATCACATGACCGAACAGCACTCAGCTTTATCCCCGACCAGCCAACACCAGACTGGGAGAGATCTGTGGAGCGCCACCGCATTGCAATAGAGGCTGGTAATGCAGGTTACCGTGCCATTGAATGCCTGTAATAGCGCGCTTGTTGAGCAGGGAAACCTACAGGGCTATTTAAAGGAAGGTTGTAGAGGTCCCATTTCATGTTCAGTGCCTATTGACCGTCAACACATTATAATTCTTCAAAGTCTATTTACGTTTTACTTGAACAAGGGAAGGGGCATCCATGAAACAAGAATTTTCCACACAACACTTGGCAGTTTGTGTGTGATTCATATGTGATGACCTGAAAATGCTATAATTCTCTTAAAGTGATTACAAAAGAAATAGAAGTAAGCTACCATATCCACAATTATATCCTGCTCCTAAAAGAAAATATACAAACTAGGCTGTCACAAGTAGGCTAAAAGTACATTTGTGATGTAATCTTATATTCTTTGCACATGTAAAAGACCTAGTCAATGAAAGCAGAACTATTCTTGAATTTTGACTGTGTGTCACAAGTCCATTTAGTGTATTATTCTGGCATTTTATAACAGTTTGATCAGCAAGTTTCAATATTGCAATGAAATCCTATATTTTTATTAGTCTTTAGTAATGAGTACCGTAGCTTCTTTGTGTCATTCTGTCTGAACATTTGGCCAAGTACCCAAATGCAATCATTAAAAAGTTCATTAGGCAATCCTTTTAAGAAGTGTTGCTGAGATCATTTGAACAATCAATCGGGGTGGCTTTCCACTAAATTTGTACTTATTTAGAATGCAAATGAAACTTAAAGCTCACAAATGGGTTGAAGGCTAGATATTTTCAGGCTGTAAAGATGGCTGCTGTTTCTTTTCTAAGAAGCATGTGAGAAAGCACATCCTAAAGGACAGCAAGGATGAAAGCTGAGCTTTCATGTCCTCATCCCTCTAAGACAGATGCTGCAAGCTGCTCTGAGATCTCCACAGGAGAAACTCAGGGAGCGCTGGCATACAAACCCAAAGACAGCTCAGTGTAAAGTCAAATTATAAACCCTGGCATTTCAGAATGAGAACAGATTAAGGCTCATCTGATCCATGTACTCATTATACTTGAAAATATTCAGACGCAAAATGTAAGTTTAATGTGAGCATTACCAGGTTGACACAACATTTGTGTGTACAAACAAAAGTATGCAAAAATAATAATAATCACAAGCACAGAAAAGGATAAAAACCCAGGAGAAAACAAAAGATCATTACACAGTGCAGGAGGTGCATGTTTCTGGTTTACAAATTGACGAATAATTGAAGAGCATAATGATGTTTTCTGGTGTGTTAAGCTAAAACATGAACTAGATATCCTCTACCATTTTAAACAACTTCTTCACTTGTTTTCTATCCATACTAGGAGCGAGAATGAATATGTGAAGGACAAAGCTGATGGATGAAACAGATCGATAAACCAGTTTCAACAATCAAAAATGATGTTACTACAGAAAGTCATTTAATTTATATTATGATACATTCCTTCTCATGGTAGTCTGCTTCACTGTTCTATGACAAGGCATGGGCGACAATTTAACCTTATAACAGTGGCTACATTGGTTTTGGCAGTTTAGGTAAGGTATCAGAATGTAAGGAAAGAACCTGAAGAGGTTCTGGTTTTAGAATATGGCACAGCTTTAGTGAAATGGATCCATGTCCCACATCTTGAGATCCCAGGCCTGGAACCAGCCAGTGAAAGTCAGAGGCTCTGCTCCCTGTTTGATGGTGGCGATGGAAACCCACCTGTGACCAGATGGGTCTGAGTCTATGTTGTCTTCAGCAGCTGCACAAAAAAAAACACATATGGAAGGTCCGGTTGAAGTTTAACAATCATTTTGCAGAAGACAGACTTTTAGTCAACAATATTTAATCCTGAACAGCTCATTACCCCAACCCCTGGGTTACGAGCAGTAAGCTAATATGGATGTGAAACAAATAAAAAAAAGTCTCCCTTTTATTGATCCGGTTATCTCAAAACAATTATAATTGTGTTGTTTTTTTAATTGGCAGATGTAAATCCAGTGTTCAAAGGAAGTTTAGGTAAAAGCCTGGCTTTTAAACTGTTCAATGCTTTACTATGTGGACTAGCTAGTCCTTTTACATGTCTGGGTGAGTTAAAAAATGAACAAAATGATGCTATTTACCATCATGCATCAATTCCAGTGGCCATGTCTGCAAGTGCTTTTAATCAGCAAGTATCTGCACTAAGACAATCTAGTCTAAATGACACATTTGTGATTTTCTTTTTGTGTGGTTTGAGCATTTTCTGTCATGTCTCCCACTTTGTGGTATGCTTTACCCCTGACAGTGCGTACTGCGAATAGCCTTTTACTTTTCTGAAGACGCACCTGTTCACTTTAGCCTTTGGGGTAGTATACTTACTAGTTACTTTTATTGGGTCTTTTATTTATTTGCTATGTTTATCTTAATTCTTGTTTTATGTTTTATATGTTTTATGCCTTTATAGTTTTTATTGTTTCTGGCTATTTTACTGTAAAACACTTTGGTAGGCCACTGGCTGTTTTGAACCGTGCAATATAAATAAAGCTGACGTTGACATTAACATTGGTTTCATGCTTCAAACTATTTTGTAGGGATCTCCAGTTCCTTCTCTCTGTATTAGCATCATTCCCAGCCCTGGAAAAAATGTCATAGGTTTTAAAGTTTTACCTGTTGTGACACCAACATTTCAGACTGAAAGTTGATAAACCAGATTTTAAAAACCTAAGTGATCAGGTTCTAATCTGTGTAGCTAATGTCACAGCACTCACGAGCAGTAAATTAACATGTGTTATGTACATATGGACGTACTATAGCATGAGTCCAAGAGTTTTAGTCCAGACCAAAGTGAACACTGCAGTGACACTGCCCTCTGCTGGTTATTAAAGGTTTGTTTTTCAGAAGCAAAAGAGGGTTTTTTTGTCATCTTAAACTCCTCTCCTGTAATAAATAGACTAAAGAGGCTGAACCTTAAATAAAGCTTTCCAACAATGGACTTTAACATGATGAAACCACTCAATTTCATAAGAAATGAAAATTGAAATTTCATTGTGAAGGCTGCCAGCATGGAGCCAGCTTTCACACTTTAGCTGTAACTTCTCTGAACTCTCATAAACCTAGCTGGCCTACTATTCAGTGTACTTGATGAATAGTTTTAGCTGTTCATGTCCATGGTGTTCATGGTGTTTGTTTTGGGGGAATGAAATATAAAATATGAGCTTTTTAAATGATTTCAAAAAAAGTGAGTGGGACACCAGTCAAGCTCTAACCTGAACTGGGGAACCTCCCATTGAGTCGCTGAGCCTCACTGTGAGAATACTGAGGCCGCCAGCTCATTCTAGGAGCACTCCAACCCCTGCCTTTTACTGTCAAATCTAATAGTCTGTTCCATTCAACTTTTTAAACTGACTCTTTACAGAAATGTTATCCCCCTCCTGGACTGCACTTTGCCTTTTGCATCATCCACCATGCAATGCTGTGCCACCATGGTCCTTTCACCCCATTGACCAGTATTCAGTACTGCTCAGGGGACTGCATAGTCTATTTAAAAGGACAATAATAGACCCCAACCGAGGGGTTAAAAATAATTTGGGTTAAAAATACAAGTATTTGGAGGGAAAAGAAGGAACAAGTGTGTAGCCGATCTAATCTCATTGTCCACCTGTCAAAGGGGTTCCATAATCTGGTCTGGTGTCTGACTGGTCCTCATCATAAACATCAGGTAAAGTCCTCACGGCCAGGCTCTAGCAGGAAATCCGGATTTTCTTCTGTATGATATCCCTGTTCTCATTTTCACTCAAATTCAAAACCATAAGTTTTAAAGAAGAACAAAACCTAGAGGCCAAAAACACCTACTGTATTTCTATCCAAGCACAAAAATGGCATTTTAAATTTTAAACCTTTCGAAAAGCAAATGCAGGATGCAACAGTTGGTGGAGTTGATAGATAGATATACTTTATTGATCTCAAAAAGGGAAATTCACAAGTTGACATGATTTCTATAAGATTTCAAAGTGATCAAATAAGTGACAGACACCAAGAGCACTACAGCTACCAGGACTTTGGGGCAGAAAACACAACTGTTTGTAGGCAAGATGTAAGGCAGGATTGTACAGAAGATGATGTGGGTTTTTTCTTAATTTTTCTGAATGACACAATTTTAAAGAAAAACAAAGTCACAAATACACGATGTCACTGAAGTCAATTGCATTTATAGATAAAGTTTAATAGATTACATGTTGCTCTACCTTTGTATAGGCTTTCCATAATTTGACTGACAGTGTTGTTGCTTGTGTCAAACAATTGTTTTAATGCCGATTAAAATCTGGATAACATAAATATCATGAATTCTTTTAGACAAGATATCCATTAAATGAAAATCCAGTGTCAAGGCAGCCCTATTGACAAATGCATCATAAAAAGGATGAAAAGGGGGTAAAAAAGAAAAAAAAAAACAGGCCTGGTTTACATTAAAAACAAAAAAAAAATTAAAAGAAGAAATGGAAAAAAGAAAGAAAAAAAATAAAGCTATCTGAACTCCTGGTGACATTGAAATGTACTGACATGCAGTGTACTAATCTAGTTACCATAGAAAAAAATCCTATTTAAAGACATACATTCAAATATAGCGGTATATATACTATACACATAAAAACATCTCACACAAACTTGGATAAATGCAACATTTCACATCTTTGTAAATGCAGGGATGTAAAAAAATCTTAAAGCAAAAAAGAAAATTCAATATATTTTTTGTAATATTCAGATTGATGCGAGCTGACCTTTCCCAGGTCAGTAATGAAGCAGTCTCTCCCATTGTTGCTGGACCTGGACATCTCCATCAGTGTGGCTCTGTGTGCTTCCCAGCACTTGATGTGCAACAGGTGCTTCATCTTCATATCATTGGTCACCACATGTTAGAAACCAGAGGCCACGCGTTCTTTCTGTGACAAAAAAGTATATGTATAAATTAAGTGAGGTAATGGAAATTTGACAAACTCCTCTTTTCTATTTTATGTGTGAAATGGGCAGAGGAGAGAGCACAGTTTTGTACTTTCTGTGGATTAAAAAAACACCATATATCAGACAGAGATTTGTAACAAAGATACCACAGAGACAGGAAAAAGGTTATTTACAAAACATGAAACTCAACATAAGCAGCACAGTAAGGGTGAAGTGATATTACCTGATCAGTGTTGTGATGTAGAGGTGCATAGAGGAACATGATGGCAAAGACGTACAGGTTCCACATGCCATAGATACCTGTAAAGAAGGCAGTGTTCACCTGCAGCCAGTGATTACTCCAGTACAATTGGCTTTCATACACCTGCAGAAGGGAAAGGGGAAGGGAAAGGGAAAGAAAAGCAGATACTTTTTATGTCACTGGATGAAAGACTGTAGTTACTGGACTTTTGGAGCCCCCCTTACTGACTGACTGCAATAAAAGTCACAAACCCCTTCACTGCCATGTAAACGGGTAAATTTATCACTCTTTCTGTCGTTAATGCTGATTTATGTCAAAAACTTGATTTTTTAGAAGTTTAGATTGATCTATTTAATGGTGGCTAGTTCTACACAATATGGTGAAATTTTATGAGTGTGATAACAGTGGATGCTAATGTAATTAAAGATTACAGTATAATAAATGTTTTAAGTCTATTTGCTTGGTTATTAGAACCATGCCACATTATATAAAACTTTGAAATTCATATTTCTCATTTAAAAAAAAACACTTTGAAAACACATTTTGAAAAGCTTTTACAGTACTGCGCACAAAAAGGTTTACAGTGACATTAAATTGTTTTTTGCAGAGGTGTTAAAACCCCTGTGACTCTTTCCATTTGGTCATGTTGCCATGTGATGGACTGACTTTAACTTCGCAAGTTCAGCACAGCATTTCAGTCTGTTCAACAATGCTGTAGCCTACATGAATCCAGAACTTTCCCATGTAGTAGATGTTGCTTTTTTCACCATGAGTCTGCATTGGCTTGCTTGTCACGTGTCTCTTTGTCAGCATCTATGTTGGTTACTCTGCATCCTGGATAGTCATGTGACCCTTTGTGAGGTTATGTAATCACACCATCTCACATTGTGATTGTGTTTGCAATTAGATCAACATGCAGCGCCAACTCTGGGTTTGTTTTTATTTTGCAGAACTTTATATTAAAAAGAGTTAATACCTAAAATGTATCCCCTATGTAGCTGAAACTGTAAAAGACATTACTAAAGGCTTTGCATCAGTGTGGCCTTACCTGACTAACAATAAAGAAGATCACAGTCATGGCAGCACAGATCAAAGTGGCCAGCATGAGAAACCTAATCCTGAAAACTGGACCCTATTAGGTGAAAAAGGGCATGCATTAGCACCAAAACCTTAATCAGAGACATAAAAACACACACTTTGTGCAGCAGATAATACTTCAAATGACTTGGGTTTTTTCAAAGTACAATTAGTAAAAGCATAAGACCCCCCCAGATTAAATCACACACCTCATGGTGTGTGTGAGGATTTGCCTTGGACATGTCAAGAGGGCTCATCCTTCCACTGATGTTACAGATGACTCGAAACACCATATAACAGAGATAAAAGAAATAGAGGCAAGCACAAGTCCCTGCAACTATGATGAAGGCCACCTGAGGGAAAAGCAGTCAAGGAAGTAACCAGGGGCTGTCCTTGAAAAGAGTCAGCGTGACGAAAGGGGTTATTTGTGTATGAAAGAGGTTAAAACAGAACAAAATTCACTTAATTCAAAGGTAATCCAAGTATGGTCTGGGGGTTAATCCCCTAAGGTACCAGATGTTGACCTAAATATACTGTACACTTCAAAAGACTCATAGATAGCCTTAGACCAAATACTTGTTTTTATAAATTTACATCTACAAACTGGGAGCTAATTTTTCTTGATTCTAAGGATTAAAGCTGTCATTGAAACTGGTGTAAGAGGGAAGGTGCAGCCAAGCAGCTGAACAAAACAGCTCTGTTTTTACAATTTCTATATAGAATATTCACAATAAATTATACATCTAACTGCAAAAAGTCACCAGGATGAGATTTTTGTGAAACAACAATACTGAAGTATGTAAAGGAAAAAATAAACAAAGACAACCTTGGTCACGGGGGGCCGCAAAGCTAGCACTAACCAAGGTTCTCAACTGGAGCTCAAAATGCAACACAAACAATAATGAAGTCCGCTTTAAGAAATTTGCAAGTGAAGTCCTATGAATAAAACCTTTACAGACTTAACATCTATGGATTGCATGTCAGAAACAAGAGAGCAGTAGGTCTGAAAACATGACAATGGTTTGTGACACACACTGAGCCAAACATCTCTATCAAAGGCTATCATCTCTACCAGACATATTTATTGTGGTTGAACTGTAACACCTATTTTGGCCATTTACACCCTCTAAAGGATTTTATTGTATCAAACGTGTCAGACGAACTGTTTGTAAAGTTAATGGAGGACTCTGGACTCTCAATTTGACCCTTTTTCTATTCTCCAGTGAGATGAGAAAAAAAGGATACAGACAGTTTAGTTCCTTCATCAGACACCCAGATGCTGTAGAAAGGATTTGTGTGCTGGACCCCTCTGGTGACGCAGTAAAAAACATTTATGTTATCAGTTGTAGATGTTTCCTAACATTTAGTTGAAAAAAGAAGAATATTTACATCTTAAGGAAATTAAATAATACAAATATGCTTAAAGGAAAATAAGTGATTAGAAAAAGAGACTATTTTGCCATTCAAGTGTTTGAGCAGGTCTCTTTTTAGAGTCTAAGTAGTCAACATAGAATCAAACTTGGTCTCACCTCTTATACATGTTTAAGAGAAAGTAGCAGAGGGATACGAACACAATGGATCCAACCTGCTTCCAGTAGACAGAGAAACGGTTCCTCTCAGTCTGATCCTGAGAAAAAGGGAAGAGCAGTCTTAAATAAGAAGCATGCTCTTTTACGTACTTGCTTGCACAAACTTGCTCACAAAGACCCTAACCTCCAAAATACCTCCTTGTCTCGCTTATACCTTGGGGAAAAAAGGCCCCCTTATGTCTTAAGGTACTGGGGTAAAATGAGTGCACCAGGCGAGAAGTGTAAAGCTTTGAAAAGCCTTCAGTAGCTGAACTGTTAAAATATGTGAGCGATGTTTTAGATCTGGACACTCTACAGTATAAATACTAAAGTGCATACCATATGATTTTTTTCCACACTGTGTAACCCCAAATCATTTTGTAATATGTCAAACAACAACACGGAGAAAAGTCCATGTGGACAAACTCATCTAAGTTTCTGATTGTCATTTTATCATCTGATAAAGACACAGACATCTCTATCCTAAAAAGCACTTCACCTCATGGTTTAGGCCGTTGTTTGAGAGGGTTGTAAATAGAGATAGTTGGGAAGTCAAATGCATAACAGACACAGTTCATCTATACCGTACACCAGCCTCATGCAAGTCATGAATAACTTATAAGGCTACAATATCCAGCTCATTGCGCTGCTTTATTCCTTAATATGTATTAGAGGAGAAAAAGTTGAATATTTGCCACATAAACACTCCAAATAATTATTTTTAACTAGATTTCTTTTAAGTATTACATTCTTATTTAATACCTTTAAGTGGCCCTTGACATTACTGCTCACTCTAACCATACACATTGCCTCTTCATTACACCTGTGTGTGTTACATGTTACAGATGTGGTGTCATATCCCTAAGTAACTTGGCAAAGTCTGATATACCACCAGAGGTACTAACAAAGGCATAATGAGTGCTGGCCTGTGTGTTCATGTCTGGGTGTGCGTTATATGATGCTCCAGTGTGAGTTAAATTAAGCAGTGGAATTACAGGTAAAAGGCTTAAGGGCTGAGTACAGTACCACAAGGTGCTCCCCGCAGAAGATGATCCAGAAGGAGAGTAGAGTGGAATAAAAGATGCTCATCCTGATCTCTCCAAAAAGCGGCATCCAGGTCCAGTTGAGGCAAAAAGATAACCACTCCACTGGGATGTTGATAAATGTCATGGAGAGTCCCAGAGCAAGGATAACCCTGAGGGGGAAAAACTGTATTTAACAAAAAATGACTAAATTATCATAACCGACATCTCAGAGGAGGCAAGAGTCACGAGGCAAAAGTCACTCTCTTTGGGGGCTACATGGATAGTCATGTTAGACATGAGCAGAGATGAACTTCAGGAAGTTACTCTGCAGTTTGTGATTGCACATGGGATTATCCCCAGCACTGTCAGTTTAGCATTCAAGCCCATTTAAAAAGGCAATAGTCCTTGTTGCAGCAGTTGCTGTTTTGACTCCCCGCCATGATCCTTTCTCTTCACATCTCCTCTCTCTCTTTTCTAATTAGGATGAGAATGACCAGCTGTGGCTCTCCAAACCCAACTGCAAGCATGATCCTACACAACACCTGCCAGAGAGCGGCTGCAAAGCTGAGCATTGAAGGGCTTGAAGCAACAGCAGAAACCACAACGCATCACTACAAGGACAAGAGGCTACCGAGGACAAAACTCTCCACCAGACAGGTTCTGCTGGTCCACTAATGGAAGCCACTGAGCAATCTCCTTACAGCCACAAAGCCTATACAGAGCACTGGGAGAAACATGGGAGAAAAAAGGATTCTCACACCTGCTCCAGGATGAGCCTCTGTAAGCAGCTCACCTCTGGCCTTTTCACAAGTTTACTATGACCTTTGCTGGGTCCTCCCTGCATCCAAAGCTATTTGTTTCCAATAATGGCTGACTGAAAATGGCTACAAAACTAGGGCCATTACTTTGAATGCTTTGGATTCATGGTCAGTACTGCTAGACTCTCAGGTGGACCTAGAAGACAACATGTCAATTTCATCACCCTTGGCTGGGATATCTCCACAGGTTTGCTGTACACTCAACTGGGAGAGCTTTGGCTCTGATGTTGGATCAGGTGTGGGCTCAGCCTGTCAAAGCCATCTAGCCTCTTTCAAAGGGAGAAGACTCAGCACCTGGATGATCCTGGACCACAATGCAATAGCACTACGCAGAAAAAAAAACGTACTGTCTTCTGAGCACCACTAACCCACCCTGGAAAGCTGAGATCGGTATCTATATGTACACACACGAAAAGTTTGATATGAAAATCTGTAGGCTAACATTGTAAAGGTTCAAATAGAGCTTTTACACCAGATATTCTGACATGATAGCAGAAAAGCCAAAGTCTGAATACCGTTTAGGTTCCTGTATGTTACTCAGACACCTTTTTATTAAATAAAGCCATCGTTACTTTCAGATAACAATGGATGTGTAAATGTAACACACAATCGTTTATCTGGGCCATCTTCTCACATTTCAGATCCCAGTCATTAGCTGTCCTAATTTTAGTTTAGCGAAGTCTGAGTCTTCCCATCCTGACACCTTAAACCTCCTTTTAAGATGCTTGATGTTTATTGCAGTATGGTGCAAGTGACGCGCACCACACACAGCATGCCTGAGTTTCATGCCATTTATGGTCAAACCTATTAGACATGCTAACACCATTACTTTGTTACTTTTTTTAACTATCATAATCCTAAAATGAGTCTCTAAAAACTCTGGATAAAGGCTCCTACAACACAAATGATAACATTCCAGAGATATGTATTATGAGGAAAGCTCTTTTACTTCTCCAGTAGCACAGGAGGTCTGCTCATGAGGGTGATCCGTCTCCAATACCAGATCATGATGATGAGAATGCTGGGTGTGAGGATAGTCTTCATGGAGAGCCAAATTTTTGTGAAGCCCTGGTTCTGATGGATGCCCTATGAGTAAAAAAAAAGAACACCACTCGTGTTGTTTGTATTTTTCATGGGCAACCACAAGCTAATACAAACACATTTAACTCAACAACAAAAGATCTCACTGTCAAAGTTGAAAAAGATAAACACATTTCTTTTGTAAGTCAACCAGAGTACCAAAAAGATTCTGGTATAAGATTTTCACTCATCTACAAACTTACGACCAGACGAATGTCTTTGATTTCTCCGATCCCCACATTAATCTTCTTCCGCTCATTGACAGGCAGGCGAATGTTTAAGAGGTAGTATTTGTGGGCCACACTGCCGACCTCCATGAATGGTAGCAGATCACACTCATAGTAACGCCCCTCGTTCTCAACCGTCTGGGAAGACGAACAGAAACAGAAATGTACATGCAGCTTTTGATGACAGATACTAAGTATAATCACTTTGCACTTGAACTGACTGACATGTTAAATGAACTTTGTAAAAATCCAACCAAAGAACCTGAGATTAAAATACATTTTTGATGCAAAAAAGTCACATTCAAAACTGGACCCATTTTAAATGGTTGATATATCTACTACCCTAACAGGGTATGTAGGCTACTCAAGAAACATTGAAGCTGTCAGCTTTGACATGAATTAATTTTTTTGGTATTTCAATGATGCCATGTGGTGAGTGGTAATAACACACCTTAGCAGCTATGAAGTTGCAGTTAAGTTTCCTCTTTTCTACTGAGCGTGCCATCTCTGTCCACTCACTGACTTTATCATCTCTGTAGGCAAGCCCCGCATCAAAGTAGACCATCACTTCATCCTCTGTAAGAAATCAACACAGATTTCTTTTCACACCTTCACAGTTATTTGATACAGATACTTTGATCAAATCATTTAAGTGTGCATGCAAATCTCTTGCTGCAGCATATCCCACTGATCTGACCATGAGCTTGGCAGATGAACTTGTTCAGTACAAATCATTCATTTCAGAAGAACAAAAATGCCCAAATACAATGCTAAAGACCATGGTAAATTTGGATTTACAGTCCAATTTACATTTGCAAACTCCTGGCCCCGGGGCCCAGACCCCCCATAATCTGGCCCTGTTCTTGACCCCCTTTTTTTTAGTCCAATCAGAAAGTTTCTGTTCTCACCTGTCTGGTTGTACACCTTGAAAGCGATGTCAAACTGCAGGATGACCCGCATATACTGGAACCAGGGACTCATCTCTTTGTTAGGCATGGGCATGTGGACCGCAAACACAATGTTGTTGGCCTCAATCTTCTTGGCCATGGCTTCGTCAAAGGTCCGGATCTTGTCGCATTGGTTGGGACCCCAGGGCATAAACCATTTTGCTCCCTGTCGGTGTTTAACCATGTCCACACACTTGGAGGCTAGGTAGTGGACCGCTATGGTGGGACTGGGAGCTGGGGAGAGAAACACAAAGAGGGAGAGATTAAAAGTCAAACAGCAACTCTTAAACGTCTTAGAAAATCAGCAATTAATACTGTGTGTTTGCACGAGTGGCTGAACGAGATCGTATAGTAGTATGAGTGAGTAAACGTACTTTGAATCGGATCGCTAACCATGCTAATGCTAGCGGATTTTGACATTTGGAGTAGTGTGAGTATGAGAAACTAACAGTGAGAAATTTAAAAACTACTGAAACTTAATTCACTGACACTTTAAGGATATTTCCTCATTTATGTTAAGTTTCTGGTCAGTAGATTTGATTAAATCTGTTTAAGGTTCAATGCCATGACCAGTAATGTTTTCATGTCGTGATTCTGTGATTAAGCTATGGATGCTATGTCAAGAGTTTGTGTCTGAGAGACGTGTTTAAGGTGTGATACACTTCTTTTTGAGAGTCTGTTGTTACTGTTCTCCGACAAATGCATTACATTAATAAATAAATGCAATTATTGTGTGTAAAAGCTGAAACAACAGAGCGACAGGATAAAAATAGTTGGGTCAATTACATTACATGATATTTAAAATTATAAATACAGGTAATGTTTAAAAATAACATTTCATGAGGTTTAAAGGGACTAAAATGCAACTCATTTGTTGTTTTTCAGAATAAAATAGCAAATGTTCATTCCATTTAAGCATTTTTCATGAAGCAGCCGTACAGATAGGTTTTGTCATGTTAAATTTAATGTCAAAAGGATTTTCTATAATTTTACTGCTCTGGTTACTGCCATGTTTGAAGAATAAGATTGAAACTGAAAACGAGTGTTTGATATTCTGTTTTGATACCTGAAGTACAGTATGTCCTCTTATGTTAAGAATAATTCTTCCTTTTGAGATGACAACAGCAGCTCAACGTGTGTCTCTTCTATTCTTGCCACAGCATTTCACCACACGTTGAGACACCAGAAGAAACACTATGCAGTTGTCCACCTAGCTACCAAGGCAGCCTGGGCAACATCTGCATTGGTTAATTTTGATTTTTTTATGAATTTGCAGCGAATCATCTGCATGCCAGTCGACCTCCTGCAGCAGCCAGCATGTAACAAATTATGCCCAAACCATCACACCTTTGGGAGACCACCAAGTTTATCCTGTTCTGCAGAATACTGAGAGTCAAGAGAGGAAGAGAGCCGGATTGGGAATTGGCTGTCAACAAACTGATCCAGAAAGTCCTCAAACTGACCACAACACAACTCTTCATCGGAGCTCGAGTCAGGCTGAAGACCAGGGCCAATCAGGACTCAAAAGAAAGACAGCTCAAGATTAGCCTGGCTGGGCCATCCAGTTGCATGAATCACTTGCCGTTCCTTCCCACAACAGTCTGGACTTCAGCCAATTGGGAGCGTGTATTAGAAATCAGAAAATAACCGGGACAATCAGTGACAGTGTTTCCACTGTTCCCTGGACAACAGGGAAAGGCAGCCCCTGATTGGTCCATGTGTAGATGGTGCCGTCTAACACATGCAGCGGGACAAAGCACTGTTCATTCAGAACGCCGTTAATTCTGCAGTTGACCTTGCAAAGTCGGCAGAAATCATTTACATCCGACGTCTTCTGTGGATTAAACGATTTCTGCTGACTTTGCAAAGTCAACTGCAGAATTTACGGTGTTCTGAATGAACGTCAGAGATCAGAGAAAAGGAAAAGGAGTTTGTAGATGGTTCAGGTGAGTTGCTATAGTCAAGACACAATGTGCAATGCATTTTCTAGTTTGAAACAAGAACATACTGTCAACCACTACAACACATGAGTGTATCTAACAAGTCATTGTTGACTTCCAGATCCAGAAGAGCTGACGAAACCTGAGCAGTACCACCACATTGGAGTTTATGACTGTGAAAGTCATTACAACTGAACAGCAACCTCCATCTGGCTACCTTTAGTAGTCTCAGTCCAGGCTGCAACAGTGGGAATGCTGGGGGTTCTTCACAGCCTTCTCCCCCCAGCAAACCTCAACCCTCCCAGCAGAACCCTCCTGCTTCACCTGCTGGTAGCAGCAGCCTTGACAAGTCACGGTCCACCATCAACCCTCATCCTCACACTACTTCCCCATCAACAAGTGGAGGCAGGACAAGAAGAAAAAGAAAGCTTGATGACATTGATGAAAGCACCCACAAAACCTGCAATTGTCCTAAAAAAGAGAAGTCTGGGCACAGGTAGGATAATCTACATCAGACAAAACAAATCTGAAAACTTTAAAGGGTTGATGGAACATTTTTTGGTCTTTCTGCGTCATAATGATTTAACTTTTTTGATAAAATTACAGCGAAAAAACTAGCACGCCAGTCCATCTTCTGCAGCAGCCAGCATGCAAAAAATTATGCCCAGACGATCACACCCTTTGGAGACCACCATGTTCATCCTGTTCAGCAGAACACCAACAATCAAGAGAGGAAGAGGAAGAGAGCTAGATCAGGAAATAGCTCTCAACAAACTGATCTAAAAAGCCCCCCAACTGAGCACAACCTGACTCTTCATCCAAGCTTGAGTCAGGTTGAAGACCAGGGCCAATGAGGATTCAAAAGAAAGGCAGCTCAAGATGAGGATGAGCAAATATTTGGTCAGAGATCAGAAAAAAGGAAAAGGAGTTTGTAGATGGTTCAGGTGAGTTGATATAGTCAACAAACAATGTGCAATGCATTTTCTATGCTATCAACTACTACTACACGAGTTTGTCTAACAAGTCATTGTTGACTTCCAGAACCATAGGAGGGTACTGAACCTGAGCAGTACCACCAAAGTGGAGTTTGTGACTGTGAAAGTCATCACAACTGAACAGCAACCTCCATCTGGCTACCTTAAGAATCAACAATCCAGGCTCCAACAGTGAGAATGCTGGGGGGTCTTCACAGCTCTCTCCCCCCATGGTCCACCATCAACCCTCATCCTCACACTACTTTCTCAAGTGGAGGCAAGACAAGGAGAAAAAGAAAGCTTGATGACGTTGATGAAAGCACCCACAAAACCTGCAATTGTCCTAAAAAAGAGAAGTCTGGGCACAGGTAGGATAATCTACATCCGTCACGTTGTTATCAACCAGTTAAAATGAATCTGAAAACTTAAGAGGTTGATGGAACATTTTTAGGTCTTTCTCCGTCATAATGATTTAACTTTTTTGATAGAATTACATCGAAAAACAGCATGCCAGTTGACCTCCTGCAGCAGCCAGCATGCAACAAATTATGCATTATGCAAATTATTATGGGGGGGGGGGGGGGGGGGGGGCTCGGGGACTGGATTTGAGAACCACTGCTCTAAAAGTTTCCACTTGTGAAGCTGAAACAACATAAACATCTAATAAGGAGTGATGACCGGTTTTATAATTTAAAGCTCAGGTTACTGAGAAAGAAAAGGTGTTTTATGCTTTAAAACTAGACAGACATGCAATGCAATGGACCAAAGTACAGAACCAAAATCAAAACGTTTTCAAAGCACCTCAAATCCTCCAAAAAAATAAAATGATTTGGCAAAGAGGAACAAGAATGAATGCTAAAAAAGTCAATGACATGAATAGAAAAACAACAATGGCAGTTTCAATAATAAACTTTGGGCACTCATTTTTTACGTATTTAATTATTAATTCATTTATTTTGCACATTTAAAAAAGTTTATAATGTGCTCTCATCTTGCTTTTATTTTTTCAACAATGACAGGTTAAAAAACCTACCAGCTGATTTGTTGAATCAAACATTTCATTGATGCTGCTTTTTTTTTCTCTCCTCTCCTTCCAGTCCCAGATGAACTTTTTTTTTCTTTTTTTTTTCAGTTTACAAGAAAAGCAGCCATACTGTGAAAGAAAAGTCACCATAATGACATTTCTTCATTGGTGTTGTAGTAATGTGTTTTGACTAACCAAGTTACCACCAGGTAAATACACAATAATTAGGGGACTGTAGAACAAAAAAGGTTTCCCACTATTTCAGTGTGTACAGGGCAAAATGGACAGAGAGAGAATAAATGCTGTAATGTTTATAGGGTTGACAAAATCAGAGTTAAAGGTTCCTCACAGGAGCTTTAATGGCTGAATTTGAGGCCTTAAAGTGGGAGAGATGTTTGTTAGATGGACACCTAACTTGACTATTAACTATGTTTCTTTCAGTGCCGTAAGCAGAAGTTCACATACAGTGAGTTTAGAGGTTTAAAAATGAAATGGTATTATCCTTCATTGTTTTTGTCAGTAGTAAAGAGTGTAAAATGGAAAAAGCAGGAGTAAGAAGTGCTTCAGATACAGAAAAATATGAGATATATTTAAAAATAAACAAAAACAAAAACAATTTCAAAAGAAAACATTAGTTACTTAGCATCTTGTCGTCAAATTGAGTGTGATTTTTCAAATTGAAAAAGAGAATGTGGCATGTATGTATTTAAACCCTCTGACCTGAGCAGATCAGATCAGAAACCACAGAGAGCGAAGAGAAAAGGAGAAAGTTTAGTTTACTGAGAAGATTTTGAGAGAGAGAGTTTCGTTCATCGAGAAGATACACGGAGAGAGTTTGGTTCATCGAGAAGATACACGGAGAGAGTTTGTTTTATCGAGAGGATACACAGAGAGACTTCGGTTTATCAAGAGCTTTTGATTCAGAATAATCTACAGCATCAAATTAACTTCGTTTTTTGCTGATTTATCTGAATATTTTTGAAGACCAAGTCCAGAGTTTGATTTTGAAGATGTCTGGTTTCCAGTTAGCCACTGGTTCAAAGATCTTTTCACGATCCACCACCTACACGGTGCAGTCCATCCTCGGACAGGGCTCCTACGGCACAGTCGCAAAGTGCACCGACATGAGCGACAACACGACTGTTGCCATAAAGACCATGAAAAAAGAGTACCCTTTTGACTTCGCAGCAAGGAAAGAGGTGAGAAGAGCAAACTAGCCATGCTTACTAAAAACTTGTGCAGATTGTTTACTATCCACAGTATCTAATCACTGCTCTTTAATGTGTGTAAATCCAAACTAAAACCTGTATGTCATGTGTCATGTGTCCTCAGGTGAATGCCCTCTTAGACCTGTCAGTGCTCGACTCGGACAAGTCCAACATTGTCAAATGGCACAGAGCCTTCACTGACAGAGGCCATTTTTGTATGGTGTTCGAGCACTTGGACAAAAGCCTCGCTGATTTTATGGAGGAGAGCAACTTGGAACCTCTCCTTTTGAGCGAGATCAGACCGATCATCCAGCAGGTATGAGCGAATGAATTTATTTCTGCTTTTAAACGAGAACAAATACTGATGTTGATGTAACATCCTGAGCTTTGTTGTTCAATTAATGACCTTAATGACTTCTTAGGTCGCCAATGCTCTGGATCATTTGAAGACCATCGGTATGATCCACGCAGACCTTAAGCTGGACAACGTCATGTTTGTGGATCATCAACATCAGCCCTACAGAGTCAAAGTGATTGACTTCGGTCTTGCAGAAGATGTGTCAGCAGCAACAGTGGGCTCAAATATCCAGACCCAGCCATACAGGTAAGGAACCAGAACCACGTCTGATATCTCAGCTGTTTATTGGGGGCTTGCACATCAACACATACTAGGTTTTTAAACATGCCAATTTTGAAATAGCAAAAATAAGAATATATTTTGCAAAAGTTCAAACACTAAGGATGTTGTGTATACAAAATTAATGTTAAATTTTTAAATTACAAAAGTTTTAGTGTTTTTAGTGTTTTAGTGTTTTTTCATATAGATAATTTGCCCGTGGCCTTAAAAAATGTCATGTGGTGCGACCGTAATTTATCTCAAAATTATTAAATTTTTTCAACGTACTTAATAGTTTTTTACAAATTGTCAGTAATATCAAGAAGATAGAAACAAAGTGTTTGCATTTCATTTGAGTTTTTGTAAATAATGATCTCACATTTTAGCTCTATAACGTCACGGTAGCTATATTAAATGTAGTTGACTGACTCATTTTTTCTTTAAATTGCATAATACTGTTAAAAATGTTTTAAAACTACCTTTCACTTAAGCATATTGTATTTAATACTATTAATGTTATCACTGGTCGCACCACATGATATTTTGACACTCTTAAGTTCAGAAAATTTTCAAATAAGACCTGATTTTTTAAAAGTTGAAGTGACTACATATATGCGAGAGACACTACATATAGAAAGCCTGTTTTTGTGCATTTAAACCTTTTTTAACTTAAAAAAATACAGCCGGACAGAATATTTAGGCGTCACCTCATTGACCCACTTATGTTTTGTTGGAGGATTTGTTGCATTATTTGTAGAATTGATGTGTGATATGTCTTTGTTTGTCCTCTCATAGAGCTCCAGAGATTCTTTTGGGGCTTCCCTATACAGAGGCCATCGACATGTGGTCTCTTGGTATCATGGCTGCCTGCATGTACCTTGGCTATTTTCTGTATCCTGGCCTGACTGAATTTGATATGGTACTTTAAGTTTACTGTTTCTTTCTCAGAACAGAGTTTCATGTCACTGAAATAATCATCAAGAATCAGCTTTTAATTTGTATTTTTTCTCTAAACTGCTCACTTTATAACCTCTTCACATCAATGTGTATTTGATTGAAACATATTTTTTAATCTTTTAATTAATGTATTCTTTCATGGAGAATTTTTCCTCTTCACTTTGATGTCACCATGTAACTTCTTGTTGTGCTGCATTTTCAGATGAGGTTCATTGTTGAGACTCAGGGTCCACCACCAGACAACCTGCTCAACGAGGGGCTCAAGACATCCAACTTTTTCCAGAGTGTTAACCAGCCCGACTGTCAATGGAAAATTAAGGTAACTAACACTAACTCTTACCCTACACTTTAGCAGTAGCCAGTCACATTTTTTTCTTAAATATGGGTGTTGATTTGGAGGCATTATTGTGTCTGGTTGGCCAAGAAGGTTTCCCAGGTGTGTCAAATTTAAACAGTTTTGTTTTTTACCAAGTATTAGTTTTCTGGGATATAGCTCACCTGAAGAAAGGATAAACCGTTCAACTGATTTATGCAAGTTGCTAGAACATGCTTCAGTCATTTTTAGGTTTTCTTTATGCAATGTCACTGAATGTAAACAAATACGATATACTGAGCTTTTTGAAACAGTCACCACCAGGGAAGCTGGAGTGTTGTGGGACAGTCTTGTAGCCTAGCCAGAGTAAACACTGATGAGAGGGGCCCTGAAATTGAGATTGAGGGCAGTTCCAGTATAAAAAAAGGCCTTAGCTGACACAGCCCTGAATATCAGTGTATTGTGACAGATGTGCATAAATGAAGCTCTTTCTGTTCTTTTGCTAGTGACAGTCATTTAAGGGCAGTAAAGCTCTGACTTTAGATATGACCACATTTTAAATACCTCAGACACCTTGATGGGAATTGTCCCATACATGTCTTGTACAAAACTAACTAGCCCTGAATGTAGCAGCTAACAAACTCACTTTTTTTTTAGAACGAGGAGGCATACTTCGAGGAGACAGGTGTCACGCCAACAGAGACCAGAAGGTTCTTCTTAAACTCTCTGGATGAAATTCTGAATGTACGTACTTTTGTTTTTGTCATTTATTTAAAAAAAAAATTGTTTTTGTCGGTTTTCTGGTGATAGAAGTAACACCCCTGACTGTGATTGTCTTTGTCCTCTCTACAGATTCAAAGTTTAAAGTCGGACACTCTTGTAAACAAAATTCTGGAGATCAGGGACAGGCGGGCCTTTCTAGACCTGCTGAAGGGAATGCTCCAGCTTGATGCAGCCAACAGACTGACACCCCGTCAGGTGCTGGAGCATCCCTTCATCACCATGAGCCACCTCACCAGAAGGTTTCCCTACACGTCTTAGTAAGTGAAAACTAAAATTCTTCAACATTCAGAGTTTTTAGCACCTCTTGTGGCGAGTGTTTGCAGGAAACACCTCACTTCTCCAGAACATGTTTATGTAATAGATGATTTGTGTCTGTATTACTTATACCTTCTGTAAGTCACATGACCAATGAATAAGTCTGATTGATGATTTGTTGTCTTGCAGTGTCTTTTTATCTTTGGAGACCATGGCTGCCTTTAGAAACAGCAGTTCAGGCTCCAACAGTGAGAATGCTGGGGGGTCTTCACAGCCTTCCCCCCCTAGCAAGCCTCAACCCTCCCAGCAGAACCGTTCTGCTTCTCCTGCTGGTAGCAGCTGCAACCTAGACCCGTCACGGTTGCCCATCAACCCTCATCCTCACACTCCTTCCTCATCAACAAGTGGAGGCCAGAAAGGGAGAAAAAGAAAGCTTGAGGACGTTGATGGAAGCACGGACGAGACCTGCAAGTCTCCAAAAAGAGTGAAGTCTGAGCACAGGTAGGATAATCTACATCAGTCACATTCTTATCAACCAGTCTAAAAAACAAATCTGAAGACTTTAGAGGTAGATGGAAACTTTTCTGGTCTTTTTGCATCATAATAATTTAACCTTTTTGATAAAGTTACAGTAAAACACCTGCCTGCTCGTCCACCTCCTGCAGCAGCCAGCATGCCGCTGACAAGGCCCAGATGATCACTCCAAAGAGGGACCACCATGTTCCCCCTACTCCAACTGACCTCAACACAACCCCTCATTTGAGCTTGAGTCAGGCTAAAGTCCAGGACAGATCAGGACTCAAAAGAAAGACAGCTCCAGATGAGGATGAGGAAATGTTAGGTCAGAGATCACAAAAAAAGAGGAGTTTGTAGATGGTTCAGGTGAGTCGATATAATCAACACACAATATGTAATGCATTTTCTAGTTTGAAACAAGAACATACTGTCAACCACAACAACACATGAGTTTGTTTAACAAGTCATTGTTGACTTCCAGGTCCAGAAGAGCGGACCGAACCTGAGCAGAGTGGAGTTTATGACTGCGAAAGTCATTACAGCTGAACAACAACCTCCATCTGCTGTTTTTGTATAGTTTTTTTGTGAAGATTTTTTGTGAAGATCTGATGGCCTGACGATGTGGATTTAAAATATGTTTTAATTTTTGATGTTAAAAGAAACCTGCGTTCAGCTAGACAGGAGTTGTGTCCAGCTGAGAAACAGTTTTCACTGTGATTGAACTTTGGTATGTTCCTGAACTCTCTGGATGAACTTCTGAATTTACGTACTTTTGTTTTTGTCATTTATTTGAAATGTTTTCAATTTTTGTTGGTTTTCTGGTGATAAAAGTAACACCACTGACTGTGGTTGTCTTTGTCCTCTCTACAGATTCGAAGTTTAAAGTCTGACACTCCTGCAGACAGAGTTTTGGAGATCTGAGCCAAGATGATGAAGATGAGCAGCATCACTTCATCAGCATGAGCCATCTCACCAGCAGGCTGCCCAACATGTATAAGTAAGTGAAGATTAAAAGTCTTCATCATTCAGAGTAATTACCTCACTCCTCGACCACATGTTTCTACAATAGATGATTTGTGTCTGTATTACTTATACCTTCTGTAAGTCACATGACCAATAAAGAAGCCTGATTGATGATTTGTTGTCTTGCAGTGTCTTTTCATCTTTGGAGACCATGGCCGCCTTTAGAAACAACAGTCCAGGCTCCAACAGTGAGAATGCTGGGGGGTCTTCACAGCCTTCTCCCCCCAGCAAACCTCAACCCTCCCAACAGAACCGTTCTGCTTCACCTCACCATCAACAAGTGGAGGCATGACAAGGAGAAGAAGAAAGCTTGAGGACGTCGATGGACGCACAGACGAGCGCTGCAATTGTCCTAAAATAGTGAAGTCTGGGCACAGGTAGGATAATCTACATCAGTCACATTGTTAATAACCAGTTGACAAAACAAATCTAAAGACTTTAAAAGTTGAATGACATTTTTTTGGTCTTTCTGCTTCATAATGATTCAACCTTTTTTTCTTTTTTTTTATCAAATGACAGTGAAACACCTGCATGCCTGTCAACCTCCTGCAGCAGCCAGCATGCAGCTGATGACGCTCGGACGATCACTCCTGTGAGGGACCACCCTGTTTATCCTCCCGGGCGGATCACGGACACTCAAGAGAGGAGGAAGAAGAGATCCAGATAAGGAATTGGCTGTCAACAATCTGATCCAGAGAGTCCTTCAAACTGACCACAACACGACTCTTCATCCAAGCTTGAGTCAAGCTGAAGACTAGGGCCAAACAGGGCTAAAAAAAAAAAAAAGGCAGCTCAAGATGAAAATGAGAAAATGTTTCTGTTTCATAATGATTTAATCTTTTTTTTTTTTTATCAAATTACAGTAAACCCCTGCATGCCAGCCCGCCTCCTGCAGCAGCCAGAGTGAAGCTGATGACACCCAGACAATCACTCCTTTGAGGGACCAACCTATTCATCCTCCTCAGCAGAACACTCAACTCAGCAGATCGAGATGAAGAACAGCAAATGTTCGGTCAGGGATCAGAAGAAAAGAGAAGGAGTTTGTAGATGGTTCAGGTGAGTCAATATTGTTAAAACACAATGTGTAATGCATTTTCTAGTTTGGAACAAGAACATGCTGTCAACCACAACAACACATGAGTTTGTCTAACAAATTATTGTTGACTTCCAGGACCAGAAGAGCAGACTGAATCTGAACAGAACCACCACAGTGGAGTTTGTGACTGTGAAAGTCATTCCAGCTGAACAACAACCTCCATCTAGCTGCCTTCAGAAACATTAAGAACACAAAACTAGGGTTGACTACTGTCTATGACTGTCCACCTCAGGCCCTGAGCTCCTTCTTCTCCTGGATTCCTCTGGACTATTATTGCAGACATGAACATCAGCCTCACTGACATTATTGACATTAATAACATAAACTAGAACTGACTATGATTAGGCCTGCTAACTGTTATCACACTTAATTAATTTAACATTGTCTTTTTTTGTCTCACCATTACATGAGCTGTTGTTGTTGTTGCTGTTGTTTCTGCTGCCCCCTGTCTCTCTCTCACCCTCGTTCTCTACTCCCCCCCCCCCCCCTTACTCATTCTCTCTCGCCTTCCCTTATCTTGTTCTCTCTCTCCCTCCCCCTGTCCTCTCCCCTCTCCCCTCTTCTCTCTACATTCCTCCCCAACCCAGCAGCGGCATGGTGGCTGTCTAGCATGAGTCGGGTCCTGCCCAAGGTTTCTGCCTGTTAAAAGGAAGTTTTTCCTTGCCACTGTCACTCATGTTAGTTGAGATGGGCCAAAACCCATCTTAGGTTGGTTCTTGATCATCAAACAATGAGCGTGGTCTAGACCTGCTCTTGTTCCTTGAACAGCGTCTTGAGATGACGACTGTTGTGAATTGGCACTATATAATTAAAATTTGATTGATTGATTGATTGAGAAGTCCAGGCTCCAACAGTGAGAATGCTGGGGGGTCTTCACAGCCCTCTTCTTCCAGCAAACCTCAACCCTCCCAGCAGACTAGCACTCCTTTGAGGGACCACCCTGTTCATCCTCCCCAGCAGATCACCAACACCCAAGAGAGGAAGAGGAAGAGAGCCAGATCAGAAAATGTTTCTGAACAATCTAATTCAGAAATTCCCCACACTGACCACAACACAACCCTAACATGTCTTTTCTAACAAGTCATGTTGACTTCAAGACCACAGGAGAAGACTGACCTAAACAGAACCACCATAGTGGAGTTTGTGACTGTTAAAGTTATTTTATCTGATGACCTGATGCTATGTGTTTAAAATATGTTTTGATTTTATGTGTCAAAGTTTCTCTGTTGTGTCCAGCAGAGAAACTGTTTTTACTGTAAACAAATATTTGTATGTGATTCAAATTCATTGCATTTGTATTTAATAGTTTTGTCAAATAAATGTTTTAAAATTCATATTTTTGTCCATACTGGAGAGTCAAACGTTTCTTGAAATTACACCTCTTTTGTAATCCTCCACAGTGATTCTCTTACTGTAGAGACACATTTTGTCACATCTTGAACACAAAACAAAAGGGAGGACCCGTGTCTAGAATTTAAAAGGTTTTATCAAATCAAAAAGGAATGGTCAGAGAAAAACTTTCTTCTCAAAATGTCCAACTAAAAAATATCCGATGAAAAATACACAAGGATAAAAATCCCATGAAACCAAAACTCATTGTAAGACTGTAGTGGTTAACAAAGGAGGGAAAATTCAGGAATTAAACTTGACTAGCCACACAGGGATCACCTACTACAAAATAAAGCAGGAAGTCATACCAACCCAGACACACAAGAGCAGGGGACTACAAAATAAAACAAAACATGGAAAATTGATCTAAAGAATAAAACACTGGGAACACGAGGAAAACAGGGTCAAAGACAAACTGAAAACTCACAAAACAGGATCGCAGGGGACAGAAACACTACGGAAAATACACAGAAAATACAACTCAATCACAAAACCAGGAAAAAATACAGTCTATGGATTTAACATTTAGATTTAGATTTAACATTTAGGCGTAACATTTAATATTTAGATTTAACTATTTAAAATATCTCTAAGTTCACAAGTATTGTTGTAAATGTGCAAAAAAAAGTGACCGTCAAAAGTGCATACCAGTTTTTTAATCGTTGTTTGAAGCTAAATGTGGCAAAATGTTGCCGTTAATTTCAGCGTGAGCTGAAACGGCGCCCCATAAACTACAGTGTGTAGTTTTTAGCAGCATTTATAAGAACACAATATTTGACACTATTTAAATTCATTTTTAAACTGTAAATCTGGAAAGGATTTTTACGTACTTACTTATTCTTTTTATTTTCAGCCTCTTATTCCTATAGGAGTGGGACACATTCTTGCATTTTGCTATATTGCTACAGTAGCACAGAATGGACAAACTCGTGAGATTTTGTATTTAGTTAAAAACTGCATGAAATACATGTATTGATAAATTTTTGATGGAAAAAAGGATCAATACAATAGGATCAAACCTAGTGTGCATAACAGGAGCTTCTTGTCCCTAAAGGCCACCATCATTTCACCAATGGGAAGGGGGAGTTAGTGAGCATGTCGATCTGGAATGTGCAATATATTTCCAATTATTCAAATTTTTACACACTGAACTTTCTGCACCTTTAACCCAACTTTGGTTAAAGCAGGCATCAAATTGAATTACTGCAATAAGGCAAAATCCTGTCTAAACACCACAAAATGTTTGGTAGCAGAGCTCTCTCTCGATCTCTCTATCTTTCTCTCTCTCTCTCTGTCTTTGAAATGAGAGGGCATAAACCATTTTACTTCCTGTTGATGGTTGACAATGTCCACTCACTTGGTGGCTGGGTAGTGGATTACTGTCACAGGGAGCTGAGGAGAAAAATACAACGAGGCACATATACAACACCAGTTATCGAATGGACTTACTTCAAGACAGTGCTTTTAAATGATTTAATTTCCAAAAACAAATTAACCGCAATAAAAACAAAATCCAGTCCAACCACCTAGATAATTAGGGCCACTGGACAAATGCACTGAGGTACTTTCGTTGTACTCTTCCGGACCAATTTTGATTTGCCACAAGTCCTAAAGCTTGAAAAGTTGTAGGACAAATTATATCTCAACATGTGCAGTTTGAATGGCATCAGGAGTTTTTCAAACCTATACTACTCCGGCATACTTTTACCTAGAGACTCCATTTAATTTTTTCAAACTATAAGTCACATTTATATAGGTATTATAGTTTTTGATCATTCTTGGGGAAACTTTCATATTATTATGGGTATTTATTGAATGGAATCTTTGTGCCAGAGTGGGCAACATCATTGGCTAGAGTGAGAGAAGCCGTATAAAATTCTGTGAAACTTTTCTCTTTCCACGCTACTCCTGGCCTCAAATTGCACCCTACAAGCATGTCCACAGTTGAAGACACATTTGTTGTCTCAAACGATGTGTTCATCTTAGCAGGAAATGTTACAGAATTTTAACTCTGAGCCTCTAAGTGTGGCAATGTCTCTCTCTGCTCCTCATTAACGCTAATACAAAGATTTTCTAAGAGAAGCAGAAAGGACTCCTGTTTATAACTTGCAAATGTGTCCAAACTATTTACTGTAGAAACACCAAAATCATATCAAAGCGTTCAGGAAGTCCTCACAATAACCCAGGTCTGCTTTTTTTTTTTTTTGGTAGGAGGTACCATTTTGTCAGAATAAGCCCAAATGTGAAACCAGCACAAAGGCAAAAAATCACTCTTTTAGTGACGTTTTGACCATAGATATCAACACTAGATACCTCACGACTTATATAAGACAATGGCTGCGCATACGTCAAGACCGCCGCCATCTCAGAGCAGTGACTGCTGGTAAGTATGGTTTTGAATGTAAAAAAATGCTGTTGTCTGGTAAACCACAAGCTTCCAAAACTTCAACCCACAGAAAACCATTGACAAGGACCTCTCCAAGATGGCAGCAGTCTTGACGCATCCTGAGCAGGGTTGAGTCATGGGCAACTAGCTTTTGTTGCTATAGGAATCTCTGAGCCTCAAGCTAGGCTCACAGCTGAGACCAATTGACTTGTCAGGGACTGCTCTAATATCTCTGCATCATGAAATCACTTTAAGAGCAATTTGATTATAATAAAAAAGCTGACTCTCAATCAAGATCTTATTCGGGCCATGGGGCAAATGCACCAAGGCACCAGCCCCTATAAAACAGAGATGCTTTACAGCAGGCCCAATATGATGTGGTGCTTCAGAAACTGCAGGGGCCTTTCAAACATCACCAAGGGCAAGTCAGTCTGTAAGGATGTTGTTTATGAAATTTGAGGTTTTGGTGACAAATGTCCAGCTAAGAATTCATCAAACAGGTGTTTACGGCAATTTGATTCATACTGTACTTTCAATCTTCAGCAGACAGCTAACTTCAACGACTCCATCCAAAGGAAGGAAGAACAGTATTGAGATGGTCAGGGGCTGAGATGACAAACAGGCAGTAATATGGCGCTGTACTAATTCACCACAGTTATTAATGTCAAGCAGTGATGATATGATGATATAACCATGCCACAGTTTTCAGGAGCTGCAGTATTTTGCAGGGAAAATTGCTTTTCAGAGTGATCAGACAAAAATCTCAAGAAAAAAGTTGTACATGCTGATTTTATCAGTTAAAAAAACATGAACTTTTTGAGGTTGTAGATTTTAGGGGCTAAAGCAGCTTGATAAACCTAATCCCTGTGTCAATGAGCATCACTCCTTAAACAAGGCTTTTAATTACCCTAAGGGAACCTTCCCAAAAGGTCAATAAAGTTTTATCTAATCTAATCTAATGTGCAACTACTTAACTGTAAACCATTCTGCAGCAAACATGGACATCACACTAGAATATGGATATTTTTCTTTCTCTCATCAACTTCTATCATTGAAGAAAACTTTAGCAGTTTCAGAGTGATACTGACTTTACTCATGTGCTCCTCAAAGGGCTATTTTTATGTCTTGAAGACCCACAAATAATGAATGATGAGGCTCTAACCCCCATAACAACCAGGAACCTCCTTAGCAGCTTTGTGTATGTTATGTCTTCAGGTGTTAACTACATTTAAAGTGGTTATGTTGTAGACCTATGGGGATTTAATCAGATGTTTTGAAGAGGCGCATGTTCAGTGAATCTGTCAGATTGACAGGGAGCTGAAAATGTGTGTGTGCGCGCGCATGTATGCGTGTGTGTGAAATATTGTATATCATCATTGTAATAACAGATTAGGCAATCTAAATATGTGGCTATTTAACTGTAAATATTTTCTAGGCTAAAAAATGTATAGCGGTATGCAATTCTTAAGCAAATAGACTTAAGACTGGCTGAAGATCGAGTTTGTGGAAGCACATAAGAAGAAGCACATCATCAAACTTTGTTCTTTCACCACTTAGAGACGCTCATGGTTGTTCCCAACAGTTCAACAGACACACGCGCACAGAGACAAACGCTAAACAGAGGATACAAGCTGAAGAATTAACTTACCAATTAAACCGCCGACCATGAAGGCAATCGCCTGGAACAAAAGCAGAGTAACTCCCACTATCACCAACTTTTTGGTGCTCATATTTTCTAGAATAGTCCCCGCCATTTCGAGAGAAAATTGGAGATGAAATTATCACACCGAGCGAGAAATGTGGGAAGCAGGAAATCAAACTGGGTCCCCTCCACCGCTCTGTTCCCGGATTTCAACGAAAGAAAAAAAAGTGGAAAACCATGAATTACCCAATATCTCTCAGCTGTGGGGGAGAGCGGGGTGTTTGTGTCGGTTTTCACTTGAGGAATTCATTTCGGCAAAGGCGTCACAGTACTATACGTGTGTGTCTCAACTACTTGTGAAACTACACTTGACTTGCACTGGCCCTTTATGATGGTTAAGTGTTTCCTTATTTTGCAGGGAAAATTGCTTTTCAGAGTACTAGGGCAAAATTCTCAAGAAAAAAGTTGTACATGCTGATTTTCATCAGTTAGAAAAACATGAACTTTTTGAGATTGTAGATTTTAGGGGCTAAAGCAGCTTGATAAACCTAATCCATGTGTCAATGAGCATCACTCCTTAAACAAGGCTTTTAATTTTCCTAAGGGGAACCTTCCCAAAAGGGTCAATAAAGTTCTATCTAATCTAATCTAATGTGCAACTACTTAACTGTAAACCATTCTGCAGCAAACATGGACATCACACTAGAATATGGGTATTTTTACCAAACATTTGAACGTCTTTTTCTTTCTCTTACCAGCTTCTATCATTGAAGAAAACTTTAGTAGTGTCAGAGTGATACTAACTTTTCTCATGTGCTCCTCAAAGGGCTAATTTTCATGTCTTGAAGACCCACAAATAATGAATGATGAGGCTCTAACCCCCATAACAACCAGGAATCTCCTTAGCAGCTTTGTGTATGTTATGTCCTCAGGTGTTAACTACATTTAAAGTGGTTATGTTGTGACTTCAGTCGTACCTTTGTTTGGTTGCACTGTGCAGATGTAAAGTTTGTCACTGCTCTTGATATGCGTCTCTCTGATGTGTACCATTTTCTTTAAGTACTTTTACTTTTACTTGAAACCTCACTTCAAACTACAAGACCTCCGAACCAGAGAGTCATGGTGATTTTCGGCTGATTTTCAATCAATTTCAGAGTTTAGCGAGTTTACAATGATATCAAAGATTTTACAGAGATTTCTGAGACTTTACAGCAGTTCATTTGTGTAGAAAACTTTGACTATCAAAATGCTTCCAGCAGTCAAACAGAATAAGGAGTCTAACAGCCTTGAGCTTGACAACAGTTTTAATTTTAATTATGACATATTAGTTATAATTTGAGCCATATTCATCTGAAAGAACAGAAAAATTTCACCTTATTTCAAGAACTTTCCTGCTACAATTCTTTTTTACTGCATGGGAAGATATTTTTGTAAACTTCACAAGTAATTTTGATTATTTTTTTGTGTGTAAAATCTTGAACATAGACATTTTACAGAAAAGGGGGTGTGTTAGTGGCCTACAATAAAACTAATGACACATTTTTTTTATCAGAAATAAGAAAAAAACGAATAAATAAAAAGTAAAATAATTTACCGTGGTGGAGGGGTTTGTGTATCCCAATGATCCCAGGAGCTAAGTTTTCAGGGGATTTGCCTCTCGCAAGTGGCACTTGTGAGAGGCGCTAGGCCTGTATCTTGGGGTTCAGCCAGTGGACAAGAAGGTTCGCCTTTGGATGGGGAGAGGGATCCTGACTGTTGTTTGTGTTTAAGGGCTGCTGGAGAGTGCTCCCTCGTGGGACTCTCTTGTTCTGCTCTGGGACTTCAACACCCATGTTGGCAGTGACAGTAGGACCTGGAGGGGTGTGATTGGGAGGAACAGCCCCCTGAACCCAGGTGGTGCTATGTTTTATGGATTTCTGTGCTTGTCACAGATTGTCCATAACGAACACTATGTTCAGACATAAGGGTGTCCACATGTCAATCAATCAATCAATCAATCAATCAATTCATCAATATTTATTTATACAACAGTTGTTATCCCAAGACACTTTCCAAAAAGAGCAGGTCTAGGCGACACTCATTGGTGGAGTCCAAAATATGTTTATGGTCCCAGCAGCTGTTTGAGGGATGAATAGTGATGAGGTAATGTATCTAACTGTGGCTAAATAATATATGACATGTTAAAAATAAGAAATGTTTAACCCCTTTTGTACCTGGTGCCCTCACATGTGCAGGCATGGCCATGTCATGAGCCTCTTCCTCTCATCTCAAGCCTTTAGCTTTACAAGGACAAGATGAAACATAGTAAACATAGTTTCTTGAAGTTTATTTGGGCCTCCTTTCCTTATTGATTTGGGATTTTTGATGTAGTAGAGCCTGGTTGGGAAATTGGGTTGTAGTGTGCCAAAGTTTGGCTCATTGGTGAGACACTATCACGCCTTGAGTGCTACATTCTATGACACAACAAAGAATTCAATAGATTACCTTGCTGCTGAAAATTTCCCAACGCTACATATAATTTGTCCTACAACTCTTCAAGCTGTAGGATTTGTAGTAATTTGTCTGGAAGAGAATAAAAAAAATCCACAATATCACAATAGTGCTGGCCCCTTATACTTTTGTATAGAGGGCCAGCACTCATTTTTTAAAATCTTTGAAAAATAATGTACACATCCTAGCAGTAACCCCCAAGGCCCTTTCAAAATTTTCGCCAGGAGATTTTCTTGTTTTAATACTGTTTAGACTGCTTTTAATTTTCTTGAGGGAACCTTCCCAGAAGGCTCAATGAAGTTGTATCAAGTCTAATCTAAGAAACATTTGGTAGTAGGTCACCATCTGTCTTTTTTTTTTTTTACATGCTTTGGAGGGAAATTTCCCGTAAGCACTCTGGGACCATTTACACGGTTTGATTTTGAAATAGTTGAGTCAAACAAAGTTTCTTAAGAAAGGATTTAACATTATTACAACAATCTGGAAAGTCTGAGAGTCCATGTTTATTGTAAGGCTCAAAGCTCAACCCACAGATATGTTATAAAAATCCTGTAGACCTATAGGGATTCTAAAAAAATTTAATAGTCTAAATATGTGGCTATTTAACTGCAGATTTTGGAAGGCTAAAAAATGAATATTGGTATTGTAACAGATTGTTGTGCTGGTTAAATGTGTTCTGTATGTATTTGCCTTTGGAGTGAGGTGTCTGAAATGAGTTAGCATAGCTGCAGTAAAAGGTGTTCTGGTTGTCGTAAAACCTGTGTTCTGAGTTCACATGTGCCTTTAATAAAGGTGGATGTAGTGGAGAAAGAGCACCTCGCCTGTGTGCCATTTATTGCCTCATTATTCAGCATATCAGGTCCGACAAACCCAGAGGGCACACTTACATTGGTGGCAGCCGTGGTCCTTTGTCCCGTGGACCAGCTTGTCTTTGTTTTGCCCTGAAGTTTAGGTTTACGTGGCCGTTCATTAGCTTAGCTTCCTCAGTATACTGTAGCTAGCCCGCTAACCTGTTGGCAAGCGTAATGGTACCCAGTGGCAAACAGGCTACAAATCAACACCGTATCTTCTAAAAATACAGTATTTAACAAGGACAGCTTAACATTCCACCTGCAAGTGCTGCAGGAAAATAAGAACTTATGCTCCCTTCTGGCTGTACCACCAGGTTTGTGTGGTGTGGGTAGTTTCTTGAGCACATCACCTCCAGGGACAACTCCTTCATCATGTTCTTTAAATGTGAAGATTGGCTTTCCACCCACAGATCTCTTACAAATTTGCTTTAGAAACTTTGCACTGATCTGGTCACCCTAGTTATTCTCCACCAATCCAACTTAGTTATAGGATTTGTTACCTGCAACCATCTACCTGCAGACTTGGTTAGCATGTCCTTTTCCCTTATAGCCTGTGTTTGTTACTTCTCCTTTTTTTCTTCTCAATATATATTTTCAAGCTCATCCTGCAGATCACTATCTTCACTGCCACCTCCCCCTGTTGCACCTCTTTTACTGCTCTGTCCAACTCCTCTGAAGCCCTGTCTTTGTTTGTAACTCCATGGCATGATATATTTTGTTCTAAGGCTGAGAATGTCACATAGTTTTAGTGATCAGATGTAAGAATACAATGCACAATTAAATTAAATACAATAAAATAATGTAGGTCAAATGTAGTGAATAATCATAAATGTGGGTGAGCTGTACCACTGGCACAACTTACCCAGACCCTTTAGGCACAAATAACCCCAAGCATGGCAATTTGAAAAGTACAACAACATCCAGCTTTTTAAAGCTAGCATCATGCTAACTGTGTAGACTCATGGTGCAGTTTAGCAAAGCAATAAAATGCATGTACTGCTTTTAAACTTGTCAATTAGCATTAAAATACAGCAACAAAAAAACTTGACCATTTGAGTCATTTTGTCATGGAGTCAGTTTTCAAATAGAATGAAATCAAGCTCTAAACACACATATTTTCAAATGGGCTATTCTCCTCAGATATTTACAGCGTGAATAGCCAACCAAATTACAATGTAGTATTCAGTATGAGAGCTGCCACTGTGAAAATGACAAATCCACTTAAATGGTGAAAATAAATGTTTTTATATTAAAAAATGTGCTCACTGCTTATTCCATGTGCCTTTCTCTGTCACAGGATGGATGACCCTACAAATATAGAGCTCACGTGACCAACTTTGTGATGGTAACCCACAAACAGAGGTTGACTCAACTTCTATTAGGGAGTTGAGTCAACCTCAACTCCGTAGTAGAAGTCAGCCAACACCAGACCGGCATTTTATGATATGTGTGCACCACAGCTTTGTATTAAAGGCTTCTATTGCAGGTTACTTTGCTCATGAAAGCCTTCATTAATGCCATGAAGTTGAAGATGGTATTGGAAAAACACATTTTGATCATCAATTTCAATCTTACCAGAGAACCCTACATTATTATTAGTCTCTTGTACTGTGTCTCTAACTTTCACGGCGTTTCATTCTGTTTAGACATTTGGCAAAGTACACAAACGTAATCATTAAATAGTTAATTAAGCAATCCTTTCTGCTCACAGAATGGTTGTAGACGAGACATTTTCAGGCTATAAAGCTGTCTGCTGTTTTTTCCCCTGAGAAACTCAGAGCCAACACACCTGAAAGACTGCACAAATGTGAACTGAGCTTTCTTGTTTCCGCTGCTTAGAATGATGGTGTGATTTCCTCCCAGCTCCCTGTCTCCCTTCACAGGTAAAGAGAGAGAAACTTGTAGAGAGCTGGCTAAAAAACCTTCTGCTGATTTCTGTCACATATTCAAACTCAAAATGCAGGTTCAAATTTTGGGGTTTTATTTTTTCAAAAGCCACCCATAAGAGCATTTCTGGGTTGACACAACATTTGTGTGTACAAACAAAAGTATGCCTTTAAAAAATTACAAGCACAGAAAAGGATAAAAACAAAATGCAGCATGCAACTTCTGGTTATTTTAAACCTTTAAATACCCATGAGTAAATCAAACACAGCAGGAAACAATGCAGTAAATGGGTGTTTCTGACTTACATGTTTATCATGAAAAAAAGAGTAAGGAATGCTGCTGAAGCTTTCTAAGCATGTGCAGACATGAACTGGATTTCCTCTGCCGTCTAAAATGGTTTCTTATTTTCTATCCATACTAAGAGCGAGAACGAATATGTGAGGGACAAAGCTGATGGATGCAACAGATCAATTAACCACTTTCAACAATCAAAGATGATGTTACTAGAAAAAGTCATCTGACTTATATTATTATGCCTTCCTACTTATGGTAGTCTGCTTCATTTCAATGTGACCAAGGCATAGTGGCGACAATTTAACCTGATATCAGTGGTAACATTGGTTTTGGCACTTGGGGACTGATGCTAAAACAAACATCGCTTTAAGAAGTGCAGGTAAGGTCTCAGAATGAGAGGAAAGAGCCTGAGGAGGTTTCGGGTTTAGAATCTGGCACGGATTCTCTCAAATGGATCCATGTCCCACATCTTGGGATCCCAGGCCTGGAACCAGCCCATGAAAGTCGGAGGCTCTGCTCCCTGTTTGATGGTGGTGATGGGAACTCCACTGCGACCAGATGGGTCTGAGTCCACGTAATCTTTAGCTGTAGTACAAAAAATAAATAAAAATTTGACTAGAAGTGAGACAATATAAATAAAAAACAAAACTTTTTTCTTTCATAAATCAGGTTACTACAATAAAATCTTCATTATGTCTTTTTTAAATCAGTAAATCTAAGTGCAGAATTCAGAAGACACTGGAGGTAATAGCTGGCTCTCAGGCTGTTCCATGCTCTACTGCATTCACTAACTAGTTCCTTTCTAACTATATTTGCTGTTTAATGCTTGTCAGATTACATAAATAAGTCAGTTCAAATATGGCTTTCATTCTTAACACAGTTGCCAGTTCAAACTTAAAAGGCAGATGGCTGAATTTCTACAAAAAAGGCCAAAAGAGGCTATAATGGAAACACCTTTTTATGGATATCAAGATTCACAAACCCATGATGGAGAAATATTGATCTAAGTGCATCTTGATGTTGCATCTTTCTTTGTTCTTCTTATTTGTTGCTACGTGCAAGCATACTGCAGTAACATTAGGCCTTTTTCCCCCTTTTGCTCTGGTTAATAGTAATATTAACCATGTTGGTGTCACCCAAAAGTCATCCATTGAACTTCAGTGACCTGCCAAGACTACCATTCCTGATGCCCCCCTTCGAGGCCACAGGAGGCCATGTAGTGATAAGTTACAAAACAATAAGCTGGAGAGTATTGTGTGTGTACTTCATCTCATGGTTATTGCTACAAACCTATTTTGGGTGCTCCAGTCTTTTCCTCTGCATTAGCATCCTTTCCAACCCAGAGGAAGATCTACAGGAATAAGAAACACGCTCGGTCATTCAGACAGTCTCTAGACATCCAGAGTTTTATTTGTGTGAATGTGTCTTGCAGTTTAATGTAGTCTCTGATGTCCAGATAGAAAACACATAGAAGTTGTTTCTACAAGCTTTTATTATGATGACAAAGAGGTTGTATTACCTGGTCCCAGGTATCCAGGAGCATGACATCATCAGTGGCCAGATCTGACTGAGTGAAGTCTCCTGGTACTTCTTCAACCTGACACACAGTCCAGAAAAAAATCAAACTTAAGTCTGCAGATAGCAATATGTTACAGAGGCAAAACATAACTGTATTTATGTTTCAAAGACCTGAATCTTTTCGGGGCTTACCATCAGTCTTCCAGTTTTGTTGGAGCAGCCAAACAAGCGTGGGGGTTTTATCATGGACTGCAGGCTCTTGGAGGTCTGATAATTCTTCTTGCCCCCAAGAGCGGACCAGAAGTCAGCTGTGAGGTTAAAAAAATATGAGGAAAAATACATCAGTTTCAAGTATTTTGTCTTTGAAGGCAGGTACCTATAACAGGCAGTGTTTTTTTGTGTGGTTATTTTTACAATTGTAACATAATTTCATCTAGTGGATGCTTTTTTCAAAAAGCAACATCTATCTGAGAGTAAGCACAACACAAGCAAGGATCTAAATGAGAGGAAACAACATGATTAAGTCTGCTTTGAACTGCTTCAAGTCCAATGAGACACACATGCTGTGCCAGGAGCTTTTTTTAGCATCACCACCAAAACACCAAACTAGTAAGTCAGAGTGGTTTGTAAAAACTGGGTCAAAATTCAGTTAAATATAGGAAGGGATTGTGGGTTTTGAATGTAGTAGGTAGTCTAACTCTTTCTACTGCTGTGGATCACGGAGGAAAAGAGCTGCTCTCAAGTGCATGGGTGTTTCAGAGAGAGCTGGGTCTGTAGCCGTTTCTCAAAGACAAACAGAAACTATGAGGATCAGGAGTAGTTTTCTAATTCATCCTACCGCAAAAAGAGAAAAATCTGGCTGGTGTGTTTCGGCCCCACTGGTATGGGAGTACTAGGTGCTTTTTGTTGGCTGAGCATAGAAGGTAAAAGGACCATATAGACCTGGATGAGATTTTTACACAGTGCGCAAGCAGAACTACTTTAAATTCGACGCTAACGCCAACTGGAAGCCAGTGGAGAGAAACAAACCACAGAGCAAGACACCCTGATTTTGAGCAGACTTACTGAGTATGGATGACAGACTGGACTACAGAGAAGCTCAGTCTTTGTCAGGTCAGATCATTTTTGGCCATTGATTGTACAAAATGATAGACAACATGATAGCTCCCCAAAAGTGAAGCTAAAAACATTCATTAAACCCTCTTAACTTATTTCATAGGTGAGTTAACTATGTACCTACCAACCTAAAAATCATAAAGACTTTCTTTGGCTTTTTACTGTCTATTAACAAGCAAGTACATTGTTAAAGCAGACATCAAAATGATAAACTTAATTACAATTGGTTGCACCTGATCATAGTCAGGGGGTTTGTTGAAAAAGACCCCAAATTTTCTCTTTTTAACTTAAATGATAATAAAATAAAATAAAAAACTCGGACAAAGACAAAGTTTCAATCATTTCCTTCATGGGAAACCCACCTGGCTCCTTGCCCTCTGACACCTGGGTGGGACTGCCCCCCAGGAAGCTCACCACGTGTTTGGAAGCCTGCATCTCCTCTTCTCTGGCACCCATGCCTTTCCACAAATGCATGCCACTTGTTGATTTTAGCACAAACACATCGTTGGTGTTTAGACTAGGAGCTACAGGCTCAACCTGAGGAAACAAATGCATGCAGGTGAGAGATAAGAAATCTCTGTAAACATACACTGTGACCTGGAGACTCATATAGAAAACCCACCTCCACAGCCCGAGTTGCACTGCTGGAGCTTTGCCTGATATGGAAGAGACGGGTGCTGCCTGACTGAGACTGTCCACCTTTGCGGGATGTCCCTCCCCTGTGAATGATCATGGGTTTACCCTGAAACAGGCTCATCAGGTGTGGAGGTTCCTGGCCCTGTGTCACTCTTACCTGCAGAGGAAGGATTAAAAACTGAAGGCAGCTGAAGGAGAAGGAGGCGACTTGCTTATCAACTTGTCGGAACTCTGTATCAGTATACTCTGGCTCAAACAAATACAGTCTGCCTTCATATTCAAAGACCTCATCCACACTGTCAAGATCAGGCAAATATTCACTCATGTTTCAAGACTTAAAACAAGCTCTGCTACAGTCCTGGTGCTCTCTGACTCTCCCTGTGTCAATTACTTACATGTCCTCCATTTTCGACCAATGAGATTTGGTTATACACAGATCGGCACAAGCAAAAGGTAAGTGGAACCCTTCCCGTTCTGTTCTCGGGACTTGTACTTACAATCTGAGCCTGTCAGTGGTAAAATAAAGCACTTGTAGTGGACACAGTTTGACGATCTGCAATTGCCCAGTCAAACTATGTTTTAGCTCATTTCACAGCTGCTGGCTGCTCTACTCTACTCTATCTTCACACTGGACCAATTTTAGAAATTATTCTCCCCTTCAGTCAATCAGACACAAACGAAAATAGGATGCAGGTTGATAAATACCAAAGTTCCTCTTTAGTAATACAGCAGATGAGGTCATTAATAAAGTGACAGTGTGTAGAAAAGGCAATATTTGGTGATATTAAGCAGATTCTGGATTGAAATGCAGCCTTGATAACCATGACTGTTGGTGAAGTGATGGTGGCCTTTGAGGCCAAAAAGCACTTGCGATGAATGATGAGTATGATCTTCCACTTCCATTATAATTATTTTGAAGAGAACTCCACTTCTTTGTTTTTCTTTCCTTCAACCGTTGCATTTCACGCAGCAACTCACTGAACGCAAAAACAAGTTTGTTTGTTTTATGCAACATTAGAAACATAGAAGCAAGATGGCCACCTCCATGGACACGGACCCGCTCCCTATGTAAATATAAAAGGCTTGTTTTTAAGTTAACATACTTAAGTCAATTTATATATTCAGGTTATCATGAAGTAATTCAAGCAAACTTATAGATATTATGTCCCATTTTTACAGAATCTGTTCTGTGACTTGTTGCTATATTCTACACACTGCACCTTGAAGCTTTAGTTTTAAAGGAGATTACAATACAGTAGATTGTATTTATATTTAACAGGCTGACCGGGTATTGTGTTTAATTTGTGTGGGTAATGCTGCAGCCCTCTATGAGAGGAAACACTATGCGGTCTGTACAGTATGGATGTGCGTTAGCTTGATTCCAAGAATTAGTCCAGACCAAAACGAACACAACAGTATTACTGGCCTCTGCTGGTTGTTAAAGGTTTGATATTTCATCCAGTCAGTGTTTTTTGTCAGCTGTGCTTCATCCTCTGTAATAATTAGATTAAGTAGATTTGAGAGGCTGAACCCTAATGACTGTTTTCCAGTGATGGACTTAAAGTTCATGAAGTCACAAGGCTCTTTTGTCTCTTTTAGTCACTGCAATTACATTTATAGCAACCTAAAAAACAGCAAAAACTTAATTTCTCAAGAAGGTAAACTTAGAATTTGATTGAGAAATTTTCCAGTCAAATTTGAAAACGGGCTGTAACTTGTTTCTCAACTTTCACAATCCTCGTCTCATATTCAGAGTGCTTGTGCAATAGTTCTGTCTTTAAGTGGCAGACAGGAAACTTTTCTTTTATACTCTTAAAACCTCTACTAGTTTTATGTTTATTGTCAAGAGATTAATATCTTATTCCATCAAATCAGGGCTTTTTCATAAAGGATTAGAAGTGACATCTGTCAAGCTCTAACCTGGACTGGGGATCCTCCCATTGAGTCATCAAGCTTCACTGTGAGGAACGCTGAGGCTGCCAGCTCATCCTGGGTGCACTTCAGCCCCTGCCTGTTATAATATAAAACACACACACATAAACAGAAAGTGTTATTCACTGCCTTATGTATGTATGTATGTGGTCTTTGGCTGAATGTGGTGGGGTAAAGTGAGTTCATGCTCTGCTACAGCTTTTAATTTAGAGATTACATAGATTACACTGCACGCACGTTTGCTTGGATCTCTTTTACTCACCAGGTGTAGATGATGTGTTTCTCGCGGCCGCCCTGTCCGTAGCTGTAGAGGATCAGGTAACAGTCTCCACCGTAGAAGTGACCATGGGTGCTTGGATCTACAGGCACCTTGTCGCCATTCTCAACGCGCCATATCTAAAAGCCAATCACAGTCATTTTGCTGTACATCACAGATTGGACTTCTTTATGAATATGACTACACGAAGCTGTATGAATGCTTTTAAAAGAACTTTCTGTAGCCCTCATACCTGGACTTTGCCTGTTCCGTCATCCACCATGCCATGCTGTGCTGCCATGGCCTTGTTGGAGTGCAGGGTGGAGGCATCAAAGGGCACCTTGGCCACTTTGGCTATGCTGCCAATAGTGTAAGCCTTACTAGGACCTGTAGTCTCATCTTTGTCCCTCCAGTCACTGAAGAACTGCTTGAACAAAGATGTCTCAGCTCCTCCAGGAAGGACTTGGATCTATGAAGAGGACAGGAAAGGGGGAGGTTTGGTCTGTTTAATTTTCCCTTGTCTCATGAACATTTCAGTAATAAAACCAGCTGTCCAGGTAAAATATGCTGCTTTTCCACACGACATGTGGTTCTACCTGTGTCTGTTTGGAGTATCCCCTGTCTTTGATGAACTTCTGACCTGCTGACATGGCTGCTTTGCGCTCTGACATATTAGCCTTGGGACCTGGTTAGAACAAGATCAGACCTGACACGTTTAGAAGGCCGAACTTCTCAAAAAATGCATCTTATTTTTTAAAGAATATTGAGTATTTGTGTTCTTGTTACCTTTCCAAACAAAGATGTTCCTGTCCGCTCCATTGTCCAAGATGTAGCACTCCTCAAGGGCTAGCATAGCCTGCTTGAAAGGACTGGACTCAGCCACAAGTGACACCTCCATCGTACCAGACGCATCAGAGATCTGTGAAACAAAGAGACAACATCAACTACCAGCTCGTTGAAAAGGGGATTATCAAGTGAGGATGTCCATATCCTGCACATATCTTTGTTCATTTTGCTTCTTTTCATATGTGCTTATCTTTAACATTCTTATTAATCAGTGTACATATAGTTTACATAGTTTTGTCCTTTTACACTTTCAAACATTCCAGGTTTGTTGTGAGACTCAGAGTTTTGCTTAAAGGTCTTTTATTATCTGGTAATGACATAGACAAAAACTAATATTGCTTTTTTATTGACAACAGCAGCAGAGAAAGCCTTTATAAGCAATACTGAAATTTTCTTTTATCGGTTTTAATGCTTAACTGTTGCTGGGGAGTAGCTTCTGCTAAAGACAAACATAATTGTTTTACATTTGCCAAAAAAATATTTATAACAAAAGAAATATATGGACGTAAAAAGACGGCAGATTGAAATTTCTTTTAATCAAAAAACAAAACTTTGTGTACAAAACAAGATCAGCAAAAGGGGACTGTGCTTTGTCAACAGGGGGCGTCAAAATTTACACCAGTTCTTCACAGAAACCTAAGTTGTGAAAATTTATGATTAGGGGTCCTTAAATTGTATCTGAAAATATATGGGTAAAACAATACTAATACTAATGACCTATCAGTCAACTTGCAGTCATGTTGCTGATATGTGGGTCTGGAAGTGCTGTCATTATGTTTCCCATTGGTTTCAGATGTACAAACCCAATTACAGTCCTTCTTTAAAATGACGACACAGAAGCGCCGCCTCATTGTATTAAATATCAGCTATATGTAGTGTCATTGACAACCCCTACTTTAAACTACTGCAAGAATGTCCCTAAAGTATATTGATTTTGCATCATGTTTTTCACAAAAGTAGCACTGCGGTGTTCTTCCTATACTGGAGCGCTTTATATTGTAATAATTTAGAAAGATTTTGACCCTTTTAATTATGATAATGGGTTGATGAGATAAAAAACAAGAACGCTTCAAAAATATTGCAGTCGAATTTGACACCACCACACATTTTAACAACCTTAGTAACAGAAATAATCGGGATATGACATGCTAAGTGTATTTATTCATTCTTCTACTCACCATGTAGAGGACACTCTTCTTCCTGTTGGAGGTATCCACCCTGTCGTCATCCTGAGAAGCCGGGGCAATTTCAGGTTTGGGCCCCAGAGCCTGAAGAACAAAATGTATGAGTTAGGGTGCTCCTTACTTCGTCATTACCATAAAATGTACTCTAAATAATAAATGAGACATCAAACACAAATAAATACCAAACAATTTGAACTGTTTTATTTTTAGATCTTAAGCTTTTCTCAGACTGGACTCTTGTTAAATCAGTTTGTAAATTAAAATCTCGGACCCCCTTCCCAAGCCAACCAGGCCTCTCTGGAGTTTACCCTCCTCGCATGTTGTAAAGGAAGTGTTTACAATGCCGCCTTGGCAAACAGTTGGCACATGAGCAGATCATCACAAAGGACTTCATTGTGTCCACCCGTTCCCACGCTGACTAACTCAGCGACTGTGAAATGCATCAAAATCTCCATAGAAGGGCAATTTCTACTAGGGTTAGAACTCCATTCTGTGGCTGAGGTTCACCAGGAGAAAATCAAACATGCTTGTGTGCGTGCGTGCGTGCGTGCATGCGTGCGTGTGTGTGTGCGTGTGTCACCTCGATGACTGCTTCTGGTTCCTCCCCCTCTTCCACTATATGCAGCTTAGCTCGGCCATTTCTCTCATTATCCCTGATGTCAATGGTGACCTCAGCAGCCTTTAACCTCTCATAACGGTTGCATTCAGAACCACACCACTGGTACACATCCTGGAGGAGAGAAGGAGGGAGACAGAAAATTGGGTTGATACCCCTGGTATGTTAGTGGGCTGCTAGTAGCTTTTGTGACCTTGTAACAAAGCATTTAAGTTGACAATATTTTAACTGTGACTGGATGTTTCCCTGCTCCAACACACCTGATTCAAATGATTAGCTCGTTATTAAGTGTAGCAATCAAGACAACCCTGGATGTGAAACCCACACATTCCTCACAGGAAAGTTCCTTATCTGGTCCCAGGAAACAGGATATAAATCTTTCCAGACTCGTTTACACTTTCAGGTTAAATAAGTGACCCAACCGGAGGTTGACTAAACCTCCGACTCTTCACGATTGGTCAATTCGGAGAACAGAGACAGAGTTTTATTACCTTTCAAACTGACTCCATTTGCTGACCATCTAAATAAACATTAACGTCTCAACCCAGATCTCCCATTTGAGATTTAGTGTCTTAAAGTGTGTGAACATACGGACCCTAGGAAAAGGGGGGACACTGACCTCCAGACCTCGGTCGTAAAACCCTGCTCGACCATACACTGATAAAGACTGCATTCCTTTGGTGAAAGAATACAAATGACTGATCCTGACATCTTATGCATTCAGCAATGTACTAATCTGTCTAATCATGAAATTTGTGTTAAAATGAGATGTTTCCCGTTTTTCTATGTGCTTCAGAAGCCAAATTATCACTCCGGATATCTTTAGACCAACAGCTTTTCAGACTGTTTCATGAACTTTTAAGAGTTAAATTTATTGATTGTGACTCATAACTTAGCTCTAATTAACAGAAATGGTTTAGAAATGTTTGTTCTATATTTTAATCGTTTATTTAGTATTTTTAACCATTAGGTGGTTATAATGTCATTGAATAACCTGAATGTGAGTATGTAGAATCCATTATTAATCATGATGACGTTCATTCACATGTATTTACTCTTTTGTTGTTCACAGTTTCCATGTGTTACTATCTGTTTCATTTCAGAGTAATTTAGCATGTTCAATGTGATACTTAAAACATAATGAGAATGTTTGATGTGATCCTACACTTCATTCATATGTGTTTAGTATCAAATTATTTATCATGAAACCAAACATTCAATGATATTAATCATAGTGAGTGAGTATCAGATCTGACTCTTTTGCCAGCCAAAAGAATAAGTTAGATCAAATAATCAAAGACCACACGACCCCTCCTCTGTCTCCTCACACCCACACGCCGGAGACACACCCAGTGTGAGAAGATAAAACCAGTGAAGTGGGGTTGCTCACTCTCTTGTCCATCTCTTATGCTCTTACTCTCTTATGCTTCTGCTCTTCTGCTGACTCTCTTGTCCCCGGCTCTTATGCCCCTTCTCTTCTGTCCACACCCTTCTGTGGTCCTCTTCTTCTTTGTTTTCTCTTAGAACTTTTTCTTAGTCTTCTAAGTTTTACGCCACGTGTTGATTCACGTTGATTTTTCTTTAACATCGTCTTAGTTCAAGTTTTGAAACTTCAACTTTTTGTGCGCATAGCAATTCAAGATTAAGCCTTTGATTGATTTTTCTTTAATTTTGCAAAGCCATTTTTGAAAGTTTTCTCTGCTCGAGTCTCGTTTTTCTGAGTTTTCTGCGTGATCTCAAAGTCACCTCTGAACGCAACCCAGTAGGCCCAGGTCATCCTCTGTGCCAGAGTTTTTGAGTGAGACCAAAGAAGTACCCAAACGAGCATCCACAGGATCCACAGGCGCTGGCTTTACTTTGGGCCCGAGTGCTGCAACTCCTGGCTCATCCTTCGGCTGACTTCAGTCGTCTTCTGAGCTGAACCGCTCGAACCGCCAGTAGCCCCGGACCTTCGGAACCTGCTCCATCTTCTCCAAGGACCAGTCTCACTTAAGTATGCAAACCTCCAGAGCTCTAAAGAGGGCTGATGCTGTCTCATGCGTTCATAACTTAGATATCCACCTATTTCTGGTGATCTTAGATTCCTCCAAATCCACATCCGAGTTTATCTCGACACCAAAGTTAGTGTAGGTTAATATGTTAGCGCATATTCACTCACTATCATTAACTTTAGTGCTCTTAGCCTGACTCAGAATCTTTATTTATTCACCTATTATTATTTATCTTCATTATCTTATCATCATTTATTGCATGTGTGTTGTACCATCATTTATCCTGTAATAAACAGATCATTATTTTTCTAAGTTCCTGTCTGTTAGTGTTCTTCCAGAAGTGGAGTCCCTGAAATTAGAATTTCGACTTAAGATATGAGACTGATTAATTAAGACTGATTAATTAAAACTGACTTGATGTTTGATTTCTGAATTAAACTTTTGTTTTCTTTATTTTCCCACCATTAAGGGTGGGTGGTGCCCCTTTTAACGAGTGCATAAATGTCATAATTTGAGATTATTAATCTTCAGACATTTATTATAAATTCCAATCGCTGCAGTATTATTTTGGTGCGGCCTTGTGAGGCTCATTTCAAATCGCTACATATATTTTGGTGCGACCGTGTGAGGCTCATTTCAAATCACTACATAAGCCATTACAGAGCTTGATAATGAGCTGATTATTTGAATCAGGTGTGTTGGAGCAGGGAAACATCCAAAACATGCAGGACGGGGGGGCTCGAGGACTGGACTTGAGAACCACTGCTCTAGAGAAACATTTCCTGATTGACTTTTTAAGCATGGAAGGTGTTTTTTACTGCTCTGTTGAGTTATCTTAAAGTCTTAAAATGAAAAATTACTTTTTAATTCTTGCTTTGCAAATGAATCAGAGTATTGCGCACAAGTTATGCCCCCCCTCCCCACTATAACAGACACAGATGAATGCTGCTGACCTTGCCCAGGTCAACAATGAAGCAGTCTCCTTTGTTGAAGCTTCTCCAGGTCATGTCCACCTCTATGGCTCTGATGGACCGCCGACCCTTGACATGCAGCAGGCGCTTCGCTGACATATCGTTGGTAACCACATGCGTAAAACCAGAGGCCACGCCCCCTTTCTGTAAAAAATCAAGAAGATATTCACAGGCAAGACTTAACTTGGCTCTCAGTGCAAATTTTATATGTAGACCTATGAATGAGCTGAGAAAAAAAAAGAGAGCAACTTGGTACATTATGTGCATTACATAACCAATACATCCGAGCTAAGCATTTGTAACAAATGCACCACTGAGATGACTGAGGTAGAGGGGAAAAGATAATGACACACAGAGCTCAATGTTAACAACAGCATAAGGGTGAAATGAGTTTTACACACGAGTGAAAAACCTCAAAGTATGAAAGGCTGTTAATTTCTCTGCAATATCATGGGATGAACATTTACGCAAATCACAACGGGGAAACTTGTGTAGGGAAAATGAAACTAACATGATGCCTGCCTCTAGAAAGGAGGATCAGTCTGTCCTGTACGACAGTTTTGTACCTTCGGGGTCAGTTTTTCTCTTAGCGTGCCGTCCTTGGTGAAGCCAGTAAACAAAACAGGTATTTACAAGACATGCAAATTCAGCACACCAAATGAGAAACAGATGTACTCTCTGCTAGAAGAGGAAAAACAAAGTGACTGCCTTGATGGATAAAAACTGGTGGGCTTTCAGACATACTGAAGCTGAAGCTGGGATCATATCTTGTTGCTTCATGTACACACAAACTAAGAGGGACCTCCTTCTTCTTTAGACGTCCTCTAAACATTCAGCCACAAAGGCACAAAGTCTGGTTAGGATCTGGAGAAGCAGATTTGATTTGGGCTCAAAAATGCAAACCACATTAGGCTGTTTGTGGCTTTCTAATGGCAGAGGCAGTAAAATTTTCCAAAGCAACAATGCATGCGCTGTTTATTCTACTGGCAGGAGTGTATCACCAAAAAAACAAAAAACAAAGATAATCTGGTAAAGTTCTGCCTCTCTTCCTTTTTACTTAAAGAACATTGTGTAGAAATGTGTATTTGTGTTTGTATGTGTGAACAGAGCACAGTTTCCATCTTCAAGCTTTGAAAGAGCAGTAACAAAAAAAAAAGTGGAATAATTACAGCAAACTAAAGCCAGATGGGAGTTGAGAAATGAGAAACAGACAAACTGGTGAAGAAAAAAAGAAAAAGCTGTCTGGTGTGTGTCTTTTTGAAATGTCCCTCACTGATCAGACGTGCTCGCCTGGGTTCCAGGCAGTCACAGACACGCCCTGAGTGTGGTGGGTAATGTTGTTCTCCCCCTGAACTTCAGACTCATTAGCCCCACCACACACTTCACAAAGTTCACTGGTTGCTGGCAATCATTAAACTCCGAGATATTTAGGGTTCAAAGAAACTTCTGACACAGATTGTTGCTCCATTTGTTTTTGTGTGTATGTGTGTGTGTGTGTATGTGTGTGTGTGTGTGTTCATAAGCCTTGTTATTGCTGTAACTATAAATATTTTATAGAGTATATCTTTGAAATGAAGCCTGAAAACACATTCAATAAAAGGGTCAGTGCTCCAAAGCTCAACGATTCATTGATTCATTAATCAAATAACCCAAACCTTCTTTTTTGCTAACTCTTAACACACAGCAGTGTAAACTTAAGCTCACGTCACATGCTGCATATTTGTGAGATATGAGACTCTTGTTCTGATGTGATTTTCCCTCTTTGCACTGTGTCATTTGAATGTTTGGGGCTTAAAGATGTAAAACTCTAATGCACTTTTATAATAACAAGACTTCTACACTATACTATGGTGTACAGAAGCAAATGAGACTGAACATTTTTACCGTAACTCTTGATACTTTTAAACTCTTGAGACAAAATCAGCAACGATATCAAAGGTTTATATTTTGTCCAAAGGGGGCGCTGATGCTCAGACAAAAGGCTCCTTATGGGAACTCTTAAATTATACTTACAGCTTCATGAAGAAGGTACAAGTCTGTTAGCTAAATGATAACATATTAACATACTCAAACAAAACATTGCTAAAACAAAAATGTTTAGCTAGAATATTTTCCATATTATCCATCCTAGTTTAGCATGTTAGTATGCTAAAATGATCTTCATTGACGTGGTATACCCTCTTACATTTAGCATGCTAATATTTATTAAAACTAATTTGCAGCAACAGACCTTTGATTTGTTTTACCAAATATTACACAAATCAAAGATCTGCATTAATATGATGGCCCTGTGTTTGAGTTATGTGATGACAGAAGTTTAAACCCTGAAGGAAAGTTAGGGCACACCAGCCAGTTTATAGGACATCGTATTGCAAAGCCACAAATATGAACCTCTTCCTGGTGCTAGGTTCAAAGTCAGGGGTTGACAATAATTAAGTTACATCATCCGGTGACCATGAATTTCTGTTTTATGGTTATCCACCAGTTTAAGTTCTTTCTTATAGGCTATTGATTGACTGACAGGTATCTTTATGAACTATGGCTAAAAAGTACAGCCTGTAGATAGCGATCAACTCACCTTGTACTTGATGCCTGACCTGAAGTACCCCAGAAAGGTGTTTGACTCATAGTTCTGCACCTCTCTGAACTGCACAGGACCCCCACCCAGGAAGTCATCCAGCTGTGAGGCAAAGATGGCTGCAGCTCCACCCTCATCCTGTGAACACTCATTCCCTGCAGAGAGGAGACACTTTTAAGTATTTCTGACGCTCATAAATGCTTAAGGATCAAGTTTCTCTCACAAAGTACAAAGTTACGATGTTAGCAGGGCAAACTGCAGATCTGAAGTTTCTGCAGTGACCTGATGTGACCTCTGAGTAATGACTGGTGGGTTTGAATCATTTCACCACATCTGCAGCAGAGGAGCTTTGTATCCTGTTATTACCAACTGATGGCACACAACATGGATTAACTTTCATAACTGTGCAGGAGTAACATTGATCCCATACAGAGGGACTGACTGTGCATTCAGGCTGTTCCTACTGCAGCATGTTGTTCGGGGTTTCAGAGGATATTGTAACCCAAAAAGCAGTCTCTCTGCCAACATAAGAAGAAGACTGGCAAAACTACAAAACTACATGACGCTGCCTGTCTCTGGCCCAAAGGGATTTTCCAGATGTGAGTCATGTGGTGGTTTCTTCAAGGGTCCTGTTGTTGTTACATAACTGAAAGTTTGGAAACAAAACGGGAACAAAATTTAAAGTGGTAAAAGCTGTGTCTTTGTTTAGACTCAGATGTAAATAAGACAGCACTGAGACAGAGACGTGTGGAGGAGAGGAATTTCACAACCAGGTGTGACTTTTTGAGGCCAATGATTCAGGGACACATGCAACAGAGGAAACGCCCTGAGAACAGTTTCATCTGGTTTGCCATGGTCGTAAATACCATCATTGCGGTGTTATGCAATAAAATGACGAAGCATAATGGTAAATAGATATATTCCTTTTACGTAAGCAGCGTATACCCTACTTGTTACCTTCACCCCACATTCAAAATCTGAGGACACAGGATGTCTTAGTAGCTAATCGAATTGTATGCAGTCACACACAGCAGACTGTCAGCAGGAGCAGCATAAGGTTCAGTGTCTTACCCAAGGACACTTCGGCATATGACTGCAGGAGATGGGAACAAACTGTCACCTTTCAGTCGACAGACGAGTGACTATCAACTGAGCCACATTATATATTGGGAGGTTCAAACTTATCAAGTGATAAAGAGAAAGTTATTGATCTTGTACACTGCAAAAACATTTTTTGTAGTTATTGATGCTACTGCTCAGACAATAGATTGTACGTAGCATCAGAGTCCACATCCCTCCAGAATCATCTGTACATCATATTTTATGGTACAGTACAGTATGTTGTTGTATCACTTTAAACCTCTTATTTTCATGGTATAAATCTATTTCAACCATACTCTCAGTCTGTCTCATAACCTTTCGATTATATTGTTTGGTATCATGTTTCATATTGTCACATAGTATGGTATATTGAATCATTTGTGTGGTATTGAGTCACATTAGTTTTATTTCGTACATATCTTACATAATGTAATGTAACCTTACATAACATAATACAACCTAAAATTGGATTATGTAACACAAGGTTTTGTCATGTAATTTAATGTACTGTAGCATATATATAGTACATTTCTCACATTACTATCAGACACAGCTCCCTAATTACCTGAATGGGAACACTGAAACTTCTCCTCTTTTTTATTAACTCAAGATCTAGAGGTTCACAGGCACTGAGGGCACAGGTCACCAAAGAAAAAAAGCACTAACATTAATTTTGTCAAAATGTCTTTTAAAATAAGAAATAGGACATAAAACTTAATGAATGGTTGAATAGATGGATAAATAAATGAATGAGTAATTAAAACAAGTAATAACTTTGCTGGAACACGTTGTTTTCAAATGGGTTTCTAACTGTGCAGTAAAAATGTTCTAGAGGGCTGTCCCAGTTTTGGGAACAGTACGATCCTAACCAGAGGTTTGCGTAAAAAAAGGAAAAAGTAGCCACACTGACTGTACAGAGTCCCACAGAAGGGTTTCATGTGTATTTTCATTTCTTACCCAGCCACATGTGTATGCTGTATGAGGGGGCTGCAGTGGTGAAGAGCAGCAGGTAGGCATCTCCAATGTAGAAGTTGCCATACAGGGCTTCAGGGACTGGCTTCAGGTCCATGTTCTCAATACGCCACACCTGCAGGCCAGGCTTCTTTCCTGCATTCGCAAACTCCCGATGGGAAACCATGCTGACTCTGGATGGATGGAAACAAAAAAATAGAGAGATGCAGAAAGCCAGAGAGAGAGGGGGGAGACAGAGGGATTTAAATACTTTTGACTTGCAAAACTTAGTTACAAAAAAAGAGTAAATCCAACCTGAAGACACAGAGCAAGACAGATGCAGCAACCAACAAATGTTACATAATAATGTGAGGCGTTTTTTTATAATCATCTTGCATTTCCTGGACATGATGTTTTGGTTGAGCTGTGGGAAAAAGCTGAGAGACAAACCCACAGTACCTTTAAATACATGTGGTTTTGTGAAAGGATGCTTCTTCTCACCATAACTGGGCTCCAGTCCAAACTAGACAAACCCGTTTGTATAGCTGTAATAATAACATTCATTTGCAGCATTGCACTGCTAACGCCCTAGAAAGTACGTCACAGGCAGGTGTACGTGGGGTTTCATAAGGTAATTGCTAAGAATATTTTCAATGCGTCATGAAAAAGTAAAACAAATTCTCATACCAATGAGTATGAAAAATGTGCTTCAAAACCCTGAAAAAGCAAGTGTCAAATGAGAGACACTGAATTTAATTTGCTAAATATAAGACGTCTTGCACACTTGCTCTCTGTGAGGGAATCAGATAAAGGCCATAACGTTGTCTGATATAAAGTGCAAGTGTTCAACTGAAGCCAGATTGATGCCCTTTGAACCACTATCAGCAAATATTTAATCAGTAATATGCTTTTCTGAGCCAAGACCACACAACACACCTAACCTAGTGTTTTAGTGCACATATTTTATGAGTTTATTGCTGATATGGAGAGAAAATAAGAATCAGTAGCCCTGTAGTATACGTGCACAATCCCCTCTGCAGGTCTTTTCAACAACTGTGTTACTATTCAGCATTATTCGCTCGATAAAAAAATAACAGAAAACCTCAGAATTTGAAGGTTAGGAGGATTATGCTTTCAAAGATTACACAAGATTACAACACAGATTACAAGTCACTGTAGCAGCAGCAGGATTATTGCTGCAGTGAGGCAGCCGTCGGCCGATGACACAAGATGTGTACTGTGAACTTCCTCACTACCCTTTATCTTAAAATCCATATTTCACTTTGTGATACTAAACAGAAACTACACCCTACACTTGTTAATGCAAGCTGATCATCAATTCGATATGCTTTACTCCAGGAAAAGCCTCGAGCATAATTACAAACGTAGGTCAGCACATCCTGAGTCATATCGTGAAAAGATAAAGTCGTACCATCTAAAACCTGATGCATCTTCCTCCAGAGACTTGGATACACTTACAATAAGAGTTTGAGAGACCGACTCCATCAGACCGAAGTCCTCCTGCAGCAGGAGTGGATCTTAAACTCTATCTACCCACTGAAAGTTGCACTTGGAGGGCGGTTAACAAAAACAAGTCTAGCGCTGAGTCTTCTTCAGCTCTTTCAAAATGATCTCAGTAATTGGGACGCAAGTTCACCACAGCCTTATAAACATGCCAGTGATTTAGTCTTTGAGTGGACAATACGAGCTGGTTAACTTAAGCATACAAAGAGCAATGACTAGTCCGGGCCTTACTGAATATTGATGTGTCATACAGTACAATATCCAGGGTGGCATTGAGAGGATGTAGGCATATCTGAACAATTACTTTGCTGCTATGCTTCATACAACTGTTTGTAAGAGATTTGTTAAAAGAAGACAACTGACATGAATCCAGGGAAATAAAAATCTAGCATTAAATCCAGCCCTAAATAAAGCAGAAAATTCAACATTGTTATGATCACTGTAAGGAGTCCTGGGTTGTTGTGGAGTTTATTCAGCTGTGTTTAACTAGTGTCACATTTCATGCTGCTGAGTAAAAACAACTGCAGACCTCTTCCTGTAACAGACTGATCAATAAATGCAGCATCATGGACAAAATGTTCAGAACACTTAAGATTGATGGAGGTTTCCTGTCTGTGGCGCCATGCACTCTCCACAAAAGGGGTGTGACATATGGTCCATGATGCTGCAGATCTATGAAGTGAGAAGAAGATCTCTAATAACAAACTTTGTCTCATCTCTGTTTCTCTTCTTCCTGCTGATCACACAAAGAACTGTTAACTTAAGTGTGTTTGCAAAATCAAATAAATAGATGTGAAAATTGTACATATAAAAGCTTAATTTTGGCTTTTTTTGAATTTGGTGACACATTTTGCACAACTCTTTTCTTTTTTTTTCCCCCACAAAGCCTATTACATAACATCCAAATTACAACTTCCTGTACTTCTTTGGCAGGTTTTAGCCTGCCGCTGCACTTCACTTACAGAATAAAAGCGGGTCATAACAGTGAGTTTCCCCGAAAATAAGCAGAGAAAGGCTGAGTTTCCATTCAGAGCAGACTGTTTTGTTCCCTGTTTTCGCGTCTTTCACTGTCTGCTGTGACTCAGAGCAGAGAAATTACGGAGATTTTCCACATCTGGAAATCCTCCATTCAAACTTCACAATCCTGAATGTATTCAAGTGAACTCATAGGAGCCGAAAAACAGCTGCTTTAATCGACTACTTTATCGAATAAGAAATCCTGCACGATTTAAAGAGAGAAGCTCCTTACAGACGTGTGTCAAAGTCCGCAAAGTGTCATAATGTGCACATATGCCGAGTGGAAAAGAGTGAACTCACAGTTTGCAGGATGAATCACACAGGAAAGAGAAGTTAAAGCTCTGATGGAGGCTGGAGATGAGGGAGTGAACTGTGCATGAAGAGGTTTTATGTTTTAACGTGAAGTAAAGCAGCAGCAGTAGGAGGAGGGAGGAGGATCCAGACTGGTCTGTCTAGGGGGGCAGGAGGAATCTGATTGGTCGAAAAGGAGCAGCAAAGATAGAGATGCTGCAGAGTGAAAGAGGATTTCCTCAATGTTGAACCTCAAATGTAGCTCTTCCTCTAATTTTGCACTTTAAAGTTCACTTTTTCAGAGTTGTGTCACTGTGAGTTTTTGACTGTGCAGGTGTCAAAGTGTTCAGGGACAAAGTTTATGAGGATCAGGGTTTTCCTTCTGGTGCAGCACTTAAATCAACAGTGTGAATGTTTATCCTCAGCTTATAGAAACAATGTGACTCCAAAAATAACTGAGAGAAAGGTGCCTCACTTTGGTTTCCTGTAATGCACTGCGTCATGAAAGAAAAAATAGCTCCATCTCAAAGTGATTGTTTTAGTCAACCATACTCACAACAAACACACACTATACTACTCCTCTGCCCTTTGTTATCTCTATGCACAAAACATGTTGTGCTCAAAATCCCACTCCAAACCTGAAGGCATGCTTACACAGGACACGCCCAGACTATACTGGCTCTACCTCTCTGCCTCTCTTCCCCTTTGTGCAGAAAATGTTTGTTTTCCCTACAGGTGTGATAAAACACGTGGTTGTATACATAAATGTTAAGCACACATGGAGGACAATGTCTAACCTGTGCATCCTGAAAATAAGATTAAACACAGACGAGGTTGGCATAATGGCTGGCTCAGCTTTCTGCAAGGGCTCCCTGCTGGGAACCTGAGAATATTTTAAAGTCAGAGTTGGCATTTAAAGCCGCTGTGAGAAATTTTTGGTTCATGTCGATTTCAGCGTCGTCTTTTATTCTCTTGTCCTCCATGCTAAAGTAGTGTCCTCTAACTAGAAACCTCACCATGACTCTTTTGTCGGTCATGTTTATCATTTGTTGTGAAGTTTTTCGATGACAAATGTGATGATAGGGCTGTTTCTACAGCTGCTTGGCTGGCACCTTTCCCATCCCACCTGTTTCAGGCATTAAAAATTACAACATAAAATCCATCCATCTTGTTTCTGGTGTTAATTTTTTGCTTCTACATGTTATAAAATGCATCAGTTGGAATTTCAACTTTATTAATGTTTGAAAACAGAAGTTTAAAAACATCAGATTATCCATCATTTGAAAACTTGTGGTTGCTTTATCCTGATGGCTAAAGCATGATGAAGAAACAGAAGGCTATTTCAAAAAAACACTGTTGCTGTTTGCTCTTTTTTAGTCACATTTTAAGAGGAAGTAGTGCTGGTAGATAGACTGTTCTCATGCGTAATTTCATCCTGTTTTTAGGGGGAAGGGGACCTTGCCAAATGTATTATTGACCTGTCTGAAAATTTCACAGAAACAGCTATGAGTCAGTGCTGTTAAAGTCCTCTGTTCGTACCGCCTGCTCGTCATGTACTTCACACAAGAGACATTTTTCCAAATCTTGTTTCACCAAACCAAGTACTGAAACATGAAATGACTGAAGGGAAACAGGAAACATCCATCCTTCTGTTGTTGTTTGAAACCAGAGATCTGTCCATTACTGCATGTAGCTAACATCACATTAGAAAAAAAAAAAGTACAGCGTTAATACTGCCCTTCTGAAATCAGCTGATAACACTGCTGCCAGAACAGGACTCTGGTAAAGCTTATCTTCAAACAGGATGTGACACGCGGGCTGAATGGCTGTCTGCAGCAGCCTCATTGTGCCACACATTGACAGCTGACTGATGTGGGGCCCAGTGACAATACAACCAATGCAGAAAGGATTAGAGTCTTACAACGAGAGGCTTAAATATAGAGGATGGAGAAGAGAACACCGAGGCAAATGAAGCAGAAAGAGACCCCAGCTCTTAAAAAACTTTAACTAGGATGTTTAACTGAACCGACGGATAGATATACTGTATTCACCTCTGAACACTCTATAATCAGCAATGTTTCAAAATTATATACAGCTACAAATCCAGCTTTCTTCTCACAAGTATCCCCCCTAGTTTAATTTAAACCTAACAGGTATAAAGAACCAAAAAAACACGAAATAAAAAAAGTCTCATCTCAGCAGAGTTGGTGATTCAAAGGCCACTGAACAGTCCCAGTCCTTAAAGAAGTTATAAAAAGGCTCATTTTCAAACATGAAAACCACAAGCTACAGTTGTGAAACCAAAGCACGTCATAAAACAACCAAAACAAATAATAAATAATGTTCAAAGATGTTACACTTTATAGCATCTCTTATTAGAAGTTATTTCGCACCTGATGGTACAAACAGAACAATGTTGAGTTTATCACTCATCATTATACTCATGACTTGCTACATAAACTCTCAGCTGTAAAGGTTTGCTGAGGGATTTATGATAAATGGCTTACTGACATAACACTGAACAGGAAATACAGGAATGACCTTCAGGGTCAGTCACACCTCAGCTGCACAAGTGGAATAGCAGGGAACTTCTCTATCATAAAAAATGGTCCAAAGACACCCACTCCCACTCTTTCAGCGTAAAGGTTTTATTTAATGAGGGAAAGGTCAAGATCTGCAGCTCTGTGATTGTGAGGTGGTGTGTGGGAGGAGATAACATTGACCTTTCATCAACGTCCACCGTTAAGGTTGTTTTTTCTGAAGCTGATTCAAAGTGCGCGGCCTTGTGGAGAGGGCCCCTCCTTCTCTAAACCTATTAAATCTGTGAAAAGTGGACCAGAGGAAACTTAGTGAAGATTGTGAAGTGAACAAAGTGAAAAACATCAACTACACTGAGAGAAGTTAAGAAATCTGTGCTCAAAGAAGATTTCTGTCTCTCCATCTACAGTAGATAGCATCTGGTGGTATGAGTATCAGGAGAACTTTTCCATTTCATCTCTTGTGGTTTCTAGCCAGATGAGTAAACATCGGCCTATGCTGCTGCTTCAGTTCTGGTAAAGCTGGTTGCTACTCTTGAAGAGTGAATAGGCTCATTGATTTTTCCAGGAAGCCAGTCTCAAGTGGTTATTAATGCTCCTGAGTGTGTCCAGTCATTAAGGGCTTGTACACCTACCTTGTGACATGTATAAAGACATTTGTCACATTGAATGCAACGCAAGAAGCTGTGAGGTGCTTTAGATAACCTCAACTGCCCTCAAGTCTAACAGGTCCCATGATGCAGACATCTGGCTTTTGATATTAGAGCCAAACTGAATAAGATCATCCCACTAACGATTGTTTGATTCTTCTATGTTGAATTAACGCTGCAAATCATCCCAACATCATCATATCACTGAGCAAACAAAGACCCTGTCGTTTTATTCAGGGCATTATTACTTTATTGTACAGCACAAACACTGATAAACACTGCCAACCTGTGTGTTACCAGCTGTGGTTCACTCATGCGCCAGACAACGTGTTACATCATGTGTTTAACATTTACTCAGTGCTCTCACCAGGCTCCAGTTTGTGGCACTGCCAGTGTTTTTCTTCTCTTTTCTTTTTGTGTAAAATGCAGACAACTCAATTCTTAACCCCAACACATGAGAATGAAAGCGTTCCTAAAGTAAAATAGTGACGTTGCTGTAATGTTTATGATGCACATTAAGATCCTTTCCTTTAGAGAAAGTGTACAGTATACTGTTGGGATAGTTGTTCAACAAAGTGAGTGACAGCAGACTGCAGAAACAAACTTTGTTGACAATCTCATGGGCAAACATTCTCAGTGAGTGATGTGTTGAAGTGTTAAAAGGCAGCAGGATGAGATTATTTATCAGAAAATCTGACTTACAGGCTTGTTTGGCTAAGTGGTTAAGTTGTAGACCCATGTACAGAGGCTGTAGTCCTTCACATGCCCTGGATCACATCTCACCTTCAGTCCTGCACCATGTTATTCCCATCAATCTTTCACCTATCCTCTAAATGAAGGCAATAAAGTCCTAAAGATATAAAATGTAAAGAAAACACTATTCTTTACTCTTCTATTCCTATGTAATCTGGGCGTCTCCTTATTGAGACCAATGCTGTTGCTGACAATATCCCTCAACAAGCTGAAAGTATCAGAACAGACAGCGCCTATATACCCAAAACTTGGTCGACAGGCTGGTGTAGCCAAAGATGGGGAGATTTAAACACAGCAACCATGTGTTTGTAATCTCATCAGCTGCTTTCACACTGTAGTGAGACTACCGCACTTTGTGAAAAAAAACTCCAAGGTGGTGAAACTCAGACAGCTGGAGAGACAGATACTACTGCGTTAACTTACATAGAGGAACTTAAGCTAAGCTACATGGCACGCAATAAACCACAGAGTGGACCACATCCCTTTACAGTAGAAGATGTGCTAAAATGAAGGCTGATAAAAAGGAGAACATTAAGACAGGAATGGTCCTAAAACTTGTTTGCTGCGGATGAGGACAATTGCAGTCTTTGCAGTCTCCTGTGGTAACACACACCAATAAACCCTCTGCAGCTCTAAAACAAAAGAGAGAGAGAGAGAGAGAGAGAAAGACTAAACTACAACCGCTGAGGCCTGTGATGAGCAAAGCAATATAAATAGCCCCCTCTTTCCTGAGTCGGAAATCACTCACTGTGACATTTACACACCTCACTGCCCTGTTGATGGCGGTCTGTGGAGGCAAACACTTTGTATGTTTCACAGCAAATGATAACACCTCAGTGCTGAAGTTATGATTGGGACTAAAAAGCATTATTTTGCTAACTTTTGTCCTACATTTAAATGTAATCCTTAAAAGGTAAAGACTGATGAGCAGAAAGTTTTAAAAATCAGGGAAACAGCTCGCTCTGTACTGACCAATACTCATGATTTACACTTAGAATAAGAGATCTTATGAGTAAATCTGTACAAAAACATTAGTGTATTACAGGAGACGGAGTACTGGACTCCTCTAACCTTGTAGCAGTAAATTCCTGTGAGGCTGCCAGACAATCAGTAGACCACAGAGTACCTAATGGTGGGCATATTATGTCTATCTGGCAGAGCCAAACCTGATGTTCTCCTGTGTTTCTGTTTTTCCACTGTCAGGCTGCCAGGTTTAGCTTCGCATTAAAGTGGAAGATGATTAGTTTCATTTTGTCCTGTAATTCTTGGGAAAATAGAGGAAAGAGCAAATGTATTAAAATGATCTCTTTTTTTAGGACCTTAGAAGGCAGGAGGGGGCAAACAGAAAGGATGAGACCATCACTGATTGTGACAGAAAACCACTTGACTTTTTCAAAACAAAGACAACAGAGAAAAAAGTTGCCCTTAATATTTTAAAGATCTGAATGAAATAACTGACTGAAAAGTGGTGCCTTAGCTAAAGAATCATTTACATTTTTAAAGATTCACTTCCTGACATCTTTAAACCTTTACTAAGTTGTTTAAATGGGAATTATGTGACGCATAAATCAACCTTTAGGAGTAAAAACTCCTCAGACCAAACATTTTCAATGTTCCTGTTATGTAATCTGCATGAGAGGGCCAAATCCAATCTGACCAGCTTCAGCCTGGATTGGATTTCCACACTACCCCCACTGGGTCTTGAGCCACAAATTCTTCCTCTGCTGCTGCCAGTTGTTCTGGAAACATGACTCCGCAGACTCTAACATCATGGGAACATCTAAACAGATGTTCGGAAAGGACACATTTAATGTCTCCGTGGAGAATCACAGTCACAGATAGTGAAAAAGGAATGAAAAACACAATATGGATAGAACATTTTATTCACTTAGCTTATTTAAACTTGTGTAAAAATATAAATACAACATGAAATGCTACATTTATACAGCATGAAACAACTCACAGTAAATAATTTCAAAGTATCTGACCAAGTCTCTGATCATCTATGAGAATGAGAGAAATACATCCTTCTTTCATTAATACAAACCAAAGGGACAGAGTAATGAGGAATGTCCAAGAGCACAGGATTAGAAACATGCACTTGAACCCGCAGTGATGACACTTCTCCTTTTTGAAGAGTACTTGGCGTCATCTTATGTGTCTTTGGTGTCTCTCTGAAAAAAAGGGGGAAAAAACAGCAGCATTTAAATGTGATAAGAAACTCTGAACCGTCACAATCTATACATGAGTTTATAGATTTTTATTTTGATGGTAGTGACTTTGAGGAAATACAACCGCTTTATACTTTATAACTTTATAACTTTATAAGCTGCTGGAGTATCAAGAAGTTCAAATGTGGTGAGGTAATGAGTGCGTGTGCAGGAATCCTCTATAGCTATGATCTTCACATATGTTTAATCAAACTGCTTCTGACAAACAGAACAAAAACAACAAAACATATTGCCAAAGTTTGAAGTCAGTTTAAAATTTGTTTGACTTTGGTGGAGTTCAGTTGGAAGACAATTCTGAACATCAACAAGGATTTCTTTCCTGTTTTGTTTTTGTTTGCTGGGAAGAAAAACCAAAAGCACCAGAATCCAAAGATTACAAGTATTCTTGTGTTGATCTGAGGTAGATTTCCATGATTATAGAAACTTCATTGACTCTTTTGTTCATGTTATTTATGTTTTCTCTTCCTCTCTTCTAGGAGTTGTATTTGTCCACAGAGCTGTCAATCAGAACATCATATCCCCTCTTTTCAACATAAGTAAACTAAGGCCCGAACTACACGTATATAGATATTTATTTATCAGGATATACCAGTAAAAAACTTACTGCTTTGTCAAACACACGTGTTAGTTCTCAAAAATATCTGCGTCCACACTTAGCCTTCAAACCCTATCCTATCTGGTGCCGCTTAAAAAAAGTTCAGCAACAAAGCTACCTGATTGGCCGATGAATCGTAACAACGTGATGCATCATGCATTGTTTGCGGAAGCTACGCTAGTGCGTCGGATCCATGTGACGGACCATGTGACCAATAAAAGTATTGGCCGCAGCAGACGCATCTGTGAGCTGGCTGACTGGTGGATGTAATTGTATAAAACAAGGTTCACTTGCAAGGCTGAAATTAGCCCCAAAAGGGCAAAACAAACGTAAAGAATACCCTGTCTGTCCACCATCGTTGTTGTTATTGTTTTTCTTTTTAATTCGCATGGATTCTAAGTGAACTATTTGTGCAGACTAAAGTAGCCTTTGTTTCCGTATTCATGTCATAAATCTAACGGAGAGTAAATCATCTCAGTCAAAGAAAGCAGGTCAAACAGCATGCTTGAAGAGAAAATATTTTACTTTTATATTTTAATTTTTGGGTTTGACTGATGTTCCATCTGTTATACAAGAGTAGATTGGCTTTATCACCTACACTGCAGCCTATCACCAGGGGGAGCTCTACAGTTTTGGCTTCCCTTTTGGAACAGCTGGTATACATCCATGTTTTTAATAGGTCTATGGCCAGGACTAAGACATGTAAGGCATTCCTGTTTACAGTGATTGATCGATCCATTGTCAAATAGTTTTAGATAAAATCTACTGTATGAACTTTTGTACAAGATGATGATGATGATGATGAGATAAACAAATGCAAATTATGATGCCAAACCAGGCTAAGGAAAACTTTATTTTTTTTTGCCACCTTGTCAGATTCTAGGTGAACTATTTGTGCAGACTAAAGTAGCCTTTGTTTCCGTATTCATGTCATAAATCTAACAGAGAGTAAATCATCTCAGTCAAATAAAGAAGGTCAAGCTCTTTTTGGAAAATACTGCTCGTGCACCTATAGAAATAATGGGAAAAATGCAGAGGACTGAATGCTTTTTCCAACCAAGGCCTGCAAACTCACTCAAAATTAAAGTTCTGTACAGCTGCCTTGAGTTTCTGTTGACAGGTTAACTAATCTTTGCACAGATGTAACAGCTGTTACCTGGAGTATGAAGCTGCATCCATCCTCTGAAATGACTGTGGAGCTCCGTAAGGATGGGTTCTCCTGCATTGCCAACGTCTGATGAACAAACCTCAACATCCCGGTCAGCGTACTGTCCATCCCCTGGTCCTCTGCCACCAGAGTGCTCACAGACTCCCTCCTCGACTCGCTCATGTGGTTCTCCTCTCCCTCCTGCCCATCCAGCATGTACGTGAGCGGGTTGAAGGAGAGGTCAGAGGTTGCCGTGGCCTCAGTGGTGTTCAGACCCTGCCAGCTACGGTCCACAGTGTCTGGAGTGAAAGAGGAGACAGAGGAGGAGGAGGTGGAATCCCATGGCTGCTTGTTCAAAGCCTCTCTCAGTGTGGCCTTCAGGCTCAGAGGGAGACCCAAAGAGGAGTCGGCGCTGCCGCTCTGCAGCCAATCACAGGTTTGGTTTGATATAAAAGGGGCTGAGGAGGGCTGAAAGTGTGTGTGAGGGGGAGGCGATAAGCAAGGTCCACGGTGTGTTGGGGAGTAAAGGTGAGTTGGGAGAGGAGTGGTGGGAGTAAGAGGAGTTGTCTGAGACTTTCTGGGTGAAGACAAACGGGGTTGAGGAGAGGAGGGGATCTCAGAGGAGTGCAGAGCAGGAAGAGAGAGACTGTGGTTGTACAGATTTTGGCGGTCAGCTGCCCGCTCCATGCTGGAGATCCTGGCCTGGAGACGGGTCACCTCGGACTCCTGCAGGGAGACAAAAATACAAAGTTTGATTCAATAGAAGCCTTCCAAACAAATTTTACTCACTGTTCGTGGGTGTACACACTTAGAGATCAAACATTCATGCTCAGGTCTTTTCGCTTCATTCAAATATTTCAACTCTTGTTTGGCGTACTGACACAATCAACCACTAAAAAAGTGTTCTCTAAGCCAATAAATAACTTTTCTTTAACTATGGCTCAAGGGGTTTGTGGTTGACATGTAACTTCAACTCAAAAAAGTCTAAAAATTGTACAATTTGCATCGCAATAAAAAATAATCTGCCATGAAATCAGGCATTTTGGATCAAAACAATCAAATAAAGTAGCTGGACAACTGAGCAATGTTACTGCTCCACAGTTTTTTTTACTAACAATGAGCCTCCTCTTCAGCAGAATCAATATGTGGCAGAAAACCACTGAATAAAGGGGTCAGAAAGAGAAGATTCAAATACTTTCTGAGAGACATTTCTCAATTCTAGATACTAAAGAACAATTTAAATGGTTATAATAATAATAATAATAATAATAATAATAATAATAATAATAATAATAATAATAATAATAATAATAATAATAATAATAATAATAATAATAATGACTTAAAACAGAGTACAGTAAGATTTCATGAGCCCGCCTCAGCCCCCATCCTCCAGTCAATGATGTTGTGTGATGAATATCTGTGAATCTTGACAAATACACTGACGAAATCAACATTTTACTGAGAGTACCTTTATCAGCAGAGACTCGCTGGAGGTCTCCATGTTCTTCTCAGAGGCCTGAAGCTGGCTCTGGAGCTGTGCTGTCTGGACTCTGGCCTGATTTAACTGAGCACCAAGCTGCTCTATCTGCACATGGAGGTGACTGTTCTGGGCTCTGGTCTGCTCGTACAGTATTCTGGTTTCCTCCAGTTGGGTTTTACTCTGCAGGAGCTCGGTCTGGATCAGGTCTCTCTGAGCCTGTAGCCGAGTGAGCTGGCTCAGGGTTTGACCCAGCTCAGTCTTTGTTTGGTCCAACAGGATTCCTGTTTGTGCACGCTCCGCCTCGGCCCGCTCGAGCTGGTTCTGGCTCTGCTGAAGTTTAGTGTTGAGCTGTTCCTGGGATGAGCGCATGGTGGAGGAGATCTGCTCTGAGACTTTGAGGAGCTGGCCTCGGGTCTTCTGTACTGAATCCAGCTAGTGGAGCGGAGAGGAACAAAAACAGGATGAAACCAGAGCATTTTCTTTAATGCTGATATGGAGCCTGATATGCTTCTCTGAAAGGTAAGTGGGGCCCACAGAAGCTGTCCACAGAGGGAGGGAAACAAATAACAAATACCTCTGTCACGAGTGTGAGCAGGAATCAAGATTTCATCATCTGTCTGTGGGAGAGATGAAGTAAAAAGAAGAGAAACCCAAAGTGGGAGAAAGAAGGAACTGATCAATTGTTATTGGTGTGAGAAAAAGAGGAAAAGAAATCAGACAGGCGTCGACTGGAAACCAAAACCCCTGAAAGATCACTCTTTTTCACAAGATAGGGCCAATGATCGTGACAACAGTCTGAACAGCCTCAAGCCAGACTTGAACCAAAAGAAGAACACGATTAAGGGTCCATCAACTAAACGGTGACTTTGTACAATATTCAAAATAACCTTTGATCGTTGGTCCCATTTCTATCAAGAATTCACATCATATTTCATCTTGTTTTGTTGTCACAGTTTGGATGTGCAGCCTCAGAACTACAGTACCTCTTTGCTGTGCTGCTCTCTCTCCAGCTCCAGCTCTTGCTCTAAAGAACTGATGGTGCTTTGCAGCCCGGCCTCCAGCTGCAGCCAGCCAGCCTCCTTCAGAACCAGCTCCTCCTCCACGCTTCTCAGCCGGCTCTCCTGCGGATGTATAAAAAACACAATGAGGGAATGTTAAAGACATACAAAGATGTACAACAAGAAAAGATCTTAAATAAGTTATTCAGTTGTTTATTTGTTCATCATCATTTTTCTGCTGCTGATCTATTCCTCATACTTCTGAGAATAAGATCACTTTGTCTTGAGATAGTTGATTGTTTTAAATAGACCGAACTTTGACACTTGAAGACAGTTATATGTATTTTTGTTAGTAAGCTGGCAGACTACATTTAAGTACAACGATTGTATAACAAAGATAATAAATGATACTAAAGTGTGCTTTCATGCTCTTACCTTCTCTTTGTGCTGCAGCTTGGTGGCGTCCAGCTCTCTGCTCAAAGCCTCGCAATGATGTTTCGTCTCTTCAAGCTCCTGCAGTACAGTTTCAAGTTTCTGCTGATATGCTCCCAGCCGTTGGGTGAGCTCCTGAGACGTCTAACACACACACACACACACACACACACACACACACACACACACACACACACACACACACACACACACACACACACACACAGATCCAAAGGGGTGATCATTTGTGTATTGTGACAAAGCTTCGATCAATCAGACAAGTGCCCAAATTCATTCAATGATGCGATAAACTTCTCATACTACACTCGGTAAATTCGAAACACAACTAATGTTACTGTTTTTTTTTTTTTAATAAACATGTTGAATTGAAGCTAAGATTGGAAAAAGATCTGAGCAAAACTATTTAGCCATGTAACCCTGAGCACTGCTGCTGGAATAGTAAGGTTAGATGCCCTTGATATACTGTAGGTCCAGTGTGAAAGAAATGTATCTTCTGCCAAAGAGAGAGGGAGATAATATCTGAATATTTCACATATTTGGTAAAACGAGGAGGGGTCAAAGTCAGAAAAATGATCTTTGAGGACTGTACAAGTGTTCTGTATTGTCAGGGTTCAGGTTTGAACAGTGCACAAACCTAAAAGCCTGATCTTTTAGAAATGACTCAACACCTGGAGCCATGTACTGCTTGTTGGTGTAACATCCTGCTGTGCAATGGTCTTCACCATGGTTTTACATATTCACTCTATTTATTTATGGGTTTTTTTTCACTTGAGCTCAGGCAGCTCCTGACCTTCATGTTTCTGTCTGTGAGCTCCTTCTCTGTGTCTCTCAGCTCTTGCTCTTTTGCCTCCAGGCTCTGCTGCATTGACTCCACCTTCCTCTCCATCTCCTGTTTGTGGTCTCTGATGGCCACTTCCAGCTGGGCCAGCTGAGGGTGACAGGAAGAGGGGGTTGAAGGACAAAGAAATATGGATGCAATTCAACCTTTGAATGAAATTAAAGACACTGGTATTTGTGTGTTTTGTACCAGTTGTGCTCGCTGTTGGAGCTCCCCCTGTCTTTCCTTCAGTGCACTGTCCATGTCTAAGACCTCATGAGTTCTCTCCTCCAACTCCCTCTGGGTCTCACTGTGAAGCCACAAACACATTTACTGGGTAGTTTATTAAAAAGCTTTTATATTAGCACTTAAAAACACTGTTACTAAATGACACGTGGAACTGGGACTTGGAGACAGAGTATTTGAACTTTGTGACACTTGCTAAATACAAGAATCAGGATTTGAGGACTTTCTAAGGGGTTGATAGTCGTTTTTAGACTGACCTTTGGTTTAATTATTTACATTATCAAATTTCAATGGCTTATTATGTGGAACGAGGCTTGTGAATGTAGCTTAGAGCTGTGAAAAAAATCAATACTCTTTTTTTATCAAAGGAGATTTTTATATCAGTCATCTGCTTGTTCCGACTACTGAGTGGAAACATTCTGATCTGAAAGACACCAGAGAAGCTATTGAAGGAACAGACGGTGTGACTAATCAATAAAGTATAAAGCATTTTAGTGTTTTCTTCTTGGAAAAAGAAAATCATTAAACCAATGTGTTCAGTTGAGTGCTTGATGTACAGTTTCTGCACACAGTGTTTCACAGTTTGTTCAGTGTCAGCGATGCTTTCTAAACAAAAGTTACATCTCAAAAACAGAGAAGTACGTGTACATTAGTCACTTAGGGGATTTCTCAATAAAAACAAACACAGTACAATCACAGTATCTGAAAAGTCACATTGTAAATCATACAAACAAGACACCTTTAGCAGGATTGATAGTTGTGTCTGTGTGACTGTTTGTGTGCTTTTAATACAAATGTGGATAATATGTTAAACAGAGATGAGTCCCACAAAGCCAGAACAACATCACATGATCTCAGACCGAGGCCCGCTCCTGCGTGCAGAAGGATATTTCCTCACCTAAGCTGAAAAGTCAATTTTTCCACCGTCTCTTGCCGCTCGTCTGCGGTGGTTTGGGTTCTCTGCAAAACATCCCTGAGTGTCTGGAGCTGCTCCAGAGTGTCGGTCAGCTCTTTCTGCACATCCTGAAGCTGTACCCCTAGGAGCTGGACTTGCTGTATGCTGTTGAGCCTGTCGGCCTCACAGCGATGGAGCTCGTCTTCTAGATCCATCACTGTAAGAAGTGAGATGGAAAAGGTGAGAAAAGTTTAGGACAGGCCAGAAAAGTATAAAGAATCAAAAATGAGTGATGTGACTGCACGTGAAACTATAGCGTACCGATTTCACTCTTTTTCTCCAGCTGGTTGGTCATGTTTTTCAGGGTTTCCTCTATGCAGCTGATGTGAGATGTCTTGATGGCCACGTCCCTCCTCAAACGTTTCAGTTCTGACTCCTTAGAATCCAGCTCCCCTCGACACTCCTTCATCTCCGAGGTCAGGTGGCTAAAGGTCACACACAGAGAAGATAACAAACATCATTAATTCTGTCATCTTAAAGTCCAGATTAAACTAAATTACCAAACAAATTGGGTTTTTTTTAGAAACTGTGCAGCAACAAAAAAAGTAGGCATTGCATTCAAGATGTACATTTTCTCACCTTAATGTGAGCATGGCCCCCATTGCGGATTTAAGGAGAATTAAATCCCTCCAGCACGTTTAGAGTTGCTAAACTACAGTACGCACATGTGCCTTTCTATGGCACACTTAAAAAATAAACATGTTGGAGCTTTTAAAGATCCCAGAAACTAACCAGCAGCAGCTCCAGAGTGAATGAAATAAACTTGATGTGTTCAGGCTTCAGTTAGATCTCTGACTCAGCCAAGGTCCTCATTTATATATACACTTGTTTGGGGATCAAACATGTGTGGGCAGGGCTTTTTTGGTGCCTGCAGACATACTGGCTGTGGTGTAATCATGAGGCTGTCCCACTGTTTGCTGCAGGTCAGGAAGAAAAAAACTTGCAAAGATGTTCTTTTGGAAAACAGTCTCAAACAAAAGCCCCAAACAAACTGCTTTCAGTGGCTGCAGGGATAAATGATGACGTTATATAACACTGACCAAAAGTCATATAATAAAAAATGTAACATTTTCAATTACTTCATATTAAAAAAGCTTCTATGATTCAGGTAAGCACAATGGTGTCCCTACCTGACAGATTCAGAGAGTTTTGTGAACTGCTGCTTCATCTCCCCCAGCTCTTGGTCTTTCTCCTCCACGTTCAGCTGTCTGATCCTGACCTCATCCTGCAGAGCAGCACGGGCTCGTTCCAGCTGCTGCTCCAGGCTGGACACCTGCAGACAGACACAACATCAGTGGGACACAAAAAAAAACAGACAGACATGCAGGTAAAGCAGGAAAACCCATGACCGGATATCCAAACATTTTTAGAGCAAAGTTGTCTTGAAGCACAGACTTTACTACGAAGCAAGTTCAGCTTACTTAGGCTCTCTCTGCTCATGCTGGCTTAAAAAAGCTTATATCCTAGTTCAACCACATGTTTGAATGCCGGCCTCCTGCCTTGGCTGAATCTTTAGGAGCTGAACAGCACTTTGATATCCTGATGCAGTGATTTCTGTTACAGCCACCTTCACTGGTATACTTGAAACCAGGACAGAATAAGCGGGGCAGATCACGCTGACTGGAAACCATTGATGGACATCTTATAATGACTGATGTATCATACTGACTATTTGTGTACCAAATAATTCATTTATAGACAGGGTCTCTAAACTCTGCGTCCAGTCTCATTTCTGAATCGCTGGTCTGACTGGCACAATGGCAGCACTCTGTGAAGGAAGTGCTACAAGAGAAGTCCCCAAAAAGAGATATTACTCAGAAAAGACGAAGCATAAGGTTGACTCTTTGAGGGTGGATAAAATCCAAAACTCTGGGCATAACCTGGTCCCAACAAGGATACAAGTGCAGAGTAAATTAGTGTCAAGGAGATCTAGCCAGGTTAAAAGAACGCCAGTTCTGTGAAGCTGAGAACTTTAATTCCAAATGATAAAGATGTTCATGCTCAGCTTTACCGACTGAATGGTGTTCATTGTGCTGATTGAGGACAGAGCGTGCTGCCTGATCAAATGTGCTGAACTATAAATGGAATCACAAGCTTCAAAAGGAGGAAATGGAGCAGATTTAGCACACGTTTGTGATATATGCAGTGCAACGGCGTTAGTTTGCATGTCTGTCTGCTAAAAAACTGCCACACTTAACACTTTTGCACTCATCTGGCTCACCCTTTTGCTGAGAGCAGCTGACACTGAACGCATTCATTTGATCAATCAATTCTTATAGCAGATTTGCTTTAACACAGAAGTTGTGTTATAAAATAAAAGGGGGATTGCCCCTTGGCTGCTCAACATGAAACTCTTTGTGACCAAATGGAATAACAAAAAATGCTTCAAGGCTGAAATTTCACTGTGAAGCAATTTGTTTGTGGAAACTTATGAACTGAGATTGAGAAGACTTTTTAAAACCAGTTTGTATCGACACTATATGGTGTATCCTCCTTGTTAATGTGTAAAACATAGAGAAATACAAGTTATTTGCACAATCAAAGTGGGGATACAGAGCAAAGATACCCGTATGTATGATTTTTCAATGTGCGTTGCTGTATGTTTCATTGGCTTAGTTAGTTTTTGATTTCTTTCAGTGGCACAGCCTGTGAGCTGCTTCATGACATTATAGTTCAAATTTACACCCCACATTTCACTTTGTGCCTCTAAGCCTTATAGATAACTCAAAACCACTCCGTGATGTTATGCATGAATTCAAATGTACACGAACATGCCTACCTGAGTCTGCAGCTGACTCTGACTCTCCTCCAGCTCAGAGATGTGAGCCGTGCTCTCTGTCAACATGGTCTGCTGCTGCTGTAGGGAAAGCTGGAGCTGTACGTTCTGTTCACTGGAGCTCTGACACACCAGACTGGCGCTGTGGAGCTTCTGCTGCAAGGAGAACACCTAAAGAGGAGGGACAGAAGAGAACATCAGCCAGAGATCGCAGAGTAAGACCAAAGAAAGTGCTTCTTACATATTCTCCATTAAGCTGAGACTGAATGTCTTGTACCTTCTCCTTTTTCTCCTGCAGCTGAGTCTCATAGTTTGTCTTCACCTCCTCCATCTGCTGCAGGTGTAAGCATAGCTCCTCTTTGCATGCTGACAGAGATGACTGCAGTTCACATACCTGATGTACAAACAGATCTCAGATTTCTGCACTCAGTTATTGGTGTTTTTAGATGATCATGTCTTTGCACAAACCTCTGCAGCAGACTGAGTCGCCTGCTCTTTGAAACTCTGCAGCAACTCCTCACTGAGTCTTTCTTCAACCTGCTTCTGCTGTTTAAAATGAAAATCAAAACCGTTAGGATGTACACAGGTTAAATTATGGATGTTTTGCCTAAAACTGGAGACTAATTTTTCATCTGACCCTATTAGGGTCTTACATTTAGTAAGACTTGTGCTGACCTGTGTGAGTTGGTCTAAAGAGCTCTGTAGCAGAAGAGCTGCTCTCTGAGCATCGTCTCGCTCCCTGTGGAGAGAGCTCAGCTCTTGCTCCATCTCTAAAACTCGAGACTGAGCCTCCTCCAAAGACAACTGCAACTGTGGGGAGAAAATACGTTTACTTACTGAAGGACAGTGTGAAACCCAAACCACTACGGACCTGAAAAAGGACGCATATTAAACAGAGTCTGAACATGTTACAATGCTATAATGTCATTTAGCAGACACTTTTGCCCAAAGCGACATACATTTGAGCGCAAATACAACACAAGCATGGATCGAGATGGAATGAAACATCAGCAAGAGCCCAAAACTGCTACAAGTGCAACTGGGAACAGTGCTGTCAGTAGAAAGGGACATTGGTTTCAGTCAATTTACTGCTGGGGACAACAGTGGATTAGAGCTGAGGTTCAGTGCATATGTCTTCTCCAAAGAGCTGAGTCTTGAGCTTTTCTTAAAGGTAGGGGACAACAGAGGAGAAAAGTCTGGCTGGTGACTTATGGCCTTCATTTGCAGAGCCTAAGAGGCAGGAAGGAGTGTAGACCTGTACAATGGACTGCAGGTAAGTAGGAGCTGATTTAGCTGCAGTATTATAGGCAAGAAGTAGGGCTTTATATTTGATGAGCGACATGAGCTGTTTTGGGCTGGTAAAGAACCAGACGGGCTGCTGTATTTTAGACCATCAGCAAAAGTTTGACTCCTGCCAGTAAGGAGTTACAGCAGTCAATGCGTGACATTACAAGAGCCTGTACTAGAAGTTGTATTGTGTGCTCTGTCAGGTAGGGTCTGATGCTCCTGATGTTATAAGAAGCAAATCAGCAGGAAAGAGCAACCGAGGTGACGTGAACCTTAAAGGTTAGTTGGTCATCTACTACGACACCCAGATTCTGAGAAGACTTTGTGGGAATAGAGGTGAAAGGAGAATCCATGAGAGTGGATTATTGCACTGAGTGAGATTGTATTCAATAAGAAAAGCTGGGGACCAAGCACTGAACCTTGAGGAACCTCTGTTGATAGGCAATATGGTTTGGACACTTCCTGTCCATGATACTCTAAAAGATCTCCCTTTTGAGGGCAGATACTGCTGGAAGGCAGATCAAGAGATAATGCTGGAGGGTGCTGGTTTTCTCCTGTGATCAGAAAAAGCATAAGTAAAATAAAAAGGTCTTTAGAATATATATATATATTTAGTGAAATATAACAAAAGCAACAATTTCACTGAAGAGATCACAGTGAGACAAAGGATGACCATTTCTATGCTGTGCTGCTGCTCGTTGATCTGCTGAGTGTGAGAGTTTTTACACTTCTCCAAAGACTGCTGGTACTCTCTTTGCTTTTTGGTCATCAGGGACTGGTAATGCTGGAGGGTGCTGGTTTTCTCCTGTGATCAGAAAAAGCACAAGTAAAATAAAAAGGTCTTTAGAATATATATACATATTTTTTTTTTGTATAACAAGTAACAAGTAAGAAAACACATAGACAAAATGAGGATGTGTGTGTTCTACCAGAAGCTGTTTCTCCAGCTCAGTGTTGGTCAGCGCAGCCTGACTATAAGCCGAGGTTTTTTCCTGTAACTGTTTCTCCAGCGCAGCTGCACGGGCACTTTTTCGCTTTAACTAAAGAGAAGCAGATAAAAAAACAGTTTGTAAGGGCAATCGTTTAGGCAACACAATCATCAGCCTTGCAACTCGATAAATACAACTCACACTGCACAGAAAACTTGATGTAAATTCAATGTCAACATCAGCATCTTTGAGATCTGAGCATCAATACCAAGCATCATTTTAACATTGATACATATCATATGATATCAAGAAAGTATAGGACACAGAAGACATATTGATCTTTAAGTCAAAACTTTGGATGCTTCTGAATTGGAAAAATAAAGAAATTTCATTAAAAAAAAATTTAAAAAAAAGAGTTGAGTATGATCATGGTAAGATCAGAATATCACCTCTTTCTCTGTGTCTGTGGCTTGGCTAACTTTGTCCAGCAGCTCAGTGTGAAGGCTCTGGTAGTGCGAGGCTCTCTGGGCCATGGAGCTCTGCAGGGTGGAGATCTCCTCCTGGGCTCTGCTCAGACGCTCCTGAAGCCGCTCGGCTAGGCTGCTCTGTTTGATTCGGTCAGATTCAAATGACTGCAGCACTTGCAAAAGCTGCTGGTAACCTTCACCTGAGTGGGTTATATGACAGGGACAGAATCATAGGATTGAAGTATAAGGTTTCTGTGCAAATGTTTCTGTAATTTGATTGAATATTTTTTTATTATTAACTTAACTACTATGTTGCAAAGATCTTATTTGTAGATAAGAAGAAGGTCTTTAAAGGGCAGATTCAAAACTAACTGTCTGATAAGGGTAAATGTAGGCAAACTCTAAGAGCAAAAAAGATCCTGAGGGAGTGGCTCTCTAATTAAACTCAATTTCTGTAATTTAGAAGAGGTTTTAATCCTTAAAAACATAAATATGGTCAGAAAAGGAGAGTCTGGCAGGGACAAAGCGAGTGACAGAACCTTTAGATTTCTGACACAAAAGGACCTGAGTTATAATGACAAACAATAAAAGCACAGATGTGGATTTAGAGTCCTAAATAACTCAAAATATGATGAGGTAGACATAAGGTGTCAGCATACCTGGCTTTAGATTCAGCAGGTGTGCGGTTCCTGAATAGTCCACTTGAGGCAACATGCAAGGCCTGATGCACAATGGCCCCCCAGCAGCCTGGAATTATATAACACAAGTCGTCAGCAAACACATAACACCCTGCACAAGATCACTGATAAGGGCTGTGGCTTGTTTTTTAACAAATATGTAAGATCAAACTCAGTTTAAGGGAAACAAACACACTCTTTATGTAACAGCCCCCAGGTCTACCACAGCGAGATATCAAAAAAATCATGCGGAGCCCAAACTAGACTGTTTGTACTCCTCTTCACCTCTCGTAAGTGCAGCAGGCGCAGTGCTGCCTCCAGGCTGGCCAGCTCAGTTTGGCTCTGCTGAGCCTCTCTGTGGCTCTGGGCCACCCTCTGCTCCTGAGTCTGGGTCAGATCCCGTAGCTCTTTGAGCTCCTTTCGCAGTGAGGCCAGCTCCCTGCACTCTGACGCCTGCTCCTTTAGCCTCCTTTCTAGATGTATGACCTTTTGTCTGGCCTCTTCCAGCTGAACCTGGAGGCCCGCTGCTGCTGATTCAGCCTGCCTCACCTCCTCCTTTAGCCGGCTGGGTCGTGGAAAAGAGAGGGAGGATAAGCGATTAAAACGTGTAAACTATCAAATCAAAGACGTCTCCAAAAGTCTTTTGATGAAATGTACTTTCAGCAATTAGAAAACCGCCAAAACTATCTAAAGAAGCACACCTAATTGTTTGGTTTTGCTCAAGCTTTTCTCGTCCGAACACAGTGCACTTCATTTCCAACTCCTCTTTTTCTCTGTCACACTCAATTAGACTTTCTTTTAGTTTGCACTCACTCTCCATCACCTTTAAAACACAATAAGACACATATGTTAGCAGGTCAATAATATTTAACACTGATGCATTTTAATATTACATTATTCCAAAAACAATCCAATGTACCATCTTTAGTTTGATGGAAATGGTGGCCTTATACTCCTTGAATGCTTCTTTGAGTTTCTCTGCATTTTGTAGCGCTTGGTTTCTTTGAAGCTCTGCTCTGTAAGGGATAAGGTAAAACAAAAGTATTTAAATTGTGAATTTTTCATGTTGTAAAAAATAAATGAAATATGGAAAATGCCTTAGTGGACAAACAGAAGAGAAAATTAATTTGAAACAGAATTCATGCAGTCACCTAAACTAGCAGATCTGTTGATGCGGGGAAAAAAATAGAGTGAACTGTGCGTATTGTCAAAATTCTGATAGATTCATCACCGTTTGCACAGCGCTGTCGTGTTGTCCAGTTCTTCTCGGAGCACAGAAAGGTCCTCGCTGAGATTTGTTACCACAATGTCATTGTGAGCTGCTGCCTCCTCACTGCACTCTGCCCTCAGCTGTGCTGCCCTAGGAAACAGACACAACAGGTGACATGTAAATTAAACTGAGTTGAGAGTACGCTTTACACCAATAACAACAAATCTTATAAATAAATAACTGTCAAACCTATTTATAAATGCTTTACAAAAGAATGCATATAATTATGATGACACAATAATTTCAAAAATTGTGATATCAAAGCAGAAAAAAATTGATGTCATGGAGTTACTTGAGATCTTTTGCCTGAGCCTCCAGCTGAGCTTGAAGCTGACGAATTTGCTCACTCATGATGGCTGAATTGTTTTTAAGCCCGACCCTGGAGCCCCTGAGGCCACTCTAAAAAAGAAAACACACAGAGCATTCTGTTTTAAGTAAAACCCCTGCTTACATAACAGATCTTTTTTAGGTTATTAATCCTTTTTGTAACTTGGCATCTGGAATGAAAACACATCTCTTTTGCCAGTATCATTGGTGTAGTGTGGAAAATTGAAATACCTGTGGCTTAAAGGAGGTCAGGTCATACTGGACAGCATCAAGGTCACTGATAAGCTGCTCATCCTGTAGGCTTAAACAGGCGTTCTCCTGACGCATACAGCTGGTCTTCCTCCTCGGAGAAAGAGACTCCATCCTTTTGATGAAGGCTGACTGATCATGGGAGGTAGCATATAGGATTGTATTCTGTTATTATCCCTTTAATATTGATATTCCTCTGCTGTTTATCACCATGCATCTTGCAGAAAAAATGTCCTTATTTTCACAGTAAAATATAAATGCTTGTTGGCATTGAGGTTCCTGGAACAATTCTGCCAAAGTAACAAATAAATGATCAAATATCTGAACAATATGCAAAAACTAAATGTAATCTATCTAAAAAAATCAAAACTTTAAAACTGAAAAAGGATATGTACATATTATATTTTAACATTAAAACTTTGTAATAAATGCAATATGCATTAATGTACTGTGTGTTCATGTGAAAATATGATTGTGCTTTGTGTGTTTGGTTTATTAATTTACTCTCAGACTGAGATGATGTGCGCTGTGTTCTCCATATATATTAAGTAATTCATATCTATATACGGTTAAGTTAGAGGAATGGAAAAGGTTAATTGTTTCATTGTCTTTCAGCGATTCATCACCCAGCGGTAATTGCTTAAAAATGAGTCACACCCACAATGCTGGTCCAAAATGCTGCAGCCCAAGTACTGACCAGAACCAGGAGAAGAGAGCACATCTCCCCTGTGTTAGCTTCTCTACACTGGCTTCCCATTAAGTTCAGGGTAGAATTTAAAGTCCTACTTTTGTCCTACAAAGTTCTTAGCAGTCAGGCCCCATCGTGTCTTAAAGATCTTGGGTTCTTTGAAAGGTGCTATATAAACTCAAATTATTATTTTTATAAAAGATCTTGTAATTCCTTATCACACTCCCAGAAACCTGCAGTCCTAATATGCAGGCCTGCTTATCACAGCTCAGAGAGGTATGTGTACAGAACTGGTTCAGACTTGGGTCAGCTCTTAGATATCAGGAACAGATTATTTTATTTATCCTGGGGGAAATTCAGTTATGCTGCCATAGGTGTAGACTGCTGGGGGTTCTGGCACATTCAGCACTTTTCCCTCCTTCTCCGTCCTCTTCCTATCTGTATCACTAACTTTGAATCATCAAGTTAATTTAGAATCACTAATATCCAGTCTTTCCTGGGAGTCCCTGTGCTCCATCATGTCATAGGTTACTCTGGTTCGCTGCTGCAGATGTTTTGCAGTCATGGACCTGCCTGCTCTACAGCTGCTTCAACTACATGCAACAATCTCATCTCCATCCACCTCTCTCTTTCCGATTCTCCCTCCATCACTTCCATCCCATCCCTAAAACCAATGCAGTCGCTGCAGATAAATTCTGGTTCTGCTCAAGGTTTCTGCCAGTTAAAGGAAGCTAAAGGTGAAGCCAAACTGACTGGTTGTCTAATAATGTTATTGGAGAAAAAAACTACTCTCTCTCTTACCCCGGAGTTGCAGTTGGGTGGGCTTAAACTCCCAGCAACAGCACGTCTCTCGTATATCCCACTAGGTCTCTCCTGATATCACAGCTTGACTGGGATAGGGGATTATCAGGTGTCTGACTGCAGAAGACAAGATAGGGGAGAGTGGGGTAAGTTGAGCCAAAGGGTAAGTTGAGCCACCCCCTGTTTCTTGGAAATGGTAAAAGAAATTAGTCATGTGACCAAATATTTAGGAGTTGGGCATCAATTCATGGAGTCTGTGAAGGTTAGAAGCACGAGTGAAGGGGTTAGACATTTATTTACAAAAAACATCCTTTACTCCTGAAAGGGAATTTAGTCTGTCATAAGTTTTATTAGAATTGTGTTCAGACCAAAAACAATCATTTTAAATTTGTTTTATACATCAATTTTAGTATCTATGAGCTACAACATGAGGTTAAAAACCTAACATAAAAGTCCACCATAAAAGTCATCATAGTAGTTCTGGGGTAAATTGAGCCAGTGGCTCAACTGAGAAAGTAAAGGAGTCTGATGAGAGGATCAGAGTTTTAGTTCAGATTGTTGAAATGTGTTACTTTTTCTTTTCAAAACTACAGCTGTGAATGTTCTGAATCACTTAAAGGCATTCTCATGTTATAATTGCTTTTTACAAAACAGCTTTTTATCAGTTATATGCAATAACAAAAAGAATTATTGTACCAGTTGAATAGTGTATAACAGATAAAAATACACATGAATGTGAAGAAGTGGCTGTTATTTAGGGAGAGAGAAGGTGAGGGAGGGCTGGGGTGGAGAGTGGGGGGGGGGTAGTAGGGATACGGCTCAACTTACCCCGCTACCATGGTCAACTTACCCCATACACAGGGTAAGTTGACCATAGGAGACCAGTATTTTTTGGCATGCTATATTATCAAGACAGTTATGTTTACACTCATGCTGTTGGTTTGCAGCGATGCACAACATCTTGAAATATATGCAGATACACTAGTTAGAGACAAAACTATGATTGCCTTGATGTAGTGATCCGGAATATGAAAAATGGCTCATCTTACCCCACTCTCCCCTATAGGTACAAATGAATGAGGGGTCGAAAGCATTGGAACTGTATCAATCAACAGCTAGTTTAGACTGTGGGTATACCATGTAGTTATCTTACCTCAGTTTTTGTCCCAAACTGTGCAAACTCACTTCTGTCAGTTTGAGCAGACTCCTCAGCCTGGCCACCTCTTCAGTTTTACTGTTCTCATACTCAGACATTAGACTGGATTTATGTACTTGTTGACCCCAAATGTTTGCAAAATGTAGCACCCAAAAAACTCATCGGTGTACCTTTAATTTCTGAACCTACTCGACTACACTTTAACAAGCACACTAGCTAGCTTAGCCTCGCAAAATGTAAACAATAATGCTCGTTGAATCAACAAGTTGCTATGCGGTCACAGTCTTACTTTGTTACTAGAGCAAAACCTACCAGGTAACGATATAACATTGGCGTTGACATATTCGTTCGTCTTGTCGCGTGAAATAACGCCAAATTGTCTAATGAATTACCTACATTTTCCAAGTAACCGACTGTAGATTTAGTGAGAGGCAATGCACCCGAATGATTTGTAATGTAAGCCCCGCCCAAATTCAAAGAACGACATTTCTGATTGGTTCAGACAGTACCATAGGTGGTGTGATTGGTGGAGGCGGTTGTCAGTAGCAGTAGCCGCTAACGGTGGCGCGTGCGTTGAACTGTCAATTTACCAACGGTTGCCCCAGAGATTGAAGAGCCACACAAGACGAGACATAATCAACAGTTCAAAATATCGGCTTTTATTTATACTTTACTAAACAGGTTCATAAGTAACAAGTCAACCTATATCATGATGTATAAAATGTAATAAGAAGAATCTCGAAGAGACAAAAGCAGACATGAATGTTCTTTGGCTACAGAGGCCTGCTGAAAGCCAGTGTGAGCAACATGTTGGCCGGAACTGGCTGAACAGAGAGAGAAGCATCAAATGACTACATCCAGGAGGTATCAATGTCAAAACGGTGTGTCCATCTGTACATAAACCCAAAATAAAGAGCCGGACAAACTGAATATTTACCTCTTGTAGTTATATACAGCATATTGGTTTTCCAGTGGTTATGTGTAGCAGTAAAAAATAAAAAGTCTACTTTTTAGTTTTTGCTCACAAAGAAAAACATGCATACATATGGGCAAAAGCAATATGAAAATGCAGCATATGACATAAAATACTGACCAACAACACTGAGAATAACTTAGATCAAAACTTCCTGTCAAGCTGCAAATGCTGGCCCTTACAATACAGTGAAGTTTTCGGGCATATCCTGAGTGTGTAGACTACATGACTGCAAAAGGAAAAGAAATCTGAGTGCATCTTTATGTTGATATTTTGTTTTTGTTTTCTCACCCATTTTATGCATTAAAAAAATAAAAAGCAACTTGAATCATCACATCACATCACCGGACTTTCTCTCTGTAAAGCCATACGGTCAAAAAACGACCGAACGACATTATCCTGGACTTACTTGCATAGGCAGCAAAGAAGGCAAACAATTCTGAACACTTAGTAGATGAAATAGGTGTATCAACATTCATATCAACACTTTATTTTATGAAATACTATCAAATAAAGCAAAAAAACTCAATAGGTCCTTTAAGCTTTCAAAGTTAATCTTTTACCAATGTCAAATGAAAATGTTATGAAAAAGTTCTGTTGGGTTTGGGCTCCTGAATAATTTTACAACAAAATGGCACTCTTTATGAAGAGGCTATTTTTCAACACACCACATTTAGGTTCAAACTGAATTCAACCAATATAAAAGAGTAATAAAAAAAGAACTTCACACTTTGAAAATGCTGCTGCTTGAACTGAAAAGCCCAAATTCTGTTTAAATGAGATAATAGCCTTGCAGATTTGATATGTGCAATCCCTACTAAAAAAAGAAAGGAAACCAGAGACATCTGCCGAACTCAACAGAAAAAAGCATATGAAAAAAAAAGTAAAAAGAAACAGGGCTATAATAAATGTAGTACAAATATATATAAAACATTTGCAGCAGCACATCTCTTATGTTTTCAGTCTCTCCTGAACTGCTCACAACTGAGCACGCTTTCCAAAACACAACTTACAGATACGTCGACCCAAGGCAACGAGAGGTACTCAAAGATGGGACTAGAGAAAGAGGGGACGTGGTTGTGAGTGAACATAAACTTTGTCATACTACAAAAAAAATGACGAATATTAACCAGAACATTTGTAAATAGTTGCATGACGGGAAACTAATGAAATTACCCTTCTTCCTCTCCACGCTCACTGACACATACATTGAATGCCTGACCAGCTACATTCTGTCAAAAAACAAAGTTTCCTACCTCAATGGTCTGGAAATGTAAAGCACATCACTGGATTGAAAATAAAGCAGAATAAGTCAATGAAAGCCTTCTGGTGCATTGCAGTGATCAACTATTTGCCTCTAAAAAATGGGGATCCTGTAAACATTCAAAGCAGACGCTCAAAGTTGAAAGCAGAAAAACAGACCTAATGACAGTGCCTCAGGTTTACAAAATGAATTCTAATCTTTAAACATAATGAAAGACAGTAATGAACAACATGATCACCCTGCACTGACCCAGAGGGCTTTACAATGAGCTTATCAAGCAAAACGTCCTCTTGTCTATACTAAACAAAGGCATAATTCGATTAATGCTTAGAATGCATGCTGTGTACATTCGTCCTCAGCACAGCCATTAACCTCCAGGAGCCTCTTGTTAGAGGTTACACATGGTGTTCACTATAATGAGACTAGGAGGCAGTGACACCCTCCCACTCCACCAGGTACTGCACCTTGCCGTCCAAGGTGACCCTTCGAGCCAGGACTTTGTACTTTTCCCCACAAGCCAGCCGCCCTGCAGCTCCAAAATAGCTGCTGATGGAGCTTTTGAGGTGGGAGAGCTGGCTGTTGGGGTCCATGCCATGAACAATGTCTGCGGAGTGAAGCCCTGGGAGTGGGGTCACAACTTCGGTCGCTGATGGGTCTGGATCTGCATGGGTGGGTGGGGGGATCTCTGGCTTTGGGGGCTGCAGGGCACGTCTTGGTCGCCCTCGTTTCCTTTTTAAGGGTGGAGCCGAAACAGACTTGGTGCTGGCTGTAGTGCGTGTCTTGCTGGAGCTACAGAGGCTTAAGGGTTGTTGGGAAGAAAAAAACATGAAAATAAACAGTTAAAAACAAACACAGTCTACAGTTATGTGAGGCTGTGGGACCTTTCTAGAACAAAATTAAACTGCTGAACTTAAATTCAGTTTTAAAACCATAGCTGCAACCATTTGAATTATTTTGCAGCCTGGTCAAGGCGGGACTGTTCTATCTCTGCTATACTTTGTTGTCTGTGCAAAGCTATGGATCCAGAATGGGCGATAAATGTGAAAATTTGAAACTTTCCACACAAAGTGATGGATAGGGAAAAGTTAAAAGATTAAGCAGCAGCTGCAGCCCAGCATCACCCAAGCTTCTAGTTTATTTCATTTTCTGGGAGGCATTAGCAAAGGCTGTGTGCAGAAGGGCCTCTGGGAGAGACAGGAAATTCTTACAGCCAATCACATCAACTCTGTGTAATGTAGCACAGAGTGGCAGAAAATATAAACTGACAGTGGCATGTAGCGAAGCATCAGGATGTTTGTAAATGACTGTTGCTGCTTGAATAAAAATCCATCATCATTCCTCTCGGAGGCAGACGCTGCCATCTCTGTTGTTTACAAAAGTGCTGAAGTGGCATCAGACAGGGCTCCTGTATCGCTTTATCCTGGAACTCGCCACTGTTATTTAAATCAAAATCATTTAGAGTGTTAACATCTCCACACCTACCTGCAGGTGCAGAATAAAAATGAGCTGATGATTGGTTTGTAGACACTAGGCTGTTGACACTAGGCTATACCAGTCTGGTGTCAACTAACATTGCAACAAACAGGACAAAGGGTTAAATGCCCGGTTACATCTTAAGAATACCTTGACTGTCTTGAAATGCTAGTTGAGGTAGATTCTGTGGTGCTCAGGGCTTCTATGGATCCTATGGACAGCAAAGACTGCTCACTCCTGGTGTTAGCGGGCGAGTTAAAAGAAAAGAGAAAAGATATTAAAACAGTCAGATAATTCATTAATCAGTTCATTTAAATTTCATGTTACTACCTTGTTAATTCAAGAAAAGGTATAAGAAACAACCATACCAATACAGCTGCCTCACATCTACAGGGCTGATAATCAAAACCGTTAAGAGAGAGGTCTCTGCTGTTGCACACTTACTTGATCGAGGTTAAATGATCTAATGTGTGTGCCTCCAGTGGCAGAGGTCTCCTCTTCTCCTGTCCAAACAAAAAGATGGATAAAAACGTTGGCATTTCTCAACAATTTCGCTTTTAATCTGAAGGTTTCCAAATATCCTCTGGCGAAGAAATGTTTAACATTTTGTGTTTCTACGACACTTCTCAACAAGGATACACACACACACCAAAAACAATCACACACCTGGGCTAAGAGTTCACTGGAGCGTTGGGGTTTGGACAGAGAACGTGTTTCTTGCTTCCTCTTTTTCTTCTTTTCTGTGCCATTGGTTAAAGTACTGCAAGTTCAAAACAGGTTCATAAGTAATGACAGTTGGACATAACAAACAGGATGATAGCTAAGCCTCACATATTATGAAACAAATCAAAGGGCAGGGAAATATTGAAATACACTTCATCCCCTTTTCTATAGTTTTATATCAGTCACCAGAAAAGGGGATTTTTTTGTTTCATAACATCCGAGAATTTCAAGATATTTGATGAACTCCCTATGTCTTAAATTTCCATCCTACCTCTCACTAGACAGGGCTTTGTTGGACTTGCATCCCTTGATGGTGATCTTGTGTGAAGCCCTCTCCATCACTCTGCTGGTCGGCTCTTCACAGTTAGGGGGGACAGGGGGGAAACGGATTCGCAGCCCAAACAAGTGCTTCTTCTTCTTTACTTCCTTCCCTGACATGAACCTGGAAGAGAGGGAGGCATGTCAGGTTCGGTTTGGAAAAAGAGAAATAGGGTTGAACATAAACCAATGGGGACAACTCACATGCTGCTGTTGTTTTTTAATGCCTCCAGAACACATTCATATCGCTGTGATATGGGAGTGTTGGCGAGCTGCAGGGACGAGGGAGGGGAGGCCACCGAACAGAAAAAACAGGGTGCAAGAAGAGAAAAGAATCTATTTTCAGAAAATCAACACCATATGGTAGAAAAAACAATTTGGCAGCCTGGGATAATTTTAAAATGATTAAACCTCTAGAGCAGGCTAAAAATGTGGCTTTCAAGTCCCTGCCCCACTTAGAGTAATGATAGATTTCACTGCAAAATATTAAAAAGGAAACAGCCAACAAGTTCAAGTTAAATCTAAAACATGAATTCTTTGATGTAGAAGGGAATGCTACGCTATACAGAGAAAATGTGTGTCTTTTTGAACGGCATGAAACACTAAAAAAAAAAAACATTTCTCAGCATATGCAAGCGTCCAGAGCTGGTACTGATGCATTACAAATCAAGGATGGTAAATAAACAAATGTGAGGTAGTTTTTAGAGCCTTTACCTCCCCAAGCTGCAGCAGCTCCCAGTTATCATTGATGTATGTCATCAGAACCATCTCGGAGTCAAAGTACTTCTTCTTGTGGATCACACTCAAGTTGAACAGGCTCAAGTGTGTCACATCATCCCTGAAATCATTCAGTGAAAGCTGTTTTTACTGTTTTGAATCTCGTGTAAAAAAGAGAGACAAATGTTGGGAGGATGCAAGAATTATAAGGATTCATACAGAGGCATTGTTTCTGAAAAAAAACTGAAAACTGTACATGATAGCACCACTTTGTAAAGATGGGATACTATGTTTGTGTATCTCATAAAAAGTATAGTATTTTAAAAAGAAAGCTATCCATCTTATATTTAAAAAATCTTGAGAGTGACCCACCAGGTAAGAGGCAGTCGGCTGAGGTACTCTGGTCCACCGTTGCAAACAGAACAGACAAACAGATAAAACCTAAAAATCAAAACAAACACAACAACCTCAGTTTATGCATGAAAAAGGGAAAGATTTTAAAAGCGTAGACTAATGCTTTATGAAGTCAGAATGAGGCTGCTGTATTACCTATCCCCATAGAGCATGGGCATTTTCAAGCATTGAAGACACGCCTCATGGAACCACTGCTGACACCTTTCACACTGCATCATCTTCAGGTACCAGCTATGGGTTAAGAGAAAGAGAAATGTTGGTGAAGAAAAACAGGTGAAGATATATTTTATGACCAGGATTTGAGGAAAGACAGAGGGAAGAGTAGAAAAATTAGGAAAGAGTTATTTGAATTGACGTGCAACTAGGCCTGGAGAGCATGAATCAAAACTGAGCCGCTTGCTTCAAGGACAATCGCCTTCGTACATGGGTTGAGTAATAAAACCAGTAGGACAAACTGGTGCCCCACAAACATGTTTTTCTGTTAGACACGGGCATCCTCATTCATAAGGATTTTGAGATCTGGTCTTTAAGATGATCTACTCACTCTCCTGGACCTCCACAGTAGCAATAGCACTGCTGGCTGTTGGTCTTGTGGCCCTCGTCCCACACCAAGTCCTCTAGGGCATAGGGGAAGGATAGGTGTAACCCCATGTGCTGATGCTGCTCCTGCTGCAGGTAGCTTTTAGCAGACGCTCCCCTCCTGTGTGAGCTCCCCCTCTGTGAACCAGACAGACAAAATGGTTATTAAATCCCACATATAACTGTGTTGATGTTTACAGCAATTACTTTAGCAAACCATATAATGTGATCCAAAGAAATCTGAGTTGAAGTTAAATCAGAGAAAAAAACGACATATAAAAACATATTTCAGCGTAATTCTATTCCAATGCTATACCTTTGGTAAAGAGGTCAGCTCACACTCCGAGCAGAGCCACTTGTCATCAGAGTCTATGACTGAGGCATTTATTATTGGGGTGTGGCACAGCTGATGGTAGCCTAAAAGACAATCAACTTGTTAACATCAAGTTTCCATCTATTTGACAATTCTCTGAAGTGGGGCTAATGTGACCTGATGACAAGACAAAGAAGCCCTAAAGACTGAATGAGAAAAATACTCATTTAAAGCAAGATTTGGAGAATCAGACTTAATGGAAAGTACCTTGTCCACATTTGTCACAAATGACAATCTCATTGGGTTCCTCTGAGGTTTCATCCTGGCATATGGAGCAAACAATGTCATCGTCATCATCGTCGTCATCATCCTCATCCCCTAAAAAAGATAAAAGAAAGTCAGAGCAAATAATCTAAATTCTCTTTTATACATGTAAGACCAGAGAAAATCAAGAGCAGCTAGGCTTTGAAAAGTGTTTTAACATGTAACAGTGCACTTGCAATTTCGATCACCTCTTTGGAAACTTGCTGATCCTGGAGTTCAGTGCATTAAAGTAGTCTAGTCTGAACGATATTAATGCATGGATGACTTTTTCCAAGTCAGCAGGCGTAAGGAAAGACCGAATATTAGTGAACTGTCTCAGTTGAGCAAAATGGGACTGCATGACTTGATGGAGTACTCAAGCTGTAGGACAGAGTAATATTTTAGCCAAAACTTGGGGCAAAGGGTCCAATGCCTGTGACTGTGACTTCTGATTCAGAGTTATTCAGCTGCAACATCCTATACAGGGCGAAGAGCTGAGTTACATTTGTGTTGTAGTCAAAATCTACACCACACTGCCGACACAGGGTTTGCCCCAGGGTAGTCGGTGAATAAGACAGGATCCAAAATGGACATCTACAAAAGAGAGAAACTTGGGTGGAGCATTTCAGATACAGAAAAGAGACCTGTTTGACAAGTGGAAAATAGACCAACCTGGCACCACCACTACAGGAATTTTAATGCATCAATGACAGCTACACACATGGTGTTGGAAGTTTTCCTTTAATAGAAGATTGACTGTGTATTGAGCTTTAACCTTAGCAGGGAGCGATCTATTGGGAAACACTGCAAGTACATTTATTCATCACCTCCACTGGAGGTCAGCAAAAAACAACAAATTTTAACTGCTGGAAACTTGTGACACAGACACTGTAACACAGTACATGCTGCATGTGCACGGTCACTGCTGTTGTATTGATGTCAGACACTGGGGACAGTTAACTGCCAGCATCAGGAGAGGGAAGATAAGACAGTCAAGGGCAGGCAGTGGTGTGCAACTGCCTATGAATTCAAATAAATGACTACTAAACAGTGAAGAGAATGAACTACAGATGCTGCCAGATAAAACAAATAGCATTCATGTTGTTTGATTATCCATGCCTGTCTTTTTATTCCTTAATGAGAAACAAGTTTTCACAAACATATACATCTCCAAGTTTTCAGGTCTTACCAGTCTGAATATCCTTCCAGAGGACCCAAGACTTTGACCGATCCTCAAAAACCACAAAGCATCTCTGCTTGTCCCGGTTTATCTGATGGAGGAAAAAAAGAAGGTTTGTGTCTTCTTTAACACCAGTGGGTGTTTTTGGGTTAAATTAGGACAACTCACATACTTATCTAATAGCTCAAAAATTAATGTCTCATCCTGGAATTCAAAAATTTATGCAAGGAGAGGAGACTGTGTCCTATGAACAAAACTGCAAAGCTACAAATAAAAAATTTCAAAGCTTGTGAAATTTGCTGAAAAAATATATATAAAAATAACATATTTGAACCTGAAGGCCCCCTAATCCAGCGGTTTTAGCACACTAGAAATCCAAGCAAAGGTGCATAAATCCAGGAATTTAAATCTGGTGTACTATGTGCTTGTACCGTGATAGAAAGCTCCTATAACCCAGTGATTGTCCACTTCAAGCTAACCTTTGTTATTGTCCCCAGGTAGAACAAGCCGTCTGACCACCGGGCCAAGACGTCCTGCCCTTCTGTAAACCTGTCAGACATGCTGTCCTCTCCATACTCTCCTCTCACAGAGAGGCTAGTGGGGGACAGAGACACAGCATGCTGCTGCTGCTGCTGCCGCTGGGGGTAAGCTCTGTGATGGACAGACAGGTGGTCCACAACTCCCGAGTCTCTGAAAAACAGGGAAAAGATAGGAAAAAAAATAAGCAGGGAGATGTATCAATGATAAGGGGGTCAAATTTTCCAAATGTGCATGTGCTTCAGGTGGGCCTTGCTTTGTTAATCTAACATTTGTAATCTGTGGGGTAAAGGTGAAGGGTTTTTTCCTCATTTTATTTGATCTCTCTAATGTCCATAGCTTTTAAGAACTGACGCATAGACAGCAAAGGTCTGAAAAAACTTCTTACCCTGTAAAAAAGCTACTTTTCACATCTGCTAATCGAATCTATGCCATTAAAAACTGTAAAAACAAACACATATCCATTGAGCTTGCACTAACAATATCTTTACTTTATCTTTGACTATCAGTTAAATATTACCACAGTACCACCCTCAATTCTGTGCATCTCTGTTTAAATGCTGTCCTGTATGTGTGGCTGTCATGGTGAGTACAAGAATACATTGTAGAGTGTTAAAAAGGGATTCAAAGCACTGGCTGAAAATGAAAAGCATGCCATTTCCACTTCCCTGGACACAAACAACAGGTGATTGTACTCATGATTAGTGCTAATTGGCAATTAACGAAAGCCTAGCAGTCATTAAGATGGCTGGGGGGCAATGCTGACTTTTTGACTATATACCACATCAAACACAGAACTACACAAGAGTTAGCAGGAATTATCATCGACTGGCACTTAAATGTGAGAGTTTATTTACACAATTTTACCACTTGATATGTTTACTGGCAACTGTTAAGCTGCTGGACTGGTTTGATTGTGATAAATTATTGATAATTGTTTTAAATTTCATTTTCATTTATACCCCTGCCCGTCAGTCTGAGGCTCCCTTTGTTCGGATATTGAGTCTGCTCTGTAGCTGCTGCAGAGGACGGGCACAGTTTGCGATAACGCTGCGACGTCTTATGTATAATATATGATTCAGCAACAGCCAGGCCAAGCTGTTAGGGTGACTAAGCCGCATGCAGAGCCGTTAACCCCGGACAGGTCGCTGACCGTCGGACCCACACCCCCCCACAGGAGGAAAACATGATGACATCAATACCTCATTCGGTCACCTCCGCTTCTACAAATGTCTCGAACGATGAAAATTGGAGGATATGAGTTTCCCCCCGTACTCCCGCTTCTTCGATCCTTCAATTTATTTCAAACATGTGTTTGGAGAGCTGGTGGAGCTCGCGCCTGTCTCAGAAAATAACAAACGGTTCATTTTCCCCCAACACGTTCGCCATTTTGGTTTCCCGCTGATGATCGGGGAGTGCATTATGGGAAGCGCTTAAACGCCTGCTGCTGGTTGTTGTCGCTGCTACGCTCACCTTTTTTTTCAAACATTTGAAATTGTAGGCAGGGCATTTACTAAGCACGGCATATCCGCCCCTTAAAGACGCACGATAAGGACTGCTTTGATCAGTGAAACTGCATCTTTTTCACTAAATATCCTCTTAGTGTGGATACACATATTAAAGTCCACGTTATCAACATAATTAAGTAACAGGCAGGGGTTTCTGAGTGTAAAACTTGACTGCGTAAAAAATAATTGGGAGTCAAACGAGGTATTGCTCCAAAAGCCATGATCCAGTTTTGGCTGCTTGCTGGTGCTACAACCCCAGGTGATGATGGCCACTGAACGGTCTTCGTTGGGATGTAATGACAGGTGTTATGTCGTAGAATGCACCCTTGCCGTAGAATGCACCCCTGCCTCCAATCCACTTATTAGCTTCTTAAAGTGGAAGAAAATGATCTCATATTTAAAAAAAACGAATAAAGATATACATATATTGGATCATGACAACATATCAAATGGGGCAGCAAACTTTCGTTCTGTTTTTATGTCTCAAAAATGCACACATAGAGGTGTACAATAAGCTGTCACGGTAGAGAAAGTTATATTTTCGGGACAGCAAATATTCCCAATCAGATGGCTATTGTTTTCGCTTTTGAATCCATTCAGTGGTAAGGAAAACTATTCTTTATTTAACTATTACTATTATTTCGCCTTGTTATGTACTTTCAACCGCGCTTCCGTCAGGGGGCGCATTCTACGGCAGGGGTGCATTCTTCGGCACAACACCGGAAACGCAGTTCATTAACAGCGATGCTTTGATCTTAAGGGCTTTTATTTTTAAAGGATGAAGCGGAATTTCTTCAACTCATGCTTGCAAACTTGGTCAAACTTGTGGGCCGAGCAGTCACACAGTCGTCAAAATCATTACGTTAAAATTATGCGGCACTTGTGAGCGATCTTTGACACACATTTTGTCAGTAGGCTATGGTAAAAATATATATAAATTGTTTTTCGTTTGAGTTTTATAAGCAGGCATTCACTTTGCGCATGCGCAGTGAGCCACCAGCCAGAGGAGGTATGTTGCCTTGGTTGAAAATCAGCAGCTGCTGCAAAGAGCTGAGGCACAGGCAAAGTGCAATATCAGAACGATTCACACGAACTTAACACAACTACAATCCGGTCTCACAGCGGGTCAGAGTGAGGTTGAAGTCGGATAAGATGGAGTCGTTTCCTCTCCCTTTGTAAACCAGATTATTTTATGGAGAAGACGTTCACCTCCGTGTGTTTTGGATGATCTCCCACAGCCAGGTCCACGTATTGAGATGATCTATTTCTGTGATGGCGAAGGGTCTGTTTCCTCGGGCCTGGGTGAAAAAGTCTTTCTACTTCCAGGTAACACTGTCGCTCGATTATTTCCCTTTAAATGAAATCAATCTATCAGACCACCGGTTGTGTTAAAACTGAATGTGATTCGGTCTATAATGACCTCCTTATGGTGCCACATCCGTCTGACAGCTGGTTGTTCATGTACCTGGTCGGGGTTGCTGTGATAGCTATCATGCCATGATTTGAATGAAAATACCTGAGGAATGTGACTGCTGATAAAAGACTGAGTGAAAAAATCTTTCTGCTGACCTAGAATGGTTGGTAAAGACCAGACTGCTGGCCCACGACCACAGAGATTTATACATAACATCTGAGCAGACATTGGTAATCCATGCCAGGCTTTATCATGTGGTTATTAATCACTTAATTAAAAGTTCTGTCCTCCTCATTGTCATGCTGAAACGAGTCTTTATTTGAGGAACATAGCTAGTATCACAATCCTAAGCACCAGGGCAGTAATGATCCTTTTTGATAATATAGCTCAACCTCCTGATTTGGGTATCAGTGGCGTGCTGCCAGCCATTACTCGCAGTACAGTGTAGTACAGTAAGGAGATTAGGCAAGAGGAAGAGAATAGACTACAGAGCTTCATTGGCTCCAGAGAAGGTAAATGTATTGCTTCATTATGACTAAGGGTATAAGTTTATCACAAATGGGAGTAGACTACAGTCTGCAGGTTAAAGTCCTCTAACAGTGTGATGTCCAAGAGTTGTATTATGATAGTAGAGCTCAGCTATTCACCCTCAGATAATATTTAACTTCACTTGCTGCTATTTCCTGCAGCTTCTTGGACTTGTTTACACATTTCATACTTTGCTTGTTAAAATTGTCTCCTGCCTGCACCCCTACTTACTTGCACAAACAACACTGTGCAGAAGTGGTGTCTCGAGTCTTGTTATGCATGGCAGGAGTCAACAAAGTACATTCCTGGCATATGTTTTTGTTTACTGAAGTGTATAACAGGTTTGTCTCCTCCTTTGTTTGGTCAGGGGTTTGTTGCAAGGAGAGGGAGCTAATTTTGTGGCTTATGGAGTGAAATCAACACAGACCTATTCAGCACTAATGTGCAGAGACTTTGCATCAGCATGACCTTGCAGCCTTAAAAACAAGCTTGTGTTAGGATCCTGTGAGTCTCTTTCAATTTACATTGATTTTGGCTCAAATCCGATTTCTTTCCTGATCATGTGTACATGTGCTTGTGGTGTTTTGTAATAAAAAAAAAAAGTCTTATCCTGCTTTCTCTGAACTGTTAGCTGTTTTGCTCTGTGAATCTTTGCAATGCAAAATGTCAACAAACTATTACAGGAGCAGACTGTGGGTGGTTACAAACATGTCAAATTACTGTAATCAGTCTTGTCTCTGATGGTCTCAAAAGCTTTGCCGCAAACGGAACCAAGAGTATAATGAATTGCAGTCATGTCCTGGGAAAGACACAAAATGACACCATTTCCATATGACATAAAGCAAACTTTTGTGCATAATAATGTTAGGAAAAACTTTTTGTATTTGCAACCATCAAAAGAATATTCTCCAGTACAAAATTAGTCTGGACATGTCTGTATCTTCTGACTTAAACATTTGCAAACTCCTGCTGATAACAAGCTTCAAAAAACCTCTGTGACGTGTCACCATGGATTCACTGGTTTGTGGTGACAAACCACAATGTGTGGGCAGGGGTGTTGCTGAGATCTGTTGGAGGGTATGGTACCCATTAAGTCTCTCTATTCTAAGAGGCTGGTTTACAGGGTTATTTCAGTCAAATCAGTTCGTCCTAGTCAGCCCATCTCAAAGACCAGTGGTGTTCCAGGTTTGACTTTTACTCAGAGTTAACTGGGTAGTTCAGTTAACATGTTTCTTAGGTTAACTCTACATGTGCCTAAAAACTGCTTGATTAGACTCAGCCATTGGTGGTAATGGTGGCGACATTACCTCAGAACGAATATCAGACCAAAGTAGGCAGAGCTTTCTTTTGAGATCAAAACTTCATAGAAAAAAAGTTTCATATTTTGACTATCTCAACTTTAATTTCTTTAACACAATGACAATATGCCCAGTTACTGTAACCTCTGTACTGTGTGGGGGATAATCTTATTCAGGAGGAACTCATCTGTCTGTTTTTTTATGCTTTTTTTTATCAGCCCCAGATCTCTTTGAACAGTGCTCTGTGCACTTATCTGATGGGTCAGTGACATCTTGATTGCAGACACAGCTTGATAAAGACAGCCGCCCTGTCCTGAAGTCTTCTATAGGCTCTGTAGAGAAGAGAAAATAATGGCCATCATGGATCACAGTGCTCAGTCTCTGCATGTATGAAAACGTGAATGTGTTAAACTGTTTTTGCTGCAGCAGGACTGGACTAGAAGAAGACAGTACCTCATCAGAGTAAACCGTAACTGTATACATCTGTTGACAGCTGTAACCCTGTAGTCCGCACTCAAGGGTTTTGTATGCAGTGACTCTGCAGTTTGGCTGCTTCTCTGCCTTGTCAACTAATAATCAGTTCCCCTTTTTCCCTTGTATCGTGCACTATAAAAAACTACATTTAATTATGTTCGAATTAATACATTTTCATGAAATTTGTCAATTTCTAGCCAGAGGGATACATTTTTTGTTTGACCTTGTTCTATTTTCAATAACCTTGGCACTTCATACCAGTATTTGCTTTTATAGAAATTTTAATTTTTGTCACAAAATGTGATCTTTTAGCTCTCAAAAGGCACACAAATGGCTGTGTAAGCAATGATACAGTATACTTCTAAAGCCATTATTTATACAAGAAATGAAGGATTGTGCACCAAAAGTGTTCTCTTTTTCCATCAAGACTGACTCTGGCTTTTTCTTTTCAAAGGAACTGTGACGCCATTATGGAAATGCTGTGAATAACACAAAAAACCACTTAGATTTATGGGTTTTAAGCTTGCAGATAACTTAAGTAAATTATCCAGACACAGGTAAATAGAAAGAGTAGAAAATAAAAACAATCAAATCAACAATCAAATAAATAATACAGCATTATAAACAGTTCAGACCTCTGGGGTTTTACACATCAGCAGTTTTACAGTACAGTAACCACAGTGCTATTTCACAATGTACTTTGCAGCTATCATAGAATTCACCAGCATTTCACACTTGGCTCCTTCAAATAGGAACAATTATATTCATCCACGGCTCTCTTAGCTGAATTAAACACTATGTGTGGAGCTCAAAGGGAAAGTAGACAGCCAAAGACCACAGGAGGCAAGTGAAGGATAAAGTTCTTCCATGCTCGGGTTTCACTTCTTTTATCGTCATGTGTTTGCATGGATGTGCTGAAACACTGCAGACAGACAATATGCACACATGACCCTTCTACGCTCCCACCATGTTGTCTGTGTGCGTTTCATGCATGTTTTCCATGCACAGCGTTTGACATGCAGATAGGAGGAGTCAGATCTGATAGCTGCTTTGTACTCCCCTGATACCTCCTTCCCTCCCTGGAGGCCCCCTGTCTGTTTGTGCATCTCTGCAGGAGGCTGAGAGTTTGAAATCTAATGTCTACGGCTCCAAAAGAAGCTAGTGCCCATTCATTCTTCTGTGTATTGCACCGTAGGGAACGGCAAGCAGAGATTTTATGGTTTTCTTGAATCCTCCTTTTGCTTATCTGTGAAACTCACAGTGGGGACGTGTTGCATATTTTGTTAGAGTAAATTCCAACAACAAAAAAAGCCCAGACCTCATTAGGATTTCTGTGTGCCAAATCCGCCAAGAAGTCACATGCCTTAATCTTAAAACAATCTACATTTATGGCAGAAATGTAACCATATGTAAGGATCATGCACTCTGTCTTAGGTTAGTGACACAAAACAGAAAGATCTCCTCTCCAGATCAGACTCTGTTTACAAAGTAAGGTAATCACAGTGTATCAAAGATAGAAACGCTTGTTTTGCTCGGTCGCTGCCTCACTGACTGCATGTTTTGTTGGGATTTAGAAACTGCAGTAGAGCTGATTCAAGAGGAACAGCCCGACATGCTGCCAAAACACACACATCATAAGCTTCTGCTGCCATGTGATCAGAGCGAGAATCAAAATCACTTTATCCTCACAAGTAAGGGTACAAGGAAAAATATCAACCAACTGGCAAGTCACACAGTGCTGCTGACTGAGCAAATCTGACCTCATTTATTTTACCACACCCCTTTGCACCACAACTTCCATTTTCTACTTAATTTGACTTGGTTACATAGCAAGGATTCCTAAACTGAAAGTCTGATTAAATATTTGTCTAAGTGTACCCCTGTGGTCAAAGAAGTCTTTGCTTATCTTGTCCTCTACATGCTCAGGTAGTGTCTATTTGACAAAAAATCTCATCCTGCTGACTTTTAATGGTTAAATGTGCCATTTTTGGTAAATACTTTTAATTGAAATTGTAAAAATAGAGCTTTTTCTTTCACTGCCTGACCGTCACCTACCCTCTCACATGAGTTTCAAGCATTAAAAAGGATGATATGGAAATAGCCATTTTCATTCCTGATGCTTTTATTTACTTTTTGATTATGATAAGGCATCAATATAAATTTCTATGTATTCCATGAGCCCAAAAAACTTCTTTAAGTAGGTTACAAAGATAAACTGTGAAGGCAGCTATACATATGGAGTACGTGAAGATACAATGTGAAGAAATGTGAGTATTTATCTACAGTCCTGATACAAGTTTCAAACACTCCCCTGCTTACCCCTTCCATTGGTGAAGCAACGACCCCTTCAGAGACAAGCATGAAAAAACACAGTCCTCTGTTTGTCAAGTTTCATCCATCAAAACTTCTAGCAGTTTATATTCTTTTGCACACAAAAACCACAATCATGTTTGTCTTGTCACCAGTGTATTTTGTGGGGCCACTCACTACTACATCAACGTGTAGGTGTATTACGAGTTTGACCATTCAGTGCTACAGTAGAAACATGACACATGGAGGGAGACATGCTGCAATGAAATGCTGGATATGAAACTCATTTTTAATGGAAGGCTTTCATATTCAACTTATGCATTTGTATCACAGCATGTATGTTTCTTTTTAGATAAGTCCTGCACTGCAGTTACCCTGCACAATATTCCAGACACAATAGGATTTCTGTCTGGAAAAGTATTGTGCAACATGTGATGCGTGTATCCTGTGACACTGGTGGTAATTTCATTTTCTTTAACATGCCGTAACCAGAATGGCAGGCAGTAACAGATCTGCACCTTCGAACCACTTTCCAGCTAAATGAGCATTTGTTGCAGTTTAGGACTAATTAGCCAGTCGTTATCGGACACCTCAACGCTGACACAATGGTAAAGTATGAAGAGGATCAAGTTTGATTTGGGAGTGTTAAAGTCTTTTTTAGATTAACATCCTTTGTGTGAACTGTGCCAGTATGACTCTGAGACAAAGGCAGTACCTCTCAGTCTGGATTCATAAATTGAGGGAAGTAAGATCTTTGTATAATTCTTGGATTGAGAATTTCTATTCCTGCTCTCTCTTCGAAGGCTCGGATCTCCTTTGTGCGGGTCAAGTACCTGTTCCTCACATGGCTGACGGTACTTGTTGGGAGCTGGGTGATCTATGTGCAATACTCCACCTACACAGAGCTGTGCAGAGGACACGAGTGTAGGAACACCATTGTAAGCCAAAGCTTTGTTTGTTCAATTTATTTGCTTTTCAGAGCCAGTTCATTTGAGTATTGTTGTCATAGACATGCATCAAAGTAAAAATCTATCAGTGGTTGTGGTTTTGTACATAGGCGACCAAACCACAATATAATCTGTCTATCTACAGTATATTCAGGAGTGTATGGATAATATTGGTTTTTAATTATTAAAGTAAATAGACATGCTATTTTCTCTCTGTGTTTTTGAAGTGTGATAAATACAGGAGGGGAATCATCGATGGCTCTGCCTGCAGCAGTCTGTGTGACAAAGAAACACTCTACCTTGGCAGGTGTCTCTCAACTCTGCCAAATAACCAGGTAAGAGAAGTATTTCTACACTTAATAACTTGTATTAAAACAAATATTTACGCCTCAGTAATTGTTTGTTTTGGTGTTCTGCCTGCCAGGTATACACAGGGAGCTGGGGAGACCGGGACGGGATCATCCGCTGCAAGTTGGGGGAAGTGGTGCACTATGAGCTGGGTGAGGAGCCAGAGCCGAGGAGGGAAGTCCCTGTGTTCGACAAACCCACCAGAGGAACGTCGGTGGAAAAGTTCAGAGAGATGGTCTTTAACCACCTCAAGGTAAAAGAGGGAGTCACAGCGGGGGAATGGAGGGAGGAGCAGGTATTTTAGCCTGTGACAGGACTTCCTGAAGCCTGTGTGTTTGACTTTTAATCCCTGTTTTTCCTCCAGTCTAAGCTCGGAGAGCAGGCCAACCTCGCCAGCCTTGTTAGCCAGATCCTTTCCGTCGCCGATGGTAACAAAGACGGGCGGGTGTCACTGCCGGAAGCTCGCTCGACGTGGGCTCTCCTGCAGATGCATGAGGTATAAAAACAAGCTGCTGGATAATTAGATGAATGGCTGTCCTCACCTTCTTTAGAAAATAGGCAATTTTTTAAAGTCATGATCTTACTTGAAGAATTTTCAGAGGACTCTGATGACCAAACTGAAGTACTGGCCAACTCAGACATAAATTTGACTGATGTGTATCTTGGCGAGAGTTACAATGACGACCTAAATGAAGCTGGGCTATCATTGGTGGCAGTCTGACAGCTCATCCTTATCCTATTTTTGACACTGCTCAGTTTAAAATCTCACCATTTCAAAGATCTTTACCTAAAACTTTTATAAAATCTCAAAATGTTTGATAAGAGAAAAACAGACTGTCTTTGCTAGCAGTACATTTTTGTTGTTTGCTTCTATCAAATAATAATTTCACCAGAAATCGTTTTTCTTTATGAATAATAAACAGTTACAAGTGCCAGCTGCATTATACAGTATGCTAGTGCTGTGTCATTTTGGGTTGAAGTGGGAGGAATACGTCAAATGTGAAAGGGGTGAGGGATTTGATTTTGGTCATCACTTTCACTTTCACTTCACAGCACTTTTCATACATGAACTTGTATCACAAAGTGCTGTACACTTTGGGAATACAAAATAAAATACAAACTGCAAAACCCTACCCACCCAACTTTCCAAGCCCGCATTACTGACACCTACTTCCATGTTTTAGGCTTTTCTGATGATAAAACAACTCAACTTACTGTTGGGTTTATTATCTTTCAGCATTTAAGCAAACACAACGTGACTTTGTTGAAACCGATTATATCTCCTTTCAGGTCTTGCTGGGCCTGCTGCTCCAGGACCGTGGACACACTCCTCGTTTATTGGGTTACTGTGGGGACCTGTACATGACAGAGCGAGTCCACTATGGGCCCCTGTATGGTTTGTCTCTACCCTGGCCACTGGTTTCTTGGGTGCCCAGCAGCGTGCAGCGCACCATGGACCAGTGGTTCACCCCCTCGTGGCCCCGCAAAGCTAAGATCTCCATGGGCCTGCTGGAGCTGGTGGAGGACATCTTCCATGGCACGTACGGCAGTTTCCTGATCTGTGACCTCGCAGCGGCCCACTTTGGTTACACAGACCGCCATGAGCTCCGCCTGACCGATGCTCGAGCGGTGGTCTCAGAGGACGAGTTCAGGCGCTCCATGCGGTTGCTGAAGTGTGAGACGGACGCTGACTGTGTGTACGGGGTGGACTGCCAGACGTCATGTGACCTGGCAGAGAAACGGTGCAGGGAGGAGCCACTTCAGCCAAATTTGGCCAAGGCGTGTGGAACACTGAAGGACTACCTCTTACGGGGGGCGCCATCGGGGCTGAGGGAGGAGCTGGAGAGGCAGCTGTACGCCTGTATGGCTCTGAAGGGTAATGCTGGACAGATGAACATGGAGCACTCGCTTATTCTTAACAACCTCAAAGCTCTGCTGTGGAGACAGATCTCACATACCAAGGATTCATGACGAGGGCATGACATCCCCGCTGTGATCAGGCCAGTCTGTTCCTCACATGGAGCTGAGGATTTAAGATGCTGTGATTGAAGGATAATCAATCAATGAAGTCATTTCTATCATCTCTTCAAACTTACGATGGTCAGACTGAAGGAGCCTCCTGTTTCTGAAGTTTGAGGCCTGAAAAAATAACACATCAGAGAACTTTTAAACTTAAGACTGACAAACTGGATGATTGCATGTCGCCATCAGTCGCACTTAAAAATATGCAGCCACACTTGGTATTTGTACTGTTCACCACAGAGGAATGTTAGAAGAGCACTGCTGGAAAAAAAACAACAACTTGTAAACAGATTTGTATGTTTTTAGTCTCAAGAGCCATTTTCTGTACAAAATGTCAGTGAGCCAACCAAGTTCATGAAGAAGGAGTTACCTTCTGTCGAGAAAGAAAAATATCTCAAATCATGTTATGAAATAGCACTATTTTGGGTGATATTCCATATTTTTTACAATTTTTTATTAACTCTGTTCTTGGTGCTTCTCAGAACATCCCATTTCCTTTGAAACTGATAGCACTATGCTGTGTTTTTGTGCATCAGTGTCTGACAGAAAAGTGAATCTAAAATAGGGTGATTCTTCTGACTCACTGTATGACGCAGAAAATACTGAAGGTAACTTGTTATTGGGGTTAAAGTTAAGAAAAAAAATGCCTGTTCAAACTAGTTTTAGTCTCTAAACCTGGAAGGTTGAAGGTTTCTCATGAAGTGCAGTTTTTTCTCATTTATTTTTTTTACTTTCCAGCACACACTAAAACCACTCCCAATACCACAGCAGTACTCCACTCACGTGGTAAATGTTTGGATGAAATGATACCTCTATTAAGAAAGGAAGGTAAAATGATATTTCTAAGCAGCTGAGCACTTAAAGTTTTTGTGGAAAGCTACACAAAAAGGAGTGAATGATAGAGCTGTGGGTGGACACAGAAGGACTGCACCAGTAAGAATATATATACGTACATAAGTAATCTGTGTTTCTAATGTTATCAAAGAAACGTGGCCTGGGGTAACTCTATTCTTTATATTTCTGAATCGGACTGTTATTAACAACACAGAGAGGGCCGTCTGCTGTATAAACTGCACAGACATTCAAATGAATTCCTGGCTGGCTTTTTTTGTCAAACAGTTAAGTTGAGAATCAGAAAAATATCGAATATCACCAGATTTGAAAACTTAACCATTACTGCCTCCTTAACACCAAGAAGCTGTTTTGGATGTTTGCGATGGCTGCCCCTCGTCTGCAGGAGAAAATGAAGTTTGAAAGCAGACACTGTGATATTCGTCTGTCAGTATTTTAGAGGTCTCATGTCTGTATCTGTACATCGGTCTGCTGTACATTCTCCATCTGTGACTTTACCAACGTCATCAATGCTGCTTCAATGACACGAAATGTAATGTTAACATTTCATTTAGTTTGTGGAAGTTTTCTATTTTTGAAGTTTATAACCAGTGTGCTGTATCACATTCTGTCTCAGTGCCATATCGTCATGCTGAAGTCATTTCTGAATGTTGACCAGCTTTGATCTATTTGAAGGCTTTATACAGTATTTTCCATGATTATGTCAACACATTGTGTTGTGAAGTCGCTGTTACAAAGTCAACGACATGACTCATTTCACCACTTTAACATGCTTTTTCTGAAGAGACGTGACCTGTAAAGCATGTCCAGCTTGTGGTCCATGCTGCTGTTTGAAGTTTGAAAGTGTAAAAAAATGTTTACTTATTGAAGAAACCAGCATGATTTTGCACAATTAAAGAACACACCACTTCACTGTTACACGCTTGCTTTTTTTGCACTCCAACATGCACTATCATCGTCCAACACTTCCAAATGAATTAATTATCTGCAAATATGTCAAAGTAAACAAGTCTGTAGCCCAACTTTCAGAAGTAAATACATGCACACACACCGACAGCTACATCCTGGAAGAACAGCAAACAAAACAATGCGAGTTTGAAATAAGTTTATTTTGCTGTGATGTGTGTTGTGTATTACAGCCGAGCGCTGTGCCGGCTCCCCTAACCGTCCCCTGCTTCTTGTTCTTGTGCTCGTAAAAAGCTGGCCTTCTTCTGGGCGACGCGATCCTTCCTCTGTGCCAGAGATAACTTGGCGCGATTCCACCTGTCCGGAAAGAGGCACAAACACGACTCCATTAACATTCAACACGATGTTTGTCCGCTCTGCACTGGGAGCCTCCTAGTGCAGACACTAAATACTTAAAAAATAAAGGACTGTCGGTTCTCCCTGACTGAAAGGAAATGCCATTTCAGTTTTGGCTTGTATGTTATAGTTCTATCTTGCAGAAGAGAAAGAATCAATCAAAATGTGGAGAATAGGGACCCACCTCTTCTTCTTGACGTCTTTTTTGGGTTTCTTTTCATGTACGGGGTTTGCTCTGATGTTGGCGTGTGCTTTTTTGTACATTTCTTCGACCTTAAAGAAAAAAAATAAATAAACACAGATATAGTCATTAATAAAATCTGAGGATTGCTGTTTGCACTTTTTTGGCTTCTATAGAAGATCTTTCACTTATGTTCATAACTTTAAAGCCCCTGCTTTAACACTGTGGTGATCACTCCTGTCAGCTTTTGGTTCATCTTGCTTCTCTCAGCCCCGTCTTGAAAGGACAGTAAACATCAGCTAATGCAAATGAAGGACCAACTACATTTTGCTCAGCGTGTTTTCTATCATCATCAAGAAGCAGAAGAACCGGCTAACAAAAGGAGTCAAAACCACCAGGAAAACACACAACCCGTAACATTAAGGTACTTTCATATTTGTATCAAACATACAATTGAGCAGAGAAACTGTCATAGGCAGCTTATGCCACCTTGATACACAATGAAATAATACCCAAACCCACTGAGCCGTATGGTTGTGTGTCTACATTTGATTTGAGTGTGTTGTGCTGAATAGAGACCGTGTTCAAGAGCTACACCCAGCATTTGCGTTTTCTCCAATCCGTGGTTAAGCTGATTTAAATGTGCAGTAATAATAAAGCTGTAGTATTCATGCTGATATTTTTGAGGCACAACACGTCTGAGTCGAAACAGACTTATTGTCTTTCTTCTGCTGAATTGTGAAACAAACAGTTGTATAAATTCTTCCTCAAATTTGTGGATCTAAAAAGTGTGGCGATCATTTCTTTTGATTGGATCTTTTGAATGTTAAAAAAAGTAAATAAATACTTGTCAGTGCTCCCTGGTGGACAGATTATGTTACTGACACAACGGTTTAAATTTGTTTGAGGACACTGACGACAGAGAGAAACTCGTTTCTGATTCATGATTTTGCTATATTTGAACAACTCTTACGATAACAGCTTTCAGGACTCCGACAACTTTGCAAGAATGATTGATGATCACTCATGGGCTATTTTATCGAGTAAGAAAGGAAGATTTCACATGACTCATGAGGTACGTCTCATTTAACAAAATGCAACAGTTTCGTTTCAAATAATCATGTCACTTCAAGCTGCTGTGAGGAACTTTTTTTGGATTTGTGTCTGTATTGGTGGACGAAGTCATAACTTGTTTGAGTTTTCAGACAAAACCCTCCTCATGTCATCTTTCGGTGATTCAATTCACTCACTGTGAGCATCAAGAGGTGCTGTTATTTTAGCCTGTCATATATCATCTGCTCTGACACCTCCCCCTCACTGAACTTTCAAGCATTAAAATACACTGCAGTTAATTTATCAAGCTTGTGTTGACGGTTTCATTTGCTTTTTCAAGGTCAGTATTTGTTTTAGCCAGTTAAAAACTCATCACAGCGCCTTTAATTATAGGTAACTCTTTTATGAGGGATGTAACAGTATCTTTTGTTCCAAAACGGTCACCTACGCTGGTTTTTGGTGTAACTGCTCCTCTGCTGTCTGCATGTCTGAGCTGCACAGAAATGGCCTAAAACATACAAATATATGCACACGTAGGAGCGCCATGCACGACTGTAGGCTTTCAGGATCAAGACTTTGTGATGGGTCAACTAACTTAAGGTCCATTTTAGACCTGCTGTCGATGAAACCCAAACAGTTTTTTCCCCTGTGAGATGAGGTGATCCAGGCTGAAATAATAAGCGCAACAGGCAGACACTGATTATCTGGCCTGGCTATTTGGGTCTACATCGAACCAAAAGTGCGGTACTGAAACGGTTTAGCACAAATACCTGAACCTTCACAGCCCGACTTTGTAATAAACACGTCTCGCAGAAAAGCTTTGTGGCAAAGCGGCATGTACAACCAGGTGTGGTCTGTTGTCTCTTACTGTGTCTGGCGTGACTCCGTTCTTGATGAAACGGGAGAACTGTTTCTTGTAGGCCTCTTCGTCCTCCTCCATCAGGTAAGACATGTAGTCGGCCACGTTCATGCCCATGATGTGTTTCCGATGGACTTCTTGATTGAACTCTTTACTCTCTGTGTCGTAACCGGGGAAGCGTTTCATACTAGAGACAAAGAAGAGCACGGATCGGGATTACAACCAGGAAACAATGACCGTGGACTCGACTAACATGGTTTTAATGGCTTGTTTTTAAATATCTTTTAACTTAAATCAATCAGTCCATTGTCTTCTGCTTATTACTCCTGCTGTAACAGAAGTGCAGGTGTTTGCTGTGGTTCATCTTGCTTCTCTCAGCCCCGTCTTGAAAGGACAGTAAACATCAGCTAATGCAAATGAAGGACCAACTACATTTTGCTCAGCGTGTTTTCTATCATCATCAAGAAGCAAAAACACCAGCAAACGAATAAAAATCACAATCAGCTGGAAAAAAACTGAAAGTCTCATACTTCTGCAAGTTATATATGTAGGACAAAGACTGCTATGCTGACCTGTGAGGAATAGCCAGGCCTCCGTCCACAGCCCCCTTCAGGGCTCCAAACACCTTGTTCCCTGTAGTTGTTCTGGCCAGGCCTGCATCCAGGTAACAGGTGAAGGCCCCTGGCTGTCCATCTATGCTCTCTACGTTGAACTCATCTCCTGTCACCTCCACCTGGCCCTCGTACACCTGGTCCATGCCAAACTTGTGCAGCAGCTGGGAGGATTAGATAGTAACACGAGACTGTGAGAAAACACTCAAATAATACACGTTTTAACTGTAAGTTGTTGTGTGTTTGAGCTCTTACCCGACGAGCCAGTAGCAGCCCAGTGCAGTAGGCCGCAGCATAGTTAGTGAGGCCTACTGTGATACCATATTTGGGCAGTTCATGGGAGTAAGCGGCACACACTATCTGGTCTCCTTCGATTTTTGCATAGGCAATCTGACAGACAGACAGAAAAATGGTGAGTCAGGTCGATTCCAACATGTGATCACAGGAGTTTCTCTCAATCTCAGTCACTGACCTGGCAGCAGATGTCTCTGTTGGAGAACCTGACGATCATCCTGTACTTGGGGGTGTTGTACTTGTTCTTGTCCTGCACAACCAGCCGCTTACGGGCATAGAAATCAGTTTTCCCCTCTGTAGAGTTGACAAGTATATAAGATTACTGAGACACTGTTAAAACATTGGCATGGTTTACAGGTGTGAGCTCTGTGTCAGGGTTAAGTGTATGGTTTGACTTCATCAATGACTTACCTCTTCTTCTCCTGAATTTGACTTCATATCTTTTGAAGTAGGACTTGTTTTTCACCACTTTGACGAAGCCCTGACAGAAAAGAAGATGTAGATGTGTTAAGTTACAAACTATGACAGAGGACTAAATATAACAACATGATATTACAATAACAATGTATTAGGGACTTTATATAGCTTCACAGAAACGACACTGTCTCCACAATATGCTTTAAACAGCTCTAAGTGAGAAGCCCTGCAGGTCAGCTGAGGTTTCATCAGTCATGGAGGCGCCACGCTGGAGCTCACCAGCTCACCGGTACAACAGCACGGAGGAACCGTGAACATCCATCAACATCAGGCCCTCAAACTGCTTCAAACTACTTCCTACAATCAAACACATCTCTACACACTTAGACCACTTTGACTGAATGAATATGAACGACTTCAACTCACCATTTTAAGGGATATTACACTTCTTCCTCCAGAGATTCGCTGCCGACTCTTGGTAACGGAAGTCTTAATATGTCAGTTTGGTGTGAAGACGTGTCAGCAGCAGCAGCAGCAGCGCCCCCTGCTGCACAGGAGAACTTATTACCACACTTAGACCAACAGGGGGCAGCAGCGACACAGATACAGAAAAGGTCAATACTTCCTTAAACAGTGATTTCTCTCACAAACAGGGATAAAAGAGTACAAAATACCTCATCGAGCACAAGCACAGCTACTTTGTTTATAGCTTTACTCGAAGATAAGTAAAGTACCATTCTGTAAATCTGCTCAAACAATAGAAGAAAAGGGTCCTCTTGACTTGTCAAATGTGATAGAGTACCTCCCAGCCCTGATCTTAACTGAAGGATTTACAAGGAAAACAACATTACGCATGAAAAGTTTATTAATTAACCAACATATTTAAACAAGAGTCAATACCAAACTTATATCTGACGGAAGATATTTGTTGATTAAACTAGGAAAAATGTTTTGAACATGTCAGCTGACATATAGTAATGGTATGTGCTGTCCTCTTTCAGGTTAAATGACACACCCTGTGATCAAACTAGGAATCTATCTATCGTTGTGTGTTGTGTGGTCATACTTGACAAAAGTGCACTGATTTTGAGAGGAAAAGTCAAAATTATGAAATCTGTGTAGCTCAGAGGATTTGTAGTTTGGGAGCGGTCCCAATAGTTGAGCACTTCATCAGAATTTGACACATTGTTGAGTCATCAAGCTGGTCAAGTATAGAGTAGCAGCTAAACAGCCACTTTGATCAGATTTTCTGACAAGAAATTGAAAAGGTAATTTTTGCTCTGTCCTTCTCAGTCTTTTAGCTGGAAAAATGATCAAAGTGTTCAGATAAAGGCCAGCAATTAAAGGCACATTTCTGAGAGTTTAGCTGTTGTTTGATAAAGTTAATTTTTTGACGGCCTTTTATCAATTTTACAAGACAGGGACCCCTATAGCCTGGCAAACTGACCATCCCCCATATGCAGAGGTGAAAACCTTCATCGCAGCAGCCACTGGTTCAACTCCTGGCCACAACCCTTTACGACATGTCTTTCCCCCCTCTTCTCCCCCATATTTCCTGTCTCTATTCAGCTGTCCTTTTATATTAAGACAAAATATAACTTAATAAGACAATAAAACTAAAGCCAGAAGTTTTACAGGATAGATTGGGACAAAAATGATGTGTGTGTAAAACAAATTGATATAGTAATATAAAAATACCAGGTGTATCTTTCCCTCTCCATCACAGATCTTTACAATGTCTTTTTAGTTTTCTAATTTCACAAGTTAAACTGAAAAATGTCCTGATTTAACGGTAATAGAAACACACTAACATTCATCAGGAGTTAGTAAGAGTGATAAGTTACTTAACACACCCCTCACACTGTGGATCCATCCTTTCCAAACAGCTAAAACCCACAAAGCTCTGTTGTGATCAATATGAGTACCGAGCATCATACTGGTGGTGTAATTCAGAGGATTCATTGATACTCCATGATTCCCAGAGTGAACAGGCATTAACAGGAGTGTGTTTAAACACAAGGCTGAACAGATAAGAGGTCTGATATCAGAAACAAAACCACTATTTCTGGAAAATTGACATCTGACTCAAAGTGCTGAATGAAACACGCCTCAAAAATCAAAACAGGGTGATTCGATTTACAGTCTTGAGCATTTTGATGTTTTACTTTAATTATAATTTTATCAGAGAAGGGCTCTAACTGCTCCGACAGTGTACATCCAATGCTATGTAAACAGTGTAGTTTGAACTGTGATATGAGAAAAACTGGCTCCCAATACTAAGAGAAGCAATATTTGGGAAATAATCTACAGTTATTTGTGGAGTTATGACACTATCAAGCGAAATATGAAACTGCAGCCAAGAAAGTTAGCCTAGCTTAAAGCCAAGAAAACCAAATGAATCAATTAGTTTGGTTGACAGGTACCGGCACCTTAAACCAGCCTCCGGCTTTTTTATTTGGATAAAAAAACAAAGTGCGGAAAAGAGAAGTTGTATTTTGTAAAACCAGATCATTTGTGTTGTCATCTGTGAGGTTTTAGGTGCTAGCCAGCAGATTTTGTTGCCTTGAGGCTTAATGAGGCCAGCTGTTTTGCTCTTCTCTGTTTTAAAATGAGAGAGATATAATCTGAAGTCTACCTGAAAACTTTTATCAGGCAGATTCATTCTGTTTTTGTTTTGGCAGGACTTCCTATTAATTTCGGTCGCCTGTTACTGGTTAATGCACACAGGTTATAAGATTTCTCTGGTGCACAAATCATGCAACAGTTACTGTATCAGAAGTTAAAGCAGTAGTTCTGTGTGAGTCTATCTGTTGAGCGTATCAAAAAGTACTGAAAAAGAAGGAACCAGGGTCTTCTGCTTTTTTGTTCAAGCGAGACAAAGATAAAATCCCTCAGAGTCACTCTGGGCGCAGATGTTCTTGGTGTGTGATAGGAAAAGTCAAAGTCACGCTTGTGGACGGCTGCTCAAGCTCTGTTTCTGCAGAATTGATTTCACAACAAAGACGAGTAACTGTCCAGTCATCTATGGGCAGCAGCGGTCAGTGGTAATAAAGGGTTCACGCTGCGGGCAGGAGCTGTGCTGATGTATCTGTCACTCACTGAGCGCTTTTTGAGTCAGACTTTCCTTTAACAATTCCCTCGATTTTCACAAATTTTCTTAAGCGCTACCAACTTCTGATCTTATTCCTCCAGGCGCAAGTGGAAATTAAAGATAACTTTGAGGTGACAGTAGAAATGACTTGCAGAAAGTTGCAAATTTACAATGTGTTCACAGTCACAGCACAGATAAGCAGACAGTGTTGACAGGAGACACACTCTCCCCTTTCCTGCCTGTTCTCTCTGCTGATTAAATGATTTTGATTTGCATACACCAGCTTTCGCACTACTCTTGAAATGCAATTTTGCCCCTTAAAATCCTCACAGATAAAAGAAAAACATTACATCTGGAACATGCACAAATATAACTCATTGATGTGCCAACACTTATATAACAGATTAATGGCTCCTTGACTGACAGCTGACTGTATGAAGCACACGGCATATGCAGCAAAACTGAATCAGTTCTGTTGAAGCTTCATGAAGTTCTGCTAACTTAAACACCACGATGAGTGTTACAGGAACAGCAGAGATGGTGCTGAGATTAAGTTTTGGTGTGAAAAGTTATTTTTCTATACCTTCCATTTGACTTTTTTTTTTTGCACACCATGCTGGATAAGGTAGTTGCAATTTTGGATTTAAGTATCTCAAGGAGTGCCACTTACAGAAGCGGGCGCTTGGAGAAGTTAATTTGGGGGACAAATGAGAATGAGGGGATGCTGATTTAAAAACAATGTATGATTTGATGGATCAGAATAGGTTGATTTGGCAGTGAAAATTGCACCCAGCACAGCAAACTAAGAATTGAGGCAGTTAACACAGAACTGCTTCTGAGGGTTTGACTATACCTCTTGACCTCCGACCTTTCAAACAGCCACCTCACTGCCTCCACAGGCGTGCACACATGAGACACAATGACCAGGAAGTACTGTGCAGGTTTCTTCACAGTTACGCATCAACGTCCCCAAAGAGATTCTCAGCACATGTGGGGAAAATTTACGACCAGAAATGGTCTGCTTTGCAAACAAGGGGAGCTGCTGATCACAGTGATGGATGAGGGAGCTGATTTGTGGAGCGTTTAGAGCATAAATCCAAGCGTCTGTTTGGTTTAACATGAGAGTTTCTTTTCCCCGCTCCTTCCGTTTTCACACTTTTGAGTTTCTCTGTTTTTATTTACTCACGCTGACCCCGCGCAAGTGGATCTGTAGAGTGTATGATCACACTACAAGAATTACCAGAGTGAAACTAGAAATCACTCAAACAAACAATCTCCTAAACATGAATATAATCAATATACAGACTCATACAACACTAGCTGACTGAAGCAGGAAGAGAAGATTTGACGCAGGGGTTTAAAAAAAGGACATTTGTGGGGCAAATGTGTGAAAGAAGAGCTCTCTTGTGGTCGGCAGCGTTCAGTAAATCATTATAGTCTTCACACTCAGCCCCTATCTCGGGGCTGCAGTTTAGAGCCTGAAAAGATTTGGACGCCACTTCCAGGGGAGGGGGGGCTGCTGGCTGTTGAAGCGGAGGAAAAAGAAGTAAAATCCCACATAGATAGTCTAAAAGAGAGAAGGAGGGGGTGTAAGTATGTGGTTAGAGCTCTGGAGCTAAAGGAACCTGTGAGGGGATGAGATAGCATGATGTGGTTTTTATTGAGGTGCCACTGCAGAATAGAGGTGCCCAGGCGTACAGACTGAGTGCCTGGGACTAAACACAGACATAAAGCAGGGGAAGTCAGTTTAGCCACAGCACGGCCATTATGGCATGAATCCACTGAACGCTCTCTGTCAAGTAAAATTAACTTTATTTTTATGATTTTGCAAGAGTAGAGCATTGATTTCAACAGTTCTGCAAGAGTGAGTTTTTACCCACAGCAGCTTTGCATTGAGTTCCTTTGATTTGATCATACTTAAAGATGTTTTTATTGTCTTTGTCATGAACATGTGTGTATCAGAGTGAAACCATTCATGTTTTAAAGGAAGAATAATACAGTTTTACTATCAATTAAAGTTTATTTGCAGAAAAATTACACACACTTTCATTCAGTCCAACCTACCAAGAGTTTCGGCTGCAGCAACCTTTTTTTTTTATATATATGACATTGGATCATGCAAAAGTAGATTAAGCCATGAAAAGTGACCCACTGGTGGTGATTTTTACTCCAGTTCAGTGTTTCAGCAGATACTATTTTGCTGTTGCTTTTTGAGCCACAGGTGACTATGTTCAGACAAGAGGAGAAAGAAGAGTCATCTAAGTTGTTGAAGTTTTAGGGCTTTACAGTTACAGAGCTAATACGTTAGCTGCCTGAGGTTAAAAACAAATATTCACAGACAGGTTTTGTGAGCACAGATAACTGAACAGCCATGTTTGACCAGCATTTCAATATATTTAAATACATCTTAGAGGTCAGGTTCAGGCCCAGCAGAGAGTCACCCACATGACATTCAGTTTGACCACAACTCTTTATTAATAAACCGTCTGACCCACAGTACATCGCCTCTAAATATTCAACTCCTCAAGCTTTGATGCATTAATAACATTTGAATTTGGTAAAGATTTAACCTAAAGGCAGCTGGCATGCATCAGTCATGAAGATTATATCTATTTTTGTATTTGATTCATCCTAATGATAAGTTTAAGAGAGGGATGAGGGGAAATCACCTGAAGAAACTTCTTTCTCATGATGCTGTCAGAGAAAGAAGTTTAAACTTTTAGCATAAAGCCGGAGAACTTCACTTGCTGCTTAACACTTGCTCTCCACTGTTCTTTCTGCTGCTTTTCTTGTGAATAAAAAACTAATGCAATATCAAAACACATGGTAAACATATCGAAACGTAACATGTCACCTTCTCATCTGTGTAGTCTGTCATCTACTTAAACAATATTTAAACCAGCACAAAAAAAACAAACTCAGCTACTACTGTGTGGGATAAAGCTGATCATTTCCATATGAAAAAATGTTGACATTTTTTGTCTCTTTTTTTGGTTTGAGTTCCACTAATGTTAAAACTTTTTTGTAACCTCAGCAGTTGTCTGAGCTGCTGATAAAGCTGTTCTTCTTCACTGTAACAAAGGTTCCTGCCTGAAGTGAATCATCCAATTATGTTCAAATGTTTGGCTTATTGTTATTGTTAAACGACTTCAAATGTTACTCAATTGAATGTATGACATGTTAATAACCAGCATATGATCATCATATTAACATCAATGATGTCAAAAGATTTTTTTTTAGGACTGTAGCTGAAATGATTAACTTCGACCATCTCTTCTTCTCTATCTCATCACTTGGATATCGGAAAAAAAATACAACCATGTGTCTTTTTAGACTGACCTTTGTAATACAGCGATGAACACAGCATTACAGCAGAGTGAAATAATTTCAGTTCTTTGCAGAAGTGTGATGTTTCCACTGAGTGACCAATGACTTTTTTTCACACATTGAATTTGGACTTTTTTTTTTTTCTCAGAATTTCAACTTTTTTTTGACACTTGAACTTCTTTCTCACAGTGCACATGAAAAAAAAGTCTTCCTGCTCTCATTTGTTTTGCATCCCTGGCCTTTCTCTGCTGTATTACTTCTGTCATTAAATTCAGCATTTTACCAAAGGGCTCAGTGGGGATTGGCTTACTTTTGGAGCAAGTCTCTGGTGGCCACTCAAGGAACTGCAGTTTTTGGCACCTTAATGTTGGCTTCAATTTGTGGCCCTTTTACCTGACTGCGTTACATAGCTCACAGAAGCTAATTTAGGCTAATGTTAGCAATCCTAAGCTCTGTATACAAGATATCACAGACTTGACTTCCCCTTTTACAGAGTTACCGTTCATCTCTGTTGGATCACCTAATGAAGCAATCTTAACCCACGGTTTCACTAGAAGTAGATTCTCACTGTAGATTGATCTGCAGTCAGTCAAAATCAAGACAACATACGTGTGTTCTGTTCCTCTTGTCAACAGTCACATACATGTGGTAGAAACTCTGTAGCCTCAGATTTATTTAAAACTTCGAGGAGTTCCCACAGTCTCCCTCTCATCGCAAGGGCTGAAAGAGGCCCGAGGTTTAGCTTGAGAAAATAATGAGAGTAAAACCTCAAGGTTTACCAGCACAAAGTCTTTATTTAACACTGCGACTCTGACCTGTGTCTTTGGTTAGAGAGTCAGACAGCTGCTGGTGTGAAAAAGCAATGCAAAGGTATAAAATCTCCCCCTTGTCTCAACTCCAGCTGGGATCACTGCGTTTGGGCCTCTATTTTTAATCATACACTTGCTGTAGCACTCAACGCTTGTGGGGTGGGGGGGTCTTGGGGTGAGAAAGTAAGGGAGAGGGGGTGTGAGGTTGAGACTTGAGAGGAGGCTATGGCACCACTGATAGCGTCTGCTTGACTGTGTTTGGTTTCCTGTTCTGAGTCAGTGAGTAACCCTGAGTTTGTCTGTCGTCACAACTATGACCTCTGACTTCAGACTGTTTTTTTCACAATGCTGAGAGTCAATCAGCAGCTAAACAGCATTAAGATGGTTCAGTATTCATTCAGACATACCTGTATTTATGGCACATGGAGTAGCTGGGTTGAATTCATCCATGCTTTCTATTTGAAACTGAAAATGTTATATTGAGAGATCTACTATAACTTAACAGGAAATACATGTGTGAAGGTTTGTCTTTTCTCACTGTGGTTAAGAAATCATTATTGTCAATATTTACTGTTAAGTGGGAGGAGAAGTGATAGTTTGAAGCTTTCAGGGTGTAAAACGGTTCAAAACAGTAAAATTGATAATGTGAAATATGGCCCAAAGTTAAAGAAAGTAAAGGAATTAGGAATTATTCATCAATAGTTCCATTAAGTGTGCGTAATTTAAAATAATCAGGTTTTATTTGAAGGTTAGATCCTTTGCTAAATAAAGGAAATCTGCTCATCTTGAGATATTTTTACACAATACAAATGCTCAAAAACTGTGAACGCCTTTATCACACATGAATCAGTGTTTTTGTTTGACTCTCATGGCTGACTAACATGAACTTTTCTGAGAGACAGAGGGTGGGAGATGAGGGGAGGGGAAGAAAGACAAAAAGAGAGAGACAGAGATAGCCTGAGAAAGACACAGAGAGTGTGTCGGATGGTTTTGTGGTGTGTTTCTGCAGCAGCAGTGTGTGACTGATGTTTGAAGGTTCAGACTTCGTGGGGACAGAGCTGAGGACTGTGTCAGTGCTGCCTGCGTGAGTATGGCACATATGTTTCAGCTTCATGCCTTGGCTATCAGCGCTTTGTTTGCAGCTCTTTTAACTTGCGGCAGATGCATCAAACAAACTCGGTTCCCACTCTGGACAAGGATCGATACCGCTTTGCTTTGGTCTGACCTTGAGCTGAGCTCAAAATCTTCGCTATGATTTGAACCCGACAGATTTTCACCCAAAACTATTTCCACATCTCATTGAATTTTTTTTGATTTTTTTTTTTAAATTTTGCTCTGATCCTTTAGTTCTTGTAGTATCGAGTTAGGGGCCCGTGTCTTGTCCGGGAGGGGGTTTTAATGATGTAAAACAATCAGGCTGAAGCAGTGTCACTGTAAAATGAAACCTCGGCTCCCCACCAGCAGGCTGCTGCGCGCGCGTCTCATTAACAGGATCGCTTTACAACCAGTCAAACAAACAGGTCATTATCCATCCCAGCATGCGCTGCCTGCAAGGGACCCTCCACAAACCCAAGTTTTACTCCTAAAAACACTCAAATTAGAATATCATCGGTCCGTGTTTATCTCGTGCCTTGGCGATTCTTCAACTAAAAACACTTTTGTTTAACACCGTCGCTTCCTTCTGGGCATGGCGTTAAAGCCAACAGCATTGTTACAGAGTGGAGAAACGCACAATGACATTAAATCTCGTTTATGTGATTTTTACGCTCTTGGTGGGCTACACCTTTCTGATCTTGGACGACGTTGTGAGTTAGACATATGAATTAAAAAGATTCCCTTTTATCGTTAAAAAGCCGATCAGAACTAAATCATTTTGGGTGAAAAGTTTGATTATTTAACATCACAATCAATTTAGATAATAGAGATTCAATGTAAGTTAACCGTAAACAATGTATCATAACTTTTCTTTCCTTGACGTGATTCAACCTCGATCACATTTTTATTGTATTCTAACCACTCAGGAAATACAAATAAGACTCCTCTAATCTCATTTCTTCCAGGACACTTTGTAGGGGGGCGGTTGTCCAGCTTCTGGCCACCTGCCCAACGACACCTGGTAAACGATACCGCCTCTCTGCGCATGCGTAATAGCTTGCCAAAAATCCCAACGCCGTCCTGCCTGTCAACCAATAGTGTTCCAATCTGTCCAGAGATAAAGTCAGAGGAGCAGGGAGCAGAGGAGTGAAGTAGAGGATTTCAGACCCTCAACACCGAGAGAAAGAAAGAGAGAAAGAAAACATGCCGAGGTCCTTCCTGGTGAAAAGTAAAAGGGCCCATAGCTACCACCAGCCCCGGTACCCAGACGATGACTTTACAAGGCTGGACACCATCCTGGCGCATGTGTGCGCAGGTAGGTTCATTTGTGCGCAATTACGCACGGAATTGGTGGAGAGTAGGAGCAATTTCTTGTAACTGGAAATGATTCACATCTTGTTTTTCGAAGTGAAATGAATCAATATCTTTTTTATACAAAAGTGACACCAGTTGCATATTCAGAGCGAGTTTGATCACGCTGTCTGCTCTCTCTAGAAACCAAATGTCAAGCAGAATTGGAACCGCAGGAGGATGTAAGCGCTGGTGATGACGGACTTCCCCCCGGGTCCAGGTTGCTATCTCCGGGGTCTCTATCCTCCAGCTCCCCGTTGAGCTGCGGAGGCAGTGTCTGTGACCGGTCTTCTGACTGTGATTTCTGGCGTCCCCCGTCTCCTTCCTCCTCACCAGGTCTGTTTACATGCTTTTCATTCAGATGTTTGCGCACCACAACTTTTCTCCCGCAGAGATGAGCATTGAAATTATACAGTTTTGATGATTTTAAACAAAGTTCAAGCAGTTCATGATCAAATTTTGAGGTCAGAATTATGAGAAATTCGGGAATATTGAAATGTTTTCATTCATCAAAGTTGAAAACACATTCTTTAAGGTAGACAACGTTTGGATGAAGTGACTATACAGTTACAGGTGTTTTATTCTGAAATGACTTTGCTTTATCACGGCTTGTTCTCGTGAAGCTTAAACGCTGTCAATATATCAGAACTGCAGTTTGCTCTACTCTCTACTCACACCGTAACCTTAATGAACTTCCAGATTCAGAAAAGTGCTCCACTCCTTCAGTAGAAGAAGGCCACCACTTCAGCATCCCCCTCTTTCCGTACTCCTGGACGGCCTTTTCTGGTTCGGACCTGAGGCATCTAGTTCAGAGGCCTTATCATCATCAGCATCACTTGCAGGGCCACAGGGAGCCTCACTCACCCGCTTACGGTGTTGAAGACAGCGGCACGGAGCAGCTTTACGCACAGCGGGGCACTGCGTCCGGACGTTACCAGGACTTCTCCTCAGCGGGCCAACAGATCTGCAGGATGCGGGACCGAGACGAGCTTTATCTGGATGTGAGGCAGAAGCAGCGCGGGGTCGAAATCAAGTCTGAAAGTGACTTTATTTGTTCTAATCTGGAGACAAGTGGAACCTTTAAGTGTATTAAATGCTGCAAGGTAGGTTAAAGTTTATTCCACAATTGTTAATTTGTTTCGTTTTAGTATTTTTATTATTGTTTTTAATTTTGAAAGATTTAAAATGATCAAAGTTTCCCCTTTTTAGAGGCCAAGGTCCAGTTCTTTATTTAAATGTGATCTCCCCAACACAATCAATACGAAGATGTGAAAATATCTGAACACTTAACATGTTTTCATGTCCTTTTTTCTGTAGGTGTTCTCCACTCCTCATGGGTTGGAGGTTCACGTGCGGCGATCGCACAGTGGGACGCGGCCGTTTGAGTGCGGGATCTGCGGGAAGACCTTCGGACACGCAGTGAGCCTGGATCAGCACAGAGCGGTTCACTCGCAGGTAAAGGCCCTAACTCAGCTCCAAGGCCCCGGACGAGCCACGGATTCTCGGCCTTCTTGGTTTCTTATTGGTAAATAAATCACTTCGTGTCTCCTAAAATTAAATGTGTTATTTTTTCTTTCCAGGAAAGGAGCTTCAGCTGTAAAATCTGCGGCAAAAGCTTCAAGCGCTCCTCCACCCTCTCCACGCACCTGCTCATTCACTCGGACACGCGGCCTTATCCATGCCAGTACTGCGGAAAGAGGTTCCACCAAAAGTCCGATATGAAAAAACACACCTTCATCCACACTGGTAGGACACAAAGAATATTAAAGGGTGGGGGGTGGGGTGGGCAAATCAGTGTTTCACCGCGTGTCGTGCGTAAAGATAACTCCCCCTGGACACTTGTGTTTATTTGATCTCTTTCCTCCATCAGGTGAAAAACCGCACAAGTGCCAGGTGTGCGGAAAGGCCTTCAGTCAGAGCTCCAACCTGATCACGCACAGCAGGAAACACACGGGGTTCAAGCCTTTCGGCTGTGACCTGTGCGGGAAAGGGTTCCAGCGGAAAGTGGACCTGAGGAGACACAAGGAGACGCAGCATGGACTCAAATGAACACAAAATCCTGCACTTTAAATGTATCCGAAGTCTGTTGTATTTATTTATGTTGAATTGCAATTATTTCTATTGTTGTAACGTAGTTAATTATTTAGCCTGGGATCTTCTGGTTGATTTTATGGAAATAAAACCATATTTATCAAACATGTTTCCACATCATTATTACTATTAAAGTCAAAAAGAAAAAAACAAAAGCGCTGCTAATAAGAGTTTTAATCTTTAATGCTGTGATTTATTTTGTTTTTTCAAAAGGAACAAAAGTCTGCTCAGTGAAAGTCTGCGTTTTCAATCCAATCATATAGAGACAGGGATTACACATTAACTTTTACAGCTCAGTCCTGTTTTCTTCTGTTGGGAATTTACAAGCCTTTATTTAATTACTGACATAAAGACAGGAGGAAATTTCAAATCATCCATATATTTTTTTAGGTTTCAATCTTTAAAACCGGCTTCATCATTGATAACTTTGTTTAGTGCTTTGTTAAAAAATATATTCTAAAAAACAAGAAGATGTGTGAGACTGCAGGTCATCAATCACGTCCTTAGTCCTGCCGACAGTTCAGAGTTTCTCAATCTCCACCTTAAAAAAGAAGAACGTTTTGATGCATGTGCCATCTGGTCAAAACCAAATATTTTCAGACTCACACACATTGTTAACATACCCATATAACAAATGCCATAATGGTGCCATAAAGCTCCCCGTGTGAAGGCAGTCTGGAGGAATAGCATCACTTTTATGGCAGCAGGAGCTCCTCCAGCAGCGTGTCCACATGGTGTTTTCACAGGGAAAAGCTGGGTGTGATTTATTTGGCCCTCCAGAGGTTAAACATCCAGGGCTCTAAAACCTCAAGGATCTGATTTGCTCACATCTCAGGACACAGATTGTGTTCATGCAATAATGCTGCGACAATAAAGAGACACACTCAAACTCCACTCCTGTATCCTGGAGAGACAAACCACAAAAAAACATGACTTTCTGTGTTGAGTTATTTAACACAATTTTATTCGTGAAAAAAAAAAACATTCCTACACCTTCATTTGATTCAGTCCAAGTTTCCTGATAAATGTGTGTTTGTTATTTAAATGTCCGTGTCTGACTTGGTGTGTGTCAGTGTGTCGGGGTTTTAAACATCCGCACTAAGTTGAGCAGGTCCTGCTGCTGTAGGCCGAGCTCCTCCATCAGTGTGTTCAAATAAACCACCGAGGCCGGCTTCTCCAAGGCCTCACGCACCACTGGAGACACCTCAGACAACCTGCAACACACAACCACACAATCATAGGCTTGACCCCAGACAGGTTTTTGAAATATAACATAAGACACCAACACAAAAATAAAATATAAATATGTCTTTAAATACTTTTAATACATTCAAGGACAGGCTAAATGAGTGATTAAAGTGAGTCTAAGGGTTTGTAAGATGATTGAGTTAGAAGAGACATGTTTTGGATTGAGGTTCATGTTGTTCTGAAAGTCTTCAACTTCATCCAGTCATTTGAAAAACTGAGTCACAGATCAAGTTTTCAGACGTCAGATAGTTCTTGCTCTGGCTTTAAAGAGTTATACGGATAATTCAGTGAAGCTGCTGTCTGCTTATGACCTGAATCATCCTGTGATATCTAGACTTTTATACTAATAGTCTCACTCTCATGCTAATAGCTCTTCATGACCTACATAGTGAAATGAGGTTTTCACCAACAAAGCAGTTTTTTTTCTTTGTACTGAACTGATGTGTCTGTGTTCAGATTTGTTTAATTTGCTTGTTTTTTTCTTATCTATTTAATTAAAAAAAATGTAAATCTATGAATTCAGCATTCACCTGAGTGTGTCTGAGTTTTGTTTTGATATAGTCAACAATTGTGAGCAGCTATGAATCAATGCTTCACTCAATCACTCCGCATCCTGCAAAAAGTTGTCTTAAACAAAGAAAACCAGCGCTAAAAATAAAGATCTGTCTCTTATTCATTTGCTCCCACAACAAATGTTGACCTTATCTAGAAGTGGATCTTTACGACAGAGAGTGACGGTGCAGAAGGGAAATAGAGTCTTTATCACTGGAAAAAAAAACCACCTTCTTCATTGGAAAGTACACAACATAAAAACTCCTGACTGTGCCTTTAAACGTCTTGTCTCTTTGCTGTTTTTGCCCCGAAAAAAAATTTGAGTTTGATGGCCAAAAAAAAAAAAATCTCATGATTTCTTTTCACATTTGAATAAATCACTAAAAATCTTTGATGTGGATAAAGCACAAACAAAAACAAAAAGGTTTTTCCCACACAATAAATTCTTAAGTCTGACTCCTACTTCCTCCAGCAGCTTTAAAACTGCATTATAGACGTTACTCTGTTTGCTAATGGTCTGCATGTGTAAGCTCATCAAGAAAGCACCAGGGTTGATTTGAATCTGTTTCATGACCACCTAAAAACTCCTCATAGTCAAACTGATGAATGGTCTTATAATACTTCAGTATGCTCCAAGGTTATAACTTACAGTTAAAGAGAAACTTTTAATAAAATTATGAGTTAGTGTGAAGGCTTAACACTGAAGTGATCTTTAATTGTTTTTAATTTTGATTCACACACATTAATCAGGTTAAAAATCATCACAGAAAAGTCAAACTCCTCAAAATACTGTAATGATTAATCACGCACCAACCCAAACCCAACATAAATGAAGTTTTCATACAGCCTCAAATCAACTCTTCGTTGTCAACCCAGCCGCTCCCCCGTCACTTCTCGTCCCCCCTCCCCCTCCCTCTTTTCTACCTGCCCTCTCTACCTGTGTGGAGGTGCACTGCTGCTTAATCTCAGGTTCACCCCAGGGTCTAGTGTTGCAGGGGGGTCATCCATTATTCAGCCGGCCTGAACAATAGAGGCCGGCGTAGCTCTGCAGCTGCCGTGCAGCAGACAGATAAGACAGCGCGCCAAATTATTCATGATGGAGGAATAGACGGATGGAGACGCTTGAAGTTGAATGAAATCATAGAGCAGCAGAGGGACATGTGACAAAGAGAATGAGTGTTTCCAGAAGGGGGCTGATTATCAAAGACTGCTCCTGAAAAGATAACAGTCGAAAAGTGTGTTCATCGTGTTGCCTGTAGGTTATTAGGAGGGTCACGACCAGGTAGATAAAATCAAATCCTAAAACAGTGGTTTTGAAATATCCACTTATGTTAACTGACATCTGTAACGAGAAACCAACAAAGTGCACGGAAACAAATGTAGTCGGCTTTTTTTTTCCACAGAGATTCACCTCAAACATTTATTTCCTAAAAGTTATCAAGCTCTCTTTTTGAAACAGTCAAAATACGACACAATATTTACCTTCTATTCTTGTTTGACGACTTCATCTTAGTAGAAAAGATTTCATTGACACTTTTAATTATTTATATGAAACGCTGATGAAACTGTTTGTAATTAAAAGATCTAGATTTGTGTCACCAAACTGCACATCACGGACTGTGTCCAAGTGAACTCACAGTACAGACGGTGATATTGATGCAAACAGACTGAGGGCCACAGAGGGAGTCATAAATCTGGCATCAGGTGAAAGTTTTCCCAGTCCAGGGCATTTTGAGGAGCTGGTTTTACTTCAGTGTATACACAGACACTGTTGTGTGTGGATGTGTGAGTGTGTTAAGATTGGAAGTGTACAGAGTCCTACATCACGGATCTGGAGGGAGGTAAACAGGAGGAGATAAGACTGTGAGGCGTTAGTGTGTACTTAGACAGGAGCAGCACGGAACTGAGAGTGACCTGCTAGCGACACACACACACAAACACACACAAACACACACACGGACTATATGGCATGGAGAAAAAAAAAAACCTGCACTCCAAATCTTCTGTTTTCATCAAACTCTGAATCCTGAAGTTACCCTGATTAGCAGTCGGTCCAAGTTTCTTTGTTTTTTTGATGTTTTTGTCTTTCTCTGATGATCAGGATTACAGTGTGAGAATGACTGTCAGGACTGTTGTGTTGCCTGAACTGATGACAGTATCAATCTTTTTCTGCCACAGATAGCTACATGTTTGAAAAAAATGTCACACTTTTTTCATGTTTTTGCACACTGACAGTTTAACACACCCATCCAGTAAAAAACAGTGGTTTTCAGTTAGCTGACAGGGTGCAATTTCTTGGAAACAATGGTCTTTCATTTCTTCTTCTTCTTATTTTTCTCTCGAACTGCCCATCCCATCGTTGTGTGGTCTGTTCACACTAAATTGGCACATCTACACACACACACACGCGTACGCAAGAAACTTACATGTGGAGGAGCAGAACGGCAATGAGAGTCCACTCTGGAGCTTTGTGGATGATGTTTGTGTTGGTGAATCTGTAGTGTCAGGGAAAAAAAAAAAAGAAGCACATCACACCTGATCTGTAAAAGTACGTCATGTAAAGACATTTCTCTTCTTGTCGCACTCGAATCTGACCACGGAACATTTGTGTGAGTAACTGATAACCACATCCACAAAGGTGTAAACAACCTTCCAGGAAAATAAAACGGATTTAAGGTCACACCCGCTTCCACAAACACTTGTAGCATTACAGCAGTGATGTATGCGCGTGTGACAGCGTCGTGTATATGCTTTAGTTTCAGGCCTCATGGTGTCGAGGCCTCTGACAGCACAGAGAGAATTCCTGGAAGCAGGACTGTAGAGGTGTTACTCACTCCACAGTGATTTAAAGTCACTACTGCTGAAAACATCCTAACCAGCCAATGAGAGCGCAGAGTGAGCATGTGGCAGGGAAGGTTCAATCTGGTTCAAGCTTGAAGGACCGCTGAGTAAAATGCTACACTGACAACTAGTGGGCAAAGCAAATGCTACATTTTTGTCAAGAAGAAAATACATCACACAATAAAAGGAAAGACATTAAACAGGCTGTTTCATGTGACGCAGAAGCTTTTCACACTTCATCTGATTTCACACCTTCTCAGGATCTGGAAGTTAGCTAAGACTTGTTTGACTGGCATGAATCGGATTCTCCTGTTTGTTTTTTTGGACTTGTTTAGACGTGAGAATTTACACCCACATCATCTTTTTTTTTTTTTTTTTTTTTTTAAATCTGAGACAGTTTGACATGTCACAGTTTGAAAAACAAAGGTGTAAAGCAGTGGTTCTCAAGTCCAGTCCTCTAGATCCCCTGCTCTAACACACCTGATTCAAATGATCAGCTCGTTATTAAGCCATTACAGAGCTTGATAACGAGCTGATCATTTGAATCAGGTGTGTTGGAGCAGGGAAACATCCAAAACATGCAGGACAGTGGGCCTCGAGGACTGGACTTGAGAACCACTGGTGTAAACTAATGTAGTCATCATGAAGACTGAATTTGGTATCAGGGTCATGGTATCATACAGAAGAAGACTGTGATAACTTACTGGGAAACTTAAAGAGAACCAAATCATGTTGTCACTAGTTACTTCTGTGTTTTTGCTTTTTAAAAACTGGGGCTGTTTTGGAGTCTCAGTTCCCCCTTTTTTTCTAACCAGAGCTGAATCTGACTGGTCAGGAGTGGTGACTAAAAATATAAATATAAGAATATAAAAGGAAGAAATTTGCATGAATCCTATGATTCTTGGCCAAAATTACAATGAGTATCAAGGCCACCTTAAAAAAACACAACAAGATTTTGACATTAAAGTTGTAAATTTATAAAGTTTTTTGGGGGAATTCTTTATACATTTTTTTTAAGAAATAAGTGATAAATGAACAAACATACATTGATAAGAAAAAAGTCATAATCTGATTTTATGGATAGACTTGATTTAGCTTTAAAAGGACAGATCATAAGAGCATCCTTGCATAAAGGAACATGACGCATTAATGAAATTATACTTTGTAAAACTCATAAGTTTATATCTCTTTTTCTCTTCTTACCTTATCTTGTCACTTTATTACTTCACTCTTTTACATTTGACCCTATATCTAAAATCGTAACTGTTTCTTCTTTGTTATGGCCCTGATTCTCTATATTTTGCCAACACTTGATTATAACAGATAAAAAACATTCATCCAATACATGGTATGTGAGAGATATGTGAAATGAATTACTGTCCTAAGTTTCGAATACAGAGAGCCAATCAGATAAACTGACCTATCATCACAAAGAAGAGCACAGATGCCCCTGATAAAAAGTAAGGATGGCTCTGTTACAGTCAAGTGTCTCAGAAAATAGTGACAATTTAAGTGTTTCAATTTAATCGATTTTACTGTTGTGTGTCAAAGCAACCAGCAGGGAGCGCTAAAGGTCTTTATCAAATCCCCAAATATTTTTAACATTTATTAACTGATACTGAGTTCATTGCTCTTGTTGCATGTGATACATTACAAAAATCTCAATTATCAGTCTCTGCAGAGCATCAACAGATCTCAAAAGGAGAAAAGAAATGTTGATCCTCTTAAGTTCTACAGCGAGAAAATATATTCCTCACTCTGAAATATCTAAAACACACTGTAATTCATAAGTTTAAGTAGGAAAAGTGATGAGGAGTTGCTTATTTACACCCTTTGCTTGAATAAATATCATATGACAGAATTCCTGCATGTAGCTATTAGAGTAGAACAACAAATAAATACAGTATATTCAGCTTGTTAATTTAAGACCATAGAGATGGCGTACACAGATATCTGGATGTGCCTTATTTATCTTTATGAGAAAAACTGTGGACAAATATCTGCCCCTCAAAAAGAAGATTATCAACAAACGCAACAAAACTCTGCTGTAACCGATCACTCTTGCACCGTACCTTTAACGTCTTATCAGCTGAGTGTTTTGGCTCTCTCAAAATGTTTAAAATTACATCCAGAGATTCATTTTTCTGATGCATTTTAGGTTGTGAGTGGGCTAAATTTTCCTCTGCAGAAAAAGGTGTTGGCAGTTTTTTACATCTGTGACCTTCTGCAGGAAGAGACCTGCAGGGAAGACTGTGTATGCGTGTGTGTGCTGTACTGACCTAAATGTTCTGACCAGGCTGTTCAGGTCAGTGGAGACGTCACTCATGGTGAGATGCAGAGGGCCGACGATGTTTCTGAGACTGAAAAACACAGAGACACGAGGCTGGAGTCAAAAACAGAAACATTATATATCTAAGATCTGTGTTATAGCAGAAATGAGCAACTGTATGAATCAGAGGAGTCATAGCGGTGTCATAAAAACAAAACCGTTATTTATAGTAATATGAGGCATCAACAGAAGAATAAAAATGCTACTTCTTTATTCTATTTTTACAATTTCACATTTTTACTGCTTGATTCTTTTCACTATTCTTGCTTTAAGTCTTGGACCAATTTTAGTCTTATTCTTGAACTATTAATACTGCATATGCCAGGACACATAAAGGGCACAACAGCCTCAATAACATTTTGCTTACACATTTTAATCAGCCTATGCCAATTTATTAACTTGTGACCAGTTTAAACCAAACTAAATCCAGATTCATGTATTTTTACTGACTAATCAAAACATGATATATATTTTTATAGCTAAAGGTACAGGAAGTGACTGATGAGAGATTTGTATGAGTTCACACTTGTGTCCACATTCAGCTGTAGACATGCACACCAACACTAAAAAACAACAACACACCAGCTGTTGAGCTTCTCCACAGTGATTCGTTTCTGGATGAGGTGCTGGGCCTGAGAGTCGACGAGTGGCAGAGCGGGGTCCTTCCTGCTCTGAGCCTGGACTGTCACCTGGTGTGGTACAAAGAGATGTGATTGGTGGATAGCAAACTTCAGAACATGAGTATTACCCAATCCCATCAGTTATTCACCTCGTCACTTTTGTGCTCCTTTCCCTCCTCAGGCAGGATCCAGGTCCCTTTAAAAAACTCTCTGACTCTCAGCTCCATCTGCTGACTCTCCTTCTGTAGAGTCTTGTAGTCCGGAGCGGCAGCAGACGGTCTATTGCAAACCCCAACATCCACACCTCCTTCTTCCTCATTTGTTGCCTCATCATCAAGATCATCTTCATCCAGCTCCTCCTCCTCTTCTGCTTTGTTTTCATCCTCTTTGTCATCAGCAAAAGGAGAGCCGAGTGAATGGTCAGCTCCGTATAAAAACTTCAGGGTCTCATCAGTGCTCCACTCCTTTAATGTTCTCTTCAAACCCTCGAGGAGGCTCAACCGCATAGATTCAGGTTTGGCTGCAGTTGTGTGGTTCTTGAGCAGACTTCGTAGTCCTGCTGCTCCTGTCTTGCTCATACCTACTTGGGTGATGTTGAGACTTTGCTGGTCTGTCAGTGCAGTGTCCCGGCTGTTCACATTGTTGCTGTTGAGTGCGACAGAAGGAAGATATTTGCTCTCTGATGAGGGGTTTTTACCCTCTCCATTTGCTGCAGGGTTAAGGCGATGTGAGTTTTCTGCTTGTGTGGCTGTTGAGAGAACCGTCAGCGGAGCAGTGTGAGGGTCTGTCTCAGATAAATTGCACAAACTCAGCTTGTTACTTGCCTCCTCCACTTTAGATTCCTTCTCTAAGCTTTCCTCCTTTGTAACCTCCTCTACTTTAGATAGGGCTGTATTTGATGAGAGCAGCTGTTCTGGTTTTCCAGAATAAACTTCTGCTTCACTTGGATGTGACTTCGGCCCACTCTCATCACTCCTCATCTGTCCCTCTTTTGAATTCTGATGCCTGTCAGTCTGCTCTTCCTTACCCTCTCTCTCCTGTTTGTGTTGCCTCTCAGTCTTTCTTCTCTCTTCTTCTTGCCTATCTGCATCTGAACGTTTGGGAAGGTGGCCCCAGTGCACCCTTGGCCCCTGTTGCTGAGAAACAACGCTTGAGACAAAGTCCTGCTCAGTGTCACTGCCATCACTGTGGTCTAGGCTGGCTGCATCAGGACGCTGCTGAGAAGAGAGAGGGACTTCAGGGTTCTCAATGTCCACCTGTTGGAGGCACCTCTCCAACAGCATCACCTCCTCACCAGAACTCCCGCTGCACAGACAAAGAATACATGCAATTAGTCTTTTTTATGATACAACCTAAATCACATTTACAACAACTGGAATTATAAAATTATAAAAATTATATGAATCATACATACCTATCTCCTTTCTTCATCAGTTTAATTTCTGATGGGCTATCAGTGAGAAAGACAGTAAACTCAAATTGCAGATGTGCAGAAAATTATAATAATTATTGATTAGGAAATGATTGTCAATCAGGATAAAAACATGAAGAGCACACAAACCTTTCATGCTGCCGGAGCCAAAGAGGAGTTTTTGATATTTGCAGCTCGAACTGTTTCGATGCTTTGTAGCAGAAGTTGCTACAAAAACACTGATCACCAGAGAAGAATCACAATCATTAAGTGTGATTTGACTTTAACTCTTGGGTGTAATTATGAAATATGAAATATTAGTATTTCAAAGCCAGAACTGGGAGTCCTCACCTTGCGCTCTGTGATGTCATAAACTTTGTTGGTTTTGGTAGAAATTTTAAACTGCTGAGTCGGGACCTAAAGAAGAAGAAAAAGACATTGAAAAAAATCAAGCTCAAAACTCAAGAACAAGCAGATTTATTACAGGACAGTAAGGGGAGATATAAAGGTTCCTACCTTGCCCAGTTTATTCGAACAGATGGGATAGCCACAAAGTTTGACAATAAACCTCTCCTCCACAGCATCTTTGTAATTGGCTGGAGATATTAGTCTGGCCTGTTGAGAAAATTGAGACAAAAACATGTTGTCCCCCAAGAGTAACAAAAATATCAACCTGAAGCACATCAGTAAAAACTCTTTAAATAAGATTTTCAATTAATTGATTCCATTGTACTTAAATTAAGATAAATATAAGCATCCTCAATGTTAAAGCTTACTGCTCTCACTATTATCAAAATATATTTGTTCAGAAATTATGGTCTATTTCTGGGTGCTGAAAAAAATCATGTTACAATTGTTTCAGCCTCACTTATTCTAATATAACTTTTATCACGTGAAGACAGACAGATGTTTTTGTTTGTTTGTTTTTTCAAACCAGTTAGATCATTTGCTTGTGAAATACTTGTCATTTTCAAAACCGGACAAACAAAAGGTTGTAGCACCACCAAGTTATGAAATTAAGAAATAACAACATACAGAACAGGTGGGAAAGTAAGTCAGTTTAAAGTCATCTCCTGGACTTATTCTAATCTGTCAATGCAAGTTTGTGCCCTCTCTCCATCTGAACACATTAACTGACACTTTCTAGACTGCCATAGGAAGACATGAGCAAATACATACACAGTCAATCAGGACATCTTCAGCCACTCTGTCCTCCAGGAGGCGCTCCACCACCTTCAGAGCTCTTTTCTCCAACTCAAGTTTCTCCCTTAACGCTTCCTTGACAGCCTCTCTCCTGATAAATCAACAAACGCACTTTGACAGGTCTAATGATCTTCTGTTGAGCATATGAAAGTTTAAGTAAAATGTCTTTTAAAGTATGAAACATGAGCTTTGACACAGTTTGAGCATTCAGTGAAAAAAACACCCATTCATACCTCCTGATCTCTTCTTCTGCAGTCAGCGCTTTGCTCTTTTTACCACCTGTCACAACAAACAAGTAAACATGATAAAATGACCTCTATTAACCATAATGTCAATCTGAACCATACTTTGTTTAATTTTGGCTCCATAGTCTTTTCAGGACAAGAGACAGCACTGAGTCTGTCAGCCAATTCACACCAAACTTAAAGTCTTTTCTGGTGTTTGTACGTCTAAAAGTATTATAGTAGGGCCAGATATGAATACGACAAAGTAACATATTTATTTAATAAAGTTCACAAACCTTTTTTTGAGGCTTTGGTTGAGCCCCCGTTTCCTCTCCTGCTCTCCGTCTCCATGCTGTTTGTGTTTTCTGCGTTTTCAACTTCGACCCGTGACGTCTTCTCACGCTACGGAAGCCTGGAACAGACAATTCATCCTGCCAGCCGCCAGCACTCCAGTTGGTCAGGTATCGTGGTAGTTTTCAGCAGATTGTGTGGGACATGTAGTTATAACTAAGGTTTGTACTCACTCTGCTGTCATCATGTTTATCATTTTTTATAGCGTAATAGCGTTTCTGCCTTTGTTAGCCACGTTGAAGAGCTAGAAAAGGTTTATTTTCAGCCAAACGGCTAAGCTAATATTCTTTATTATAAACTCGCATCAAATCTCCTCTTTTGTTTACACCAGATTGACTGAATTTGACACCAAACACAGTTTTGTAGGAAAATACACCTTAAACCTTTCATTAAAATATATTCCTGTGGGGAATTATATTTTAGATAACCATGCTTGCACATCATACTGTCAAAATTGTGATTTTTACGCGTATGAACCATAGAGGAAAAATATATTGACATGTATTGTGGTTTAAGTGATAGAAAGATACATAAAACTTGATTTCTTTGTCAATATTTTTGGAAAATCAGGGAGAGCTGTAATTATGTTGATATCTAATACAAATACTCAATACACCTTGATGAACAACTCATGTGCATATCACTAATCTATCAGCTTAGCGAGTAGACACTCTGAAATGAAGGACTGGTTTGTTATCATGTTGTATGATATTCTGTATTTGACTTAAGGTCCCTTTTCTGCTTTGGAGGATTGCTGTGTAAAGACAAACTCTCCTGATGACTGCAGGGATGGCTCTGGAGCAGCTCAGTGATGTGGTCCAGAAATGTGTAAGTCCTGCAAATACACACTCAATACAGTGGATATAAAAAGTCTACACACCCCTGCTTAACTGCCAGGTTTTTGTCATGTAAAAAAAATAAATCAAGATAAATAATTTCAAAGATATCAGTCAGGTGAGGGCTACAAAAGAATTTCCAAGGAATTAAATATACCATGGAACACAGTAAAGACCGTCATCATCAAGTGGAGAAAATATGACACAACGGTGACATTACAAAGAACAGGACGTCCGTCCAAAATTGATGATAAGACAAGAAGAAAACTGGTCTGTGAGGCTACCAAGAGGCCGACAGCAACACTGAAGGAGCTGCAGTAACAACAATCTCCTGCTGTCTTCATATGTCTGGGCTATGGGGTAAGGTGGCAAGACGGAAGCCTTATCTTACAAGGAAAACATCAGAGCCCAGCTTAATTTTGCAAAAAGACATCTAAAATATCCCAAACGCATGTGGGGAAATGTGTTATGGTCTGATGAAACCAAAGTTGAACTTTTTGGGCATCACTGCAAAAGGTATATTTGGCGCAAAATCAACACTGCTCATCACCAAAAGAACACCATACCCACAGTGAAGCATGGTCGTGGCAGCATCATGCTTTGGGGCTGTTTTTCTTCAGCTGCAACTGGTGCCTTAGTCAGGGTGGAGGGGATTATGAACAGTTCCAAATACCAGTCAGTGTTGGCACAAAACCTTCAGCCTTCTGCTAGAAAGCTGGAGATGAAGAGGAACTTCATCTTTCAGCACAACAATGACCCAAAGCACACATCTAAATCAACAAAAGAATAGCTTCACCAGAATAAGACTGAGGCTTTGGAATGGCCCAGCCAGAGTCCAGACCTGAATCCCATCGAACATTTGTGGGGTGATCTGAAGAGGGCTGTGCACAGGAGATGCCCTCGCAATCTGTCAGATTTTGAGCAGTTTTGCAAAGAAGAGTGGGCAAATATTGCCACATCAAGATGTGCCATGCTGATAGACTCCTACCCAAAAAGACTGAGTGCTGTAATAAAAGCCAAAGGTGCTGCAACAAAGTTTTAGTTGAAGGGTGTGCATATTTATGCAACCAGGTTATTTAAACTTTTCAATGTTTTATTTTTCCCCTTAAAGGTTTCAGTTTGTTTTTCAATTGCATTGTACAGGTTATAGGTCACATTAAAGGTGGAAAAATGTGAAAATATTTATCTTGCTGTGATTTTCTTACATCATGAAAACCTGGCAGTTGAACAGGGGTGTGTAGACTTTTTATATCCACTGTACATGCATCCACACATGCATCCATAAGAATATGAACTATTTCATGGTAAGAAATTTTGGCCCTTTTTTAAAGGCAGATCTGTTTTGTACTTAATACTGAGTGCTTCTTTTGGTTACCATTAACACTCATGCATCACTGAAAAAAGTGCTCCTGTGTTGTAAGTAGTGGTCAACTGATATCACTTTTTCTATTGCTCATGCCGAGACTGATAATGAAAGAGCAGGTCAACTGACAACTGCTAATTAATCTTGTAGTTGTTGTGATTTTTACCTGCATTTAACAAACAAATGAGAAAAAAAATCAAAACTCGGGTGAATATTTTATGAGAATAATCAAAAAGAGAAAATATTTGGTGCTGTAAAATACCACCATGGACTTTGGGATTTCTGTCCAGCCATCTGAAAACCTTTTAAATAGCAAAAAATACAAGGTAAATATTTTTGTAATTAAAATTTCAAAATAAAGTCATGTAGAAATCCATATTTCAATGCACATTAAAATCTGAGATAAGTGGTTTTCTTAGCGAGCAACATGTTTTAGATGGGCTTTTAATTGATGAAAAGAGAAATACATTAGCAGATTATTTCATTGAAAGGTTGTAAAGCGGTTTTTGCTTTGAGAAAAACGCTAATGATCATTAAAATGTCTAATTTTCTATCTTATCTATTTAAATATTAAAGGATTCCTCGCTGCAATAAGATCTTTTTATTTATTTATTCCTGTGATTTGCCTTTCTTCCCAACAGCAAGCACTCCCTGATGACAACTACACCACAGAGGATCATGACGTCTTCACCATCGCTGGGCGGACCTGCATAGAGGAAGGACACAGCGCTCAGGTGCTCAGTATTGTCTTGGATGAGAAGAACCAGGTAAAGCTGATGATTCTTTCACCACAAAGACTTGTTCACACTTGATGGGCTCCATAACACTTGTCTGTCTCTCTGTCTGTCTGTAGGACATAGTGAGATCGATGGGTTGGAACCTGCTTCCTCCACTGATCCAGGTCCTTCTGAAGAAAGAAGACAAAAACCTTCCTCAGTGCTTGGCTATTCTGAACCACCTACTGCAGGTTAGTTTAACCTCAAAGTTAATGTTAGGAATATGTTGATCTGATTGTCAGAGTTGATGAAATGTTTGGATGTGATAAAATGTCTGATCCAGTGATTTAGCTAGCGGTGTGCAGATGCTGAATGCCTTGAGTACCGGGGTGAAATTGTGAAATTTGGCGCAAAATCAACACTGCTCATCACCAAAAGAACACCATACCTACAGTAAAGAATGGTCGTTGTAGCATCATGCTTTGGGGCTGTTTTTCTTCAGCTGGAACTGGTGCCTTAGTCAGGGTGGAGGGAATTATGAACAGTTCCAAATATCAGTCAATGTTGAAATTTTTAGACCTGCAGACCCAAAGAGCTGCTGATTGGTCTCTTGGAGCAACTGGAGCATGATGACCCCAACACCATCGCAGAAAGCATCCATCTACTGTTGAACCCGCTGCAGAAAGGTATAAAATACTTTGTTAAAAAAAACTACTTGAAACACCTAAAATATAAATATAATCACATCTCAAGCCGAGTCATTTCTGTTTCCCCTGTAAGTGCTGCTGTGCCTGGGCAGTCGCAAGGCATCCTCACTGGGCATGACCCTGTCCTCAGTGCTGGACCAGGTAGCCAAACTTCCTCTACCCCATACTAAGGAGCAAGAGGAGGATGATGTCTTCTTGCTTTGCCGCTGCTGCACTGATTTAACAGATTTTGTCAGACCCTTTGTGCACGAGGCCAGACTGAACACCTTAAACTGTAACGAGAACACAGAGAACATGGAAGGTGAACCAGGCAAGGGAAAGGAGGATGAGCTGCAAACGGAGCTGCTAAAGTTGTGAGTGAAGGATTTGAAATGTCTTGACAAAATACAAGTGAGAAATGTAATTGAAGTGTGTGATTTGTGTTGTGCAGCTGTATGAAGAGTCTAAATCACCCCCTGTTGGAGGTACAACTCAGAGATCCGGACACTCTGGCAGTGTCTCCTCTCAGAAATTTCGCCACAGAGATTTTGGTATAGAAACCATCCTTTTACTACCACTTAATATGTCTATAAAGAGTGATATCTTCATGATTTAAATACAAAAACAAGACTTTAAACTCAGGTTTTTCATATTTTCATTTTGAATATGATCTAAAGTGTGACTCAATTTCTCCGTCTGTGTTTGTACAGAAATCCCTCGGTGCGATTGGAGAGTCCCTCCCTGCTCTTGTGTTTCAGCCTTTGCTTAAGAGAAAACAGGTTCCAGGCTTTTTAGAGGAGGAGGTGCGTTATCCCAAAGAGTCTTTGGCTAGCCTGGCTCACCTGGTTTTTGTCCATCACCTGACTGCTGATACATTCCCCAGTGTTTTCAGGTAAGTTAAGATAATCAGTCAATCCCATTGAAGTTCTCTGATGGGCTGTGCTCTCTAAGGGATTAATGCTTTTTTGCTTTTTAAATCCCTGCAAAGTGAAAAAAAAAGATTCTGTTTTTTCACAGAGCACATGCTAAAGGTCAAATGCTCCACAAACTGGGCTGCAGAACACATGGCATCTATCTAATGCTATTGGTGTCTATTTGAATGAGTAGTTGTACGTCAATTTAGGACACTCACGGTCACTCGAGTGAAGTTTCCTCTGTTTGCTGAGAATTTGTGCTGAATACTCCACATTATTTAAGAAAAATGACACACAAACTTTCCTATGATCCTGACATTTCCACCTCTGGATGACCTGACAATAATGTCTAAAAATAACATCTGTAAATATAACTGTGGTGTATTAAAAGGGAGTAAAACCATATGTGTGGGGAGGTTCCAAAACCGTTACTCATAGTGGATTATATTATTTGAACAACTTCTACTGCGTTTGTTAAATGTCCAAATGTGTATCACATCTTTGAATTTTAAAACAGTGAAGAAAACAAACGGTGCCCTCTCCCTCTGCCCTCTTCAGCTCATCATCTGTATGTAGAGATAAGCTCTGCCAAGATAAGAGTCAGGTCTACAAAATCAGACACAAAACAAGAGCAAACTGCACAGGACCGTAAAATGTTCCATATATGGATTCGTACTGAAATATCATCAGGACAATATTCTCCATGATTTAGACCTTGAGTTGTAGGAGACAGTGATTGAAATTTTTTGCACAGTTCTTGGTGTCTGTTGTGAATGAAGTGCCATCTAAATGTGTCTTGGAAAAACCCTGCACAATACTGTGACTGTTAATCTCTCTGACTCTCTGTATTACAGCCCCGTGTTCATTCTGCGGTCAAACATGGAGCACATTAACCTTCTTCTGTCAAAGTGAGTAGACGACACAGTTTACAATGCAACTTAATGGTACTCAAGATAAAGTCAGAGTGAAAAAGTGAATTAGTTTACCATTGATCTTGTTTAGTCCATATGTATTTTGTATTTTAACATGATGTAATCCAAGCAAATGGGCCTTATGTCTTTCTTTTCTTATATATTATACAAGTGTTTCTATTAAATGCTTCAGGATTTCTGAAAATTTAAAATTTGGAATGGAAAAAGTTTAGAAAAATTTCTAAACCTTAGTTGACAGTCAAGAATATGTTTACATTTTAAAACACAAAGTCAAATTTATAACACAGTCAAACGAAATATTTTTATCAATTTGTAATTTTTTATGATATCTTTATGATTATATTAATGAAATAGACTGAAATGACAAGCATCGCAGAAAGTGCTCTGTCCACAAGGGGCACAAATATCTCTTTGCAGGAGCTTTAAATTGATACTTGAAAATTACAGACTTGTATTCACAGGTTCATGTTTGTGTTCTTGCTGTTTTTAAGCTGAGCTGCATTAATTGAAACCTGACTGTCATTTTATTGACAGAACTGATGAGTCAAGGATACAGAAAGGACTGGTGAGTCAAATTAAAACATTGAATTCAAAACAACTTTGAAAAGATTATGCTTAAGTGAGGGCAGCTCTACAAAATCAGCAAATGTAGCTTGTGACGTCCAAAGCTTTTCTTGCTGTAATGAAAAACTGGCTTGTAGAAATGTATGGGTTCACTTTTAAAGCTTGTTGAATTTCTTTGGAAACATAGCAGCTCATAAACATTTTTTTTGCTCTGACTGAGAGTCCTCAGATGTCACATCTGTGATTTTATTTCTGTTTCACGGTCAAACAGGAGTTGTATGAAAAGAGTCTGGTGCGTGTGGAGAATAACAGCTTGCCTGCAGATCTGCTAGAGATCAAAACCTTACTCACGGTCCCACAGGTGAGCCGTTATTTTTTATTTTTAGTTTGCTGTGTTTCTGTTGGAGTGGAGATGAATTAATCTGTATTTTATGTCACACTTCACTCTGATTGTGGCTTTGTCCTTCCAGAATCTGGTCAAGGTGATGACGATGTGTCCACAGCATGATTTGGTAAGAATAAAATGGACACTTTATTTCACTTTTCCTGGGAATTATGTTACGCTAGCTTTGTAAGCTGTCTGTCACAGCTTTTGTAATAAATCTGTGGGTAATGGACTGTTTGTGCTTCTTCTATTATGTCAGCTTTGATTCACGTTTTTCAGATGTATTCTTAATTCTCATATTTTCGTCTTTTTAACAGAGAACCAGAGGGCTGAAGATTTTCCAGTTGAGCATCGATAAGTTTGATACAGAAGCCAAGTACAATTTTTTACAGTGAGCTCCACATTTAACTCCTTAAAATCATCAGAACTTTGTCTCCGATCCACCCTTTAGCATATTGACCTTTACTCATGGTCATGTTTTAGGTACATGCTGAACGTCAGTCATCACTCAGGAGTCGAAGGCTACATCATCAAAAACATCAAGAATCAGATCGACCACGCACTGCAGGTGAGAGGGCACCTTGAATTTTTACCTGACTCAGCTCAATTGAACTTTGGTTTGATGCAGCTACAACTACGTCCGTGTCTGTGCAGAGCGTGCATTTCTAAAATTGTCCCTCTTTGTGCCTTTAGCCAGGTAACAGCAACATCTGGTTTGAGGGAGTCCACCTGCTGCCTCTGCTGCGCAAAGTCTTCAGTCTGCCAGACGGCCCAGAGACCGACCTCCTGCAGTATCTGGACCGGTCAGGACACACGTCACATCCATAGTAGCTTATGTCTATACCCCATTCATTAGCTACAGGGTGTAGGGTACTTGAACCCAGCATGCATAGAGGGAGAAGAGGGTACATGTATATGCTGTTAAATATTGAAAAATTAGGGGTGCTGTGCTTCAGTCCTGGTCACAAGATTGACTCACCATACCGGCATTATTTGGTGCATTTCTGCAGATGGTGCACTCTGCCCCCCCCTTCCCCACATTTCATATCTCACTGCTTTTATTAGAGCTGGACCCATCATATAAAAAAACATCAACCTCAGTCACTTCTTTCATTTTGTGAACAGAATCATGGAGTCCCTGAACCTGCTGCGTTACCTCATCATCAGAGACAAAGTGACAGAGAACCAGGTCAGTTTCTCAGTGACACTGCGTAGAGATTTGACTGTTTTCACTGTGAATTAGTTACATCCCGCCTTTCTGATTCTGTGAGTACCATCAGTAGATGCTGTTCCTGCTGTATCTCACCGTAGCTTTTCTGTTTTTGTTCTGATCTCACAGACCGGGATCTGGACAGAGCTGTATAAAATAGAAGATAAATTCATCAAGCCCCTGCGTGTCGGTGTGAACATGTCAAGAGCTCACTATGAGAGGGAGCTGCACAATACCATGGAAATCAAGAAGAACAAGGTCAAAGGTCAGGCCAGCACTCTCAGATTTAGAAAGTAAGAGATTTGATTTAGCAGATGTTTGGAGGACTCTAGAAAATCACATTTGGAGGTAAATCTGGTTGTGATAAGGAGAGAAAACAACCCACTAGTCATGTTGTAAAGTACAGTTGTGTATTGACATTATGAATGTGTGTTTTCCACAGAAAACTCAGTGCTGTCTGTGAGTGTTGGTGGTGAAGAGCTGCCAAACATGACATCAGAGTCCCAGATTGAGGTCAGCCACTGTTTCATTTTCATAAAACAATGAAATGGGATTTTGCAGCTCTGACCTGATTGAACGTGTAATGTGTCCTTTCAGGCTCTGCACTCAGCCCTGCACACATTCGACATGATCGAGAGTGTATTAGTGCGAGTAGAGGAGCTCGCCGAGGTGAAGGAAACTCTTTAGGCTGAGAGCTCCACAAGCAGAGATCTTCATCACCTCAGGGGGCGACAAAGAAACTGAGCCTTTAACCGTCGATGTACAGTATGTTGTTGAAGTTAAAGCAGATGTTATGGATGAGTCATCGGACATAAAACGATGGACTTTGAAATGTTGCAGTGTTTGTAATACTCACAATGACTGGACAGTTTGTATCTCTTCTGTAATAAATGTTGATTTTTGTACACTCAGTTTGAATACAAGATTGTACTGTTTGCTTTGATACGTTTTATACTCTTAAAAAAAAAGTTGTAATTTTGTAAATTTAAAAGGGCCACCTGGTGTGTAATGAGAATACTGCAAATGTTAATTTAGAGTACAAAGTCCACAAAGACAACTAAAAACTTTTGTCAGAGAACAGTAAGAAAATAGAACTGTATTATAGTTTCATCGTTGATTAAAATATGTTTACTTTTTATACACAGAAACAAACTTTTAAAGGCAGTTTATCTGGAAATTTTCACATGACTGAAGTTCCCACCATTTACAGTGGAAAAAAAAACTATCTGCAGGTTAACTGGTGCTTTTCAAATATTTATTTCTGAATTATTTTATATGCATGTTTGGAAATACTTGGTATTTTACACTCACTATTCTTTTGTTTTCTTTTATTAGAAAATTCAAATTTACACTGTACATTTCCCAGTATTATAATTTAATGAGACTAAAACATTTACTTTCATACAGCTGCATTCTTCATACATTCTTAAAAACACATACAACTCATACACACTTTCAAAACAAAAGTCCTCTCTTACTTTAAAACAGTGGCTCTCAAGTCCAGTCCTCAACACACCTGATTCAAATGATCAGCTCGTTATTAAGCCATTACAGAGCTTGATAACGAGATGATCATTTGAATCAGGTGTGTTGGAGCAGGGAAACATCCAAAAACCACTGCTTTAGAGACACTTTCTGGTGATATTGTTTACAGGCAGTTTTTCACCTGTTAGAAAATGTTATTTTATTAATTAGATTTTGTCCTTGAAGAAAAACCAAAGTTGATCATGTGTCACTTAACATCAAATCAACTGTCTGCCTAAATATTGCCTCAGGTTGAAATTCTTCCAGTCGTGGTTTTATATCAGTAACGGCACACATCCACATCCATATTAAATACCCAATCCCAAAGTACTTTGTACTGCAGCTGCCATGAAAAGCAAACATTAATACATACACGCAGGTTTGTGAACCAGCAAGTCGAGTCTGTCTTGGATAACATAAATATCTATGCAGAATGAAGTGAGAGGAATGATGCCAAACACAAAGTCTATCACATCTCTCTTCTGTTCTGCAGATTTCCCCCCATAGGCACATCACGTCTCTGATGTCTGTTTTGCAGAAAGGTGTTATAAAAGGCAGCAGAAGTTTTTCTTAAAAAGGAACAGACTCGATCTGAGTCGGGTTGAAAACTATAATAAACCCTTTTGTCTTTGCATAACTGTTTGTTCCACCTGAATCAAATATTCAAGAGAACTCTGGTGAGGTGAGACTTCTGGTCTAGAACCTGCGCTGTCTCACAAGTCTTTGAACAGTGGGTGCTGCAGGGCCTGAGCAGCTGTAATCCTGGTGGCAGGGTTCAGATCCAGCAGCCGGTCCAACAGGTCATAGGTCTCATCAGGTACTCTGTCCCAACCCCGCTCCTTTTCCTCCACCTCTAAGTCAGTCTGTGAGCTCTGTTTGTGAACTGTCTCTTTGCTCCCTGTCTGTATGTGCTGTTTCGGAGGAGTTTCGGCATCTTTGTGTTGCTTTAATGTCCTCTCAGGGGGACGATGTGTTGGTGTATCATCTTGGATTTTGAGACGGGGAGAGACGGCTGTGTTTGCATCGGGAAGAGGCGTGACGTCATCATCGGGTGATGGCCTGCGTCCTCTCAGAGTCTCACACAGTGTCCTGAGGTCCTGTCGAGGCAGCTCCCGACTGCACACCACTGCCTTACCTTTGACCAAAAAGAAAAAAAGATTCACTACAACACAACAGCTTTATACATTACAAAGAGGGAGAGATCAGTCACCATACTTTAACTGTCTATGGTCAAAAACTGTGGAGCTGGATTTAGCTATCTTCACTCAAAGTTCCACTGAAAATCATCAAAACATCATCTCGCTTGTTTCAAACCAAATTTGGTGGACTTAATATCTTCAACAGGGCCTGAGCGATTTATCGGTGAAGCCCGTTTGAGACTAATCAGTAATCGGCCAAAACTCGCCGATACTTTCAGAAATAAAATGTGGAGAATAAGATTAGGTTTCACTTCGAAAAGATCCCCCGACTTATCCTGTAGATGGCGCAGCGATCTCATGACAGTCTTCATCCACTAACAACCTCACAGCACAGCAGAGTGACGGATCTGAAGCAGGCAGCTCAGGGACGCACGGAGGAGAGTGGTCCGCCTCAACGGTAAATAAACCAGTTTGTGAAACACACAATAAGTCAAGTTTTAGTTCAACCCACTTCACAATGTTCCCCGCTGTGCTGGTCTCGGTCACGCCGAGTTCACGGTGAAGCACCATGTAATATGCAAGCTTAAGTTAGAGTTAGGCATCTGCTATTAACCTTGCTACACTGTTAGCCGTGCTAGTAACGGTAGAATAACAACAGTATATATTACGTGATCGAGCTACTTCTCTTAGTGAGGCAGCTGCATGTCTCCAGTGCAGTTGAAAATGCGTTTCTGGTCCGAGTTTGATCAGTCGGTCTTCCTGTCAGCGTGAAGAGCCGTAGCCTACAGTATATCTACAGTATATATATATTTTTTATAACTTCTTAAAAATTTTAAAAATCGGCAGATTAATCGGTAATCAGATTTTTTTTTACCCCCTAATAATCGGTATCGGCATCAGCCCCACAAAACTCCATATCGGTCGGGCCCTAATTTTCAATACGAGTAAGTTATACAAAAAAAAAAAAACCTCATCTCTTGTCAGATGTGTGCACTAGAGGGATGTGCCATGAGGCTAATTATGAGCTAAATTTCTTTTTTGCACCAGGATGTAAACATGTTTTTGGGAAAAGGCTCTTTGGATTGGGTGAGTATGTGTCTTTAAGAGGATTTAGAGCCAGTCTCAAACAAACCATACATTTTTTTTTCCCAGCACTTTCGCACCGGCTTCATTTCTTGAGACTGAGGGTTGCGGCTAGCAGAAAACTAATACAAATACACACCAAATGCCTTGGCAGCCTGGATGGTCTCTCTGGAGCCTCGTATGGTCATGATCTGAGTGAGGGCAATCAGGTCATCGCTGGCTTTGAAGAACGGGTAACGTCCACTGAGCAGAGAGAGCAGGATCACACCAGCTGACCACACGTCTATGGCTGGAGTACAGAAATAAGACACAGGTGTGTGTTATCGATTATAAGGGAGAATAAGAAGAATTGTGTTATAAGGTGAGCTGTTAGTCTGTTCGTGAGAAACAAACCTGTGCCTTGGTTTGGACACTTTGTGAGGACTTCTGGTGCTCTAAAGCCTGGAGTCCCAGCTCTGGGGGCCACCTGCTGCTTCCTTTATGTTGAATAAGAAACCATGAATAGGGGTATACATGAAGCAAAACAAAGCAGTAAACAAAAATAAACCTTACTCCAAATCTCTATATGTATGTATTTTACAGTTTTCCAAATATCTTGGTAAACAGATTTTCCATTTTAATGGTTTTAAAGCAGAACAGTTCCAACTTCATTGATTACATTATTTGCTGTTTTTCTTTCCCATCTGTTGTTGACCGTGCTGAGACTTTAGACTGTAAGTGAGTCAATTGTTGCAATTTATGGACATTACTTTTAGCCAAAGTTAATTAGTATCAATATTTTCACGTCTTGTAGATAATTAACCAACTTGACTGTTTGTTTATCATTCTTGAAAGTATTGGGCAAACAACACAGCGAGCAACTGACAGGTCAACTATAATGAGAGAAAACTGTGAATCTTGAGTCCAGAGTAGCTTTTTAGGATTGCCTAGAGTGGGACCACTCGAACTTCACTTTCTGTTACCTGGACATGCAGATGTTGCAGACACGGTCCGTCAGGCGGCAGTTACAGGTGAGACCCTGCTGTACGGTTCTCGGAGGTTTCTGGCTACTGCTGCTGCTCTGAGTCCTGACGGGCAGTGGGCCCCTGCTGGCTGCAGAGAGCCTCCGAGTGGCTGGGTCCTCTGTTCTCATTGACTTTACCTGCTGAATGAAAGGTAATCAAATAAAACGACTACTCTTAGAAATAAAAAGAACCATTATGAACACCCTTAACTAAGTAAATCTCTGACTCAATTATAACCTCCATCTATTTACAACTGAATGATCATTTCTCATGATCAGTGAACCTGGTCTTTCCTTATAAATTTCCTCAAACTTCTTGTTCTTAAACTTCACACTCCACTTACTTACCTCTGTTTTAATGGCACATTGTTTAGTGGTGGATGGAGCTGGTGCGCAGCTGTTGAGGTTCCTCTCTCCAAAGACAGGTCGTGGCACTTTGCGTAGTCCTGTCAAATCCTAAAGTAAATAAACATGCAAGGAAGAATTTAGTCAAAATCGACACCTTAGTGCAAAAAGCAGGAAGAAAAACATACAGATAGGAAGATATTTGATCACTAAAGGGCAGTCTTAACCAAGACTCAGGCTTTTAGTGGATTTTTATTTCACTCTTCCAAAATTGTGCTTTCACACGGAAAGAAAAGGAAAAAAAACATTAGAATAAAAGTATCAGTTTAGTGCTGAGTCGGACACCTTTGTATGCTTTGTGCGAGAGGTGGAGGTGGCAACAGTGGTGGTGACAATACGTGCTTTTTTGACCAGTGCCTTTCGAGAAGTTGAGGAAGACGTGGAGGGGGAGGAAGAAGAGGGAGAAAGTGGTAAAGTAGGCGCTCGTTGTGGAGGTGGAGGTAGAGAGGTTGAAGCAGTGGTTGTGTTGGTGGTGGTTTTGGAAGGGAGTCTAGTAGGTGCTCTGCTCCGCTGTGTCGCTTCTTGTTTCCCTGTGGACCCTCCACCTTTTTGTGAAGACCTCTGCCTCACCACCTTCAGCAGCTCAATCTGGGTGTCTGCTGTGCCCTGAGCCAGGCCAAAGTCCACCAGCGCATATCTGCAACAGCATTTTAAAACAGGGAAATGAATAAATCGATGAGAATCCAGTTTTAACTGCAGCCTGGATACTAGATGGGATAAGCTGCACTTATCACAAAAAGGTGTGACGACTCACTTTCTGCTGCTCCTGTTGTACAGAAAATTGTTTGGTTTGATGTCCCTATGAATGATACCAAACTGGTGGATGTGTCTAAGAGCCTTCAGCAGGTGATAGATGTACAGACGAACCTCTTCAAAGCTCAGCGAGCCGATTATCTCCTATTGAAATCATTTTGAATGGGTCAGAAGTTTGTCTTTAATTCATAGTCAGGGGAATCAATTACAGACTGTTTCTTAGTGTGCAACAATGTACATACCACAATAGGTTGATGCTCCATATAAGGCATGACAATCACCACATGATCTTCCTTCCTGAAGCAGTAAGTGACCCCAATCACATTCTCTCTGCCTCTGCAAAGTGTGAAGAAAAAAGTCACAGAGCAAGTGGTGAGACAAAGGAAAAAGTGAAAAGAATCTCTACCTGTAACACAAAGAGTAAAGTTTTCAACAGTCAGACAAAGCAAACATGAATGATTCACATGTGAAAACAGACATAGCAGGTAAAATGACATGAAAGTGAAACAAAAAAAAACTTCCATAAAGCTTCTTTGGTCTTAATTCTCTGAAGTTCAAAATTATAGCAAGAATGTCTGTAATAATGACTCTTGGCAAATCAAACAGCATTAAATTCAAACCAGTAAACAATAAATGGTTGATTTAATTGTACATATTTCAAAATTCAGAATCTGACCTGAGCAAATTTACCTTTGAAAAAGTAATTTGTGACACTCTGAGGGCATAGCTGAATGTCTTATGTATATCACCTCTTAAATACATGAGTATTGGACATACCCTGCCAGAGTGAGACACTGCAGCTCAGCAGCAATGCGTGTAGGATGACTGGTTGGGATGAGGTGCTTCAAAGCAAACATTTCTCTCTTTCCATCTCTCATCTGAGCCTCACCCAGATACACCGAGCTGAAAGTTCCTGAGGCACAGAGAAGGTACACACACCATTTGCATATTATATTTTCTATTCCAATAAATTTCAAAAGCTGTTTCTCCTAAAACTTCTCAAGGAACTTTGATTTATGTTGATTCTGGCACCCATCGTGGATGAAGCAGTATGTCTAATAACATGACTGCTTTGTCATTGTGGTCATGTAAAAGCAATGATTTCTGACCAACTAAAAAGTTTTCCTCTTTCCTTCAAACAGCCAGGTGTAACAGTTAAAAAAAAACAAGCTGTTCCTGCAGTTGGCTGCGACAACAAATTCAGGGATTCAGATTTAAAGTTTGGAAATTGTCACTCCTGTCACTGATGGTCTTATTTGCTAATTGGTTACAAAAAGGCATCAAAATGAATTTCAGTCTGTTTCATGACCAGCCAAAACTCCCTGTAGCTTTAAGCCGACATACTGCAGACTTGAATTATGATGATTAAGTTTTACTGAGCAAGTACCTTCTCCGATTTTGTCAATAATGCGGAAAACCTTAGTCAGCTGAGGAATAGATTTGTAGAGGGACTCAATGTCGAGCTCTACATCCCCTGAAAGAAAAGAGAAAAAAGCTATTAGAGGCATGACACACTTTTTGACATCCTACACTTACACTAATTCAGTTCAGTAAAATGTTGTGCAAAGACAGATTTATGAATTATAATACTCTGCAGGTTCACCTTGTGTCACAGAATTTATGAAATACATTTATTATATTCTACTTCAAATAAAACCCTCAATGACAAATTGGTTGTATAAAAGAAATAAGTAACACATTAGAAACAAAAAGTGACTCTTTAATCAAACATTGCGGTATAAACGCATTGTTATACAGTGGATATAAAAAGTCTACACATCCCTGTTCAACTGCCAGGTTTTTGTCTTGTAAAAAAATTAAATCAAGATAAATAATTTCACAACTTCTTGCACCTGTAATGTGACCTATAACCTGTACAACACAATAGAAAAACAAAGAGAAATCTTTCAGGGAGGTTAAGTAAAAATGAACAACTGAGATCATGAGGTTGCATAAGTGTGCACACCCTTTAATAACTGGGGATGTGGCTGCGTTCAGATTTAACTAATAACATTCAAACTCAGGTTAAATTGGAGTCAGCACACACCTGTCACCAATTAAAGTGCCTCTGATCAACCCCAAATAAAGTTCTGCTCTTCTAGTAGCTTTTCCTGACATTTTTGTAGCCACATCTTCCAGCACAAGCGGAGCGCTTCCAAAGCATCAGAGGGATCTCATTATTCAAAGATATCAGTCAGGTGAGGGCTACAAAAGAATTTCCAAGGAATAGAATATACCATGGAACATAGTAAAGACCATAATCATCAACTGGAGAAAATATGGCACAATGGTGACATTACCAAGAACAGGACGTCAGTCCAAAATTGATGATGATAAGACGAGAAGAAAACTGGTCAGAGAGGCTACCAAGACGCTGACAGCAACACTGAAGGAGCTGCAGGAATTACGAATTAAGTACTGGCTGTGTAGTACATGTGACAACAATCTCCCGTTGTCTTCATATGTCTGGGCTATGGTGTAGGGTGGCAAGACAGAAGCCTTATCTTACAAAGAAAAAAATCAAAGCCCGGCTTAATTTTGCAAAAAGACTTTCGAAATCTCCCAAACACATGTGGGGAAATGTGTTATGGTCTGATGAAACCAAAGTTGAACTTTTGGGCATCATTGCAAAAGGTATATTTGGTGCAAAAACAACACTGCTCATCACCAAAAGAACACCATACCCACAGTGAAGCATGGTGGTGGCAGCATCATGCTTTGGGGCTGTTTTTCTTCAGCTGGAACTGGTGCCTTAGTCAGGGTGGAGGGAATTATGAACAGTTCCAAATACCAGTCAGTGTTGGCACAAAACCTTGGGCCTTTTGCTAGAAAGCTTAAGAGTAACTTCATCTTTCAGCACGACAATGACCCAAAGCACACATCTAAATCAACAAAAGAATGGCTTTACTGGAATAAGATTGAGACTTTGAAACGGCCCAGCCAGAGTCCAGACCTGAATCCCATGGAACATTTGTGGGGTGATCTGAAGAGGGCTGTGCACTGGAGATACCTTTGCAATCTGTGAGATTTGGGGCGGTTTTGCAAAGAAGAGTGGGCAAATATTGCCACATCAAGATGTGCCATGCTGATAGACTCCTACCCAAAAAGACTGAGTGCTGTAGTAAAAGCCACATGTGCTCCAACAAAGTATTAGTTTAAGGGTGTGCATATTTATGCAACCAGGTTATTTTAACTTTTCTATTTTATTTTTTTCCCCTTAAAAGGTTTCAGTTTGTTTTTTCAATTGCATTGTGAAAGTTATAGGTCACATTAAAGGCGGAAAAAGTTGTCATTTTCTCACATCACTCAAACCTGGCAGTTGAACAGGGGTGTGTAGACTCTTTTATATCCACTGTACCTGTTTTCAAAAATCGTTTTAATGTTTTCTTTTTCTGCGTAATTTCATACTTACGGGGAATTTTACTCCTCCTGGAGCCTCTGTCGGATTTTGTTTGAGTAAAGCCATTTGAGCTGATGCCTTCAGTGCAGACAGGAGAAATCTCCATCTAATAAAAGAGAAAAGCCTTTTCAGTTTGCATCACAGTTAACGACTAAAATTATAGGTCTGATTAAAACGCCACCAAAACAACCTGTCATTACTTTTTTAAGTCCAACTAATGGGTTATTTAACAAAAAACGACTTGTCAGAAAACCATTTGGCTAAAACAGGAGTGTAAACACTTGAGCAGAGCTACTCTTCAGCCTCTTCATGTCGTCTTCCTCATTCACACAAACTAGCGTGCCGCAGTTAGCTTCAGTCTGTCAGGCTTCTCCTTTAGCTCACAAACAATAAAAAACTTACCGCTTTTAAAGTCGGACGTTATGCGGAAACTTTCCTGGATTAGCCGTCGCCGACACGCTAAACACTCATGTGAATTAAACTCAGCAGGTAAATCCGAAATATGTATAACTCGGTCAGAGAGAGTCAGAGGAAAACATTTGTTGAGACTTTCGGGATGAGGCTTTTCCGCCAACAACAAACTCCCCGCTTAAAGTGACGTCACGAGATATCTCGCCGTGCATCGACGAAAATCGCGGGATACCACACATTTCAACCCCCCCCCCCCACCACCACCACCACCACCACCACCACCACCACCATTAGATTTATAATGATGTGAAGAGGTGCTGTATACCCATTCAAGTGGGTTAAAGGCGAGTGAGTGTATTGCATCAATTTAAATTGCAAGCTGGAAAATATAAAGAATACATATTGCATTTTTACACAAACTGCATATTGCATATTTATCGGGGGAGGATAAATTCCTACTTTGTCAATCCATGTAGCAATATGCCTGCGTGATTATCAGGAATATTACGGTAAATTTTTGGCAGTCTTCTTGCTCGAGTCTACGGGTCTTGCTGAAATGACGTCACGTAGTAGTTTTCTATAAATACACCATAGACATCATATACGTAGACACCTCAAAGCTTGACGCAGCCTATTGGAGCTCTCGTATCGGCGCGGCCGCCATCTTCAATGGGTCCCCCGTGTGCCTCCAGTGCATTAAGTAGGTAGGGATGCCCAACCATTTTGATAATAACTCTCCGAATCTCTGCCCGATTTCCATACTGTTTGGTTTGTTACAACGGCAGGGATGTAGCAATAATACAGGACAGTGTCACACATTAAAAATAAAACAAATTATTCTTCTACCCTATTTGTGAAATGTAATCATACGTGAAATGTAATCTGCGTCGGGTTTTTCAACCATAGAGTGCAAAAAAATGGGCACAGTTGGTAGTTCACCATTGACCCCATTGGCTCTTAAGCGAGCCTGGAGTGGGGAGACCCGTCCAATATGGCGGTGACACAGGCTTACGCTCCGGCGCGTAACGAGGCGTCTACGTATACAATGTCTATGCCAGACACCCCTTACCACCACCACCACCCCTGAGCGGAGTACAGTCATCGTCCGACCCGAACTCCGGCAGCTTCCTCTGTCAATTTCTGCTGTTTTTATCTCTGTTTTTCAGCACAGTACAAGAGGACTTGTAAATAGCGCTGAAAAGCTTTGTAAAAAGCTGAGAGAATCACTCCGTCATGTTCAGTTTCTCACAGAGACACCGCGATTGTCTTGCCATGATAAACTTGGTTGCTGCGAAGGGGTTCAACTCTGTTACTTTGGTGTCTCTGTGACGGGTTTATGAACAACAATTGAACAGTTTGACTCAACCAGGTTTCTCTGTGTCCCGGTGTGAAAAAGCCAAAATTCAAACACACTTTGACACGTTTTCCTTTTTTCATTTGGTTGTGGAAATCCCCACTTTACTCTGGCTGTGTATGTTTTTTTCTCCAATCATCCACAGCATTGACTTGAAGAAGCCAGTTTCCCGTTTTGTAAATGCTTTTTCAGCATATTCACTTGTTTCTGAGGACAAGACCTTGGTTTGACAACTTGTCTTAAAACCAACTAATTTTCTTTTAACCAAGAGATGTAAAACTACCTGCCTACTATTGGGTTTCACACACACCTGGATATAGTAATAGTACAGTTAATATCTGGGTTTGTCAGTTGATCGTCTCAAAAAATGTGTCTACACTAAACTACTGAAATGCAGTAGTACATGTATATGCATGGCCTGCAAGTGGCGCAGTAACGCTGCCACACGTCTATGCAAAAAACACTGGTTCGTGAAAGATGCGTAGGCCTATGGGTATGGGTGAAATAATGATGCTTGTTTTCCCAGATGAGGTTAGAATTGGACTGATTAATAGATTTCATCAAGTTGTCAGGAATAGGTCATGAAAAGGCAAGGGTCCATTATTCTGGATAAAGATTCAATTTAAGTAATCGTCTGCCAAAAACTGAAAGCTTCTTCTGTAACCAAGAGTCAGGAATAGACAGACTTTTCTTTGTAATAGTGTGAAACTTTAATCTCTCTCTAGTGTTTGCATCTTCTGTTATAGTGATTCCCAAATATTTCAACTCATTTTTAACAGGAATCTCAAATAAGCAAGGACAGTCATGAAGAGAGTAGTTCACATTTTTCTCGATTACCACAGGGATTTGTTCTGGTCTTTAAAGAAAACAGTAGTATCATCTGCCCCCAAAAGTAATAGACAAACGATTACCTAACACCTCTGAGGACACTATGTCTGTCTTACAAAAATAGGTAAAAGTTCAGCAGCTAAAATGAGCATTAATGGGGAACAAGAGCATCCTTGTCCAGTGCCTCGTTTGATCTCTAATCTTTTAGTCGTACCCTGAGGGCGGGAAACAAAATGATTAGTATCATAAGAATTGCATTCATAAGTCTGAAACCGAAGTCCAAATATTTTAAAGTTTGAATGGATTAAACTGAACTGAATCTAACTATAAAAATCTAAAAAAGAAGCCTTAGATAACTATAATCCAGTAGGACAAGCAGCAGTGTAATATTATAGTGTATTTATCTCAGCTGGAGCTTGTTTACGTAACTGACCTGCCTGTGAGCAGCAGGAGTCACTCCATCCTCTCATGCTGCTTGGCTGTACACCTCAACCTCATATATACCTATTTATCCTATGATGCCACATTATATCACAGTTCACATAGCTGTTTGTCACAGAAATAGATTTACCAGCACTCTCAGTTGTAGACCTGAAAACAGCCTGTTTTCTGCAAGAGTAGGGCATACTGTTGAACTAATTACCAGCATGGCTGTGCCTGTGCTTCTAGACATTTTATAAGATGCAATTTATTGAATGTTTCAGCACAATTTTACTGTTGCAGCTGGTGTAAGAATGTCAGTAAAGAGGTAACAGGTGTGAAATTAAAGTAAACAAAACAAGAAATGTTGTAGGCCTAAATGTAAAAACACAAAGATGCACAAAATGAAAAATACCCGTGCAGAGACAGAGTTCCCTCAAATTTGTTACTTGATTTTATGTTGCCTCGCTGACACCTTTTTACCACTACCACTGCTGATAATGCGACATTTCTGCAATTGATTTGGAATGAGAACCAGCTTTTTACCTTCCCTGTTATTTTGTGTAAACAACCTAGAAAATAACTTAACTCACTCATGAAAAGACTAGTTAATAATTTGTATATGTGGTTTAGCCACTGCTGTATACTTTATCCTGCTACAAATGGACTCGATTAAAATAAGTTCACGTAATTACACAAGCCCCCAACTTTAGTTAATAGCTTGCAAATAGTTTATAGTTTACAAATGGACTCGATTAAAACAAGTTAATGTACCCCAAACCCCCAACTTTACAAATATGCACACAGCTGCTTTGCTCTTAAAACTCACCAAAGCTCAGTTAGAGAGATGTCACATCATAAAAAACAATTTGTTTACCTAAAGATGGTGAGACTGGCACAGCTTTCAGTCATGTCTGCTTTTCTTCCTGTTTATCTGCCAGGAGCCTTTGGACAATTTTGTGAAATTTAGGAGCAAAGGCATGCCTTTAATATTCAAAAAATAAATAAATTGACATTTACTTATAGGCTTTAATAAAAGAACACTAAATACAAACAAGGGATATGATATGGTTTATTACCCAAGACTGGGATGAACCATTTGATAAACACACTTCAATAAATGGATAATTACACATACTCCAAATAATTGAGTAAAAGTTAGAACTTTCACTGGAAACATTTTTTCATTTTCAGTATGAATATGTAAAACATGGCTCTGAAATGCTCAACATCTTATTTAAACTTATATTTGAACAAAACATAAACATTAAGCAAACAATGTTAACATTTTAAATTTGCAATCCTTTCAAAATATGCCATCAAATATTCCAGTGAACGCCTCCTCTTCTTTGCTTTTGTTGCTGAATTACATGTAAGAAAGGAGAGTTGTCAGTCAGCTATTGAAGTTACACTCAGTCAACAATTGCTCCGTATGAATGAGGACATTGTGCTCTGAGTAAACTGTACACAATATCAACTCAATACAAAGCCTTGTAAATGGATTTCCCTCTACCTTCCACTGACATGGAACTCAGTGTTATCTGGGCTGCTCACAGTTGAGAAGAAATCAAACCTTCTCGTGAGCAGGCCCACATGGGTCTGGGGTTTTGGAGGGAGGATTTCTGGCTTTGTTATGATAATGTCCTCAATACTGTTCTGTCTCTGCACAGAGAGAAAGAGGAGCAAACATCAACAACTCACAGAGCAAAAGTTAAGATTTTAGAAAGCTTTTTACAAGCAACTTTGTAAAGCTTGGGATCGTAGTTTGCTGCTTATCATTTAGAATATTTCCAATCATGAAGAGTTTTTCTCTTCTTTTATGACCGCTCGTACAGCTGAGTGAAACTGTCTCAAAAAACTATGTGGTAAACAGACTGGCTAGAAATGTATCATTTCCCCCTTGTCCACGACATGAGATTCACATTTACCAACCTGAAAAAGCCCGTGGGAGCCTCCATGTGCTCCTCTTAAATGTAAATGCCAAATTAGAACATGCATGGATTAATGTGGGAATCCAAACCTTTTTACTGCAGTCGAGTGTGAGTCTATTCTGTGGTCTCACTGATGATGAGGGTCTTCTAAATTCAGGACCTAAAGTTGGTGAAATTGACCTGAAAGGGTAAAACAGGACATGTTTGTTTTAGCCTTGGCTACAATATGAAACCTCCATGATTCTTGGATGTAACTGGATGTATGTCATGCATTATTTATTACTTTGTGGCCTTACCTCAGTGGTGTTCTCACAGAGGTGGTTACACACTGCTGATGGAGAAGCATTGGTGTTGCTTTAGCAGTAAGGCCTACAAATGAAAACTATGTTAAAGTCAATAACCCCTAACAACTATTCCTGAGGAAAAAAAAGACCTCTCTGTGTGTGCGTCAATGATGTCCTTGTATCTCTCCACCCTCTTATGAATTAGCTGTAACTCAAACTCCACTCTACCAGGCTTGTTGTGGTCAACAGGCTTCTGGATCTCAGGTTTAGCACTAGCAGCGCTGACATGCAAGAGGTTCTCATCATCAAAGTCCTCCCAGTCGTCCCATTCATCTCCAAGGTCAAAGCTCACAGTGGGTATTTGTGAGTATGGTGTGTTTTTGCAGTGAGAACCCTGGACTGACACTACAGAGGACTTTTTAGAGTTGGCACAGTTTGTTGAATTGATTTGGTTCACAGAATGCTTCTTGTTTTGAGGTTCATCGTTCATCCACACTGAGGAACCTAAACACAGATGAGAAATGACAATACTTTGAGAGTGAGCACGAGTTGTGGTGGGTTTCCTGACAGGTTACTTTATTACATTCATACCCACCAGGTGATCATGATAACCTCAAAAGAAGAAATATGACAGAAGACAGGAAAAACAGCCACCAATCATGTTAATATATTTCACACCTGCTTACCAATGTCAGCGTCAGGGAAGTCACCTCCTTTCAGATCCAAAATCTCAGTGTGAGGTGTCAATGCATCTTCATAGAGATTTACTCCATACCTTCATTAAAAACAATTTGGAAATAGACAGGATTCACAAATAAGCAAAATTTCACAAGTTTTATCGTTCCACTATTAAACTGTCTCATTTGAAACAGCTGTCAGAAGTTTTTTACTCATGCAGCAAAATAAGTCTGAAATATCTGTGTGAATACCTGGACACAGTTGGCAGCCTCTCTTTGGGTTTGTAAGAAAACTCTTGCATGTTGACAGACACTAACTCTTCGCTCATTCTCATCTGGAAAAAAAAGAAAGCATGTAACACTCACTCAGTCAGCTTTGTTTAAAACAAAAAGATTGTTTCGAAGCTCCACAGACAATCAAAAATTGACCATGTATTGCTTATGTAACAATTAAAAAATAAATACAGTAAATGTCCCCAAAGAGGCAATTTTTGGCACAACACAGAATTGCTTAAATCCTAAAGAGAAACCAGACAAAGACAAATATCTCAAATCTTCCAAAGTGGCTGTTATAAATATTGTCTTAGTTTGAAAATGCATGTCACCTATCATCTACCAACACTTGAAAATGAACAAATAAAATAGTGGTGTGTACTGCATACCTCTCGTATCCATATTATTCCTTGTGGCTACCACATCTTGTTTAACTGAGTTGTTGCCATAGCGATAAATTAGTCAGATTGACCTATGATCAGGATATCTATACCTCCAACCAAAGAAGGGTGGCCAAAATTCTAGAGAAAGTAAAGAGGATGTATCCATGCAGATCTTGTCTCTATTTACAGCCAGCCTGGTAATGTATCGCAAACTGTCAGTTCACTTACATCTCCTATAATGAACCCCCGGGACAAACATTTCACATATTTTCTCACTCTGTTCCTGCGAGTGCTTTCTGAATGTCCATATCAGCATACAATACAATAACAAAGTAAATACCCATAACAAGATATGCTGTATAGAGTAAAGAGACAGCCTAATTCTTCATCTAGTTCACGAGGTTTCATTTAAATGACTCAATGGGTGTCATAAACCAGTCAGGAATTTAGAAAGAACTTTAAAACACATATTGTATCTAACCTGCATGTTCAACCCTGTAAATCAAATGCAAAATCAAACTTTGAAGCTTCATATCTTCATGCGTCGATTCTTCTGTATGTATATGGAATGCATATTATCGTTGCACATACTTGTTCATAGAATACAGTGAAATACCTCCAACATATACTGTGTAATGCTGTCATCTGTGACATTTTTTTCTGATCCTATTATCGTATGTTTTTTTTTAACTTGGCTGGTATATTTCTCCGTTTTCTCTGTAAACATGCAGCTCCTCCATCATTGACATTTCTTTTCATATGATCTTAACCAGTCATGACTTCACAATGACTCATCAGCTCTTCCTGCAGATTCAATGTGAGTGCAAGGCAAGGCAAAGTAGGTGTTTTTTTTATGGGCATAAAAAACTGCATCAGAGCGAGGGAATATTTTCCTTTCATGTTTAATGTGATCGATCTTCAGAGCGCTAGACCTTTTGCACACAACGCATTGATGTTTGGCAAGTTTGAGGTGAGCAGCTCTTTGGTTTTTGTATGTGGCAGCAATGTGCAGGGTGAATGACTGAGGTGCGTGCTGACTCCAGGAATCACATCTTCTTTTTACCTTACCTTGAGTCGTTTGACAGGGGTCTGTGCGAGCGTTTCGCTTCTGCTCTTCAGGTCGCTCAGATATGAAGAAAAGCTGGATTCCTGATTTGCTGACCTCTTCAATGCAACACTTACACCTTCTTTACCTTGGGAATGCAGCACAAGTGAGCTCTGATTCACAATAAAGACATAGGAGCTCTTGAAAGACATAAATAAAAAAACTGATGGTTCGTACTCACAGCAGGGATGACCACAGAGATCTTTATTCTTGCAGAAGTGGTTGCACTGTCTCTTGTTGCATAAATCTGATGGTTCATTTTATTGTATTTGAGAAAAAAAATACATTTTATAAATGGTTGTATGCTCATTCCAATAAAGAGTATTTCATATTAGGCAGAATCATCAGTAACACTGCTGTGGTGAAATACCTGACTCTGTGGCAGATGCAACATTTTCCCTCAGCGCTTCAGCCTGAACTGAAGGTAGTGGTTGCAGTTTAGAGTGCTGCTGTCTCTGTCCACTCAGATCGTTTGATGTATGGGATGGATCATCTCTTAGAAACCTCCTGGCTTCAGAGTAATAAACGCTAAATTTCTGCTGGATGTCCAGGCCCACTATAGGAGAGGAAATGGCCTGAATTTACAGCGACTGCATTTCCCAAACTGCACTAAGAAGTTATTAAGTCATCGATTTTTTGGCAAGAATGACAGTAAATGTTGTTTCAAGGTTTTTATGTGTGGAGCAAAGACGCTTCCATCTTTACCGTATTCTGAGCTGATAAGACTGATGCTGATTTCTGCTCCTTTTGAGGCTTTTGCTACCTCGATCTTCTTTGACCAGCTGCCACACTTGAGCAGCACAAAGTCCCTGGAAAAAGAGGGTGTCTGATGAAAATCAATCCACTTTTGATTTTCAAAAGTATGAGCTCTGGTTTTCAGTAAAAACTGGTAGGAGCTTGTTTATTTTTCTCACGCGAGTTTTTGTAGGAAGACCACTTTATTGTCTGAATCTCCCACAATAAGAGAGACATAGTGGTAGTCTGGAGCCGTTCTCCTGGACAGCAGCTGAGCTTGGTTTGTTAGGTTCACCTTCACCACAATCTCAGCTGTGTTACAACCATATCTTGGCAGCTTAAAAAAAAAACACCAACAATGAAGAGAAAAAGGGTGCAACAGAGCTGTACAGTGAAATCTCAACTGAAACAACAGCTCGCTGGGCATAAACTGTGCTCAACATCGTACCTGCTCCAGTTTAACTTCATACTTTGGGAGATGGACAGCCGACTCCTTGATCTGGTTCCCGAATGGAGGATGTCTATTGAGAATCTAAGTAAATTCATAAATGTTAAAATTTGTTTTTAGATAAAGGGTACTTACAGGTCTTTTGCTTTCTGGTTCTTGTAGCAGTCAATTATTGTTTGATTACCGCCAGTACTCCTCTTCGCCTCAATTATTTGCTGACATTTCATTGTAACTCCTGATTCAGTTTAAACCACACTTAAATGGAATGAGTCAAAGAAATTACACAAACAATAAGAGTGTGTGTGTGTGTTTTTTGACTGACTGACCAGCTCAAGCTCTCTAGGATTGGTTTGCTGTATTTTGCTGAAAGTGGTGAGTCCAGCATTCACCATGGCAGCTGACAATGTCGGGCCTGAAACACATGGTGAGTTATTACAAAGTTATCATGTTTAGTTTGCCGTATGAAAAGATATTTCTATTAATATTTGAACTTTGAATGTGTCCAACCTATCTTTTCAAGCTGTCTGGAGACATAAGGTGAGTTTTCCCAAAGCTTGGCTCTGAAGCATTTAGCCAGGATCAGGGAGTTGAGCAAAGCAGAAAAAGAAGTCTTGGATGTCTGACTCACAAACTCTGACAGGCCTGATTAGGTCAAAACATTATCAAGTGAACACACGTAGTCAGAGGAACATTATTTCTGATTGTTGTATGTTGTATTCCTATTGATACCCAACATACATTTGCTGATGCGCATCCCAATCTTGAAGATCTTCGCCGTGTCCTGTGTTAGTCCAAACTCTGGGATTGAAATGGAACCCAACTGAGCCTGAATTAAGCTGGAGATGAAGCAACAAACATATAATCACAGTCAGTCCATTAAACTAGAATCATATCAATTTAGGTGCAATTTTTCCTCTGTTTTTACAAAGGAAAAGCACTGAGCAAAAAAGTTCACCAGTTCACTTTCATCTCGCTGGATTTGATCTTTCCTTCCATAGGAAACCTTAAAGAATACAATACAAATGTCTGGTAAGAAAAGGTTACGATGAAACATCGAAAATTGTTAGTTTATGAAATAACTCAGACCTGATGGTGACCCTGTACTTGTCCTTGTTTAAAGTGTTTAACTGCCTCCTCTCATTTACTCTCAACTGAATGTCGTTGAACTCTTTGCTCTTTGACACCAACTCGATCTGTACATACAGACACTGTCTATTAGAATCATTTCCACCTATCATTACTTTTACGTAGCATCTAAATACAGATGCTACAGGTAACATGATCTGTCACTTTTCTACCATTAGAAACTATTCTAATTCAAATACATTCATGCATCAGATAAGAAGCACACCAGGTCAGAGAGGCTCTCAGTGCCAGCCACTTTGCTGAACAGTTTCATGGTGTCAAAGGCAACACAGTACCTCGCCATCAACCTGCCAACCTCTGCAAGGAAAAACAAACATTTGAGCAGTTTGATCTTTAACATTTTGCCAGTATGACAAAGATGACTATCATTAAAATCTACATCATTTGCCGACATGAACCAAGAATAAACAAAAGAGGTGAAAATTAATCAATTTGCAAACAACTGGTTATAATTCCCTCCAAACCTGTTGGTTTGATGTTGATATCTTCATCCATGTCAATCAGACCCAGGGAGGACAGAGAGTTGAGATTCTTTAGACACAGTTCTATGAAATGACAGGACAATAAACCTCAGGTCAATAAACCATTTTTACTGTGTGGCAGAGTTAGTAATCTGTGTTAACACAAGATCTCAAAGTCATTGGCAAACACTACAAAGGCTTCAGAGAGCAAAGCATGCATGGCCCACCTTGTAATTTTGCTTCAATTCCATATCTATCCAAGTCGGCTGAGAAACCTGAAATTAGATTTGAGGCACACGCTGCACTGACTGAAAATGCAAACTGTTAACACAAAGAAACTGGACACTGATTTATAAAGACTTAATTTCCTGTGAGTGTGCCTCGAGTCCTGACCGTAGTGTGTGGGGTTTTTGAGTGCTCTGATGTAGAGGAGGGTGGAGCGTATCCAGTCTAGAGCCATGTTGACATCACTGATGGTTTGAAGAACAATCTCAGCATTCAGGTGCTCCACCAGGTGACTGTGCAAGCTGAAGGAAAGAAGTATACTGTTACCTTGTGCAATACTGTATTATCTCTCTCCTGTGAGAGTGCAGGGGTCAGGATGATTCAGACAGAGGAAGAAAAAGAGAAAGATGAATGAGCTTTCATACCTGCTCTCAATGATTTCCATCCCACTCATGAGTTTCATGTATTTGTCTTTGGTTTGCATCTTGGTCATGATCACTGCAGTGGCTGTTGTGTCAAACTAGAGGACAGAAAAACAAATGTACTTCCATGATCGTAGACATACACCCTCTACCTTCATACAGTAACAGCCTGAGACACCTTTTAATTATTTTCACTTTTTTATGATCAATGTGCATCATTACCCAAAGGGTTTCCTTCCACGTTTTTATAAGACACCATACACCACTGACAAAAACAATAATTTTACCTCCCAGCGAGGTGGAGTTATTGGTCTATTACTACTACTTCAACAAGATGGACTCATCTGATTTTTTTACAGGGTTAACCGGGTCGGAGTTCAACAAAAAAACAACACAAACCAACCTACAGACCATTGACTGTATTTGTCAATGAACGCTGGTAAATTGAGATTAATCTTTGTCAAAAGTAGTTTCAGATTCAAAAAGGGCTGTGCATTGAAGATTTTTGTTTCTTGAGAAATCTTCTCCGTCATGCTGTCTTACTGTTTCAATCACAATCTTCGCCTTACAAAAAGAGGCACTTACTGTAGATCTACATTAGTCTGACACACTGGCCTTGAGATAGTATACTGCAGTCTACACAGACTTTATAACAGCTGCTAGCAGATGCAATCCTTGAAGGCAAACATCATGTTCTCATTAGTTATCTAGACCACTGGTTTCCAACCTAATACTGATCTTAAAGGGCATAAGGCTTTGTCTGCTGTTAGGTTGTCAAAATAAAATATGTTATTACAGCTCTGGATTTATTGTAGTGTTACTTTGAGTTAAGCAGTAATTTTTTTCTCCATGCTGTGTTTGTGCTGGAGTGAGTGCTCTGTGTATTGTGTGGATCTGTGTGAGTGCGTGTGCATGTGTATAAATCATCAGGTGGAGGTCATGGATTGGCTAGAAGGAGGAGCCTTCAGCATTACGATTCGGATTGGTTGGGCACTCAGCATCCTCCTGTTTGAAAAGTCTAAGCGACAGTCCATCAGCAGATTTCTAACTGACAACAGCAGCGGCTCCTTTAGTCCCCTGCCTCCCAAACATTTTGAAAACATTCTATGTTTTTTTTATGTGTTGTGTTGGTTTTGTAGTATTTTGGTTTTATTTAAATTGTTGGGTTTGGGTGATTTCTTGCTTTTCTAAATGCAAGGGGATCTCAAAGAAAGAAAAGTCGGGAACAACTGATGTAGACAAGAAAAAATATTTAAAAATACTTTTGTACAATGCAAAATGACCCGTTAAAGTAGTTAAGTCCAAGTGGCATAATGCTCAGATCTGTTCCTTGCTTCATGATTGTGCACCACGCATTTAAAAGATAAATCAGCATTGTGTTTTTGCGGCATTACTTGCGGTCTTCCAGCTCTTCCTATCATCTGCAGCAGGTCAGCCTCACTGTACTCTTCACAGGCGCCGGATACATACTGCATGGTGGACTTGATTACCACCAGATGAGCTGGTAGGTTCACTCCCATGGCCAGAGTCCTGGTGGTAACTGGGATGTACAACAAATCAGACCACAAGCAGCAGGTCAGTGGTGATGAAATACAGACACAGATTTCAAATTGTACCAGCGTACAGTAAAAGACTGATTGTTTTTGGAAAATGGTGAGTGAATATGCAGGTATATTTTTATTTACAATAGCACCAATTCATTTGAGTGGCTATGAAATATAAAACAAATCCATTATGTCATCAGAATTTTTCCTCTTGTATAAACAGAATTTTAAAAAATAGTGTATATCAGTAGATATTGAGTAGATAGTGAAGAAATTTGCTAATTCTAAATTATTTTTTATAACTTTCTCCAGTTGAATTGTCTTTACAATGCATTTTTGACTCAATCTTGTACGAACACCTACTGATGTTCAAACTCAATACAAGTGAAGGACAATGAGAGTCATTAGTTTAATCTGACACACTTGTCATTCCTGTGTGCTGTGACACAAAGAAAACAAAAGCACAGGTCGTGTTGCATGCTTATACAGTTACATATCCATTTACAATTCCATTAAACCAAACTGTGTTAGCAACAGAGTCTCACAGAGGACAGGCAGGTCTCCCAGAGTGAAGGCCTTTTCTATCAACTTCCTGTCGGACAAGTCAACTCCTGCATGGTGGAAACCCACACCTAACATCACCAGATCTGGATGACGGACCAAACACAAAAAACACAGTTATACAGCAACAGAGCAACAATCAAATGAAAATGACCCTGCAAAGAGGGTCTAAGAATCTGTATCTGGGGAGTCTTCACTTTTTTTTTCCAAGAGCACTTACCTCTAAGTTTGGAATCCAGGATGGAGTTAGCATATTGGATCAATCTAGATAGATTATGAAGTGAAAACCATCAGAGAAAAGATCACGCTCTCTGTGAAAGTAACTTGTTAATAATTGACTGATAGGTCACAGGTGAAATCATACCTTTGTTTATGTTCAATGCTCATTATGAAGCAAGCCTCTTTGGCCAGAACTGTGGCTGACTGCTGGGCTCCTTTTCTTGTGGAGCAAAACTACAAAAGAAAATAATCATTCAACTACAGAGACAAAGATCCCACCACCCTACATAGGACATGCAAAAAGGAATTACATAGATTTGCCCAACCCACCACAAGAGAAGGCTTCTGCTCTGAGTATGTCTGAATGATGTTGGCCATCCTGTAGTTCAGAGACAGGTCAAACTTGAACTCTGTTTGGTTTGGGCTGCAGGGAAATCCCAGCACTACTTTCCTCAGCTTAACAGGACGGTGGCTCTCATCCATGTCCAGATATGTGGCTGGGCCACTCTCATCAGAAAGCCAGTCTGCTATCTAATAACAGGCGGGCACATCTATTATTTTCCAAAACCAACACGGACACATTTGACCAGCTGTCCCTAGGTTTTTATATACTGAATGACAAGACAGTTACCTACAATTAACAGATTCCCTTTTGATAATGTTTAATTTTGAAATGTTCTTTTGTTTTCAGCTTACGTCATAGATGTTAGGTATGGTGGCTGATACAGCCACAAACCTCATACGGAGGTCTTTCTCTGGACTCTGTGCTGTTCTGTAGGCATTGATGGTCTTCATCCTGCTCACCACCACCTCCAGAGTGGCACCGCGGGTCGCATCTTTCACCACGTGCACCTGGGAGAATACAATGTGATGTTATTTAGGTAAGATAAAATCAAACTGTCTTCAACCACTAGAGTCTGTGATGAACATCAGAAAGTACTAATCACAATGACATAAGTAGACAGGTTGCACACGAGATAACAACACAAAGGCTTAGAACACTGAGTACATTGAATAATGACATACCATCAGGCAATGTAGCATAATTAAACACACATTTAGAAAGAAATATCTGCTGGTATAGAGAGCATCTCCAATCTTGCAGGTTATTAAACTTTATGTACGTATAAAATGGGCATATGAAAAAAAATATCATCCAGGCACACTGACCTCATCAATAAGAAAAAGCCTGACCAGCTGTAGCAGACAGTTGTCCTTCCATTTTCTTGTCATACTGTCCCACTTTTCCTGTAAAAAATATCAATACTGTGAATTTAAGTAACTGCTGGTAATTGTGGTGAATTTATACATTCTATCTATCTATCTATCTATCTATTTTGTCATACAGTTGAGGAGTTCAATTTCACACACAGGAGTGGTCAGGATGATGTTGGAGTTCTGAATCTCAAAGAAGTCATCAATCTGTGTGTCACCCGTCAGTTCTTTACAGCTCAGCCCCAGAGGACCAAACTTATTGTTCCAGCTCTCAAAGCACTGACTGCACAGAGCTTTGATCGGGGCCACTGGCAACAACAAACAAACAAAAATAATTCTACAAGACAGTGTCAATGGCTGGAAACAATTTTTTAAAAATTAAATAAATAAATAACAGTTTCAGCTTTAATGTCATATATCTTGTGGGTGTGAAAACTTGGTCTAGGTCACATGTACTTATACTTGAGCTTTGTTGATAAATGTATTCACAATGGTACACTCACTATAGACAACTTTGACATCTGTCCAAGGCTCTGATGTCTCCATCAGCAGACGTATGATGGCCAGCTCAAATAGAACAGTTTTACCAGATCCAGTAGGAGCACATGCCACAAAGTTCTTTCCTGTATAAAGAACCTGTAAACAAACCAAATATAAATGCACCACAGCAGATACCCACAGCTGTTAAGTTCTGACAGATTTTAATAAGATACTGTGAGATAACACTGTTAATAAGATAACACTACTGTGTTATTCACAATCCTCTGTCTCAAACTTGGTTAAAAACAATGCTTACATCATCCAGCGCCTTGGACTGAACATAGTTGAAAAAGGGGAAGTTGCTGAAGACGGATCTGAATTTAGCGGCTGTGTGAGCTTGGTTTAAGACATCAAACTATATCACTTGAGAAATTACAGTGTACATCGTTCATTAACTCTAAATTTTTTACATCACTAAAAAGGATACGTATTTCAGAAACTGGTCGCAGAACTCCAGATTCAGAAGATCCTGAAATTTGCACAATAAAAATGAAAAACTGCACTTTAATTTTGCACTCCCAGATATTTCACTTTAATTTTAAAATAAATATGTTTTAAAAGGTATTCAAAAGGCTTCTTCCTAAAAAATATTAAGTAAATAAAACATAAATAACTATATATACCTACACCTATATGCCTTTGGTTGCAAAAGTTTGTATGTTTTCTTCTGCTTCAAATGTTTTTATCCACCACCTAGTGACCAGCATGTTTCATTACAATGAAGTGGTCAATGGGGGGAGCTCACCTCATTTCACCTCATCACACCCAAACACAATGTGGCAGCTGCTGCCATGGCTAGACACGTGCATGCTCATTAGCTGCAACACTGTACAGAAGCTACACGAGTGTTATTTTGTAAAACAGTCATAGGCTGTGATCAGAGCACCTGTCTGTGACTGTGTCTATGCAGTGCAGCAACCTTTTAAGCAGAGCGGCTGAGGCGTCATGGGCGGAACGTAGGCTCTCTTTGTGCCCTTGTCCTGCATCTCAGCATGTGCTGCCTGCTGCGGGGGTCGGCCACTCGCTGCAGATGAGCCCACAGGAAGGGGTGAGAAGGGGGGCCCGAGGAAGAAAGGAGGAGCTGCTTGGCCAACTGTCGCCCGTGGTGGCTGAAGAGCAGGAGGAGGAGGTGCAGTCGCCATGGAAACCTGACTGGGAAAAGTTTGAGGTCTCGATGCTGTCTGGCTGCTGCCACTGCTGCTGCCGAGGTCATCTGTGTTGGACGAGTCCCCTCCATTGTTAAACACCTGAACCTTAAACAAGCTGTTGTAGGTGGGAGAAGTCGATATGGGGGGAATCAAGAATCAGTGAAGGAGTAGAGCGAGAGGGGAAGTAGTATCTTTAAGCTTGGGGGTTTGTTTATAGGCCTTGATGCATCTGAAAGCATCTTTAGCATGTTTTATGCTATCATGTATTGTCTTTAAGAAAACAGAAAATACTTTTACTTGAGTCTTGAACCAAATTGCACACATTCATTAAAATATCATCTTAACATGATACCTGCCTTCTCTGAGGACATGGATCCAGAGGCAAACTTGTTCGATGGACGGATGTATAAGCCGAGTCCAGTAGAGTTTCATCTCCACCTCTGACTCTCTGACAGGCACCCTGAGAGTAAGCCCTAAACTCTTCACCTTCCCAAAGACCACCACATCTGCTGGTGCTGCTGCCACCTTGACTTTCAATCTCTTTCTCGTCATCCGTATAACTGTGGGAACTGTTTATTTTTGATGGTAAGACCTTTAAGCCAGCTGATCCTTTAAAGGGAGGTGGGAATTTCTTTGGTTTCTGTGAGAATCCTGTGTTGGCAATGGAAGTTTTATTAAACAAAGTTGGTAACAGCTGTAATTTGGTCAGATAAACGAGCAAGTACTGCAACATTAGGGTAGTATTTTGCTGGTTGATTTTCTGATGAAATGTATTCATAGCAGGGAATCAACCATCCCAGTCAAATGATTATGAGAACATATCATAAAACCTAAGATCCAAATTTGTTTACAAAATATGTGGAAAATTAGGAGCGCTTTCAAGCCTATTCATGCTATGGCGGCCCTGAGTCACACAGATAAATTTAGCCTGGCTTCAATATGCTTGATAATGAGCAGTTTAGTCAAGTAAAAAAAAAAAAGAGCATCTAGAGCATAACATACTGTAAAAAGAAGAGATGGTCTCTGCCTCCTTCTCCATGTTTTGTGTGTCTGGAATCTGAGAAAGAGATGGAGGTGCTTCGAGCTGCCATGGACTGGCCTCCTGGTGCACTGGCATCCTGTCAAATGCAATCCAAAAGGTACAGCAGTAGTGCAGGTTAGAGAAGGGAAAGTAAGTATGATGTGGGGAAATGTATTTGTACTCACGCTTCGTGGGCAATAGGTATCTCAAAAAACAGATTGTCCAAGGACAACACATAGTCATCTGGGTACAACATCTCAGCTGGTCATCGAGGCACTTGGACATCTAAATGGAATGTGGGCAAGAGCCATACAGCCACTGAGTCTTGGCTTTACCTGTATTGCAAAGAGCAGACCAAATCAGACATAAATAATACGGATAAAGCCAGCTGGTGAATAGTTACATCAAGAAGTTGGAACAAGCAAATTGAAATCAAACAAATATAATATTAATCGCACACCAAGTCAGAGAAAAGGCTTACAATAAAACAAAGTTTACAGTTCGGATTTATAAGAAGACGCGTACTCAGCTTACATAATATCATCTGCCAAATAGAATTTTAATGTTCTGTAATAGTTAAACAATTCTTTTGTACTTTTCATGACTTGCTTATCTTGAATGTATTTATTTTCTTTCATGAATAAATGTTTATTGTGCATGAGGCGAAAATAAAAGCTTCCCTGACACAACTGTGCCGTTCAGATGACTGGCCTTTGTTAGCTGTTGTTACGAGCTAGCAAGATTTGCTGACCAACGGCCAAACATTAATTCATTAAATGGTCGCCTGACATTGTTTAATTGAGCAGCTTTGTGGGTATTAAGTGTAAATTTATATGTGAATGTATAATTCGCTTACCTTTAATACAAAGAAAGCTCTTCCTCAGACATTAAAACTCTATAATTGAACAGGAAAGAGCTCGAGCTAACCCCACTCCACTGACGTCATTTGTAGGGACTTTTTTCCAACGTTTGCTTTTCTGACTCAGTCCTAACTTTATTGATAACCTTTCCAGATATGGAATTTATTTTACTTAAATATTACTGTGGCTTAATATTCTAATAAAAAAATAAAAAATAAAAACAGACCACCTATATCAAAACTTGGTTGAAGATGTAGTTTTATACTTTGTTAGTATCAGTTCAAACACATTAACTGTTTTATACACGTGGGGTTAGAGGATAACTGAACCGGCTGATCATCACCTGCTACAATAGCAACAAAGACCTGTGAGAAGACAACCATGGGGGTATGATGGTAGAATCTGTCCTGTTTGAGAAAACAAATCTTCAATCATAAGTTTAAACTGTTGAATCAAATGTGGTTTTCAACGTAAAATCAAATTAAGTCACATTTTCTTTTTATCAATTAATTCGGTGATTAACCGCCATCTACAAAAAAAAATCTGCTACCCAAAGGAGATGGTCATTAACTCAGGGTTTTTATGCCTCCCATCTGGAATGAACCATTACAAATCTGTCGGGGGAGCACGCCGCCGTCGCCAAATGTAATACGACAAAACCGTGTGAGACGACGACTTGACCAAAAGTTCAATAATGATTGTTATCTTCTGTAGTAACGCGATCAAATGTTATTATTTAACTTGTTCGTTTTGTCTGTTACGCTAAAACGAATTGCATGTTCGTTTACCCTTACAAAAGAAATGATCTGTCCCACACCAGACCACCACGGAAAATGGCGACGGTAAAATAGATGGAAGACGAAAGTAAGATATTATTCAATGCAGCGTTTAAATTGTTCCCTGTCCCCATCTGCACTGCGTGGAGGTAACGTATGCTTGTTTTCACCATTTTCTTAACGTTCGTATGGTATATAGCGAAGATAGCTTGACATTAGCTGTAGTTTAGCCTGAAGAAAAGGTTTTGGTATGGAGCAGCCTTAATGGAATGGTCTGCACTGCTCCTGCAAGCAGCATCTAACAACACACTGGGATATAAACGCTGACAAAACGCAACCAAACAGGTCTGGAACTAAGTATAAATAACCAGACTTACCCTAATTTCCCGTATCTCTGGAAATCGTTCCGAACTATCATTAGTTGGCGGTTAACCGAACTACTATGCTGAAAGTTTTAGCTGCACACAAAATCTACAACTGCTCATCGAAAACCATGACCGAGGTTCTTCCCTTTGCTTTTTACTGTTTGTCTTTTTAGCCATGAAACATCTTTCGCTACCAGAGCAGCATTCATAAGGTATGACACTTTTATTGCCCTTCAAATCCAAGACCTCTCACACCGGCGACCTTGTAGTGATATAAATGGCCACAATTAATCTTTTCAGTAAGGTTTCAGGTATATAATGTTTAGATATACATACATAAAGACTGTTAATACTGAGAAAGGAAAATAACCAATGCTAGGGACACTGTAAGTACTTATCTGATAACTTTTTGCATCAAGCAAACACATTCTAGTAAACAGGAACTACCTGTTTCAAGCTCATACTCACAAACCATGGGTGACTTTAAATATTGGACACATAAAAGCCTAAAAAGGCTTGGAGCACCGTCTTGGTCTTTAGCATTTGCTAAAATATGCTAAAAGCTTCAAGTAACTATCATCTTAAACAGATGGAGTAAACCATCTTCACTATTACTGTTAAACTCAAAGCTAATAATTATAACATTAATCATCCACGTTATCTAGTTGCTAGTTTTTAAAACAACTCTTGGTCAATACAATGGCACAACAGTGGAAAAAATACCTTACAATTTTTTGATCCAAGGTTGTTATGTTTGACGCTAGCCACATCTCAATCAGATACAGTCTCCGTTGAACAAAGGATTCTAGCAAATCTAGTAAATTCTAAAGCCTGGCTAATACTTTTGCGTTGGTGATATGTCGCAGCATATACCAAAGATTTGCACAGCCTTATTCCAAAGTTAAAGTCTACATATGTAGCCTGATATGCAACTTCTCCTGATATGTGCTCCTCAAAACAACACATCCTACAGGCCATGTCCACCCAGTGACTACTACGGTTGGGTACTGTTTGATTTTGAACGATTCCGATTCCTTGTTTCGATTTCGACTATTTCGATTCTTTAAAAAGGCAGGATATTAAGAAAAAAATGCATGGTTTAAATGAGGGTGCTAACCAGAGTTCTTCTTCTTCTTGGATTAAATTTCTGAACTTCTCCATGAATGCTTAAATTACATTAACTTTTTGAGACCTTTACTATGAATTTCTCACAGAGCTATTTTCAACCAGTTTATATACATTTTTGTTGTCAGGTTGTTTGTCTATGAAAAAGTACAAGGGCTAGCGTTAGTTGGATATTTAAATTGACCCACCGTACACAGTACAATTTGTTTGACGCTTCAAAGTTAGCAGAAGACAGAAGTAATTTATTGTTTCACTTACCTGATTCTGACCGGTTAGCGGAAGACCAGTGTCGTGCCGTAGAATGCATGCCTGCCATAGAATGCATCCCCTTGACTCATTAGCTTCTTAAAGTGGAAGAAAATGAGTATTAGTTAATGACAACATGTCAAATGGAGCAGTAAACTTTTGTTTTGTTTTCATGTGTCTCAAAAATGCACATATAGAGGTGTACTTGGGTGTATAAACTCTACAGTAAGCTGTCACGGTAGAGAACATTATATTTTCGGGACAGCAAATATTCTGAATCAGAGGGCTATCGTTTTCGGCTTATCTGAATAGCCTGAATGAAATCATTAAAGGCACATGCTTAAGAATCCGTCCAATGGATTATTTCGCCTTGTTAAGTACTTTCAACCGTGCTCTCGTCAGGGGTGCATTCTACGGCAGGGGTGCATTCTACGGCACAACACCTGCGAAGCGCGTCAAAGACGGGCACTCAGGTATATCGCCTCCATTAATCCTGAGGTGTTTAATCATGTTGGCCGTGCACCCTCCTTTGCATAACTGTATTGCTAATGTTGCACTGAGACCCACACCGGCTGCATTGCTGTGGGTTGCAATCATAAACTGTATGGACAACTTAGTTCCGCCTCCCACCTGTATCCGGATTTGAAGCCAAAAAGCTCTCGGTATTTCCGGTATTTTTCTTCATTTCCTGAAACCAGCGCTGCGCAGTAGCGTTGAGCGCATTCGGCGGTAGAGTCGCTGAGCGTCGCTGTGATGATGCTTGGCCTAAACAGCGTATCCCCTGGGTGAGCTACGCAATTTTTGTACGCCCATAGGCTGTATCAGGTGTCAATCAAAGAAAACATGAACCCCCTAATAACTTTTAAAACGAAGCTTCACAGAAAAAGAGGACTTGAGCACAAACCAGTCTTACTCTACATGTCAACATCACAAGCAGGGGGGAGAAAAATTTATGTTCTGTGTAAAAAAATTCCTAAAAATGTGTCCACAGCCTCATAAGCTTTGCTGGCGGAGGCTGGATTTATGACCTATACTGCAGCCGGTCACCAGAGGGTGCTGCTCTTGGAGTGACTTCACCCAGCAAGGAAGCAGACACTGTCCATTCTATATACAGTCTACGGTTGCAATGCACTCTCTCTCTCTGTCTCTCTTCTCTCTCTCTGTGGCTTCGTCTCATACGCTCCGTTCTCGTTGGTGTTCGGCGGCTTCTTCTTCGTTGGTGTTTGGTGGCTATTTCTTCCAGTCGGCGGACTCCGGCATCAAAACTTGGAATTGAAATTTTAAAATCTGAACGATTCCGGGGGAATCGGGATGTTTGTCCAGGTCCCCATCAATGCTCGATTCTCAATACCCAACCCTAGTGACTACTATTATTTAGTATTGCCATGGTATCCTACCTTTACCTGCACTGAATTAATGGCCGTGAATGCCATCTTCTCCAATGTCACCTTCCCTTTCCTTTGTAGTTTGCAATAATTGCTGCTCAAATACAGTATATTGATTCCAACCACAACATAATAACACACCACTTACTAGTGTCTAGATGTTGAATTGCAGAGCTGCATAGACACTCCAGTAAACTACTATGTAGTACTCATCGGGCCGATTCTTTTCATCCCATGTATGCAAAAGTACAATACATGTCACGACCATGGTTGGTATTCTCCATTGCGCTACGCTTCTCATCAGATAAAGAATGTCGCTATAGCCTGCATTGGTCACCAGAGCTGTTCGTCAAGTCTAGGGATGTGTGCAGTCAGCTAAACAACTGAACACTGTCACCCCTGCTGGTCCACATTCGAAATACTAATGAGTAAGGAATTGATTTTATTACTGTATGTCCAAAACATTAGTCATATGTTGTGTTAAAGCTGAAGCTCAGCCACCCACCACTAGCCAGAGCTACTGCGTTAATGCTATAATTCTTCTTTTGGATGTAAGCAAAAACAGACGACAGATAGCATGTTAATATGCTACATATTTTGGCCTAAAAATGGTGGCTTTAAGAATGCTGTGTTTGCTCAAATTTGCATACTACCATATGACCAGAATCTGACACCAGCACAGCCATGTGGTAATTAACCAAAGGCTGGTGGTGCTAGCTCTGCTAATGTTAGCCACACACAGCAACTTATTTGACATTGTTTACCAGCAAACTCTTGTGTTCCCTTGTTTAGCCATGTTAGATTTTGCTCAGTTTTCACTGCTTTCAAAATGCTTTCATGCCCTCGACTAGTTGGTTAGCCAAAATATAAGTTTCACTTTAAAGTACTGGGAAATCAGTCACTACAGAAATCCACAATATTAAGTTAAATACAATGTGGGTTTTTTTATTAAGATATAAATGAAGGCTCAAGGCACATCATTTATCTCGGCTCTTTCCCCATTGTCACTGGAGTTATTCAAGGAACTGTCTCAACTCTACCACGAACCCTCTTCGACCTACCTCAACTGGACAAACTCCAACTTTCTGTCCTTGCTGTTCAATTTCAGCTGCATAGCCAAGCTTTATCCTTTTTTACAATTCCTCCACTGAATCCTCCCTGGGCACTGTCAGTTCCATGAAATAAACTTTTTACCAACTGATCAACCATAGCATTGAATCAGGCCTCAGGTCAGTGGATGCTATTTCCTGTTGGACAACAAGTTTTCCTCCCAAATTTAACTGAATCTCCCAATCATTCGCACTCTTTTGTTAGACTGACTTGTGCCAGTTTTGAAATTGTACCTTCTTTGCACTTCTCTTCCTTAAGGACAGACTTGCACTTTTTTTCTGACAACACCCTGAACTCACTCATCGTCTCCAACTTCTGATTGTCTCTGCAAGGCTTTGGGATGGACAAACCTTACAATCTAGCAGAATATGGCAGAAAATGTCTTAAAATTGCTGTCTTTGCACACAATAGGTACAATGGGTCCTCCTCCTGCTATCTTGCTGCATAGTCCCAGTCTTGTGTGTCTAAGTGCTGCCTCTACATCCTGTTCTTCTTCTCTGAGTTTACTTGTTCTCTGTCGAGTTGGATTTGGAACCAGCGCATCAGCCAACATTTCTGTCCTTACCTTTGCTCACTTGAACTCTTATGTCTAACAAGTTGTTGGTAGCTGGAATATGCCATTACCCAACATTGCCACCTTACTAAGACACATAGGAACCCCTACCCATTATCTCATATCAACCTCTTCAGCATTTCCAAATTAGAACTTCATAAACTGAAAGTGGCTACTTCAATCTCAAGAATAGATCCAAGTACAGACACCACAGCCTCAACTTACCCTAAACTCCTGACATGCCCATCTTTCCTATCCTTACTGCAGCATCTTTCCTCAATTATTTTATCTGACCACTACCTTTCATGTCTCCATCATACCACCTACTCAGATTCTTTACTGAATTTTCCTAAAAGGATGTAATATCCCCCTCACATACATAAAACTTCCTCTGTGTAAACTTCTCCCATAACACCAAGATACTTCTTGATTTACCAGACCTAATCTTCATCTTTGCCCATTGGAAATTCTTGGTTAACCTCTCTAACATCCTTTTAGTACATGGCACTGACAAGGTCACCACTCACTATTGACATGTCATCCTTGTAAACCCTAATCTGTTGGAACTGCAGATCTTCCTGTCACTGCTCCTCTACAGCCACCCACTTTAAAACTCCACAAATTACCTCTGATATCAGCATGAAATGGTGTACCCCATCCTGATGTCTGTTCCTAGTCTCTGACATCTAAGAAATACGCTTTCACTAGGTTTACGTTTACCCCTGGGACATTCAAGAGGTCAAAAGTAACCCAAATAAGATTGTGTGGTACTAAACCAAACCCGCTGACTATATCCAAAATACCTAATTCAGATCTCTGTCCTCTATCTTAGCTGCCTGAATCTGACCATAACTGAAAGGCACTTTAATCAACTTGTCATACCAAGTGAAATGTTTTTTTAAAATGCCATCATGAAATGTCAAAAAAGGTCTTATCCTAAGAAGGTGCTTATTGTATCTTGCATCCTAGCTTGATCATAATATTAATGCTTTCCTCTAACTTAACAACATGCCAAAAGAGAAAACCGGCAATCCATTCCAGACTGGTTGACTTTCATTATGCAGAAGCAGACAAACCTCAGTCAAATGTGAACAGGTTTAAATGTAAACTTTTGAATGATGGCCTAGGATTTTATCGAGACATACCTGGCATTTAGGAAAGTCTAAGAAGGTTGTACTTTTCTGTTTCAGGTCATGGCAGGTGAAATGTCATGTCTGTCAGGTGTTGATGAAGATGACAAAGATGCTGAACCTGAGATCAATGCCTTCACACTCCTCCAAGAGCCTATGAAGATGGAACAAGAATCAGCCTCATGCACTGAGTCATTTAGCAAGCCTTCATTAAAACAAAACTGTGTCCTTGATGTTCTGTCAAATACAGATATGCTGTCTTCAGTTGGCCTAGGAAATGGACCGTCTTCACATCAGGCTACACAAGCCCATGACCTCAACTGCATCTCCACAGAGAAAGAGGAGGCAAAAAGCATCACTCCGCTAAAAACTGTGCAGGAAATTGACACTGCAGGAATTTGGGGTTTTGATGAAGACTCGCCTGAAAACTCGTTGGATAATTTTGGTGGTGCTAGTGATCTTCATTGGGACCGTCACAAAGAGTTTATGCAGTTTCTCTGGGAGAGCCATGGTGATTCCCCAGGTGAGGAGCCCAAAGACGATGTACCGTCTGCCAATAACCGAAGGAGAAGGAAACGGAAAATGGACATGGTTGTTATGGTGGATCCCTCAGAGGACCTTTATCCTGATCTGAGCCCCAAGTCATCTGAGGAGTTATCTGATGCTGAAGGCCAAGAAGACTCTGATCCTGTGAGCAAAGTCCAAGGGTCTAGGAAGTTTTCCAAGTCACCAACAGAAAAAGTTTCAAAGTATCCCAATGGAACTGTAAAGGCCATCAAGGACATCCTTTACAACGGACCTGCAAGAAATTCACATGAGAACAATATAAGTCGTGGATTTTCACCACTGAAAAGGAGGTTAACAATGAATTCCCATTCAGAGGAGAAGCCAAAATGTTACCCTTGCTCAAAATGTAAGCTCGTTTTCAAGAAAGAACACCATCTGCGTCATCATATGAAGTCCCATGTTGACCATCCTACCATCTCGCATAAGCCCTTTATATGCCGTGAATGTGGACAGGCCTTCAGACAAAGTGGTTCACTCATTGAGCACATGACTGTCCACCAGGAAAAGAGGGAGAGACTCACTGAAGAGATCAAAGAAATGAATGACAAGAAGAAAGCAGAGGGAAAAAAGCTTTTCTGTCCTCAGTGCCCATTTGTTACACACTGCCCAAACACATTTGTCCAACATGCAAAAACACATGAGAAGGACAAGAGAAAGTTTAGATGTGACAAATGTAGCTTCAGGTGTCTGAGTGAGAATGATCTAAGGAGGCATAACATTTTGCAGCACACCATGATCACAGTTGGTAAGCAAGTGGAGGATGATAACACTGGAACATTTTCCTGTAACATTTGTCCTTATAAAGCTTTTAGCAAAAGTGTTTTTAAAAATCACCTTCTGCGACGCCATCAACAAACTTTCGAGGAATATGAAGTTTTGCTGGATAGTGATAACAACACATCAGCATTTAAGGAGAAGCATGTGCCTACTTGTGAAACACCTGTTGGAGATGCAGAGTTCACATCTAAAATCTTGATTAAGGATCACATTTCTTCTAAAAGAGCTTCATCACCTAGCGAGTCCAGTGACATTTCAGATTTGTTCAAAAATACCAAGATTAGGAGAGGTCTCAAGTCCCATCTAACAGAATCAAAGCTTGACAAATCGATCAATGTTCTCCTGTCCCGACAAAGACATGGAAAGAAGACCACAGAACAGAGGAAAGAAAGCAATAATTGCAGTAAACCTGTCCAGAATTCCAGAAGTGACAAAGATGGCTCAGCTCAATCGCAAGGAACATTAGCTGTCAAGGTTGAAGAATCAGGTCCATCTCTAGCTTGCGATAGGTTGCTATCATGTGAAGGCCAAATTGATCTTACCTGCAGCAGTGCATCCAAGGTAAATGAGGATCAGTCCCCATTCAGAAAGTCACCCTCTAAACGGAAGATGTCCACCCCATTTCGCAATACCTCCGATCAAGACTCATGCTTTATCTTGCCAAAACCAAGCCCCAAGAAAATAAACCAGGAGGAAGAGTCAGACCATGACGAAAAGGATGTTTTCAAGCTCAAGGAAACTGATTTCAGCACCAACCGTTTTGACAATGATATCAAGAAAGAAAAGCCCAACATCATCTACACATACAGCAGGAGGATGTCCATGCGAGGTGCTCTGCAAGCATCCAAAAGGCTTTTTGAGAAAATAAAGACTGAAGAGCAAGAACAAGATAACCCTGAAATCAAAGAAGAATGCATGGAAACTGAAGTATTTCAAGAAAACTTTGAGACCCACCAAATACCATTGAGTGAATCCCTTTCAGACAGTGTGTCAGACTTGGATTCTGAGCGTAAAACCTGTCCTTATTGCCCGGCTGTCTTTGAGTCAGGTGTTGGGTTGTCTAATCATGTTCGAGGGCATCTTCACAGGGCTGGACTGAGCTACAATGCACGCCATGTAGTGCCTCCTGAGCAGGTAGCTTCCCATGACAGAAGACCACGAATTCGACGGAGGATGTCTGCATTCCGTAGATTGAGAAAAGGTACTCACCCACTTTCTGCCACTCTCTAGTTAAGTCAAATTCTGCTTTACAACAACTATCATTATAGTGGCTCTAGCCATCAGGTCTTATGTTTGTTACCCCATATTCGACTTGCCAAGTCATTGCTTTAGCATACTTTGATGTACAAAGCTTAGGTTTTGTTATTGTACTCACAAATGTTGGAGGTTAGTGGTTCATGATGTCTTTCTCTGCTTTGTTTTACAGCATTACAGATGGATTCAGAGTCTGAAACTGTGAAGAGCATTCACTCCTGCCCTTTGTGTGGGGATTCATTTGACAACAGGACTGGACAGTCCAACCACATACGAGGCCACCTCAAAAAGCTTGGCAAAAGCTTTTCCAAAAAGAGCAAATCCCCATTATTTTTACTCCGGGAGTTGATGCGTGACAAGAAGGAGTTCCAGCGAGCACTCCAAATTCTTGGAAAGAGACGAAACCATTTCCAATATGGTGCTTCACCAAAGCTGTCTGGTGTCGATTGTTTCAGGTCACACCCAGTTGGAATCCCAAAAAGGAATTCTTTTTCTAGTGTTTGCACTGAAACCGGACCACGATTACCCACATGTTCGATTACGGAACTGAAATCAGATGAAAGGCAACTAGAGACTAAGCTTGATATAAAAAATTCACTCTCTGGCACAAATGCCTTAATAGGAATTCTGAAGAAGAGGAAGTGTCAGGAAGAAGTCAGACTAAAGGGGTCTTCTCAGATGTCAAAAAACACATTAGCAGTTTCTTCAAACGGTGAACACTGTCCAGGATCGAGGGTTTCATCTTCGCTGCCAAAGTCAACATTGGGTAAGTCGCTTCTTTGACAAGTTGTAGTAGAAGTCGTAGTCTCCTGGAATCTTTTGATTACCTTTTGTAGTCAGTTAGAAACCTTGAATCGCTCAGATTTTGATGTTGCAGATAAATTTTCAAAATTATGGGCTTCATTGCAGCCCAGAAAGTTAAGCAACTGTTTTGTGAAAACAGTGACATCTTTGTGATCATCAGAAACATATGTTGTTAAAATAACAGAAAATTACTAGACAGTAACTTAAATCCATAAAAGTCATAGATGGGGAATAATGTGCACTGAGCAGATGGTGATGTAAATAAGAATACTGATCTGAATTATTTCAAAGTGAGACAAGTCCTTTCAGATTGCATTGTGGTCTTGCTCACCCCGTAGGGTTCCAATTTGCATAACCATCTGCTTACTATATTTTATCATACTTGTTTCCTGGGTAAGAACTAAAAACATCAGTAAGTTGACACAAATGATTAAATCCAACACCTCATGGAAACAGGTCCTAATCTGCCTGCCCTCTATGTGGATAAGCATTAACTGAGAATTTCACTTCACAACCAGATTAAAACATAAACCTGCTCATTTGTCGTAGTTCACATTATGCCTAACATTTCCAGTAAGGTTGAAGATAATTTGTGCAGGAATATTTTTGTTGACCTTTCCCATCCTCTTCTGTTAAGGCTGTGCAGTTGACAAACCATTGAACGTATGTGAGGCCAATGTGACAACTGTAAGCAATGTGTCCCTTAAAACTAATAGGCATTTAAGTCACTTTGTCAGCAACTTACAGGTGTACTCATAAACTCTAGTGTCATGGCCTGGATTGCAGGACAGGATCTTGCTCCATTTTTTCCTCCCAGAGATGGTCAGGGTTTAGTAGCACCTCAAGCTGCTCATACGTCTTTGCCTGGCAACTCATTGGGCTCTATTTTCGTGTACGCTGGTGAGGTGACGGAGGGTGGCAGACCCCGCGTAGTTGTATTTTCGTCTGGCGGAGCCCGGCGTACAGCCAGTTTGGTATTTTTGTGGACTGAGGCGCACGGAGGCGAACCGAGATCCACCAAGCTGGGCGAGGTGGCGTGGCAGGGGAAGATGTCGACAGAATCAGCGGGCGCAGTGACATTTTCGTGCTTGCCAGTGGCGTGTAAAGTGCGCTGAAAGCTCGCAGATTCAAACCTGGTCAGCTTTCAGCGCAGGCGGAGCGGAGCTGGTCTAGTAGTATTTTGGTAGACTGGCGGCGTATTGGCATACGTCACCGATGCCTCACCAGCAGGTTTCCACAGTGTCAGGCACATTTCAGTGCAATAAATAATCATCAACAACTATTAATCTGAGTCAGCACATACATTTAGATCTATATAGATATATTCTGATCTATATCTGATCTGATGAGCGCGTTTGGCACGCGTTTGGACACACAACCTGACTGAATCAACACAGCTGAAACCGCATTAAATTAAATTAAATATCTAGTAAATAAACACACATGATGAAGTTAACAAGATATTTAATTTGTCTCCCTCCTTTTCTTTCTTCCTCTTCCTCTTATTTCTCGCGCAGCTCGACCTGGACATGTCTCCGTGTCCTCTCTCCGTCCTGCTGCAGCTGCGGCTGAACAGATGATTTGTTTCAGTGCTCAGATGAGTTATCTACTTTAAGCCGACATACGGATATTATAATATTGAAATTTGTGAGTCAGATTTATTTAATATGCCAACATCTATGAAAGAAAGAGCCAGGCCACGGAGTGCGATGCGTCATTTACGCACAGATGGTTCCAATTTTAATGCCATTTTTAGAGTTTATGTTGTGATCTGTGCGCTCAACCCACCTTTGTCACGTGAGGTTTGAATATATGCAACTTAATGTGAGTGTCTTAATTAGTGGAAAAGGGTGTTTTTCTTACCACTGAGTCCAACATTACACACACCAAATCCATCTGTGCTCATATGAGAGAGTGTGGAGGACGCCCAATGCAGCGCTTACAGTGACACTTGTTGAGGAGCTGCCTTCTGTCGCCATCGTGTGGCAAAACTGTCTTCAGACATCTCTTGATCTCTTTGACTACTTCACGAAAATAGTAATACGCCTCGCCGGTGAGGGATTTAAAGGCAAGGAGAGGAGCTTATGTGATTGGTGAAAACAGGTCTCGGCTGTGCTAAACCCACTCCACGCCCTCTCTCCTCCCTCGCAACGACTTACGCCGCTGGGAGGAGCTGAGTTAGGGAGGGGGGATACTTACGCCGGGCTGCGCCGCTCACCAAAATACCAAATTGTGCTTGGGAACGCCTTGTCAGCGCGATGGACCTGACTTACGCCGCTCCTGCAGCACGTCTCTGGCGAGGCACGAAAATAGAGCCCATTATCTTTAGTCTTAGAGGGAAACTACTGTTATGCCAAAGTGTCAGCAAGCAAGCAAGCAATTAATATGTGCCAGGCTTTTGTTATCTGATTTGGGATTTATGAATCCAGTGAACTGATCTTATTTGTGAATTTAGGTTTTAACATATTTGTATTCTTTGTGTTTTGTCTTTTTTTTTACAGAGAAAGGTGAATTCAACAGGAAGGTGTGTGTCCATTGCAATGCAACTTTCCATAGTGGCGTTAGCTTGTCAAATCACCTCCGGGCATATGCAAAACGAAAAAGGACTGCTTTAGTGGAGGGAACAAGTAAGTGCCAGCATCTCAAGCTTTGATGTTTTTTTATTTATTTTTCAGTTTTTATCTTTATTTATTTTTTGTTTTGATGCAAAGAAAGCATCAACTTGAAGTCCACAATTGCACAGTTATGTATTAAAATGATCACAGTTATTGAAGAATGTAACAGTATCTGTTTAAACTGGCACACATAATTATTGAAATAATTGAAATAAAAAAAATGAGTGGTACTTTAGTTTAGCAGCAGATGGCACTTTTGATTTACCTTGCTGTCATTGCATCTCCTCACCTGTAGTAGATCAGACATGGCAGCAGTTTCCACCAAATTAAACATATTTCTCTGTCTATCTTACTTTTAGCTGTTTCTGTTAACACCTGTAAATTTTGAATGTAGCAAAAGTGCTTAAGCTCATAATTTTTCCCATTTACACTCTTCCTTGTCCACTGTGTGGCAGCAGAAATCCCAAAACCTATCTCACCGAGCCCTGCTGAAATTGAATTGTTCAGTATAGTGGGAGCATCTGTGGGAGGAACAGCCTATTTTATGAAAGAACTGCTTTTCCTTGGACACAGATCATGACGCTGTTTTATGTTGGGCCTTGATTCTTTGTTGCATTGACGACAAAAGATAAGGACATGAACATCACTCACACGAGGCCAAACAACGAGTCTGAATAAAGCAAGAAATAGGCATTTTGAGACAAATTTAGAACATTTGAACCGTTTATTTTACTTCTGAAAACAGTGTTGTTTGAAAAATGTTATTTGACGAAAGACATCCAGTTTTTAGTGATTATCGTCGACTTTTTGTTCATCTATGTTATGAAGGCTGAGCTGTTACATGAGAGAAACTGGTTAAATTGGATGTCTGTCTTTCAGCATTTGACTGCAAAATAAGAAGACAACGCTCAAGACCTGGCCCAAAAAAGAAGACACTGCCCTTACCACAAACTCCTGAAGAAATGTACAGACTCACCTGCAGGTAATGCCTGTACTCCTTTAGTAGCAGGGCTGGTTACACTCCTTAATATTGATATGAACTGTATGGAACGTAAGAAATTAGTAATCCAGTAGACTGCAGCATTGAATGGATTTTAACCATGTAAATGTGTCTTATTTGATGCTTGTGGCTGCCATATTTTGGGTTAAACAAAGGACTAACTCTTAACTTAATTGGAACAAAAACTACCACACAAGCACAAAAACAAAGGTTATGGTCAAAATCACTTATTGTTGGTGCAAGTGGATAATAAATATCAAAGATACATATGACCTTTTAAGCAATGTCAAAATTTGCTCCTACAAAACTGTACAAGAATGTTTAAATCCAGTCAGGTTACTTTGAACGGCTTAGAGATCACCTTTGCCATTCAGGTTCAGCATCTGATGATCCATGTGCCTCAAAATTTGATAGTTCCCAATGTTGTCAGTGGATCAAACTGGTGCAAAATTCAACAGACTGGCCAGACCATCTTTAAGCATCTTGGCAGCATGACTCAAAACCACAAACACGACTTAGTATCATAATTCTTTCCCTCTGTTTACAGGTTCTGTGACCTCGTCTTCCAGGGCCCCCTTTCAGTGCAGGAGGACTGGATTAAACATTTACAGAGACACATAATGAACACTAGTGTCCCTCACACAGGGCTTGGCATGGTCGAGGTCACCTCGCTGCCCAAAACCCTCAAGACTGAACAGGACAGCTCTCTGACGGCCACGAACTCTGCCTCATGAAGCCAGTAGGGACCTTTTTAGATTTCACTAGACTGTATGTGTATGTACATTGGATGTTGTTTCACTTCTTTTTTTAATTCAATTAAATACTGGCCAAAAGTACAATATCCCTCTATGAAAGAGAAAATGTTGACATTTAGAGAGATGACAAAGTTAATTATTTTGGATATTGTTACCTTCTTTTCTGTTTGTACATGGTTTCCAAATGGACTGACTGTTTTTTCTTGTTTTATGCAGTAATGTAGTGTGGAATCCATTTCTAATGAAGACAACTTTTACCTCAGATTTATCATGGTTTGAGTCCGTTTTGTCAAAATTTGGGATCACTTCTCTTCTGTACCAATTTCCATATTAACAAGATACATAAAATCATGTTTCCTTTGTATTGCAACATGTTTTCCCACAGGTTGTTGTTTTTTTTTAGGTCACACGAATTTTGAGTGATGACACTTGAAGCTCACCATGAACAGCTCCAGAGATCACAGGTCGGAAAGTGGGCTACTGAACAAGAACAGAAATGAAGTGTCAGCAAACTTGTTATGCATAGAGAGTGTTTTATAGTATTTCAGTCAACACATTGTTCCCAAAAATCAAACACAGAAATTTAAACTGAAGGTGGTTTAAAAAAATGACCAAGAACAAGCACAGCTAGTGCTGAGGATCCCCTTCATACAACATGTCACCTATATTTAATGTTTAAATATACTGTTTTGAGATAATTTAATTTTTAATGTACTATATCACACAGATACAATGCTTAAAACATTTGTGTTGTTCTAAATAAAAAAACAAGGAAACAAGTTGACCTTTGCCATGTTTTTTTTTAACAAATTGTAAAATCATTTGATTGGTTAACATAAATTACAAACATCATTTTGTCAAAACTGACAACGTTGAAAGTTGTAGCTACATAAGTATGAACAGAATGTAAACTAAGGAAATTAACTTGTGTTTCCATTCAGACAACGAATGACTGATCAGTGAGTGTCTGTACGAGAGGTGCAGCATCATGAATGTGGAGAAGGCAGGTCAGATCTGTAGATCTTTGAAGCAGAGCAGGGTCTCTGTTTAGGCAGGACACTGGAGGCGTTGATTTCCATCATTCAAATGAACTTCTGCCCTGAAAGAAGACAGTCCAGTCAAGCCCTCTGAAAACTCTATCTGCAAAATAATGCAACCCAGGTAGAGTCCACCTCAAAAGTAATGTCTGGTACTTGCTCAGAGCCCTGCAGGGTTCGAGCGTCTGTTGCAACTTTAAAGTAAATTTGTGTACTGAGGTGTGCAGCACAATGGGGAAGTGGTTCTCTGTTCGGGGCGTTTAATGTTCTTCCTGTAGCCTGCTCAATTTTTCAAGTGGATTGCAGTTTCCTCCTCATGCTAAAGACGTTGAGTTTGAAATACCTACAGGGCTGCTAGGTTCTAATCTGTATCGTGGTTATTAAGTAAAACAGCACATCAAGTGTAATACTGTGTTTAACCAACAGCTCCAGAACGTGTGGTAGCAATCAGAGACAAGCAACAACATGTATTTGTTTTTTTAATTTATCATTCATTAACTCTTCAAGCAAGTCCAGTTCTGCAACTTGACTGAAAGTAGACCGCTTTAAAAAAAAAAGGCTTTAAATCCTACCAAACCGGCAAAAAGTTTCATCTTTGTTTTAAGTTTTCATTATGCTCTATTAGTAGAAAGACCTGATTGATAAATTAAACATATGTATCAACATAATTCTAAATTATGATCTCAAATTTTGTTTTGCATGTTCAATTATCAGGCTGCACATTGCTGAACGATGAAGTTCCTTTTGGCTTTCTTTAACAAACATATTTCCTACGATGCTGTTTTGAATCATTCACTTTCTTAAATTACCTGCAAGAAGAGTTCATACTGGGGTTTCAGCTCCTTCATCATAGTTTCTGCTTTGATCAGACATACATGACGCTGCTTTACTTCAAACTCCTTCAAGAAATCAGAGTGAACATAATCATCCTTTCAATGTATTTCTTTTCTGGTCAATGTTTTATTTACCAAAAGCAAAATAAGAGCGTTTGAATTAAAATCGTTGTGGTTTATGTTGGGCTACTCAACAGTAGTGTTACCTCTGTGTTTATAAGGTGCTCCTGAGAGGTTATGTGAGTCTCCACTGAAGATGCCGATGTGGAGACAAAGACTTTACAGGCTGCACAGTGGAAGACTTCAACCTTCGTCATATGGTCATTGTCCTGTAAAGCTGAATAAAAAAAAATCTGATCAAACCATAATAATGTTTTTTTTTTTTTTTTTTTTTCTCGACAGGAGCAGAAGGTAAGCTTAGTTATCACAAACACTGTATTATTAAAGACATTTACCTGGAAGTGCACGATCCTCTATGGCTCGACTACACTGACTGCTTCTATACAGCAGGATGTCCTGTGGAGATAAAACCATGTACCACCATCAGGACACATTAACTCTCAAACATTTGGTACTGTTCATATTACATGCCATCTCCTGTTGCTTTGCGCTGATACTTTACAACTAGCTTTTAAACACTTCATATCAAATATCACTAAACTGTTATTGTTTTTCTTCTCTCACACTGTATTTTTGGTGCGATCTCACACTACAATTTATCTTGATATAGAATTCCACATCCTCCTGTTACAAAGAGGATCACCATAGCACCGTCTAAAGGTTCAATGAAGACACCAAGTATGTTCAGTATTTAACTGTACAGAGTATTGTCTTACCTGCAGAAAGGCCATTCTGATATCGTCATAATTATTGTGTTGCTGGATGTGCTCCAGGGTGTCCCAGTGAGTCTTGCTCTCCAAGTGATCCATCAGCTCCTGACCATTCGCTACTTCGATGTCACAAAGATCACAGCAGATGGGATTACTGGAACAAAAATATGAAGACAACCAAGTTTGCTCGGTATCAGTATTTACCACTAAGATTCGCCTGTGGCCCTGATACACGCTAAAACCATTTTTAAACCAAACTTGCAACTGTGAGATAAAAAAAATAGTATTGTTTGAATATAATTGCTCCAAAAGCTGGCTTTAAAACATCCCTTATTCCCCATAGCCACACCGCAGCCATTTCACTGCCATGCTAATGGTGAAAGTCTTAAAGCAAAACAAAAGAATCATTTTCCAACATTGTGTTCAAGGTTGTCAGTGTGAAAAAAAGGGAATGTGAATATTTACTCACATTACACAACTTTTGATGTAACTAGAAACTGAAAAAAAAAAAAAAACAGTGGAAATATAGATATGATAAAACAACATATTTGATGAACCATGTGCTACTCGGAGCTGAAAACTTGGCAGAGAAATACAATACAATAGGAAAGTATAAATTCCTTGCTTATGGGAAGCAGTAAAATAAGCATTTATCATTTTTTTTAAGTTGATATGACCTGCAACCCTAAACACGGCAACAAAAATTAGGTTACTCAACATGTACATTCCCTGAACTCATTTAAATCCAGTCACTCTTGAGTGAGCTTAACAGTGTATTAAAAAGTGATACTTGACAGCATTAGCATACAGTAGCAATGATCAACACGATTAGAGAAGCTGTTCAGAAAAAGGTTTGAAATGCAAATGTTGCATGAGGCCTAATATGTTCAAAGTGGCTTTACTGCTTTGTAATACAGTTTATTACTTGTTCAGTTAGAAAAGTTAACTCTGTTGTCTTGGCCGATGACCCTTTAGTACACCAACATGCATCTGTGAATATAACTCCTGGCTCTGGCTTTAATTTGTGCATATATGAACAAATGTTTGTGCATGTCATACCCTACACTACACTACATACTACACTATGTAGCACACTACTAAATGACATGAATGACATATGTGGTATCTTTACAAAACAGAGGATTGACAGTTTTGGCTCTTACTTGCCCATTATGACCTCTTTGCTCCTTAGTCTTGCCACCTTGTTGGGGGGTGAGATTTGGTCCCGTTCTGATGATCATATGGAGACACAGATGTATATTAAACCAGATTCACATAGAAAATACAAACACGGCAATTACACATGGTAAAAGGGATGAGGTGCACTGAAGAATGTTGCTATTTCCTTAAATCTTCAATTTACCCTTTTCACTGTATCCAAAATCTTGGCGATATTCCCGCTTTAACGGAGGAGGTGATAGTCTAACAGTGGTCATCTACAGAGGGGGAAAAAGAGCAGGGAGCAGAGGTGTCACACACTGCACACATAAGGTCACTGCTGCATCAAAAACAAAATGAAACAAACAGGTCCTGTCTTACTGTCACTTTACTTTACCTGTCGTACTGGTGATACTTCTCTCCTGTACTCTGGGACTGTCACCCTCTCCTCTCTGTTGGCCCTTTGCCCTCCATAAGACAGAGGAAATGGTGGAGTGGAGGCAGAGGAGCTGGGAATAACTCTTTCAGGACTGCTGCCTCGGTGGTCCAGAGGTCTTTTTGTGGGGTAATAGCCTACTGGGTCAATTGATTCAGTTTCTGGACTATAAGTCTGCTGATCAGGCAGCATATGACTTGGACTGAGACCCTGACTCTCATTCTCTGAAGTAACAGAGCCATAGTCAAGCCTGCAAAGAGGTCGGCTTCCTGGCCTCAGGACAGATGAGTCCCAGCGGCTTTGCTCACTGCTTTTCTTTGGGGACAAACTTCGACTTTTTGGATCCTGAACAGGATTGAAGAGGTTTTGCTTTTTGCTCTGGGGCATCTCAGACTCAGAGTCTGATGAAGCAGGGTCGTAGGGATTATACAGCTCATCTCTGAAGGAGACAAAGACAGAATTAACGTGTGTCTGTGTGCCACATACAATGTTTTCTTTTTTTCTTTTTGCATATAACTTTTGTTTTGTAATGACCACCTAATGTTCACAAATGCCTCAAATGAACGAGTAAACTAATAATTCTATAAGTCTGTTTGAAAAGCCCCAAGTAGGGCATTAATCCTGATGCTTGTACTCTGATCTCATGTAGCCCATCTGTTTAAGTATGTAACATCATCACCTTCATACAGTTTGTACTTCGAACACTGTATGACACCACAAACCAATGTGGGACATTCTGAATTATGACTACAGAAAAACATCAGTCTCTCCTTGATGTCAGTCTACTTTAAACATCATAAACTTGCTTACTTCTTTGGTCTGGGTGATTTTTTTTCCTCAGAGGGGCCTTCTTCAGGTTCATCTACAGGTTTGAATGAGGACCTCCATCTAAATTCTGCAGGTCCTGTTTAATACAGGAGACAAACAACAGTGAAGAATTTAAAGGTTGACCCTGATTTTAGGATTAACTCCAACCCTTTTACTGATGCAATGCATTCCAAATTAAATGAGATTTGAACTCAGTACCAAATAGCAGAAGCAATTTGTCTGTAAATGCAGCTTAAGAGCAGAATTATTTTTTAAAAGGTATATCTGGCTCAGCCATGCAATTACAAAAACAATATCTTTGTTGCTTCGAGGTAACTGATAAATGGTAGTGATTAATGGGCCTGCATCAGGTAACGGGTCCCTTTTTTAATCAAAATGAAGTCAAGATACTTGGTCTTCAAACACCACATAGGGTAGAGTGGGGTAAGCTGAGCCAAAGGGTAAGTTGAGCCACCCTCATTGCTTGGAAATGATAGGAGAAATTGATCATGTGACCAAATATTTAGGAGATGGGCATCAATTCATGTCATGTATTCATGTATAATAGATTAAAAAACACATGAATGTAGAGAAGTGACTGTTACTTAGGGAGAGAGAAGGTGAGGGAGGGCTGGGGTGGAAAGTGTGGGGGTATAAGGGATACGGCTCAACTTACCCCATACACGGGGTAAGTTGACCATAGGAGACCACTTTTTTTGGCACGTTATATCATCAAGACAGTTATGTTTACACTCATTCTGTTGGTTTGCGGGGATGCACAACTTCTTGAAATATATGCAGATTCACTAGTTAGACACAAAACTATGAGTGACTTGATGAAGTGATCCAAAATAAGAACAAAGTACCCCACACTCCCCTAGAAAGAAATCTTGTGATTTGCATGAATTCTCTTTAGATACAGCTTATTACTTTGTGATAGTACACTCTCACAAACAGTTAGCCACATGGCCTTATGTTTACATATTAGTGTGTGTGTGTGTGTGTGTGTGTGTGTGTGTGTGTGTGTGTGTGTGTGTGTGTGTGTGTGTGTGTGTGTGTGTGTTTGTTTGGATGTCCATTGAAGTTACCTTCAGGTTTCTGGTTGGTTGAAGTTGAATCAATCTGCATCCTCCCATTAGGCAGTGAAAGCTTCCCTGAGATGAACTGCATTGCCTCTTTGTAGCCGTGAGGTATTCTTTATCACAAGCACAAACGAGATTGGACGATATTACTTGTGTAAATACAGCTCGTTTTATCAAACCAACACGCCTACCGGAATAAAACTCACTGTTCACAGAGGCAGCACAACAGGCTAACTTAGCTTAGCTAATCACGAAACACCTCAACACTGAAGTCGATTATCATCACTTTATCCATCCACCTTATGCATAGATCCTCAAAAGACAATACAGTATAAGGCAACATCAGTAATTGGCATCATAGGGACAGTATATATGCTTAAAATGTGAAACTTTCTCACACTACCAGTGCCAACAAATCGTTGCATATTAGCTGTATGTTAAGACTGCACGAAGACTTACCGACTCATCTGGAGACTTTTCCTTTGCCGCTGTGATAAACTTGTTTTTGGAGGATTTACAGGGCCAGTACCTTTTTCTTGAGGATTCATTTTAAGGGATGTATACCAATGCAGACAGGTTACAATGTAAGGACTACAAGGTATGAAGCTGTATCAGTCACAAATGGCTGGCTAACATCCTGACACTGGTCGACAGGTGGCAGCATTGTAACATCTAATCTCTGAACACACCTGTACACTGTTAGGCTACTAACATGATGAATTTAAAGATACAAGTTAAAATGACAAATGTAAGAGCTGCATACAAACAAAGTGGTTCAACTTACAAGAGAGAGTCCCGATTATACGCCATTTTTCATATCCTTTGTTATGTATTTTTGATTTTTAAACAATAATATTTCATAGCAAAAATACTCAGACGAAAGTTGGCAAACTAAACTATGAGATTTTTTTGGGTCCTTGTAGTTCTAGGGCTGTGGGACACTCACTACAACAGGTTGAATCCTGACTAATGTGAGAACAGACTGGCCTTTCTTTGTGTCAGCTGCTTAAAACCAGTAGTTGCCAAAGTCCCACTCCTTCTACACTGTTAAAAGTGAGAAGTTGTCTCAATTTAAAATAAAAGTGAACTACTTGCATTGGTTATTTTGAGTAATGAGCACTAGTGGATAAGTAGTGCCAACATTAACTAATATTTCCAAACAAAATGTCAAAGTTTCATTACCGAGTATGTATTTATGAAGATGGGCCTATATATTCAAGTTCTACTAACTTTATCTCACGTCATCTCAAGTACTGCCAACAAGTTGTTGTAACACTGACCTCTCCTGCTGCATCCCAATAACATGTTAAATGGTACTGAAGAGTATTATTAATCAGTCCACACAGTTTTGCGCTGCAAACTTCTGGTCCTATTCCTATCTGTCCAGAAGTCTTAATTATATGCTTTACAGCATTTCCATGGTCTTTGCTGCATGTGTATTCCACATGCTTGCTTGCGTTACAAGCACACGTGGCATGCCATGGATGTCTTGAACTGACGTCTTTGACTTCTTCAGTTTTTAAAAGGCTGTTTCCACCTCTTCTGTGATGATAACAATTCCAACAGCATTTCCTCTCATGGGTTACTCTCATGAACTAGTGGCAAAGAAGTTGAAATCAACATCTTAGAACACTTAAGACATTGATTAAACAAGCATATAAACAGCATATACATAAAACAGTCTTTAAAAATATCAAATTTATGATGTGCTGTTGTAAATTTATCAATACCTTGTTAAAAATAATAACCAGGAGAAGAAAAAAAAATTACTGAAACCTAAAATTAGGCCCAGCACACAGCTGTATATTACTAGAGGAAAAAAATCCCCTTTCAGCCCACTTACCATACTAGCCAGCCTACAACCTCTGAGTCTGAGACAAATGCTTCACTATTTCAAAGGAGGGCTTTTTGAGAAACTGGAGCAACACCTTATCTCTCACTTCATCCCAGTCCCAATTTCACACTGGTTCCAGCCACACTGAAAAGCTTTGTGTGCCTGATGCAAGATTGCCTGATGCACCCCTGACTTTTCAGCACAGGGCATGCTGTTTTGAAATAAATCATTTATTTGTGCTTTTTGTAAAGTAAAATAAAATTAAAAAATATACACAATCTTGGTCACGACTGTATGTACTATATCCCCACTATATCAAGGATATTTCACTGCTGTTTGACTGAAATATGTTTACTGACAGCCCAATAGCTAACCCAGCTCACCCATGCTGAGACAGATCTTGTGTAATTCAGAAGGATCCCTCCTACAGTAATCCATGTAGAGCTGCTGATTTCTTGCATTAGTTGGAGTGCTAAAAACAATAGAACAAGGTATTTCACAATGTTGTTTCATCTCAACTCAGAGGCCACATAAAACAAAGTATTTAACTTGTAGTCAATCATCTTCATACATCTTGGCTCAGAGCATTGTAGATTGAATGCACAAAGTCTATTTTTTGTTCTCCAAAAAGTAGTAAATGAATTAAATATATTTTGGCTCAGGGTATCACACACTAAATGCACTTGTAAAAAGATGTTTGTCAAAAGCTGATTGATTATTTAAGGGTGGTTCTTGCCCCCACGTCATACAACTGCATTTCACAGCCAGTATAAGACTTTGATAATCAAAGCTTCTTTTAGGATTGGGGAATTAAAACACTGCTGCACTAATTTTTATCATTTTTACTTTGATTGTTCATTATAAGTGAAATTAACTGTTTGATTTGCCATTTTGTGCACTAGAGGAGATAAGGATTTAGACCCCAATCATAAAAATACACACAAAATGACAAAAGCCATCTGTCGTTCACAACTACTGTTGAATAGTTTATCAACACACCATAATAAAAACTCCCAACAGCTTCAGCAACCTGTACTAAAATAGGTGCAGTGTTCAAATAATACAAAGCAGTGTTATACAATATAAAAGCAAAATAAGAAAGTTTCAGAGCAGGTGTAACTCAGCTTAACCTGTTAGAGAAGTTACTCTAAAATGATGATTGCGCTGAGATTACTGTGTTTCCACGCTTACATATTTTCTTTTCTCTGAAACATGCTTTTTTAGTAACATAATAGAAAACAGATCAAATTACACAACCAAGCCCTGCAAAATATCACCTAAGAGTGTGAAAGGACATGCTCTCCTAACATGTAGTTTAAGATGAACTTTCAAACAGTAAATGAAGACACCTGTACAGCAAATTCAGCAAGGCTCACCTGTGCTGTGGAAGGCTGCTGCCCCCGAATGAACAGATTCAAGGTTCAAATCCAGAACAGGGACTTCTCGTGTGGGCATGAAGACAATGCTGTCCTTGCTTACAGTTTAAACCATGGTTTTAAACTTCCACTGTCAAAAAATAGAAAGAATCAGGATTTTAAAAAGCAAGCACTGACATGCATACCTGTTGCAAAGTGGTGAAGGCTGCTGCCTCTCATTGAAAGGATCTTGGGTTCAAAACCAGGATAGAGGCACACCTTAAAAACCCAGAATGGAAACCCGTTCTTACATGTATGCTAACCTTTAGTTTTCAACTTTATCAATAAAAAAGAAAGGAAAAAGAAGAAGAAAGCGCATACAAAAGCAAGTGCTGCTGAGCTAACCTGTAGTGTAGTTGTAAGGGGTGCTGTCTCACCATGAAAGGGTCCTGGGTTTAAATCCAGGATATAGGCACTTTATGTCAGCCTAGAACAACTGTTTTTTAAACACGTTATTTCAGCTCTGGTTTGAATTGCTCTTTTAAACTTCCACAGTCAAAAAGACAAGGTAATAGGGACCTTCAAAAACAAGCACTGCAAGGAAAACCTGTAATGTAGTGGGGGATAGAGACAATCAGAAGGCTCCTTTCATCAAGCCAATCAGAGACCTGCTTGCAGTCGGCCAATCAGGGGGCTCCTGATCCAAATTCACACCAAGTTACACCAAGCACAAGTCACAAGTGTGATGTTCAGGCTGAGCCATCAATCATTTTCACACCCTCTGATCTTGAAAACTTGGCAGAAGTTCACAGAACTAACAAGTTTTATTTTGAGATCAAGTTGTGACAACTTACTGTTTTAACAGTTAACACGATATAATGCTTCAACTCCTTTGGTCAAATTTAGTTCTTTAAACTGACAAAATTTCAAATATGGTGTATTGCTAACAAAAAGAAGGAATCCTTTTTTTACTGTGTATCAATAGAGGGGAATATTGTTTTATGATCAGGGCCTTGAGGTGGTCCTGCAACCTAACTTGTCTTTTGGTACCTTCAGTATGCAAACCTTTGTTTAGCTCAAATTTCTGGTAGATACATGAATTACTGGAATATAAAGAGCAATTCACCAGTAAGAGCTTCCAGGTTAATTTTGATGAGTTAAACAGGCTATACACAACAGAGACCTGATAATAATCACATTTTAACAGGAAGTAATTCAATTATTAAAACTCATAGCACTGTACTACCACATGAGACCTTTCTGCTCCCAGCATACAGGTCTCTCTGCATTTAAGAGTGGTCTTAAAACATTGCTTTTTGATAAAGTGTACTGTTAATTGTGGCTCAGGCTTGGACCTGCCACTGGTTATGCTGCTATAGGCTTAGACTGCTGTGGGAACTGGCACATAGAAGTCCTGTTTTTCCCTCTCTCTTCCCCCATCTGTCATGTCTCTAACTTTAAACCTTCATGTCCCTCTGAAGTTGATGAACACTGGTCTTTACGTGAGCCCCTGAGCTCCCTGGTCTCATAGGTTCTTGTAGACCATTGCTGCCGATGACCTGCAGCTGTGGACCTGCCTTACTCAAACTGCTGAAACTATTCAAATCGGTCTCAATTTGATATTTCTGTTATAATGCTAACACCAATTCTTGAACAGCTTGACTCTAACTGCTTTAATTAATATGATAATTCCTATCCATATCATCATGATCACTATTATAAATGTTCATTTTAACTGCCATAAATGTTAAAATCAAGATTAACTATTTGCTGTTGCTAAAAAAAGTACACACTCTTTCTTGATGTTGAATCTTTGTATATATAGCGTAGCATATATTGTCGTAAATATTTGCAAATAAAGATGGTTTGATCGACTGATTAATGAGCATCAGTCTGAGTTTATCCTCCAAAATAAGGATCTTAAGAACAGGTAGATCATGCTGTACATTCCCAGACAAGTTTGGTTACTCATACGGCAGCACTGCAAGGCTTTAAATTTGACGAGTGAATAGAAGGCTTCATACATGCATAACACACATGACCTCTGTGACATGGTAAAGATCCTCACAGAAACAAAGAAGGCATTGTTAAACAATCAACAGGACTCCCTCACAAATACAATGTTCATGGTTTACGTAGGATCATCAAGTTCACAAACCCTGTCCTGTGGATCTGAGTGTTTTGGGTGAAAATCTCTTCTATAGGATTATATGGATGGATAATTACAGAACATTTATCATACTAACACTAGACATCTGGTGACAGAGATTATGGGTTATGTAATTTAAGCCCCATAAATGAGAAGAAAAGTGAGGACAAAAGGTACAGCTCCTTTAAAATCAGTGAAGTGGAAAACACATCATGTGGACTGTAGGCTAGTTTAGACTGCTTGAGTTTGAACATCTTTGAAATGGTCGAATCAGCTGGTTGGGACCAGCAGGTTCCCATGAACACGCTGAGGTCACTTAAACTTTGTCCAGTCTGTCCACTGAGGAAAAGATAAAGCTTAAAGGTTATTGTATGGAGACTCTGGAAGGAACAATGTAAAAGTATTTATTGTATTATTATTATTATTATTATTATTATTATTATTATTATCAATAAAAGGATAGGCCAGTGGATAGAGTTTGCATCTTAGGAGTGGGGAAACACATGAACAAGTACTTCAGGTTGGAATAAGAACCAAGCTAGCTTCAAATCGATAAGCCAAACTGGCACCTCCCAAAAGTTCTTGTTTTCTGGCTGGTCACCAAGGCTCTTGTGGATATTCTGCTCTGTGAGAAGTTGTAGTAAATTTAAACCAAACACCTTGATTATAAAGGAGATGTTACGATTGACATAAGTATCTATATTGTAATAATTTTTGAGACAGAGACAATGTTGATAATACTGTTATTCTATACTATTTGGTGCATAAGAAAAGGATTAAATATTTTACACAATACAGATATAAAGAGCAGTGCTTATTTCCAAGAAAAACAGGAGGATGCTCATGAAATGCAAGGCAGTTAACTTTTTCGTAAAATAATTTTTGTTCATAATTGAATCAAATAAGTAATTTAATTAGGGTAAGGTTTTAAGTAATAAAAAGTAGATTATGAAATTTTGTTTGCAAATCAGACCTTAAAACTAATTGTAGAGCTAATGATCGAGCTATAAAAGTCAAGAGGATAAGGTAAAATTTAAACACTGCAGTAGATAGACTGGGAGGTCTTCTGTCTAGCTAAGTGCTCTCAGAAATGAATAAAGGGTAAATATTTAGAAATGAGCATGAGAGATACATGCAGTTTAGGTTTTTATTACAAACCATACCACAAGGAGTTTAACCTGTCTCCTTTAATCATTGTTGAAATACCTTAACTCTTACAGTAGAGAGTTGATGCACAGTGTTTTTAAGCATTAAAGTCTGGATGGCTTTCATGTCTTTCTAAAAGAAAAATAAGTCAGACACCTTTATTCTGATGTAAATCTCATCTAGTCTGTAATTAATTTGTTTCAAATTCACAACACATTTAATTTAAGAAAAACTTAACTGAACTCTCTGTAAACTCACTTAAATATACCTCATAAGATGTGATAGTGTGTGTTTTATTTGTAGCAGCAGAGTGATAAGTAGAAGCTGAATAATGACAAGACATTCATCTAAAATCTTTTTTATTGTGCCATAAAGCAGTGGACTTTGAGCATAGGAACACAGAGGTGTTACAGCAGCTCTCGGGAACACTCACTGTATATAGACCTACACAGAAATACATTGAAAAGAAGCAAGGCAGACATGTTTGTTGTGATCACACAATTCTGACATGTGTAAGTAATCAGTCCTACCTACGAGCTGCTCTGTTACACATCTTTAAAGCATGATGAACGAAAAAAAGTCAGTCAACAGATTTCCCTTTCTTTGTCAGCTCACGTTGTTACTAGGACATGTTATCATCAAGGACATTCAACAATCTCCAATTCATTATGTTATTTGTGTGTGCAAATGAAGTACTATAGGCCTTAGTATACAATCTCTGAAACAAGAAGATAAAGGTTAATTTCTGGTGCTTAGTCTCCACCTGAGCTTTACAACTCTGAACTCATTCTGTCAGCTACGAGTCTCTGAGGAAAATTAAAGGTTACATTATTTCAAGAGAGATAGTGAAATCTACCAAGAAGGAAGTGTTTGCATTGTGATGTCTACTATAACGTATAGACAGTGCTGCATGGATCGTGTCTGTATGGAAAACTGACCTGAAAACATAAAGTACTTATTTTTGGCTTTTTATATGTGAAAGCCCTCACTGTAAAAAAATAGCAGCAGTTAAGGCAAAAAAGATTGTTCCCCATGGTTACACTTATACCTGAGTACCTAAACAAGAATGAGAAATCTACATACTGTGTTATTAGAGGAAACAGTTTTGGTCTATAGTTTTACTGCTAAATTCCTACGGTTTTATCACTGAAAACTGTTTAAAAAACTGTTCGCTACATGTCAAATAAAATCTTTAAGAAAAGCATTCTGTACCTATTTATTCATAAGCATCTATGACATCCCACTAAAATAATCAGTTAAACAAGAGATGATCTGATACATTTTTCCTTGCCAATACCGATTCTGATACCTGGACATGCGTATTGGTCAGTATGAAGTACCTCTCTGATACAAGAGATTAAAAAAATACACATAATATTGTTGGGAAAACACTGATTGCTGATATTTTGCTAGCACTGATTATATTACCCTCAGCTAGCACAGGTCTGTTGTTTTTTTTATTGTCACATCAGTATTTACCTTGATTTGCCTTTCAGAGGCTAACTGGATCAGTGCAATGGCTGGCGTAATTGCTGATGTCCAATACTAATTCAGAGGCAATACATGGGCCAGTACCAGTATTAGAGAAAAAATCTGAAATGCATTCATTTTCAAAGATATTATAATAATAAAAAATCAACTCTTACATCCGTTATTCAGACTTGTCATGAACCACCAGTGGTGCCAGCCTGACTGGGTCATGATTTCTGTGCTATAAGCCACTGGAAAAGGGCGTGGTGGTCTCTTGGCTGATAATCTCCTTCACTTCCACAGGCAGTGCATCAAAGAGATGGTCCTCCACAACCAGGCCACTCCTACGCAGCATTCGGCAGTTTCCCAGCTGGGCAGGCAGTCTGTCCAGACAGTTTCCTCTGAGCTCCAGCTGAGCGAGCTGCACCAGCTGACCCACCCCCTCTGGCAGCACGGTGAGCGCATTGTTCCCCAGACATAACACCTTTAGCTTGTTGCATCTAAACAGAGGTTTGGGCAGAACTTCCAGCTTGTTGGAGTTGATGGCTAAGTGCTGCAGGTTGTGCAGGAGCCCCACATCAGGAGGGAGGATTGTGATGGAGTTGTGGCCCACGTCTAGATGCCGCAGCTTGGGCAGTGTGAACAGAGCTGGAGGAAGGGACTCGAGTTTGTTATGAGAGAGGTGCAGAGCCTCTAGAGACTTGATCTGTCCAATAGATGAAGGGATGGTGATAATTTTGTTGTGCCACAGCTTCAGGCACGTCAGTCTCTTCAGGTGCTGAAAGCTGATGATCTCCTCGATGGTTCGGATGTTGTTGGACTTCAGGTCGAGCTCCTGTAGGTTGGTCAAGCTGAAAATGGCGTGGGGAATCCTCTCCAGTTCACAGGTGTGCAGCTCCAGTTCGATGAGACTCGTCATTTTTTTCAGACTGTTTAATACAAGCAGTTTCGTACCATCGTTGTGCACCACCAGCTTTATCAGATGTGGTGAAAGCTCGGTGATATTTGTGGGCATTTTTGTCAGGTTGCTCTTCAAACACAGTGTCTTTAAGTGCCTCAAATCCCGCATGGACTCCAGCCCGATCATTTTGTTGTTTTCTGAGCTCAGGTTACCAATCAAGTTCAGCTCCCTCAAACTCCTCAGTAAGTACACCCATGTTGGAATCTCTGCAACATCTGTGAACTTGACATGAAGGCAGCGGAGATGATCGCGCAGGAAAGCGAAACCTGTCTGCTCTACTTTGGCCGGGCAGTGACAGAGATGCAGCTCCTGCAAGCTGGTCATCTGAGAGACTTTAGCAGAAAATCTCACCTCTGGGATCAGCTCCAGTTTCAGCACTTCCAAGTCAGTGAGATCAAACACAGCATTGGGGAGGCCAGAGAGCATAAAAAGGTGCAGCTCTTGTTGGTCCTGCGTGTTCCGGGTCACCAGCTGCCTCAGTTTTTCAAATGTCCACTCATGATTGAGGCTGATCTCCCTCAGTTTGTTTTCACTCACCTCTGACAAGAAGACACCAAAGCGTTTGGAGTAGAGTTGGTCATACTGGTCAACCATGTGTAAGAGGAATGCAAAGTCGTTTTTGACATCAGGAATGTCACTGAAGCTGCTCTCCTCTCTGACTTTCTCAAATGAGTACTCTTTCAAGGGTCTCCGAAACACCCAGAAGAGGGAGTACAAGCAGGCCATGCCATAGATCAGAATCAGTGCCATGTAGCTAATGAGCAGCTTGTTTAGCATGAACGCCATGTTGTGTGTACAGAAGAATTTTCTATACCCTGTCAGCTGTTTAATGTCTGGTTCACAGTCATGCTTAAAATTGATTTTAGCCAAAAAGGTTGACGTGTAGGACAGTATCAGAATAAACTTGACTGTTTTGACAACGGTCTGTGCTACATAAAGCTTGTAGATAAAATCACTGTCTTCCACGTGAGCTCTGAATTTTCTGACTTTCTCAAAGAGCGCTTTGGCCTGCTCACCATCTTTCTTGTCTAGGATTGTCATGCTACTGGGGACCTCTGCCATGGGCTTATCAGCAGAGAACTTCACCCCGAGCATGGGTGTGGTTGAGTTTGCATTTGTACCGTCATCTTTTCCCTCTAAAGAAACCTGCTTTGGTGCAGAGGAAGTCCCAGTTAACCTCTGTTTGTTCTCCTCTGAGTCCTCACATGCTGTTTCAGACAAAGCCTTCGTCGTCCAGGGAGACTCAAAACATCTGCCCAGAATGGAAACAAAATGTTCGATCTTTGAGCTGGTTTTGGGGTACTTGAACCAGAAGTTGCTACTGACCATGAGGACAAGGGTGTGGATGAGGGTGAGGTATGGAAAGTACTTGGAGTACCAGGGCAAGGCAACGTGGTAACATATTTGGTTGATGAAGACATACTGTTGAAAGTCCAGGTTGGTCCTGACTCCTGTAGGTTGAGGTTGATTGGCGTATTTCTCAGACACCACAGACGTGTGTTGGTGTGTGACATGAATCTCATGGACAACCTCATCCGGTAGGTCCTTAGTGATGAAAGGGACACTGGTCATGACGGGGGCCCCTGAGGCTGAGGATGAGGCCTGTGTGGTCTGCTGAGGGAAGGAGTTTGGTTTGGGCCCTGAGGCCTCCTCTGTGTCCTCAAGACAGGGAAGACAAGCCACCTGGTCCTTGGTAATCTGCATGGTCATGGCGAATATGGCAAGCATGAGCATGACCAGCCCTAGGTAGTCCATGAAGACATCCCACCATGGCTTCAGGATGCGGTATGTCGGCTGGATGTCATTCAAGGAAGCAACCTCGGTGAGTGTGAACATCACTGCAAAAAAATTAAGAATAGTCTGTTTACTATTTCATATTTCAGTCTTTTTATAAAAACAAAGATTTCCTGTGTATGTATTACTGGAATTCTTTCACTTCTTTGCAGCCAAACTCTGCATTTTTTCCCAAACTTCTTTTTATTGAAAAATTCCAAACACAAGCCCTTACCCTTAGGGAACAAAAAAAGAGATACTTAAAATTACATTTAGACTTGACTCTTTATAACATCAGCTCTTGTTTCCTTCAGTAAGGTTTTAATGATGTTAATCACAGAGCCAGAGTTTAGCTAAATCCAGACTTGTTATAACATGTTATTACTGGAACAGGGCAGGGGCCTTTGATGTCCGGATAAGCGGTCCACTAACTGATCTGACTCACTAAGACGGTTAGCACACGTGTTTTTTTGGGGCCACACTGGTTTTGGTTCAAGCCATATGGCACTGCCTGTATCTAGTAAACTGCTTATAAGACCTTATGTTTCCATGGTTTTCGTTCTTGTGATCAGATTAAATACCAAAAAATCTAAATAAATTAATAGATGAATAAAAATAGATTTCTGTATTTCCATATATGAATACATAAATAATTAGCCCATGTTGTTGGCTTGTTGGTTCTTTCAGCCCTTCACTGAAAAGCAATATCTGTGTGACATAGTTTGAATATTTCATACTGCACACTGAAACAGGACATCCTGAATCTGGCCAAACTGAACTCATGGAGAAACTATTTTTGCAAGAAGGGAGGACACAATTCAAGCTTTTTTAAAAAGAAAAATAAACTATTTTCAGAATTAGTCTTTTTTGTTTCACAGTTGGACCTTCCTTCTGAATATGACACCAATGTACCAAAATTAAAAACTTTAATCTTTTATCTGTACCTAAAGGCTTAAATTATTTCCACATCATGGTTCATTTTAAATCAGATAAAGTGTGTTTAGACCAGATTTAATGTAATGCCGCAACATTCAGATACGCGTGTTGTGTCCTCTTACGTTACAGTGTCAACCTATTGAAAATATTTGGTCCATTGTTGGTCATTGTCATTTAATTGTTGATAATATCTCTGATTTAATGCACATTGTCTTTTTTGTTTCACAGTTGGACCTTCCCTCTGAATATGAAACCACCAAAAGAGACTTTACACTTAGTCCACAAGGTTTTTATTTTCATTTTAGTGGGCCTACAGTCTGACCCAAAATCCATACCAACATTAATGTTTGGTGCTAAATCGGATGAGGTGAGGTACGCTTAACTACCACTAACAGTTTGGATTTATTCTTCAAACAAGAAATATTTGTGTGTGGTTTATCTTATCAGACATAAACAGGTTCTCTGGATCAGGGAGGGTTGAATATGTTTTAGCCTGAATAACTTTAAGCCTGAACCAAACTAAGATAAAGCTCACTTGTCCTCCTGAGCCACTTTCTATCAGCACACAACCAGAGCCTGCTGAAGAGGACTGATTGGCCGGTGATTTGGCCAACAGCAGTTCACTGTAGGTGTAACTTAAAAACTAACTGGATGAGATAAACGACAACAGATTTACGAAAACACTTCAAAGGCTCAGGCGAAAGGATATGAAACCTTCTGTACAGCTGATTGAACTTTCCTCAGACAACTTCTACTTTATCATGTAAGAATTTTTTATTATTCGGCAGGTAAACAAATTTTTGATACTAGAAAATGTAAACCAGTGGTTCTCAAGTCCAGTCCTCGAGGCCCACTGTCCTGCATGTTTTGGATGTTTCCCTGCTCCAACACACCTGATTCAAATGATCAGCTCGTTATCAAGCTCTGTAATGGCTTAATAACGAGCTGATCATTTGAATCAGGTGTGTTGGAGCAGGGAAACATCCAAAACATGCAGGACAGTAGGCCTCAAGGACTGGACTTGAGAACCACTGATGTAAACAAATGGGCTGATACTAAGAATTCAGTGACTGGCTTGAAATTGGCAGATGTTGTTAAGATGTCAACTTCCAGATTTTTAAACATCTGTCAGGTTGTAGTTCTATAATGTTGTAGCCTGCCAAAGTTACTTTTTCATTTCCTCTATGAGGCTTACAAACTATCTGACATGGTCTTTATGCAAGAGTGTAGGAATACTGTTAAGCTGGTGTTTTCCCAAACTGCTATTCTATCAATCTGCATCTCTGAGTGGCTGATCAGAGGTCCTGAAAGTTAAATCAATAAACAACTTGTTCCACTGAGCTGCTTCAGTTTCTGTGTTTCTGCACTGTATCTACGAAACCAAAGCTGAAAAGTGCAATGAAAATGCTTTCATAACTAACAGTGTGACACCAGTCAGCCAAACTGGATTTAGTGTGGAGTAGTACACACTGCTGGATGTTTTGCTCCTCCCTGAAGGAGTTGAACTTACATCATGGGGCTTCTTCAAAGCTCTCGGTGTTAGGTTCAACCTTGGATGCTTTCTTCATAGTTCATATCTTCAGCATGTTTATTTTCTTTTATGATCCCTACAATGCTGATAGTGGTGACAATCTCAACTGTAGGGTTGTTACCCATCATAAATTAGAGCTTTATTCAGAAGTTGGAAAGAAGTTGAAGTGATGTTCTTCTACAGTGACAAAGTTTAGAGAGTTGCATAGTGTTTTTTTCTTCTTTTCTTCTCTATTTATCAAACAAAAAAACTCCTCCATTTTTGTCCCATATAGCTGAAAAAGATCCAGAGAAATAAAAGCGGGGGGGATGGGGGTGGGGGCACTTCCTCCTCTGATCTGGATTAAACCTGTGGAGAACAGGCTGCACTGAACACACAGATTGCATAAAACTGCTTACTTTGTGTGACAGTGTCTAATGTATTGGATAAAGTTAAATAACCGGTTCAAAGACAGCCACCAGACAATTTCGTATGAAATAAACTAATTAAAGTCAGGTCTGCGTGAGACACGGGCTTCAGACAGTGAGGAAGTAGGTCGCAGACAAGGCACGGGGAAAACATGTCATATACGAGTTCATGTGTCGGCAGACTTACTCCACCACAAGAGGAAATGAGGCATCTTAAGACTGGACGAAACATTAGACTTTTTTCCTCCTCGCGTGAGGGGCTCTTGCGCAGTAAGTTGTCTGTTGGTGTACTGTTGGTGTACCGGGTCAGGTGACTTTTTGAAGCATGTGAATCTGAGAAGCAGCATGTGCCCCAGCGTTAAACATTCACGCCAGGTAAGTAGTTTCTCACACTACCACTCGAGTTACTGATTATTGGTTTGGTTTGGTTTGGTTTGGTTTATATATTTGTTGTTGTTGATTTTTTATATAAAATATTAAGCTACACACGTTGACAAAATAATGAAAGAAATTGTACTTACTGCCTCCGGTTTGGTGTTATCTCAATCCAATTATTTCTTCCACAGCCTGCATGCCACTTTTCGCTCCTTGCTCAGGTGCGCCTCTAACCTAATTTCTCAGCCCCGTTACACATTAAGGTAATGACGCCGGTGAATCGATCAAAGCTCGGAACAACATTTGTTCGTAACAGCTCGGTTTGTCGGCCGCATCCCTCATACCTGAGCCCGGGCAGCGGAGCCGGCTGCTTGACCGAGCGTTAAACAATATGCGCAGGCAAACCTCCAGGCAGCGTATTTCTAAGAAAGGCAGATCCAATATGGAGCCGCATAGACCGCTGCTGTGGGTGTTTTGGGCGCTTCTGATTGGAGGATTTCATGACGGCAACTTCCCGAAGACACCGCCTGCTTGCCGGTGTTGTGCCGAGAAACGCATGCCTGTCGAGAATTCCCTGCATCCCGCGGGAACGCGCACCGCTCATAGTACAGGGGTCCACGGCAATGTGCAGTTTAAACCGATACAATTCATATATTTGGAGCTTCACAGTGATGAGTAATGATCCGAAAGTAAAGTTGATATCTTTTTGTGTCATTTATGTTAAAAAGACCTTGTAGGATAAATATTTTATCAACCTAAACGTTTGACTGGTGAGTGACTTCATTTCCTAGGCTGATGATTGGATTGAACTGTGTTACTAGAGTGTTCTGTGGTGATCAGCCCACTGAATAATTAAGCACATATCTAGAGCGAGAGGAAAACAAGCAACATAAATCAAAGGGTTTTACTGAAAAGTTCAAGTGTTGTTGGCGGACGTATTATGGACCTTATTTCAGCATCCACCTGTTATTCAGCTTCATAGGCTGTAACAGGTCATATAATTGTAAAAAGTAAATCTCTACAGTTCAAATACGAGCTGGCAGCATTTTTTGACTCCAGTGAATCTGAATTATAACTTTTTAGGTGGATGCATCTTTTGGCAACAGCTGTTATCGGGCTGCCGAAATGTGCATCCACACTGTTAAAAAAAAAAAAAACAAGAAAAATCTATTCTCAAGAGTTTGTATTCTTAATTGGGTGAACATGACAATTAAAATAGCTATTATTTAACAAGAAAATACATGTCAAACCAACAATGTGCACCTGAGTAGAGACTAAATATGTAATTCTAAATTAGCAGAATTTGCAATTTGTTGTTTGCACAACAAAGTGGGAAAAATTCCCATAAAGCAGTTCTGACATTGACTCATGAGGTCTGCCGAAGAAGACCTACGGGGTTTACCACGTTCCGTCGCAAGGGGCAAGTTCTCCTTTATTGTGTGTCACGGCCAGCAGCGGAGAGGAGGACTTTTTTGAGTGGACCAGCTTCAGTCCAAGTTGTTAAGTATTTTGTGTGAAAATAAACTTGTCTGAACTGTATTTAGTGTATGAACTAATAGAGAATGAGGTGTTGTTCTGCTTTACCAAATTTACTTAAGTAAGTTGGCTACTTTTCAGTTTAGCTAACAATGCTTGTCTATCTACATTGCTTGTCTGCCGGAAAATTATCTTTCTGTTCCCTCACAACGTGTTTCTTAGCTGCGTGTTTAATCGCACATGTAACTGAGCAGGCAATTTTATCTCTGGGGCGCATTCACGATGCACGCCGCCTCCACGCTCACTCGCTACGGAGAAAGCCATTAACTTTAGCCATTAGCAAGCAGCTGCTGGCCGACGGCTAGGTCTGCTAAATGTTTATATTGGCAAAACAAACAATAAATAGTTGTGACAAATAAAAAATAATGTAGCAAATAAAAGTGTTTATATTGTCAAAACGTAGAAAAAATAGTCGTGACAGATAAAAATAATTGAGCAAATAAAAGCGTTTACATTGGCAGAACAAAAAATAAATAGTAGTGACCATTCACCGAAAGGCGTAAACGTAATTGATACAACGATAAAATGTCACTTATGACAATGACCTAGCAAATCGTTGAAACAATTAAAAAATCTTACTAAAAGAATGCCTTAAAATTTTAAGTTTTCTCAGTTATTCTTTTTTTTTACAGTGCACCTGTAATTCAGCTTCATAGGCTGTAGTAGGTTATGTTATGTTACTGCACAAAGTGAATCCACACTGTCCAAATATATGCTTGGACTTGAAACCTAAGTAGTTGTCATTCCCTTAGAGCAGCTGAATGCCCACACAATTAGCTGAATAACAGATGGATGCATATTTCGGCGGACACAAAAACAGCTGTTGCCGAAAAATGCATCCACCCATAAAGTTATAACTCTGATTCTTTGCAGTCACAAACTGCTGCCAGCTCGTATTTGGATTAATTCACCTTTTACAATAATATGACCTGTTACACCCTATGAAGCTGAATTACAGGTAGATGCATATTTCGGTAGACACAAAAAAAGCTGTTGCCAAAAAATGCATCCACAGCTGCGCCCTACGATGCCTCACAGGACCAAACATATTTGCTATTTTTATCTTTGTATTCTTATTTCCTATTTTCACTGTTTATGGCGGAAGAAAACCTGATTTACTGTTACAGATGTCACAGGAAGCCACGCACCTTCCTGTGTTCTCGGTAGCAGATCAAACAGTTATCAAGTGAAGGAGTTTCTGAGGGCGGGCCATTATGGGATCCAGGCAAAGTGCACAAAATTGGACACAAAAGAGACCATGGCTGTCAAGATTGTCCGCAAAGACTTCACCTGGGTGAGCAAACATGAGACGACCATGCTCACAAAACCCAGGGAGCTTGGTAGCTGCAAAAATCTGATCAAGTTTACAGAGCATTTTGACCACAAAAGTCGTGTTTGTCGGGCATTTGAGATGCTAGATGTAAGTCTGGAGGACTTTATGGCTTCCAGGTTGTGTGAGCCTCTTCATTTGGCAGAGATTAGAGTAATTACTCAATAAATACTGGTGGATCTGGAAGCCCTGAAGTCATTACGTGTGGCACATACGGACATCAAGCCAGAGAGTGTGATGCTGGTGAATCACAAGTTGCAGCCTTTCAAGGTGAAACTTATTGATTTTGCTTTAGCTTTTCCAGTCTCCAGAATAAAAAAAAGCCAAAGAATGCAAGCCTTGGGTTACAGAGCCCCTGAAGTTATTCTGGGTCTTAATGTGATGAGACTGTAGATATGTGGGGACTAAGCTGTGTTTTTGCTTACCTAATCCCAGGCAAGCACTTGTACCCCATAAGCGATGAATATCTGGGGGGGTCACACTTTTTTTAATACGTGTTGTACCTTGGAGGCTATCGTGAAGCAAAACCAATGGGCCCTAGGGTCTTGCTGAAATCAAAGACACAAAGGCTTTCATAAGTCTTCTGAAACACAGAATTACCCTGACCGAAGCACTAGGGCACCGTTTTATCACCATGAGACATTTAGGTAAAAGCCCTAACGAGGATGAATATGTCTCAACAGTGAGGTGGTAAACTGCAATTTGTTACCAACTACAAACTTTTATTGTTCATTGGATAAAACCCATGAAAGAAGAATATGTGAACGCAAAATCAGATGTCCAATTATCACTGCTGGCAAAAGTCACCAAACTCAGGCCACAGGGAAAAGAGAAGCTGCTGAAAAAGGTGCCAACCATACACAAGGACAAGTACCAAAAGACCAAACTGAACATTTTTTTCCACAGTACTGCAATATGTACCTTGTATGAAGCAGCCAGTTTCCGTTGCTGGGACACATTCATAGGCTGCCCCCCCTATCACTGGCCTCCATTCAGCCTATGAAGCTGAATTACAGGTGGATGCTGAAATGATATTACGTCCGCCTACAACACTTGAACTTTTCAGTAAAACACTTTGATTTTAGTTGCTTGTTTTCCTCTCGGTGTAGATATGTGCTTAACTATACAGTGGGCTGATCACCACAGAAGACTCCAGTAACACAGTTAAATCCAATCGATCAGCATAGGAAATGAAGTCACTCACCAGTCAAATGTTTAGATTGATGAAATATTTATCCTACAAGGTCTATTCAACATAAATGGCACAAAAAGGTATCAACTTTGCTTTCGGATCATTACTCATCACTGTCAAGCTCCACATATATGAATCGTATCGGTTTAAACTGTACATTGTCGTGGACCCTTGTACTACGAGCGGTGCGCGTTCCCGCAGGGTCCATGCCATTCTCGGCACAACACCGGCTGCTTGCTTATCTCATGCCGCATTCAAAGACAATAGGACAAAGTGATACCAATTATCAACTGCTGGGCTAAAGGGCACATAGACTTGATGACGTGTGAGTCATAGAGACTACGTTACTCTACATATGAGACAGGGAAAAACGTCGTGGGTGGCAAACAACATTTTAATCCAAAGAAATTCAACCCAAGGATCCGGCCATTCCCTTCAACTGCATAGCGAATTAAAAAGTAATGTAAGTCAGGTGACGTTACTTAGGAAAGAGAATCAGTCTGAGAGAAAAATAAGTGGTGAAAACGTTCAGCTTTGATTAAGAGCATCTGGACTGGGGAGGCAGCACAACTTTTGACCTTAAGTTGAGAACCATACCAGGCTAACTTTGCTAGACTGTCATACTAGGTCCACAGTATAACTCAAAAATGCGTTGAGGCTAGTTCTCCCGTCTCCCGATGGCACTTGAATGTACCGCAGCCTTCCCTCCCTTTGTTTCAGTCTCAGACGCCACAGAGTGCCTCATGGTGCTGAAATGACTTTTGCTGACTAATTAGGAGTACTCACACATGTTTTGTACACAGTCTAATTGTCTGACATGCAGGAATATGTTGTTAACAGTATTCGTACTTTGTGCCATCTTGTGTTTCTTTTGTATGTAATATTATGAATATGGCCTTTCTTTCTTTCTTTCTTTCTTTCTTTCTTTCTTTCTTTCTTTCTTTCTTTCTTTCTTTCTTTCTATCTATCTATCTATCTATCTATCTATCTATCTATCTATCTATCTATCTATCTATCTATGTTCTTATCTAATCTCATATTATTGTATTGACAAACTCAACAGTCAATAGGACCCTGGGTGCTGAAGTCATGCATCATTTCCAGCTCTGTCTGGATTTGGTTGATGATGCACCGGGTGGAGGAAGTGTCTCCTCAGTTGCAACCCATACAGGTTTCAACCGGTCCTGGGCTGCTGGCTGCTGGCATTCTGTTCTCCCTCACTCTATCCTTGTACTTTGAGAGGAAGGTGGAAAAAAGAAAGAAAGAAAGCAGCCACTGGGGTGTTCTAGTCTCTCAGGTGGTGTGTGTTACACACATGCAGACTGATAATACTCTGACAATAGGGTTTATCTGAGTTTTTTAACATGCCCAAACAGGTTGGAACAGAGAGGGTGCAATATGTACAAATGTTAGCTTATGGTTGAGTAAGTCTGGCTTATGATAACTGTGTTTATGGTGCCCTTAAAGACTACCTTAAGAAGAAAAATGCAAGCTAGAGACTGTAAGAGAAACTGAACTATACAACGTAGGTCACATGGTTTACTTATTTATTTTTTCTCTTCCAGTGATTCCCACCAAGATTTGTTCCCCAGATTGTAGAACATAATCTGCAGGGTTTCTGACCAGTGTATTGGAAGTCAGAGGGTGAAAACACGATTTTTAACTTGGTTGAAATAGCAACAAAAGTGTAAAATCTTGTTTTGAGACATAGCTTAGATACCTTGTAAAGTCTGACATATCACTTTGTCACTGTGTTTTGAAGCATGAATGCACTCAGAGAATACAACAGGTGTAAGATCAAAGCTCTTTCTATCATTTACGAAGTATTTTTTCAAAGCATTTTCTCACATACAGCTTGAAAAAAATAAAGATTTACACTAATTCTGACAAAAGTTTAGGAGAAAGGTAAGAAGAAAATAGACATGATAACACATAATATCACAAAAAACTACAAAGAATGAGTGTGAGAGTGCATATAACAACGTTATAGTTGTACATGACTTTACATATGCTGTGGATACTATTACATAGTTGTATACCTGCATGTACACATCTATAGACATGCAAAAATTTGTCAATGTACTCAAATAAAGGCATACATCGCTGCCCGCAGATGATGTTACATTTAAAACATATGCTGACGTCAGACCTGCTGAGAAAAAAAACCTGCCAGGGGAGTGTAAACTTTCCCAAGGAAGCCCTGGTTTGTTATCTAGTTGGCTTGCATTAAGGCAATGGTGAAGAGAGGGAAGAGGATGTGAAAATGCTGTAATGTTATGGTTTGATGTCAGTTTAGTGGACACCATGAAGTTTCTTTTGAGGGCCAATAGCTGAGGACCCCAGATGCCCCTGGCAACCAGCTCAGTCTGATCAAACAAGCTAAATGAAGTGTAAATTACTCAGCAAGGATTTTAAAGTATAAAGAAAACACTGGTTGTTGTCACAGTCACAAACCTTAGCTTTACACGAGATGCACGCATGAGGTCTGTGTGGAAAAAGCAAAAACTAAAGTAGGCCTACTTTAAATGTTGGCCAAAGCCTCAAAGTAACAACTAACCAAACAAACCTGTTTCCATGGTGATTAATGTCCTATAAGCATGCTTAGTACAGCCCTCTCTCACACATAAGGGTTTTAAATCCAGGGTCAGGTTGGGTTAGGTTAAAAAAAAAAAAAGTAAGAGTTTCAGATAACACACATGCACTTTTAGTCCATGGGCACAACAGATACTTAGTAGACCTCAGGGTTGCAAAGGTTCGTCTGTTCATCTGTGTCTCGTCTGTCACACGCGCTCAGTGTAATCCTGCTCTCATCTGTGAAGAGCATTGTACACCAATAGATCACAAATCTGCCAGTTTTGGTGTTTTCTGGCCAATCGCTCTGCATGATGTTGGGTTGTAAGGTTGATTTCACAATAGTGTGATTGATTTGGAGTTACATTGTGTTGTTTAAGTAATCCCTTTAATTTTTTGAGCAGTGTATGTTGTTTGTGGTTTAAGGAGCTCTAGTGACCTCCATGTATTTCGTAAAGGTTAATAATTGGATTTGAATGAAAGCTACAAATGATCCCTTTAAAATGACACCAAACACAATATTAATAAACATTGGGAGGTGCCCTAACTATGAGTCTAAACCAGGATGGACAACAGCGTCTAATATCCAATTAACCATGGGGAGGGGGGTTAACTTGGAGGAGGAAATATAGAAAACCAGGGGCCTTATTTGAAGGGCAACCGGTGGATTCTTGTTTTGGACACCTTGAAAATACCTGGTTGCCCACTTTTCCTCAAAAATACCTACAGGGTCACATGATTCTGAAGTTACAGCCCAGTCTAAAATGCCTGTGAGGAGCTAGTGACCCTTGGCTACACAACAGGATGTAGGGCAGCCTAATGCAGCTCTAAGCCAAACCCATACACTGCATCTTATCAGTGCAGAAAGTTAAGTGACCTTTGCATGAATTTTTAATGCACTGAAAGGAAAAAAAATATGATCACAAAGAATTGTAATGCTTTTTTGATTCAATCATTACTATTCATACTTGTAATTAGTTGCCATGTTCAGTGAATTTTACTGATTGATTAAAAGGATGAAAACTGTCTACCTGGTCTTTGATAATTACTGAATTAGTATTAGTAATAATATCATTACATCTAAACAATCGGTGTGGGGATTTTTTACATAATGCTGGTCCAAAGAATGAATGGAGGTGAAAGGGCCTGGGCCGGTTACTGCTATTTTAAGGCTCACAGTGACCTCTCACAAAGAAATAGAGTGGGTATATCATACATTTCCTTAATCCTCAAAGTTCATTTAGTATTGAAATTGTTGGCTTTTGGGTCTTTAATATCCCTTGATCCCATAGGGATAAAAGAAACTATATAGTTCAGGCATAAACTGTGGAAAAAAAATGTGTAATTTATGGTTTAATTTATGTGTTTTTCAGAAAGATACAACCATGGGCTTAAATGAAAGGCTAGAAGGTCCCCTTTACAATGATACCAAACAATTATATATAAATTCTGAACAAATAGGAAATTGATAGCTATTTTTAGCATTGGGCGATTTATCAATAATTATGCTAATTAATCAATAATTATGACTAAACAGTAACTTTTACAGCTAGGCAACTGGCAAAAATGGATAAAACACAAAAAAAAAATCCTACAGAATCAATGCATTCTAAGGTTTTTTTTTTCAATTTTCTGTCCTGACTTTTATCCCTGATGGGAGATGCCCCCCACCCTTTCCTGAAGAACCAAGATCCTCGCCTAAACCTCTGACTTCTCAAAACTCCACACAGTCACCTCCCACAAAGAGATAGTATGGGTATGTTACACATTTTCTGAATCTTTTAAGTCCCAAGAGTATTGCAGTTTGTAATTTGTGTATCCCTGATGCCCCTGGGTGACATATGGCCAAAAGAAAGTATATCATGTAGGCGAAAACTGCAGGAAAATGTGTATTTTTTGTTATTTAAAGAGCTCTAGTGACTTCCATGTTGGCCTAAAATGAACACATATAGGCTTAAATGAAAGCAACAAGGGTCCCCTTTAAAATGATACCAAACAGTCTATTGTAAACCTTTGAGAAATGTCCCTGCCATGAGCCTAAACCAGATATACACCAGTGTAAAAAAATCAAATTTATCTTAAGGGATGGTTAACTTCATGAGCTGATAACTAATATTTAGCTGGGCATCTCGAAAGGTTATCATACAAAAATATAATCTACAGACATGTGTCTTTTCAAAAATCATGATGAACCTTTGCCACTCTGAGGTGTACCAAATAGAGAAATTCTGGCCTCTGGCCTGTAGCCTATTTATGGGAAGTGTACACACAGGCTGTTTGCTCATGTGTCCATCTTTTGTTATACCTCGACATAACTTAAATGAAGACTGATGATGTGGTGTGACCCATTGCTGAAGTCAGGAATTCATGAATAAACAGCCCTGAAGCACTGAGACACTTAGTACAGTGTGTGCATGTATCCTCTTACGTGCTGAAGACAAAGGCAAAAACTGAAACACGTGCCTTTTTTTTCTTCTGCTCTGATACCTGCATGCTGGTCTCTGCTCGTTCTCATTGTTGTGGGGTGTAACTGTGATGTCTGTCTCACTTGTTACTGTTTATGCAAGCGTGACTCCCGTAGGCTCAGTCAGTCCAGCTGTTTTTAGTAGAGAAAAAAAGTACAATACAATACAGAATTATACTGGAACACCTCACAGGCACAATTTTTAGATAAAAAAAGTTATTAAACTGTGTTAAATGATTAGGTAGGTCACACATTGTTCCAGCCTTTTTCTTGATCACCAGCAATAAACAAACACATTTGGCTGTGGCTTATCGTCAGGGCTGTTTTTCACGAGGGGAGGATCAAATATCCAACTCATGAGCTGACAATATCAAATTGGATTTCTTAGCACAACAAAAAGTGACTGTGTTAATTCAATTTTTTTTTATTTGATCATTTATTCATATAGGCAGAATTAAACACAAATTCAAGAAAGACCTTCAAAATCTCTTAAAGTCATAAAAAATATGCAAGATACAGCACGAAACAAACTAAACTATACATAGATAGAACATAAAACACAATAAAGCAGAAAGCACCAGTGCATATGTGACCACATGACTAAGTGATCTTCACATTTAACTTCAACTTAAGTCAAAAGTGAATCCAGTCAGAGTTCTATCGAGTATAGTATTCCTGGTTGGCTGGTTACTGTTCAAAGACCAGTTTTAAAGGACAAAATTATGTCCAAGTGAGAAAAAAGTGCTGAATCATCATAACATTAAAACAGAGCCCTGTTATTATCATCCTAAACATTGAGTATCACTGCAGGATTTGGGCAACTTTCTGAACAGCGGACACTCTGTTCGTTTAGCTCCACCTGCTGTTATCTCACTGAAATCTGAATTTTTCCAGTTTTAACTTAGGACATTTGTTTACCAAGAAAATTTTTAAGAAAACTGCAAGGCTATGATAAAATAAATTCATTTAAGACCGGTGAGTAATTAATGTCAACATGATAGGTGTTTAATTCATCCACAGATGCAGATTTGTGACTGTTTCAAAACAAATCTTGACAACATAAAGTAACTCTTTGTGTTACTGTGAGGTTGTCTTCAGGGGGCTGAGATGTGTGATACAAAGGAGCAGAGCTGTCACAGATTGGTACAGAGTCAATGACACAGGCTGGTACAGTCTCACATCACAGACCTTTGTTATCAGTTAGTATCTTGGAATAAATGGAGACTGGTAAGAGAATATATCTACAACAGAAGTTTCCAGGGGTCATAAAATACTTTGTCTTAGGCAACTGATTGCACTGTTTATAAGTAAAGAAAATAAGACACTGCAAAGTGGGCAATGCAAACAAATCTCAGCATTACATCCAGCTGGGGGAAAAGTATTATGAAATTTAAGAACTTTCGACAAATTATTATTTTAGTTAGTTTGTGTTTGTTTTGTTAATGTTCTTCATTAATGAGTGAATTCATACTTTTATATCATGAAATGTATGGAATAAGCTGCTGCTGCTGGAATACCAAAAGTTTGGACACAACTTCTCATTCAATGCATTTTCTTTATTCTCATTACTATTTAAATTGTATATTCTCAGTGAAGGCATCAAAACTATGAATGAACACATGTGGAATCATGTGCTTCAGAAAAAAGTGTGAAATAACTGAACACATGTATTATATTTTAGATTCCTCAAAGTAGCCACCCTTTACTTTTTTGATAGCACTGCAAACTTTTGCTTTTCTCTCAATGAACTTCATGAGGTAGTCACCTGAAATGGTTTTTACTTCACAGGTGTGCCTTGTCAGGGTTACTTTGTGACTGACAGAGTCATCAGTTATTTCAAGTACAAAATTCCACCTGTGTTCATTCATAGTTTTGATGCCTTCAGTAATAATCCACAATGTAAATAGTCATATAAAAAAATAAAGAAAAGACATTGAATGAAAAGGTATATATATATATATATATATATATATATATATATATATATATATATATATATATATATATATATATATATATATAGAGAGAGAGAGAGAGAGAGAGAGAGAGAGAGAGAATTACATATTAGAAAACAAAATTCAGTAAACAAAAATTTAGATGGACAAATACAAGAAATACAACTGCCATATATCCCTACATTTATTCCCCAGTTCTTATCAAATTGTGTGCAAAGGTCTTGTGTGCTTTTGTCCTCTAATCGGTATAAAGAAGTTTGAGGTGTAGCCTGTATCCATCGTACAACTTGCCTTTGTAAGCACAAAAGAAATCTATTAAACAACTACAAATCTAAATCTGTTAAATAATTAATTTGTGTATGGTTTTGTGTATGATACACACGAAGAAAAAAAAACTTGATTTTACCCTTTTAGTTTCGAGAAAAATATGGATTTGCAGTAGTTTGAGCCTAGGGGCTTTCCGTATTCAAAATGACACGTGATCAGAGAAGTTATAAATAGGGGTGCCGCACTCGTTTGTTTCTATGACACACAGGCGGAGTGAAGAGTGACATGGCGTCTACAAGCCGGTGCGTAGTGACTTCGTCCAATATAAACCTCTTCGTCTTTCTTTATCAGTGACTCTCAGAAAATAATTTCGTTAGATTTGCGTTGCTAGATGTGGTGAAAAAGTAGTTGTAGACCCGAAACCTCACAGCGTATTGGTATTTTCCCGTGTGTGTGCGGTGTATTGTGCTAAGAAAGGGCTAGCTGCTGCAGCTGCTAACTAGCTTGTTGGATGTTGCCAGAAGTCCCCATCCGTACCGTCTTTCACTCTCGCTCTGGCTTTTTCGTTCAAAGACTTTTACACTGGAACATTAACATCGCTCGAATAACTCACTTGTTTTCACCTCTGTGGCGTTTATGCAGCATCGTTCAGGCAGCGTGATAAGTAACTAAAATCAAAGCTTATATATATACATATTTATATGTGCTGCTTTATTGACACTAGCGGACTCTTAGCTTTTCTGAATCTGCTCTCATGTCATTTGAAACACATGTAAATGTCTTTACAGCTTCACCATATCCAGCCTTTACGCCTCTGGAGGCTCGTTGACGCATATGTTTGTCTTTCAAAATAACTTCCGCTTTACACCGTAATTCAATTCAGAATAAATGTCAAATATGTAAAACTACAGACGAATTTAGGGGAGTAAAGGCAGAGAAATGGAAATATTATCTGATTGTTCAGGTCATACGACTGCATAACTTCTACATTTAATGTTTTTGAGGTTTTTACCAGTAAAACACGCGTTTCAGGACAAATAGGTGGTCTTTGTCACCTTTTAATTTGATTTGATCATCCAGAACACTTAATTTCTGTCTCAATGTCATGTTTTGTAAAACTGCAGTCACATATTACACTGTTAGTACATGCTGTTCAATATTTATTGCACTTGTGCCCAATATTACAAAGTATTTTCTGTTTATAGAAATTGTTGCTCACTAAAAAAGAAAAAATGTAAGGGGTAATTAAATCTTTTACTGGATGTTCTTACATAGCTGTATGTTTTATTGTTCCTATACTCATTTTACCATTTCAAATATAACTTCATTCTATATTGTATAAGAGCAGGGGTGTCACACTCTGACACAACAAGGGCCATAATCTGGATTTAAATCTAATCTGAGGGCCAAACAGAGTCGAAATTTAACCCAAAATATCAGCCTCCTTATCAACAGATATATATATATATAATAACTTTCTTTGTATAGTACTTTTAAAAAAACATGTTTACAAAGTGCTTTGACATGTAGTCGTAGAGCACATGGAAAAAGACAAAACAAAAAGATCAGTGAAAACGGAATTGAAGGCCATTTTCATGTCATAAGGAACCCAGACAATACAGGAACCATGCAACATAAAATGAGACCATGAGGACCAGTAATGATAAATTAGAGCAAGAGATAAAACAATAAAAGGCCTAAAAGGTTAATTTGTTGTATATATATATATATACACACACACAACGAAATCAAAAATGATAATAAACCACTTGGAAATTCAAAAAGTAAAAAAGATAAATTAAAATACAAAGTACAAATACATGAGGAGAAAGTTGAAATCACAAGTTGGAAATGTCAAAATGTGAGATAATTTTGAAATCAAAATATGACTTAAAATTTAAAACTGGAAATTCAAGGATTAAAATGACATCAATCTAAATACTGAGTTGAAAAAAGTCAAAGCACAAAATAAAAAGTCCAATCATGTTTGACTTGTAATCTGAAGATGTAAAATTGGATATATATGATATGATCTTGTGGGCCAGATATAATTGTTCCACGGGCCAGATTTGGCCCCCGGGCCTTGAGTTTGACACCTGTGTATAAGAGCATCAGGGATGTGAAGATTTTCTCCTCAGTACTTGTAATTCTGATTACCTGCTCATGGCATTCGATATGAAGATTGGCCATCAGCTGTCATTTTCTTCCTCACAGCTCTATGGATGAGACTTGAGTCCTGACCACTCAACATCTCTGTATCTCACCCAGGTTTTATTTTTTCCCTGTCGTTCATGCCACAAATCAGCACTGTACTGTTGTTTTACAGTGGAGATGTCCTGGCCCTTCCCAGAGTTACATGCCGCAACCATCCAGATGCCATTCTGGTGGAGGACTACAGAGCAGGGGACATGATTTGCCCAGAATGCGGTCTTGTAGTAGGTAGGTATACTCTATTGAACAAAGTGCACATTTGCTTTTGGATCTTTGAGCCAGAGCACTTTCTGTCTGTCTTTGTTTCCTGTGCTTGTTTTTTTTTTATTTCTCATCATGACCTACCTGAAGTCTGTCAAAGTGAGATATTTAAATTTGTCTGCCCAGTCATATTGAAGGTTTGTGAGAAAATGACTCAACTGAACCAGTTTGGCTGGTTTTGTATAATAGACGTGGACCACTTTGGTGACAACAAACATCAACTCAGTTTAAAAACAAACTGAGGGCATCATTTCCAAAGAATCTAGCAGCAATCTGAGATAAACTTTGTCTCTGTATCACAATTCTGTCTGCCTCTGGATGTCAATTTATAGCAGGGGTGGGCAATTAATTTTTACATGGGGCCACATGAGAAACCTGAACGCTGTTGGAAGGCCAAACCAACAACAACTTCAACTTCAGCTTCAATTCAAGGGGGTTCTCACATACAGAAAAGCAAGCCCAAATTAGCAACTACTAGTTAAAAACAAGCCCAAAAAAAGCTTACCCGTGACGAGTTTTACAAGCGACTTCTGAGAGAAATAAGCGTAAAGTCGTTTATAATAAGCGGACTTGGCAACTATAAGGCGTCTACGTAGATTTAGCCGATGTTTAAACTTGTCTCTGTTCACAAATGCAGATGTAGGATGTAGGAAAACAACGGCTAGGTTTTCAAAATAAAAGCAACACACTTGTATAGCATGTTGATGATTTGATTCATGAAGGGCCGGGCAAGGACATCCAAAGGGCCGGATGTGGCCCTAGAGCCGTAAAATGCCCAGGTCTGATTTATAGTATGGAGCAGCCCTTTTTCTCTGTCATGTGGGCGGAGGTTTTGACATCCCTGCAATGGACTACTTTCTCCAAACTGATGTCATAGACATAAATGTTACTCTTATTGATGAAATCATTAGTTTAGTTAAACTAGTGATTTATTTGTCAAATTTGTGTCTAGAATTTTGTTTTTTTGTAACACAATTAAACAACCTAAATACATTTCATGTGGATCCAGAGGAACATTGATGACAAAATGTTTGATCTGCATAAAACTCTTTCCAGCCTGTAGATGTAGAACATTTACATCACAATGGTCTTTGGCACTCACACAGTTGCCTGTGGATTGATTTTGAACACACATATGAAAGATGTACAAAGCAAATGGTGCGAAACTCCGGTTCAAATGGCATTCAGACAAAAGACAAAGCTGTAAGGAACACGCTGTTCACCTCTAATGAGCCCCCCCGAGCACAGGGTCGATCAGAGGGGAGATGAGGGACGCCAGCCACTCTCTGATGAACGCTGAAGTGTCCTCAGTTCCTGCTCCTGTGGCCTCAGCAAGCTGCTTAAGAGATGAATGTCACAGTGCTTCCAGATATTGGAGAGACTGATGGGTGGTACGAATAAAGGGAGAATGCCTAACAGGATTAAAATATCAGAAATCTAATCCCGGGCAATGCTACGCTGTAACAAGATCCCATACTTCTGAAAAATGTAAGAGACAAATGTATCCCCCTCCATTATCAAATCTGTGATCCTCTGTACATCTCAGATTTGATTGAGGTAAGTGATGCAAGATTTGTTCTGACCATGTCTTATTTTGTTTTTGTACTGCACAAGATTATCTGATGAGAATTAAGACGAGTGGCGATGTGTACAATGACTCCATGAGACAAAAAGCCACATTATAGAGAACTTTGACCTGTGGTTCAAATGAAGATGTGAGCCAAAGACAGTCAGTACTGGAGGACTGAGACACTATTTACAGCATTAGAGACCTGGACACCTGAAGGCGTGTTTACACTAGGGAATTATGTGTTGAATATGTCATCATCTTTGGTTAATTAGCCCACTGGGATTTAAGACAGACAGACTGTGTCTCCAATATTGAAACAGACTCAACAGATTAAAATCCTTGTTTTTACATCATTAAAGCAGAACAGGGATTGATTTCTCAAGATCTTAGATTCAAATACAGAATTAAAGACAGCTCTTCATGGGGTTTTGTATTTGGCTTGGATTCTGCTGTATCTAGGCCCGTTCAAAAAATGATCAAACCAAATTTCAGCAGCCCAATGTGTGTCAAAAGAAGCAGTCATCAGATATTTGCTTTGTCATTGTTTACTGTGTCATTTTTGTTTTTCAGGATTTAATCCCAGGGACAAAAATCTATACATATTTATTCACTTTTGATGCATGTTTAATTCTTTTATTTGGGGGATTGTGTAAAAACCAGGACATCTTTAAGTCTGAAGGTCCATTTCGGACGTCAATACAAGTGTTCACATCAGCGACGTTTTCCCGTTCTGTGATATTACGGCATTTATTTTTTCAGATCATGGTCGATTTTTCTAAAGTTTCACAGACTGTGTGTCCACTTCTGACCAATCAGATTGCGTGTTGTTGCAACGTCAGATTCACCGGTATATCCAACATATCCAACCGGCTGATTGTTTACGTGTTGGAGAACAGAGTGCTCTTTGACAAAAGACACAAATATTACAAAGATAACGACCTGAAGGACAACTTGTGGAGAGTCATAGCGTCAGATCTCTCATATGACGATGGTTTGTGTGCTTTAACAGTTTGCTAACCGTCTTTGTTTTAACTTTCATCTGTGCTAACGTAAACTAACGGTTGTTACCATAGTTTCACGTGCTTATCTGGTACTGGCCCCGACTCAGTTTTTGCTATCATGGCAGAAAGCCATCTCAGCACCAGTGTCTAATCAGAATTAAAAACGATCAGCGACCGTGGTACAGTTTCAGCTCCTGAACCAGGCAGTGAAACTCACCAAGTTCTTTTCTTTGTTGTAATATTGGATGTACAAATGTGCTGTGTTTCTTTTTCTTTTGAGAAAGCAGAAGAAGTACCAATTCACCATCACTGGAAGTTGAGGTAGACTCCATTTTTGTCCTCTCGCCTTCAGCCGGGACGCTGGTTGTTAAGGGAAGGTCCCGCCCTCCTTCACCTCTGATTGGCTATAAGTGCTGACCGTTTGGCTTGAGCGTGTGCCGACGTTTCCAGCTTTTCTAGCCAATCTGAGGCGAAGGAGGCGGGACTTTCCCCTGGAAAAGTCTTCCCCAGGATGCATCTTTTTCCCCTGGAAAGTCGAAAGATCGCATCGGGCTTGAAGTGTATCGTCAGGCGCGTCAAAATTGGCCCACGAATATTTAGTGATTTCACATCGATATTCGTGTCAGCCCCGGTGTGTAAGGACCTTTAAAGTATAAAAAAGGCAACACTTTATGAGACCCATTTCACATATTGACTAAAAACTTTAGAAGTGCGACGTTCTAAGAGTTGAAGGGTTTGTGTTGTACTTGTGTCCACATCGATCTTATCCTTTAAAGTAAATTTGATTTTAAACATACACACAAAAGTTTTTGAACTTTGATGCAGTATCATGATTGTACTTCTTTCCATTGTTACTTTTCTGAAATTGTCCCTGATGTGTTTGATCTCAGGTGATCGAGTAATTGATGTCGGCTCAGAGTGGAGAACGTTTTCAAACGAGAAAGCCCTCAAAGATCCATCCAGAGTGGGAGACGCCCAAAACCCTCTGCTCAATGGAGGAGACCTCACCACCATGATTAGCAAGGTGAGAGACGGTCGTTTTTTGAGGAGTGGTGTGAAATATTGGTTCAGTTTACAGTTTGGTGTGAATTTGTTTCACTTTTTACATTTTTACACAACGATGAGATGAAATCCTCCTGGCATTTCCAGCTTTGATAATGTGTATTTTTATTGACAGTAGCTGATACAGACCCATCAGCTGAGGCTGGGTCCGTCAGTAATGATTAAACTCCGTGACATCCACTGTGATCATAGAAAACCACCTCCCACTTCCTCAAATGAATATTAGGCCTCTCCAGAAACAGTCTTGCTGAAGTGTATGTCGTGTTTCCGTCACAGGGGACAGGTGCAGCTAGTTTCGATGAGTTCGGTAACTCCAAGTACCAAAATAGGCGGACCATGAGCAGCTCTGACAGGGCCATGCTCAACGCCTTCAAAGAAATCAGCACCATGGCGGACCGCATCAACCTGCCGAGGAACATCATCGTAAGTTTAAACGTGTCGGGAAGGGAAGTTCAGCTGTTGTGCTAATTCTGGGATTTTTTACATTGGACCCCCATTGCTCTTATGTTTGTTAAACTGACTCATTGTTTTGAATAATTTCTATCAGTAAATAGAAAATTAACTGTGAAAAATAAACGCCAATTTGCCGTCCTTCAACCCTCCTCTCCTCATGGTGTAATTGAGACACTTTTACTGATCAAGTGTTTCTGTCAGGAGTGGAAACTTCGATTCATATGAAGAACTGAAACCTTGCACATGTGAACAAGAGGGAGGAAACTGAAACTAAACACTTTCGTTTTTCTCACGTGTTTGATTGATTTGTGTGGAAATGAAACTGCAAAGCTTAGCTGAAGCTAAAAAAGCTCAGGTTTGCCCCAAACTGATGTTTCAAAGACATCATCTTTGTGTTTGGTTCGAGACACAGACACATATCAAGTCTCTAGAATACAAGGTCTGTGATTTTCTTAGACTTTTTTCTTGGGCAAAAAAAGAGAAAAATATTTCACAGATTTTTTTATAGACTTGAACAAGTTACAAAAAGAAAAATCAGAGAGGGGAAAAATATTAGTAACAAAAAATTCCTCAAAGTTGAAACACCATGATCTGACTGCTGATAATTTCATGTTTCTAAGTAAGCTAAGTGCTATTTTTGTAGATTTAAACGGCTCACTTTCAGATGTTCCACATAACTGATGGGAGAAAAGTGTTGTAGAGATCGTCTTAGAGGTTTGCTCAAGCAGTGTGTGCTGTATATGTTTCTTTTGCTCTCTGCAGGACAGGACAAACAACTTATTCAAGCAGGTTTATGAACAGAAGAGTCTGAAGGGGCGAGCCAATGATGCCATCGCTTCAGCCTGTCTGTACATCGCCTGCAGACAAGAAGGTGTCCCGAGGACATTCAAAGGTTTAAAGAAACACTTTTATGTACTTTTAAAGTCGTGGTTCATCTCCTGATTATTGACTTTATTGGCTGACTGTGGAAGTGGTAGTGCAGACTAAATACAGGGGTGAGAAAATGTCACATTTCCTTCCCTTTCCTCCCTCTAAATGAACTTCCTCTGCTCCCTTTCCTTCCTCAGAGATCTGCGCTGTGTCCCGGATCTCTAAGAAGGAGATCGGCAGATGTTTCAAGCTGATCCTGAAGGCTTTGGAGACCAGCGTGGACCTCATCACCACCGGAGACTTCATGTCCCGCTTCTGCTCAAACCTGGGTCTGCCCAAACAGGTGCAGATGGCGGCCACCTTCATCGCCAGGAAGGCTGTGGAGCTGGACCTTGTGCCGGGCAGGAGCCCCATCTCTGTGGCTGCAGCCGCTATTTACATGGCCTCCCAGGCCTCTGCGGAGAAGAAGACCCAGAAAGGTGAGCCATAGGACTGAAATACAGTTGGTGTTGAGACTGGGTTAGGAAGTTTCTGTAAAACACTTGTTTGTATCACACTTTTTCAAGAGTTCTTGACTGATTAGAGAGGCGTTACACATCAGGGTTTAACGCTAACGCTGTGCTCCCAAATTGATCAAATAATGTGTTTCTTATTAGTCGACCTTTGTACTATTATTTGAAATCAATTTTAGGTCAACTGGTCACATGACATGGAAGCTATTGAAGGAAAACAGCCTTTACTGAGAACATTGACCAGTTATTTATTGATGGTCCCTTACTCAACACCCGACGTTGACAGCGAGGGTGCCGAGTAGATTTAACCACGCTGTTCTTGTTGTTCCCGGTTATGGAGCGTGATGAGAAGACACCGGTAGATCTGCAGTGAATGTCCGTCAAACATCCAACCTAAGACTAACTTCACAGTGGTATTTACATGAAAAAACATTTGTTGCCTTGGCTAATTTTTAACAATTTTTTAAACAAATTTTACAATTCGCACATATCTATATTTGGTTGCAAATGTGAGTGAAATGGTCGCACTGTCGAGCCCTTCACGTGCACTGTTGTGAAGTAATGTTTGACAACCGTTCTGTTGATGATGTCTAAATTAGTGGCCGACACATTCAGCACTAGAACTATTTCTTTTATACACTCTTACTATAAATGTGTATTCAGGAGCCTTCATACAGGTCCCTGCAGAGTTTTTCGGCTCTCCTTCACATTCCTTCATCATCAGAGACTGTATTAAAACCTGGATGTAGTCCCAGTGACGCTACCATTGATTTCTGAAGAGAAGTTATGAGGCTCATTGATGACGGGCTTCATGTTGGATACGCTGACTCAACCTGACTTTCTAATCCGTCTGGTAATAAGTAAATAGAGCTGAGGCAAGCATTAAGCCCCCCCCTGGTAAGAAGCTATAATGCACCCCCACCTGGTAGTCAGCTGAGCTTTAAAACAGAGGCAGACTAAATTCACCCAGCAGGGTAAATCAGTGGAGCTGCAAACAGAGGGGGAATAATAACACTCAGCTAAACCAGTTTAACAGCAGTTTAAGTTTAAAGAAAAACACTTTCCAACACTTGACGGTTGGGAGTTCGGCTTCCAGTCCATCTCTGAAAACAAGTTTTGACTGTACATATTTAACACTGCAAACCCACAAAAGATTCAGGCATGACACACAGAGCTGAGACAGCCACACACTCTGCTCAGTGATTACGTCAGACCTGATGTGACTCAGGTTTCAAAACTTGTCATATTTGAATTTGTCAAGAGACTTGCATATATGATCGACAGCACTGATGGAAAAAAAGATTAAAAAAGAAAAAATAAAGCTTTAGTGGTTTAGGTTTTACGTACCTCTTAGTCCATCTGTGGGTAAGGCCAGTCTCTTGAACTGTGACGTTAATGGCATCCAAGCAGCAAGAACTTCAATATAAAGCCTTGAATACACGTACACTGTAAATATACTGTACGTACATTACAGTAAAATGTTTAAAACAAGGAATACATAAACAATTATCTGCTGAAATTAATTCGTTTGTTCTGGGGCTGCCTAAAAGTGCTGCATACATGAAGTATTTCCTATGATCTGTTCTGATTGCCGTTCAGCAGCAACGAAAAAGCTGTTTGATATCCGGTACGGCTCCGAGTTGACCCTCTCCTCTCACTCTGCCACAGAAATCGGGGACATCGCCGGTGTCGCAGATGTCACGATCAGACAGTCATATCGGCTCATCTACCCACGCGCCGCAGAACTCTTCCCTCCAGATTTCAAATTCGACACACCCGTCGACAAGCTGCCCCAACTGTGAGCAAGACGCTCTTTACTCAGCGACAATATTTTCTGCTGTAATTATTGGATTGTATTCTTTCTTTTTTTTTTCTTTTTTTTAATCATATTTGTGTTGGATTTGGAAGATTTCTCTTGTCCCTCCTAAGACTCACAGCCTTTGTCAAGGCACTCACAGGAAACAAAACGGACACATTCCAGTGCTTAAACAGCTGGCAGACTGTGCTTACAGTATTTCATTTGAGTGTGTAAACTGTAACATGTATATATGTCCAAGTGGGAAATGTAACCGATGCTTACAATTTTAGGCTGGTTTCATACTGTATACATAAAAAAAGATTTTCATTAAAGCATTACAATAAGCTTGTGTTTTCCTTATTGAAGAACCTTTTGTCATAAAAATGCATTAATATCTGTGCATCTAAAAAGCAAAGCAAAGCCACTATTACAAATGTTTAATTTGTGCATTCATGATGGGAAACAAACAACCGCAGGAGTCCTTTTTTACACCGGGGTGAACAGCAACAGTTGTGATTGAGTGTTGGTGTACCATCCGTTACATTTACGTTTGTTCTGGCGACAACATGCACAAAGCAAAGAATTAAAAAAACTTTATACAATCTATTTTCATCATTAAGAAACGAGGATAATTAAAAACTATCGATAAAATTAGTGCTTTCAGCTTAGTTGTGTACATACAGTATGTATATATAATATACCCTGCCCTCCCCTGTAGTGATTCATGTCAACAGGTCTCCAACATTTTGGGTCAGTCCAGGACAAACATGCAAAAATGACAAAAGTCATCAGCTGTTTCACTGAAAATTCATCTGATCACAGAACAGTGCAGGAAACTTTCAAATGGCATTTCGACATAATCACTGAGTTTAATATGTTCCCAAAATACTGCTCAGCCCTCATCTGTCAGATTTCGCTTTGCCTTATCTGTTACTGTTTTCAGTCCATCTATCAGCTCTTTTAGTTTTGACCAGGAGGAGTTGTTGGTCTGCTGCTTCCACAGGGACAGGATCAATTTGGTTTCTGTAGCTTTTCAATGAGTCACTGCTTTAGTGTGAAAACTTTGAGGTAAACGAGAAAAATGTTTACAGATTTTATCGAGTGGCTGTTCACGTTAGAACAATAGAGTATGAGTGATCTTCACTCCGACAGAGGCGTCAATGTTAGAACTCCTATCACAGAGCTGCATGGCCACTAGAGGGCACAAGACAAACACTAGTTTTCATTTTGTCTGCATTCTGATCATAAACTTATTCCTTAAATTAACACTAATTGAAGGTGATTAGTTTAGCCATGGGGTATTACCATCATTATTATCATTATTATTGTTGTGTGGGTTCATGTGGATAAAAGTCGGGCCTTTTAATATGAAGACATGTAGTGTAAAGATTTCAAGTCATGAAGCAGCAGTAGTAGTCAAGATGTTAGTTGCCTTTCAGTGCTGATGCTTTGAGCTCTTCTGATTCACTGAACACCAGTTTAAAACATGATCATGGCAGAAATGTCAAACTTTACAGTGAGATAAAATGTCATAAAGCTGTGGCGAGGGCTTTGCACATAAAGAAAAAAAAAATACGGCAATAAAATACATGACTGAATATTATCTGTACAGATCAAAAAGACTGACGACTGTGACGCTGAATAACATGACTGTGATGTTGCCGTCTTCTCAGAGTTCGTAAGAAAAACATTCTCAGTGGTCAGACAATAGAGACGGCGACGTGTTCAGGAGGACAAAATATCTCCCTCCTCCTTCACTCTCTGACAACAGAGTTCATTTGTTTTCTTTTTCTTAAAAAAAAAAAAAAAAAGTTCTTCATGTGGATTATAAAAATAAGTGGGGTCCTCAGGAGGCTTCTGGACTTTTCTTCTCAATGGCACAGAGTTTCGCTCGAAAGGCTTGGGGAGCCACGCCTGCTCCTCTTCCTCAACGGTTTTGGGCAAAGAAAGAGGAGCGTTTTAAAAAGATGAGAGCAGTCATCGCTGTATTTGTTTGTTCACAGTGTGTGTGTCTCTGACTGTGTATCTATGTGTGTGTTTGTGTCTGTGGGGTCGGGGGGGGGAGTCAGGTGAAGCTAACACCAGTCGGCAATGTAATCAAAGTCAGAGAACAGGTTCTGCTCCTCGGAGCACAGCACTCGGGGTTCCCTGGGTGGGGTTAAGATCGGAGCCTCTGAGGTAAATTCATCGTCGAAGTTGCTGACATCGTTGGCGCCCTGAATGGTCGGCACAAACGGCGGCTTCACCTTCTTGGACAACAGTCCGTTCCAATCCATGTTCTGCAATGAATCAGAGAAATGAGTGAATCCTCTGGTGCTGGAGGTTGAACTAGTTAAGGAACTAGTTAAGCCACACTAAGCTTGACCCAGCCCTGTTTTTTTACTTCCACATATCACTTTAAAAATGTCACAACTTTTCCTTCATTTTCCTTCAAAACCACAAAAATTGACCAAAAAAAATGTCTGTGTTCCTTACCCTGAAGAATAGATGTTTCTTGACCTCCTCTGCATCTTTCTCTCCTGCTCCAAGCCGCCTCTCTGGACTCCTCCTCAAAAGCTGAGCACGGGGAGAAGCAAAGACGAGAGCATAAATAAGACGACACATTTCCTCCGAGCAAACTGCTGATCTGCTCCGATATTTCACTTCATAGTGAGGAGGGACATACTAGCAGAGTTTGCACTTTTTTAAGTTGCTTAAACTAAATCATTCAAGACAGTGTTGTTTTCGTTGATGTTGACAAAAATATTTCGTCAACATCATCAACGAAAACAACACTGCAGAATATATGTTAAGCGTTTGACTGACGAAATGCTCATGAATTTCGCAACTCTGTCCGTCGTCCACCACGAACGTTTTCATCTAGTCTAGTCTCGTCACATTTTAGTCATCTAAGACTATGTTTAGCTCGTCAACGTCACGTCTTCGTCGTGGAAAAACAACACTGATTCAAGACTGATTTCTGGATTTGTCTACACACCCTCCTCATGATGGAGATGGCCTCTGTTGAGAGGAATCGTGGGTAGCGAACTTCATCGTTGACAATACTGTCAAATACCTCCTCCTCATCATCACCGGGGAAGGGCGACTGAAACGAGAGGAGCCACAGTGAAAGAAGGAAAACCATGACAACCGCTGCAGATACTCAATGAGATTCAGCATCAATCAACAGCACGTGATCTTTCCACTCAGTCTTTCACTCTTTGTCGAACGTGCGCTCACCTCTCCGACCAGCATCTCAAAGATGAGGACGCCCAGCCCCCACCAGTCCACAGCACGAGTGTATGACGTTTCAGTCAGAACCTCAGGAGCCAGAAACTCAGGTGTGCCGCAAAATGTGCTGGTTCGATCCCTGAAGCCCATTCCTGAAAACGACAGAGAGAGGCTCTCTGATGAGGAACAGGAACTCCAAACAAGCCGATCAATGTCTGTGAGGAAATCTGTCACCACTGCTGGGAGACTGTTCAGGGTGACATTTCTCTTCATTTAGAAGCTTTCTTTTGTTGGTGTGGAGAAGCTTTTGCAATGTTTCTGTCTGATCTTAAAATACAACAAATTTACTTAAAGCTATGGTCTACTATTTGGAAGCTTGGTACTTATTGATAACATCGTTTATAAGGTCGTTATGGTCCTATGGTCCGATCTACGCAATATAAAGATCAAAAGCCGTAACCCTGGCAGTTCGCAGTGGTCCATGAGTCCATCCAATCCCCTGCCTCCCCTGCTCCGCACCATCCCGCCCATGGTCCCGCCTCCTCCCCACTACCCCCCTCACGTACATGTGATTAGCGAGCTGCACATCTACTGAAGCATAATGGAGCCGGAGAAGACAAACACCGAAACCAGGAGGTCGCTTCTGTTACCCTCCACATCAAAGGGAAGGAAACGGAAAAGTTTCGAGGAAAAGGCTGAGAGTCTCTATCGGAGAAACGTACGACCGGTGGAAAAAGCTGCAGAAGGATTTGGGACTGAAAACTGGCGCTGAGACAGCCGTAATTTTTTTGAACAGGTAACTACTTTGTTTACTCTGGTTAGTCTGTGCCTAAACTGGCTAATGACTTAAAGTTGTTGGTCGGAACAGGTCGGCTCTCTTAATAGATTTTAGCATAAGTTAGCCATGCATCTTTAGCATTGTAAACTGAGCTGACGAAGACACGCTGAGAAAGGTAAAGCCTCGCCCACAATCGGCTCTGCTCTGACCAGCTAGCAGTAGCGACGCCAGACCCGCTTCGCTCGCTAATATATGGTTTTGATCGCGCCGGTCAAATTGATATTTTCTGCCGGCCGGCTTCTTGCTCTATCGGAAGGGGCGTGTTGTTAGGAGGCGACACAAGCTGGTGGGGCGGGATCGGAGGGGAGGGGTGAGTGAAGGGGGGGGGGGCTGAGTTTTTCAAATCTGTCTAAACAGCCAAACTGGTTTTCAGATCGTAGACCATAGCTTTAAATGTAATTTTCCAATTTACCTTCTTTACAAAGCCCAAAATCAGCGATCTTCACGTAGCCCTCTGTGTCCAGGAGCAGGTTATCCAGCTTCAAATCTCTGCATCAAAATGAAAGTTTCAATAAGATGATGATCTTACAGATTAGAAGCTGTTCAGAGTGACCTTTTCAAACCTCTCACCTGTATACAATCTTGTGTTCATGTAGGAACTGTAACCCCAACACCACACAGGCGGCATAAAATCTGCATGAACACAAACAACAGTAGACAAATGAGTTTTACAAGAGATCAAAAGAAAAAAAAGGCGAAAAGGAAAGCAGTTTGTCGATGAGTCAAAGTCTCTGTGTTCACTCACACAGCCCTGGGCTCAGAGAAAACATCTGCGTGGATGTGCATCATAAGGTCTCCTCCCGCTGCGTACTCCATGACAAAACAAACATGCTCCTGTGTCTGGAAACATGCAAACAGGTTGACCAGGAACGGGTGGCGGACACTGTTGACTGTTTCAAAAATCCTCTTCTCGCACATCAGACTGTCAAGAAAGACAAAGAGAGTTAGCTTTCTAGTTTTTTTCCCCCCACATCAGCAATTGCCAGATTCCCCTGAAGCAGCGAGAGTGGAGAAGAAGCTTTAACATTTACCTGTCCACTTCATCTCGAGCAACAATGTCTCCTTTCTTCAAAGCTTTGATAGCAAACATTTCTCCGGTGCTTTTATACTCTGCTAACAACACCTGAGGAGAGGCACACACACGTAAGAGATCATTTATACAAACTCATCCTCAGATTTCTGTCTGCTTTGTCTTATTGGACAAAAATCATCAGACAAATATACGGCACAACTGATCTGCAACCTTCTTAATAATTAACCAACAGTTTATGAGCAAAAATACAGCAGCTACTTTGAGTACTGTCTTTGATGTATAAACCTATAATGGTTTTTTTTAAGATGACCTAAGACATTAATCTTAGATAACTTCATTTGTTTTTAGTTATCATTGGTGATATTTTAAATATTATCTCATATCTCGTATTTTTATCCTTTTAAGCTGTTCACTCTTTTTAACGATTGTTTCAGGTTTTTTATTTATCCTGTCTTATGACTTTAATTTTCAGTTTTAACTCCAGCGTTTCTTTAGGGGGGTCCTCCACACTGGGAGCTGTGTCTGGGGTGCTGCTGGGGGTGCTGTCCCTGGGTCCCTTTGGCTTGGCTGGCTGTTGTCTGTCGGGGTTGGGGGGCCTGGGCGCTGGTGCCCCCAGTGGCACAGCCTGTGACTCCTCCCAGTGTGGATGGCCCCAAAGATGGCGCTTCTTCAACCCTCAGTGTCATGCCATGTCTCCCTAATGTCAGTAGTGAGAGGGTGCAGGTGCATGTGCGTGTGTGTGTGGTATAGAGGGTGGGAGGGAGGGGCTTTATTTGTAATATTTTTTTCTATATTTCTGTCTTTTTTTTTTCTTCTTTTCTTTCTCTCTTCAAACAAGTTGTTAAATGGTTATGGTTTGGACAAATCAATTTGAAAGTGTTTGTTTATGAATGCATTTATTTTATTATCTTTGTGTATTTTGTGAATCGGGGCGGTGGATATTTAGATGCTGTTTAGATGATATTTTCAGGTGTTTTAATAGTGAGCTGTATAGATTTTAAAATACTGATCTTTTTGTACTGCTATTAGGGTATTTTAATTGAATTATTCATTGATTTCAAATGTACAGTATAGCAAAGCATACCTTTCCAAAGTGCCCACGTCCGAGAACAGCCACACATTTGAAGTCCTGGAGGCTGAAGTGGAACTGCTCTTCATCCCTGAGAAAATAGTCAGAGTTTACATTAGAAAGCACTGTTGGGACACAGAGACACACCTGCACTAAATACAGAAGAAACCAGCAACAGAGATCTCAGTTCACCTCCACGATTCACAGCCAGGGGGCAGTGTTAACAGACATGTTTCTATCTCAGCTCCAAATAACACTTCCCTCTCCAAACGTTAAAATTGAAAACTGTGGCAGAAACAAAAACAATGATGGTGAAAGCAAACATGCTTTATTATTGATCCTAACAGTATCAAAATTAAGATTATTATATGATTATTATTATCAAAGGCCTTAACATAACTTATTTAACTTTTGAGTTGATTTAATGGACCTCATTTCAAACGGGTGAAGCACTTCAACATGAACACACTCAATGAAGAAGGAGGTGAACTTTATTGATCCCCAAAGGTTAAATTTCGAAGCTCTCCTACCTTATCTCTGAGTCTTTCTGGAAGGCGATGAGCTCCAGGTCTGGATGCTGGATCTCATGCTCCACCACTCTGTCCAGGTCCGGCTTCACCGCTATGCTGTTCCTCTTGTTCAAGAAGTCGAAGGAGGCAAGTGCATCCTGCAGAGAGGGGACGCAGAGCAGGGGGAGGGTTACTGGAAGATCAGAGTTACATCTGGAGTAAGTTGATAAAGTTTTGAAAGTTTTTTCTGATAAATAAGTGTGTAGTACAACATCAAAAGCATGATGAATAATCAGAAGGAGGGTGTGGTCTCATCTACATTTGGATTCTTCAAAATTTTGTCTGAGGTCAGTTTGTAAGAAACCTTTTTTTGTCCCGTTTGACTCCTCCTGAATCTGCTCTGACTAAACAGTAGGAATATTGACACTACATGCCATATCCAGTCGCTGAAATCTGAGCGTCATGTAAATATCATCTGAAACTATCTTGATTTTTGACCCTATAACTTTGGCATGCTTCACAAGCTCAATGCCACCACAGAAACATGGACTCATTTTGATTTAGATCTATAACTCATAAAAAACGGCACCTGCACCTCCTCCTTGTTGGGCATTTTGTCCTGCACCAGAGGTTCCCGGATGTTGTCAGGTGCCGGGTAATGTTTGGGTCCTGGGGTGGGCTCTTTGTCAAAGTCCAGCTTGGTCACCAGTGGGTCACTATATATGAACAGATGTACATAACGGCTTGATCAGTGCCATGTCCAGTTCTCCACCTTATCGAGTGTGTATCAGTTGATGAGTACCTGCTGGGTGTGGGTGAACCGGGCAGGCTGCTGGGCCCGGTGTCAGCCGCCTGCGGGCTGAACGAGGTGGTGCTGACGGTCGGTATGGCTCTCCTCACCAAGCGGCCCCATGTGGCGATGTTGATGTTCATCTGAGGGGCTCGCAGGAAGGTTTTACCTAATAACCAAGACACATAAGAGACACATGAGGAGGAGAGGAAGAAGAGCAAGGGGGGATTATGAATTCTAAGAGAAAAATTAGAGCATGAGTGTGGAGATCTAAAAACAATCTCATCTTTTCTTAACCCAGCTTGCAGCAGTTTAGCCTTAATTTGAAAAAAAAGAATCCCTTTTAACCTTGTTTTTAAAACATTTATGTTCTGTTCGAGATTTTGATTTTTGACTCACCTTGCTGCTTTGAGAAAATTTTCTTTTGTCGCTGCAGTTTTGGTCGTCTTTCAATGACAGGATTGAAAAATGTAACCTAAAAAAGGAAAAAAAAACTATTATTAAGAAAACCAAAGACACAGCTGGTGTAACTACACTCAAGGTCCTCTCCAACTTGTCATCAGTGTGAATGGTATAGTGCATGTACCTCCGCAAACAGCATCCCTTGTGGCTCGAGGTACAGACACATCCCATGACGCTGGTTGTCCAGGAAGTCCTCCAACCGCAAGAACTTCAGAGCACAGAGGGAACGCCAATCACGCCAGTACACCGAGATCTCCAGCTCACGAGACTATGATTAAAATACATGTACAACACTTAATAAGCCACACACCTGTAGGTTAGTATCAGAAATGTGTGTGTGTGTGTGTGTGTGTGTGAGGGTGTTACCCGGTCCAGCTCCAATGTAAACTTCTGGTCCCAGGCCTGGTTACTGACTGGCCGCCAGCTGGTCTGTCCGACTACTGTGTTGTCAAGCTTCAATACTGCGCTGATCTCATCTGAGGACACAAACATGTCCTGATTGTGACTTCAAAACTAACTTCCCTTGAATAAACAGATTTCCCAGGTAACTTTGGTGAAGCTGACCCTAATCACTGAATTATTCTTCACTTATCTCCCAACGTTGTACGCAGTCAGGTGAACTTACTGGAAAGCTCCTCGCTCTTTGTCAGGTTCCGTGAACTCACGCCGCGATTTCGGTTTGCTCGACTGATGAAGGATGAGCGCGTCTCGCTCGGGCTCCAGCCCGGCAGTGGGACAGATGCAGCTTTGGAACGACCCGGGACATTTTCCAGAAGGTCCTGACAGCCCATAAGCCTGACGTCTAACGTGCCTGGAAATGAGAAAATTAATCAATCAATCAATCAATCAGTCTTTATTTTATAGCACTCTCATACACAACCATGTAACACAAAGTGCTTTAAAAGGGAAATAAAAGAAACAAAGAATACCAGAATCTACCCCAACCCAACCCCTCATTCCCACCCCAAGATCTACGCACAACAGACACACGTATTAAAACGCATTAAGTTGAACAGGGCTCGATTTCATAGAAACAGGAATGTCAAACTGAGGAAACATCATTTTAAAATTCAAGGTTACATTAAAATTCAAAAACAAAGTAACATAGAATGAAATTTAAGAAATAATAAATAAAATGAAATAAAAACAACAGTAAAAGATACTAGAATAAGAGCACCAAAATAGCTCAATAAAAGACGATTCTGTCATTAAAACTAGAAAGAGATAAATGCTAAAACACTTAAGACAAAGTTAATGATATAAAATTTTGTTAAAAGCAGGACTAAAAAGGCACGTTTTGAGTTTGATTTTGAGAAACAATAATTCACATCCAGAAATCACATGATCTGAGGCGACTCAGTTATATTGAACATTTTATACTTTCATCCTTTTACAGATGAGGTTCATTCTTTTCTTTTTGCTGCTTTGCTATGTTGGGATTATTTACTGAGACTTGTATACAGTTACATAATAACCAAAAAGACCCTTAATCCACAATAGTAAAGACAGACTTCATCAAGGCTTTCATTAGTTTTCACTCTGAACATAAATGATGTTCTAAAAATGGAAAATAAATGTATTGCAGTCACGACCGGGGTTGTTTCAGAAGCAACAAGAGGGGACAAAGACCTCTTGTTGCATTCCTGGAGGATGGAGAATGAGCTAACCTACTAGAAAGCAAAGCCTGGGCCTCTTGGGTTTTTTTGGGGGGTTGAAAAGAACCTTAATTCTGGTACAGGCCAAAGTACAACATCTTCACAACAAAACAAAAACAGAGGATTTCCAGGAAGTGTAGGGAATTACGCTGGAGGAATGTCTTTTTAAAAAAAATTTAACCTATTACAAAAAATTAACAATAAAAAAAAAAACATACACCCTTGTAATGTTGAGGATACTGTGACAAACCTCAGACACAAATCGTATTTTTCTTTGATGTTAAAACACTGTGAAAAGTTTTGTGATGGCTAAGAGACGTTTCTGGGGATCTCAGGGTTATGAAAACAGCAGGAGAAGCAGTTAAAAGCTACCTGCAGCCTTTTGAAACAGAATCTCTCAGACATAAACAACTGCAGGACAGAGTCAGGGGGAGATGACTGTTTCCTCTATCGTATATTGGAGAAAACAAACTTGAGGATCACAACACAGACACTGCTGGGCTTCTGTGATTGGCTGTCATTTCATTTTTTAATCAAACGTTTTACTGTTTTTAAAAACAAATAAATACGAATGTTTACCTGTGAGTGCGGCGGGTTTGGTCACGGTGCTGTACTGGTTCTGTGTGGAGATGATGCTGGATCTGGGACTGAGAGCTGGTGAGGACAGCAGGGACAGCTCCTCGATGATGCTGATGCTGCGAGGGTGGTTTTTCGGCAGCTCGTTTAGGCGCTGCTCCAGGGAATATCGCAGCAGGTCGAGCTTTTGACTGGACTCGTTGAAACGAGCCTGGGCCTGGAGAGGAGAGCGAGGAGGAAGGAAAGAGAATGAGTGACCGAGGATTTGAAAGAGAGACACAATTATAATGTGGTCCATTTTGGTGTTGCTAGAGCACAGCTGCAGTCAACAGTTTGATGTTAGAATCCATAGAGAGCGGAAGAGTTTCACGTAAACATAAACAAGCTCAGAAGAACACCACGGAAACATCTACCTCTGAATGTGCTCGTTTTTCCGTGACTTTGCCAGAGCCCAGGAGCTTCATGACGTTCTTGGCTCCCTCGGCTACAGCAGACTCTATCTTTGCGTGGTGACACAGCTCCTCCACCCGAAGGTCCAGCGGGCTGATGATGGGCTTGTCTGTGGGGTGGGGGCATTGTTCTTAGGTTGAGGTGTGTTTTGTGTGCTTCCTTGTGAAACTGTAGAGTAAACCTGATTTACTGTTAGGTGGAGACTAAACTCAAGGGAGGGCTCACCCATCACATCATTGCTCTCGAAGCTCAGCTCGCTGGCCTGGCTGGCTTTCAGGATCTGCATCCTGATGAACTCGATCTTTGTCTTGCTGTCCTGGAGCATCTGTTGGGCAGTGGCTAACAACTTACGATCCTATGAACAAAAACACAGATGGAACAATCACTGACTGTGTCAGGAAAGTAACTCAATACAAACCCATTTTAATACACATTTAACAACCTTTAAGGGAAACAGCAATCTTACTTCCAGGTTAAAAACAAGAAGGAGATTGAAACAACTTTATCACAATCCTTCGTCACTTATTGTGTTTTGTTGTTATATCACAAACAGCCAGGATGCTGCTTCATGCCCTTAATAGGAGCTAAAGCACCAGTGACCACACGGAAGGTCTTATCCATGAAAAAATAGACGGTGGAATCTCATTGTGTGTTGTAGCCGTTGACCCTCTCACACTTGCAAACACACACACACAAACACACATTAACACAGACACGCACTCGTACGGCGAAGTAAGCAAACTCCACCCAGAATTCCTCTGAAGTTTAAATCCTGGTTGTCGCCGCGTTCAGGAAAAGACCTCCGTCCAGCAGGCATTTCCTCTCTGACATCAGGACAAGACTATTTCCAACTGGAAGGTGCCTCTATTTGTCTGTCTGTCTGTCTGATGGCAGAGGTCACTTACAAAACACTACACCCCCCCTGCCCCCGGTCGGTCCACTTATTGTACACTAAGTTGAATAAGAATGGGTACCCTGTATTTGTATGTGACTGGGTCAACTTCAGGGACTTGAAGGGTGCTTGGTCTAATATAAAATCAGATGCAATATCAAGATGAACAAACTTAAAATAGTTCTAAAGAGGAAGGATGGGTTTGATCCTGGGATGAAGCTAGGGCGATAGAAACTGGAGGTACACAGCTGAAAATGAAAGTGCCTGTTTAAATGCACCGTCTACAATTTTGTTACTTCTGTTCTCTTCCTCAACGAAATAAAGACATCTCTTACTTTTAAGTGAGTTGAAAAAGCAAAGTTTGGCACCTTTGGAGGGCCAGACTACCTCCAGAGTCTCAGACGTGATACCAGCTAAGCTAACTAGCTGCTCAATATGAACACTAGGGGTGGGAGAAAAAAATCGATACAGCATAGTATCTCAATATTTTGTCTGGTGATATATCGTATCATCTCATTTACCAAGTTCTGATTTTTCAAATTAACTGCCAATATGAAGTCAACTCTATGATAATGGAAAAAAAAATCAACTGTTTGTCCAGTGAGGTTAGCAGAGGTGACATCATAGAGCAGGTGAAAGTTAGTGCAACAAATATATAAAAGGTTTGCAAGATGTACGACATGAAAATAAAATACTGTGTAAATAAGACAAACAGAAAGGGAAGCCAAATGCTAAACTAGCTAAACAGGTATAAATCGCAATATATCGTGTCGCAATACCCACTGTATCGCAAAATGTTAAAAATTGTAATAACATCGTATCGTGGACCAAGTATCGTGATAATATCGTATCATTGACCAAGTATCGTGATAACATCTTATCCTGGACCAAGTATCGTAATAACATTGTATCGTTGACCAAGTATCGTGATAATATCATATTGTGGACCAAGTATCGTGATAATATCGTATCGTGGAGCCACTAGTGATTCCCACCCCTTATGAACACACATTAATCTAGCAGACATGACAGTCACACTGATCTCTCCACACAGTAACACTAAGTAAGTGTATCATCCATAGAGTCGAAGTCCACTTAAAGGTATGAGATACTGGACTGCACTCATACCTTACATATCAACAGACACTCAGTGGATCTGATAGACCTGAAAGCCGACACTCCACTGAACCTTTTACTACAAAGTAGCTTCAATTACCACGAACACAACAGACCAAGATGAGCATGACCAGCTCAGCCCTCCAGCTGCTATTAGTCCTGGTGACTTGTATGTGCACACACACACAATCACACACACACACACATACAATCACACACACACACGCACAACACCCAACTAAATTACAGTGTTTCTCTCTGTAAGCTTTAGAGGAGCCACATGGACTGTAAGAGCTCTGCACACATGACACACAGTATGTGTCAGCGCCTTCTCATGTTTCCTCCTCCCCTACAGTGAGGCAGTAAAAGCAAACCCAGCATGCATCACTACACCAGCTGTGGACTGAATACTGGTTACAAACTTTCTTATTAAAATCATTTGATATGATTTAAACTCAGGTAGCTTTCTCATAATAACTCTTATTCTCCTTAGAATTAAATAAGAAGTGGTTAAGATGAGTCCTTCAACTCATGGCTTGAGATGAGATGTTTGTTAAGATTTCCAGGATGAAAAAAAAAGATAACTCTGCAAACGTGGAGAAAGAAGCAAATTCATCTGATCAGAGAGGTGTCATCTTTGAGGTGAGACAACACATTTGGATACTATGTTTAAGGTTTTTTTTAGGTCCCTCATTTCATTTAAAAAAGAAGAGCTGCAATGACTCTAGTTTTAAAAAAAAATCCTTCTTGATTTTTTGTCATGTTGTTTCAAAAATGATGTAACTGTATGTAACCTCTTTAAAAGGTCCTAAATGACATTTTTCTATTGGTTTTAATATTTTCCCTTAAACATTTGGATTGACGCAAGTGTACACCCCGTTTTTAATTGGATACAAGAAATTTTACTGACAACACCTTACAGCCAGACAATCTCAAACAGTGGCTTCTGACTAGGGCTCGACCGATTTATCGGCTAGCCAATTAAATCGGCCAATTTTAGCCCATTTGACACTAATCAGTAATCAGCCAAAATGATGCCGATACCTAATAATCCGTATCGGCATCGGGCCCCAAAAAATCCTTATCGGTCGGGCCCTACTTCTGACTTCTTGTAATCAAGGTAAACCTGAAATTATAGGCGATCATTCAAAATGTTTTCTTTTTCAGGAAGCTTATGAGCCACAAGGATCAGAAAACTGATGCCCGTTGTATTAAGTGAGAGATTAAACTAAAAAGTGAGCGCATGTCAGACAGAAATGAAACCAGCACCCTCTGATTGCTCAGGATGTTTGTATACCAGCGCAGTAATCCAGAGCTAAACCAGGAAGTTGTTTCATAAACTGAATCTGTTCTTTTAGGGCTGAACTTTGCTGTTTATCTTGGTTTTCTCAACTAGTTAAATCTGTGATACATCTGCCTCGCTCCTGTAGATACACTGACAGTCACGTGACCCCTCCCTTTCTCCCCTCACTTCCTGACACCTACCTTGGAGGGTCCATTGGAGTACATGAGAATCATGTTTTCTGCTCCCTGCTTGACTTTGAGCTCGATGTCATTCTGTCTTTTCAGGGCGGCCAGGCGGCTGCTGCTTGTGCACATTCTCGCCTCACTGTTGGGGGTATCAGGGGTCAAAGGGCAATCTGAGAGAAGAGGAAAAAAAAAGTACATTACCCTCTTACTGATATATGACTCTGCATGTGTTACTGAAGTTTGTCACAAAAATACACTGACTGTAAACAGTAACTCAGCATGTGAGTGCTATTTTTGGCTGCCAGCCATTTTGGAGTGAGATAAACAATCCTGACGACGCTCAGTGAAATGACCTATCACTGTTTACAGCCACACGCCGGGCAGCAGCCTCAGAAGTTGTACAATAGATCCAGAGAGGGCTAATGAACAGTTTTGTTATTACAAGACTCAGGTTAACAACATTGAAGTTTAAGATTGATGTGTGGTGTTAGGGAGGGTCTTCTATAAGACCAGATCTGTCCTCTACAATCACACTTTTTAGGCTCCATTATTCAGACACAGGCAATTAAAACATGTGATCATAAAACATCAGAGCCTGAATCAGCTGACACAAATCACAAATAGAAAGCATCACAGTGACAATCTCTGGATGTTCTGCGGTTAGCTGTCCCCAAAGTAAGAACTGAACTGGGCAAGAAGGGTTTTAGGTTTTCAAACTACAGTCTGAACTTTGCCTTCAAGCTCTTGTGACACTAAATGAATTGAAAGCTATGGTGAAATGATTTCAATCCACCTCATCTGTGTGTAAATGTTTTATGTGAGATTGTTTTAAAGTTGAGATGTTGTGAATATTATCTATTGTAGGAACTACGCTGCTGCCCTCTTGGCCACGTCTCCCTTGTAAAAGAGATTTGTGATCTCAGTGGGACTAACCTGGTTAAATAAAGGCTAAATTAAAAAAAAAAAAAAGATCAAAATCATTCCTGTGACTCTGATGGTTCAAATTCATTTTCGGTTTCTCTCTCCTGATATCTCACAAAACTTCTACAGCAGAAGGAAACCCTACAGCCATCTCTACTTTAAGTCACTGGAAATAAACAAAGAAAAAAAAGGGAACAAGAGTGAACTTGCCGACAACTATTACAGTAATGGTGACATAACCATCTATGCAAATGTGGTCAAGACAATGTCGATAAGACAGAATCACATCAGTGGAAATCCAGATTTTATTTGGAGTTATGCTCGCTGGTTAGAAACCTAATGCAGTCTGGACAACCAGACAATACTTGACATGGTGTTAAAGCTGGGTTAAGCATCCAGGATTTCTGCTTACTAGAAGTTAAGTTTATTTGTAGTTATTAACTGCATCTCTGGACACACAATGTGAATACAAAACAAGTGTCCTCGTGTCCTCTAACCCCTGACCGCAAATCTAGGCGATGAGCTCATTGTTTTCTTGAGTTTTTTTTTTTTTTTTTTTGTCAAGTCTGGACAAGAAGGGCAGAGAGAAAAACCCCTCCCCACACTGATCACAGCAGCAGAGCATGAAAAATTATCACATACACACGTGAGGTGGGCAAAAAAACCTGCCTAACTTCTCCTGACTTGACATGCAAGTTTAGTTTCTGTGTGTCATAAAGGGGACTCCGCTTGATAAATTCCTGACAGAGAGACTCATCCAAAGAAAGAAAAAAAGGGACTTTTTCTCATGGGAACTTTAGATTGATCTATTCTTAAAATATCAGAATTTATATAAAATAAAAAAAATTAGCCTCAACAAAAACGGATTTCTCTGAGGGTGAAAGCCTGACTGAGTTTAGAAGAAGTAACACTAATGATGAGGAAAATCACTTCTTTTGAGAGATTAAAAAAACACACAACAGCAGGTGGGTCTGTGATTCATCACAAGATCCCTCTGAACACCTGCAGGATATGGGCAAAACTCTGAGAGTCTTTGAACTGAAGGCTTTAAATGATTCATTTAATGACCCTTAATAAGCCGAGGGCATCAACGCCGATCTCTCTGATGGGGGAGGAAATTCATTTTCTTGGAGCAAACCACACACACATAGAAACTCACTTACAAAAACAATGGGAGCAGCAGAGCTACAAGAAAAATCAGAGCGGGCTCTTGCTGGATCAGCTGTGAAAAAAAAGAAGTGGAGCAAAGTGTGAATTTTAACTGGAGCTCGAGGCAAAACTGACTCTGGCGCTCATATTGCGTAAGAGGAGTTTGTGCTGTCACAGCTGCTGCACAAAGATCACGTTAGGTCAGTGTCATAAGAAAGAGACACACATGCAAAACGGCTGCTTAGGTCATCCACTCGACGTGGTGTTTCCTCTCCGCGTTGGAGGGGTTTGTTTGGTCAAGGTTGCATCGAGCCAAGAATTCAAGCACCGGGCCCCTCCCTCCCAGCGTGGTTCAGCCCGCGCTCGACCAGAGGACCAGATACCAAGCTACTGAATAGCTGCGGGGCTGATGTCACAGCTGGATGGCTGACAGGGGGAACCCTCCCTCAGATTAACCCCGTGTGTTTATCTGATGAGAAGGCAAAAAAGGAATGTGCTAACAATCCTCTCCAAATAATTACATCATGATCGGGAGAGCTGGACCTAAAAGTAGCACTGGGAGGGGTTCAGATAGAACATGAAAGCTGCTGGAGAAGAGCACCATGTCGAGATTTGTAGTCTTAGGGCAAGTCTCTTCGTGAGTGAGATCATAGACATATCTGCTGCTCCCAGATGCCGCCCGAGAGTGACTTCGTCCGTTTGCTGCCTCAGCCGAGAGGCGGAGAATAACCAGACCCCCTCTCAACTTTCACAGCACGACTCTTTCTTACTCATCCAGGAGTTAACAGTCATCACTCGGATTTTAATAAGTGTGTCTCATGACCACAAAGCTGACCTGGCCTCAGTCCCTTGCCATCATTTTGCAACAGGCAGCGACATTCCACTGGCGTCGCATCACTTAAAAAAAGAAAGCCTTCGTTCATCAGATAAAGAGTCACCGAGTCAGGCTAAATTTGTTCCCACTTAAGATAACCATTAACCAAGACAGCCTCCCTTCCCTTCTCCAGCAGACGCGCACACACACACACACACACACACACACACACACACACACACACAGATCCATCCTCCCCTACTTCCTAATGTCAGACAGACTGGGGGGATGTGATGCTAACACGCGGACAAATGCCATTCCTTCTCTTCCTGAATTCACTCGCCGCCGACAAACACTACACTGATGGGGCAAATACTGTAACAAAAAACGAACGTACACGGCCGTTGTGGACAAACGCACAGGAGCAGGCTTTCAACGGCCGTGGAGGGGAACAATCGACAGCTCATTGTAGCCGTTGGTGGAATGTGGAATGTAACAATGTCAGCCTCTGGAGAGTGAGTCACCTCCAAACACTCAATGAGCTCTGTGTGTGTGTTTGTGTGCTCGTATAGGTGCTGCTGTGACACTATGTCCACTCGAGTATTTACCAAACGATACTTCTGCAGCTGCAGGAGCGAGTATGACAGTCACATCTGAAACTGGAGTTAGGAGAAGGTTGTTTTATGATATTATGCTGAGGCAGAATCACAATTCAACTGTCTGCTTAGATCAGATATCCCTGCAAAAACTTTTAGGAGTGAGCAAATAAGGAAACACAACCTCAAGGACAAACAGAGCAGAAGCTACCCAATCACACATAAAATGAACAAACTGTAAAGTATAAAGGAAATGATTCTTATCTGTATTTATATACAACATCTTTATCAACATATACAACCCTGTTCCTGAACAGGAACAACGTTGCTGCAGTTTATGCCCAACAGCAGGGGTGTCCCAATACAACTTTTTGACTTCCGATACAATACCGATATTGTAGCCTTCAATATTGACCGATACCAATATTGATCAGATATTGGCACAGTTTTTCACTCAGCTGCAATGTCTTATTCAGACTTCAACAAGAAAAATACTACCACACGGCCAACATCACTCTTAAGGTCCTTACACACTGGGACAGTTTTGTTTGACGTTTTGTTTGAACTTTTATCTGTGCTAACGTAAGCTAACTTACTAACTAAGCTAACTCACTAACCTGCATGTTTCCCTGCTCCAACACACCTGACTCAAATAATCAGCTCGTTATTAAGCCATTACAGAGCTTGATAACGAGCTAATCATATGAATCAGGTGTGTTGGAGCAGGAAAACATCCAAAACATGCAGGACAGTGGGCCTCGAGGACTGGACTTGAGAACCACTGATTTAGTACACACTGTTGTTGTGATTTTGTGGGCGCAGCTTGCTGGATTAGGGTGCTGCTAGATAGAGGTGCCAGAGCGGAGTCTGAAATGGACTGCTTGTATTGGAGTGCCGATATCTGAGATTTTAGATGCAGGCCAATATAATACGATTTTCTTTTTTTTTTGCCGATATCAGACCAATATCCGATATCACCCCTACCCAACAGTATGAAAAATAAGGTTAAAATTCAGCTATGTAACCCTTGAGCTACAGTTCATCTCCATCCATGCATGCATGCATATCCTACAGGATAAATTTGGAGTGGGAGGTATGCTGGAAACATCTGAAAGACTATCTTGCCTTGAACACAAAAAAACAGCATAATTAAGCTTATGTAAAAAAGGAGAGGTTACATCTAAATCGATTATAGAAAAGATATAACACCACAAAAAAACAGGAATATACTTTGGTAGTTTCTGAGATATCAAATACACAATTTGACTTTTGACCCAAATTAAAAGAACTCAAACGATTGTGTCAGAAAAATGGCAAAACAGGCAGAGGGTAAAAGGAGGCTGAACAGATGAACTAAAGAAGTGTTGGCTCAGAGTAACCCCAGCTGATATGAAGCTTGTAAAGAATCAGGAACAAAGACACTCTGTTTATTTGATATTAGGTGTAACGTTAACTCGCATTAACTGTTTTCACTGCTTCGCTTGTGTTTGCTGAACCCTGTGGGGCGACTCTGCGGTCTGTTACCTAGCAGTTCTTCGGGATCTTTGACCACGATGTGGGCGTTGAGCTCTTGCAGCTCCTGGTGAAGCTCCTCGACCTTCTTGTTGGACTTCTTCAGCATGTTGTCGACATATGCCAGACTCTTCTTGTCTGTTGTGACCTGAGGGAAGAAGAAAAGATGAGACTCTGGAAAATCTGACAGACATTTGAGATAATTTGAAAGAGGAAAATCGATCATTTCGTCCCAGAGTGTTGGTGAAGCGGTCAAAGGGAGAACTACTTGCATTGATTGACTAATGGGTAGTGTAGGACAGTGTTTTTCTAAGACAGAGACACACTATGGATTGGGTCATGACATCATCTTCTTTGATTTTAACTTTTCACTCTGACAAAAACTCTCTCTGTCGATGAAACTGCGTGAAAGACTTGAAAAGCCAATCCAACGGCTCTACCTTTCGTAGGTTCTCAGCTCCTTCTTTGATCTTTAGCTCTTTGCGGATCTCTCGGCGGATCTGCTCCTTGATCTCGTCCAGTTTCTGCTGAACCATGGTGTCTGACAGGTCCAGGTTGTGCCCCAGACCCAGCCGCTCCGCCACCATCTGGCCCCTGGCATCCCCCTGGAGAAAGACAGATGAAGAGAATGAAAAGAGGAGACGAGGAGAAAATTAAGAGGAAGTCAGCAAGGGAGAAGGAGGAGGAAGAGGAGGAGAGGACACAGGGAGGTCAGTAACTCAGTCAACAAACAGACTCAGCAGCAGACTGGCATCTTTAGAGCGGCTCTTAATAAACGACACTTGTCAATACAAACAGTTATAAACCACAGTACTGCGACGACTGCAGGTTTTCCCCCCGACAGTTTGAGCAACTGCTCCAAAATAAAATCCAGTTTTTTCCCCATTTTTATCAAGAGTCAGGGTTTAAATACAGATGACAGAGTGACTGAGGTATTTTGTCTGCAATACCACCTGGGGCCGATAACACAAGTTCAAGAGACGAAGAAGAAAACCACGCACAAGAGTTTCACCAAGCTGGTTATCAACCTGATGAGTCAACGCGGAGTCACTGTGGGTGTGTGTTCACATGAATGAGGGCTGTGTTAGATACACAAGACCAATCACAGTTGAGAACAAGCTTACCGCCAACAATCATTGTGTTTTTTAAACATGGAACAAACCTTATTAGTGAAATATGACAAATTTAACCACATAATCCAGAAAAGAAAACACTTCACAGCTGTGTTTTCAGAATGAAGTCAGAACTGTCAGATGAGAGTAAAACCTCTCCAGTCAATGCACAAATGAAGACTTACAATCGCTTAGCGCTCTCCCATCAATGCACCAAAGATGAAACAACATCTCCTGCTTATTTCCTAAAACCGATTTGTTGCTCAGACTTATTCTTGTGGAGTGTCTGACAGTTTTAGAGGAGATATTTCAGCTGTAGGGAGTTACAAGGAGAAGATACAAATGGGAAAGAAAACATCATTCAAAGTAATAGGTACGCATAATTGTCGGACTTCTCTGATGTTGCTCTTACAAAGGATTAAATCAGAAAAGTAACATCAGTTACTCTGACTTATGTGTAAGATAAAGCATCCTGTCTGTTTCTCACACCCCTTTCCTTTTGATATGTTCACAGAGCTCCATGATCAATAGAAATGATTTATAAGACAGTGGACTTTTCTACAAACTAACCTCTAACCTCCTTATTACCATGGTAACCTACCTTGGTAAGAAGAGAACCACCTTCATATAAGGGGTTGATATTTGTTTTTCACAGGGTTTCTTCGCAAGTATGTAAAGTATGGAAAAGTGTGGAAATAAACTTGATCAATTTCCAGCTCTTACAAAATATGGAAAATGAAAAAAAAAAGTATGGAATAATATTTATGTTTCCAGACTATAACCGCAGTTCTAAAGTACTGTAATAATTCTAAAGATCCTTACACACCAGGACCGACGCAAATACCCAACGCGAAATTACGAAATATTCAGAGGCAAATTTTGACGCGCCTGACTATACACATCAAGCCTGATGAGATTTTGCCACTTTCCGGGGGCAAAAAAGACGCGTCCCGGGTGGAAGCGAGAAAACTGACCCAACAGCAGACTGACTGTTTTTCAGTTCTGATTAGACTCTAGTGTTGAGATGGCTGTCTGTCATGATAGCATGTACTGAGTCGAGGCCAGTACCAGATAAGCACATTAAACTATAATCCATAAACATAAGGTAACAACCGAGACCTAATGGTGCTGTGACAGCAACGCGATTGAGTTTGAGACAGTGAAAGTACATATCTGAACAGGTTAGCTTACAAGCTAAAGTTACTTAGCATAGATTAAAGTTAAAACAAAGACGTTTAGCAAACTGTTTAAGTGCACAAACTATCCTTCAGGTCGTTATCCTTGTAATGTTTGTGTCTTTTATCAAAAAGCACTCTGTTCTCCGAAATGTAAACAGCCAGCCAGTCGGCCATATTGTATATACCGTGAATCTGACTTCGCAACAACACGCAATCTGGTTGATCAGAAGTGGACACACAGTATACAAAACTTAAGAAAAATCAACCATGATACGAAAAATAAATGCTGCAATATCGTAGGATGGGAAAACGTCGATGATGTGAACGCTTGTATTGACAGGATACAGGTTCGAAAAAAATATTGACGTCAGAAATAATCGCACCAAAATGACAGTCCCGGTGTGTAAGGACCTTAAAAAGTCGAGTATGGAAAAGTTTGGCAATTCCAAAGGTGTAGGAACCCTGTTTTCATGAAGTTCCTGGGACTGATAACCGATACTGGGAACCAGAAAAGAAATAAGAAGATTTGGAGTATTACAAACTCCGACACTAAATGTTTGACCACAGTCAAAACTTTCAATGTCACAGGAGTAAACAGTTACCCACTTAAACTCACAGTACAGTTATGTCACACACCCTTCTGCCGCTGTGACGTCAAGCCAATCAAACAGCATTACAGGAGGGACATTGGGTAAAGCAGAGTAATGACTGGAAACAGATCCGGAGGGAAACATGCACACTGTGGAGCCAAAGTCGAACACTTTTAAACTCATTAATTAGCCACCTGTAAAATTTAATACTGATACTACACTAGTTAACTGACCTTGGCCAAAAATCAGCCTCCATAACAGGCCAAGGCCGAGAATCAGTCCTCTGCTCTACTTGGAGTTTCGAAAAACCCCTAAGTTACCCTGATAACCACAACTCTTGCTTTCAAGTACAGACCCCCAATTATGTATTTACTGAGAGTGCAACATTATATGTACCAATTCAAATTAGTCCTACAAGATATTCAGTTCTGCATACATCCCTGTCAGTCTATGAGCATTGACATGTTGTGAGCGTTATCTATCTGAGCTGGAACCTGCTAGTTGGCCTGGTCTGGTTAGTTGAGCTAAATTAACAAAGATTCGTGTCAAACTGTATGATGCTCAACCGGCGCTGATGAGTATGATAAAATAAACAATAGACATACAAGTTTGTTTAAGTGTGGCATACATAACAACATCTTATCAGCTCAATCAAGAACACGTTAAGAAAATTCAGATACAGATGGAATCACATTGTTTACTACTATACCCTGACATAAGTTTTAAGCTCAATGGGCAAATGTTTGTGTCAACCTGTATGTCAACAAAGTCTGACTAAAGTCTGGTATGTCTCTGCAAACATGTCGTCATCTACTACGGCATCATCGGCATGCATTGATCATGAGGAGGAGAGTAAGCCTGTCACTGCTGATACAGACCGTGCTAAAGAAGGGGATGGCTAATGCTGTTGAGTTTATCCTGCAAATATGAAACCGTCTGGTTGAGGACGTACAGGATTAAAGTGTATGACACTTAAGCCTGGACAATCACCCTCTTTACCTGTGCATTTCAGACAGTGTTGTATAAATGAGCCTCTGGTCAGGTCAGGTCAGAGTCTAGGATGGAGCATTAGTCTTTTTTTTTTTGATAGGATCAATTTATTAACTAAATTAAAGCACAAAAACAGAATTAATTTGAATTTTTTCAAGATAAATCACCTGCTTGTTTTCTTGTAATGCACTGAAGAGGTCCAAACATGAGACTTAGAGATCAGAGAGTCCTGCAGCGTGCCCTGACAGTCTCAGGGTCAAGCCAGTGTTGTGGAGTGTTTTGAACTTGAGCCAGCCTGTGTGCGTGGTGTTTAACTGCTGCTGTCACTCAACATTTACCTGCATCCGCAAAGCCGTCACTGTTACTAAAGAGGGATTAGGAGAGACTTCCTGAATGGCCCCAGCTTTAGAGTTGACCATGAATTGAGTGTTGCACCAATGACACTTGTTGATCAAAGAATACACCTGTGATTACCCGAGCATGACTGTGAATAATCTGTTATTGCTTCTTGGGTCTCCGCTACGAAAACATCGTCCAATTTTATTCAAAAGTGGGAAAACATGACCTTTCCAGACACTTTACAATAAACCAAATCATAGAACCTGAACCTGTGAGCAATCATAGCGAACACGATTGATATTATTCAATTTGCCATGCAAAGTTCATGGTCGTTATTGTAGATCCATGAGCTCAGATGTTTTGGAAAAATCTCCGGTGCAAAATGTATAACCTCAAATCAGGACTCCAGATGAAACAAGGAACAAAATGAGTAAAATAAAAAAGCTAAAGCAGAGCTGTGTGTCCTCTAAAAACAGACTCTGTTTAGTTTAAGGGAATGAATTTATTCTATTAATGAAAGGATGGCATAATAAGACGCAGACCAACAAACCTCTGTGATATCACTAGATCTGCACTCAAGCCACCATTTACTTTACTGTCATAGAAAACACTTGCAGTTGATGAGGGGGGGATTATTAGGCAACTGTTTGAAAATGAAAACAGCAAAAGAAAGATCAACACAATAAAAAAAGATCCTCAGATTCTGTCTTTTTTGCTTACCGTCACGTCATCGCTTTCATCCGACTCCATCACTAGATCAGTTGAACAAACCAGTACACGCATGTTCTGCTGCCCAACTAGACTATCATCACATAAACTCCACTCAAGTTTTGCTGCTGAGTAAAAGCAAAAGGATATCCACAGAGGTTAGTTAACACCACAGCTGGCAGAGGCTCTGTCCGAAGCCCCGTTCATTCACTCCGCTTGTATCTCTCATTTTGCACGCTCGCTCTAACACAGACCGTTGACATCAACAAGGAGGATAAACTGTCCGAGCAGCGACGGCCAAATCCCTCTTAGCTTTAACGCTGTGAGGTCAGAGCGGCCCAGAATGGGACCTAATCTTTCTCCAGGGAGAGGCTGAGTCTAAAATTAACCTGAGTTAAAAACAAAACACTGACTGCCCATTGTGCCCCCACGTCCACTCAAGTCTGAGTGACGGGGATGAAGATGAAGTTTCAGGGTGTGTTTGGCACCCAAGTGAACACGTGAGCTAATCAGTTATCAACCTTCAAAGTTTGCGCTCCACCACACCAGGCTGCAGAGCTTCACAATAGGATAAAAACTCGAAGCACAACAGTGAGTCTAAAGGTGAGCACCTGTTAACCTTCAAAGATGGCGAAACTGTAAACAAACAGTAACATGATGTCACTAATGCCAGCTCAGCAGGCAGCCTCCCCAGTCTGTTTCCAATGAAGGATATTGAAAAAAAGAGTGAAGTTGGTGCAAATCTTCTTAGTTTTACCTGCTTTCAAAAACGACCCATGCCCTTCAAGGAGAAACTCTGACCCTAAAATAATCAGAGCTGCTACTTACAAGCAAAGCTCGTGTTCGAGGCAGACGCTTTTAGCTCCCTCTAATCAACTACGCTTCAATCTAATTAATGAACCTGCTTTCTGCAGGCCCTCTCCAGTTTTGAGGTGCTTCTCAAACTGCCAGCATAATGGAATTATAAACCACGGTTAATAACCATTTTGATGAATATGGGAGAAATATACTGGGCATAAATTTGGCGATATTTCACAGCTGTAGCATCCTTGCCTCAAACAAAACCGTGTCTGCTTTCCTCCAAGTGCAGAAACGATTATTCACTCGGCAGCAGCGATCATACGCAGGGGCCATTATACAGGCTGCCATCCGCTAACTCAATTGATCAGGAGACAAGCTGCTTTAGTATCTGGGAGCCTCGGCTTAATAGCTACCTGGAGGAAAATCTGAAATCATCTGCTCTGCTTCTGGCAGACAGATTTATGTTAGACTAATTCATCACGTTAGGTAAGATAAGGGATTTCTATGTGCTCACTCATAACCTTTCCCAGCCTTGGCTAAACCTCCCTCTCTCCTTTATAGGTACTCATTTCAGAGGAAACTATAGTTTGCACATATCCTGGTCCAGAGGCTCCTTGATGACTCATAGGTAAAATGGAGGTCACAACTCCTGGAAGTGCAAGAGCTGTGAGGGGGGGAGAAGTTCTCTTCTTTAGCTCTCTGCTTTGCAAAACTTGTTTGCACTGTAGTGGACTGCCCAGCGTGGCTTAAGGACAGCATGAGGACACCCAAAAGGGCCTATTTTACTGCGCAACAATGCAAGGAAATCCATGAAAGGCCAATCAGATAAGATGGAAATAAATCAGGCTGTAGACCCACAATGTCTGCGCTTCAAGATCAAACACAGGCAGAAAACCCAAAGAAAAGCGAGCAGGCACTCTTTTGCAGGATTGTTTTCACCTTTGGTTTCTCACTGAGTGCAATACTTCCGCGGGTCGCTCTTTTACCTGTAAGAGCCTTGTCAGTTCAGCTGCTTTAATGTATTGCCTTGTCAGGGGGAGTGACGCCACACCAGGACTCAGGACGAGTGAAGGAGGAGTTGTAAGAAAAGGTTTCCACTCTCACTACAATGCGTACAGATTCTGATGGATGGAGGGAGCTTGTGCTTATCAGTGTGGCTTTGCTGCAAGCTGCTTTGTGAAGTGTTTAATGCTTACACTCGATTGGAGACTAGCTTAAACACTTGAGCGACACATTTTGTTCTATATAACAAAAAGTTTAAAAAGCTCCTTATCCATTTAGATGAATGGAAAAGGAGTTGTTTACACTTAGAAACATAAAAAAAAGACTATTAATAGTCATGACAGATTTGAAAAGCGCCAGAAAACTTTGAAATAATTATTGCAAAGCAACGGTTACCTACACATGCTGAGCTTGTTAGAGGGCTCTTCAAGTGCCTGAGACATGAAAGGAAACTGTGAAGTTAAAGCAAACATTAGGTCTGGGCCTCAAGTGTAAGCAGGTTAACTCGCTCTTTAAGCCTGAAAGCTCCTGCAGCAAGAACCCCCATTCACACAATGGGACAATGGAAAAAGTTGAGGGCACTATCCAGCAGACTCAAGCTCTAAATACTGAGCCCTTTCCATTTCTGCACACGGCCTATCTCAGCTTACAACCTGACACCCGGCTGTTTCACCCCACAGCTGGCTGCAGAGTGTTGGCCACAGCCTTTTCTGCTGCCACCAGAAATAGTAACGCAGCCGAACAGACGCAGATCCTACGAACCTTCACACCAGCCTACAACATACCCCACGCTGTGTCGAACTGTAGGTAATGTCTCACACTTCAGAGCACTGTGAACAGTCATTTCTGAACAGGACAGACACTATGATTATTGTATATCCATAAAACATAACGCTGAAACGTAAAAAAAGTGACAGGGCAGTAAAGAGCACTGCAGCACCTGTTGCTCTGCTGATCTAGTTCCCTGGTAAACCCTTGCCTATCACAAATACATTTTTTTCATGGTGACAGCATGACATCCAGAAATTGTGCACGATGTACAAAAATCTACAAGTAATACAGGGCTCGTCAAACTGCTGTTTAACATCTGTCGCTGACAACAAACATAATCCATAATAACAGTCCAAACACCGAGCTTTCTACAGATGACCTCGGCAGTATTGAGCTGAAACAGACAGATCGGCTCGACTTTCCACTTCAGTCCACACATGATAAATGGATGTTAAGGACAGGACACACTTTCAGGTATTAAATTAAATAAAGCCTATCCACGGATTAAGATATACTTCAATGCTAAACCCCAAAGTTTGTCAGTGGATGTTCATCACATATGCATCCAACCTCTGGTTCAAACAATTCACTTTCAGTTATGAAGCTTCATAAAGTTTCCTACTGATTTCCGGTAAGTTAACTGTAGCATGACAAGCTAGCCTAACAAAGGCGGGGACTTAAAAATGCCTGTACTGAAGGAGATCTGTTGATTTATTTTGAATAGGTTACTAACATTGAACCAGTTCCTTAGCGGTTGCACACTCCACTGTTTAAAGCATTAATACTGCTCAAGTATTAAATGTAATAATGTCAAAAGGTTGAAACCATAGACTGTATATAGAATGTATACAGAATGTTTTTAAAAGTTGTTAGGGGGTTCATAATTTCTTTGATTGACACCTGATACAGCCTATTGGCGTTCAGGGATTGCGTAGCTCACCCGGGGGATACCCGGGGCTGTTTGAGCTGAGCGTCATCACAGCAACTCTCCCGCTGAAAGTGCACAACGATCCTGCGCAGCACTGGTTTCAGGAAATGAAGAAAAATCCCAGAAATACCGAGAGCTTTTTGGCTTCGATTCCGTATCCAGGTGGAAAGCGGAACAAAGTTGTCTATACAGTCTATGGTTGAACCATTTTAAGCTCAGGTTTAGTATGCACAGATACAAAAAAACCCTTTAGAAACCAGAATATATCATTCATTATTGTTGTTTTTTCTGTTTGTAATATCTGCATACCGCTTACCCTGTATGGATATTTTACAACTTTGACCACGATATGTCAAAAGATGTCTGAACCAACATAGCATACTGTGTGACTGCTAACATAACCCAATGTTAGTAATGGCTCAGCTCACAGACCCTTTAGTGAAAGCGATAATTTTTATTCTACTTGTTTTTATTCTCAAAAACTCTAGTTTTCAAAACAGCCTTGAAATGCGCAGTTTAGATAATGACAACAATGATTGATTTGCTTTTCTTCCCCCTCTGCTGAGCTTATGAGCAGCTATTAAATGCAAGTTGCGAGCAGTAAATGTAATTTTTTATCATTGCTTTTTAAAACTTAATCAATACCAGGACCTGATTGGAAAATAGTAAATCCAGTCTGGCTAGTTTAGCCGATTCATTGCCTTAAATACAAAGTAAGCTGAGATCTGAATTATCAAATAACTTTAAGAACCCAGCAAAGGAACAGGTGGTCTTGACTGCACCTGTTGAAATCAAATTTAGTTGAACTGAGTCAATGATCTGGAAATTGCTTTATATGTTTCTCTGTGCTCCTATGGTAGAATGTAATGTGCTAAAGTCTGTGTCATCTTTCATATTACTGTGAACAATAAGCCGTTTTGTGATTTGAATGGTTAACAAAACTACCTTGACACAGTGGACAGCTTCAGTCTGTACCAGCCCAAGGGATCAAAGTAATATGACACATCTGAACTAATATTTATTATTACAAGTGTTTTTTGTTAAGTGCTCTAACAGTTTCCCTCCCCCAGTCCTCTCAGTGAATCTGACTAATAATGTATGAGTAATCAGACTTGACTCAGATCCAGTGATTAAGAGAGTATTGATAAAGCAATGATTGATTCGGTGTAAAACGTGATTAAATAGAGTTGTGCATGAGTTTTAGGTATTAGGACACTATCTTGAATAAATAAGTAAGATATAGTCGAGGAATGACGTCGCTCAAGTGAAACCACATTGGTGGTTATGACGATATGAAGATATTAAGACATAAAGGTTAAGCTTACATTTTGGTTCTAGACTTTTTTGTACATCTTTTTTTTTTCATTTACAAAGAAGAATAGACATTTTATGACTTATGGCAACGTTGTGATATGTGTTTTAAGTTCATAGGCACAAGGCAAATGACAAACTTTTCACTTTTTGATTTAATGGAAAAGCTTTCTCACACTGAACACAGCTCAGTCTGCATGAGGACTCTCTATTTTCCAGCGGTAGTGCATGGTAACCTAACGTCAGGCTACAGACCTGTGCGTTAACGTTGAACGGACGTTTCTCTACTGAATTATAACCGCTTTATGTTATTTTAACAGCTGTCCTTCACATAACATGAATAAACACGGTTATTTCCACTTTAAACCGCCGATTTATAACTTTGAAATTTCAGAAGAAGTAACTTTTGATAATTGTTTCCCAGGCCTCAATCCATGGATAATTCCCAGACAACCCTTTGGGAGCTAGCAAAGGCCATTTCCTTACAGTGTATACTGTTTTACTCACAGCGGCTCAAACTAAACAAAAATAATCTGTTTGCTAACTTAAAACTGAAACTCTGGAGAAAGTTTGCGCACTTTTCGCGACAGTTGTCAACTTTTCCTACCTGCACGGAATCGGCGGCCATCTTGGTTTTCGCCTTTGAATCAAATCCTACGGGGAGAGAGGAGGGGAGGTGGAACTCCAAAAACAAGCCTTGTTTTAAGTTTCCCTCTCTGGCGACAAAAAGAAGTGATTATTTTGACCAAATCATCGGTCATCTCGGGTAAATGGGGACTCCCATGTCGTCTTCACACCTCAGTTGTGTGGTCACACCAAGCTAGACGGGTCCTGTGAGGTGGACTGGTGCTCATAAATAAGAAAGCTGGAGCATAAATCTGTCCCAGTGCAGTTGGAGAAAGAGGCGGTGGTTACAGTGGAAGAGTCCGCCCAGAGGAGCTCTACTGCTGCTGCTGCTGCTGCTGCTGCCGCCGCTGGGCTGCTCACTCTCTGCTTGGGACAGTGACTACACATGTGACCCAAAACTTTTCACTGAGTGGGTTTAACCCCAACCAATAACCGAAACTTGTTCGCAAATAAACACTAGATTAGAGAAATTGTATTTTAGATTAGGTTGCATTCAGAGTAAAAAAAAAAAACAACATAAAATATGGGACAATAAGTTTCCAAGTAAACACGTTTACTCACAGCTGGAATAAATCCTTTACTCAAAGTCTTTATCAAAAGATTTCTGATAGGCTACAAGAAAAGAATGCAAGACATTTTTTTTCTCTCAAAACAATTTGAGCGACTAAGCACATCTATCTGTTACCAAAAGTTTTTAAAAATTGCATGAAAAAAGTGTAGAGTTAAAAAGTAAAAATAGTCATAATGATGAGAGACCTCAGCAGTAATGCAATTGCTCTTATTTTTTACAGAAACAAATGTAAAATTTGAATATGAGTATTTATAACAAAACTTTACCTGTATGACTATCAGCAAAATACACTGAAGGAAGATATTTCAAACTGGAAGCAAATGGCTCCTATAAAAACTATGTACTTTATTTGTTTGTTTATTTATTTTCTTTTAGTTATGTTTTAGCAACACAACAAAACAAAATTGAGTGTTTGATTTATTTCACAATTTATTGTGGCTTAAACACTTTATCATATTTTTCAGTTTTTTTTCTATGAAAGTAATTTGCCGTCAGGTATCTGTGATGGGGCTTACATTCATTATACATTGATATGTGCTGGATAAGAAGCTAAACTGCAATTACAATAGATACACTGCTGCATAGCTTTAGCAGTAATAGGCAGAGTAGTGCTTTACTGAGGTAAAAGTATTTTCTATTCTATTGTTTTGTGATCTATAAGCATTAACACAAAGGCAGGAAAGCTGTGTAAGGCAGATATCACTTAAAAAATACTGTTTATTCTTTCAGTGCATCATATTAATTGGTCTATCATAGATGCAAAGGTGGCAAAACAATATAATATCATATCATATCATATCACGTAACATGATATGATATGATATTATACAATACATGACCACATGTTATGGGATATAGGGCACAGTATCCACTGAAGTCTTGCACATACAAAAAGTTAAAGTAGGCATTAAAATAGAAACCTTACATTAAAAAAAAAAAAAATCTCCTCAATATTGTCTTTGCACCACTTTAAACTTCAATTCAGAAAAAAACAAACAGATGTTGCTAAAACTTGCTACCATACCAAAGCAGTGATACAAGCTGAGAGTCACAGTCAATTGTTGCTGAACAAGGAGGAGCTGCTGTCATGAAACCACAAGACCAATGCTTAAGTCTTCTTCACTGGGCCTGGTGTCTGTCTGACATGTCACACCTCAGTGACAAAACAGATCCACAGTGACAAAACAGATCCACAGTGACACAGCCATCACCAGCCTTGTATGTCAGACACTGCATGGCACACTCTGTGTATATAACATGGTGTTTATATTAAATGAACAACAACTGTGTTCAATCATTCAGACCTCAGAATAATGTCTTTAGAATAAAAAGGAGGCATACTGGTATTAAATATGTGGTGTTGTCCTTGCTTTGAATCTGGTCTTGCACCGAATTCTGTTAATTATCAGAATTTGTGACATATTCATACATTTTTGTGTTGCTGCAAATGTTTTATCATTTGCAACATTCTGGCAAGTGTTTGCAAAATTAGTCTCCGAAGACTGCAACATAGAAAGTGATAGTTTGGATTTTATTGATGCTGAGCCAAAACTTAATGCTGAGCACATGATTTAATGTCAATAATAATGACTTATAACTTATATCTTTGAGTTTTTGTGGCTCACTTGAGTTTGGACGGGGTTGTATAGTTCTACTCTCAGTATAAATGCAGTTAAACCATCAGCAGATAGATGTAGGAACAGTCCTCTGGTTTAAAGTTTCTTCTGCACAGTTAATGAACATGGCGGTTGTGAATAAGAACTTTTGATTTGAAATGATTCTTCATCCCTGCATAGAGTGAAAAACCTAGAAACTTGTGCCATTTGTATGAAAACAAAGAAATCAAATAGTTAAATACTCTAGCTACAGTTTGACAGAAAAAGCCTTTTGAGTAGTTTTCGATGAAGTATCTTTCGTTTCAGTCTTTGTCTCAGCTTTTTTGTGTTATTTTCACCCTAATTGTATTGTTTTCTTGTTACTTTGTTGGTGTTCTTCTTGCTTTATGTAAAACACTTTGTGAATATTTAAAGAAGTGGAGGTTTGCAGTATTATTGACCTTGTCTAAAAATAATGCATGAGAGTTTAAACATGCAGTTTGTGGTTTTATGACAGTTTTCCGCAGCAGAGAAATCTGATTTTCCGTTAAAACTGTGAAAACAACAAAAACAACAAAAAAATAAAAATAAGAAGAAAAAAGACCTCCAAAGACTTTCCTCTAAACCCTTAATGCTACCAGTCAAACTTTTAATGAGCAGTCTGTGATCGAAGCTCCAGAGTATAGAGGTGTGGGGGAGTGACACCGTCCATGTTTATCTGGGTCAGGAGGCCAAAAGCAGGAAGCTGGAAGTAGAATACAAATTGAGATTAATGAGGATGAGCACATAGCTGATGACTGACCAGGATTATCTGAGAGCAGGATGAGTAATACAATGTGACAGCACACCCGCATACAAACTTTCTCTGCAACTCCTGCAACTTCTCATAACCAAGTCCTGGTTTAGTTTGTTTGTTTCAATTTTCTTTTGCTGGAAGAAAAGAAAATGCTCATCACATATACCTGCAATCTACGACGTGATAATCCAGCGTGTTATTCTTACAGTTTAGCCTTTACTTATAGTTAAAACAGTCACTTCCACACACCCTGTGAAGCAGTAGCGGACATGCTAGCTCTTTATCTCCCTCTACAGGAAACTAGCCCTGAAATGAACCTGCTTTAACTTTCTCATAGACTGTTACAACACTAATCCCTGCTCTACTGAACATGGTGATTATGTTTTTGGGGAAAAAAAGAATTAATAAAGATCACAAACATTTAGAAATATTTTAAATGTATTTTTTTAGCCAAAAAAAAAAAAAAAAAAAGGGTGAGTACATCCATGGTAGCTGTAATGTTTAATGTACCACATGGCAAAGCTGCAACACAAGAAAAGCTGAGGAAGATAAGGCACAAATAAACAACACAGTCTATTTTAAGATCAAAGTGGGTTTCATACTTCTCTGTATATTCTGTATATTCAAAGACTTGTGTAATTCTGATGAGACTGTGTGTCTGACCAGCCTTTTTTTTGGTCCACTTTTTCACTCTGGTGTAGCAAATACCTTCTCATTAGCATGGCTTGAATGTTTCCAAATGCTTGTTAGCAATTTATAAAGACAAGACCTTTAATTAAGCAAATAAAAGGGCACTAAAGCACAATAACCCTAAAGACAACAAGAGAAAATAAAAAGCCACAGAGGAAAATGAGCAAATCTTGCCTCCAACTAGTAAGAGGGCATATGAAAAAAATAACATTACCAACAACTATACTGATGTAGACAAATTGTCCACATCCATCCTAAAGTAACAAAGGGATTTTTTGTGTCTTTTTTTGCCTTAAAGGAGCAAATACAAAAGGAGGAAGTGGGGCTGCCGTGCATCAAAACTACAACCTCTGGGACATTGGCTATAGTCTCTCTACATGGGGCTCCTGCTGTACTAACTGAGCTAAACCAGCACCTCCGGGTGACTTTTTCAGCAGGCAATATCTTTTTGCTAGTTGTCAAAAACTGAATGAAGTACATCAGCTACATTGTTATACTAAGAGTTGAATGCAAACTAACAGGCTAGCTGACCCCTTATTTGTGCCAATATGTGCTATGCTGACTGGCTGTGGTCTTATTTTGAAGTGACGGTGATAACGATTCTCTAATCCAGGATGGTAAGATGGCATGGTTCTGGAAAAGGCTGGGAGACCTCCCCAAGCAACATTCATATATTCAAATATGGTACTTGTTTGGGTATATAATCAATACTTAAAGTCTACAAATCACAAGTAAATTTAATGAAATTCTAACTGTAACTGTGAAAGAGAGGTATCAGCACAAAAAAGTTGATTTTATAGTTGAACAGACCTGAATGGGAATTAAACTGACTGGAAACACAGTAGGTATTTACAGCAGCAGCATCTTTAATTCACCATCATGTAATAGTTTTCTCACTGTGAGGACAAAAAACCCTCATGAAAAGCTGCACATGTAAGAGTCTTCCATCTAATCATATCAAGAAAGGTATAAAACATACACACCTATCCTGGAAAATATGGTCACAATGATTTTTTATTTCATAAAAACCTCAAAAGTTCTCATTCAAGTCCAATAATACAGCACAGTAGTCAGTTTTTACACTTAAAATCTCTTTAAGTTAGTAGTAGTGGTGAGCATGGGATGTTGTTTCACCATGGAATATGTCACCGTCTTTACATACAAAAAAACAACCATAGTAAAGAGTTAAAACACAACCAAACAGTACAGAGCTCATGATGTTATTTTGGCCAAACTAGAGCCAATCAGGAGTCCAGGTCTGATCAGCTGTCGGGGAATCTTTCACCAAATATGAGGCCCTGTGCACGGACAACCTTTGAAATAAAAGTGTAGGGGAGCGGAGGCCCTGGGGTGCTGCTGGGAGCTCAAGCTGCTGATGAAACTCGATCTTCTCATCCAGTTCTGGTTGCACCAGAATTACATCCGGATTGCTGTCTCAACTGGCCAGATTGTCCTGCAGCCCAGCATTATGTTCTCACTCACAAGTACAAACCAGCCACATAGTCACCAGGAGTCTATCAGTCTTAGTCTCCTTCTGTTTTTCAAGTGTCTTCCTCGCCGATCTCTTCTTTTAAATCTCCTCAGTTTTTTGGGTAGATTTTCTCATAGAAGAAGTTTTGTGCCAGCAGATACAGCTCCCCGTCCTTTTCTCTGACAGCGTGTGCCCTGACAAACTGGAACTGCTCCAGCGCAAACTCATAGAACTCGTTCTCCATCTTCCAGATGGCTGACTGCTGCAGCTTGGCGATCGACTCTTTCGTAGGCGGCTTTTTCTCGCTGGTCTTCCTCAGGTGGGATTTTTTCCCTGCAAGCACAGAGAGGAAGATATAAATGGATTTGAGTACATGAACTCATTGAGTCATCATGTTTATACACATGCAGCATCCCAATTTTAGGTCATCATAGTAGTTTTTTTAATGTGAGGGTGTTTGTAGTAGTTTTTTATGTATTTTTGGTGCTTTTCTTTCACTTTTCTTTAACTCAGGAAATTTAAACTCCTACAAATATTCAGACTCTTCAGAAAATCAGCCCTTGACAGTGAATCATTCTTATCAGATCAACAAGGTCATTTATACAAAGTTTGTTTATTATTTGGCATCCAGGGTGTGGGTGGTGATCAAATTTGGTAAATATAATAAGCAAGCCGCGGAGCTTATAAATGACCAGAGGAGAAAGCTAGGAGTGATTTATCAGAGCTACTGGGAGTTCAATTTTCAGCAGATAAATTATCCACTCTTTAAACAAGTTTGTAATTAAAGGAATAATAAGACTAACATTTTATCCAAGAAAATACCCCTGAATAAAATAAGCTTGGGGTTGAATTAAAAGTTAAAATAGCCTAGCAGTGCTTAAACTTAATGTATTTATCTATTTAAGAGTCATTCAACAAGTTTGGCTCTCACTGGCTTGAAAGTATTTATGTATCAATCAGTATCATACATTGAAATTTGACTAATATTGTTTAACACACTGCTGGAGTTCTCTGTTCATACAACACCTCACAACCCCTTGGTCTATTTTGTTTGGTAATAGCTATCTTAAATTGCAAAGTAATACAGCAGACGTTTAATCCATTAAATAAAAAATAGAATAATTTTGTTGAAATAAGTAGTGGATTACAAGAATCTAAATCATGAGAGCACATAGAAGAGGAAAGTATTATTTTCCACTACAGTTGTTTCTGATGAGATCTTATGATTGGCCTAAAACTATTTTGGTTGCTGGCAGAAGTAGAAAGACCAAGTTGCAGTTTCAGACCATGCCTGTATGTACATGTCTCCTCTCTGCCTGGGGTCGGCACTCTTTTTACTGTCACATGTCTCTTTCTCTCTGCATCATGTCACAGTTGGACACTCTTTTCCCTTCTCTCTGTAGTACAGCTTTGTTAGCAGCAAATGATAGCATTGATTGATTAAATCTATGACAAGATGTATTTTCTTTTCTATTATTTCAGTGAAATTTGATAGTTTGGTTATGTTAAAGGTGTTTTGTTTGTTGCTTGGCATTTCTGTTGATAAAAACTATGTGATAGCAGCAATTTTGGTGCATTGATTCTTTAGGAATGAGAAGTTGGGTGGATAGATTTTCTAGTTTTCCAGTAAGAGGGCACAAATTAAGATAAAGGAGCTTGTCCATTTTTCCCTTAAATATTTTGTTGGTTAAATTGAGAAGTAAATAACTTGGGCTTCAATCTTCTATAACATCTCAACTCAGAACTTTTTTTTTCCGGAGCTGAAACAAAGGAGTTTGAGTTTTGCCAGACCTCCCACATCAAATCAGCAGAATAGAAAAGAGAATTTGATGCTTTCGCTAATCTCTTTGATGTGCATAAGATCTTAAACTCTTACAGTGACTGTCACATAGAGAATTTCCCAGTTAATATTTTTAAGAGAAAAAAGGTACTTGTAAATACGCTATAAAAATAACATCCAGATTTTTTTTCTTTGGTTTTATTCCTTCCTACAAAGACCTGGCTGACACTGGAACTGTGTTAGGTTGGTCTAGCTTAAGCCTGTGAACAAAAAACTTTATTTACAAATACTTAAAAAACAGCAAGTTGGGGTTTAACAGGGCCTTGCTGTCGCCCCATGTTCATCAACCACAGGAGGCAATACAATATGATATGATATCATACAATACAAAATTTTATGATACAACAATACAATAAAAACAACACTACATGATAAAATTCAATATGATGCGATACTTTGAATTGTCCTCTTGGTTTTTTTTTCCCTGATTTAAGTTTTGCATATGTTCAACTGTTAAGTCGCCTTTACTGTCTGTGAAATAAAATTGTCCAAAAGATACTAGCCAACAACTGAAACAACAGTAAGTGAACTGTACAGCAGCTTTGAGGTAAACTTTGTTTCGTTTAGACCAGTGGTTCTCAAGGTCCAGTCCTCGAGACTCACTGTCCTGCATGTTTTGGATGTTTCCCTGCTCCAACACACCTGATTGAAATGATCAGCTCGTTATTAAGCCATTACAGAGCTTGATAACGAGCTGATTATTTGAATCAGGTGTGTTGGAGCAGGGAAACATCCAAAACATGCAGGACAGTGGGCCTCGAGGACTGGACTTGAGAACCACTGGTTTAGATAGTCAGACTGTTTCTTGTCTTAGCTTAGCTTCCACATTTAGTTTCAGATTAGCATAGAGATGAGGGAATTTCCTCATCTAACTCTAATCAAAAAGATAAAAAAAGCATATTTCCCTCAAATAAATAATAGGATTGTTGTGCTAACATGAACAGATTTGAAGCCTGTCTTTTGTCTTCCATATTTCTCTTTGAGCCTTTGTTTATATTTTGCCAAATTTTAAAGGCAAAGTTGTCTCTTAAAGTTTGTTAAGAGATTGCCAGTCAGCAAAAACCTGACAAGTGACACTACATGACTTCAGAAATAGCCTCTGTCTTTGATTTCATTAAATACAAACCTGATTAACTTGAGTACTGGGCTTTATCTGCTGCTAAAAATGATTAATATCACAGTGGAGCCACAGTACATTTGTATCAGTGTCAGATTTAATTCTTCTGTGCTCTCCATTATTCATTCTGGCTGCTCTCATTGTAACTAATCTGTAACTACATCAGCAGGAGCATGAGTGCATATTGATCACGATTCAAGTCCCTGAGGAGCGATTCAGACTGCTAATATGCAACCACAGCACACAGGCTTTAGCACTGCAATGTGAGAGAGCCATTATATTTCCCCTCAGTTTATTATAATACTGTTGAGAGAGACAAAAAAATATGCAAGGCAACAGCAAATGGGCTTGAAATGTTTTGCAGACATGGCACCTGTTTTGTAGAGATCAGTGGCTCCTTTGAAGAAACGTGGCAGCGCAGCCTCCAGCATCATGACAAAGTCTTCCAGCTCCTCAGTCACTCCAACCAGCATGTACTCGTTCACCAGGTTGTATTTGGCCTGCTCCAGAGCCCAATGGCTGCCCACATTCCTGCACACAGAGAGACGGAGCGAAATGAAGGGTGGATTTTTCTACTATTCTGCCAAAACAGTCACAAACTCAATATTAGCAAATCACATGAATGAGATAAAGAGTCAGATAAACATAAAAAAAGAAGGCAGAAGATGATTATAGGATATCATTTCACCTCCTGCCATTGTACAAAGGAAAAGCCAAAACACCCTGACCTCCCTGTTAGCTAAACAGAGTTAACTAACTAATACAATGCCAAACATGTTATTTGGATGGTTTGAAGGAAACAGCTGCAGTAGTGTGATAGTGTTTGTTATCTAGTCCCTGCAACTCCTCCACACTTCTATTCTGATAGGAAGCACCGCAGGAGCCCACATTTGTCAACAGAGCTGCCAATCACTGCATCTACCCTGTTTTTACAGCATCAAATAAGTCATGTCATCTAAACTAAAAAAAATTACCATGACTAATGGAACTAATTATAATGCTTTTGAAAGTCTTTTTAATAGGTATTTTGATTTTAAAGTTTGATCCCTGTCCCATCTGTTTACATGGAGGAGGCGGGGTCTATGTCCTACACTGACACAAACATTTTGAGATGACCAAAACAAAATATTGCAGGGAAAATGGGCCAAAAAAAAGGAGCTGCACATAATGACTAGGTTATGTGTATTAAGGGATATATAAGAAGACACTGTGGGAAGGAAGAAACTGGAAGATGAAGAAGAATGGAATAAAAACAAAGTCCTTGGCAGACTTTTCCCCAGTCAAGAAATAAGACAATAAAGTGGGAAGTAAATTGTTTAAATCACTAAAGTAGCTTTTTGGCAAAGCCCTATTAAGCGAAGCATTAAAGAACTGGCAGGAACCTCACCTTATTTATCTGTGGTATCAGTTTAAGCTTTTCTTTACTACTTTGATAAACTGCTGAATCCTTTCCACTCAGATCTTTAGTTACTGTCCTGTGTCAGGAGAGTATATGGTAAAAAAAAGGAGGCCAGAGTGGAGGAGAGATTAAGCAGGGTAAGAGGGGTGAGTGAGGGCACAAAGAGAAAGAGATTGATACAGATCACTATGTAGAAGAAGAGGATCAAGGCTGAGAGAGCTATCAGGGGCCTTGAGAGGATGAGAGCAGCAGAAGTGAGAGAAAAAGACTCGAATGCAGTGAATGATGAGAGTGACACACAACAGCCTGAACTCTTTGAACCTCCTGAGATAATAAAAGGGACGTTGTTTTTTTTACATTTTGAACAACAAAAAGAGCAGAACGGGGGAGAAGAGCGTCATCAACGCAGAGAACAATGACTACACTGATGATGACAGTGTGAACATGTTGAATGATGAATGTGTCAGCAGCTAAAGAAAATAACAATTGTTGACAAGCTACTCATTTACAGAGGCAAAATTCTTTGAAGACAAATCAAACAATGAAAAAGAGACCAGCTCTTTTTAATCCTACTTTAATATCACGCAACTTAAATTAACAAATGTCAAAGACAATGAATTAGACATACGTTTGTTCAAAACACCTTCACTTTTGGACACTTTCAGAAAGTGTGGGAGTGACGGGCGTTCATGTGCCCACGCCGTCTTCAATGCGGCTGATGTGGTGGTTATTCATGTTTTTAATATGTGATGTTAAAAAAATAACCCTGATTAAATGATTCCAGTAGAATTCTCTACATTTTCTAGAGCTTGTGTTTGAGTGCTGAGTGCTCCACGTTGAACGCCAACCCCCCTCAGAAATTTCTATATATTTATATCATTTTCCATCTTGGTTTGATGTCTCAGTATTCATTTCCTTCTGATACAGCCTGGAGATAATTGTCATGCTCTCCTGTTTCTGTGCTTTAATGAAAACATCTATCACTACTCTCTTTTGTTATCTCTGGTTCAATCTTTTTCATAGAAAATTCTCATCTGCAAATATCTGAGAAGCAAAATCAGCGTTTCGCAGCTTGAATTCCTCTTGCAATTCTCCAAAACTTTTAAATTCTTTATCATGGGTTAAAGTACAAACCACTGTGATACCTTTATAAACAGCAACATTTTCAATATGACTAAGAGTTGTCTGGACAGGATGCAGAGTCTGGGGTTTGGATACTCACCAGCATTCAGAGTAGTGACCACAGAAAAAAGGAATCTGGAGCCAGAGCTTCTCAGGAGCACAGTCTGAGCCGCCTGCAGATACACATTCATCAAACGTCTGGAAGAGAGAAAGGGGGGGAAAATATTTAGTTCTCCTAACAATTTAAGGACCAAGGATTCCAGTCTGCGTTGATAAGGCATTACTGTAGCATCAGAGAGCACTTTTACTGACACAGCAATAACATTTCAGCACATTTTCAAGGAAAAAAGGACAAATTGTGACCGTCACTTTAACTTAAAGAACTTCAAACGATGATTTAATGGGTACAAAAACAGGTAAAATGATAATGATGTTGTATTAGTACCCTAACAAACTTATTTTTGACAAAAGACTCAGCAGTCATGAAATTCTGACCTTCTTGTCTCCTTGTTTCCTGCGTCTCAAGCCGGGCCGGTAATCATCTCCAAAACGCAGAAAGTAATAATAGGAGACCAGCCTCTCAATGGGGTCCCGGATCACGTTTATGTAGATGGGCTTTCTCTTCACTCCAAACCTGGAAGAAAAGACAGTAGTTTGGTTACAGATCATTGTTACGCCACAGTGTAGGTGTAAAGCTGTGCATAACCACAAGGGGGCGTTAGCTGCATAAAACCACCGCAAGAGAATAAACCTTGTTGCTAATTGACTCAATGAAAAATCCTCTGACAAGAACACTGCAGGTAAATCACAGGTCTGTCATGAGCGCTGTGAAGTTTAGACTCTTGAAAGCTCCGTTTTACTAAAGCCTCCACAACTCTAATTCCAGGAAATTTGAGCCCCTGTGAAAGAAGTTAGTAAAAATAGAATTTGATAGTTTGCAAATCATTTAAACACGATATTTTACTTATTTAACTTCACTTAATAATACACCTTTAAAAAAAAAGCTCTGGAAATGTTTGGGAACCCAGGAGACCACTTTCAGGTGTTCTGAAAACCTGTCCCATTCTTAAGCTGTTCAACAGGTCAGGGTCTCCTAAACCAAATACACACCAAATATTTCAAATTGGTGACAAGTCAGAACTGCAGCCATGCCAGTTTAGCACCCCTACTCTTCCACTATGGAGACATATCATTATGAAATGTGCAAATTGTGGTTTGGCATTGTCCTGCTCATATGTTTGAGATCTTCTCTAAAAAAGGCTCTTACTGGAGGCAGCATATGTTGCTTTAAAACCTATACTTGTGCTTCAGCATCAACAATGCCTTCTCAGATGTGTAAACTATCAACGCAATGCTGATCTTTTATCTCCATATTCTCTGCAAAAGAAAAATCTTCCTGAATTGATTGAGGAACCTCTTTCTATCCTCACTTCCTAGAAACTCGGCCTCTCTTAAATGCTCTTTTTATACTCAGCTGTGTCACTAACCTGTTCACCTGAAACCTCCAGAGGTGTACCTCAAGGTGTCTTTTTGCTTGTCACACAACATTTTCAGTGTTTTGTTGTTCTTGTCTTTACTTTATTAAAACACATTGCTAGCATCAAGTTTAAAATACACATATAAACTTGATAAAACAATATTTTTTGAAGTTTCAACACTTAAAATGTAGTCTGTACACTATAATAAATGAGAGCTTAAACCATAGAAACTTTTTTTTTTGCACTCTTTTATTTTGTAATCAGGATTGTAAAGAAGTAAACAAATAGGCCCGTCTCAAGGTGTTGCTTACTTGGTGAAGTCGAGGAAGGAGACATGCCCATGGTAGAATGCTGGCTTCATTTCCCTCCACTCAGTTACATTCTTGACGAACCGCACCTACAAAAAAAAAAAAAACAATTATTACAAGCATTCAGCTCTCTTTTTGGAAACACTGTTTACCTCCTGATGACAGAAACACAGGGATTCAGCCACACCTGGTCCTGTATGGACATGACCGGGTTGTTCTTGGTGGTGTTGATGTGCAGGACATGGTAGTGGTTCTTCCCACACAGGTCGTAGGCGATGTTGGTGAAGGAGGTGCTGGCCGTCTTGGGCACTCGATTGTATATGATGACGATATCGTCTTCATTGTCTGAAAGCGACCAGGCTGATGGGTCCCGCTCCCGCAGACCATCCTGCGTGTGCCGCTGCTCGATCTCCCGCACTTCATGTCTGGCGATGGCTCGTTCTAGATGAGACAGAAACAGGAGGCCATATTGGTAAGCCTTTTACTTTATTTTTTTATTGCTATTTTGTTGGATTTGAAAGGCTTGATCCATGTCATATACTGTATGTATATTACATTTTGTTTCCCACATACAGGGACACATGAAAGACTTTAAATATGTGATGTGTCACAGTGGCACACGTACAAGTCTGTAAGTCCGTTAACTGTACACGAACAAATCCAAACACAAAATTATATTTAAAGCAAACAAACACACAGCGTTTTATAGTCTTAGAAGTTCTTAATAACTCTTCAGATCTGTCTTTTATTTTCAAATAACTCCAGAGTAAGTCTAAGGAAGACCTGCTTTCCTCCTGACAGCGTCTTTATCTACCAAGCACACATTAATAAGACGCTGTTTTTCCCCGCTGCACTGTCATATTCTTTCAGCTGTGGAGCTTTTGTTATCTTTCAGTGTCTTAAAATAACTTGACAAGCACATCATGTAGCCACAGTATTGACAAAAAATGCAATCTTGTTCATGTTTGGTGTTTGGGACAAGCCCCCGGATTTCAAATTCGCTGTTTTTAAGGACAGTGACCAAAAATAATTGTCAGCTTCTCAGGATACAAATCCAAAGCAGGTTGAGATCCTACAGCTAAACTTGAGGTCTCATTAGAACTTTAAATATAATGTAAATCGGTTTACACTGTAAATAGGAGCTAAACCCTCAGGTATCAAAATGGTTTTATAAGCAAAACTTCTACTCCCACCTATCCTCAGATATTAGTTTACACACTGGCCAATGATTAACATGTCTTATAAAGCACTCAGTTGTTGAGCGCTACATCTCTGCTGCAAAAAGTACCTCTGCAAACTACTATTTCATCCTTGCCACGAGTATCACTGCTGTGTGAGATAATTACAAGTAACTTGATTAAAAATAGATTTCCATTTCATCTGAACATGATCTCTTTGAGAGAGAAGACAGCGAAAAACCTCTTTCCTGCTTCACAGCGAGGATCAAGAATAATGTCAAACAGGAATATTAGTTAATCATTTTGTGAGCAGCCTATTTCACGCTGCTGTACCACCTCTCATGTTGGCTAATCAGATTCCGCTTTAATATCCTACCTTTTTCCCTTTCCCTGCTTATTAAATGGCAGAATGAAGTGAAGTGCCTGTCAGCTCTGGTTTTCTATCAAATGAAAACGCACAACTGTCAAACAGCCAAGTACATCTCTGTGTGTGCATCAGACACAGACTACCTAAGAGGGTTTTTTTTTAGCTCTGGGTTTTTTTTGTCTTCTGAGAACAGTATTTTATGACGAAGGTGAGGAGGTGAGGGGCCAAGGGTTAGAGGTTGGGAGTTAGACGGGAAGGCTACAGTTACTTGAGAGCTAACTGGACATTTATGGGGCATCAATATGCTCAGAGTGAGGAGGGCAGAGTTTGAGGGAGGGATTTCAATGTAAACACTGTACGAGGCTCCAGAAAAGCCCGACCTCAATGCCTCGCAGTGAAAAGATCGAGCACAAAGAAGCCCAGGTCTTTGTCCCCCTCGAGCTTTTCTTCATATGAATTGGCCTCAGATTGACTGGTGTTGACAATACCTCCAAGAGCTCGGCAGGAAGGACGGAGAGAGGAGAGGAGAAAGGGTGTTTCTATGTATGTGTATGTGTGTGTATGTGAAGACCTAATACCCGTGGGAGCACTCAGTGGAGCCAGCGGGCCTCCTTAAGCCCTGCCTAAAGCCCTGCCTGGCTGCTGGGACACTGTTACACTAGTCCAGCCTGGCCTGGCCCGGCTTTACAGAGCTGACATCTGGCACTGGAGGCTAATTAAGATGTCATATGTGAATCCGCCGGCCTCCTTCTTTCATCTCTGAAGACACACGTGGGCACACGCACAACAACACACACGCAGAAGTACTCTCACTGCCCCCTCTCTTACACCCTCCTGAGCAGCTGTTAACGTTGCACTCATCAAGGCTGGATCTGGTTACGGTCGGAGCCGCTCCGCTTCCTCGCGCTCGCTACTGCTGCTGGTGTGAAGACGTGCCAGGTGGCTGTAATGGCTGAAGGCTGTCAGCATGCAGGACAACTGTAACGGACACATTCATGCACGCATCCGTCCCAAGCATGCACGAGCCAACAACAACAGCAATAACAGTTGCTATGTTGGAACTTTATCACTTCAGCTCAGATGTCCTGTTGGGATTATTTTTAAGACGGTGTACAGTGAAGTAAGAGAGAGAGAGAGAGAGACCGTGACTTTCAAAAAATAAAGCTCAACCCGTGACCATATGAGTCATAAATATGGGCTGCTGGTGTGTGGTACCAGGTGTCTGAAGAAATTACAGTATGTGTCACTGTTTGAAGGCCCGGGAAACATGTTTTTCTCCAGGAGCTTCTTCCTAAAAAAGCGTATAAGTATTTCTCAAAGTCTTCTGAAACATTTTATGACAAAGGTCAAACAGCTGTGTTAGCCTGTGTTCATTTCTGTTCTAATTAAGATGTTTCAGACTGATTCTCTAAAGTAAAAAGGTCAAATGTAGGACTAAGCAATAGTTGGCTCTAAAATCGAAGGTTGAGGTTGAGCGGTTGCTTGTTGATCCAATCTCATTAATCCAATCACACATGATCTTGATTAATTTGATTAACCCAGTTTTTAAAAGGTTGAACTCTTAAAAATTTGCACACAGGGATGTTTTTGTTTGCTTCAATCTGATTTAAATTACTTTTGGAGGATCAATTGCATATTTTGCATAAGATGTCACCTTTAATGACTTACTAACAGAGAACCTTCACTCTACTCGGCAAATCTACTTGTCTTTACGAGGCTTTTAAGTGTCTTTTGGCTCATTGTTTTGGTTAAATAACCTGCATCTCATAAGTTGTCTTCTATCTTGGGGCTACAGCTGCATGACTAGTTTTAATGTCATTGTTATAACAGTGTGAGCACTTGAACAAAAAAAAAAAAAAATGAAAAACACATTTTTTTCCTGCTGGTTCAACCATCATTGCATGTCTGATGACACACCAAAACACACATTAATCCCACACAGCAGAACAGATTGTTGTGCGGATTTGAAGCAGACACTTACAGTTTGGGAAAGTTCAGTGACTCTTGTGTTCATGCTTTGAAGTACCTCACATTTTCCAACTGAGCTGTCAATCAAGATGTCACATTTGCTCTTTCAATAAATAAATAACTGATTAAAACTGAGCCACTCGGAAAAATGAGCACTTAGGCATGAAGTAACACAGGATAAATGAAAAACTCTCTGACGGAGAAAAAAATTATTTAGCATGTATTTTAATTTTATAGTTGGCTTCTGTTCCCTCTTCTCATATAACAGAGGCAAGGTTTATGACATGCATGCACTGCAGCCAACCAGCAGAGGGAGCTGTGAACCTTATCACTTCACAGTCAGCAAAAAACTAAAAAACATTCATTTTAATAGACTGCAGTCTACAGAATAGTCTACCAAAACTAATCAACAGAGACACTGCAGTAGCTACCAAATAAAATCCCTAGGTTGGTGCAACTTTTGAGCTGGAGACCTTGAGAAAACTCTGGATGATGATTGTCTCAATGGTCAAAAAAGAAAATTAAGGCTCCTATGAGGAATTTTTGGTAAGTGTCCATTTCGGCACACCCTGTGGACAAAGAGGTCTTTGCCTTTTTTGTTCTCTACATGCTTAAGAATTCTCATCTATCTGAATTTTGACAGTCAACTTGTAAATGTTAAATGTTGAAATCAGAGAAACAGAAACAGTGCAGCTGCACACCTTCCCCCAGCACAAATTCCAAGCATTACGAAATACACTAACAAATGAACAATGATGGTGTAATTTACTTGTGTATAACAGAAACACTTTAACATGAATTTTAGTTGGTTTCCCAAATACCAAAATTTTCCACATAGCGGCTTTAATGAAGATATTTAAGGGTCAGAGAAGTTTAAGTCGAGCAGCAGTATGATTGAAATACAGCTGTGATGGGTTTTAACCAATCAGAAACAAGAATTTAACACAACTATAATCACTACTTAGTAGTTTTGTATTCAACACAATATTGATCAGTGTGACTGAGAAGTGAATGTTTGTCTTATACATAGACTGTATATACTATGGACAACTTGGTTCCGCCTACCGCCTGTATACGGATTTGAAGCCAAAAAGCTCTCGGTATTTCCGGGATTTTTCTTCATTTCCTGAAACCAGCGCTGTGCAGTAGCAATGCGCACATTCGGCCGCGCAGTCGCAGAGAGTCGCTGTGATGACGCTCGGCTCAAACAGCGTGTCCCCCGGGAGAGCTACGCAATCCCTGAACGCCAATAGGCTGTGTCAGGTGTCAATCAAAGAAAACATGAGCCCCCTAATAACTTTTAAAAACGGAGCTGTACAGAAAAACGAGGACTTGAGCACAAACCAGTCTTACAATAACTACATGTCAACATCACAAGCAGGGGGGAGAAAAATTTATGTTCTGTGTAATAAATTTATAAAGTTTGTCCACAGTCCCATAAGCTTTGCTGGCGGAGGTGGGATTTATGACCTATACTGCAGCCCATCAACAGAGGGCGCTGTTCTCGGAGTGGCTTCACCCCGCGAGGAGGCAGACTCTGTCCATTCTATATACAGTCTATGGTCTTATACTACCCCAGCTTTCTAATCACACATCAGTGTTTACGGTAACAGCAGCACAGACCTGCATGAAATAGCACACAGAGCAAACAGCCAACTGGTAAATATCACTGAGTATTTAGCAGCTGAAAAGTCACATATTTTGAGAGTTGTTTTGACACCAAAGCAGAGCTAGGAATGAACTTTGGACTGACAAAGTTTGCCAAACCATTCGTACCAAATGGCGTAATAATTCAACCTCATAGACTGATTGTGAAAAAAGGGAACCACCACTGGTTTTCAAGACATGTCTAGAACAGCATATGAGAACCAGCTATAAATACAATTTTACAGTTTTTTTAAGTATAAATATTTAATGGCAGTACTTTTTAAAATTCAAATGCTCAAGATGGGTAGACGCTTTAACTACAAAATAAAACATGCAGTTCTTTCTTGCTTATCTCAGGTGGTTTGCCAAGGTTTCTAAGATAACTGTCTTGAACATTCCTACCTCATAAATGCTATCAGAGGCAAGAGGAATTTCATTTATTTTGTATGAAACTTTTAAAAACAAATCAGCAGAAAAAAAAAATGCTGTTTGAGAAGACAGTGTTCCTGGATAATCCACAGACCTCGCCGTCAACTGTTTTCACTGGAACGACTTTCCTCTGAAAGAGCACTTGGAGGGAAAACTGTTGACAGTGAGGTCTGTGGATTATCCCCACATTGTTTCTGAAAGATATATAACACTTAATGTGTTGTTTTAAAGCTGTGATTCAATTCCATGCACGTCTTTAGTGCTGACAGAAGACTCAGAGGAACTTGTGCATGAAAAAGATAGAAAAACAAAGCTCTGTTGCCAGAACAAGTTTCATAGAAAGGCTTAAATTCCCTTTTTTGTTGTTGCCATTCGCAGCTATAGTCTTACTTCTTTTGTGCCAGCCAAAAGAACATGCATCACAATATTAACCTCCTTTCACTGTTTCTGTAGCATAAACATGGAAGATTAAGCTTTTGTTGGGGCTCAAGGCTGCCAGTCTCTCAGCTTCATTTCTCCAGAGAAGGTGAGAGAGAGCAAGAAAACAAACCGAGGGCTACAGTGTCCCTAACTACACGTCCTGAACTGTGCAAAGAAGCCCAGAAACCACTTGTTAAAGACATGGTGTTTTGTGGCAAATTTCCAACAAGCAACAAGGAGGCGAAGCGGGCACGGCGAGAGCTCCTCAGGCTTTGTAGTCGACGCCCTATTCATTGGGAGACTGAATGCACTTGGCACAAACCGCCATATCAGAGGGCGCCACACACACACAAACTTAAGCTTAGCGCTCCCTTCAGAGGTCATTTAATTAGAGAACAAAAGCCTGAATCACTATGGCCACACAGCAGGCCTCTTTTCATTCCACATTTCCGTCAGTTTCCCCCCTCAAGCCGTCTCTGTGCATTAAAAGCTAATTATGAACCGTGAAGCCAACACGGGTCTTAGACATTGTGACAACTACAAGCCTATTACTGTGAGTTTCATTCAGAGTGAGGGACAGGAGGAAGATCGAGCACCCCCGGTCCAACATATTTACCGAAGCAATTTCGCGGCTGATTAGACGCAAGCATTTGAAATCATCATTCATATTTGCCGGCAGATCTTCTGAATGTGACAGGACGTCATGTATTATTGCCATCACGTCAGATCTGATGGGATAATAAAAAGTGTACGCGGAGAGCGGATGATCCTTTTTCTCCAAGCAGCTCATAAATCCGTCATCGCTCCGATCCACCAGTCGGAGCTGTCTTCCTCTTTCTGCTTCCCCTGAGAGGGGTTTGCCCCTCGAACCGAAGCCCAGGGCTAGGTGGGTAATAAAGATTGGCTATCAGCGGCAGACTGAGGTGTACGGCTTGTATGGTTCTGCTTGGATGCCACTGGATTGCAAAATCAATGGAGGATGACAGGGAGGAGATCTAGGTTGCTGCTGTATAAAAATCGAGTTAGTCTGCTGCTGGTGATGGTGTTTCTGCCTCTTCTCTCTATAAAGACTTGGCTGCTGTTTTGCAGTGCCAGGTTTGGAGGGGTGGGGGGTTGCAGTTATGTCACCACTGCAGCACTCAAGAACATTTGAATAAATGGTGCACTTCTGCTTTTCTAATTATCCTAATTCAGTCTTCAGATCCTTTTAGTAGAGAGTGGATTATCAGAGGAAACAGGAATGAAGTCAGGCTGACGGGGAGATTCAGGGCCGGCTTAACTGAACAGAACCTGCATTAGCATTGTTATTTAAGACAGGGATATGAAACATGATGAGAGAAGAGCCTGTTGTGCAGCTTTGTAACTCTTCTGGCAGCTGCTGAGAGCTGAAAAAAGAGACGAATAAACGGGAGCGCTTTCATTATGTGACTGTGAAGGTGTTTGGTACATTTAAAACGCTTTCAAACAAGCTCAGTATGATGGCAGGAACAGAGGAGTACACAACTCAAAGAAGCATCTTACAGACTTTAAACTGCACATCAAGACTGTTTCCTGAGGCAGACACATTTTCAAATGAACTCCTCTTTAGAGAAAGGTAAGACGAAAACACAATAGAGGAAAATGGGATTGTTGGGCTGGACTTTTTGTCCAGCTGAGACATTCCTCTTTAGGGTTTTGACACAGACGTGTAACACTGACGCTCTGTGAAGGCTCTCATTCAGGGCTCTGAGAATATGTGGAGCTGTTCAGGGGGGAGTGGAGGGGGAGGGAGTACAAAAGTAGGGGTCGAGGTTAGAAGGACATCAAAAATTTTCTCATGTTGTTTCATTTTAGTCCAATTTAAAGCACAACAGTTTGGGGGAGAAATATAACCTCAATCTCTGGCCTCTGAAAATCACAGCTTGTTAAATTAAATGTTTACTTTTCAGTATAGTCTCAATCCTGTAATCAAGTTATTTTCCCTCACAGCAGGAAGCTGTTTATGCAAAGAAAAACCTCTAACAAATAAGTACTGTACCTGCCAGGCACTCAAAGTCAGACACACACATTAAGATGATCGCAAAACACACCAGCTATCCTCTTACAGAGAATTACGACAACAAAGAGAGCAAGAAAAAAGCAAGACCTGTCTCGTGGAATATTAGTACTTAAAACAGATTATAATTCAACTTAACAAAATGACTGAATACATCTAATGTCAGAAAAATTATACTACATCTGACTTGCAGCCAGCTGAGAAGATCGACAGAGAGTGTGGTCTTCTTTGTCTTCAAAGTGTTTTACTTGTAAGGAGTCATCAGCTTACAACAAAGGCAGCTTCCTCTGACTGAGGAATTCAGATTTTTACACATCCTTTATGCAGTCAAGAAACAGACACCCCCGCCCACGAACATATCATCTCACAAGTGGCACAACAGTATCAAAATAGGGTACAGGTTGCAGCTGTGGTCTGTACTGGGAAAACAAATACAGCCTAGTTCATCATCAGGTTCCTGCTTATCAGTTCAATGTCACACTGTTGGGAAAACAACAAGTGAGTGAAATTGTAGCTTTTATCTAGTCGCATGGCTTTAGTGGAAAAGTATCAGTTCCAACTCCAAGGCTACACTTCTCCTTTCTCATGCTCATTAAAAAGGAACAGATATAACCCTGCAAGCATTCACACCGAGTGATTTTCAGTAAATGTTGATTAACAAATGATAAAATAAACATGTGATAGCATACACATGCAATTTTTTTTTCATTTACAGGAAACCAGATTCACTTGGATTCCACCCAGTTTCTGGTTTTAAAAAAAATTGATATAAGGAGCGGACATAACCTCTTTATTTGGAAACTGAAGCTAATCCACAAAGAGTTTATGAGTTATAGTCTGTGTAATGACCAGCAGAGGGAGACTGCACAGACAAAAGAAGTCTGATGAGAAAATGACGAGCTAATTTATTACCTCTTTAAACTATAGTCTGGTTTAACCTTGCTAACTGGCACCAGAATTACCAGTTAGTTGGATAAATAACTACTTGTATCACTGTAGGCCCAACATGCTGGTCATATGTCATGTCTTAGCTGAAAAGAAGCTACCCACCACTAGCCAGAGCTGTAACTCCAATAAAACCTGGATCATATTCCTGAACTGACTCTGCACCATAGCAACATTATAAGCGCAACATATTCATGCATTAAAGAATCCATGTCGCTTTGTAATACTCAACCTATACAATAATCAGCAAAGTGATTTCTTGGAAGGTCATGTCATCTGTCTTTTTTAGTTCTGCTAAATTCTCTGCTTGTTTGTGCACAGGAAACCATGGCGACTAAATCTATGTGTATTATGTTTGAGTTGGAGCTGATGAAAGTTGAGCAGCAGTTGGTCATGTGGAAATAACCGCAAAGAAGAAAAGAGAGGAGACTTTGGAGGAGATGAAATGTACCCGAGCAGCAACCTCTCTTGAGAAGTTAAGCCAATGCGAAAGTACCGCTGCCAGTTGGCTTCAAAACACCGCTTCAGAGACAAATGGGTGACACTATAGCTGGTTATCATACAGACTATGGTGAGACCACAAATGTTGTGTATGAAGGCTTTACACCACTTCCAAGCAGACCAATCACAGAGCTTGCAGTCTGCATTGTTTCAATGCATAGTTACATTTTAGCAGAGGTGCATGGTAGGAATATGTAGGCGTCTGTGTAGCTACAGGGCAACCCACTGAGCAGTAGACGGCTATTAGACTTCTTAATCTTTTTTCTTTTTTTTGGACCTAATTTTAATCTAGATTCTGTATATTTTCAGATGTTGCACTTTGACCCTTTTTCGATAACTACTTATTTCAAAAAGCAGCCATGAGTTGCATAACTGATCTCCAAGTACTTAACCAAAATAATTATGATAGACCTTGAGCAATATACAGTGTAGTATAGATATAGCCTAGATTTAGATTTAGTCTAAACTTGGTCTAAATTTAGATGTTTAAAAAACGTTCATTTTTAGACCTGTGGTAGCCTGATTTTAGTCCAGTCATCTAGGCTACATTTAGACATATATTAGACCTCTTTTAGACCAAACAATGCTTAGTGGTACATAGGCTGCAGATTTGAAGTTGCTAACTCAGACTTCAGTGACCACTGCCATAATGCTGTGTAGCTTTACTATCCAAATATAAGCAAACACAGATGACAGATGCTCTGCTCACTGTCATTTCAAAAGATAATAAAGCAGGATATACCTCAGAGCCAGGCTACCTGTGATTGAAAAGTACTATATTTACTATTTACAGAATCTGTTGAATCCTGAGACCGAACTATAAAGACTAGTCTAATGTAACATATCAGCAGTAATGAAATCCAAGAGCCCGGAACAGTCATTGAGCTCTAACTGATGACTTAAAGCAGATATGTGAGTGCTGACATCTTCTTTTCAAACATGAACTTATTTGCCAAACTAAAAACTTCGACAACTCATGGAAAAGACAGTCGTGCAAATATTTAGTACCAATCTCTGGCTATAATCTCCCAGAGACGATGCAGTTTTCTGATAAAGGCTGATGGTTTTCTGTTGATTGCTGTGATTTGACTTTTAAAAACAGAAACATGTCCATCGCAGCCTAGGTGCCCCATGTTTTAGGCTAATGTCTTATTGCAGCAGTTGCTGGTTCAATTCCAGGCATCAACCCTTTGCTGCATGTCTTCCTCCTCTCTCTGCTCCCCTGGTTTATTTCTCTCTCCAGCTGTCCTGTCTATTCAAGACACAAATGCCGATAAGTATCACACAAAAAAAGAGTAGAGACATGACAATAACTTTCCACCCTGTCATCCAAATGTCACTTGAGGCCAAAAAACAAGATAGTGGCAGCCAGATGCTGCTAATTGCTTCGTGAAAGGTACAAAGCATAAAAAATGTCTCCGGAATGAGAGGAGCAAAATCTTGAAATTCTTCGTGTCGTTTCCTCCAAATTTATCACATCGGGAGGAAGTCTAATGCAGCAAATGGATCTAAACAGTAAATCAGGGTGAATCAGCAGCAGAAAAGCTTCACCATAAGAATTCAAATCAACAGATGCACTAAGAGAGGTGATGTGGGGAAAATAAAATGTCTGGCTACACTGCGGATTCTCGTAAATAATAGGTTTCATAGTGACGGGATATTTCCTGTCCTGAACTTGGCACTGCCGCTGTGTGAGGTTCCATAAATACAAGCTGAAGAGGCTTTCATTGTGATGACTTTCACGCAGGTTCTGCTTTTACTAGGAGACAAAGACGGGAGACAGAAAGGTGAGAGAAATACAGCTGAGGGGGAGTTGGGGGTCGTGAAGGTCAAAAAATGGATTTCCCCACGCACTGCCAGGTGCACATTAAGGCACAGAGATGCTGTTTCTCCAGCCTCTGGACTCCAAATTCAGCACAAACAATCCATGTAAAGGTCATGCCCATCTAGAAAAGGCCTTTTTCCTTCCTTAAGAAGAGGCATGTTGGAAACAAGCGTGTTTCTGTCAGAGAGTGCCGACAAAGCATTCCTCAGACATGCAGTGGAGACAAAAACCATCTCTGTGAGCGCTGACAGACAACACTGTGCATCCAGTCTGAAGAGGGTAAGAGGGTTAGCCTGTATGGTTCTTGAGACCATAATTACACTTTTTAGGAGAAAGATGTTAACACTCAGAAGTCCCCACTTGGCCTTTTTGTTGAAAAGCACTCTCTTTACATGCAGACTCAGCTCGACAGAGAGTTTTTATAATCTTTGTGAATTTTATAAACAACAAAAGACCAAAGCTTTTCTACTAAACTTAAGTTTACAATTAACAAGCTCCAGCCACATGTGGCCCTTTTACAACCTCGTGACAAAATGCAAGCAAGCCCCTTCACTAATGATTACAATCTGGGATAGATGGAGATGATTATCATCATGGTTCAACCTGCCACTTTGCCCCCTAATATGTCTCATGTGCGATCGAAGCCCTCAGTGCTATCTGACAGGTGAGCCGATAATTTCTGGGAAAACAGAAAGAGTAAAGCAGGACCACAAGCTGTCTGCCTCATCAGAACCAGACAGACAGATGAGATTATGGAGCAATTTACACAGATGGCAGATCCCATCATTCCTGTCTTGTTAAGTAAAGGCTGGTCTGACAGGTTGTGGAAGAAGGAGGAGGGGGGCGATTGATTGGAACAGATCTCCTTTTGGCTCAGATAGTCAATGACTAAGCATGGGGAATTAGCCAAGATTTGGGGAGGCATTTGCGTTTCAAAGGGAGACAAAAATATCTGGGTAAGTCTTGGAAAACGACGAAATTCAAATGCATTTGTTGGAGGAAAAGAAACCAGCAGATGTATCAGTGTTGCTGCTTGGTGCTTCAGTCACAGCCTCCAAAACGCTGAGGTTAAATCTGTGTGGAATAAAAGGAGACTCAATCAAAACACAGAAATTTCAGTGCCTAAAAATGTCCAAAACCACACAGAAACACTACTCTTAGTTCTGCTGGATTCTCATACTCTATTGTAACAATGTTTGCATAACAGCACAGATCTGATTGCAAGAACAACCCAGATATCTGATGTCCTCTCTCTCTCTCACTCTCTCTCTCTCTCGGCCCTGTAGCAGATAATTAATAATGCATAGATAGGAGTCCAGGGAAAACTCCACACTCTATTAGACAGAGCCGACGACAGCTATTCATAGGTTTAATGATGAGTGGGAGGACCAGGTGAACACCACAGGGAGTCGGGCCCACACTGAAACATGCTACAGAATGAGAGCTGCACTAAAGAGAGGATCCCTACAAGAACCACAACACTTCAACTTGTTATCACTTCATCTCTTCAGGCTTATCCGTGTGTCTTTCATCTTTTTAGTCATCCGCTGCTCTTCCTTCAAAATGTATCCTGCATCTGCAGGCCATCTACGCATGAGGATGTTGTACTGTGTTCAACACCAGAGGAAACCTGGCTCCAGCGCTGATGACTGTGCGCAGCTGGTTCGTCTCACTTGCACTTTAATGGAACAGTTTCCTTTTCAAGAAACTAGAAATCTACATTTATAATATCACTATAAATGTCTGTTAGCATCCCTGCTTTTCCTGCTATGCTGTTGTTTAATCAAGCAAAAGAACAGCGGGCAAAATCGTTTCCAAACTCTTCTCAAAGAATGCTCATGTAAGTCACGTTGATAACACTCCAAGCCCCAGATGCAAAGTCTGAGTGTCCATAAGAGTTCATCTAGATCAGCCGCTCCAACAAAGAGCTGGTTGTTTGTGTCAGACTGCAAAGAACTATGCTGAGGTAAGACATTTGCTCCAAACCAGTCTTTTCAGAAGTGCTGAACAGACCTCGCTTTATTTCTTCAGATGCCGATACTGACGTGATAGACTTGGAATTGAGGTTTGCACTGACTACATTTGGACCATAATCAATCCGTACAGTCCTATATTTTGCAAATATGTATGTGTGTTTTATTTAACAGACCCCTCTCACTGTCCAGCAACTATAACACAGATGAGAGAGGCTCTCTTTGGGGAGTATTGATACATATTTGAGCAAATCTTTTGGGTATCCAGCTGCAAGAAATCAGATGAATTGTCTCAAGTGAGGTGAAAACAAGTGCTGCAAAAAAAAAAAAAAAAAAAAAAAACATCAGATGGGGCTGAAGATTACAGTTGGAAAATGGGAGAATCGGGTAATAAGTATAAAGACAGAAAAAAAATGCTTCTTCAAGCAACTTTAAACCAACAGTTTGGGGCTACATTAGCTGTTACTAGCATAAACACCTTAAACTCCGACTGAATGGATAGTAGTCGAGTTGCACTGTGGATGGTGCAGGTACAGGGTTTGTGCAATAAAGTCTAAAGATTGTGATAGTGTTCTGAAAAATAACCATCAAGTTATATCCTATATTTCACTACCAGTGTTTCACATACCTAGATGCTACCTGGACAGCTGCCCAAGTATATTTCAGCCACCAAAGTATAACAAAGGAAAGGATACTCCCTTATATCACGTACAATGTGATGTTACCCCGTGTTTATGTAATTTAATAAGTTTACAAACCTCTTTACAGCAATGTTTTAACACTGCTGAATTTCTATGGCTGTATTTGAAGCAGCCTTTATCAAGTTTATTGTATATTATGGCAGGAATGTATTTTGAGAGAGAAGCTGATCACTCCAGGTTGCATGGGTGGTTAGAATTGGATGCAATGTTACTTTATGGTTAATAAGCAGCAAGCTTTTTTAAATTGAAAATAACTCTACTAACCTCTCAACCTCTCTGACATCAAAGCAGACTACACTTTACTCAAGAGCATGCAGGAGCAGAGCTCTAACTGGAACTGTATCATACTTTGCTCATCATGCAGTTAAAATGAAGACTAATGCTGCATCACACTTCAAAGTTGATCCCCAGCACTGTTAAACGGCTCTTACTCGAAAAACATCAGCCAGAGTTTATTACAAGTAATGGCCTAGATCACATATGTAAGCCTGTGTGTAAACCGACTTTTCACTTTTAGTGTTATTAAGGTACGTTACTTTCTCAGAATTCCAGATGAATCTGAATTAATAACATCCTTGATTTTATTTTTCTTAGTAAAGAACTGCAATCTGGGATAAATGTTTAGACCTTCATCCCTTTCTGCCCTTCATGTCAGTGCCTGACACATCCTCTGTAGTGCTTTTTGGTTAGTGAGCGTGACTCTACTCTAAAGTGTCAGAGTGGAAAAGAAAGTAGATCTGGATTTAATCTACAGAGTTGCTGGTCAAAGCTGGCGCTGTTATACAACGTTTTGTAACCTACTACCCTGGCTGCATCTGTGTTTATGGAAGTAAATCTCTGCTGTGCGGCCACTGAAAACAAAACATGTGTACAAAAACCAGAATGCAAGTCTGGACCAATGTTGTAGGTACAGGGGAAATCTATTTTGGGGATTGAAACTGGTACATCATTCACCCCTTGAAAAATTGCTTCCCAAATTGCTGTGTTGCAGAAAACATATATGTAACACACAGTCACTGTATATTGAATAAACAAGCCTTAAAAAGACATACTGTAACTATTCACTTTTTTGTAAAGACTAATTGATAGAATGATCCTTTTATGCTGTGCAAAGATATATGAAAGAGTTGAACTTTTGTGCCATGCATTGTGCAAGGGATATGAAAATGCTTGTGTTCCTCATTGTGTAAGGGTAACAAAACTATTGCAAAATTGACAGTTGCTAAAGTTTGCAGGAGTGAATGATTCATAATTATGAAATAAAAGATGCTCTTGGGGAAGAAATGGTCAGAGGGGGACTGACCGAGAACTCGAGCAGTTCTTCTCAGCCGCTCTTTCCTTGTGCAAGTAAAACGCCTTTGGTCTCTTCTGTGTTCCTGAATCCTCCCAATTGTTAAGTATGTCCACCTGAACCTGACACTAATAGATTTTTTTTAAATGGATCTGAAAGAGTAATTGATCGAGAAATTCTGACAAGTTTCAGTCCTAATTAGTGGAAACATTAAGGTTATTTTCATGCTTGAGATCTTTTAAATCGTGTTTTACTTGAAGCTGTGAGTTCACAATCACAGCGACAAAGACACTGTCCTTATTGTTGATCGATTCTGTCTGGCCGATACCCAATCTGTTTAATAAGGTCAGAATGAGCAGCAGCACCAATCCAGTTTATTAGAGTGGTGTGTCGTGAATATTACTCAGAGAGGCAGGACAGGATAGATACAGACACCAGTCTCATAAAACGGTTCTTATTTAACCAACGCTGTGTGTGTATGTGTGTGTGTGTGTGTATCATTATTCATTGAAAAGGTTTGAGAGAGGATATGAACGCAGCGGTAAAAGAAATGCAAAGGCAGGACTCCACTGATCCAAACTCAGCAGGGAGCAGTCTGAACGTGGGAGCTGAATATTCAGCGACCAAGATATTTCAGTAATAAGGTGTGACACACACAGACAACACAGCTGTTTAGCATGGATTTATTAGTGTTCTGTCTAATGGGCTTAAACTTGAATTTCAGGCAATATGGCAATGCTGCTTAAGCCGTTTGGCACAACAAGGAGAGGGGGAGTGACATGCAAAGAGACAGGTCTAAAGAAAAACAGACAGAGAGGGATTAATTAAGGCACAAGTGAGGTGAAAGAGGAGGTAGAAGAGAGAAAAAGCCACCTTACAGTTGGCCTGGGGGCACCATATGTTAGACATAATAGAGGTAAACTCAATGAAAGCTGCTTAAAGCTAACCCTGAAGCTAATGGGAGCAAAGTTAAACCAGAGGATGAAGAAGGACACCGCTGCTTATCCACCTTCCTTCCTTCCTTCCTCTTTTATCCCTCTGTTCTCTGATGAAATTGGTTGTAAAACAGCTGCAGGCTTGCTTTCTTCCTTCCCTCTCTTTTTTTTTTTCCACAGAGGCTTATGATTTTTACAAGCCGGGGCTTTAAATATTACTGTGTCGCAATGAAAATTAAATCATCTTTTCATTTCATCCCCTTTCAATCCTCTTCCCTCCACACTTCCGCCTCCGCCTCCTCCTCCTTTGATAGCACCTTGTTTCCAAGGCGCCAATCCAGCAGGGTTAGAGGAACACAGGCGGGGATCTGAATATCACAGAGAAGGCTCAGCACACAAATAAAGAAGTTGTGTGTGACTATTGATCCAGGGGAGGCTGGATAAGGGAACTGTCAGGATGAATTATAAAGACAGAGGTTTGTTAGCTGCTCCGAATTTCCTCTGTAAGAGGAGGGGCTGAAAGGTGTTAGAGGATAAGAAACCCTGCCAACTCTGCAGGAAAGAGGGGAGGAAAGTGACACCTTCTTTCACCTGTTTAGCACCAACAACTGCGGTTGATCTATGACGGCCTTTAATACTGCCAGAAACGCCTGATTGAATGGGTACCGTGGAGAAGAACGGTACGATGTCAGAGAAATTTATTGCTGATCACCTGTAGTGATAACAGAATATGGAGTGACAGTAGGGCTGGGCGATATGGGAAAAAGTTTATCACAATAAATTTTTTTCATATCAGCCGATATCGATATATATCACGATATAAAAATGAAAGCTACTAGTGCTTATTGGTAGCATGTCTTTTGTAATACAATAATCTACTGCATCTGTGAGGTCTTTGTGTCTCTTCGACGTTTTGTTGTAAGGCGTCGCACTAGAGAAAGCGGACTGAATGGTCGGCTCTTTCGGCTGCACAGGCGCCATTGGCTCCTTACTCTGCTCGGGGTTTGTAGCCTTTTGCATTGCGCATGCTCTGCCGCGTGGCACTGCTTCAGGTGGGGAAAAAGATTTGATTTATTCCCCGACTTTGCGAGAACATGTACTTGACATAATTTGCAGTGCTCGTTACTCTGCCTCATGTCCGACCTCGAAAAAAAACAAAATACCTCCAAATCTGTTGAGCTTCATCTGCATTTCTGCCTGGACTGGCAGTCATTTCCTTTTTTTCTCCCTGACAGTGCTGTCGGCTTCACGTGTATAAGTGCTATGGTTGCGTGTAGCTGCAGCCTGCTGCTACGCAGTTGTTTGCTATTTAGTTCAGCACATAATTCAGCACATGACTGGCTCAGCACAAAGAGGGCCCGGAGCAACTCCCCTTTTCATTGGCTATTAGTATAGTCTACTAAAACATGGCAGAATGCCAACTATTGAAAAGCATATTGACCATGTTTTATATTGATATTGAGGGAAATTAATTTTCGATATATGTTGTTATGGTTTTATCGCCCAGCCTTAAGTGACAGATTATAAAAAATGACTTGTGTTGTTTAGATATAGTTATGAAATGTGCTCCTGGTGAATATTGACAGAAGATTGGACACAGAAAAGTGAAGTGGTATGGGGTTTATGAGTTTTCATAAATACATATTTGAACAGGTCATATTTCATTGAACAAATACACTAATAATAATCAAGAGGAAACGTTACAAATAGGGGGATGTAGTCAATAATTTCAATGACCTTTCCCTATAACTAACTATCTCCACTTCTACAACCAAGTGTCCTTCAGAGGGAAACACGAGACAACACTAGTAGCCTCGATCACCATATATGGACGCTGAAAGACCGATTGATCCTGAGAGCAGATATAAGCAAACGTCACATCAGTACAGCACCAAGGATCAATGTTCACTTTAAGAGTCTCAGTAGGACGGCCTCCTGGCAGACTTCTGATTTATCACCTCTACTGAATGATATCTCCTCAGCCATCAGTCACCAAGTTCACTCCATAGGATCTGGCCTTGCAGGGTTCTCTGTGCCACTTGATATCTGAAGCCTGAATCTTGGAGATGAGTGATCGAACACCTCTGAAGAAACAGTGTCACAGGAAGAAATGAAGACGGAGAGGAGTCTGTGAGGAGGAGAAAGTGTGTCTATGAGGTAGGGGGGGCAGAGGGGATATTGGGTAGAGGCCAGCTGAGGCGAGTGATGGGTGGCTACGGAGTGAGGTGTTCTTCTAGAACGGCCTCCAATTACATCCAGAGTGTGAAACCGTCCATAACACCCCGATTAGCCTGTCTGTCATCCTGCTACAGCAGCCGGCTCTGGTTGCTGCTGCGCGCCACTTTGCAGGAACACATTCTCTGTCAGGCAAAAGTGCACGCCAGGAGGAGCTATAACTCCTCTGCTCTAATCAAAGCCCACTTTAAACAATAGAGCCAAGACCAGTACCACCTTTAGTACTCTTCCTTGCTGTCCCCCAAAAACAGATCCATCCATGACACCTACGCTATCTCAGCTGCGGGTATGTGTCCATTAGCCGCTCACTTGGCATGCTGCACAGAGCGACTGAACAGCCAGGTCCAGGCGTTGGGTGCTTCCAGATTCTTACGGTAGCAGATGCCAACGTGCAGTGAGGCGGATGAGTCATGCGCCCATTATACCCCTCAGAGAGGCTAAAAGCAGAGATGTGGGGTGTGAGGAAGAGTTCAGAAGGAAATCTGGGTGCTTTATCTTCGGATAAAAAAAAGAAGAGAACAACAGAAGGAAGAAAATCGAGGTGCACATTCAGGGGGTTGAGGTTTGCTACAGTCGTGCTTAGTGTCACTAATTGGTTTTGACAGGAAGCCAACTTTTACTGTTGAGGCCTCCTGGGTGAGTCACACACTACTTGACGCACTTCATAACAAATGTGTGGGAATCCAAAAAGACAGGTAGCTGCTTGAATCATCAATAAATTTATATTTCAGCACACAACCGCAACTGGAAGCCTTTTTCGGTTGAATTTTTACACATCAACTCTCAACATTTCCTAAAGATAACTCTGGAGAGTCAGGACCTACATTTTCAGGAGCCGTTTTTATACACACCTCAAAGATTATCCGTGTCAACCACGCTGTCATGACTTGTTGTACTTTCGATAAGATTAGATTACAGGGAACTTTATTGATCCTCTTGGGGAGGCTCCCTTAGGGTTTAGGGAGGGGATGCTAGTGCATGAAAGACAGGAAGAGATGGTGACGGTTTTTGTCACAATATCATGTATCAGGTCATTTCTGCAAGACAAAAGGAACAGAGGAAACAATGAAGCAGCCTACTGAGACAAGCTGTGAGGAGTATAAAGCAGAAAAACTGTGCTCAGTCATCAGCCTCTTCGTCCTCTACCCACTCACCTGGGATTCATATTCAAGAGTTTCACCTGCTGCATTCTCACAACAGCTCATCTGACTTCTCCTGGACATTTCATTATGGAGGTTGCTGGAAAAAGCCTGAATACAGTCAGGATTTCCAAATTTGGCTGTTTGCACTCACTCGTGCAGCCAAACTCTACAAAGTTGGAAAAATTCAGCATGAGTAAAAAGGCCTGAAAGATTGCGCAAAGACCCGTCCAATCCAAATGGACATGCTGGACTACATTACAATGCTTAATGCCAGTGTCCTCTCAAGAGCAAATCCCCGACTAGATCCCCAGGTCCCTCTGCGGCAGAGACTGAGGGTGGGCTGCAGGCTGTGAGTGCTTGGCATGACAATCAAAGTCAAATTCAAACCCCAGCCAGGGAGCAACGGGCTCCAAATTCAAATAGTGACAAATGAATGCTTAAAAGTCTTGCGTCAGCTCGGCAAACACTTTGACAATGAGCGCATGCATCTCTGTCCTTTTTCTGCGTTTAATAGCATCTCTGGTCCCTCAGAGCTCATCACAGAGCCTCTTGTGTCTGGAGCTAAATATCACCCTGCAACAGATGGAAATTGAATTCCTTTAATCAGGCTGAGTAATGGCCAGCAGGCTAAAAAGGGGATGATTCAGGGGGTGAAAAAGTCTCCAACTATCTGTCCTGCTAGGTGACACACAGCTCTCACATGGCCTGTAGGGCACAGGGGTGAAGAGGTCATTTAGTCCTGTTACAAGAGCCATAAGGTGACAGTTGTATAAGTCTATTTACACGACTCTCAGTATTCCATAATATCTCTTAAATCAACTTCAGATTAAAGCTCTAAAAATGACTGAATTTCACAGCGTCAGAGAGATAAAAAGGCTGTTAATAAAAAGCTTTGCTCACAAGAACAAAAAAACTGAGCTGTTCTTGGTGTTTATGAATATTCTCCCTGAGGAAATAACTTCAGCACGGCTTGAATCTATAAAAGCAGATAGCAAGACAGATGTTACACACGTAATGATGCAGTCATCTGTGTAATAAACAGGCTTTAAGCCAGAAAAGACAGGGATCGTTAAAAACGGTGGCTTCAGAGCTACTGCTGTGAGTGATTTCTACTCATATTAATTCATCACAGATTCCCACAACGCACCCCACTAGTGTTTTGAAATATCATCTTTTCTAATCTTAGTCTGAAGGGATATGTCTCACCCTGCCTGCAGCTTTGACACAAGCCAGCTTTGCACTTTAACAGTTGATAGAAAAATGTGTTAAATGACAAGAGGCAGACACCACAGTTCAGGAGGTATAATGAAAGTAAATTTAACAAACAGTGAATCAAGTAGATACACAGTAGTGTTTCCAGATTGATGGGTGTCACTATCTCTTATCTTCACTTTCTCAGTCTTCAGGATCTTGTTCATCATTTCCATATATGGTCAACAGACAACTTAAAACAAGTTCCACCTGCGCATGTTCTCAGTGTACGTTATAGTTGCATGGTTTCAGTATATCATAGTGAACTTGTCCTCTCAGTGAACCCACACTCCCCTACATTTACAGCCTCCGTGCACAACCTAAGTCGCAATTTTTCCATCAAACTTAGAGTCAATGACAAATTCATTGACACACAGGAAAATGCAAAACGAAATCATTATTTGAATAAACTCCACGGAAAAGTCATGCAGATGCCAACTTGACCACATAGAAGTAGTTAACATAGAATACAAATCATTCAGTCTGGTTTTGATCATGAGACAATTTATTTACTTTTACTTTGATATGATGTTTGTCTCTTTTTCAACTGCCAGGAAAAAACCCTCTCTTGTTACGGTCTTTCTACTTCTTTTTAAACAAAGTACAGATTGGGGAAATCCCCTGGACCGCTTTTGACCAAACTAGCAAACTTTCAGAATTAGTTTAGAAGATCTAATCACAGTTTAATCAAATTCAGGCATTTGTTTCTGGTCTGACGTTATGAGAAAACACAGGAAAGTCAGCCTTAGACTTCGAGACAGGGTGAAATTCTTCAAGGTGAGTTAGTGAAATCGCCTGAACTGAGAGGAAGTTAATGACTAGTGGCCTTAAATCCCTGTTTGTGGCTCCTTATTAGAGAAACTTTATTTCCATTTTCCCTCCCATCCATCTCTGCACAGTCTGCCCGCATTACTGTTGACCCAGCCGGCAGCAGGGCCACTGAGCAGCCGGAGAGAAATCCCGTCAGAATAATGGATTAGGCCCACAGCAGGATACACAGCTGCACGGCGGCGTGATTGTAATGCAGGAGACTTCTCAGAGAAACCTGGGGACGACGATTAGCTAGGAAGCGAATCACAGCTTGTCTGCCCTGCGGGAGACGTCTAACAGGGGGAATGATTCAAACGTGTGTCAGGTGACAGGATCCCTCGCTGTGAGGAGAGGACACCCAACACTGAAACCTGCATGAAGTTAACTGTGAACACATGATACAGAAAGGTGACAGACACAGCTTTTTTTCCCCCTATATTTATAGACTGTGATTTGAGTTTGGGCACCACCTGCTTTTGTTGTGGCTATGATACGGGTTTATGTTGTTGCACAGATGGACCTGCAGCAGGCGTACCTGGTAATGTGTCAGGCCCTGAGGCGGTCTGTCAGCGCCGCGCCTGTGAAAGCCTCACTCACAACTATTTGGCCATGCAGCACATAATTCAGAGCTCCAGTATACAGACGTCTGCTGGGCCCAGTCATCCATCAGAGCGCTTTGTGCCAAGTCAACAGATTCTGGTGGGGGTGGGCAGTTGGGGGAAAGGCCTCTCAGGTTGTGTTTCAGCATCGGGAGGGCGTGTGTGTAAATATATTTGTGTGTCTCACTGGGTGGAAAGAATAGCCCTTTACAGCGGCAGTAAACCATGTCACAAGCCAATATAGCCATCTGTGAGCCCAGCACTCCTGATTGTTTGGACATGTGAGAACTCAGCTGAGATACTTGAGTCAATTAACAAGTATTGGAGTATCATATTAAGAGTCTGATTTATAAACTTGGCTGACATGTCTGTTGCTTGCCTTTGTGTAAGCCCAACGTAAAACTTTACGTTGACCCTTATAGCTCATCCACTTGAACTCGACTCATTTAAAAGGTTCACTTCACTGACAAGGAGTTTCAGGCCTGACAAACACAAATCAAGGTGAAAGATTAGTGTTGTAACTTTTATTTTGCTTGATTTACCTCGACACTACATTGTCAATATTGATAAAGTGAGTAATTTTATGTCAACTAATGACATTATGAATTACTACTTGTATGATATTTTTGAGTTGTGTTCAGTGAAAATCTGAAGCAATACAGATGTTAAAAATCATAATCTGGCCAATTGCTGATTCCAATTCTGAGAGTGACTCATTTCCATGTTATTTGGACAGATGTTTACAGTCTAACTAAACGACTGGAGTTCTCCGAGGTAAACCTTGTTACAACCTAATTACAACTTTACAACCCTTTGTAAATCTTAGTGTTTTTAAATAGTGATTGAAATATTAAAGTTCCTCCTGTTAGGTCAACAAACTGCATGTTGTTGATCTTTCTCAAAGCTTGTGTAATACTCCTAAACCGCTGACCTGTGACCTTGTCAAAAAATCCCTTTGTCTGACTATTTCTGACAGAATAAAAGCCTCCTCCCTGAATCAGCCAGTGGGCATTCTCCCCTATTAATTCAAAACAACACATACACATCGACTACTGACATCAGTGCATGACACATTATTTGCAGAAAGGCCAATATCTGTCAACAGGGCTGATTTCTAACTGATGCATCAGTACATCCCTACCATATTTATTAGTTTTTGGGTGCAGAGGCATCTTAATGTGTGGCAACTTATATTTAAGATGAGGTGTTTGCATTTCACTGCAAAAAGTGTTGCAAAATATTAGACTTTTCACATTAAAAAATGCAACAAAATGTTTTTTCATGATATAATATGAAGTGATTCCTGCTGTGTGTTAAAGTATATTTTGATGATTATTGGTCAGATAATATGATAAAATGCTGTTATTTTGACTGCAGTGGTGCTCTGTCTCTGATTTTCATGCTTATAATTTGATAAAATTTAACTTTTGATCATTTAGGTGTTTATTTTAGTTAAGGAAAGGCAGCTGTGTCACATTTTTCAGTTATTCTCCCCTTTTATATCCCCTTTAAGTTATGGTTCTCCTTGCTCTCCGACTATCCAGAATGGTTGTAGCATCCTTGATATTCTAGTAAATACACATATCACCTCATATATATGTTTTTCTAATCATTCAGATTAATGCCAGTATGGTGGTGAGAACACACAAGTTTAATTTCTGAATGATCACTCAGCCGATATTTACACTCCTCACTGTAAAGAAGGTGTTACTAATAATATCAAGTTACATGCAGTGTCACGAGTAGCCATTAAAATACGCCAGCATGCACAGAGATAAGACACTGGGATTACTTGTTCACTTGCAGCCATGATTCAGATATTCAAACCTGTGCACTTCCTGCCTTAACATATCAAAATGTGTGTTGTCCACTCCCACCAGACAGGAGAGGTGCTTTTTGGACCCCTGAGGTACACTGCTCTTACTGCTCTGCTGTTCCAACAAAATCCCCACAGTAGAAGCACCAGGGAGATAATCCTGCAATGTCCCAGATCTTTACTGGGACCGAGCCCCTGATGGGAGCCCGAAATGAGATTTCAAAGCAGTACCGGCCACATTTCAATCATAGGGAAGAGTTTGGTGAAGGGGCAGGAGAGGATTTGCGGCAGGGGAGCGCTCCCAAGCATGCAGAGTATTACTAAAATTACTCCAAGCAAAAACACGCTGAATATATTTGAGATTCATGACTGACCACCTCAACTTTAAATCACACTCCTCCAGGAGTACAAATCCACTGAGGAAATATCACATCAGGTTGGCAATATCACATCCCAAGTGCAAGCACCAGAGTTGGAAAAATGTGTCTGTTCATTCGTTCTCCAAAAGGCTGTCAACTACTTGGCGGCTTTACTGGATGAATGGCCAATTGACTTTATAAAATTAACACCCAGTCCAAAGTTTCAGTTTCTCAGATTCTCCTTTTTCCCATCAGGGCCAGCTACATTTCAAAAACACAGATAGGTGGATAGTGACACAAAACAAGGACACAAACACGCATGTTTCTGCGTCTAACCTTAGACAGACCACACCGTGAACCCCTAAAAACAAGAAAGAGGAACAGTCTGAGCCCAGCAGCAGCTCCTTAACCTCACTGCACTGCACAAATTAGGATGACAGGTCCTAATTGTCTTACATGCATTAGTTCAAGATTTGGGTCTGAACGTGGTGCAGGTTCAGCACAGATTAAATCAGATGCCTTTAACATTTCCAGACTGACGTGAGGCAGGTGATGGGTTGACCACCATACACAACAAAGGGTGATGATGAGCAGAACAAGGGGGAAGACCTCGGGCGGGCTCTATACGGTTCGGGTTTAAACTTACCGAGCTTTCCCCGGGACTCCTCCAGCTTCTGGATCTGGTTCTCCAGGAAGAACATGGCCACTGCGAAAGCCAGCAGCGCCAGAAGCTGCAACTTGGGAGGCATCATGACTCTGAGCAGCCCCATCAAATCATCCGGAGAGGGATTTGGTCAGTCCATGCTGAGAGGAGGAGACACTGAAAACACACATAAACACAGAGAGAGAGAGAGAGAGCGACGACGGTGATTACAAAGCAGCAGTGTGTCTGTGCATGGCCCTCTCTCTCTCTCTCTCTCTCTCGCTCTCCCTCTGTGTGTGTGTGTGTGTGTATGTGTGAGTGGATATATCTCTCCCAGTGTTCAGATCCTTTGGTTACCTCAAATGCGACATGTTCATGCTCGGTTCATTGATTTCGTTTATTCTGTTCCCAGTCGCGAAGCGCCGTAGGGCTCTAAGGATTTCTCCAGAGAGCCAATTTGTCCCTCCGGGCTATGCGATCGCTGGTACCCGCTACTGTCTGTCTGCCTGCGTCCCCCATGCAGCGCTGTCCTGTCCCATCCAGTGTGTTCACCACCACCGCACCACGGACACACTACTACTACCACCACCCAGGCCATTGGATGTAACAACAGTCCACCACACATCCAAGGCTTACTATTCGTCGCCTATAAGTGTCTGTTCAATCCGGATTGGAGCGTTTTCACATGCTGAGCTGAATTTGGACGGCAAGTGTCGCTGTTGCATCTTGAACCGCACTAACAGTCGGGCTGAAGAAGAAGGACTTTAGCCAACCGTTGAAATGCCATATCTTAAAAAAACAAAATATCATATAAATCATTACCGAAGTGTCTGAAGCCGACACAGCGTTTCAAATTTCCTTTAAATGAAGTAGTATCAAACTGTGAACAACTTTTTGGTGTCGACTATTAACCAATTTTACATTTAATGATCAGGCGCGAAGTGACAACCTTACATCATATTGAGGGGTCCCAGTTGTAGTTTTCGCTAACAAAGCAGGCTGTAAAATGTCGGGAGAGGTTTATCTCATGTGGCTGCTCTCTTTAATACAAACGGTGAGTATCTTCGACACCTTAAAAAAACATTTGTTGTAGCATGTAAAGAACTATCTCATTAGCAGTAAGGCGTGTTGAATGTATTCAGAGTTTGACGGTGTGTTCAGCTGGATGAGCCGCATCCTGCTTCGCCTAGAGCCTCAAAATGACGTGGCTTACCGTCAAAACCCGAGAGCCCCGAGCAGAAAGTGCAGCGCACTTAATGTTTATATTCTTATATGACACGAGGTGTATATGATGGATAAACATATCGATGTGTCAAAATGTCAGTTTTGAAAGAGAAAACGATACCTAATCGAGTCTTCCGGTATTCCGAAAACTTCTTACCCCCATCCAAATCTGCGCTCCGCTCTGCGAAAAACGAAACCTGCACTTATGCTACTGCTCATTCAATTATTTCCGTCTTTTCAGCAAAAGTTATGTGGACTAAAGGGAAAGTCTTTCACTCTCGACATGTTAAGGGTGTATGAATTTATTCTGAATCTAAGCGTGAAAGATCACACTAGTTTCCCAAACCTTGAAAGTGAAAACAGTTTAAGAGTATTTAGTTTTCTTTATGTGAAGAAAAAGCTGACTAAAGAAAGTGAAAATCGTGTTCAGCAGCAGCAAGATCATTTGTTTTTTAATCGTGACATAGGGATTTTTAACCAACAGCAAACAGGATCAGTACACCTCAGACTAACATCCTGGAAGTTAGTTTGCCTACCTGTTAATCCACATTCCCACTCTTGTAATTATGAGCAAGTCTAGCAGAGGATGTTAACGTCCGTTTTAGTAAATAAAGTTCATGAGGCAGATAGCCCTTGTTTTGGACCAATATGTATTGACAGTAAAATCAAGTCTGTCTTATATTACTTGGAATTTGGAACATTACAAATGCTAACATAATGCTTTATGAATGTTGCCAACCGCTTGCTTTTCTAGTTATACCAAATTTAGTAACGGCTGCACGATAGCAATACACAGCGGTCTGAGGAACAATTATCAAACATCAACAGTACATATAGGGTCCCAGCCATAGTACTAGCCATCAAACATCTTTTTAGCTTTGCCTAATTTCCTTAGCAACACAACTCACACAACTAAACACAACTCACCTACTCTCTTCCCGCAGCTGCTTGTTTCTAGTGAGACCTCAGGCCAGTCCATTACGGACTACAGCGGGGTGATGCAGTTCAAGGAAGAACATTTATGATCATTACTTTATCATTTCCTAGCAGTAATAATCATCATATTAATCATTTTGCACTGCAGATCCGATAGTTCTTCTGCCTTAGCGTCTCGGTCTGATTGCATTTCCTTGAAGAAATGATTTTAAGTGTTCTTCCTTGAGCTGCATCACCCCGCAGCAGTCCATAATGGACTGGCCTGAGGTCTAACTTAGTGTTATGGTGTGTTTGACCTTAATTTTATTTTATGCTGGAATATCCTGTTTATCAGTTAAACCCACAGTGCAGTTGTGGGCTGTGAGAGCCGTGAGAAATCCAGCCAATCAGATGAGGTTTTATAAGGAGGACATTAGGTGAAACAGAGAAGTGAGTGAAAACAGACCTAAACTGGCAGCATAACCAAGAAACACACTTTTCTATCAACGATCTGTATGATAAAAAAATACAGGAAATCAGCTTGGTGACGAACATCATCACTAATGAGCCACCAAGGCTGACAATCCTCGTCAACCCTCAGTGTAAGCAACACTCATTTACAGCTTAATAGGGCTGAGAGTAACATTATTAGTTCTTCATCTTATACTTACTCAATGTGCTGTCAATCAGACACAGGTTTTAGATACTAATTTATCAGGCATATTGATGGATTAACAGCATACAGCAGTATTGTCATTTTTGTTTTACAGTCCTATAGCTTGATAAAGCATTATTGTTGTCTTAGGTGCACAGTACACTTGAGGGTGTAATTTCAAGTTAAACTGGCATTTAGAGAAGTAAATTGAAACATTATGGTGAAATCATGTCAGTGTTCATTTCAGGAATTTATTGCTAATTTAAAGCACAAAATGATCAGAATCAAGTTTACTGCCAAGCATGTTTTTAATGTACAAGTTATTTGTTTTGATGTAGTGGTAGAGAAACGATGAACACTGAAGAAAGCCAGTAAGCAGCATTAACCCCAACTGCAATGGGTAGTAAATCAAATCAGACAAAAATGAAAATAAAAAGGAATAAGAGCTAAAAAAAAAAAAATAGAAGAATGCAAATTATGTCTAATGGGCGTGCTGTTGGGGAGAATTTCGCAAGGTAGTGGTGAGAGCAAACATTTTAGAGTATCAAATTAAGAAACAGTAGGACTCTGCTAAATTGCAACCCATCGTATTCCTGTTAAATTCAGGCTTTATAAATGTAATGCTTTTGAACCGTCACAACGTTTATTCTGTCACAATGTTTCATTCTTTGGCTTTTAACACAACCTAATCACATATTGTCTGTTTATTAATTACTTCTTAATTGCTTTTATCTGCTCTGCTCTCGTATTTCGCCGATTTGTTATCTTGTTTGTTTTTTAATGTCTGTGTAAAGCACTTTGGTCAACTTGGTTGTTTTTAAATGTGCTCTCCAAATAAAATTGTATCGTATTGTATATGCAGTGATTCATGTTTTCCCCATTTCTCCTTCCTCTCTGTTTTCCATTCAGCTGTCGGCGTACGGTGCCGACCTGTCGTCTGAAGCATGCAGAGAGCTGGGCTTCTCCAGCAACCTGCTGTGTAGCTCCTGTGACCTGCTGGGGGAGTTCAGTCTCACCAAGCTCCAGCCTGACTGCGGGCAGTGCTGCCAGCAGGAGGCCCAGATGGAGGCGCGCAAGGTAAGATGAACAACAGAGCCTGGAGAAGTGACACACGGGAAGTGATTACCTGTGTTGATTCAGTCACAGCAAGGAGCGGTATTTAAAAACCTCAAGATTAGCGAGAGTGCAGATGATTAGAACCGAGGTCAACGAAAGTGCGTGTAGTGATATGATCAGGAAAAAGGGTGTTGTGTTGTTTTAAGGTGCATGAGTGAGACTTCAGCAGATATTTTAATATTGCAGCGTGTTTTGCTGTCATTGTCTCTGAGATTTAACAGAGGATGGGTAGATGGTTGTAGCACCAAGCGGACCCCCCTGTCAGGCTCCGTCATGTTTATTGACGGATCACACCCACCGGTCTTTGAACTGTTGCTAAAAACAACCAGGTTGAAGACACACGCTGCAGCTGTGCGTCAGACCCCAGCTGCCACACACAAGCCCCCATCACTGTCAGTCTTCCTCTCTGATCTTTGGAGGCGATGCTCCTTCACCGCAGCTCCGCTCTCCCGGTGGGGTCCAAGTTTTGCAGTAACAACCCTTCTGTAACCAGTTAGGGGGAGTTAGCATGTGCTCATTACTCCGGTGATTGCATCAAGTTCAAACAGGAGTCCCCGCTGAGCCCTGACGGATAAACACCGAGTCTACTGATGGCGGAAAAACAATGCCATTTTATTTTGATTAAGCAAAGCCCCCAGAGCATGTGTGGTATCCTAGCAACAGCACCTTAGAAAGAGGCTGGCACACACCTCATTACACCTCCTTGATGATAAGTCTGTTTCAGATAGACGCTTAAAGGAGCGATTACTCTGCTTCCTCCTCAGGATTTGAGTGAAAATGTCGGTGGGATGAGCAATTGGCCGTCTCCAGCTGCACTCTGAGGGGAGCGGCAGAAATGACAGTGTCGCTAAGCACATTTTCTCCTCAGACGGCAACAATTATCTGCCTTAAGAATTCTTTCATTCTTGCAATTGGCATCAGTGCCGAATCATTAAACCCTCTGAGAAATGGCTTATTTCACAGCCTAGTCGATTAGGAAGATTCACTGAACACGGAGGGCATTTTGGCTACAATTTCCAATGTGTGCCTCACATAAGAGGCAACTCAGCTTTCCTGCTTGACACTTGATCGTACCTTTCTTAAAGCCTTGCAGTGTCAGACAAGACCAATTTAAGAAAGGATTAATAAACCGATCATGCTTACTAAGTTGTCTTGTGTTGCCAAAACTTGACACCACAGAACTTTAGTGTGCGTCTAAAATTGTAGACACAAACAGGACTTAAGATGTTCCACTAATCAGCACAAAAACCCTGACGATAGCTGTTAACATATGCGCTGATTCCTCCTGTTTGTGCAGTGTTTGCTAGAGGCGGCATTGCCAAGCTGTTGTTGAACAATATTCTCTAAAACAGTGAGAGCTGTTAATGTTGTTTTGATCAAAGATTAGGGCCTGAGGAAAAACCTGTGAGCTTGATGCTGAGGGCCACACACAGGTCTAACGTTACAGGGAGAAACATTAACACAATGTCAGATTTGTGTGTTTAGATTTCAGAGAAAAAAAGAAACCCACAGCTTAATATTGAGCCATGATGCAGGCCAAATATGTAGTTTAATCCGGTTGGAGGCATACATACTAATTATTTGGAGCCAAAACTTGGAGTTTGCAACTAAAGGGAGAAAAAAGCCCCGACAGTGAACTCACTCATGTTTAGAGTGATCATGTATCGTAGGTAGATGTTAAGAATTGTTTGTAGTTACATTTCTTTTATTTCACTTTTGTGAATTTTGCTCTGTTTAGCTGGTTTGTTGTTTTAATACAGTAGTTGCCCTCTGCTTCTGCTTGTCAGTAGAAAAAGAGAGAAAATGGACAGAGTTAATAAGACAGCAAAACTTCCTTTACTTTGCCTTTTGAAAAGCTCATCAGGAGCATTTTGAAATGTTACCAGCAAGTCTAGTCAGTTTTTCTGTCATTTGTTAGGATAGTCGTGTCCCCGCTCTGTTTGCTCAAATGAAAAGCACGGAAATTGAATTTCAGCTGCACTAGATTGTTTACAGAAAGACAGCATGAAGAGAGGAAGTGTGGAGGAGAACATCTCAGCTTTGCATGCCTGATTTAATTTGCCGTGTGAACCAGTCACATCAAGCTGTTTACTGCCCTCCTCCCTGAAACCTCCAGCGGAGCGCTGTCTTGAAATACTGCTGTAACACTCCCAATTTCCTCTAACTCATTGTATATTGGTGCTGGAGGTTTGATTACAAGTGAGCTGCACATAAACCGCCATCAATCAGCTCAGCTCCATATGCAAGGACTCACGGTTTAATGACCTCCATGAAGTCGCCTGGACACATTTATGAATCAGCCTGTCTGGATCAAATTACTCCTCAGGGCAGGAGTTCTACCTCTGTCTGTGTGTGTGTATATGTGTGTGTGGGTGTCTGTTTATGTGCATGAGCGTGTCCTCATGGGCTTCTGTACTTTATGTTTGTGCACACAGCTCTACCCTGGGGCCATCCTGGAGGTGTGTGGATGAAAACTGGGGAGGTTCCCTCAAGTCCAAGGTGAGTTCTCCACTGGAACAAACATCTGTCATACAGCAACTATCTGTAGTGACTCTGCTGACCTGAATTTCAGTCACCGTCTGGATGCAGGAGTGAGTTGTTTTTGACGCGCTTCTAGTACAATCCAATGTCCAATCCAGGGTTGTTGTTGTCGAGTTATCTTTTTGCCATTTATTGATTTAATGAAAAACAAACAAAAAAGACAGATACGTCCAACTTACTATGATGGTAGTAAAAACCATGTGCTCTTACCGTTCCCCAGATCACTGCTTCACCTGTGTCCCTTTGCAGCATTTACCTGCCCACTCACCTGAAGTGCCCCTTGTGGTGATTGTGCGAGTAACAAAACGAAACCCCCAAAATAACATAGATGAAACGGCTCATACACTATCTAAACTTACTGACAAACTTCATTTCCTTTGAACTCAGACTGTATAAAACATGGATGGAAGAGAAGTAGAGACTGCAGCCGTAGCCACCTGGACAATGGTTACATTGTTGGTCACATTATCCTTCAGCCTAGTCATAGTTGATAATGCATAACTCTCAGCCCAAACAGGCGAGTTAAAACAAAAATTCACTCCCTCTCTCTTCAGGTTTTTACCTATTTTGTAGACCCAACAGGCTACAGACATGTTTACGTCTGCAGTAAAACTGTATCAGCCTCAAACGGACTCTCAGTGTCCTCCCCTTTAGTCTGCTTCTTTATCTCACAGCACTAGCAACCACCAGTGTTAAACACTGAACCCAAGGTGGATGAATTAAACTGTGGTGTGTACTTGTGCCTGGCTCCAAATGCCAACAAAAACCTCATTACAGCTCATATCACACTTCTGGTTTTAAAGCATAATCAACATGTTTACAGCCTGTTACAAAGAAATCTGGTCTCTTCTTGTTCCTGGTTTTTTTTTTGGTAACAACTGTATAGAGATAGGGAAGATAGATCATTTAAAGTTCATCTGTTTTGATTATATTAAGGCAAAGTGATACTGTGTGGCTGATTTGACTGTCAGGTGGGCAGCTGTTTTCTTGGCGGCAAAGTTGTGGGCTGAACGCCACCTTTCCAGGAGGCTTTCTCAAATCTCTCTCTTCATCATCTCCTTACATGTTTTACCTCAGCTTGCTCGCTTGTGTGGACAGTCAGACACGTCAAGAGGTGTCCAAAACCTCCATGCACAGAGTCGTAGCGACCTGTCAGACCCTCAAACAACGAGCCTGCATCTTTGCTGACTCACTCACCACATGTAAAGGAAGTGACTTAATAAACTAAGGACCTGTGTTTTTACCCACACAGACATGAACTGCTTTTATAAAAAAAAAACAGCAATTGTTCCAAACATGTTTATGTTTAAATGAGCTGAAAAAAGAGGCACCTGAAATGTGAGATTGAAAATAATTAGATGCCTCTAAACTAAAAAAGATGTAAGGGGGGGAAAGAGTCTGCTAAACAGTTATTTATGCAGACTGCTTATAATAAGCTTGCAGCCATATCTGATCCCTCCACTTTGGTTTAAGGATGCTCCATGCAGCAGTGAGTAGGTTTGAGTAAAGAGGGACGGGCCCAAAAGTTACTGAGTCAGCTTTTTTTTTTTATACAGCCACTGATATGTATGGGTTTAATGTCACCTCTTCAGAAAAACGAGTGATAAGGGTAGGCAAAATAAGCCATGGGCTTCAGCCTACACCTACAGAAGAATGTATTTGTATATTTGCAAAGAACAATCAAATCTGAAATCTGAACTCCTACAAATAAAAAAATAAAATAAAGGGTAAACCAATGAGTGATAACACTGAGACTTGGTTGATGTTTTTACAATCTATTTAAATTTAAAAAATTTAAAATGTATTAAGATAAAAAGTTTTGCACCCAGAAACTTGTAACCAGAGACACTTTACACATGGTATGTTGAAATGTCAAAATTCATCTAAATCTAAATTCCCCCGGGATAACCAAAATGTTCTGATTCTGACTCTGGGACAGTTAGGGGAAGAAGGGCTGGGCGATATAGCCTCAAATCAATATCATGATATATTGAGCAGTTCACCTCGATAACGATAAATGGACGATAACTACTCCACAAGCTGCTCACCTCCTCCCACATTAACTTTTGAACCGTCCTCCATCTCCTCACCTGTCTTTCCCTCTTTGTTACGGACTGGATGGGATGGAGTCACATCTCTGACGTAGGACAGTGTTTTAAAGGGACATGAGACCATAACCTATACACATCCAAAACCAACTTTTATTTATTTATTTATTTATTATTTTGACACCGACTATACGGATATGGGCACAATGACGTTGGTTATTGTCATAAATTTTGGTATCAGTAAATTTTCAGTTTATCGCCCAGCCCTGCCCTCTCATATAATAACACAGTTTTAAAGCTCTTTAATTATGATCTAAATTTTTCAGTGACGCAGTTTCATCCCTAAAACTTGAGGTGATTCTGCTCTTAACACTAAATGACTCCGTGATGAAATCCAGTCCTGCTCCTCCCTCTTGAAATATTTTTTGTGCAGTAGGTGGTCAGAGAGCCGAGGGCGTATTTTCCAACAGGCTTTGAAGTGATTTTATTGTCGGTGTCTGTGGCGCAGCAGACCTCCCGTCTCCACACTGTGTAACATTTGCTTAATTCAGTGTCAGGTTACGTTGATGGGTGGGTGAAGTCTGTCTGTACCATATGGCTGCTGTTTGTTTGCTTCAGCTGGAGCAGTCTTGTGTTCTCAACTGTCTCCGCCGCTGTTAACGCTGCATTCTCAGGAGGTTTCGCAGTTGTCACTAATTACAAAGCTCGCTGCTGAAACAGAAAGGCTAATTGAGTGATTGATGAGCTGGCATTTTTCTCATCTGTGCGTTTTTTATCTGCTCAGCTTTTGTCAGGAGCGACAAGCCGAAGATGTTCAAGGGTCTTCAGATCAAGGTATGGATGAAAGAGTCGTGACTGATTAAACTCATTATTAGACGCATTAAGCTTCAAGTAAAAACAGACAAATCAGATCATGTCTAGAAGAAGCTTTGCCAACATTCCTCTGAATATTTTCAAACCTGCTGTCCTCCTCACACGTCGCTCCTCTTTTTTCTCTCTTTCCCACACTGCAGTACGTGAGAGGCTCCGATCCTGTGCTCAAGCTTTTGGACGATAACGGGAACATCGCTGAAGAACTCAGCATTCTCAAGTGGAACACAGACAGCGTGGAGGAGTTCCTGAGTGAAAAATTAGACCGAATATAGACACAAGAGACCAACTTTTTTTTTTGTCTGTTTTGGTTTTAAGTTATAGTTTCTGTTCACTTGAATTACAATCCCTCCAGTGGGCTCTAGCCACGTAGATATTTTCTGTTTTCTTTCTTCTCAGATGGAGAGGTTTGTCTCTGAGACTTATGTGTCCAGCCTCTGCTCAGTTCACTTTTTTCACTCTGAGTACTGAACAACTCAGATGTGTAAAGATTTGATGCTGAAAGTCCAATTCTTGTAATGCTCAGGCATCAAAAACATAAAACAGCCTCACCTCTGTTGATATCATAGGGGGTAGAAATCTGAAGACAGTTCTTTTAAAGTGTGGGTCAAAACAAACATGTTTGCGTGGCTATTGGCTACCAGAGGCAATTAAGAACTTCAAAAAAAATCTCTTAGTTATATTCCCACGTGTGCCCATCTCTGCCTTGATAGATGGTGGTTCAATTACTGCTCTGTATGACTGTTTTGTATCTGAAAACCTGAATTTCTTGTCTGGATTTTACCAAATAATAACTGAGTGTGATGAGACCTGATCACATGACCTGGACCGGCAGCACAACCAGACTATTAACTAAACATCCCAGATTATTCATGGTGGGTCCATACATTTGGAAATCTATTCTGCACATCATACATAGTTTCTCATCTATCTGTCTGGTATTCTTGTATAAGTGTTTTTTATAATGCTGAAAATGGTGACTGATGGGATTTGTAGTGAAAATGAGTCCCAGTGTCTCTTCATATGTAGGAGTGTGTAGTGAAGCACACGTTAGTGAAGACCTCACAGTAAACCAGAACTGGGATGTGACGTCTGATGTGTGTGTGTTTTTATCCGCTCCTCCTGCTTTGAAGAGAAACTGGATTTATTTTCTGGATGTTTGGTTTTAGAGCGAGCGAGGTGACAGATTAAATATGCAACAATAAACAAAGTCTGAAGGTACCTGTGTGAAAAGTGACTTCATTTTCCTAAAGTAGGTGAAAATGCGTTTTCTTGTTCTAGTTGTGTGATGACAGAGCACAGGTTAGACCTAAACAATGAATGTGCTGACATCTAGTGGCTTTGAAGGAAACTGCAGCTAAGAGCTTCAATAGGTGGGCATCTTACATGCAAACAAAACAGAGTTAACCTACTCACAATGTTGTTGGACTGCCAAAGCTAATGCCAATATTAGCCCTAGGTTCTATTAAACCATTGGGTCTTTATTTTTGACTTTTTAAATTTTGTTTTACAGTGTATTTCCCAACTGTTGTTAGTTGAGTGGAAGGAAGAAGCCAAAGCCACCTGATCCACTTTTCCAAATCAAATAAAATTAAAGCGCTATACCGCAAAAAAACTGAAACTAAATCCACCACTTAAATGACTATCTTGGACATAAAAGGTTACTTTTACAGCACATGTGTCATTGCTGACATATAGCAAATCAACACATTGAGAAGGATACAGAAAGGCCACACTGTTATCATTGTCAATACTTTATCCTTAGACAGAAATTCATACTGATGCCTCTTGTCTCTCAAAGCAAGTAAGACCATCAGCACATGATTGAAGATTTCTACTTTATCATTTTTGATGCCCAAAACCAGTGCAGAGCGGTAAGTGTTAGCTAAGAGCTGTAAGGAACAATTTCCACACAAAAAATACAGTATAAATACTAATACTACATATGACTTTTAAAAATCCGCAGGGTGAATTTTATTTATTTTTTTGTTAACAGCACTAACTAAGGATGGAGAGGACTAGTGAAGACCACTTTGTCCACAGAAACTTCAAATAATCAGCTTCAAAGGTCTTTACTCATGTTACATATGATCAGGTTTGCAAATGTGTTAAGTATTATGTAGAACCATGCATGTATTTTGGTCTGCTAATAGACTCCCAATAGATATACAGTAACCGAAAGGCAGGAGTTAGCAAAGAGAATAAATATTGATTATAGTTGTGTATCTTTATTCAATTCAAATGAAAAAAAAAAAATAAGGATACTGAAACAAGTTTAAAGATTGTGAACAGAAATGCTGTGGTTTCCTAGTAGCTTAAGGATATCTAGGATAAAGAAAAGAAACTGAATATGCCATTGTTGTTCTTCCTTTAAAAGTTTGAACATGTAGCCAAAGCATTTCTGTATGTATCTGGACTGAACAGATAAAGACCCTTTTTCAAGTAGTCAAAGATGAGTAGGCATGAAAACAGAAGTTAAAAAATGGGAAAGTGAGTGGAGCCGCTGGCCTAGTGGTCAAAATGCACAACAGGTATAAAAAGGTTATTCTCCAAGCAGAAAGCCCTGATTCTGTTCCAGTCAGCCTCAATTTGCGCACTTTCCTAATTAATGGCATGAAAAAGCCAGAAAATTCCCCCTAAAAAAGAATAAAAAAACAAAAGCAAAAACAAAAACAAGGCTCCCTGTAGAGGCCAGCCACTTCAGAGACTCTAATTCAGCCTATAACAAAAACATGCAAAGACTGGCAAACGACATTAACACAACACTGAATATTAACCAAAAACCATCAAACCTGAGACACAAGGCCCACACACAAGGTCAAACTGAAACCCTTTTTTACACCTACCTAACGTAAACCCATTAACTAGAGCTGGATCCCAGGTCAGAAGTATGCTGAAAGCCTCTGAAAATTCAGTTTCTAATATGTTTATTTTTGTATCTTACCTTCTATGCTGTAAATGGATCTTCAGTGATTTGAGACAAGTTTTAGACAGTTAGTTTTTACCTGATAGCTTTATTACAAACCAACAGAAAGGAGTAAAGTTTGTATCCCTCTCTGTCTCCTCTCAAACTCACAAACACAAAGGGACACACAACAGAATACAAACAACAGTCAGCTAATGTGACAGGAGTAGAAAATGTATTTTGAAATGATTCTTAATTTCAAAAGAATTTTAGTCTTTGAGTCTTGTAATTTATCTTATGTGAAAGAGCCTTTTTTCTGTGTACCTCATTAAGGTCGACTTGTTTGAACAAAAACATTTGAAGCTCCTGTAAGAAACTTTCTGTTTGTGTTGACTTTGACTTCCCCCTGTGGACAATACAGCTACTCTTGTCCCTTTACTGTGTCTGTGAGATCGAAAAGTGTCATGTCAGCAGTGCGGCTCAGTGGCCACACCATATACCTGAACTTTAGTAGTCATGTCACCAGTCACTTTTGGTGTGCCAGTTCTCTAAGTGGTACGCCACACAGTCTGTCTATACTGATAATACAAATATAATATAGTGATGCCCATAAAGGATTGCATTCATTTTACTAATTCATTTTCAATGTGTTTGCTGTAGCATGGTGTGTATGGTCATTCAGTTCCTTTTGGGATCACTTAAAAGCAATCTAGTCCAGCTACCATAGGGGTGGTATATGATTAATCATCGTTTCAACTGCTCAACGTCCATGCCAATCATAAAATGAGCCTAATGAAGCTACCTCCACACTGATAGCAACAAGTTTGCAATATGGACAAAGTAAAATGTTCTATCTGAAACCACACCTTATCTGCTGTCCTCTGACTGGCTACAGTGGCTCACCTGACAAGGCTAGCTACCTGCTAAATTACTTTAACAATACCAAGGCAGTACCAAACAATCATAGTTTTGGTGACCAGTGAAGTATGCCAAACTGGTGGTACCACAATAAGAGGCACATGCAGAACCACCAACATACTGAGAGTTCAGGCATCTGTGAGGCCACTTTGGAGCTCGCCTTTGGCTGCTTTTTCAGCTGGGTGCTGCTTGATTTTGTCCATGATGGCTTTGAAATGTTCAAAGAAATGTTCAGTCTTCATGATTTTGATCTAGTTTGCTTTGACAACAAAGGGCATCAATGTTACTTGTGAGAAGTGCCATGATCACCTCAGTCGTCCACTCAGGAGCTGGTAAATTTTCCACAAACCTTCAGATTAAGAGCTCAAACTTTGCAATGTGGTTACATTAGGCCTAACATAGTAAAATAATTGAATTTCTCATATGCAATATCAATATCAATAAAATGAGCTTAAACTTGAACTCTAACACAAGTTAAGGAACAGACTACAGTAAGACAGATAATAACCAGTATAAATGCCTCCTTATTTAAATTCTTGCATTTTAATTTGAACATTTCTGATGAAATGATAAACAGATAAAAAGCAATAAAAATAACATCTCCCAGCTCCCCTTTTTTATTCATTGTCCAGAGTGTTTTAATTGTTCAGTTAGGGGAGACTGGGTATGGTTGTAACACTTTGCTGCAGCACCTGTAACTCATTGATTTTTTTTTTACTAGATGTGTCAAAGTTTTATACAAAGTACCCGTGTTTGTTAACTGCAAAAGGAACCAATTCAATCCCCTGCAAGAATATCATAAACTCTGTATAATTCGATGTTATTGGCAAAGATATAAGTACAAAACAAAATACAGTCCTGAACAAAAATTGATTTTTATTCCCAAAAGTTATTTTTCCCCTGCAGAATAAAACGATGCATTTTACAGCCTTAATAATTCCCATATGGAGTTGGATAGGGAGAGGGTAAACATTTCTGTTATCCCTTATTGGTGAAAATGATGGTTTTACAACTCTTCCAGAGATAAAACCATCCCCTGTCTGTCATATAGGCAAAGTGAGGAGTAGTGTGTGGCATTTAAGATGTTTTCTTCTTCGTTGGCACAGTCCTTTAGTATTTGGTTTACCTTTGACATTTGAAGAATAAGATATGTGTTATCTCTGAGTTTTAAGTGATTTTTCAGGGTTCGGACCACTGCTCAAACTTTTTCCAGTTTGCGATTTCATGTCCATCCCACCTGTCACACGCTGGAGCCGGCTGAGGAGAAGGAGTCCACGCCGCTCTTCGTCATTCCTCCAGGGAAGAGGATATAAGCCACCTGAGGCTGTAAACCTGCAGCAGACCAGGCGGGACAGTTACAGGGCATCAGGTACCCCGGGTTAGACGGGGACGGGTGTGTGTGGGTGTGGGTGTGAGTGTGTGGGTGCTGTCCGGGGCAAGTCAGACCCCCAATCCCTCCAGTCTGGAATCCAAACGTGTGCGCGCTGAAGGGCAGAGCGCCGGTGGCCAAAGCGTGCGGGACAGCTCCAGTGCTGAACTGCGCCACCGGCTCCAGCAACGAAAATGAAGAGGAGGAGGAAGAAGAAGTGGGAGCGAGGAGAGCTCTGGCTTTATCCCCGGGAACTATAAATGATTCCATAGGAAATCCCTTCAAATGCTCCCCTGCGTCCCCGAGCAGAGACGGAAGCGGGAAAAGAAAGCGGTCCCTCTTCATGAGGCTCTTTGGTTTCCTCCTGGGTCGGTACTTGTAGTCCGGGTGCTCCTTCATGTGCTGAGCTCGCAGCCTCTTGGCCTCGTCGATGTACGGACGCTTCTCAGAGTCGGAGAGCAGCTTCCACTCCGCCCCGAGCCTCTTGCTGATCTCAGAGTTGTGCATCTTTGGGTTTTCCTGGGCCATCTTCCTCCTCTGGCCTCTGGACCAAACCATGAAGGCGTTCATGGGTCTTTTGATGTGATCTAGAGGCTTTGCCATATCAAAAACTGACTCATGAAATCTAAAAACTTGAACGTCTACCTTTAAAGCAGTCACCTCTCCAAGAAGCTCATGGTCCACCCGTGCGTAAAAGAAGCAGCAAAGTCGCGAGTTTCAGTTTTAGGAGCATGTTTTTGTCTCTTTGGTAAGAAAAAAAGCACAAGAAGAAGACAAGGTGATTCCAAATCGACCAAAGCATTTGAACAAAGTGGAACTGAAAAGTAAATAAAGCGCAAACCAGGGCGCATGAATGGGAGTCACAGCGAAACAGGTTTGAAGCTTGTTTTGGATGATGCTGGACATGTCAGCCACTCATCTTCACACCGCTCTTACGGCGGGCAAAGCCAATGGGAATGAGAGAAAGGCGCTAATCCCCTCAGAAAAAGTGACTGCACAACATTTCCGAGGGATGCCCTCCTTCACTGACAGTTCAGTCTCTCCAAAAGGACACAAGAAAGTCAGAGCTGCAGGAAGCAAACAACACAACGGAAAGTAGAAGGTTTTGTGAGGGACAAGGAAGATAACCATGAAAAGAAAACTCTCCAAAAACCACAAGAAAACTACCCAAGAAATATCTCACTTTTGACTGACACAAATGTTATCTGGATAAAATCAGAAACTTAAATTGTTCGTGTTTTTTTCACCACATTTAATGGAAAGTACACATTTTGGATAATTATTCCACTCATTTTATTCTTTTTTTTTTCTAAGAAAACAGAAATCTGGTTTCAGCTGTTAAAATAATGTCATTTTGGATATAAAAACACTGACTGATTATGAACTAAACAACTATATGCTAGACATTTTGTTGTGGGATTTTTTTTTAATTATTTAAAAAATACTGGTAAGGTGCAGCCTACTGAAAACCTGGTTATCAAAAAAGCATGATGCACCTCCACCCCCAATGTGACAAGTGAGGCCAAAACACCTCCACAGAGAACACTGACATATTACACCAATGAAGCCAAGGCATTAGCAGAGCAAAAACACACATTTTACTTACCTGTAAAATGTTACTGATCCTTTAGGTGGGTACAGCCCACCGCAAAAGAGATTCTTAAAGTTGATCTGAAGCAGACACTTATTGCCATGAAACGTTAAATGACTTAGATTTTTTTTTTTACATTTGCTCTTGTTGTGCCTCCTCTTCTCTGTTAATCCTGTACAGCACTGCTGCAAGAGCCCACATTTCTCAACAGAGCTGTCAATCAATCATCTTTTAAAAATCTGATAATTGGTTAAAATTACATTTCTCAGAAAAACCAAAACACCTGGACATAAATCAGCAAAAGAACTGACTGTTAGGACAGAAACTATGTGTAACGTGTGTTTTTATGTTCTTCTTTGACCCACACTCCATCTGAAATAATGCAAAAGGCTGGCTTTATAATCTGTACTACAAACTGTCACCAGGGGGAGCTCTAACAATTTTGGGTACATTTGGTGGAGTGACTGTGCTGCCCATGTTTCAGACAGTCAATATTACAACAAAATCAAACAAAAACTTATTTGGTTTTAACATTGGTAGCATGTTTAATTTTAAAAATGTTCAATTAAAATGTTGATTGATCTTTATTTCTATTTTTCCTTTAAAACTGACACAGTACCTCATAGTTGTATCCTTTAAATCACTGCATTTTTAAAGCTAATGTCAACTAGTTAAATCTGTAGTTTAGCTATCTATTTGTTCTGACGTAACGTCGACTAAAACTGTCTCAGCAACAACATAACTATGGCTGACACCCTGTTTTTATCAACACTCTGCAGAAGAACAGTGTGTCTTTGTGGATTACAACACAGGGCGATATACCGTATTTTCATTTGATTTTTCCTTGTCAGTGTCGAAGTGGGAGCTTTAAAGCCTCTCAGAGGCACCAAAATGTCTTCAACAAAAAGGATTATTACCATGACAGAAGCATAATGTGTTCCTCCATCCTCAGACCTGCGCTGGTTAGTTGGGGCTCTGGGTTTGGGTTTTGGTAGCAGAGATAAACCTCGATATCAGTGCACCAGTAAGGAGGAGGAGGAGGAGGAGGAGGCCTTTATTTCATTTACCTCCTACAATCAAAGGCTCCACAGGCCTCTTCCAGGGAAAAATAAATGGACAAAAAAGATCCAGGTGAGCACGCCACATCAGTGCTAGAGGTGATAAGACATTTTCTGAGCATTTTTTTCCACTCTGGGTTTCCTTAGAGCAGACGGCCGGAGGGATAAAGTGATTGGCAGCGGGGGTCAGACAGTTGATCTGTCTCCTCATGGCTGTGCTGTTATCTGCTGCTGTTTGGGTTTAGGCCTCCAACACAGGAGGGACCACCACCACAGAGAGACAATGATTAGTTGAACTGGGAAAGACTGCACGCTCTGTCCATGCCACAACATATTTCAATTATAATGTTGTTTGACATCACCTACTGTATATCTTTGTGCTGGTGAATACTTTGTAAAAAAAGGAAACACACTCAGACATTTAAGTTATGTACGTCAATGACTGAGTGGCTCTTCAGTGGCAGCTGCAGTTCTCAACATCTGACAGACACTGAATAGCTGAACAAATGAAACACTCAGACTATCATTATGTCAGGGATTATGTTCAGGTGGACGCTGGTTGTACCAAAGAGAATTTCCTCAGGGTGGACAAGATCCTTCCTCTTCATGTCAAAGTGGATATTGTTTTATTCATCTTTGCCCTCTAAACCTTTTCTATTCTCAGGCGTCCAAAAACGGCTCATTTTAGGATACGAAAATGTGAACAAAAATATCTGTAGTCTGATTATCAACCATCAGGGGCAGGTTATCATTGTTTACCATACTGCCAAAAAATTACCTATACCTATCATTTGTTTTTTATTCTGCTCAGACCTTTACGCTTTTTTAGTTTGGAAAACTGTGTATTTGTCTGTGTACTTGTCAGTGTTTGCTGTGACTTCTAAGAAAGGGCAGCATTTTAACTCTGGAGAGATGGGGAGGGTGTGTAAGTGTGGAGAGGGGGTGAGTAATAAGGAAAACTGCCAGCAGCACAGAATGGCCGTCGTAATCCGGTTATCCCCAGGGCTCTAAAGATACTGGTCCTCTCCTTAGGAGTCTATCTTTTCTTCTTATGTCAAAACTGTCCTCCATGCACTCAGGTGGATTAAGGAGTCACACTGTAGAAAGAAATTGACAGGTACAGAAAGACCTGGGGGTGAAAAGGAAATGAAAGAAGACACAGAGAGGCAGGCTGGGCGCTCAGGCGGGGGGAGTGTGCTCCGACATCCAACAAGAGAAGAGTCTATCAAGTCAACGGTGGAGAAAAATGCTGATGTCTCCCTCTCATTTATGTATTGATTATGTGGATTAGTCATTGGCCGAGCTGATTATGTAGCCTTTGTGAAGTGGCTTCTCCTTCTTTGAATGTAAAAAAGCTTTTGTTCACTGATGCCAATGTATTGTCTGACTAAGTTTACATTAGCTTTATAAGCATTGCCTCATGAGTGTTCAACTAAAGCTCACTGAGAGTATCCTCTGGTTAAATGTCATATGCATATTGTCATCCACAGCTAAAGAGATTTTAATAAAGGTGTACAATACACCAGCTTTTATTGAAAGCATTGTTTTGTCCATCAGGACAACATAGACCTATTCTTATCTAATCCACTTGACTCTAAAAGAATGTTTTTCTCAGCTTTGAAAGGCAAATTGTGTTCAAATATAAATCAACCCCTTTTCAAGTTTGTGGAGAAAAGGGAATCCTGCTAAACCACTTAATCCTAATGGATTTTGAAACAGTTAACAGGCTAAATTTGAAGTTAAAACAACTTATTAGGCCGTGTCCGGAGTGATCTTATAGCAAGAGGAAAGAAGTTCACACTGTGTCTTCAAATGCGCCTCGTTCAGATCTCACATCCCTGCTCCAGATTCCAGTGAACACGGAGCCTCAATCGGCTTCATTCAAAACACTTTATAATGACAACAATGTCATGGTGCAAGGCTGAAAACAAAAAGGACCCAAAATGCAGGATGAAAGAAATGATTTATTCAAAAATACTAAAAGAAAAGCAACAAAAACTTACTTTAAATGTCCAACTCAAAATCCAAAGAACCGAAAAACCACAGGGAGACGCTAGAGACAACAAACACACTCATTCACAATAACCCAACAAAGAAACAAGGGATGACAAAGACCTTATATACACAGGGAAACGAGCAACGAGAGACAGGTGAGACATGAAGACACAGGTGCAGACAATCACAGAGGAGGGAAAACTGAGGAAGTAAAACAAGACTAGAAACGCAGGGAACAAACCTCTACAAAATAAAACAGGAAACACTGAAAACTGATAATGAATGAATCAGTTCAGAGCAGTGAATCAGTTCATCTCTTCTCATGAACATTACACATCTGTTATGGCTACTCTTGCGTTTTACAAAAAGGTCAAAAAACATCCGCGTAGTTTGTGAGGAGGAGGTCTAGGACTCGCTAAATAATAAGCTCTCGCTGAGATATTTCTGTTTGAAAAAAAGGATCTTGAAAAATATTCTCTGGGTTGACTTCAAACAACAAGCAAAATGAAAAACGTAATTTAGCGACAGATAAACAGTTTCACTCCTCACTTGCCTCACTCCTTCAGCACCCAGCAAAAACCAGCTGTCCTCACTCCCTAATCACAGGAGGAGGTTGGCCTGGCCAGGTGGAGGGACATGAGCAGCAGAGAAATATAAATAATAATTTGTTCACAATAATCATTATCATTATCATTTCCAAATAATTAAAATAATTATACAAAGAATCAAAAGGCTCCAATAACATCTGTATCCTCACTGTGCTTAATGTTTCCTCGACCATCTCTGTCTGTGGTCGCAGTCTTTCCACAGGATGCACTGACGACTCTTGATACTAATTATGCATACCAGTGACCAGAGCCTGAACTCTTCCCATCATAAGACCAACACTGAGGTCTTCTTCCTGGCCTTTTGCTCAGGTTCTGGTCCTGTTGAGTTTACAGTTAGTTGTGCTCTTCTGCACATCTCAAACTTTTATTCCAACACACTAAAACTCCTTCACTTTACTGTCAGAAAACCACTGAATGGGTTTACATCTTTTTGTGTGAAAAGTTTAGATGCACCCATACTTCAAAATGTGTTATTTCAGCTCTGTATAAATACACTGGAAAGCCAAAAACTGCATTCAAGCCCAACAGGAGTTTCTGACACTTCTGAGTGGTCCATTAGGAAACATTTCAGCAGGAAAATCCCTGAGATTTTCAGCGCTCTGTTGGGGGATTTCACTAAATCTTGTGCTTATTCTCAAGATACTTAGGAAAAGTCAAGCGGTTTTAATAGCTTTCCCCTGACATATTGGTGCTGGAATATGCTTTGGCTGTGTGGCAGATAGTTTAAATCCCCAGAGGTTGTGAGTCTCTCTCTGCCAGTATGCTTTTATACAGCCCAATCTAAAGTAAATTAATTCACTTCCTCCAACATCTGAGGATAAACCTGAGGGCCACATTACTGCTGCATCCTCCTATCAGCAGCCTTGTAATACAACCAAGTCAGCAGTCAATGAGATACATTTGCAACCGGGCATTTGTCAGCGACTCAGTGCCGAGATTTAAAATGTCTCGCACTAAATGAAGCGCTGCTTGGAAAGTGAAAGGTGCTGGCAAAGCAGGCGGCTGCTTACTATAAATGACAGCCTGGTTAAGGAGGTGATGATAAGGTGAAGATGGAGGGGAAGGAAAACCTATAGCAAGGGTTACGAGTTGGTTTTCACTTTTAATACCAAGCATTTAACACATTTTAGGGCCAATTTGATCCCTGAATACTTGACTCTGATGTCAAGGGTGCATGCAATCTGACCTCATGATCATTATAGAAACTCTCCGAGCTGTAATGTGATGACTAACTAGCCTTTTACTGACTGTTTAATACTCTAAAAGGATCTGGCCCAGAACCTGTGATGTTTCGAAAGGGTATGGGTGAAGTTGAAAGGAGTATGAACCACTTTTCATTCATAGTTGTATTAATTTGCTCAAATGAAGTTAACCCTGACACTTACGCTGAAGAAAGGTGATGTTTTCAGACCCAAATCTGTTAGACTAATTTTTTTCCTATTGATAATTCATTAAGATAATTTTACTCATTTTGTATTATAAAGGGTATTATGTTAATTATTTGTATTCTGTGCAGAAATAAATTCTTTACATTCTACAAATGAAGTCATCAAACAATCATCCTTTTTTATCATTACGTTATCTTTATTTTTTTTTACTATTTATTTTTGTCATCTCCCGCTATGAAGGACAACAGTTTAAGTATTTTTACTGGTTTCTTATTAAAATTCCTGTTTTCCCATAATACTCAGTAAATCTGAGTTTTTAGAGGGTGATGAGGAGCTTTAAATACTGAATGTGTCCAAAGTAATTGAAACATGTTTGAAAAATCTATCACACAATGTTGTTTGACAAAGTTATATTAATGAAACAAAGAAATGACTGGGGTCAGACAAATTACTACAAGCACTACTTCTTAACAGCTTAATATTTAATAATGAGCTCTACAAAAGTTCTTGCCTTTTTCTTTTTCTTTTTAATGAGCAGTCGTCCGCCTACACACACACACAGATGATTAAAAGCAGGATAACTTTTTGTCCAGAATTACAGCAGGGTTTCAACAATTTATCTGCGTTATACCTTTCTGATAATGCGCATTTGAGCATGAAGAAGGATATGTTGTCTGTCCACATTTATGTCACCTACTAAATGAAGAAAAACAAGTTCCTGGCATGAAAAAGAAGGTGGTGTAAAAACACTGGTAATTCTGATTTCATAATAATAATAATAATAATAATAATAATAATAATAATAATAATAATAATAATAATAATAATAATAATAATGATAATTTTGCTGTTATCAAAGTGGGGATTAGTTACGAGGAATGAAAGAACTACTTCAAGTAAAAATAAAGAAATTAATAGACAAATGGACAAAGTACATGTCCTGTGTATCATTTATTTATGCATCTGCATTTATTCATTTACTTCTGTGTCCACATCAGGTAAGGGCAGGTAACCTGAGTGAAGCTGAAAATATCACTTTGAAGCAGGGTTTGTCACATTGGTGTGACTAAAACTACCTCAACTTCCCTGATGCTGCCAACTTTATGGTGAGGACTAAGATTGTGTATTCTTAACCTGGACAGGAAGAGACTGCATAGCTGAGGCTGAATACAAGGAAGAAGAGCTTTCATGAAGATAAGGAGGTGACGGCACCTGGATGTCTTTGTTTTCTAAGCTTTTTTTTAATAGCTTTTTTTCCTTTTTTAATTTAAACTAAATCTGCAAACTTTTATGTTTGGACTTATGAAAATGACTGGCATGAAGTTTCAAACTTTTTTTTGTATGATACTGACAAACACTAATAAATTACTGGTAATTTGTTACAAAAGGCTAAGAAAATGATTAAGGTGAATATACATTTCTGCTCCATGAAAATAACAACAGGAACTTTAATAAATAAATAAAGATAATGTAAATGTGAACTGATACTACCTCATAGACTTAAACCTAAAAGCATTCTTTTAACATAAATCAACTTGACTCCAAAGGTGTGTACAGTGAAACATTCATAAGCCAATCCTTTACCTGTTTCTGGGGATAACCTTAAGGCTCTGCAGGTTCACTCATGTGTTGGTTCAGATGTTGACATGAAAAACACCTCACAGATGGAGCTAAAAAGGAACACAGGTGGCTCTGCTGGCTCTGCTCATGCAGCACCCCTTTCAGCCATAACTTATATATTTGGTGTGTCAAAAGCCACAGTGAAAATTAAGATCAGTGACAGATTGATGCAAAATTAAAGGACTCTCATCATTCTTACTCCTTCCTTTCAGTTATAATAGCATTTCCAGCTGTGTATGGTCAAAAAGGGCAGTTTACAGAGTAACCTGGCTACACGGGGAAATATGGAGATAGCCTTTTTCATTCCCATTACTTATTTTCTGTTTTATCCAATACATTTTTCTTCAAATTTCTGCATTTATTCATATATCCATTAATCTACATAATTTCTTGTTCTTTATAAATGAGACATGGCACTGAGGAAGAACTAAAGAAGCCCTCGAATCATGTTTGTGCACTATTTCTCTTTGTCCATTCTTTATCTAAATCAATAAGGTTTTCAACTTTAACAGCCCAAGAAATAAACTATACCTGACTGAAGTCATATCAGTGTTTATTAAGACAGACCACGTAAGGGCTTGCAATGAGATAACTAAATATTTTTTGACTAAGATCAAAAGATTTGTAGCAACACAAAGATAAATGAAACACACATACAAATGAAGTTCAACAGAATAAATATTTCATCAGGAACAAAGAACACAATGCCAGAGCTATGGTACTGCCAATGTCCACAAGAGGGCAGTATAACAACTTTTTTAATAGACTGGGCTCTTTTTAACCAGTTTTATGGTCACAGGGTATTTTGGGCAACAAGACATGGGAGTGGAATCGAAGATTTTTATTGCGCGATTATAGCGATTGTAGACGAATTAAGAAAAAACTATTGGGCTCGTCCGGGATTTGAACCCGGGACCTCTCGCACCCAAAGCGAGAATCATACCCCTAGACCAACGAGCCATGCAGATAATCGGAAAATAATACATTTTTATAATTTACTACTTAAAACGAGTGCAACGTTCATTCAATTGAAAAAGAAGAACTTCACAGACACTTTGAAAGTGAGCTAGTAGCGGACCGAGTTACTGAACTAAAAACGTGAACAATTCCCCTTTCTTGCACATAACCACGAATACTCAAGAACATGAGGATGGAATATCGATTGATGCTTTTTTAAAAACACATGGTTGTTTCTAAATAGTCATTCATTTTTAATATTTTCTACTCTGTCGCACCATCAGTTCAAGAACAACCATTTTAGAGGAGACTCATTTACTTTCCTCACATAGTGTATATAGTTTACACAAAAGTCGCACTCACTTACACATGAAACCTCTGAGGTTAGTCACTTCTGCATATTAGCCACATTGAGATAATGTCCACGTAAAGTTACTTCAAGTAAATAGTGCACTTTACAGCTACTCTACTATATCTCTCAGCTGCAGGTGAACATTGGCGCCCCCTGTTGGCTATAATTGAAGGTGAGTTCAAATGTTTGATGAATGGAAAATCAAAACCTGCTCCTTATATCATACAGTTACACAATTATGCATGCAAAATGTCAAACACTTGAAACTGTGGTAAGATTGAATATTGGAGAGGTAGGGCCCATGTGCCATCGGCCCTTTTGTCATTGCTAGCACACCAGCACTCACGCAAAAAAACTCACATCTTAAAGTTTATATGGAGAAAAGAGCTTTGATGCTGTTTTGCCCAAAAAGATAGTGTTATGTCGTTCACAAACGATTCGTTCAAAATAATAGAATATTTTAAGCGAACGTCCTGAACCGAGTCACTTCCTTAAGTGATCTGTTTGCTTCTCACTTCAGCCGAGCTGTCAGAAGTGCAGCACACAGCATTGCCAGGCCAGCAGCCATTGAACGAGGGACTGCCATGCACTGACGCCTGAATCACTTGGTAAACGAATCACGCATTGAACTACACTCTCTGGAATAATTTTTGTCGGACAAAACTACCCTTTTTTTACTGCTATATTGCCACCACACCAACTTCTATACAATAGGACACAGCATGTAACAAGCAGTGCATAGCATGGACAAAAGTGAAAAAATATCAAATTGCACAAAATAAAGACATGTCATTTTACTGCATTCAGGCCACATTATTAAGAAACCGAGGAGGACCATGCCGTAATGCATGCCTTTCGAAATAAGCTATTTTTCAAAATAAAAGACATGTTCTGGACCCATCGAGAACGTGTCTGCGACCCACTTTTGGGTCGGGACCCACCAGTTGAGAACCACTGATCTAGAATAGATTACAAACTCATCACAAGCTATTTACTTCCTCTGAAGCTGCTGAAACAATAAGCATTTACGTTTTTTGAGAAAGTATTTACAACTTCATAGGTTTCCTTACAGTTTCAGAAACAGAAACTGTCGGGGAAAACAGAGTAACATGAGGATTTTCCTGTAACTGATGGTATTTGGTTTCACTCTTCAGTTCAGGGTCTATGACTTAGGGGCCAACTATGAGCACATTGACCAAGACATGCAAAAGCATCTAGTTTCTTGGGGACTGATACTTCTTTTATTATTGTTAGAACCGCTTTTACAAAGCACTATCCTTTTAATTATAAAAAGTTAAAACTCTTCCTCATAAAACTAATGATAAAAGTCATTGATCAGGTTGTCTATCTTAGTCAGAAGCAGTCATGTCTTGTCCTGTCTGGTGGACTGTGTAGTGGTGGCCCTGTAGCAGCAGGAGCAGCTCTCTCTCTCTCGCCCAGTGCATTGTGGTCTGTGTGCTAAAGGAAGCTGCTGCACCGGAATCTGAAGAATTTGAGGTGTCCGCCAAGTCTGCTGTTCATCGTCGGCTCGTCTATCTGTGTGTCGATCTGCATTATACTTTCTACGGACGGGCTGTACGGTAAATCTACTTGTTAATCTATAAGTCTTTCGCAGGGTGTCTTAATTCCTCGTTAACCACAGTCAAACCACCGACGCTAACATTAGCTGCTGAAGTTAACATCCAGCAGGAGAAGCTACTCGGCTAGTTAGTTGATAGTGCTATGCTAAGCTTGTTCGTACCAATTACCCAACAGCCAGCGGGTAGTTAGCTTTGGTCAACAGCTTAAATTGGACTAATTTAGGTAGTTTTTTGTGTAAAGGAAGTGTCAAACAGCGTTTCTTTTTGTCGAAGATATCAGCATCAGCACATGTCACACCCACTGTGCCGTTACCGTTAGACCGACAGCAACGGCTAATTAAACAGCTAATTTCATCCCAACTCACTGACACATAAAAGAGGCGGTTTGTCCAGTTAGGAAGTTACTCACATATGATTCTTCTTCTAACCTAGCTTTATTATGCCTTTTAAACTGACTTAAAGCTGGATTTGTGCAGCCTGGATACACTGGGGCTGTTTCATCCCTACACTGTGCCTCTCACAGTGTGCAGATGCATCGATTTATCGACGAGAGCATCGATATATCGGCAGAGCGTATCGGTTTGGCCTTTTTGCAAAGAGCCCATTGAGATATTACATATGGGTAGTTAGCAACAAATATATGTTTTATAAAAGTAAGCTGGGTGAAAATAACATAAAACCGTCGGACGGTCTTTTTTGTGTGGTTATTCACATTTCCGCTTTTTTAGATTTTGGTAATGCATTTACATGAACGCATTTGAATAGTTTTTTTTTTGTTTTTTTTGTTTTTTTTCGGAAAATGTGAAAAAGGTTATGTTTTATTTTTACAATTGAATTCCTTCTCTCTCAAAGATACTGTAATGACAGTTTTATACATACATTTTTAAAATTTTGAATAGTTTTCCAGTGTCCTAAAAATCCCAAACAAACTAGTTATTTTTTCAATCAGCTGATTTCGTGGTTGTGTCAATAGGAATTTTATTTCTAGCTAACTGACTAATCTAAAGGTAAGAAAATACATATAACAAAGTCATCACTGAGCATACTTTATGTACCAGGGCCAAACAGAGGACTGAAAAAGTCTGTGAGCTAACACTGTGAAATTGGTTTGCTTAAGCGGGGTACACACATAAGGGTTTTTTTTAAATCTGAAGAGATTTTTTTATCTGTTCCAGACCCCACACATGAAGATAAAAAATCAGGCATTGAACAGTTTTAATTGTACTCTGTGTGGTGTGCTCCAATAATCTCAACACAGCACACCACACACAAAACGATTCTTTTCCACCACCGATCTAGAATCTAGTCCTCCAAGACATAAATCTCGCGTTATAAAACGTGATCGAACAACGAAAAAGAAGAAACATAGCAACAACCAGGAAACACAAGACGCAACATGGAAGAGGACACGCAAGAGGCGGGAATGATGGTGGTTTTAGGAGTATTTTTGACAGAAAAATCCCGTACTAAAAAAAAACATTTAAAAAGATTAAAAAGAAAATTATTTTTATCCGCTTTCTTTGGTTCCTTGTTCCTCAGTCAGCTCGCTTCTTGATTGGCTACGTTCCGTTTCAAGCGACAACTCACAGAGTCATGACTTGGGAGTCATCGGCTTTCCTCACACACGTGAAGATTTTTGGTCGTAAATTTTGAACAAGTTTAATATTCACGATTGTCGGCCCCGACCAGTTTCGGACCCAATTATTGGGACAAAGTCACTCTGAATACACCTCAGACCACAGGATAATCTTGTAGGATAATCTTAGAAGACATGAGATAATAAAATCCGATTGTCATCCTTGGTTGGGAGGAGGAACAGCGGGACAAAAACAGCCTGATTATCTTTATGTGTGTACCCCGCTTTAGTGTGTCTAACATTAGCAGAGCTAACACCACCAGCCTCTGGTCCTACTTGTATGTTATCATGCTCATGCTTGTGCTGGTTACTTTGTCCAATGGTAAAGCCCACATCTGGATAGTTGAGTGATGTAGCATTAGGCAGTTGCCATTGGCCAGTGTCACAGTCCAGTGTAGTGGCAGATGCCTGCGCTGTGATTCAGACACAAATATGACTGACATTTCAGGCCTACCACAATAAAAACATTAACCACTCAGTAATTCTGTGGCAGATTTGCAAGTGGGATGACGTTCAATTGTGAAGTCAGCCAAGTGTGCACTTCCCCTCGAACATGACAAAACATTAGTATCGAAGTCAGTTATCAGCTGTTTTGAACATTAAGAATTAGTATTTGCCCGGGTTTTGCAATTCATCGCAGTCCAAGTTTCATATATCAACTATGACACAACCAGATGGTAAATACACCAACAGCTGAAAAGATGTTGGGAATACAAGCGCAAGTATAGCATGATCTGTTTTACCCTGAGATCAGTGCAGCTGTAGTTCAGTTCACATAGCAGGAAAAGAGTTTTTCTGTGGTGAGACAGAACCTTACAGAGCACATACCAGACTTCCTGTCTCTCACACTTTCAGGCCTTTCAGTATGAGCTGATAAGGGTTACCCTTGATTTTATACAAGGTTCACGTAGACCTGAGTTTTTTGCAAAATTTGAGTCTTGCTAGCAGCCAGGTGTTGTTTTAGTTTCTGAGTGTGATAAGTCTGTGTTATCTCTTTCAGGGTTGACAAGGGGAAAAATGTCTCAGGCTGACAAAATGAAGGTGAGACAGACATTACATCTGAGCATGCTGTAATACCAGGTTACCTCTTCCGCCTTAGGGACTGTTCTCACGAAAGAGTTGAAATGATAATGACCAAAGTGTGTATGAGTAATATGCAGCCACTCTCTGCTTTAAACTTCACAGTTAGGGTTGTTGGAACTGTGTATTCCTGCTCTTTTCAATGGCACCATTTGTGCTTTGCTGCTTCCCTCACATTACTTCCTGCATTCTGGTGTGGCTCCCAAAAAAAATATCACTGGATCACTGGGACAAATTCTCAGCAGGCGTGTCCTCCACTCATGACTCACTGATATGGCTCAAATGCAGAGCAAGAATGCGCCACATATCAATATGAATTCTGCCGAAGGAAACAAGGAAGAACAGAAAAGAGAGGATTTGTAAATCTCTTATACTGTGAGGCCAAAGTACGTCATGTAATGGTAATTTGAATCTTTGTGACTGATTTGAAGTTGCCTCTGTCTCGCATTTCTACAGGGGATATTAAAACCTGCACAGATTGTCTGCTTCTTCTTGGTCTAGCTCTCTGCGTAGGAGAGAGAGCCATAAACACTGGAATGAAGGGTTTTGGAAGTAGACTGCAAAGAAGTCACTGTTATCTGCCTAAATGACCTCACTGTCAGTGAACAGATGTCACCTCAGTGGTTGAAGTTCCTGCTCTAAAACTTGGCAGTCACATGTCCATTATGAAAAACTCAAAGTATGTTTCACTTTAACCTGATTCGAGTGGAAGTCTACAGTTTGAGCATTTCTACAATATATCCTTTCAACTCAAGTATGAAGGTCACCAAACATGTTTTTCTTGTAACTCATGACTCTTGTATATTTTTATACCACCCTTTTGTCTAACAGCAGGGACAGTTCAACAACCCTGAGACTCCAGGATACGTGGGATTTGCCAACCTGCCAAATCAGGTTCATCGCAAGTCAGTAAAGAAAGGATTTGAGTTCACGCTGATGGTCGTAGGTGAGTGCGTGGACACTGTAGCACAGGTTTAATCCTGCCCTTTACTCCTGCTTGTTTTGTGATACTTTTGTGATTTGTCTGAAAAGGAGTGAAGATTGTAGTGATAGCAAAGCTTAGAAAAGACATGTCGAGTAAACATGGACGTTATTTGATTTTCTGCGAGAAACTTCCTGTGGGATCTTGCTCAGCTGCTGCAGCCTTAGCTACAAAATGACATCTTTTTTTCACATCTGCATTGACATCTCTATTTTCGTTGCACATCAGGTAGTTGCTTCTTCTTTTTCATGGTTTTGTGTATGAAACCTGAAGCTGGTAGAAACAGGCAAATGTCCTATCAGTAAAGTAGCTCAGCTGATCTGGCATAAACTCCTGATGTGAACACTGACTGTGTAAACCTCCCTGCTTGTCTGTGAGGGGGGGAGGGTAGAGGCTCCCCTGAATACTGCTGCTCATCCTTTTTGCTTTAAAATAAACCAGAGAGGAATGCAGGCTGCAGGCCTCGGGGGTCTGATTCACACAGTGGACAAGGGGACAAGGGCCTGCCTGCCGGTCGCTGTGCTTCAAGAACGCAAACTGAAAGCTAATTTTTAACTGAGTGTTTAATTTTGTTTTTAGTTTATATAAAAAATATACGAGCTGATTAAAAAAAATCTGTACATACATGCATTTGGAAAGTTTCCAGACGGGATGTAGTTACACTGTACAGCTTTTGCTGTGACTCTGGTGGGAGTCACTGAAGTCACATTCCAGAGTAAAACATACAAGCTTCAAGATTTACTCAAGATTTGAACATTTTTACAGTTTTATAAGGTACAGGAAGTTACTTTTATTTCATTCAATTCTGCTGCTTTCAGGTGTCCGACACCTGAAATACAACGAGAGTAAAAAAAATCTTAGAGGGACAGCAAGAATGTTTTGACTGATATGAAGCTTGTCTCTGTTCTTCAAACTACATCCCAGAAGGTGACAGTGTCGGTGACAAAATGTGCATGGACTTATTTTTATAAGTCTATTAGAACTCAGACTGTATCTGCAAGGACCTAAAAACTGAAACCAGTTTACAGTCTTTTCTGTTATATCCTGTGTGAAGATAAAGTCGCTGTAAAGAAATGTAGGACATTCTTGGTGAAAGTGAAACCAGTTATTGCTTACATTCATGCTAAAGTCAGATTTAGCACCATGATGTTGATCCTGTTGCATTCAGCTTCTGTGATTTTGAGTATTTCAGACTAATTTTTCTCATACTTACCTCGATTCTACTGCTGCTAACACATCAGTGCTTTGTGTTACTCTTTCTTTGTCAAAGGTGAATCTGGACTGGGAAAATCGACCTTGATTAACAGCCTCTTTCTCACTGACCTTTACCCTGAGAGAGTCATCCCCGGAGCAGCAGGTAAAACCCATCAACTCTAAATAACCTTTTCACTGAAGCTACTTTGTTTTACTTCTCTTAAATGTATGTATTAAATGCACATAATCATCCAGAACTGACCATAGTTCTGCCTGTCAGAGGAGGACATGGATGAACACATTTCTCTTATGTTGTTCTGACAGAAAAGATAGAAAGGACGGTTCAGATTGAGGCGTCAACGGTAGAAATTGAGGAGCGAGGAGTGAAGCTACGTCTCACTGTGGTAGACACACCAGGATATGGAGACGCCATCAACAGCCAAGACTGGTATGAAATCTTTGAGGGCGTAAAGCTTATGACAAGATGAGGTATTTTTAGATTTGGACTAGAGTGTCAATCCTGTGATCTCGAGCAGTGATGAGCCTGAAGCCTCGAAATATTTTGATCAAAATCAAGAAGAGTTCTGTGAAACTTTCCTCTTGATTCAAGTCTTCAATGAGTGTGATTTTTACATCCAAATCCATTGAACAAAATTCAACCAGGTCTTTTGATCTCAAGAAAAATAGATATTTTAGAAAATTCCTCCAGTTGGAGAAGCAGCAAGACAGATGATGTCAATTCAGGTTTTATCAGCATTGAACCATCTACTTACAAGATGAAAACAATACACTGTTCATGCATTCATATCATGTTCATCCCTTGTCAGTTTCAGCACCATAATCAGCTACATCGACGACCAGTTTGAGCGCTACCTCCATGATGAGAGTGGACTCAATCGTAGACACATTGTGGACAACAGAGTTCACTGTTGTTTTTATTTTATCTCCCCGCTGGGCCACGGGTGAGTCCTGCGTTATATAACTTCATACATTACAAAGACGACTTGCACTCTGTCAAAGTCATATTCTCTGCTTCCAGCTACATTTTCTCTCAGTTTCCTTTTCTCTCTCTCTCCGCTCTGATTTGTCTGTTTCTGGTACGAACAGCCTCAAGCCTCTTGATGTTCAGTTTATGAAGGCCATTCACAATAAGGTCAACGTGGTTCCTGTCATTGCCAAGGCAGACACACTCACCCTCAAAGAGAGGGAGAGGCTCAAGCGCAGGGTAAGGACAACAGTCATCCATTGTTCAGGAATTTTCCCGCTTCCTGAAATAAACTGTAGCTATCATGTGCTGGGAATCATGCGTGAATATATTGTACTGTGCTAAACATGGCTTTGAATTTGACTTAAGGATGCTTCAGTGAGACAGTCAGTGTCAAGGCTGAGATTTTCCTATCTTACTTTTCGTTTTTAGCATGAACACAACAGGCTGTAAAAGACCAAGTTCATAACTTGTGTTTTATTTGTTAGATTCTGGATGAGATAGATGAACATGGCATTAAGATTTACCACCTTCCTGATGCTGAGTCGGATGAAGACGAGGACTTTAAAGAGCAGACAAGGATCCTCAAGGTAAACGCTCAAAAGTTTCATCCTCTTAAAAAAAGTAGATAAAAGTAGACAACCGCATGTCTCTGGTAAATGTCTGCTGAAATCGCTTCATTTCTCTTTGCTTTGGTTTTTGGAGTGGAAATGATCAATGTGTGATTGAACTGAATCTGAAGACACAGAATTGCCTCTTCTTTTCCAGGCTAGCATCCCATTTGCAGTCGTGGGATCCAACCAGCAGATTGAGGCCAAGGGGAAGAAAGTGAGGGGCCGCCTGTACCCCTGGGGAGTCGTGGAGGTGGAGAACCCAGAACACAATGACTTCCTGAAGCTGCGGATCATGCTGATGTAAGTGACAGAGGAAGCTGAACTCACTGCTTTCTATTCATTCAAGTTTGAGCGAAGTGAGGAGTTGTAAAACTCTGCTTATCCCGTTTGTTTTCTTCCAAATGCTGAGGAAAGAGGCTGCAGCCAACTTGTTCATTTGCCAGGATGCTTTTCAGACACAGTGAGCCAAGTCTATCCCTGCCAGTAACCTCTTTGTGAAGGTGTAGCTAATTAGAAAAAGGGTTGGCGCCAAAATGGAGGCACATAGCTGTGTCCCAAAGTAACACTAAGTACCAGCAACACTGACATGTGGTCGGGATAAAACCAAGAGGGTTTCTCCCAATGTGAGGTGCGGTGGATTAAAGACATTCAGATGTTTTCTTGTCAGTCAAAAAACTGCCAGGATGTCAGATTCTGATTGGATTAAAATAACATGTAGCTAATATGGCAAGATGTGTACTTTTCATTTAACTTAAACCTTGCGTGCTGCAGACATGGTTGTTAAATGAAAAGCATTGTTTTTGTTACGCAACAAATGAACTGAAATTATTTTTCTTTGCTGTCATAAAACTTAGGGGTGGAAATCACTAGTGGCCCTGTGATACGATATTATCATGATACTTTGGCCACAATACGGAACTTTTGTGATTTTTAACATTTTGCAATACAGTGAATAATGAGATACAATATATTGTGATTTATACAATTTTTTCAACTGTTTAGCTATTTCAGCATTTGTCTTTCGTTTATGTTTTTCTTATTTACACTGTGTTTTATTTTCATGTAGCACATCTCCCAAACATAATATATATTTGTTGTACTAAAGCTGCGTTCCAGTTACCTTGGAGGTCAGATGACAGAGCTGAAAATGACGTCACAACCGAGTTTGCAGAGTTTCAGTTACCGAGTGGGAAAAAAGCAAAATCAGAGGCCTGAAACAAGATGGCTATATCTACGAAAGTGATTTTAACGCTAGCCTTATATCTGGACAAGGCAAGCACTAAAATAACTTTCATAGATGTAGCCATCTTGTTTCCGTCTCTGATTTTGCTTTTTGGTAACTCAAACGCTGGTAACTTGGGTGTGACGTCATTTTCAGCTCGGACTCCTGACTTCTGAGGTAACTCGAACGCAGCATAACTCTCTCCTGCTCTATGATGTCACCTCTGCAAACCTCACTGGACAAACAGTGGATTTTATCCTACGATTATCATAGATTTGACTTCATATTAGCAATTAATTTGAAAAATCGATACTTCGTAAATAAGATGATACAATATGCCACTAGACAAAATATCGCGATACTATGCTGTATCAGTTTTTTTCCCACCCCTAATAAAACTGTAGTAGCAAATATCAGCCTTAATAAATCCATGGTTTGGGGTAAACTTTTTTATTTTGAGACACAGAAGTGATTTCTAGAGAAACAATCTTGGCTTTGAAGTAACGGGAGGCATTTTCAAGTCTGCTGTAGTAATCATGAGGACTCCAGAGTTTAGCCACATTTGTTGTTCCTAAATGTCTGTAAGAGTACTCACTCAAAAATGACCTCTCTACCACCCCACACAGAACCCACATGCAGGACCTGCAGGAAGTGACCCAGGACCTCCACTACGAAAACTTCCGCTCAGACCGTCTCAAGCGGGGTGGCAGGTTGTCCTCCCATGGTTACGTTCTTCCTCTGTCTCCTGCGTACGTCAGCTTGCTTCTCTGCACCTCCCCCACTTCTAACAGCAAACCTCCGATTAGATCTGTGTCATGAGTTTATGCAGAAAACAACACATATGCAGGTTCTGAACACATGACATGAAAGAAGACATGAGGAAGAGGAAACTGTGGAGAATAATCTTAGTTTAGAGAATCATGTTTTGAACCGGTTTTAGTTTCTAGTATTGTAGATCTAACTCCTCATTTTGCATGTGTAGCTGTTCAGTAAAGCAGTGTTTTTGATATAGTCTGTGGGCCCTGGTGGTTTGTGGTTTTACATGGTTCGTATGTAGCTAAATAGAATGTAGTTTTGGTATCTGTGGAGGTTTTAGACCAGATACTGTGCAATTTAACATAGTGTGAATACTTCATCATTTAACCCTCAAAGTAGACCAGAGAGATCCTTTAAGCCTTCCTCTGAAGCCAACCCAGGATAAGGGAGTGGTTTTACTGCCTTCTCATTGGCCCTCTGTCCAACGATGGCTGTCCCGTCTTGATTTGTTCAATCCCAGGAGGTACCGTCTTATTTTCCACTTTGAGGGAGAGGTATTGCTGTTCTCCCGGCTCACTTGCTCGCTGTTCCTCTCTTGAATCTTGCTGCTTCCATCTCTTTGTAGTTATGTGTTGTAGACGCCTACTTTTCTGCCACCACTAACCCACTGACTCTGCCCTCACTTTCTCAATGTGGCTTTTTCTCATGTTTGCCTCTTAAAATGGTACAACGTGCACTTCCAGGCATGCACACTCAAACACAAACTTCTCAGCCTAACCAGTCGTCAAGCTTTATGAATAATCACACAAAGTAATTTCACTGGAGCATTTAACTTGATGTTTGTTTGGTTGACTGGCATATATTTAGCAGAAATATCAGAGGTTGATTCTGTACGCCAAAGGTAACTGTAGTTGTGTCATTGATGCAGAAAGGGACCAGAGCCGGAGGAAATGGACAAGGACATGATCCTGCAAGAGAAGGAGGCTGAGGTAGGATGTTTTATCCTTACATACACACTACATCATTTTTTAATGAACCGTCCTTCATATAAAATAAACTTATGTGCCAAGATGACAGTATTGAGACTACAGTAATTTTGCACCTGTACACTATCGATGGGGGAACTTTTTAAATCTAAATTTAAAGCAGAAAATATAATCTAATTACGTCATAGTTGTAGCTTTATATTCAGTTTACAAACTCATGACTTGTCTGAGTTTTGTTGCGTAATTCTTCACAAGGAGGCTTTTAAAATCCAAATCCAAAATGTAAAAGTAGTCCTTTAAAGACCATTCACTGTCCTGGTGGTGAGGTCTTAAAAATAATGCCATCATTCATATCAACAATACTTGTACTGCATTTGTTTTAGGTTAGAGATAATATTATGTTCTCTATGTGCCCATTTTCTACACAAAACTAACTAAGGGTGGGAATCACCCCACGATACGATATTATCACGATACTTGGGCCAAGATACGATTTTATTGCGATTTTAAACATTTTGCAATACAGTGAGTATTGGGATACAGTATATGCGATTTATACCATTTTTTTTCATCCGTTTAGCTAATTTAGCATTTGGCAAAATTTGGCTTTCCTTAATGTTTGTCTTATTTACGCTGTAATTTATTTTCATGTAGCACATTTTGCGAACCTTATATACATATTTGTTGTAGTAACTTTCCCCTGCTCTATGATGTCACCTCTGCCAACCTCACTGGACAAACAGTTGATTTTATTTTTCCATTTTCATAGATTTGACCCCATATCAACAATTAATTTGAAAAAATTGATACTTGGTCAATGAGACGATACAAAATATTGCGATACTATACTGTATCCTTTTTTTTCTCCCACCCCTGAAAATGATGATGCTTAGTGTTTTCAGTGCTTTGTCTCCTAAGCACAAAATTGTTTTTTCGTTGCTATACTCTCAGCATTTAAAGTCGAAAGTAGTTAAACTATTGAAACAGTATTGTGCTCATCAATATCACCTCTCTACTGCTGAGCAAAATCAAGAAGAAAGGACTTCAGACATCAGCTTTGTCAGTACCAGCGGCAGAGGTCTGTATAGATGTTGTTGTTTCTTCATCTTACATGGATGTTCTTCTCCTTTCTACAGTTGAGACGAATGCAGGAGATGATTGCCAAGATGCAGGCCCAGATGCAGAAGCACGGAGACGGAGAGGGAGACGGCCAACATGTGTGAGAAGTCCACGGTAGGAGCTCAACCCACTCATACACCCGAGTCTGCAGACACAGTGCACAGTATTTCCCAATGGCACACCTTATCTCTTGTACATGTGACCTAAATACCAAGAGAATACATTCCCTCTGTAGACACTTGTGTTTGGTGACTCCAGGCTTAGGTTTTAGTTTCAAATATAAGATATGTAACTTTTCTTTTTACTTCCTTCTGCAGGTATTTGAGCCACTGCCAGAGTTTGACTCAGAAGGAAGACTGATAGCAGAGATCAAGTGAAGACCTTCTGGTTATTTGACTCTTCCTGCTTGCCACTATTTTTTTATTTCAGTCTCTTCTTAGATCTGGATTTCTTCTTTTTTTTAATACATTAAATATATTCAAACAGTGTTACCTTTATATATTCACACGGTTCTTTTTCTTTTCTTTTTTATTTCACCTTTTTAAACATTTGCCAGTAATCGAAATGAAGTCACATGATGTATATCTACATAAACCATAAACTCATTGGGATGTCTTCTTTTTTTTCCTCGTTTTTGTTACTGTATTGTTAATGCTGAGGAGATAACTGAAATGTTGCTGCTTTTGTTAAGTGCTTTTAATGCGAGAACATCTCCTAAAGCACATGGTAACCTTCATTGGGAGACTCAAATGTGGTAAAACTAGTAGCAGAATTTAATTTTCATGCAACTGTTATGTCATGATCTCGATTTTTATTACATATTTCTGTATCCCTGTAAGCCTGGGTCATTACTATCATAGTTGTCTGCTCATCTGCATGAGACTCCCCACTCCAGGATGAACATTCTTTCCCCCCATCAGTGCAGTTTTGGGACCAGCTTCTTCCTCTCCTGCCCAAACCTTTACTCATTAGTGCAGTTCTCAGATCAGTGTCTTAGCGTACAATGGAATTCAAGTGTTGTGAAGCTGCGTTCGAGATTAGTACAAATTAAACTGTGACCCTTGACCTCCAAAGTCTTCCTTTAGACCTGTCAAATGAAGGACTGACAGATGAGGTGCCACGCCTCTGTTTGGTGCTTTCAGTCATCTTGATGTATTTCCTCCTCTCAGTAAAATGAAGTCACGTGCCAGGGAGCACTTCCTGTTTCATATTTTCATTGAAGCAGTGAGTAACTGCAGAGTTCTTTGTGGTTTCCATAACGTCAGAGATCACACAAGACCCGATGAAGTCATTGTAGCCAATATTTCCCTCACCAGCCAAGATGTGAGTTCTTGACATTCCTCTTTGTGCTGTTTATACCCAATATTAAAAAAAAAACAGAACCAAATATTGTTTTTGATGCATATATTGTAATAAAAGTTTTATTAAACTTCATGTGTTTCATGTTTATTGAATCAGTTGTCAAATTAAACTAAAAAGAAAGCCGATGATGGGAAACCTGGTCAGATTTTTCTATGCGCACGTCAACTTGTGCTTCCTCTTCCTTTCATGTGTGTCATTTGTGTGATTAATCAATAAACTGACACAAGTTTTATGAATGAATGAAAGGAAAACCTGAATTATAGCTCTAAAGCAGTAATTAGAAAAACAGACATTTAAACACCAGCTTTTTATACAAAAATTTCACAAGAGAATTTCAACTTTATATATGTAAGTTTGTCCATGAGAATCAGAAACACCAGACAAGACGCTGAAGACAACAGGACATTTTCCATAGACTTTATTATAGGTTTTTTCTTCTCAGTCTAACATGTATACACAACGCTCTAAATGTCATGGCTTTTTTTGTCTTAAATACTCTCCGCTCTTAAAGAAAAACTGTAAAAATATTTAATAACTAATTAAAAGATCTCTCGGGGCAGGACTAGGAAGGGTGCAGATACCAGGCGTTGTGGGGGGGGGTCTTCTGTGGTCCTTATCTTGAACTGCGGATGGGTCTGGGAAGGGGGAAAAACGGGGGATCAGGGGTTCAGTCATGTCCAGCTGGGTTTTCACCGTGAAGACTGGGTGGTGTTACCGTTTAAAGAAAACCTGGAAGCAGGAAAATAAATCGGTCAATACAAAGACAAAATCGTCTCTGCAGAGCAATGGACATGCAGGGTTAGAAGATGTGATGGGTCATGATCTCACCTGCACACTCTTTCCATCATGTGTGTGACAAGGCGGTCAGAGATCCCTGGACAGGACTCCTCTGCCAGGTTAAAGGCGTTTTCCAGCTCCTCGATGGCTCCAACGCCCGCGCCACTCGCCCGTCGCTTCTCCTTCAACTGGTTGATGAGAAAAAAGATGTTCTGTAATAAACTCGCTAACCTGCTTTTCTCTGGTTTATAATTTAAGATATGTACAACCTCAACACAAATCAGTATACAAAGAACATTAAACGTCTTTCTAGAGTTCTCTGATTTCTTCTTACAGAAATTATAACTACAACAACCGTGAGTGAAACAGTTTCTGTAATAACAAGCTTCTCTCTGCACCAGAGCACCAGGAGGAAGCCTCGACTCTATTTTCTTCTCTGTGTTTCTTCCTCACTTCACCCTTGTCCTTCCTTGTTTAGGATGTTCTGTTGCCTATCCTGTTTTTGTTTTGTTTGTCAAACTCCAGATCTGTGAAGGTTAATATGTGCAGATACTTTCACAAACATCCTCTGAGCTTGTTTCACATGTAAGTTCTTTACACGAACACGTCTAAAGCTCAGAAGTTAAATCACTGGGTCCAGGTTTGACTAGATTCTCACTTTAGATACGCTTCTTTACTTTTATATAAGAGTGAGACATGATGATGGTATTGAGGTTTTCAGACTTTTGCTGGCTGATGATGTCTGTGTCTGCTTATCAGTGTCCAGCGTTGATTTCTCACTAACTCCGACACTTTGAATATTGAATTACAGGGTTAAGCTGTTAACATGTCTTTGTACGCAGGTTTCTGACATACCATAATACTGCAGCTGTCTCAAAAGCAGGATGAGGGCTTATGGGGGTTTATGGACAACACATAACCAGGATACTTTTTTTAGACTGGATTAACTACTCCAGATTAAGACCCACTACTAGTCCCATTCTAACAGAGTTCAGGAAAACCAACATGTTGATGAAATTTGTGAAACATTTTTAAAAGAAAAAAGAATAAAACTGTGTGTTTTGTTTATGGCAGCACATTAACAAGGTTTAACTGCACTGAAAAAAATGAAAAAGACAACCTTTAAACTATTATCTAGTTTGGTAAAGCATACCTCTCTGAAGATCGGTGTTACCAGCGCAGAAAGGCATTGTGACTTGGGTTGCCTTTTCACCGAATCTCCTGTCTTAGGAAAGGAAAAAAACAAAGTCAATCAACAATCAAATAAAATGTTTGATTGGTGTTTGGTGCTCTTGCATAATGTCTTACTTCTGAATCTGTGTATGTATAACCCTTCTGTAGCTTGTTTAGAGAGGTGGGTCTGACTGTGGGGAAGGTCCACATTGGACTTGTGTCCACATCACCATCAGCATCCCTGGAGCAAGAACAGAAAGAGAGGAAGGCAGGGAGGAGAGATAATGAGAGTGACTTTTGGATCAGCAAAGACGACCCTTTAATACAACTGTCAATGTTCCATCACAATAAAAGCTTTTAAATTCATGGATATAAAAGGTGTACATGTTGATAAAACTTTGACTTACAGAGCGGAGAAAATGGCAAAATAAAAGCCAAAAGCTGCAACTTGAGGATGGATGGCTTCAAAACTGAGCAAGTTCTTATGAGGCCCAACTTCACATGCTTTGAATTACTGGAGGGCTGAACGGATCACTAAGCTTTATCTTGTCTTGAGATTTTTACGTTTTTTTTCCACACAAACACTAGACAAATAATAATGCTTGCTGTAAAACAACATTTGGATTGTCCAAGCAGTTTGTGCTCTGTTTTGATGAGTAAAATTCTCGTATTTCTTCTCAGATGTGGGCACTAAAACAAGGCTTTAGGTGTCAGCATTTACCGTACCTATTTACTTTGAGAGCGTGTGCTTAGTCTTGAAGGATGACAAACATCAAATTTGTCTGGAAGTGCTTCAAATACACAAACAGGGTCTAGACAAAAAGATTCTTAAAGCGTCTCTTAAAGTTTGCTCCTGTGAAATGTCCTTGTCCTGTAATAAAACAGACATCAATCCTGATATCTCATTAAGAGCTACAAAAACCAACGATTTCTGCTGCAGGTTAGGAGTCAAACAGAGTAATCAACAACATGCAGCAGAAAAAGCTCTGATTCAGTGAACAGTGACTGACAATTCACTGATGGACAGCATGAAAAAGATCTCTGTCGAGTAAAAGATGATGTACAGTGAACAGGCAGTTATGTGAATTAGAATTCTGATGCAGATGTAATGTCAATATTAACTCAGACTTAAAGTTCCTCACAGGACAACACTTCAGTTTTTTTCATGGCTGCTTTTGTAGGAAGAGGATGACTGTCCTGCAGCAGCAGTCAAGTCAAATACAGTTTTTGATCATCAGTTCTGGTTTGATAAGATGGACAACGCTGATGTGTTTGGCTGAAGGATGTGACCATCCCTCTCACACAAGAAACTATTTTGCAACAAACTTCCTCTTTTTATTTTGCTTTGGTAAAATGAAGCTGAACTTCAGACCTCAGCTATCCTTGCAAGCAACCAACCAAAATTCTTCATGAAAATAAAACGCGTTGATGGCGATAAAAATCAATGTATGTTTGTACAATAATGATTAAATTCATGTGACTCAACTCAAGACACAACATCAAGTCCTGACTATGTCCTGGGACTCAACACAACTGGAGGGTATGAATGTGTGTTCTTCAAACTCACATGTCTGAGTCGTCAGAGCTAGATTCCTCCCCGTGCCCCTCAGACTTCCAGCGGCGGTAGCGGTCAATCAGCTCTGTCAGATAAGCCGTCTTCTTTGTATAACGTGTAATGAACTTATGTTTCAGGAGCTCTTTGGCTGTCGGCCTCTGTGCAGAAACATCAGAATAACAGAAGCAGCAGAAAGATTATTATCATCAGCGTCAAGAAAAACTAGCATTGCTTGTATAAGTTCAGATTTAACAACATTTTTAAGATTTCACCAGAATGTGATCAGGAGTGGGTTTAAAATTCCAACTGAGGACAAAGCGCTGTAATCTACTCACAATGACCCAAGTCTTACACTCAGAACAACAGTGCCAATTTGGAATTATCTCTCATTTTTGACCCTAATCACACGCAACAAACAGAGTGTCTGAGCCCTTTTTAGCTCCACTACAATGTCTGCACATGAATAAAACTACTCACAAAACGAGGGTCTTTATTTAGACAAGCCTCCACAAACTCTTTGAAGGGTTTGCTGTAAGGTCCCTCGAGTGTGGGTGGAGTGTTTTTTGGGATGAGGAAAAGGACCCTCATTGGATGGAGGTCAGAGTTTGGAGGTTCTCCTTTAGCCAGTTCAATGGCGGTGATTCCCAAGGACCAAATATCAGCCTGAAGGAGAGAAACGCACACGTGAGGAGTGTTGATATCATACACAGACAGTGGAAACTCTGCAAAGAATTAAAATGCAGTTTCATTTACGAGCGTGAGTCCTTTTTACCTATAGAAAATCGAATTCTGCATCTTTTTCTCCACTCAGACAGACTACTTAAAACTATTTTTATCTTCATATGTGCAGAATAGTCAACCACAGAGAAGTATAAACAGCCCAAAAACCTTGAGACAGTGTTCATTGAAGCTCCCGTTTTTTTCTCAGGCTCACCTTAAAGTCATAGGCGGACTGTTTGATAACCTCTGGAGCCATCCAGAAAGGTGTGCCGACAAACGTGTTCCTCTTAATCTGAGTATCTGTGAGCTGACCTGCCACCCCAAAATCTGCCAGCTTCACATCGCCCTGCTCTGACAAGAGCACATTGGCGGCTGGGACAGAGAAGAGAAAGTCAATATCCAAGAATAAATAACGCAGGTAGTGCTGTAACAATGACAGAATGAATAGTCTCATTTCAGTTGATATCTTTTTTAAATATGCACCAAACTCCAAAAAAATCTCCAGAAATGTCTCAGGTGAGCTGCACGTGGGAGTGTGAACAGCTAGAGTCTTTACCCAGAATTTCTCCCACCAGACTCCGGGTGAAATTTCTGTAACAAGTCGCAGTAAGCCGATGATTAAACAGGCAAAAGTCCTGAAGGTTTCCATTAGGATGTTTATAGTATTAGAAGGATGGGTGATAAAAATGTTATACCCTTTAATGCTTGCCAATATGCTCCACTTATCCCTCAATACTGTGACAATGATAGTTTGCATGTCGCACTGATATATGAGCAAACTGTCACTGCAGTGTCAGACTCTGCTCCCTTCTGCCATCTTGGATATCTTGTATTTCATTGTGACTTCCACAGTTGACCCTCAACTGGCAAAATTCAGGAGCAGGCTGTCCTCAGAATTTTCCAGGAATTTACAAGAAAGTGTGTGCATGAAAAAAGGCTGATCAGTCATAAAATGGTGATGCACATTATGAACAGTAACCAAGTGTTATCTTTTAAATAAAGTTATAGAACAATATGAATTGGAGATGTTGCACATTTACAAAGATGTGTGAGTGAAAGCCCTGGTTTGGCTGAGTAATAAAAGTGTGCATTCTATGTACAGGGGAAATTGTCCTTGCTGCATGTCATCCCCTACTCTCTACTCCCCTCACTCTGTCTCTCTCCTGCTGTCCAAAAATGATAATATAAAAAAGGATGGACAAGCAGACAGAGGACATCTCAAATCCTCTTCTGATCTTTCATTTTGGGGAGCACAAACAGCTCCAGGCATCAAGAGCTTTTTGGAAACAAACTGTCTTCATCTTATCTTCATACATGTCTCTCTGTTTTTGTTAACTTGCCCCAGTGTGAGTCCTTTCTTTCTCTGATGATGCACCTCACCCCACCCCTTCACACACACAGACACATCATAACCGAAACAAATTTCACACCTTCACTTGTGAGATGTAATGCATACACACAGTGTTAATTAATGTTTTTAGTGTTATAACATATTGCATGTACTTTTCAGCCAAGCATCTGGTTAAGACTTGATAAACATCTCACCCATCAATGTTTAACACTGAGTCTGTATGTATATGCAGCTTGAATCAAAGCATATAAAAGAGATTAATTGTCTCTCCAGTTGTTACTCATTAAAACAACATCTGGCTTCTTCTATCAGGCTAAAAACTGGAAAATGGTGCGACTCCCTACCAGCGAAATGCGTTTTCTCTTTAAGGCAAGATGAGAGAGCTTATTACCTTTAATATCTCTGTGAATCTTCCTCTCGGAGTGCAAATACTCCAGCCCCTTCAGTATCTCCCTCAGAATAGTAGCAATGTAAGTTTCTTCAAGAGGCCCTGGACGGAGCTGGGAGGAAGAGCAAACATCTTAGAAAAATGTGGAGGTTGGTACAGAAAGAGTGTCTCGAACAAGTCAAGTTAGGTTTATCAAGTATTAATGGTGCAACCTTGCAACGCTCACATGAAACTTTGTAAGCTGTATAAAAATATAAATCTGCTTACCAAATCCAGAGCAGATCCTCCACCTAAATACTCCATGATAATCCACAGCTTGGTCCCCTGAGAGAGCAAAATATTTTGACTAAGATTCAAATACGCTCTTTTGCCTTTGCTTGTTAGGTTGTCTTTATTGTGAAACTGTCTATACAGCTTCCATAATAAGTGTTTTCACCTCACCTTTAGGTATGATCCAAAATATTTTGTAACAAAAGGGCTATCACACTGGCTCAGCACCGTGATCTCTTGTTGAATGTCTTCAATCTCATCTTCCGCCTCCTCCAGATCGATTATTTTAATCGCCACCACCTCCTTTGTGCGGTTGTTTATGCCTTTGTAGACCTCTCCGAAGGACCCCTTCCCAATCCGCTCCTGCTTGGTGAAATACTCCTCAGGGTCCAACCGGGTGTTCTGTTCAGGCCACAGCATCAGGGATAGTGTTATTGGAAAGTGTAAGATGTGATGACACTGCTAAGATGTTTGTTAGTGTGTATATAAGTGCATCAATTGCCAAACACTTAAACATGAACCCTTACAGACTGTTCAGGTCAAAATTTGACCCCTTGATGACTTTTTCTGAAGTGGCCCAAAATACATGAAATTAATTTAAAAATATTCATGTGTATTTTTGTATATGTGCTACACATTTTCCCCCTATGGGGCTGTTACGGTTCAAATTTGACCTGCATCTATTTACATGTATTTTAGATCTACCAGTGTGGGATAAGTGACAAGCAGTAAGAACAGTGTTCAATAAAAAGTTTGATGTTCAATGAATTATCAAATTTTATCATTATGACTTTTATATTCTTTTATTTCTTACATAATATGACATGACATTATCCTGTGTAATAGATATTCTTCTTTAAAATATATATTTCACCAAAAACAAGTGGTGTTAAAACTGAAAAAATACACCTCCCTGCTCTTTGAAACAGTTAGGAAGGACAAATCAACAATTGTCATTTAAACATTATAAAAAGGTTTGGGGTAAGAACTTGGGTGAAAATACTTGCTACATGGGCAATTATTAGGCTGGGTTCAATTTTGACCCGGAACATACTGTGAGGATACAGGATTTGAACAGTATGTGAGGGTTAAACAAAAATGAAAAGTAAACAACTTATTTCTCATACAAACATCTTTTCCATGAAGACATGACAGTGAATTTGCCATATGAAGGATTGTGTAATGCTGTCATGACATATCACTCAAAATCTGACAGTGATAATGAATGATTAACTTTTTTTTATATGTTTACAGTGATCTATTCTGCGACCAACCCAGGTTTGAGATTGAACTTTGGGCCAGGATGTCACTCAGGATGCATTTCTTTGGTTCAGTGGTTTTTCTCTCTCATCACAGCAGGAAATGAGTGATCATTTTTTCACTGAGTGAGAATCACAATAAACTTGTTCATTTTTAACAGTTATGTTATTCACCATTTCTGTAAGCTATCATTCTTAAACAACGGAGGCTTTCATTGCATTGGTTCATACTAAACTATAATAGAGTTTTTAATTGGATATTTTGATAAAACAATGCTGCCTTTAACGCTGACAAAAAGCAACAAGTTAAAAAGAATGAGCTATAGTTTAGTGAAGACTGTTATATCACTTGAGCTGATGATTCAGACCCCCACCCACCTATTCATGGAGTAACTGACAGTCATGGGGGTTCGCCCAGTCTCAGACGAGAAGAAGGGAGGTGACAGTAAGCGAAAAGAGGATTTCAGTACCTGGTTCTGCATGTTTTGAAGGTGTGCCATCCCTGCTGCAGGTCGGACGAGACAGGGACAGCCACTGCTCTCTCTTGTCCAAAGTTATCAAATGGTGCTTTCAGGGTTTTCTTCCCCTCTTTGCCGCTGTCTAGGAAGCTAGCTAGGTCGCTAGCCAACTAGATAAACACCCAATCTGCTGGCTTTAACGGGGCTGTCACTCCGCGCACTGTTTTCGGCCTCCAAGTCCAACAGAGCCCGGCGAGACAACGAGCTACTGACAGCAGGATTCCATTTGTGTCGGCAGCGGCGAACAAGAAGAACAGAAATCCTCCTTCCGTGTTTGAATATTTAATTCATTTCAAGGAACGTTTAGCCTGTTGTTCATTTGAAGCTTGGGGAGGACAAAATAATGGCCCAGATAGAACACGCATGCGCATTGGTTTTGAATTAGTTGGAATTGTGGGAGTTGTATTTTTAAGCTGCAAAGGCAGGCTTTTCCGTTAAACGGCTCCCCCCGTTATATATCTTTAAAACTGGTTCCTCAATATGCGATATACTTAAAGTATAATTTAAGGTTCTTTTAGTCCTTTTTATATTGTGCCATATAGTATTCAATATTTAAAAATATTTTGTCCTGGGGTGTCAAACTCAACCACAGCAAGGGCCATAATCTGGATTTAGGTCTAACCTGAGGGCCAAACAGGGTCAACATTTCACCAAAACTGTCAGCCTCCTTTTCAAAAAATATGTAACAAAAACAGCAATGATAATAAATCCTTTAGAAGGTCAAAAAAAGATCAAAAGATAAGTTTAAAGGCAATCTGAGATAGATTTTTTTAAATTCTATTTTTATTTATTAGTTCAAAAGATCAGAACATGATATTAAAAACAGAAAAATAATGCTTTTAAAGAGCAAATACATGAAGAGAACATTGAAATCAGGTTTAAAAGGTCTTAAATTTTAAAATTGTGATCTAAAGTATAAAAATGACAGAGTTGAACAAAATCAAAGCATGAAATAAAAAACCCAATCATGTTTGACTTGTACGCTTGAAATACAAAATTGAAAACATGAAATAAAACATCAAATGCCCCCCCCCCCAACATTCTTGACTATTAATCAAATCTTCTTACTCTTTAATTTCCTAGATTTTTGTGGTTTATGAAGGACATTTAAATCATGGTGCTAAAGTTTACATTATTATACTGGAGGAAATCTGCAGACCTCATACTGGTGGACCAATAATAATACAAATATGATATGATCTTGTGGGCCAGATATAATTGTTTCACGGGCCAGATTTGGCCCCCGGGCCTTGAGTTTGACACCTCTGTCTTATACATTTGGTCGTTAGTTGGTGTATATTTACAGAGTGTATGTACAGTGTGAGTACATTTTTATTTCTATGGTCACAACAAACATTACCAAATATTAAAAACTAAAAAAAGCATTTAATTTGTAAACTGTAATTGGTGTCAACAAATAGAAGGATTTTATCATTTTACTTTGATGCTCATAATTCTTCAGGGAAATCATGTGTGACTTAATCTGAATTAGACAACATGGGCACACATTGGATATGAAGCGTTAACTGTGGGCGCTCGTTTTGAGTCCTGGCTACCACCTGCTGCTGCGGTATTGGGAGAATTACGTTTGAGTTAACGAGCTCCACCCAGGCGGACGGCCGTAGGGGATAATCTCAAGCGTCCCCCTACACACTAGCTTGAAGCGGTGTTCGTTTCGGTCTCTCCCTGCCCGCCTCCTCCGTCTCAGGTCGGTGAGCTTTACTACCGAACGACCAACACCAAGACACATGACATTTTAAACTCCGGTAATTAAACTATAAAGGTAAGTAGATCCATAAACCCCAGTGAAGCCGCAGGAATGTCAAATGAGTGCATCTGTGCAGTTAGCTACGGTCGTGTGTGCACTGCTAAGCTAACGTGTGATGTTAAAGATAACATGAGCTAATATCTGTCAGACATGACACAATACTGTGGAAGCATTAGCTAACCTTACATATTAGCTAACCTACGTACCAGACATGGCGTCTGATGTGGATTTTCATTCAATGTCATCGAAGCCATTTGTCAACAAGAGCTCCTCGAGTTAATGTTACATAACTGCATGCAACTAAGTGAAACATCCTATATTATTTTTGCTCTCCCCCTTATGGTGGGTACTTATCCGGTTCATGGGACATGTCGTTTGCATGGACTAGGTGTCAAATCCACTGAGCATATTAGGAATCATTTTAATATCATATTTGTCATTAGATTTCATGGATAATGACACTGCGTTGAACTTCTATTTGGAAAAACTTAATGGCATTGCAGGCTTGTCTTTGAGAGCTTGCAAACATGCAGGGCGTTAAGATATCTGCTTTAATGTAGTTGTTTTTGACACTGTTGCCTTTGTGTTAGAGCTGTTGAGATTTATTAAACCTGATTCTCCATGTCTCTCTGTTTGTTGTGTCTGCAGGCTGGATGAGTGGGCCAACCTTCTCCTCGCCCTCTGTAGAGGTGGCTGAGATGAACCGTATACATTATGAGTTGGAGTACACAGAGGGCATAAGCCAGCGCATGCGAATCCCAGAGACCCTCATGGTGTCCTCAGAAAAGCAAACAGGGTCTCTGCCACTCCAGCATCCCCTGCCAGCTCACGCATCCATCATGCAGGTGCCAGAGAGGATTGTGGTTGCAGGTGAGAGCTGCAGACAAGGACTTCATTCAAAGAGAGGATGGCAGAAAAACCCTTATGTAAATGATTATACCGAAGCCTAAAACTGATTCAGAAGCCCACAGGTCACTACACTGTTGTCCCTCAAAATGATTTTTATGATTTTCCTCTCACATTGACAGGTGATGACGGGGATGCTTTGTTTTCTCGTCCTCGAGACCTGGACCTGATTCAGTCCATCCCCCCTATGGATCTTCTAAACATGAAGGCCCCACCTCGTGTCCTCACTCTTTCTGAGCAGCCTCTGGACTCCCTTGAAACTGAACAAACTCCCACCTCACAGAGCAACTCCAGCCAGGCTGTAAGCATCAGGAATTAGCATAGCTTGACTCTGATCTTGGTAGTGCTTTACCAACATGATATCCCAGCATTATATGATGAGAAAGATGTAGCAGGCTGGAGCCAAACAGTCAATAGACATATGGCTTTTGTATAATGTTATATCTTCATTTACCTATTATAATACATTAGCCACAACTCCAACTTTAAAATCACATCAATGTTAAACTGGGATTTCACGTAGAACAAAGTGTCTGTACAAAAAATTAATCATTCTTCAACTTAAGTTGTTAAGTTGTTAATGAGCAACATCATACCAACAGTAGAGGAGAGTATGAAGAAAAGTGCAGACGACATAAAAAACCAAACTGATCAAACAGCACCTATAGTCAGAGCCCTCTGCTTGTGTTTTGAATTTGCTAAAGATTAACCCAAAGATGACAAGCTTTACACAAATTTAAGGACAGATTGCTTATCAACAAAAGAATCTAAACTATTACCTATCTCTAAATCTTATCTTAGTAGTAGTTATTGGGGTGCAATTTGAAAACAAAAGCACAAACAGGATTTTAAAACACAGGCCAGTCTTGAAATTATAGAGTAACATTAGTCCAGTAACGTTAGGTCTCTAGTAAGGCAAGACTAATTGCTGCTGGCATGCTTGCAGAGACTAGCCTGATTTGAGGGATAAACCTACAATAATTGTTTTTACCTTTTAAACTATTGATTTATTTCAAATCTGTGTGTCATTCTTAGGCCCAAGTTCATGCTCGATCTCGAAGGGAGCGCAGTGCGAGTGAGAACATGGGTGGTCGTCACAGCAGAGTTGACATGAGGTAAGTGCTCATCTATATTCCAGACACCTGTTTCATTGATGCTGTTTTTCAGTCAGAGATTCTATTTTTATCCCTTGTTTGGTTAAAAATATTCCCTTCCTTTGCTGTCTCTCTCCACTCATCCTCTTGTCTCCCTGCCAGCGTAACCCCTTCCCCTTCTGCCCCTCCAGTACGCTTGTGTCCCCCCCTCTGTTCTCCAGAGGATGCAAACATCAACCTATTCACAGCTGCAGGGTTCCTGTCGTATGTCCAGTCAACAACACGCCGGGCTTATCAGCAGATCCTGGAAGTGCTGGATGACAGCAACCGCAGGTGAATCCTTTTTTGAAACTTGTACATGATCAAGATGAGAAGTAAGATTTGTGGAACATTGTGACTTAAAGGAGAGGTCAATTCTGTTGTTAGAAGATCATCTTGATATTCATGGGGTTATGTAGCCCTAACTCACTTTCTAGTCCTGTAACCTGTGTGATATGGAGGTTGTTTTTAACAGTCTTCTCTTGTCAGCTGACCTTATTTGTGTCGTCATTTTTGGGCTGTTCAGTGCAGGGCAGAAACAATATAAGATCACTCTTTCCATTGTGTGCTTGGAGGAAATTAGTGTTGGAATAAATCTTCCATGTCATGATAGTTTCTGTTGCTGTGCAGTTACTTGTCTAGACTGTTTTTATTATGAATTTTATATTTATGATGAATTTAAACTGAGTTATGTTGATCTTCAAAGGACACATCTGGACCTGGCCCTTGATATGAACCATGATGAGTCTGGTCTAATGGATGCATCCTCTCTGCGAAGACAGGTATACCATTTCTCAGAGCAAAGGAAAGCCCATGTGGCTTAAAAGTGATTACTATGCTTCACCTCAGCTTTGGTTTACATCTTGTCCTATTTTTAGGTGTATAGTTTATTAGGAGTAGGGCACTGGGAGGACATGCTACCACAACAAGCTTAAGCATTTTGAACCCGGCTGACAACAAAGGATGCTGGCAGAGAAGCACACAGCAAATGATTAATGAAAAAGGCTTGTTAGAGATACTTGGTCATAGACAGAATGTTCGAAAATGAAATCACAAAATGAAATACATAACAAATATGAGTACCACTCACATACTTGGTTTAATTGGCTTACATGCTCTCTTTGTAATTAGCACTATTGTTCAAATGCTGTCAATGTGCCAGAAAATGGTTATCATACATGCATACTTTGTACCACACAAGTACTTAAGTGTAAAATGTTTTTCATGTTGTCATTCAGATAGTGAAGCTGAACCGGCGTCTGCAGCTGTTGGAGGAAGAAAACAAAGAACGCTCCAAACGAGAAGTGATGCTGTATTCTGCAACAGTTGCTTTCTGGCTTATTAACACCTGGCTTTGGTTCCGACGCTAGGATGGGATGAGACGGAGTCTCCCAAAACACTGGAAGCCAAAGCATTTCCTTGTTAGAGGTGACCATTGAAATTCAGATGTAGTTTTTCCAAATCTTAAAATCTAAAATCAAACACTGTTAACCAAAAGACATTCAGTAATAATATCCGCAATCCTCTCAAGCTAGCTTCATGACAGGATTTTAAATAGAAAATTTGATGCAGTCAAGACAAGATCAGAAACAGTAAAGCATAACCTATGTTTACAAAACCATTTACACACATGTGTTGGTTTCTACTCTAATGCTGCCTCATCTCACTCACATATTTACACCAGACTACAAACTGGTTGTAATGGCAAACAGCATCAGAAGAGTAAGAGGTAATGCTCAAGGCAGCAAGTCTTACATTCAGAGTTGTAACTATCTGTTCAATTTCTGTGTTAACTGACAAGACAAAGCACAATGAGACCACTAATGTTTCTTCTGATGCTAACTGGAGTTTAGGAGTGACGGTACATTGCACAAATCATATGGACAACAGGAGCCAGCTTGAAGTTGCAAAGGATCTGGCAAACCTGACCATTGTGAATAAACACCGCAAACTTGCTTTCATACCTCTCCACCAGTAAAATACGCACTTCAGATTTATAAGCTCTAGGGACAGATCAGAGGGTAAACAAGGATTTACTTAAGCCATGAATGTTTTGGGAACTTGGCTCAATCTAGAGCTGTAGTTACAGGACCAAACCTCAGATCTGACCCCTCTTGTCTGCTTAATATAGGAGGTGTCTTAGTTTTGTCAAAAACTTCCTTTCTTAAAGTGTCAAAGTCACTTGAATTATTCTGGAGATGCCATATTTACCCTGAATGTCATTTAAGTTCTGCATAACCCAAAACATTTTGTACAGCACGTCTCATATTGTTGAGATGTTTGTAGTTTGTCCCTTCATTATTTTAACGTCTTTGGCGGCCTCATTTGCCAAAAGATTCAATTATAAGCTAGACAAAGTGGTGACTGGGAGAAGAATACATTCTTAGTAAGAGGTGCTAAGAGTATTTTCTGTACAGTGATGATGTTTTCCATGCTGTTTATTTGATGTAATAATTTTATTTCAAGAGAAACTGACCACTTGTCTTTTTCCATAAGCTAACTACAGAGCCACAAGCATGGACTGTGGTTTCACTCATCGTACAATGTGAAATAAATTAAAGAGCTACTGTGTGTCTCATTGTGTGTAAAAGATGGCTATGTATATGAAATATTGATGTCATTATTTTTCATAATAAAACGAGTGTGTATCCAACGGGGGTTAACTTATAAAATGTTGCTGTGAAAAATATAGTTTCTCTGAAGCACTGTACTTCTCATTGATGATGCTGATTTTGTAGGTTGAGGTTAATATTTAATTTTCTTTGCAGAAGGTGATGATGTGAGTCACATTTTGCAGTGTGAACATTCATTGTTTGTTTATATTTTGCAGTAATAAATGATGGATGTTGAAGTCTGTTCAAGTCCTGTCTTTGTTCAATACTGACCCCTACTGTTCCTCAAGCCTGTGTGCAAAACCAGGAAGATGATGTGAGGGATTTAACCTCGATCACGATGTAGTGAGTTGTTACGAAGTTAGAAGTTTGTGTGACTGTGAACCACAAAGCTCTCCTACATGCTGTTTAAACAAACTGAGCGTTAGTTTTTATTTTCTTCCTTAAAGTGAGAGAAGGTGACGCTGTTGACTGACGGAAACAAACAAAGGTTCTGTAAGGACAATGGGGATCACTAAACTGGCAGAACTGATCCGCATTGATGTTCCAGATGCTATTTCTCATAAGGATATCAGTGATTACACCGGCAAGTACCCTTACACCCGATCTTACACCTGTGTGGTCGTTTCAATATAACAGCACTGTGATATTGAACTGAAAGCTAATTGCTAATGTTAGCATACCAGCTCAACTAGTCAGCGAACTGGTTCTGATCCCCATAGAATATACAGTCAGTAGTTCATACACTAAGACCTGGCTATGCTCCACTAAAATACTAATAAATAGTAGTAAACTATGAACATCTGCAGAATTGGAAGTGTGGAAATGTAACCATCTATATCAGTTAAAACACAAAGGTTTCTATCATTACATGTAAATATATTAATAATATGGTTGTATTATATTGTTCTTAAAATGAGTTATTGTTCATATTTTTCCTCATACTTAAATTCTCACAGAGATTTTGTGGTAGAATAAATGCACATTTCCATTGTTATATCTATTTTTCTCATAACTAATGGACTTCAGACTTCTTCATTCTGGAGTATCAAAAATACTTTGAAATAGTAATACTATGGTTTGTAAAATTACCAGATAAAAGTATCAATCAATCAATCAATCAATCAATCAATCAAATTTATTTATATAGCGCCAATTCACAGCAGTCGTCATCCCAAGACGTTTTCAAAAGAAAAAGAGCAGGTCTAGACCACGCTCATTGTTTGATGAATTATCAAGACCCAACCTAAGATGGGATTTGGCCCATCTCATCTAACATGAGTGACAGTGTCAAGGAAAAACATCCTTTTAACAGGCAGAAACCTCGGGGAGGACCAGACTCATGCTAGGACAGCCACCAGGCCGCTGCTGGGTTGGGGAGGAATACAGAGAGATAGGTGGAGAGAGAGGGAGGAGAAGGAGTTAGGCAGGGGGAGAGAAATAGAACAAGATAGAGGGAAGGAGAGAGAGAATGAGTAGAAAGTAGAGTAGAGAGTAGAGAGAGACAGGGGACAGCAGCAACATTAAAACTACAGCAACAACAGCTCATGCAAAGTTGTGGTTGCAGAGCGAGTTAAGATGAAACAATATGAATTCAGTTTACAGGATCAGGATATAAGTAATTATGGACTATAATTAATTTAATGTGAGTACAGTCAGCAGGCCTAATAGTAGTTAACTCTAGTTTTATGTTATGTATGAAAACATTCATAGTTTATGAGATAATAAGAAGCTATACAAATCCTTACTCAGACCCTCAGAGTCTTCAGAAAAGTTCATAGCTGAGTTAAGTATATCCAAATAACGTGCTTGAGGAAATGCAAGATTTTAAAAAAAATCTGTTGGTCTGTTGATGGCTCCACTGTTTCTGTCATTTAAGAGTGTGAATTAAGATTGATGCTGGCCATATAGACTGTATTAACAGTGATTGTAATGTGTTATACTCCACAGGAAAAAAAATCGCACTGGATACTTCTATTGTCATGATGCAGTTCAGAGCAGCTACATCTTCACAGAGGTGAGCTCCTTTTATGAGAGAGTGTTCAGTCACACAACACTTACACATGCATTTGTTATCAAGGAATCAGAATGAACACACTTCAGACACAGTCCTAGAGAAAACAACATGACAGCAACAATAATAATAAAAGTTGTGTTTATTCCCTGTCATATTGTTTGATAATTGAATCTCTTTATTTTCTCCACAGTCCTCTGATAGGTCTCTTTTTCCGTACACTCACCTTCCTGGAACATGACATAAAGCCAGTCTTTGTGTTTGACGGAAAGCCTCCCAGGGAAAAGACAGCTGTTGTAAGTGACACCGTTCAGTCTTTATCTTTTGTCGAAGCGTAACAGTGAACATACTCTGATGTGTGTTGGATAGTGAGAGGTGGAGAGGAGACTAAAAGGTGGAAGAACTGGTCCCCCTTTTTGTGCTGGAGGAGTCATCTCAGCAGATGAAGAGGCTAGAGAGGTGCAGCTCAGAAAATTAGAAGATCAAGAAAAAGTTCACTTTTTGTCATTTAATTCAAAAGAGTTAACTTTCTTATTTTCATTACATGTAAAGGAAATAATTCAAACCTCTTTTGATGATTATGTCTTAAAGATGAAAAACATCAGAAATGTAGTGTCTGAAATGAGCAGGATTTTTTCTTTAACATCATTTTAAAAAGAATTTTAAGCACAGAGATGAGATGGCAAACTTCTGAGAAGTATATTCATTTACACACTCAATACTTGGTTTGGGCTTCTTCACCATAAACTACTGCATCAATGTAGCATAGAGGTTAAGGTCTGTAGCACCGCTGATGTGTAACTGAAGTCCAGGTTGATTTGATTGTGGCCTTCAGCTCCTCTTGTGGTTTGGATGTTTTTTTTATCCTCATCTTGGCAGTAGTTCTGGCATTGTAGGGAGGTACTAAGTTCTAAAGGAAAAGGAACCCAGCATCTCCATAAAGCTGGCCAGCTTTTCTGCTGATGCTGTTTTATCTCAGACTCAAAATGAACAGCAGAGTCTATGATTCATTAAATTTCCACTTTTCTAAATAACAAATGGAAAATATTTTCCTTTTTACAGCATTGTAAAATTGATGGACCAGGATGATAACACAGCACACACTGGTAGTGTAAAACAGATTTCTGTACCTACTTACAAAGCTCTTGTTTTATTCTGCAGCTTGTAAAACGAGCTGAAGCAGGTGGTTGGAGAGTACCTAGATACACTGGCACAGGTATGTCTGAATACTGACTTCCACAAGCCCAAATTTTCTCTAGTCAGTCAACTCATTACATCCTTGAGATTTATAATGGGAATATGGCATGATTGTCAGGTCTTCTAAAGAGAGCATCTTTTGTACTCCATGCAGCATCATCCCTGACCAAAGATTGCCACCAGCTCTTGAAGTTAATGGGCGTACCCGTCGTCCAGGTAGGACCATCTGAACATGGATTTTAAGAAAAAGTTAAAACCTGTCTTGCCATCTCTTTCTTTCTCCTCTTCTCTTAGTACAATACATTTTCATCTCCCCTTTACTCTGTCTTGTGCTTTAGGCCCCCGGGGATGCTGAGGCTTTTTGCGCCTGGCTGGTGAGAGAGGGAAAAGTTGACGCTGTGGCATCAGAGGACATGGACACACTGCCTTTTGGGGCCAGTATTCTCATTCGCCAGCTAAATGCTAAGAGAGACAGGTTAGTAATTTGGAAGTTATCTGTTGCTTCTTGAATTGTACTGTGGGTTCCTTTGTCTTAAGAGGATACAATTTTCCAATACATGCTGTACAGTGGAAGTTTTACAAGGCACATTATAGAAATGTATGTCATTACATGTGTTGCACCTCCAAACACTTGTTATCTACCACGTGAACAGAATGCTTAGAGGTACTTTTGATCAAGTGAAACTGATGCTTTGTTGTTTAGTTTAAAACATTAAGAATTTTGTGCATTTTTCCAAAGTACCAAAATATTTTTCTTAGGGATTTGGTCAAAGATACAATTAATCATATACTGCCTTTCAAACATTTTACCTACCTGGCACCATGGCAGGTAAGTTTTTCTTATATTGATGGACATTTATTGGTGATACTATCTGTTCCCTTTTTCTAAGGTCAGATACCCCTCGCTGAGTATTTACAGTCATAAAGTTTTATTTAGGTTTCAAAAGTAGTCACGTGTTCAGTAGAAATGTTCAGGTATCTGCAACAAGGCAGCTGAGGAAAATCTTCTGACCTTTAGTTACTGTTTGTGTTGTCTGAGGAACGACTGGCTAGCTGATAGCTCCAATTTTCTTGGTCTGATCCAACCTAAAGTATGATAGGTGTATGTTAAAGTTTAACTTATCCAATCTTTATTCACACATTTTTTTAATTTATATCCTGTCAAGTGATAGGGGATGGGTTCCACTTGATATATGTTCTCTCTTTCCCTTTCAGTGATGTCACTGAATATTCTTTGGACACGCTCTTAAAGAAACTCCAAATTGATCACAAAGAGGTGAGACTTTTACTGGCTTTAAGATGTTTTTGAAAACTCATCATGCATCCTTAAAACAATAATTTGTACGAACAAGTTCTTAAAATGTGCTCGCATTTGCCTCCACCAGTTTGTCGACCTGTGTATTTTGTTGGGCTGTGATTACTGTGACAAAATCACTGGTTTGGGACCTAAAAGGGCTCTGACTCTGATCCAGAAGCATCGCACAATTGAAGATGTGGTTAAACATGTCAACAGAAAGGTATTAAGTGAATGTCCAGGTGTCTCTTTTTTCTTTTTATTGCTTTATAAAAGATATTAAATCAATGAAAACCCTTGTGATTGCTGTCACTCAGACTCATCCTGTGCCAAATGCCTGGAAGTACAAAGAAGCACGAGAGATCTTCTTGGAAGAACCTGGAACTGAAGCTCCTGAATTCACCTGGACCGAACTAGATGAAGAAGCCTTGGTTCGCTTCCTTTGTGACACTGGTCATGCAAAGTATGTGCTCTTGGCGTAAAAACTCTCTAGTCCTGGTTTGATTGTTTACACATTAGAAGTGTGTTCATGAATATGTTTTTTTTTCCTCTATGAAGAAAAGACAGGGTTCGTCGACGAATGGAGAGATTTCATCAGACACGTGAAAGCAAGCGAGAGGAGAGGGCAAAGGATAAGGAAGCAGGACGTAGCAGGCAGACACTCATGGAGGATTTCTTCAGGGTCACCAGAAAGAGGGAAAAGGTGAGAATAACTGGATTAGATAGATTAGATAAAAAGCTATATATAGTAGATTAAATGGAAACATTTAAAGTTAGTTTAACATATCAGATGTTTGACTCAGACATTATTTTTGTCAAGCAGTTATGACCTAAAATATGTGAAGTAATGATGTCTGCTTTTTATTTCTTCCTCAGCCAGTGGAAATCCCAGACTCCTTGAGCATCAACAAAAAGAGACAAAAGACGAAATAAAGCCACCGTCATCTGCCATTCACTGTCATTACCATAGAAGAATATGTTTTTTATGAAGGATTCAAGCTTTTTTATTGTCAGTTTCCGCCATGTATGAGTAAATACACAGGAAACAAAAAGAACATTTGTCTCCAACCCACAGTGAAAAAAATACAGAAGATATATGATAAATACAAAAGAGGGAAGGATAATACAGTAAAAGGGTATTTTACATATGCACACATCGACCCTTATGCCTAATGTTTCTATGTCTAATGTGTCTACGTACATATGCACGCACTAGTCATGCGTACCTTACTCTGTCCTACTGTCACAATATCTTCAAAAAAGGAAATAATGAAAACATTTAAAAACATATTTTTGACTTGAACTCCTGCCATAGGAAGATTTTCTTTATTTATGTGTCATTTTTTAAGTTTTAGAGACAGTAGTTTAAATACTACATGTTGGATCATGATTCACAACTGGTAGAGGACTGCGCTGTGCCATCGCTGAATCTATACCAAGCCAAACAGGCATCTGTCATTCAGCTGATTTTGAGTTTACTTTATTGCTGTATGGATGCATATCACACACTGACAACACAATATCCTGATCATTTCTTTAAAAAATAAAAATACAATTCACTTAGCAATCTTTAGTTTATCCATTAGTCTCCTGCGAAACCACAAAGAAAAGCAGAGCAGGCAGTGAATGACTATGAAAGAGACCAGTGTGAACACTGTCATGGAGACCTCCCCCCCAAGCCAAATTGCAGACAGGGGACTTCTCATCACTAGATATTCAATGAGCACCTGTTGCATTAAGGGTGCCAAGGCATGGGCCAAAGAGTTGAATTTTAAAACATGCACCAGAGTGGGATCATGTCTTAAAGAAAAAGAGAGATGTTTGTTATAAAAAGAAAACATTTTGATTGAGATTACTTTTAATATTGTCAACAAAGACCACATTGTATGTTTTTTATTTTGTCTTTTATGGCTTTTTAAAATAAATGCTGGATTTGATTGTGTTTTGTTTTTCTGTGTGACCGAGGGGAGCATTGCAAACTGTGCACGTGCAGTGTTTTCATAGCACACATTTTTCCTGAAATATTTTCAAATGAAAATCGATAGTTTTCGGGAGAATACGGGGCATCATTCCAAGCCAACAGATGGCGCCTGTGCTTGTGAAAGCCGGCCTGTTTCTCACTTTCTCCGTGTAGAAGAAGTAGTTTGTCAGTCGCCCAGTCTCCCAGCTAGACCTCTCAGCAAGGTGTCTGCCAGCCGCACGCGACGAGTCTGCCCCAAAGACACCCGCCCTGTCCCGGGTCCCCTCACCAGACTTCTCCCCTAGTAACACCAGCCCGCTGTTCTCCGTCATGGCGACGAGTGCCAAGCGAAAGCAGGAGGAGACTCATCTGAAGATGCTCCGAGAAATGACTAGCCTTCCCGCGAATAGGAAATGCTTCGACTGCGACCAGCGCGGCCCGACCTATGTCAACATGACAGTGGGCTCCTTCGTCTGCACCACCTGCTCCGGCATCCTGTGAGTTCACTTAAGGCCGAGAGTATGATCTGTAATGTGAACGGTATATACACCAGGTGACGGAGAGGCATCTCCTCTGGTCATGAGTCTGTGGGATTCACCGCTGACTTGGCGGTACCGTTAGCTCGTTAGCTAGCCCTTAAAGTCAGGACAGGTAACGCCTGCCTCGGTTCTGTCTGAGCCGTTGGGTTGGGCCGGTGTTTCGGTTAAAGAGTGACCCCGATAACGTACGAGTTTTCTCCCAATGCGACGGTAGCTATCTTAGTTAAAAAAGCTGACTCCTCAACAGATGTATCCTAGTTTATTCTTTTCATTATAATGTCTTTATTTAACAAAACTTGTGAGATTGGGATTCGTTTGAATGTTTCCTGTAATAGTTGTAACTACGACAACCAACTGACGCATTCGGCCATTAGTCGCTGGTTATCAGGGTCACAGTTTTTACCGAAACACCAATGAGTGTCTCCAGTTTGTCTCATTTACAGTTTTATTTACCTGAGATGGTGAGTGGATACATTCAGTCTGGGCGTGGAGGGGGGCTGACTGTCTGTCTGTCTGTGGTCAACATCAGCACTCCTAACACTCAAATATTTGAACACCTTGCTTAAAAACAGCACGTCACAACCTCGAGTTGAACTTTAGCTGGACCTCCGACAAGGCATGTCGCAAAAACACACCTAAACCACACACGTGAACACACCTCTAGATAAGCAGAAGCAGGGTGGGTCTCAGCATGGGAAGTACATGAAAAAACCAAATGGGGCAGTAGGTCATCTGCAGCTGCTGCCTGATGAAACCACTTCTCCTAACTTTTATCCTTGCGAAATTATTACTAATATTTGAGCAATGTGACAGATTTATGCAATATTGTTGCAGTCCACGCCCAGAAGTTGATCATACCAAGCAAAAATACATGATCAGCAAAAACATTGTGATCCAATGCAATCCAATGCAACAGCTCTACATTATATCTTTCAGGAAGCTTCCAGATTTTCAGTTTTTGTTGACATAATCAGACTTTTTATCGATTATTGATGTAGTGGCTGGTAATAATGTTCGGAAATGTGTTGTAAGGAGCAAAATTATGAGAGCACCTTTCAATGACATGCACTCCAGTATACCATTAATGCCCACTACAACTCAAACACTCAATTTAAAGAACAAATCACTCGTCTCAGCGTGTTAACAAAAAGGGAACATATAAAGGTTTTGGGAAAGCAGAGTTGATGGTAGAGCTGTTGTGTTTAGAGAGGGCTGCATTTGATTGCCCAGGTTACAGCTGGTCAGAGTATTCGCTCATGTGAGTTTACTACGTTTGCTTTTCTTCTTATAAAAAGTGGTGAAAACCTCAAGTCAGTCGTATTGACACATTAATGAGAAGCTTGTTTGTTTGTATGTAGGTGTGTGGCACCGCTAGCAGGATCTGGACCCGTTACAGAGTATTCAGTGTGTTTAACTATTGCCCAATGAACAATTAAAACTAAATGATACTGACAAAATGAAATCCTGTTCAATATTCTTCCCTGTTGTTTGAATCTCTGCCCGATATACCATACTTCACAGTAAATAGTAAGGGTGGGTTTAATCTAGTTAAGTTTACCCTGTGAAAGTCATCATCAAGAGAGTTCATTATGGCAACAAGTGAGACCATTGAGTCTGATAGAAAACTGTAAAAACTTTGTTCTGCTGCATTACAAAGAAGTTTTGCAATCCTGAATCATAAATTCTAGTTTGGATCTGGGTCTGGAATCTGGCCTGAGTGACACCAGGACTTAATCATTGTTTGTTTTCAAGTATTCCCGTCACATATTGCCTCAGGCTTTCCTTCAGGAACTGTCCTGGGGTCTGACTTAGTTTTAGCCTTGGCCCCATAAGTATACCATGGCAGTGGTTATGGTCTTTTCTGATGTTATTAGCCCATTGAACCTTAACACACTGAATCTGCCACTTGCCTTATCAAACATTGTCAAAGTAATTAAATGACCTTTTGTTTTCCATTCATGACTCTAAACTTTTCAATCTGCTATACGTCCTTAACTAGTAGCAAAATGAGTTATCAATCACAGTGTCTCATGTTTATGCTCTAAAAGCTCATTTAAAGGTGTTCTTAGCCTCTTCCTACAGTTTTTTGTTGGTGTCCTTCTTTTTAAGACCTTCAAGATTAGATTCTGCTCTGGACACTTATACCACCCTTTAAGAACTAAAATAGAACTAACCTAATTTTCTCTATAACAGTTTTGAGTACATATGAACAGTCTTTGTACTGATTTCTTTGTCAAGGTGCCCTGCTGTAATGGTTTAGCTTTAGCTGGAAGACTGACTCAAATCCACACTCAAAGGATTTGAATTTAGTAAACTGGGACTTATTTTTATAAATCTGTCCCTAATGATGGTATGATATTCAGTCATCAAAAAAAATGTGTATAGTTGCATAATAATTTTGTTGAATTTTATCCTAGTACGCTCAACAATGTGCCTCAACTACTATGCATGATATGGCACGTATGATCAAGTTGTCCCTGGCATTGTTCTTGCTATTCATATACAATAACTGATGTCAAGTGCCAATCTGAATCAAGTATTTAAGACAACTGGGTGATATGTTAAAGAGACTTTCAGTCACATTCAACTTGAGAGAAAGGTGAAATGTTCAACATTCAGCTTCAAAAACATGTAGACCTAGTTTATGATTTTCTCAAATTGCTTACTGACATTGTGTTACTGTAATTGTTGGGTTCTTGTGCGGTTGGGTGTTGATCCTGACTGGGCTGATCATGTTGGTTGGATTTTCTTGTTATCTTAAGTCTTTTTTTTTTTTCTTGGATTATTTTTTATTGTGCTATTATTGCATCATAACTCCATTTGAATCAATGACTTCAGGGGGAACTAGTGAAAACACTAACACCAGATAAGAAGTCAGAGTAAGGCATTAAGATGAGGATCTCCCAGTGTTAAAGTGGCCTGCAGACTCGTCTCCCATTGAAAAAAGTTGACTCTTCACGTAACAAAAAATACTGCATAGGAGACCCTGAACTGTTGTGCAGCTGATATCCGGTATCAGGCAAGAATGGGACAGCGCTTTTCTTTACAAACTCCAGAAACTGATCCCATGGATTCCCATATGTTCACAGAGTGTTATTACAGAAGGGGGTGATGCAATGGTAAACATGCCCCTGTCCTAACCTTTTTTGAAACCTATTGTTGGCACCCAATTTAAGATGAGCATTTTTTTTTCATAAAAGTAAAAAAAAATTTCAGTTCCAGTTTTGTAACACAGGTTTTATAGAGTTATGAAGGCATCTGCCATTGGTTCCTAACAGGATTAATAATGAACTAGTTTCTAGTAAATTTGTCATTTTTTAAAATTGACTTTTCGTTTTACTGTCCAGAGTTTCCAAAAGTTGATAAAGAAATTCATTGATATTTTAAGTTGTGCTCTTTGTGGTTGTAAAATCCATTCAGTTTTCATGCATTTAAAAAGGTCTGAGATGAAATGTTTGAGTCCAACAGTGATTGGGAATTTCGGTAGCCTGCTTCTTGTCACATGAACAGCACTGGGTTGCATCCTGCTCCTCTTGTTCTTAAACTAACATACACCTCTCCACCCACAGGCGAGGACTGAATCCCCCACACAGAGTGAAGTCCATCTCTATGACCACATTTACACATCAGGAAATTGAGTTCTTACAGAAACACAGTAATGAGGTATGATATCCTTTTAGTCTTGGCTCAATGTTTTTCACATAGTTTCATGTTGTTTTGAGTCATGAGTTTCTGGTTTGGATTTTGAAGTGGCATCTTGGCATTTTTCTGAACCCTGCTTAGTCAACTTTATTGGCATTCCTCTCTCCCAACTTTTTTTTCTCCTCCATTTCTCGTCATCCCCTCCCCCCTTCCCTTTACTTTTCTCCCACCTCTCCTCCGGCTTTGCCACCCCCACCCAAATCCCCCTCCTTACCTCCCACCCTCCTCATTCCTCTGCCCCCCTGTAGGTCTGTAAACACATCTGGTTGGGCCTCTATGACGACAGGACATCAGTTGTTCCAGATTTCCGAGAGCCACAGAAAGTAAAAGAGTTCCTTCAAGAAAAATATGAAAAGAAAAGATGGTAATATAAACAATTGATCATTCTTTGTTTTTTTTTTGTGTTCAATCTGATACTAGAGGTGTGAAGAGTCACCACCTGAATGGGCAGCTGATCATAGTGTTAAAGATCAGAATGCACTGATCTGGATTGGTAAAAATGTCATACAAATAGGTCAGTGGTTGATTTTAAAGTTGCCACCTAGTTGGCTTAGGTTTTCCTGTCTCATGTATTTGTTTGTTTATTTGTTTTCAGTCTACCTTTGTTGATTTTATCAATCTGTATCAAACAAACTGATTTAAATCATATGGAAACACACCATATTGAATCACACCTGGAATCAGAGTTTTCCTATATTTTTATCAGTTGTGCTCTAATCGAATGTTAGCCAGTTAGGTTTGGATCTGAACGGATTGTACCATATTGTCACGTTATGGAGAAGTTTACACCCCCATTTGAAACTTTTTAGAGGGTATAACCTGTTTTGAAAGGTCACAGATTACATTTCAGTTCCTCACTCTATGGATGCATACAGTATGTGTGGATAAGCAAATCAATAAAGTAATGTTTACTCTTCATTTAGGTGCATATAGCTTAAAGCAGTCTAGTTTGAAATATTGGAATTACTTATTTAGAGTACTGAAACTCTGCAGTTCACCTAACGCAGTAATGTTGGCCTGTTTCTGTGAAGTGTGATGCAATCGAGGAGAGAGTTGACAACAAAGTGACACATCTGCCAAAAATTGTTTTTGCAGTTATGGATCTGGTTAACCGTGGTTTGGTTTGATGGCATGCTCCTCATTGTTTTAGTTCTTCTGAGTATGTCTACGTGTCACTGTTTCCTTTTACTGTAGTGTTGGTGGAAAAAACAGCATAGCTTTTACTGACAGTGACTTATACAGGAGTCATATCTGATAAGGTTAAAATACTTCTGTCATATCAGTTTAAACCGGTTTGTTATGCTTTGTTTTCTCTGTGGTTTAGTTCAAAACCGGTTTCTGTTTTTAATTTCCTCAATTTTTCTGTCAAATTTCAACCATGAAATCCAAGGTATGTTCCTCCAGACCAGGCAAGGGTAAATGTTCAGGCTTCGGTTTCTGGCTCCTCGGCCAGCAGCACTGGTAGTACCCCTGAAGTCCAACCCCTCAAGACCTTGCAGCTCAACAAGACCCCACTGCGGCAGGTATTGAAAATGTACTCAGAGTCCAAATGTAACCATTTGATATCGACCTGTATTGTCTTTCTGGTTTAGTCCTAAACCCTTTTTGACTTCTGCCTACCATCCAGTCGCCAGGGCTTAGTCGTACCCAGGCTCACTCTGCTGCTCAAGAGAAGAAGTTTGACTTGCTCTCTGACCTCGGCGGAGACATCTTTGCTGCTCCACCCTCTCAAACCTCCAGCTCCACCAACTTTGCCAACTTTGCACATTTTCCAAGCCAGTCAGGTAAAAAAACACCCCCTCAACTGTCTATCATTTCACTCAGACGAATACAGATTTACAAAGATATGTCGAGGTATGTAGTCTTTGAGTTGTCATCATCTCATTCCCCTGCCATTGTTTATTTTCCCACTTTCATTGTTTGTGTTGATTTGTCCTTGTGTATGGCAGCTGCACCTCAGGGAAATTCAAACACCAACTTTGCCAACTTTGAGGCATTTGGAAACACTACAATTCCTTCCCATCTGAGCACGTCACCCCCCTCAAAGTCCTTTTCATCAGGTACCCCCTCCCCACCATTGTCTCTGTCTACCCTGTACATTCTCCCTCACCTTAGTATTTATCTCATCTAGTTCATGTCCACTGGAGAATCCCTAACTGCATTTAGAAGCTCACAGTCATGTAGATGCCATCAGTTCTGTTGATGCTAAGTAAATGTATTTTAAAAATTAAATCAGAGTCCTGCACACGTGTTTTTGATTTTGTGAACACCACAATATATCTCTTTTAATTTGGATTTCTTTCAGGGAGACGTAGACATTCTGCAGAGGGAGACCTCCAGTGGACAATCAGTGTCAAAACTCACTCTGCAAATTTTACTACACACTTTGTTTATGTCGTTGAGAGTATCTTTTTTTTCCCAACAAGGTGGAGGTGTGCCAATCCCCTCAATGTCTAGCGCTGTCCCAACTCAATCCCACTCAGGGAGCTGCTCTGAGGACCGCTATGCTGCTCTGGCTGAGTTGGACAATGAACTCAGTTCAACTGTCTCCACAAGCAGCAGTGTGCAAGGGTAAGATACTCTTTGACTATCACAAAGAAATAGGTAAGGAATAGTGTATAGTTAACCAGTATTGGATTTGAATAATTTGATGATATAGCTAAATAATTTCCATTCTGGGATTAATAAAGTTACTTTTATTCTTATTCTTAAATGAGCAGTCTTCCGGATTAGACAATTGGCAGTGCTTCTACGGTAACCCAATTTACAGGCCAAATACACATTTAACTAAACAGCTTCCGGTTTGATCACTGTTTCTATTATTCAGCTCTTTGTGTGTTTCAACATCCTTTGCTGTTTTTTGTGCTGTCTTTTTTTTTCTTTGCTGTCAACTGGTCAGACATTGACCACCAATCTAAAGCTTTGTGCTTTTCAAATAAATTGAAAGTAATAGCAAAAATGTCCTTTGTGTTGTCTATTAAATGTCACCTGGAAGAGGTGAAATCATTAATGGTACACTAGACGTGATGCAACTCCTTTACATGCTGTAATATGTGTAATCAGGATGTTTTCAGCTTTGCTTTTGCTATTCAGAATTAATAACTGTGGACAAGGGGTGATGACCAATCAGAATCAAGTATTCAACACAACTGGGTGAGAGTAAGAAAGCTAGGTAATGTAACACTTTTGATAAATTTAAGCAAGAAAAAATAAAATCTACGTAGATTCTTCTACACACATAAAGAGCCTGGAAAATTCTGTGAACGCTTCATTATTTCTTATTGAGTCAGCATGTAAAGTGTTGTTGAATCACTTCATAGTGAAACCATGTAGTATTTTATATGACTTTTTTTGTTCCTAAGAGAGTTGGCAAAAGCTTAACAGAATCATCGAATCATAAAGCTTTAAGAAGGCCTGTCTTGTAGTCAAAGATTTTTTTTTCTCAATAGAAACCTCTTTGGACCAGTGCTTGGTTCATCACCAGCCCAGAATCCACCTGTGTTACCCAGCATGCAGCCTGGCTTTGGAGGTGATATGAATAACTATAGCTACCGTGATGCAAACATAACATGATTTTGTTTTTACACTCACATGTTTTCACAATACTTTAAAGACTCATTTTGCAACATGTTCCCATTTTTCACGCAGCTGTTCCATCTACCAACCCCTTCGTTGCTGCAGCTGTTCCCCCGGAGATGGCCACCAACCCTTTCCAGACCAATGGCAGAGCTCCAGCTGCAGGTTTGTGCATTTGAAGTGTAGTATAATTTACAACACATAATACTTTACTTGGGTATCTGCATTTTGTCTGATGTCACCTACTGTAGTTACGTTGCTAGATAGCTTCGTGATTTGCCACAATATCTAGAATTGTTCCTCTTGTCTGTGTGCATGTGTGTGTGTTTGCGCGCCTGCGTGCGTGCGTGCCCGTGTGTGTTGTGTGTACATCCAGTAGCCTCGTTTGGTACTGGGTCTATGAGTATGCCTGCCGGCTTTGGGAATGCATCTTCCTACTGCCTCCCGACCAGTTTCAGTGGGAACTTCCAGCAGCAATTCCCTGGCCAGACCCCCATCCCTTATTCTCAACCTGCGGCTTACCACCCTCAGTCTAATGGTTAGTGGCCTCCCACATCCCTCGGTCCTTTTACCCTGTTCCACCTGTGCAGTAACTGCCCACAATGTTGCCTATGGCAGTATTTCTCTTGGCATAAGTTGTATAAAATCTTATTAAGTTACAAAAGGAATCTCCATTGGTGTCTTTCTATAACAAAGGATGTCAGTGGCAGCTACTGCACAGTAAAACAGGTTGCATTTGGGTTCAAACATTCGTTGTCTACTTAAGACAAGTGTAATCAGCCAATCCAACAATATAAAAAAAAAAGCTCTATTCATACCTGAATGCAATCTGGTACTCTAGTGCTTGGCTTTTTTTTATCTTCCAAATTTTATACCCTTAATTTTCTTTAAAAACTCTAATGATGTAGTTTATTATGAGATGACTGTTTATCAACCCTTTATAGACAGCTTTTTATGGCCTAATAATATTGTATTTGTAATAAAACAAAGGATTGCAAAATCCTTTTCCTGTGTCACCCTTAGGCCCTGCATTCCCAGTCTATGGCCAGGGCAAGCCCTCCATGACACCCTTTGGGCCACCCATGGCTGGCCCTGGCATGTCCAATAACCCATTCATGGTGAGTATGCACTATTTGAAAAGGGCTTTACCAACCTTAAAAAGTGATTGTACTAATTGACTTGAAAGAAATATTGTTTTATGAAAAGTTTCATAAGAAAAGAATATATTTTAATGCCAATTCTTTCTTTCATTTAGGCGGGAGCCCCTGCAGGGTCATTCCCCTCTGGGGGTTCCACTAACCCTTTCCTGTAGCACAGCTTCAAGTGATCGCCACCAGAGGGCAGCATGCAGCACATATTCAACGCACCCATCATGCAATTAGAGGCAGTACATTTTTTAAAGAAAAGACTTTCGTTTTTTTTTTTTTTTTTTCATAAAATGAGTTTACAACACTATGAAGGAGTACAAAGGACTATACTGAGGACTAAGGGACTGTTTTTGGGATAATATACTGTTTTGGACTATATACAATGTATGCTTTTTACTTTTTGTTTATGACTGTAAGCTCTGTGCATATCATAATTTGTAATCACAATTAAGTACATGTTATCTATTACAAGGACTGAGTCAACAAGAGTGAGTATACGCACACCTTGTGGGGAAAATCCTGCTTAAAAGTATCTATGTAGGTAAGGGTATATACACTTGTGGATTATTAACAGGGTTCCATCCAAATCCATGATCTGTGGTGTGAAGTTGCCATGATGATACCGGTATTTAAGTTTTTAAAAAAGGGATTACTTTTGTTATTTTAGCACAATTGCTAGTTTTCCGGCACCAAGGTGCAAGGTCCTTTATTAACATACAAAGCCGGGTCCAAGATGCCTATTTTTAGAAGCAAGTGTCTTTATTGTCAAACATCCCACACAGGTGGATGGAACACAAAATTTTGGACTTTGAGTCACCCTTTTAGATATTGCTTACATCTGCAAGGTTTTAGACATGACTACAGGCTCAATTTGGATTTGTGATCAAGGCCAACTCCTTGAATGTGAGAAATTATAGATATTTCAACCCAATGGGAAGTACAGACATCTAGAGCACAACTGGAGGAAAGGGACTATATGTCATGAAGAGAATTGGCTTTTCATTCTGTTACTCTGCTTTACTGTTAAAACATTGATAAAATATTTAAATATACTGTTGTTATCCTGACTGCTGCTGGTTGAAGATTTCAGATTTAAACCATACTTTATGAACATGTTAATGAAAAAAGGACTGTTGAGAGAGCTTGGAGTTGTGGCTAACAGCATCTTCACAGGCAATAAGGTGATATCCTCTTGACAGCAAGTGACAGGTTAGCAGACCCTGCAAAGGCAAAACGTTTTTTAGAAACATTTGAAAACAATATTTATGTAAGTTAATGTATTCATCACACTCCCTTGGTATCCCTTGGTATCTTTTTACCTCTTTGCCCCCTTTCTACAGGGTGTTGGGGTGAAGACTGGATATAGGGAAATAATGATGTTCCTTTATTTTGCCTTAAGGTAAGGCAAGGTAAAAGTAATGATAAAAATATTTTGGACTAATACATGATTAAATCAGCTTGGGACCCCTGAGAACTATGGTCTTAAATGTGCCACCAATGACTAACAGAGTTCATTGTCTTTACAAGAATAGGTAAGTAAATGTGTACATATATAAATATATGTATAAATAAATTAAAGATTTTTAACTACAGTGGAGTTTTTTGTGACAGGTTGCAGTCATGGTCTTGTTCTTACTTTGAAGAAAGAGTTGAACTATTTAGGCCTATTAGGTATGGTTCATATACACTTAGATTAAACTAGGACATATAAAAGAATGCGCTCAATCCTCCCATTTCTAGAGGCCAATCTTGCTATTTTGTTTTATTATTCATCTAGCTGTTTATAGGCTACAGGAATTGGCTGGATATCAGAGAAACATTTTATGTTAAACTTCATACTAAGCCTGTAAATCTAAACCTTTGAACAAACCTGATAGCCTGGCTGGGCCATCCTGTTGCGTGAATCACGCAACTGGATGGCCCAGCCAGGCTATCAGGTTTGTACCTTTAAATTCAACTGATTGAGTCTAAACCTAAATAAGTGAGCACCATAATTAGTATATGCTGCTAAACCGTGTCAGTTAACTGTAAATGTTATTTAGACCTATAAACAACTAAACTGAAACCTTCTTTACATGTGAGCCTTTATATATTTAGTAAAACCAACTACGGCTGGGTATCACATTGCAGCTGGAAAGCCTTGTTTACTGTATCACATGTAGTTCCCTGCATATCTTTATCCCAAGTAAAGCGAGAACATTCTTCACAAGTCACGTAAGACAACGCCGTTGCCATGACAACATAGTGTCTTCGACATGGCGTCTCTTTTAACAGACCCACTGTTTGAAATCTCTGGTGAAGGACCTCCACCCAACAAGACTTATTATTATTTTTCTGTCACCAAGTCACTTGTAAGTCACAGTATTCTGATAAATCTGTCTTTGTTCTGTGAAGAAACGGCGTTTTTGTTCGGCTGTGATGCTTATTGGTGTAACTTTTCTAAACGGCGCTAGCTATTACTACCGTTTTAAAAGTGACGGTTGGTAGCTGAAACTTGGAGGCCACAGAGCTTGTAAAGAGCTAGCGTAATATTTAGCGACATGGCAGCGCTTGCAGATGCTCTATAAGCGTTTCGCCTTATTTCTGCAAGAGAAGAGAAACTGTAGTTTAAAAGTGGCAGAATATATAAAACTACAGTCTCAGTAATCTGAAGTCCTGAACGTAGAAGTTCCTATTCTTTCCTATTAAAGATAACAAATAATCACATGTAACGAAAGGGTTGTACAAGAAAGTATTTTGTTCTATTTGACCTTAATGTAAAAGATGATCAATTTAATATTTACTTATAGGTGATATGGAGATGGTGGAAGATATCTATGAGAACTGTGGACAGGTACTCCAGACCTGGGCAGCTGAAGGAGTCCCACATGGATTTCTTGGATGACACTCAGCTTCAGAGTAAGAAATTCATTCATCTCTCACCTCTTACCAAGTTCCTTCATGTCTTTCCAACGGTTTCATTTTCCCTATTTGTTTCCCTCATTTATGAAGGAGTTTAATAAAAAGTTTAGGACTTAGCTTTAAACTTTATACGTTAGTGTTGACATTAATTTTGACACGTTATAGCAGACTACAGGAGTAATTAATGAAACTAATTAATGAAATTTAATGAAAGGAATGGCTTTATTCTATTTATCCTATGACCAGGAAAATTAATGGAAAAGAGCCAGCACCAATACTTTTGAGGCCGAGCCAGGGGTCGGCAAGGAGTGGCCATGGTCACCCCTGAAATGTTAGTGGTAACCTCAGTAGCAACCCATTTGCCACTGAAATCCATTTGGCTATTTAGGATTATGTTTTACAGGCTGCTAGTGCTATCTTTGCACTTCAATGTGGAACCTTTACTTTTGTTGGTACAGTAAATAGTGACTTTGGACAAACTCCTATTTGACCCCTTGAAGATTTAAGACCAGCAGATTTAAAAGTGGCTGTTGGCTGTCTTTGTTGGCTTGCCTTTTAAAGTAAAATATTATAAACAAACAACAACAAAAAACAACAACTGAGTGTTATCCACACCTCACCACCCCTAAGTCAGTGCCCCCAAATTCTTTATTATGGCACAAGTCTTTAGAGCCCCAGTAAGCCATACCAGTCATTGTCAGTGATTTTATAACGAATAAATTCCAAGCAGAATGAGGGTACAATTGAATTCAAGGGAAACGCATGCTCTTTTTAATATACTCGGAAATACCTCAGTGCTTTATGTTGGTTGTTCTGTGTTCTGGTTCTACCTTGTGATTATTTTATGTGAGAACAAACTGAATGTTTTTGAATGTGTGACAGCTAAATGACGGGCTTCTCTCCAGGTGAGGTCAGAAATGTTTTCGGCCATCAAATCTTGCAGTACACCAAAGCTCTGTGCCAAGGCCACTATGATTATTTGGAGCGACTGTCGGACTCCTTACTTCTGTTTATAATAAGTTATCTAGACTTAGAGGATGTGGGTCACCTTGGACGAACATCACGCAGATTCAGGAAGGTATGTTCATAAGACACAAGAAAAAAAGCGTATTATTTAGACTGCTCTGTTGTTGAAGTTGTACTCTGGTTTCCTGTGAATACATCATTTTAGATAATAAGTTAGTATAATTCCATGAAATGTAAAATAAATTCAGCAGCATTGTTCTTGAAAAAATGCTTTTATCTTCAGCTGTGTGGATCAGAAGAATTTTGGGAGCAGACAGTGCGCAGGAACAGCAACACAGTTTCAGCTGAGGTGGCATCTCTGGCAGCTGAGGTAGGCTGGTGCAGCATCTTCTTCACCAGCAAGCTACAGCTGCAGAAGCTACTTAGCCGAAGGAGGGCAAAGTCTAAGGAGGACCAAGAGGAGCAGATCTCTGACCCTGATACAAAGGTGCTGGAATCTCTAGATGAAAGCTCAGCGAAAGACCTGATAGCCGGTCCTGACCCTGACTCTCAGCCTGGTATTATCCCCGATCCAAGCTCTGGCACCAAGACTGGCACAGACTTTGACACCAGCTCTTGCTGTGATGCTGATCCTAACCCTTGCCCTGATCCTGACGCTGGGTCCGAGTTAAGCTTACCCTTGTCTTGCCAATTGTTTCAGGACATCAAGAAGTGTTTGAAAGAAACACAGGGGCTAAATGATGTGCTGGGCGATGAAGAAAGAGGAGACCACAGTGCAGTGACAGACAAGGAACCAAAATGAGGCTCATGAGAAAATCTTTTTTTGGGCTCACTGTTACATTTATACACATTTCTCAGACTTAGATAAATTCTGTAATGATTATCAGAACAATTTTACTTTTAATGTGCAAAATGATTGTCTAACTTTTTTTTTTAATCTAATTTCTAAGTTGAGGAACCTTTAAAGGATTTGTACATTTGTCCTCTATTTCTGTATGGTGCCATGACTTTTCTGACCACTTGGTGTATGTCATTGATATTAACAAAAAAACAAAAAGACTTTGAAGTTTAAAATTCTGCTGTGATATGCAGTCTGTTCTGTTGTACATGTAATTTGAATTAAATATACCGGATGTATATCTGTTTTTTGTCACTTGTTTTTTAAACTTAGTTTTAATTCAGTTATGTGTCACTTGAGCATGAAACTCAACCTTACAGAGGGAGCAGAAACATGATGGCATGTGTGGCGAGTTTATTAATGGTGTTAATGTCTAATATGGCACCTCTAATTGAAAACTTACACTGTACTAATATTTGTGTGCTTAAATATTGACCTTTTTCCAAATATAAGTGACTTAAAGTCAAAAAGGCTTTTTAGAAAAAAGATCAAGAGGTTTATGTTCATGGAAAATTAACCACAGGCATGATACATATTAAAAAAAGTGTGACACAGGTAACGCGATTTTTGGTAAAAACTTTTACAATTACAATTTAAAGACCATTGAGAACACTTTAAATTGTAAAACAAAACAAACAAACAAAAAAGATCGGAGTGGGACTTTAAAGAAAAAATGAGGAAGTCTCCAGTTCCAAGAGACTGCATAGAGTAATTATCAGCTTAGCCAGCAGATGCAGTCTGGGGTTTTCCCATCAGTCAGTGTCCCAAATCCCTTTCATATGTACAGAACCTCCTTCACCAAACTGCTTCTACAGAGTTTCTCCTTCAGATAGTAGTTAATTACAGTATCAGTGAGTAAAGTAAGTACTTTGGAAGGTATTGGATATGAAATTTGATGCGCAACCACAAATTGAAGTACTTTTTGCACCCAGAGGTTTAGTGAGATGTTGCATGCTAAGCAAGTTGGTAAGTATAGTATGTTACAGTTTCTTTTGTACTTGGAAGAAGCTGTCCATTCCTCCAGAACACATCATACTGTGCGTGTGATTATGTACAAACCTTTCCAAAAGATAGACTCCCTTTAATCACATTGACATCTAATGATCTGTTGCCCAGGTACAAAAGCTCACCTTTATATCTTGCAGGCATTTTCATTTATTTAACAAGTGGGTCAGTTACAGTCATATCACAATGCCTTTTAATCGCAGATAACATAATAGTTTTCACTATACTGTGAGTGCAGTGCCTCTATAAAAAAAAAAAAAAACAATCTGCTGGTGCAGCTATTAAAATCTTTGTCATTCTTATAAGAATCAGCTTTTTTTTCTCTGGCTTCCTGTTTATCTTAACCAGCTTACTAGGGTAAGATAAACAGTCATGAGTTGTGACTTTGGTTAAACATGGACTTTGGTTAAACATGGATCACCCACTTTACAACACCTTGATGGACCAAAGGGCCAATGGTCCCCTTCAGGGATTAATAAAGTTATTCTTATTCTTATTCTTATTCTTATTCTTACAATGCTGAGAGTCAGATATAAAAGAAATCAACCAAGGAAAGTTATCTGTTAGATAAAACATTAAAGGGTCTTGTATGGAATTGAACTGTTTGTTGAAATGATGAAAATGATTTGACATACTAAGATATAATAAACTTGACCCTTGACAGTGTGTCTAGATATACCAGATTTAGAGTCTGAACTTCACTTGGAACTAAATAATTTCACTCTCCAGAAAACTGGGCGCTTGAGACAGTTTGTGCTCAGATAAGCCAGAGTTGAGTTGTAGCCACCTGAGCTATTGACCTGCACTATGACTCCTTAAAGTGGTAGTCCACCTCTGATTCAGTTGGTGTGTCATCTGTGCTTGAGACTCCACAAATTCTTCAAAGTGTTTAATAGCACACGAATATAGCTGAGTCCTTCCAGCCGGAGGAGTGATTTAAGGAGGCTTTCCGGAATAATCTCATGTTCCCTATCACTACACCAGAGCTTTCAAACCAGCTGTTACTATTGTAGTCACTTTTCTTGGCCTGTCTGGTCCACTGGGCTGTACTTCGAGTTTCTGATGCAAACCAGATGTGAACACCATCTTTACAGAGCTTGGGTTTTTCCTTCAACCTCATTCTGGGTCACAGACTCACACCAGTAGAGACCACAAATCTCTGCCGGATTTGGTGTCATGATTGAAATAATTATGGACAGGCTCAAAAGCAAGTATTCCTGGAAAACTCTCACAACATGTGTGGGTATTATGTTGAAGTCTTATCCGCTATCTGATCCAACTCACTGCCAGATGGTAATCTGATGATGAGCTCATGTCCTCAATTCACGTGAGTGTCTAGGACATATGACCTGAGATCTGATAAAACATCTACCGAGGAAATCTCTGACCTTTTGCCACAAAATACTTAGCCACCATCCAGCCTTGAAATGGGGAAGCTTAATCATGTAAACCATACTTCTGTAACTGTACCAGTCCTCTGCAGAAAGGCAGTTAAATTCTTCCACACTCACTGTGAGGTCACCAGGTTGAGCCCTTTTTAGCACCTGACCTGCTTTGATCCGAAGGTGCAAACAAAAGTCAATCAGTAACAACCAGGGGACTTAAAGGTCTGATAAACACCTCCACACCTGGTTGTTTTTTTTACTTTGTGTAACTCGACTTAAGACCTGCGAGCATCAAAGTCTGCTGGAGCTTCATGGCCCTCGCTGGCCCTTGCACTTTGCACTCTGCTGCCAATCTTCACCTTGAATGAGGTGAAATAAGGTGGAGGTTCCACATTAAGTTGTTGGTCCGTGACTATCATGGTTTAGAGATTTCCCTGGTTACAAAGTGGATTCGATAAAGTTGCCTGCTGGCATTATGCATTCATTACATAATGTTTAGTATCTTCTAAAATCTATAGGTTACTTTCTTATCCTCAGCACCAGGTCAAGGGTTGGGAATAACATGACGGACAGGCAGGCTACACAGGCTGCTAGCCACGAGCTGACACACAGAGACAACTTTTCAAACTTAATTCGACTTAAATAAAAAGTCAGCATCACAAATTTAATACATTTGTTTGTTTTGTACTGAGTGAGGAAGCAATACTTCTCTTACAAACCAAGGAAAGGAAAGGGGAACATGATGACCGGTCAAAGCCAAGGACCCCCGTTATGTCCAGTGATACTGCTGTTTAGTTAACAAGTTGGGTAATTCCTTTTCCCTTTAATTCAATTTTAGACAGCTGCTAATGAAAGCGCCATGGTCAGATGGTCTTAGCATTATTTAAAATCATTGAATCAAACATCGGCTACAATAATTGCCTGTTGTTCACTGAAGATGTAAGTACAGGCCAGGGTGTAATGAGTTCATTCAGCTTCTTCATCAGGGTCACTAGCTAGAATTAAGTTCTTTACCAGATCCTTACATTAATCCCCTACTGATAGACAACAAAATGCTATCAATGGCCACTTAGAAAGAGGTAAAATGACAAATAGTTATTATATTCTTATTCCACTTCTGAAGAATATCTCAGTCTGGTATGTGGCCAGTGAGTCTGTGTCACATGTTGATAAAAAAGGGCTCTTTGGGGAGTTAAAAGTTGTATTTAAAAAAAAAAGTTGAAGTCAGTCATGACTGATAAAACAGCTAAGAAGTCCATGGGTTCTTCGCACATCATTTTTAAAAGTGGAGGAACATAAGTTCAGGTAAAAGAAGTAAATTAATCAAAAATGTGTTTTTCCCTCTGCTGACATGGGAATATTGTCCAACCACTGCTTCTCTAGAGCTTGGGAGAAGCCATAAGCAGATGGAGTCAAACCATGTGAAGACAAGTCACAGAACATGTGGGGGATAGGATGAGGATGAGAATGCTCTGCTCATCTTGACCTTTCCTTCATCTGAGGCAAGACTAATCCTCCCAGGGCCATAAGAGTGGGCGCTCAAAACATCTTGTTTAGAAAACTATCACATCGCCAAAATTGAATAGTGAAGGACAAAGAATCATTCTTATACCTCCCCTCTCTCGCTCCCTCTCTTTCTCTCTCCCTACTCAAAACTTACTTTCTAAATTACTCTTGATCTCCATTGTAACCCCTCATTTTGGCAACATGTAAGCGGTGCTAAGTCATACACATTTTTTATACATTATTCAGTTTGTGAACAGCACCTGTGATCATTCTCAGCAGAAATGCACCATACAACATACAGTTTCAGTTATCCTCATCTGCCTCCCCTGACCCACTGAAAGATGAGACCTGTAGTCTCTTTTCATCCACTAAGGAAGCTTAAGTTCTTACTGACACTATGATCTATTTACAGCTTGACTGTTGTTTGACATATCTTATATTCACAACAGGCCTTTTTCTGAACTCAGAGGATGTTACTTTCTTTATAGTTTTAAAAGTTTTAAAATGATTATTTTGTTCAACATGAGCACTGCTTGGATCTCCATGATTTCATATGGAACCATTCACCTGGTTTGTCCACTTTTGGAACAAATCCAGCCTCTGGTTTCCCAGTATGACTGTCCTCATGGCTTTATATGCCAGAAGGTCTGGGTCTAGAGCCCTGACAGCAAGTAAAGCCCTTGATCTTGTGTGGGGCACTGAGGGCTTGAGACCATTTGAGAAAGGATTAGCTGATATTATCCAAGGTTTATCTTATTGAATTAGCCTACATTGTCATAGCTGTATTGAAGGTCACAGCAAAAGCAGCAAAGTTATAAAAACACCATTCTTCGAATGAAACAGATAAATAAATCAAGAAAGCAGTAAAATGAAAACATTCAATTAATAGATACTGTGGATGTGGTATTCTAAATTACATATTTATGGAGCTTATCGTATCATAATGGGTGACCAATGACTGACTTTGAAAGCTACCCCACATTTAAGCCTACAGCCTAAAAAAAAAAAAATACTAGTTTTATTGAAAAAGTTTGGCTGTCCTCTTGTGTGAAGTATCACTGTAAGGTATCGAGTGTATCCTCAGAATGACCTCAGTCCTGTCACATGATTGAGGTCATACACCTGAGGCTTTTTATAAACCACCTGGTGAAAAGAAGCTCTGGTCCTACATTGATCTGATCCTTTGAGTCTTTGCACTGTTGACTCCTGGTTTTAACAACCAATTATCTGCTGTAACTAGGTGTTCAAATGAGAAAAAAATGTCACTTTGAGATCCTCAAGAAATAAAGTTCATTTTAAAGTTTAAACTTTTTTGAACAGTTTTATTGTTTCGAAATGTCTAAATGTACAGTTCAGCACAAGCGCCTATAAGTACAGGATTTAGAGAACAAGACGAAACGAAATGTTTTTGCCTCTCACAACCTGCAAAAAAGGAAAAAAAGATTCATTACATATAATTTTGAGTTTATTAGATATCTAGAACAGAGCTCTAAACACAAGGACTAGCTGACAAGCCTGTATTCTTCAATTTATCTGTGTACCTCTTTTTGACACATGAACCAAACATCATGTAGTAAGTCTCACTGCCTGACTGCTCACAATGAAATACAACGGTACAGTTATACAGTTACTTAGTTTGAAAACATTCTAAACATGGTCAGAACTAAATTCTGATGCCTTAATATTAGGCAGATACAACAGAGATATCCTCCTCCCATCCATATACCCTTGAGGAACAAGTCTAAGTCATGATTTTTAAAAATACAAAAAAAAATGTATAAACAAGCCAAATAAAACCACCAATTTTTACACTTATAGTAATGTTGCAGACACATGATATAAAAGCAAGGTATGGAATAAATCTTTTGTAAGAGTTCAAAGATTGGCTCACTTTATGTTGTGAGTCTCTGATGGCAGTAAATTACAAAAGAGCAAGTGGCCAGAAATGAAGCAGACAGATTAAGGGTAAGCTCTCTAAAGTTCATGTTACGTTTAGACTGGATGAAGAAGAAAAGAAAAGAATGTATAGATTTTCAGCCACGCTACAGGGCCATCGTTTACTATATTGAAAGTTTTAGGGGCATTTTTATTAACAATCTGCACAAGTCTCTAAATATGATTTCCATGAGTAAATACCAGACATTTTCTCTCAACTTTTATGAAAGGAATCTGCTGAATAGTCTTTGCAAAGGTATCTCTGTCTTTTTGCCACCCTTTGTGTCTGATACTGTGTCTCACCACCAAATGCTCAGTCAACAGAATCCACAGAACCATAGTTGGAGACTACTGAACACCGTGAGCAAATATAGAGGGCTACAAAGCCTCTTAGGACAGAGCCCGCTTACGATTCCCTTTCCGTGCACAGCATCCTCGAATAGACCACACAAAGATCCTTAAGCCAAAATCCCTCCCTGGTATTTAATTCTAAATGAGTAATTACTGGGTGTGTCAGTGTGTCTTCAGATTCCAGGTAGGCTGGGTTAAGGAGCTCATTTGCCGGGTGGCTTTGGAGGGAATTGCACTCTCACACTGAGACACACATTCTGAAAGACGCTGCACTGGTTGTGAGAGGGCCACTGAAGAACCCAGTCACTTAGGGGGGATAGACCACATACAGCCGCCAAGATGTGTGACATGGGGGGACTGGATAACCTGGTGGCCAACACGGCCTACCTAAAAGCCCAGGGTGGTGATGACAAGGAGATGAAAAAGCGCCGTCGCAGCTTGTCCCTTCCAAAACCTGAGCAATGTTCTGGAACACGGGCTAGCCTTGACAAGGACTTTACATCGCTTTGTGAAAGGCAGCCTATCGGCAAGAAGTATTTCCGTGACTTCCTGGCAAACAACAAAGACTACAAGCTGGCAGCTGATTTCCTGGATGAGCTGTATGACTGGGATCTGGCTGAAGGTGCAGTAAAGGACAAGGCCCGCCAAAACATCATCAACAAGTATTGTAAGGCTGACTCCAAGAACTTCCTGTCTTTCCTCTCTGGGGAACCTGCTGACAAATGCAAGGCAGTGACAGATGCCACCTTTGAGGAGGTGATGAAATCCAAAGTCCAGGAAGGTGTACGTAATTATCTCAAGGAGAAACCTTTCACAGAATACCAGGCCAGCCCATTCTTTGATAAATTCCTCCAGTGGAAAGAATATGAGAAACAGCCCATCTCTGACAAATATTTCTACGAGTTCAGAACCCTGGGAAAAGGAGGCTTTGGAGAGGTAAGGATGCAGATCAAACGACAGTCTTACAAGTCTTGTTTGGAATATTTGTTATAGCAAATAACAGCTCTCAACACACTGATACGGATGTAGGATTCCTAAGGCAGCCTTAGGTGTGATGGTATTTTCAGTGTCTAACATTCAGCCCTAATTTACCCTGTTCAATCTATTGTAAAATACATCAAAAAAGTCAGGGACTTCATGCATCCCAAGGCTTTTGTAGTTGTTATGATGATGCTTCAGGAGATTACAGTAGTGCATAGTCAGTGGCATTTTCTAAAGCTATGGGATGTAATTTGTTGAAGCATATAAAAGGATATTCTTGGTCAAGAGAACATACCTTACATAACCATGTGGATTTACCTTATCTCAAGGTGACCATGAAGTTATGTGGCAAAGTGGCGCATGAAAACATGTATATTGTCTTGCAATTCAAAATGTTCAGAACCACAATGCTGATGGAAGTAATCTTTGACAGGTCTAGCAAGTTACAGTGATTGCTTGCATAACTATCAATGCAAACTTTCATTTCTTGACTCTATCTTAATGAATGTAGAATGTATAAAGGACCCACTAATGACCTCTGAGGAACCTCATCTCAGTGTAAAGCATAGAGCTACACTTACGAAAATTCAGACCAGCTTCTTAAAACCTAACGAGATAAATAGAGAGATAAAAAGCGGTTGATGGGAAAAAAAAGTTTTATCAATGTAATGTAAATTAAATAGTGAAAAAAGAATATATATATATATATATATATATATATATATATATATATATATATGTATATAGTTATTGTTATTCTTAAAATGACTATCCTATGACCATGTCCAATACTGATGTGTGAACATTTCAGTGAAAAAATCGTAGAAAAGACACTCTGATACCAGACCATCTTTTGTAAATGGTAGTTTAACTTGTGCTGCCAAGTGCTGTGGATGTACATGAATCTGTTTTACAAAGACTGGTTAGAGGAGAAATTGTGAAATGTAACAAATCCTCCTATGCCGATTTAAAAGGATGATCATTTTCAGAGAAATCAATAAAACTTTGAAATTCTGTATGACAAAGATTTATGATTACATTTCATTGAAAAGCTGTTATAATACAGAGACTGCATGTTTCTGTTTTATGGTTAATAGTTAATCTGAAAGTAAACTAGATTTAAAATTATACTTTAAACAAAGGTAATGTTAAGATCTGTCTTCTCAACTGTGAAGTGTAATGGTCCCTCTGCTGCTTGTAGGCCTACATATCAGCCTAGTACCATTAATTCATGAGTCGTGACTTTGGTTATTACTGATTTTGATGACTTAAACTGAAAACAGGCAGTTGAAAAGTTTTATGAACCCTATCATTAACAAATAACTTGTCTGTCCTCAGGTATGCGCTGTTCAAGTGAAAAACACAGGTCAAATGTATGCCTGCAAGAAGTTGTGTAAAAAACGACTGAAGAAGAAGGGTGGTGAGAAAATGGCCCTGTTGGAGAAGAAGATCTTGGAGAAGGTGAACAGCCTGTTTCTGGTCAACTTGGGATACGCTTATGACACCAAGACCCATCTGTGCCTTGTCATGACCCTGATGAATGGAGGAGATCTCAAGTATCACATTTACAACATAGGTTATGATGGAAAAGGTGTGGACAAGGGTATTGAGATGAAACGCGTCATCCACTACACTGCACAAATCACTACCGGCATTCTGCATCTGCACGCCATGGATATCGTATACCGAGATATGAAGCCAGAGAACGTGTTGCTGGATAGTCTAGGCCAGTGCCGACTTTCAGATTTGGGTCTGGCCATTGAGATTGCTCCGGAAAAGACAGTCACCCAGATGGTGAGTATATGTCCACAACACACTGTTAGTCTGGATAAAACTGTAACGAATCCAAAAGCAACATTATGTTGTCTTAAAACACAGAGTTGCATTAAGCAACCTAGCATCAATGAAGTTCTGAACCTAGCAGGATTTAGTTGTGTGATTTCAGTAACATCACATGATCTTACATCACAGTGACAGATGTCCATACTTGATGGTAATTCCATTTATGACTCAAGGTTTTTGAGGTTGTTTGGAGCAGAGGGCCGGCAGAGATCCTCAGTTAATTCTGTTCTGTGTAGCTGATCTTTGAATCAACAAGATCTTGTCCAAATGTTCATCGATATGGTTTTAAAGTAACAGACACAGACACATGACAATCAACAGCAAAAGAGAGAGAGAGAGAGAGACAGAGAGAGAGAGAGAGAGAGAGAGAGAGAGAGAGAGAGAGAGAGAGAGAGAGAGAGAGAGGGTGATAGGTGATCTAGTCTGGTCTACATCTTTACTTTCTAGTTCACTTATCTAAAGAGGAGGACCTGAGCTCATGCTATTGTACAAGCAGTCAGTCTTGGTGGGGTTTTTGCTTTAAATCCGGACAGGGATTACCACTTAAAGATCTGTGCAATGAACGACTTTGAATCCATTATGTAACTCAATTGATCCTTTAGTGACAGATTATAGCATGGCCAATAATAGGCCACCGTTTTGTAAAGGACTATGTCAGAGACATGGAGTTCCACTACCCTGTAAATCAATGGCTGCAGAGAATTAAAATAAAGTGTCCCCCAGCAACACGGCTGTAGAGATGTGGCTATTTCTGCAAAGGCGTTACCTGAGGAGAGTTCCCTTTCCTATGCTGCAGTTACTTCCTATGGCACACTATGAAGCCTGTTCACTGCTGTTCTTGTTCTGGACTTGAGTAACCATGTCATCAATAGGTTCAGCTTGTTATCATACTTATTTATATTATGATATATATGATATTAATTGATCATAATGGTCTGTTAGGTTAATCATTAAGCTCTGAAAAATGTGTTCAGTGCTGGCAAAAATGTTTTATACATGCAGAACATGAGCTGAAAATTGTAAAACCACAGATATGTAAGTGAACCAGTGTATAAAACAGCATATTTTAATATTCATTTCCACTTTTTGTCTTAAATTACCCAAAGTGTATTACCTATGTATGACACAAAATTACAAAACTAAGAACTGAAGAAGGGTTCCCTTCTTTGAGACTTGCTTGCAGTAGCAAAGAGTAAGCTCTCAGTTCCATGAAAGTCCAGTAAGCTCATTATCCAGTACTCTGATGCTCTTCAGTCAGCCAAAATGACTGGGCTAACCTCCTACAGGCAAGGCTGGCTTTGGTCCTCTAATCCTCTTAGTGGCATTACACAAGTCTGTCCCTGATTAGATTGACAGATTCAGGTAAAAACCTATGTTGAATATATTCAGACATGTTAGTTTGCAAACAAGGTGACTTAAACTGGGTTGACAAATGAGATCTGCTCCTTGTTTGAACCAAGATTAGATTAATTTAGGTGATAATTTTGTACCTGTGGGATTCTACATAACAGAGTTTGGCTGCTGTGACAGACCAGAGTGTGCAGGTGCTTTACCTGTGAGGTTAAACCTATTACCAACAGATACACAAATTGCAGTTGAACAAAATGTAGCTGCAAAAAGTCCCAAGAGGAGGTCAAAATTGCAGATGATAGAAATCTATGGATTTGCTTGTGAGGTAACATTGGACTGAATAATAACTATTGCATGCAAACCTGCATAAATTTCCAGGGTCATGTGGGCAAGTGTTGTCACTAAAGGTAACAACAACGTAACACCAAACAAGGGTTCAGTGATTACAATCTTTCAATCGAACAGAAAATAGTATGCATTGCTTGTTTTCAAACACTTTTATGGCTTAAACAGCCATAAAAGTTGTAGTACGCTTATAAAATACAGATCTTTCATAGAACTTTGAGTGAAATATGCAAAAAAAAAATCTGTTCCTGCAGAAGCTCAGCTCAATGCTAGTTTGCACTGCATGTACAGTGATAATACATTACAGGCATGACTGCGTGTAGTCCGGATGTTACGTATCTGTGCTGGTGACACAAGCTTCCAGAAATGTCCAGCCTTTATATAAGAGCCGGGACAACTCTGTCAGTGTGTAGACATACATGACTCTTGACAGGTAGTAGGCTTAGCATTAGGATTAAGCTGCTGGTCTGAGGCTGCAGTTTAGGTCAAAGAGGGTAAGGAGCAGGGAGAGAGTGAGCAAGGGAGGGAAAGGTGAAAGTTACACAGACAGACAATAAGGGAACACGCTAAAGGCTGGAGTGAAGCTTTAAGTAGCCTAGGTTACTGACCTTCAAGTTATACTTAAGCCATCTGTCCCCCCACAAAACCAACTTTATGTTTTCTGTCACTTCTGATTAAAACTAATAAATCTGTACATTTCCTTATGAATGTAAAGTCAGTAATTCCATCTGAAGAGCTGGTGGTAAAAAGAGAGTGATCTACATGTTTCTCAACACGTCAAAGACACGATTCCTTTTAGGTTTTTATATTAAAATCCCTTCCTCCGCTTCTCTCTCTCTCCAGGCTGGTACAGGAGCATACATGGCCCCTGAGCTTCTAAGCAAAACCCCCTACAGGACATCAGTGGACTGGTGGGCCCTGGGCTGCAGTATCTATGAGATGGTGGCCGGCTACACACCCTTCAAAGGCCCTGACAGCAAGAAGGAGAAAGTGGAGAAGGAGGAGGTACAGCGCCGCATTCTCAACGAGGAGCCCAAGTGGGAGCACAAGGGTTTTGATGCCCCAACCAAAGACATCATCCAGCAGTTCCTCAAGAAGAAAATTGAAGAGCGTCTGGGCATGAAGTAAGAGTTCCTCTATGTGTTTAAACTGGAAAATATCATGAATCTGGGCTTATTTAAACTTTCAAGATACATTTTTAGAAATTATCATAGAATTTAGTCCCTCACATTTCTTGGGAATTGTAAATGTTTGATTTATATCACTGGCACTATTGTAATGGATACAGTGAAAGTGAAAAAGCTTGTCAATTAAACTGTTTAGTATTGGCTACACACAACAGGGACAATTTCACCTTGACTGAAAGCAAACTGTTGCGTAAACCAGTGCCGACATTGACATCGACTGACATTGTAGAATTCAATCATTAACACTTGCCTTCTCCACAGGAACAACATGGAAGACCCCAGGAAGCACGTGTGGTTTAAGACCATCAACTTCCCCCGTCTCGAGGCCGGGCTGGTGGCTCCTCCCTGGGTACCCAAGCCCAACGTTGTCTACGCAAAGGACACTGGCGATATCGCTGAGTTCTCTGAGATCAAAGGCATTGAGTTTGACGCCAAGGACGATAAATTCTTCAAGGAGTTTAGCACAGGGGCCGTGCCCATTCAGTGGCAGCAGGAAATGGTTGACACTGGACTGTTTGATGAGCTCAATGATCCCAACAGGAAAGAGGGTGGCGGGGATCCTGATGATGAAAAGAAATCAGGCACATGTATATTGCTGTGAGAAGCCACATGTAAAAGATAATTTATAAGCAACAACACTCAATAATTTGTTTTCTTGGTCAGATGCACATTATTATTGTTGTAAAGGATGAATGGAGAGAGGTGAGCAACAGCATCTATGTTGAGATAGATGTACAGTCCCTCTCTTATAAAGAGTCTCATGGTCTAGAGATCGGCTGTTTCTGAGGCAAGGTTCAGTAAAATATCGAGGATGTGATGATGTATTTTAAACATCATAACTTTGGTTCACAGCTTGTCTTGTAAATATATACATATAATGATGGAGACAGACTAACTACATTGACCAAAAATAACAGTTTGGAGTAATTTTAAAGAGGACACAACTGCTAGATTAGTAAGAAAAAGGCGATTGAGTGAGAAATATTATGTAACTTGATAATGAACAAATCTAAAACCAAAGTGACTAGAAAGCACCAGCCCACCATCTTATTCCCTTTATTGATGCCATCAGAGGGTCTCAGTGCTCCTACGATGAAGAGTGCTATCTGAGCTCAGATGATCCTAGCACTGAACGTTTTACTCTGTGATCTTTAACCTGATCACTGCGATCTATTCAGGCGGTTTTCTTCCCGACCAACATTTTAGTCTTGTAAAGCTAGAAAAAGCAATTGTTGCTGTTGTATGTATTGTATATAATTACATTTAACTATGCACAGAGAGGAAAGCAGAGAGTTAAGTTATTTAAAGTTTAGTATTTATTTAAAAAGAAAGAAGAAAACTATAAGAAGACTAAAAACCTCTTCACTGAACCCCTCTACTGTTTGGTGCTATGAGGCTCAACTTAGTGAGAACTCTGTAGCCCTGGGATGCTGGGAGAGAGATGAGTTAGCAGTTATTTGCTGCATATGAAGGAGAAAAATTTTAGAGGAGTCGGGCAATAAATTCCTGTACCAGGATCACATAGGTTGCCCAGTTCATGACCCTGAAACACTGTGAAGCTTCAGGGCTCCTTTTAGTTTGAGATAAATGTAAATAACTCAAACTAGCCACATCCTGAAAAAAAAAAAAAGAAATGCCCCACTACTGTGGTTGTTGAAGTGTAGAGACTTGGGTTAGTTCAAAGGAAAGTCCTTGTTATATTTGTTGACTTGTCTCAGGGTAACTATTTGCTTAAGCTTTTGAATATCCAGATGTTGGGCAGAGTTGAGTTTTTACAGTTAATGTTAATACAATATAAATATATATATGACACATGTGTTTGTAAATATAACATGAGAGGAATTGCTACTATAGAAATCATTGGTTTAAAGCAGAAATTTCCTTAAATCTTGAATCATTTGAATAAATTAAAAGATGTCTTTTAAAACCTCTGCTTGATCTGTGATTATTTACGTCAATGTCATTGTCTTAATGTCTTTGTTGTGGTCTTAAGGTTCTGGAAGAACATCTACCACCAGCGTCAGAGAATTGTGCAATTAGACAGAAAGTCTTTGGACTATATATATCCACAGAGAAAGTGTTGCTGAGGACTGTGGAGTAAAACCTAAAAATATCGGCTGTATTAATCCTTTTCAGGATGCTGACTACAGCCAGGCTGTGCTCCAGGCAGCCGCAAATTAGCAAGTCCAACCCTTAGCTGATAAGGCGATAACCAATGTTATCCTTGCACCGTCTTTACTTAAATCAGCTTCAAATCCCCCTCTGGGTTTTGAAGCATCTCAATGTTACAGCTAAGTGACAAGTTGAGACAGAAAATAGCTGTAATCTTAATCTGAAAGAATTTATTTTAACACATTTTGACAAATTTGCTTTTTATATTCTGGAAATATTTTATTAAAGGGTTGATGGAGAAATCTCATGACTGGCCTTGAATGTAGAAAAGCGGTAAGTGACACCACCAATGCCTTATCAGTTTAAATTTTTACAGAATGTTTGTGAAAACACACACACAGATAGCTAATTTGTCATTTTCAAGCACTTCTGACATTGACATCTCCAACATTCCCAAATCTCAAGAAGTAGAAGGATGAAATTATCGATTGTGCATTTTATTTTGTGCATGTTCGTTGGTCTCCTTGTGACTCCTTGTGTCTTGTTTACAGTGCTGCAACTCAAGGACAGTAGGAGTTAAAAAGACGCTCAGGTGGATTCGTTCTCCAGCTAAACCCTGAGAGATTATCTGACATACAGCAGGACTTGGGGACAGGCGACTTGCTGACAGTGAAGGACAGAGCTGCTGCTTCAGGTGCTGCCTCAGGGCAATGTGGGAATTGTTGGATGGAGGTGAAGTGAAATTAGAGCAGTCAGGTATGATCAGACTCCTTATGGCACTGACCTGATGTCTTCTGACTTCTGGGCACAGTTGCAGGTGAATTCATGCACATAATGATTGGGCGAAGATTTGTGTTTCAGGAAATGTCGAAATAATTAGAGACATAGCAGGACTGTAGACAAGAATACCTGGTGCCACACACCAGACACAAATCCAAATGATCTTTTACCTGGGTCATTAAGAAGCCAAAAGCTTCGCTTCAGGCTTGACAGGTGGTTTTAAAAGATTAGAAATAGACCGAGGATCTGCAGCAGCTACACTCTAAGCTCATTTCCTAACAGCTCTCAGCTGATGTTATGTAAACTGTTGGCACATTCAATCATGTGGATTTGTTGTCATTGATTTGTCTGCTTAGAAAAACCTCAGGGTGCAGACAGGGGAATGTAAAATGCCACACTGACCTCCTCAGGCCCCAGGGCAGCTTTATGTCTGGACCACACTGTTAAGAGCTGCTCAGGCTGTCTGAGATGTTTCTGGCTCCCTCCTGTGGTTGCACTAACACTAAAAGTTCACCATGACACTCTTACCCAGCATTTGCACAGACTCTTTCCCTCAGTTGTTTAACATACCACAGAACCCTGGTTATTGAACCCTGGTTATATCTTTCCAATTACTCAAATGCTGTTTATATTTAGTGCTGAACTGTGAGGTAACTCCAGATTCTCTAAGTCGCCACTTAGAGCTTCTGCTCAGCTGCATTTTTTCTGACGTTACATGTGCTTGTATGCTGTTGCTCTGCCTTGGTTAAGATAATGATTGCATAAGCCATTCAACGTTTTTCTTTTAATTGATAAATGACTTTTACAGAAATCATGACCAACCCCTAATAAAGTTCCAATTTTCAAATAACTGTTGACATTTAAGGCTCATATACAGAAGTTGCTTTAACAAACAATTAAAGGTGTATTTGTTTACATATGGAGTGCCATGAATGAAGTTAAGTTCAGCTCCTCGCTCTGATGGATTAAGTTTTCTTGTTACCCCTAAGATAAGTTCTGTTTTTCTTTTTTGTCTCTTCACTTTTCTTTCTTCATCTTATTTTTGTATTAGTTTGTTTTTCAACAAACAATAGAGAATAAGAGCTACTGTATGAATGAAGTGTAGAATGAGTGTTATGTAAGTGTAAAGTCTCCAAGTATATAAGTTCAAAATATACAAAGGAAAAGAAGATTAGGACCCCAGAAAAAATAGTTACTGCATATCTTGTTGTAACTAATGGTGGATCCAAACAAACATTATACACTTTTTGCATTTTTAGGATTTTAACTGTTATCTCTAAGGTGTTTTATCCTTACTGCCCTTTACAAAAAGCAGCGTGTTGTCCCTTTAATGCATTAGGGAACCTTAGGAGTGACTTCCTTTTATACCTAAAAGATGTATGTGTAATAGATCACAAAACAGGCAAAGATTTTGGGAATAGGTTTGAAAGAAAAAGTGCTTATTATGGGTGTCTTAGGACTTTTGTTTCATCTTTTTGACCTCACCTATCATAAATGACCCCACAGTTCACCCCAAGCCCCTCCAGCTGGTTGTAGCTATGATTGTATCATACTGTGTGATAATATTTCTGCACCACTGTTGTTTTTCTGCAGAACCACAGTGTTTTGACGTCTGATGCTAAAGGTGTATTTGCAGCTGCATTAGCACTGATGTTAAATGTTGAATACCAGACTCTTACAGTTTTGCTCTGATGTCTTTTCTTAAGTGCAGGGCCTATAGGAACTTCCTCCAGCACAGGCCTCACCATAAACGATTACAAAGCAGGCACAAGAATATCTGTTTTTCTTCAAAATCACTTTTATTTCACAATTTATTTCATCAGGTCTTAAGGCACCCTGAAGAGATGTTACAAGTTGTTCTTTCAAATGCGGGTTCCTTTTAAGACTGTGTAAACATAGCTTTGAATAAGATAATTTCCTGTAAATCTTTGCTTAAATTATTTCTTTACAGTGCACAGACATTGTGTTTTGTGACAAAAATACAGTGTGAATTAAGTAAATATGGTAGATAGTGTATATATATACATTGAAGAGTAATAGATTGGCAGACAATCAGATCAACAGGCTGAAGAGCGAAAACTAACAAACAATCTTTGAGACCCAGATAGATATACAGATCACGTATAAGATATACAGTACATAGTTACAGTGAACTTTATATTTTTGCAACGCCTCCCCAGCGCCTCTCGGCCTTAAGAGCATTTTATACACTGTACCTTCTGTGTGTGTATGTGTGCGTGTATGTGTGTGCGTGTGTGTATGTGTCTCTTCAGCCACCATCGTTCCGCAGCACCCCGTGAGGTGGAGCGAGTCAACTCATCTAGTCCTGGACGGCTCACCCACATGTCAGCTATTGCTGTGGAGAGGTGAGTAAAAACAGGAAGACGGGCAGACGGACAAATAGACGGACATGCAGACAGACGGACAGAAAGACAAACGGCACAATACTGTTGTTGCAGCCATGCAGGCCACAACACAAAGATCTATCTATAATTCCCTAAATATGATAAGGATCACAATGTATTTATACGTAGAAAGGGACTTTGTAATTGGCATTTTCATATACAGGGATACGGTGGCTATACTTGATTATCAAGGTTCATACGTTCCTATGAAGTCTTTGTGATGTGATAATGTGAATACTCTGGAGATATGTTTGGAAATGTTCTACCCTCTCACTTGTACTATACAGCAAGATAAAAATCCTCTCAACTCTGGCGATAATACAGTCATTCGAACATTGTGGAGAGATGAAAACAACACTCTCTTCCTGAAGCAGAAAGATCTAAAAAAAAAAAAAAAATTTACAAGAAAATGATATATCTGCAATTACACAACAGCTCCATGGCTTGGTTGCAATGGCTATAAGTTATCTAATCACACCTATTCTGAAAAACAAGAAGGATGAGGAATGAGCAGTGCAACGGGTGAAAGAAAGGGCAGACAAATGGATGGAGGAGCAGAGCTTGATGGATGTTCTGAGGATGTTTGCGGAGATCAGCAAGGAATCATGAAGGAAAGAAAGGTCAGAAATGTCCACAAAGCAACATTCAATATCTGTATCTACCTGGCTCTGGACTCATTTGCATCACACTGCTAATCCATACTTCACTAAAAATGCCACCTTTGTGACTTATTTGACGCTTTCTTCCCTTTATTTCAAATTTTAAACACAAATCCTTAGCAAACATTGGCAGCCTCTGCATTGGGGTTCTCCCTTTTATTGGCTTTCTCCTCTCTTTAATCGACCACCTTGATCCTGAAGGTGACACGGCCGAGGAACTTGTCCCTCTCGTCGTTGTTGCGGAGGTCAGAGCCCTCTACCCTGCACTCTATCGGCAGCTCCTTGTTGTAGTCCTCCTTGGTGAGCAGCAGCTTCACGGCCACCAGGGGCTGCACATAATCCTCCTGCAGCGAAGAAATAGATGCATGTCAATCAAACATTTACGCCAGGACATCAGCAAGTGCAAGCTGGGTAGTGGAAAATTACTTACATGGGCTTTCTTGCCGTAGTAGGGGAAGTACATTTTATCAATGCGCCCTTCACTGGGGTAATATATCATTTGAATTGGGTTTTCTCTCTGCAAAAAGGGGAAATATGTTAGTAAATGGGAGTTTTAAAAAAATAAAAAGCAATTTATTTTGTTAGTTTAGCTGCAGTTAAGACCATCTTTTTCAGGATCACATGAGACAGGACACAAAAAAGGAAAATTAATGACCCTAGGTTGTTAGCAAAGAGGTTTAAATAAAACATGATGTGTTCTACCTAAAATCTGCTATGAGACATCTGTAGTTGAAATTTATGCCTGTTAGATTATTACCGACTTTAAAATGGCACTGAGATGGGTTTAATGGCACTTGCATAATGAACTGTTACATAATAGAAAGTGTGTTAAGACTCCTACTGGCCTTATCATCCTGGTAATTTACATATAATCTTACCCTAAAGCCGTCAGTGACAGCATGCAGAAAGAAATCAGACACAAAAACAAAGAAAAAGAAGGAAGAAATGAAATCAACAGAAAGAAAATATTGAGACTGTTATGATCACCACAGCTATTTTTGTGAAGGAAATGAAAAACACAATACACACACAGGCAAGTCGCACATATATTACATCACAGAGAGGAAAAACATATTTACTTTTACTGTGCAGTTGATGTAAGGGTCTCCGCGGGGCTTCAGGCCAATAATCTGGGAGATGAGAAAAACAGAAGAGGGTGTTAGGAGGATTTTTAACCGTTCATGTGCTTAAACTGTGTTTCTCCAATATCTCAGATATTTTAGTGCTAGATTAGCGGTGCCATGGGTCTCAGGGAACCATCCTCAATGAGGACCTACTACATGTGTTCATCATTACTCAAGCTCCTGAAATATGCTGTGTTGTTGCTCTATGTGGACTCTTTCTATTTTCTGTAGGAGGTCAGCAGGATGTCTAACAGTGTGGACAGATACATATATCTGATCCACATCATACCAGTCCTTGTTGCCCTTATGGCATGCTAAAGATGTAACCTAGACCTGCAATCATGGACTTTGAATAGGCATCGTTACAAGGTGAAATGCTGCTAATGAATCAACTTAATGCCTCATTTTGGGAGCTGTCAGAAATGGAGATAAAAAGCTGTTAGGGAGGATTAAAAGGCTGACAACGTTTCCTTCTGTACTTCTCTTTCTTTAAGGTTTGGCTTTGTGGAAATGTCGTTACCCTGTTCATTTTGAGCAGCACGCAGGGTCGTCCCTCAGAATAGCCAAAGTTGGTGTCAGAGAGGCCGGAGCAGAGACTCAAAGAGCCCCTCTTGAAGCGACAAGCTTTCTTGGCTTCGTCCTCTGTGTCATCCTGCATGAAATAGTCTCCTCGGGGGCAGTCAAGGTTCTTCTCCTGCTCTGTGTCATTATACCCTGAGAATAAGAGCATGTTTTCGGATAAATGGAATGACTCATAGGAAAGGAGATCCAGGAAAGGAGAGCAGAATCTGTTTTAATATGCATTTATCTCTTCATCAGGGAGGAAAGACACTTACTCTGCAGGAAGGACTCCAGGTGTTGGACATACTGAAGATACTTCTGTGGGTCTGACTTGTTAAAATGGATGTCCAGGGAGTTTGGACGTATCACCAACCCTGACAGAAGCACAAAAAAACGATGTAAACATCGAATAGTGCTGCAAACAATCCAAACAGGAGAAACTAATGCACATCCAGCATTGGAGTTTGTCTCGAATTACAGCCGGAGAGAAAACATTCCTGGCTGCCTATGTCACACAGGAAGAGAATTTCAAAATAGATCGATACAAAAAGCAGCTGTTATGTTGCACATTATTGTGACAGCAGCACATTGGTGTGAGTATGAATAATGAATGTCTGAAAGAGAATTTATTGCAGCTGAAAGCTCCTTGTTCTCCTGCCTCTTTTTCTGAGTCTGGAGAGACACTAACCTGGACTGGGAACGCGGTCTCGGTACCTTGGCACGTTGTCATCTAGAGTGAGCAGGAGGACCCACATGGTGAGGGCAAACATACCAGCCAGGAAACAGTAGAAAACCAAGTAGAAGAGCAGGATGAGGGCTGGAGGAAGTTAGAGGAAATGGAATAGAAAGAGAGAGAGGAGACATAATGAGGAGAAAAGGGACATAAAAATGGGTCATGTATAATTAACTACATCTTTTCCACACAACCTGGAACAAAAGCCTTTTGATTTCCTCTGAAGAAAACTGTCATCTGAATGTCCAATCCGTAATAGAGAAACCATTTTGGATGAAGGGGAAATGCTACTCGCTGCTAACAGAGCTGAGCCTATTTTTCACTCAAATCACACCAGATTCAGCGATGCGATATCATGCACAACGCTTCTACAGCCTATTTCATTGAATTCAAGGGAGAGAGAGGAGACAGAGCCACAGTTTAGCAAACATCTGACTCAAAATGGTTCACCATCCAGCCTGCACACCACAGATGCCCTCTAAGTTGACAAGGAGGGGGGGGTGAAAAAAAAGAGATGGACCCCTCAGCTTCCTGCTGTACATTCCCCCTTTCTCTCATTCCCCCCCAACAGTATCCCACAATGCACCTGCCTAGTGCGTGAAAGAGAGAGAAAGAGGAGAGAGGGGAATCCCATTTGACCTTGACAGGCATGCTAATGTGGGCGGCCATGCAACTGCAATGGAGCATCCCACTGCACAGCAGCACAGGGGCCCAAGCAGCCCGACAGCACTGCGCGAGCCTATAGGAGCCTGCTGCTGGAGGGAGGGTAGGTGTTGTGTTACTACCTCAATGTGGAAGTGACCGGAGAATCATTACATAAAATAATGTATGACATGTTGAGCCATAGATTCACCTCAGGAATGCTGAAGCGCACTCCTCATGGATGATTAAGTAATGGGAGCTTTTCATCAGCTCGAGTCTCCTCTGTTATAATCTTGATAATCCTATTTATTCAGGTGATAAATATGGCTTAGAATCAATCCCTGCTGTTTCATTAGAGATCACCTGGATGAGTCTTTCTGCCTTTGCAGCAAAGACAGTGGAGCACACCTTTCCTAGCATCATTCATCTTCCTCTTGGTACAGGCTTCTCCTCTACACCTTCATGTAGGCCAATGATGGCTCCTTCACTGAAACAATATCCATATAGCTGTCACTGTAATCCATTCATGCACAGAAATTTGAAGTAGGTTTTTTGCTTCAAGAGGGACACATCTAAAAACCACTGATGATGGTAAATGGGAGGCGCCATATTAGATGACAGGAGCGTGAATGTCAAAGCAAATCTGGTAACTGAATGCTGAATAAATCGGGGGGGATTCTTACCCCAGCTGCTGGCCGTGCGACCCAGCACCTCCCCGGTCCTCGGGTTGTAAAAGGAGTCCTTCCAGCTGGACGTGTTCTCCTTGTTGGCCGGTTTATCCTCGGTGCTCGCCATGGTGATCTCTTTTCTCCCAGTTTGTTTGGTGCTTTTTTCTTGTGTATCTCTCTTTTTTTGGTCCCTGAAATGTGCTTTCTCTCCTTCTCCTTTAAAAAAAATGCAGAAAAGGGGGCAGCGGGCGATGTGGTGAGGCAGGCGAAGAAGAAGCCGGCGAGGCGGCGGTGAGTGGAGTGGGCGGTGTAGAGAGAGAAAGAGAGAGAGAAGAGAAGAGAAGAGAGCGAGAGCAAGAGAGGGGGGAGAGAGAAAGCAGAAGGAGAGAGATGCTCTACTGGAACAAAAAAAATCGAGAAAGGGGAAGGTGAGGAAAGAAGAGGAAGAAGAAGAAAAAAAAAATCTGTGACGCTCACACAAACCCGTGTCGGCTGATGCAGTATACGAGCAGATGGATGTACATTGGAGACGCACCGTTACGCGCACACATTATAAATAGAGCGCACAATATCTCCCTTATTATCAATTATAATATGATGGCTGCAAGCGTGGGGGGACAAGATGGGGTCTTGATTTTACAGAAAACGCTTGTAGAGACTGGAGATACTTCAAGAAACGCTGTAATTTCTCAAGAATTCAAAGATCTCCAAGGCCTCAGTGCATCTGCAGTACCTCAAAGCACACATATGACCATGGCATGTGGCCTAGTTGTACTTGATATCACGATATTATCATTTATTTTTCTGCGACATTATATGTAGATAGCTGCACATGAGTTGAGTCACTACATAACTGATCAAATAGGAAAGAGTGCGTCTTGACAGGCTTACATGAACGAATGCTGTTAAAAACTCGACGAGGGGCACACACGCACACACACACACACACACACACACACACACACACACACACACACACACACACACACACACACACACACACGCTTTTACTAATCTATAAGAACATAAATGCCAGTGATCAGCATATCTGAAGTCCACGAGGATGCTATTTGTGACAGACTGGTTGAGCATAGATATTTGGAGCATTTGCCAATCCTTGTTGCTATGGCAATTCAGCACGACTGAAACCAGAATCTCTCTGTGTGTGTGAGGGAGAGGGAGAGAGATTCTGTATAATATTTATTGTCGTGTCATTGCTAAAATTACAGTTTCTATTGATTTTTTTTATTGCGTGTCTAAATTTGGACCATTGTACTTTGATGCCTTGGCATTTTTATAAACTCTCCTGCCCGTGGAGCTTTTGGATTGAGGTTGAACTGCATTGAAAAGAGAGAGAGGGAGAGAGAGAGAATGAAAGAAAATGAAAGAGGGAGAGGGGGAGGGATAAGGGGGTGGGAGGGATAAGGAGGTGGTAATTTTAATATGGTTACAGTGCCCCTTCATCCCTCAGTAAACATGAACCATAAATTGTCACACACAAACTTAAAAACATAGGATATCATATCATATCATACAGATACGCATTGTGGAATATTTCATATTAATGTAATACTGCCCATGCCATCCAAATTTTTGTGCTCTTTGGCCGGATTGTTCTTCAAACTTCCATGCCAATAAAGTCCTTTGAGCTAAATTGGATTAAATTTAGGGGGAGGGGCAGATAAATAGAGAGAGAGAGAGAGAGAGAGAGAAAGAGAGAGAGAGCCTAGTAGGCACTGTAAACAGATGTGTCAAAGTTAACAGAGAATAACACTTTGCTCAAGGGGATAAGGAACTACAGCCATCCTCTCCCAGCTGTTATTTCACATTCATATAAATAAGTAAGCTGCATCTGCAGAGTAAATCTCTCATTTGATTCATACTCCATCCTCTGCTTTGCCACACTCTGCAGCACGTGTCCTGCATGTCGTGCCACTGACTGAAGTGAACTGAACTGAGAGAGATGGAGTTAGGTGCTCAGGCAGCAGGGGGAGAGGCTGAGACACTGACTGGAAGAAGAAAAAAAAAAGACAAAGCTTAACTTCCAACCCCTGACACTCCAGAGAACAATCCCAGAGTGTCACAGAGAGAGAGAAAGAGAGAAAGAGAGGGAGGGAGTTATATAATGACCCCTGATGCAGGGTTCAGCTTGCGTGGGGGGAGGGGGACCCGAGTGGTGGTCGCATTGCATCCAGTTCCTGCTGTCAGTTTGAATTTGTTGCAAGGCAGGGTCCACCACAACTCATACAATGCAGTTACCAAGAATAATACCAGCACGCACACACGTATTTAAACTCACACACACAGCCATTTTAACTGATTAGTGAGAGAGGCTGCAGCACTGATTCATGGGCTAGTCCTCTCTCTCACTCACTCCAGTACATTTTTCTCTGTAAAGGCATCCCACTGAAGCCAAGCCCACTGGAAGAAAAAAAAAAAAACACTGCCTGTGTTTGATTGACAAGAAGAGGAGGGGTTTATGCAGAAAAGCTTCACTGTACAGATCTGTGCAATGAACACACAACTCATTTCTGCTCTTCCTCTGAAGGGACAAACACACAATCCTCCCATTGTTTAGGGAATCCCCCTTTCTGTGCACTCAATTAGTGCCCTCTTCACCATACCAGCACCATGAGCAGGAAAACACACCCCATTTGTTCTCAGTCACTCCATCTGCGAGCTGCCATAGCAACCCTCAGAGCCAGATTGGTCACATCAATGAGAAGCAATCCTTGCACTCATCTGAGCAGCCTGTGTTTCTGATAATTCCCCAGGCACAAGACAAATGGAATTTCCCCAGAGTACAGGAGGTGAAATCCTTTAAACAGCATCTGTTCACTCACCATGTCAGTGACATCCACTGTACACACGACACACTCACATCCCTACAAATCCTTGCTGATCAATCAAGTTTTTAACACTCAGGTCATACAGAGAAGATGATACTTTAATCCAATTTGGTCACAAAATGATAAATTATCTCATATTTCCCTGCAGTTCGGGATAACATTTCCATTCAAGAACTGAATGAGTTACAAAGAGTTATAAAATGAATGCTGAGATGTTAGCAAATGCATTGAGCATGAACAAACCTTTTACATGTGAAAAAACACAGTGTTAAGAAAGGCTGAAAGTATGAACAACAAGAGCACTAACCCAAGAATGAGTTAACTCATCCTGAGAAATTATTAGAGTTTAATCATGACACAAAAAAGTGTTTTTAGTTTGTCAGTAAGTTCATCAGGTAAAAAAAAATACCTAAGTCATCACAAGACGACATCACGATTGAAACATCATCATCAACACAGAAAAGTTCACGAGATAACAGGTCATTACTTTTATACAAGACATTATTGTAAACATGTACACCTTCATGTTGTTCACAGGAAAATCTGAGATTTCTGTGACAGTTTATGACAGCAGCATAGCCAAGTTCCTCAAATGTCCAAAATCTGTCAAATCATCTCATAAAAATTCCCATCACAGTATTACCCTGTTCTTAAGGAGGGAGATGCGTGATGCATCGCAGGAGCAGATGATAAAGCTTTCTAATTCAGCAGGATTTCAAACAACATTCAGATTTTGTTCCAGTTAGAATAAAACAAAATAATGTAAAAATATTTAGTTAGAGTTAGCTGTGTTCAGTTAAAAGATGACAGATTTTTCCTCTGAATCAAGAAGAGGGGATTTATAGATCCATTCCTATTTAAAATTCCTATAGTTCTGAGGCATCATGAACAGAAGGCCTGTCTTCTTCCTAACAGAAGATCCATTATGAATGACATATCACTGATTTGACTCTGTGACCGCTTACTAGCATGTGGCGTGTGGTTGCTATGGCAGAGTTCATAAATTAAAAAGCTGTAAAAGTAGCCATTAGCGCCCCCACGTGGACAGATGCGCTGTTTTTCAATTGGATTAGATACTGTAAAATGCGGAGTTACTCGTGGCACCAGATGAAAATGAAATAAAAGGTCAGATCAGACTGCTGAGAGCAAAGAAACAAAGTGAAGAAGAGGGAGAGCTTTCTACGCATGTAAAAGACCGACAACACTTTAACCACAGTCAGACATGAAATGGACCTTTGGATTTTTTTTTTAAACTTAAGACATGTTCAAGTGCCAGACTTGTCCAAACCCTGAATCTTCCAGGCTCAAGTCTTGTTGTACCAGTTCATGGATCGCTTCAGAGCTCTCTCCCAGCTCTGGAGAACTGGGAGGTATTCTCCATTTCTGCTGCCAGGAAGATGGGAAAATTGAGGTGCTTCTCTGGGCACAAACACTTTGTCGGTGCTCTGCAGCTTCTTCAGCTCGTCCCTGGTTCTCCAGAAGCCTGCAAGACCGACAAAATTAGAGATCAAAGTATCAACACAATGTCTGTAGAGGTGTTTTACACAAAGGAAAATGCAGGATTGTGCCCATTTAGGTGCTAAAAACAAGTCTCTTCTCCCGGTTTGATCAGCATTCAACGGTCTGTACTGGTTACTGACCAAATGAAAATCAACCCTCCTCAAACACTTCATTCACATGAATATTCAGGCATTAGCACCTCCTGCTTTTGGCTCCATCTCGCTTGCATGTTTGATTTACTTAAGCCCTGACTAATGTACAATAATCTAATTACATAATGTGAATAATCAAATGGAAAACAGGTTACATAACGGAGAGCGGCGTCTCAGTTCCTTTTTCTCCCAGTTCCCAAAATAAAAATAGGACTTCTGATCACACCTTCTCAAAAGGATGCTTGATGTCATGACTGAGTATTTTTAAATATTTTATAGAACAGCAGTGAAAGTGACGGTAGACTGAAGTGTTTGACAAAGCTGCTTTTTCATCTTCACATTACACAGCGTTTCAGCGACAAGGCTGTTATCATCGAATATAAATTATAGATGACACCCGTTATGATCTTCATGCAGTGTGGAAAAGTGTGTCTGCGTACCGACTTCAAGTCCAGCGACAAACGCGGCCCCTAAACAGGACATTTCATGGTGCTGGGGTCTGGCCACCTTCCTGCCAAACAGGTCTGCAGTCAGCTGCATGACAAAGTCATTGGAGGAAACTCCTCCATCCATCCTGAGAGAAAAACCCAGCACTCAATTAGACTGCAACTCACTTACTGTAACAGCATCAGAGAGGAAACATACACCTATAATGCATTGCTGATAAAAAAAAAAGTTGGACTGCATTAGTAGAGGGAGTGTACACAAGAGTGCATGCAGTTACTCCCCTGTGTTGGCTAAAGTCCAAATCCTTCAATCATATCTTGAAGCTGGGCTACCACAGAGCAGTGAGGTGAAAGTGTTGGGTCTAATCACACACTTATAAACCTCAATCAGATTTCAAATACACACACAGGGTTTAGAAAAAAATCCTGATCCAATACCTGATCTTTGTGATAGGGATGTGAGTTTCCCTCAGCATCACCTCGTACAGCTGCTTGTTTCTGCAAAGATGGAGAAAACTAAGTGATAATGACATTATGTTTGACAGCTGAAGTCATTCTTACTGAAGGGATCTCACCTGAAAGCAACAGACTCCAGGATGGCTCGGACCAGGTGACTCTTGGTGGTTGAAGGTTTGAGGCCCATGAAAGAGGCACAGGCTTTGGGGTCATTCAAAGGAGCCTTTGGATAAATAGAGGTGATAAAAGTTTACATTTTCTTTTGTCTTTTTAAAATTACAATCAAATCTAAAGGTGTATAGTAATCTGCACTGCTAACATATTTTCTATACACACAACTACAGACTGTACAAACTCCACAGAACTGATGGTGTTACAACATCTTTATCTAGTTTATGAACTGTAAACATTGAGGACATGAACTTACAAACGCCAGATCACAATGGAGGGCAGAGAAATAAAAAAGACACAGAATCAAGTTATTAGGAGACAAAAGATGTTAAAACAATGAAAAGGATTCATGAGTTTTTAGCTTTGGGGGACAAAGTAGAGATGCCCCAGTCTAGTCTCAAGGATCTCTGTGAGCAAGCTGAGTGATAATGTGATAATGTTTGATGCAGCTGTCGCCAACTCGCCATCTCTAATCCACTCTACTGAGCTGCATGTGTGAAAGTGCAGGGGTGAGCAGGGTGAGCCTTGCTTATAGTAAAACACCACCGGGAATGGTGGTTTGGGCATATATACAAGGTTTGGTATTATAATTTTTTATAACTGTTAACAACAGTTGCGTTGCATTATCTATGTCACTTCGACCTCATGCCATCAGGCCGCAGATACAGGTGGAAGAGGGTTCAGTTCAGTAAGAGTTTCATCCCAACAGCCATCGCTGCAGTAAACAAGCTTAAACTGCCTCACCGCTAGGATGGTCTCTATGTATTCTGGGGGGGTTCTCATGGCCTGTCTTTGTAATATGTTTTGTGTCATATGGTATGTGTTGTCTGTACTCCTGTTTTGTGTTAGAATAAGACCTGTGAAAGCAAATTTCCCCCCTGGGGACAATAAAGATTATTATTATTATTATTATTATTATGTGGGCATTGTCACATTATAATACCTGACCTTGTAAGTCATAATAAAATGCTTTATATTGTGTTATGATTATTGCTGTAAAGCATTATGATCATTTATGAGTGTTTATAACTATAGTTATACAGTGCTATAACATGATTATAATGCACTATATGTATATTTATAATGCGTTATAGAGATAGGCGTCAAATAAAGTGTTTCCAAAGTTTAAATGAAATTCAAAAAAGAAAAGTATAATGTACTTTACCCCAGCCTCTGGCAGTGGGGGGTTGAAACAGCTACATTTCCGCATAAAATATGATCTTATCTAATGTCAAGCATGATTTCCTTCACGAGTTCCCTAAAACAAGAGTATTACTCATTCAAGAGACCTTTACTCAGAGAAAAATGGTTTAAAATATTCTTGGCCAAGGTTTATTTAGTCTGTCCTGTCACAGTAACTTTCAGCATATTGAGTGAAGTAAGAGATTTTGGACTGGAAATGGCCCAAACTCAGTCAGTTGGGTTTACAGTTTTCTCTGTGTAAATAGTCAATCTGCTGGCTGTCATGCAGTTGATAGAAAGCTTGTGTAGTTTCAGCACATTGTTCTGACTCAGTAACTGTTGCTATGTGAAATGTAGTTTTTGATGGAACAGTCCATGAGTGGGAAAAGAATTCAGACACGCAAACACAAAACTTTCTAAACGTTTTTTTGACAAACATAAACATGCACGTTGTTCCCATAATCATCATCTACCTGCAGGCCACTGAAGGAGGGAACAAAACACACTCCGTCTGAGTCACTGACGCTGTACGCCATGGCGCTGGTCCCCTGAACGTCAGAGAAGAGCTCTACAACAACCCACACATTCAGAGGTAATGTGTGTGTGAATCGGTTACTGAAATATTTAGGATGTCTACAAAAGATTCAGTTGGATATTTAATGTTAACTTGAAATTTTGAATCAGAAGCCACAAATTCATGCAGATCAGATGATAGAGAAGTTATCTTAATTATCTTAATGCATTCTTAATGTGCACTCACCAAGCTCCTGAGCCCATTTGATAGCAGTCCCTGTGTCTGCTGAATTTCCCTCTGCCAAATAAACCACCTCTGGGCCAATCTTCCATCCAACCAGAGGGTACAGACCTGCAAAGAAACATAGGCTACAAGTGTGCCTCTGGGAAAATCCTCTGATCTATGGAAAAACTCTAAGATGCATTCTTGTTTTACCTGCTACAGATGTATGGGGTTTGCTTCCGGTGTTGATGTCCATGAAGGTTCCTGTACCCATTGTAATTTTTACATCACCAACATCAAAGCAGCACTCTCCAAACATGGCTGCTTGCTGATCTGCCATCTATAGCATAAGGAAAGGAGAGTTCATCGACCAAGTGAAGTCTTCCAACACGTGTAGTGACTAGTAGCACCCTCCTTGCTACCATAACCTAAAACAACTTGTGATAAATGTCATTTTTACAACATAATTGCTTTGATATCAACTTGGACACGCTGGAATAGACATAATCATATGGTTACAATAGCTTTTGATCTTAACAACACAGATAAGAGGGTATGTGAGGTCGCAGACCTGGACAACTCACCACTGACATGATGGGAATAGAAACTCCAAAAATAGAGGGGTCAGTGGAGCCAAAGTCACAACTGCGGGAAAGACCACAACAGAGCATCACATCAGGGGCAAAAGTAAACAGTACTAAAGAAATAGAGGGCAAAAACACTTGTATAGAGTCTAGCATACTTTAGGCATCATTAAAGCTCCTGTGAGTGATTTTTAGCAGGTTGTAAAACAGGCTGAATTTGATACTAATGTCTCTACAGTTCCAACAAAAGCAAATCAGACAAACTCAAAGCGTTCTGGCATGCAGTGCAAGTGTACTTATTTTCCACCTGATGTACTTGTCACTTTTACACCCAGTGTATTGTGTATATAGCAAGGGAACTTGCTTACGCCCATGGGTGTGTCAGTTTTGTGATGTGTTGCTATCTTGAAAATCCAGACCAGGCATGAACCTTATGCAGTGTTCGAGCAACCCAGAAGACAGAAGTCCGAGCTGGGAATAACATCACACCCAAGTTACCAGTCTAAGTCGGAAAAATGCAAAATTGGAGGCAGAAACAAGATGGCTACATCTACGAAAGTTATTTTAGCGCTTGCCTTGTCCAAATATAAGCAAGGTCAAGGCAAGTGCTAAAATAACTTTCGTAGATGTAGCCATCTTGTTTCCGCCTTTGATTTAGCTTTTTTCCAAATTGGTAACTGCTGGTAACTCGGGTGTGTGATGTTGAGTGTGACATCATTCCCATCTCAGACATCTGACTTCTGAGGTAACTCGAACGTAGCAATAGACCAACAAAAACCTGGCTCAAAGTCTGAAGCCTGTGATTTGGCGTTCTCCTGCTATCTCAAAGACGCATAATCAAGATAACAGATGACCATAAGAGATCACAGAGACACACTGAGCTGCTCCCACTCATATCGAGATACATTTTTTGAATCTGAAACAGTGAAATTTTGTGTTTTCTGGAACAGGGAAACGGGAGACGCCGGTATTTCCCTCTTTTCTCCTTACACTTTTGGTTTGTGTTGATTTTAGTGCCCCCCCTGTGGAAAAGCTGCCTCTGCTGAATTTGTCTATTACTAGTATAAATAGTGCGTTTTGACACACATCTCATCCTGCTCTCTTTCAACTACTCATATTTCTTAATGGAGAATATTTGCTGTGAGGCTTGATAAAAGCTGTAACAGCAGGCTGCAGTTAATCACTTGGTTGGATCTGAACCCCCCAAAAACAAACCCCAAACTGTGGTGTGCGACATAGAAAATACCTATAGAGTTGCACAACAACCAGCCTAAAAACATAAAAAGGTCAAGACTAGATCTAAAAAGTAATGGTTAAAGGGAAATGGTTGACTCACCCTGTATTTTCTACTTTTGGAAAAATTGAAAGAGGCAGTGAGACAAGAGTGCTGAGAAACCCACTCCAACACATCTGTGAAAAAGTCACATGGGAGTATTAAAAAAATGAAAAAGCTCATGCAAAAAAAAAAGAAAATTCTGTAAACATCTCACCTGATAAGAGTCAAAAATTCCTGTGGTACTGGCGTTTGAGAAGTCTGTGGCATGGACACGTCCTGGAGAATAATCAATGATAAATGTATCAAATAACCTTCATCCAAAAGCAAAAAGAGTTTTTTTTTCACAGCTCCCCTCCCTCTTTTCTGCTCCCGCTGGAGTTAGCTGAAACATTTCTGAGGAATTTTATCCAATCAGTGATGCAACAGGACTGGAAACACAGAGAACATTCAGTCTGGCCCTTAAAGCCCTGTTGGACACTGCGAGAAATGTAATCCACTCGACTAATCATATGTTGCTGCTCTGTTTTCTCAGGAAAAAAAAAAAGTTGTTTGGTGAGGCCATTCACAGGAGATTAACAGAAGCTCCGCATGCCAAACACACCTTTAGTGAGTTTGAACAGCAGCCAGGAGTCGATCGTTCCAAAGCAGCAGTTTCCTTCAGTGATCGCTTGATGAACCTAAGAGAAAAAAAAACAAGGTGATGCTGAAAAACTAATGCATGATGGTTGAGCTGCTTGTTAAACCGTTTTTTTTTAAAGTAATAAATCCTGTCAAATTCACAGCAAGTGAGGGTTGTACACAGTTATACCCAGGAATATCTAAATGACAGGGACTGCTTAACCTAAATTCACCGCAAATGGGACGGTTATTATCTGACACTTAATAATATCACAGTGAGCTGACAGATTAGAGCATTAATCTCTAAATTTATTCACTGAGACTATGAGCTGAATAAGTATCTTATACATAAAGTTAAAAATTACAGCAAGGATTTTCATCATTACAGAGAAAAAGGATCATTTAAACCTTCTGCTCAGTGCACACATCACTGCACTGACTATCTGCTCCTGAGAGTAGATTATAATATCCTTTCACTTCTCTATAAAGCCATACATAATTTAACAACTTCTCATATCGCTGATTGCTTTTTGTATTACACCCAAACGTACACTTTTAGATGATTCATCGTGTGTCTCGGATGTTCAGAGAGCAAACAAAGACTTTTCATTTCAATCTGGCCGTTAACTAGAGTTAACCTTGCTAATATCTTTCCCTCTTTCTCTTTATCTGATTTTGTTGTTATGTTTGCTCATTATTGTGTATCATTTTACATTGGGTCTAATTCTGATCGTAGGTTTTTCTCAATCTACCCTGTCTTGTCAAGTAATCTGGGCATGTACTTTACAATAAATTATTGTTATTTTATAATGGTGGTGATGTTTTTTTAAACCAATATAGTAAATATTGACATGGCTGTCTTCTCAAGTGTAAGGATTATTTGCTAATGGGCTATTTACAGGATTAAAAAACTGAAAATTTGTGATCTGGACTGTTGGTTTAGTAAAATACAGAGTTTGAGCTTTAGGATGTTATGAGTAACACATGATGAATCAAGTTTTAAATGTTTTGATGGAGTGAATAACCCCTGGATTGAGTCAACAATAAAAAAAGTTTGTGATTAATTGTGACTCAAACATTATGTCAAGAAGTATGTCAGAAGTAAACACACATTTTACAAGAAAACATATGAGGTTTCCGGTATAAAGTTGTACATTTGCCTGAATGAAGCTGTAAATTAACGAGACAAAAAAGTTTAGGCTATGGTTTGTTTATGTTGTTTTGAAGGGGAAGCTAAGAGGAGCTGGCAGCTGCTTGTGCTTTATATAGTAACCTGGAGCAACTTGTGACGTAGAACTAGAGTATAGGTTTCATAGCAACCTTTGTGAACATATAACTGAATATTCAGCCTTTGAACACATCAGCACCATGTTATAAATATCAGGATCTTGAACAAACTGGGCAAGACATTAAGTCCACTATGAAGAAAGGCCGGCTAAAAGACTGCTGCTGCCTCTCAAATCTCTCTCTTGTATATGTTATTTACATAAAGATTGATCATAGATGTATACAACTTTGTTATAACTTCAAAATTGAATCCTTGTAATATTATGACTTTGTTTTAATACATATCGCTGCTGTATTTTCAAAATCTCTTCTTACGTTCTTAGTGTGGCCTCAATATTTCCTCAGGGCTCACTCCATCTATATTTATTTCTTGAGTGTTTTGCTGTAAAAATGCTTTTAAAAATGTTTTTATTCTTAAAGTTGAGCTAATTTATAATACAACAGAGGTGACCTGGGGTCATTGCAGCTGCTGTACACTTTGCTTTCTATCACTGATTAAGTTAACTTTCACACACTCACACACACACACCTGTTTGTAGTGTGTTAGAACCCAGACGAGGCGAAAGGTGACATGTTGGGTGGAGAAGATAATCAGACTTGCAGCGAGCGACCTCTTCTGTCTCGTCAGGAAGTAGAGGACCTTCATCAGCCCGTGGATGGCCTGAGATCGTCATGGAAACAAAACATAATGTAGACTGGACATCTAAAATATCATTCAGAACTCTTACTAGTTTTTGTGATGATTAAAAGCACCTTTTTTAAGCTGTTACCTGTTAAATGTGAACTCCTAAAAGCGAATGACAGGTGTTCACACTTACTTTCATTGTACAAGATCTGTTCCAGGACCTCACCAGGTCCGCAGCCCTCTGATCCTGCCAGGTGATAAAGTTATGAAACGGTACTCCAGTCGTCCTGTCACAAGTAAAGAGAATAAATAAACTGAAGTTTAGAGAAATAAGAAAAGTGAAAGCAGGTTGGACAGCTTTTCTAGGGTGCATCTTCTAAGTATGCCCCAAAATTCAGCATTTTTTTGAGTGGTAGCAGGAAATTTTATCTTAATAAATCTAATATGTCTAACCGATCCCATGTCGTGAAAGTTGCTCGCTGGGTGGAGATGCCAAGAGCCTCAATCTGACGCATCTGGACTCCTGCATCTACAACAGGAGGAAAAGTCATGTAAAATCTCAAAAAGAAACTGAAACTTCAACCTGAGAAACAGGAAGAGATTTGAGCTTTTGTAAAAGACTTTTTTTAAAAGTTTATATGCTTTGTAATGTGCTAACATGACTGATAATGAAACAAGTCAGTGATACATAAGTGGGAAAAATCCACTTGAAAGAGCTAGTTTCAAACAGTCAAATATCAGCACTGAGGATCAGTCTGTAGAGTAAATAAAGTTGAGTCAACACCTGAATTACATTCTGAACTCTACAAGAAAACCATAACAGCAGTGAGACTATTGTTTATTTCTTTATTGCTTCAGTGTGTTGCTTCATATTTCCTCTTTGTGGAAAAAAACAACAATAAAATTTTACAAGTTACTGTAGTGTTAACAACATGTGGTTTTACAGTTAATTTTAGGTCTGCCTTTCAACAGGTAAACAAAAGCACATCTAGTCCAGCTCCTTACAACTGAAGTGTGTGTTGTTTCTGTACCTTGAACAGCTCCTGTGACCACCGTGATAAACCCTTCCCACAGGGCATCTGGGTCCATCTCCACATGTCCCACCTCTGGATACAAGAGGTGAATCTGGACAAAGTATAATACCATAAGAAACATTGAATACAGAATTTGATAAACAAGAAAATTGTGAGTATGTTGAGGTCTGAACTTAAAACATAAGGGTTTCATACCTTGGCGCTGCATGATCCTCGGATTTTGGCCTCCTTATCATAAACATGACATCTGATCGATGTAGTCCCGACGTCCACTGACAGAATAAAGCTCTCCCTCCTCAAAACGTTTCTCTGACTGCCCATTTCAGCAAATCTTTCCCCAGAGAATCACAAACCAGTCCCCGGTCGGCCGTAGTCAGCTCACATTGGTCATGTTTACAGCCTGGTAGGATGGTGTGACCAGATAAAACCTTATCTGCTGTGGGTTAGCTGAAGAGTGGCGGCTGTAACACTGCCGACCTTCGGACACTTGACTTTTAGAGGACCAGGTAATTCTGCCAGAGTCGACACTGTGCCATGAACGTTGCACAATATGGGTAAAAACACCAGGTTCGCTTGTTTTGGTGGCAAGGAGCAGAGCAAACCATATGTCGATGGTTAATTTCCCCGCTCTGAGTGAGAGGAAAGAGCCGGAGCTGAGATAGTTTCGGAGTTTCCCATCTACAGAGTTGAGCTAATTGCTAATTTTGGGGGGTTAGCTACAAGCAAATTAAAAAAATAAGAAATTGTCAAAATATCTAACATTTCTTTTAATTCTTTAACTGGTTTTCACCAACATTTACCGAGTACGTGGTCAACAGCGGTGTCCAAACACTGGAGTATCTTTTACGGTAATTCCTTCATTGCTTGATGATGAAACACAAAATTCGGAATCCTTTAGGCACCCGTACTTGAGCAGGCGCATGCGCAGTGTGTGGTTTAAAGTAGTAGCATGTGGGTGTTTTTAGCCCAGCACACGTGTATTAACAGGAGACGACAACGCAACTTGTGACTGTCCGCTTTTCCAACTACATTATGGTAAAATCAATTTTATACGAACTTATATTTGTATTAAATATGCTTTAACGTGCACCATGAGTTTGCAACCGTAGTTTGGACCTGTTACGGCTGCTGCAAAGTGACAAGCTAACAGTGAAGTTAGCCGGTGGCAACACATTTGAAACTAGTCTAATCTAAACACACCTCTTAAGCAGTCGATCAACTTTGAATTTACGATCTTTTTAAAAACTCGTTGCTCTTCTTTTGAAATGTAATAAAAAAATTAAACATTTGTCGGACAATAAACGTTATCATCAAACGCACATAGTCAAGTAGGGTCATGTTTTTATCTCCTTCAGGCTACAAGACGAAGGAAAAGACAAAGTAAAGGAGTCATTGTCAACATCGGTAGGTTCATAGCTTTTATTATTTCTTGATACTTTTATAATCATAGTTGTATTGACTCAGAAGTAGTAACTTGTTGATGTCCTTTCTCTTTTAGAAGGAGAGACTGCCTCTGAAAGTGAAGAAACAGTCCAGCAGAGAGTTGAACAGACAGAGGAGGCTGAACCCACTGACAGCACAGATGGGAAAAAGGACGAGGACCAAGATGACAAGGGTACCACAAACGCAACACACACAGGGTGTTTGACTGTTATCATAAGCTGTGTCACTCATGAAGCTGCATGTTCAGACTCTCAGGTGGATATGGTCATCGAAGTGAAAGGAAGTGCATCCACTGTGACTGTGACCTGGGATGAGAAGAAAGATGGAAAGCTTGAGGATAAAGAAAAGGAAACTGGTGAAAGTGACCAGATAACGGATGCAGGAGGAGATGTTTGTGAGAAAGGTAAATTCATGATACAGGTTGAAATACCTGTAAGCTATTGCAACCTATTTATGGTTAGCGTTATAGTTATGATGTTGTTAATCCCAAAGTAGGCACACAGGTTTTTGTAGGCATCGGGGTTCTTGCATTATTTGTAGGCCTCTGTAGGATATCACCATGATGTAAATTGTAAACACATCCTCAACACTGCGTTCTGAATTCTTTTGTCTTTAAGTGTCATACAGGTTCTATTTTTGAAATCAGTCTCATTCACCTGTGATAATTAGTTTGTCAGGTGAGCCCAGGTAAAGGAAAAACTACTAAAGAAGGGCGTCCTACATTATTAAGCAGACCAACGTTTTCAAGCAATATGGGAAAGAAAAAGGGTCTCTCTGCTGCTGAAAGGGGTGAAATAGTTGAATGCCTTGGACAAGGTATGAAAAACGTAAATATTTCACGAAAACTTAAACATTATCATCGTACTGTTAAGAGATTTGTGGCTGATTCAGAGCACACACGGGTTTGTGCAGATAAAGCACAATGAAGAAGGTTTCTGCCAGACAAATACATCGGATTAAGAGAACAGCTGCTAAAATGCCATTATAAAGCAGCAGACAGATATTTGAAGCTGCAGATGCTCCAGGAGTCCTACGAACTTAAAGGTGTGGGGATATTCTCCAGAGGCTTGCAGTTGTGCATAGACCCTCTATTCGGCCACCCATAAACAATGCTCACAAGCAGAAACGGTTGCAGTGGGTCCAGAAATACATAAAGACTAATTTTCAAACAGCCTTGTTCTCTGATGAGTGCCGTGCAACCCTTGATGGTCCAGATAGATGGAGTAGTGGATGGCCAACATGTCCTAACAAGGCTGCGACGTCAGCAAGGAGGTGGCGGAGTCATGGGGAGAAAGCTTTTAGGGTCCTTGAAGGTGTGAAAATGACCTCGGCTAAGTATGTAGAGTCTGACTGAACACCTTCTTCCATGGTACAAATAGAAGAACCGTGCTCTCCGTAACAAAATCATCTTCATGTATGACAATGCACCATGTCATGCTGCAAGAAATACCTCTGCATCATTGGCTGCTATGGGCATAAAAGGAGAGAAACACATGTTTTGGCCCCCATCGTCCCCTGACCTCAACCCTAATGAGAACCTTTGAGGCATCCTCAAGCAAAAGATCTATTAGGGTTTGAGGCTGTTCACATCCAAGCAACAGCTCTGGGAGGCTATTCTGACATCCTGCAAACAAATCCAAGCTGAAACTCCCATAAAACTCACAAGTTCAATGGATGCAAGAATTTTGAAACTGCTGTCAAATAAGGGGTCCCATGTTAAAATGTAACTTGACCTGTTGAGATGTTTTTGATTGAAATAGCTTTTGATTTCAGTAAATAGGACCTCCTAATGCTGCAAATTCGACAAATGGCCATTTTCAGTTCCTTAGATCCTATAAAATGTTTTGAAACTCTCATGTGCATAATAATTTGGAACAGTTAATTTTAAGTTTTTTATCTTTGAATAAATTCTGTTATCATTGGGAGGTTTGTTCAATAACATTTAAATTATACTCCGACGGTTAATGACTTGAAAATTATGCAGACTGTCATTTGCGTTGACGATTTAGAAAATCTGAGAAAAAGATCATTTGCATAATAATTTTGAACACAGTGTATGGACAACAGCTGAATCAAAACTTCCTTCTAGAAAATTGTGTTACTATGATCTTTTTTCTGTTATAAAATTATTTATTTTGTCTAATTGAAGTTTGTTTAGTTTGACAGCCGTACTTCCCCGTAAATTCTGCATTCCTTGTGAAAAACTCCTGCTTTAGGTGAGCAACAGGACGTCTCTGTTGCTGATGAAGTTGGTTCCATGGAGGATGCTCCCACAGAGAGTAAAGGGACAAAAATCCAGCAAGAAGTAAAAGAACCTGGATCTGAACCTGAAGGTATTTAAAATTAAAAAAATATATACTGTACTAAGGACTGTAAGTGAATTTTGAGCCATGTAGTGAAGCTTTGTCTCTTTTAGAGGCTCTGATGGACACCACCACTGAGGAAAATGAAAGAACACCCATGGTGACTGACACCACGGAGATGGATGCAGAAGAAGGAGAGAGTAATGGTGTTGAAAAGGAAGCTGAAGAAGGTGGAGAGGTTGTTGTTAATAGAAAAGCAGGTATGATGTTACCAAGAGTGAAGGGTGCAGGGTTGATTTTAAACTGGTGTTTTAAGGGGATATCTTTCTAAGGTTTTCTCTCCTCGTCCAATAAAAATATTTCATAGCAATTCGTCTTAATTAATGTCAGATGTAGACAGCTCTCTGCTAGTATTTTGAATTTTTCATACAATTAATTATTTGGTGACAGTGAAGTTTATTGATCAGATTTCAACCAACACCAGAAACCAAAATGGCTTTCATTTTTTCATTAAAAAATTGTCAGAGGTGTTAAAAGGCAGTGCTAAAGAAATTCTTTTGATGTACCTTTCCTCTGACATTGTTCAAAATTTGACCCTTTTTTGATGCAGCTGAAATTGTTTAGGCAATATCTAACAAAGTATTTCATTCTCTTTGTGAGGTTATTTCAGATATGCAGATTAGTGTGTGAGATGACTTGCACACACTTACACACATGGCTTTGAATACAGCATGTATTTAGAACAACAGGACATGTAGGACACCAAAAAACAAGCGTGGGAATCAAACTCCAACATGGTTGTGTGCCATTGTTTGACACTAATCATTACTAGTGTCAAACTTTTTTCTCTTAAGTAAGACTTTTGTCAAGGTTTTGTGTGTGTGTGTGTGTGTCCTTTTTCTTATTGTTGATTTAATTAGCATTGCGAAGCATTTGCTTTGTGCCATGTGTTAACTGTGAATGATGATGGTTCACTTGATTACTAATGTTTTCCATTTGTTTCAGCAAAAAGAAAATTAAAACCACAACCAGTTCAGACCTCCCCATCCAAGAAAACCAAACTCATAAATGATGGTAAGAACTCACCAAAGAAACATACGTCTGTGATCTGTTTGTCTTTAAAGCGACTATTTTTTGCATACTTCAATCTCTGATTTCATTTTAAAGGTTATTGTCTGTTTGTTGGCAACCTGAACAACTCTAAAAAGTTTGACGAAGTCAAGGATTCATTAGCAAATTATTTCATGGCACAAAGTCTCCTGGTTCAAGACATCAGAGTAGATCCCTCAAAGTGAGTCTTCTTTCTTCTGAAGTTTTGACCATTAGGGTCGTATTATTACACAGCAACATGAGGCTACATCAGATACTAATGGTGTTTTGGTCTTGTAGAAAATATGCCCATGTAGATCTGGCTTCAGAGATGGATTTGAACAAAGCCCTGACATTAAACGGAGAGACGGTGCTCGATAAGCCCTTGAGGATTGCCAAAGCAAGAGTCATAAGTGCAGAAAGTGTGAGGAAGAAAATGTCACCAGAGGAGAAAAAAGGTAACCGCTAAAATGATTGTCAACTCAAGCAGGAGTGTAGCTTTTGTGGTAGTTTTATTTGGGGATGTAAATGTTTCTGTTTTCAGTCCACAGGTTTGATTTTTGGTGAAATTTATGAGCATAGATTTGTAATAGGAGAGTCATGAAAGTAAAAACACAAGTCTGTGGAGGATAGTAAAAAGACAGAAAGAGATGAATTTATCTAAATTGATGTTTAGACTTGTAAATCTTCTGTTTTTTAGCTGCCAAAGATGCTAGATCTTTGTTTTTGAAGAACATCCCTTATGATGCAACAAAGGAAGACATCATGAAAGTCTTTAGTGAAGCCATCAAAGTCTGGTTTCCTGATGGAGCACAAAGACCAGGGAAAGGGTGAGTTTCAAATGGCAACACTAATTTGAGAAGCCTTTGGAAACAATGGTGTCCAATTTGCAAAGTGTGCTGTTACTTTAATGATGCAGTAGCTGTGTTTTTTTCTCTTGTCATGCATGTCATGAATACTTTTAGAATCACTTTATGTATTTTCTCATTTTCAACAGTTTTGCCTTTGTTGAGTTTAAAAATGCAACCAGTGCGGAAAAAATCCGTCAAAGTAAACAAGTGTTTAAAATACAAGGCCAGGCTCTGATTGTGGACTCTCTACATGTGTATGAAGTCGCCAAAGAAAAGGAGAACAACAAACCTAAAGGTAAAATACTCTGACTCTTAAAAAAAAATTACCATTCATATTTGACATGACACTAGAGCTTTATAAATGATGTTTATATTTCTCTCTTTTTTTGCCTGGATATCAGTCATCACAGTTGAAATTTGGGCTTAAACTTTGTTTACAAAATACTTTTTCTTCCCACAGCTGAAATCCCTCCCAATAATGTGCTATATGTGAGCAGTTTTTCTAGCGAAGCAAAAGAGAAAGACTTTAAGAAAGTCTTCAAGAAAGCTGTTAGTATCACCGTCCCTCAAAGAGGAACCAAATCAAAAGGGTAAGTACAAATATACTCTCCCATGTCTTCCCCAAAGAAAAAAACCCCCTAAAAGTCTCATAAAAACTTCAACGATTTTTTGCAGATGTGCATTCATTGAGTTCGCGAGTGTGGCAGATGCTAAAAAAGCCTTGCAGTCATCCAAAAACATAAAAATCTGTGAAAAAGCGATCAAATTGCAATTCCTTGAAAAGCGGGATAACGTGGTGAAGAAGAAAGGTTTGTTCAATCCATTGTTCGTATCATATCCATGTTCATACACTTGCACATTCATTGGATTGTCATCTGATTTGTAACATATTCAATCATAAATTAAATTAAACATTAATTTCAGAAATTTCCAAAATCAGTTCATGTCATATAACTTGATGAAAACAATTAACCAAAGTTCCTTTTTCTCTTTTTAGTTGAATCAAAAACATTGGTGGTTTTTGACCTTTCTAAGAAAACAACAGCTGAAAGCCTAAAAAGTGCTTTTGAAGAAGCTCTCAGTGCAAGAGTCATTGTAGATAAAGAGACTGGAGTTTCCAAAAGGTTTGCAGCAGACATTTTTATTAAAGTGGCAGTAAAATGTCTATTATTCCAGTCGCTGTAGAAGTCTGCTCCACACTCAGTTTTTTTTAACATTCATTTTTTTCTCAGGTTTGGGTTTGTTGAATTTGAGAGTGAAGAAAAGTCCAAATCTGCCAAAGAGGCCGTGGAAGACTGCGAGATAGATGGCAGCAAAGTGACTGTGGCTTATTCCAAAAACAAGAGAGTAGTCCCTGTAGATGGCACACCAGACTCAGGGGAGGGCTGTGATGATCAGCCTGCAGATCAGGGGGCTGCCAAAGGAGGAAGAGCTCGCATCAGAGGTAACATTTATCATCTCCTCATTGAAGGTGCTTTTGTCACCCGAGAGGTTAACGAAGAGTAAGAATATTTGAAGGGTTGATTGAAAGCTAAACTGATCAAGTTAGCTAAACTTATTTCAGTAACAGTGAGTTGAAAGAGTTTGCTTGTGACTGCCTTCACAGAGAATTATAACTCAACTCAGCAGATGTCATCTTCAAAGAGACTTCAGCATCCCTCAGCTCATTGTGTTTAGTTTTTTTATCCTTCTGCTCTCCTCCTCAAACCAGCAGGCTCTGGTTGACCCTCTCCTATCTGGACTGTAATTGCTCAAGCGAAACTATAACAAGATCAAAATTGGGCTTTATTTAGGTGATTCTAATTTTTCTCAAATCAAAACACTTAGCACCATTTTATTAAATGATAACGTCTTTAAATGTTTTACTTTACATCAACTATTTGACAGAAAACACTCTGTCTTTAAGGTCTTTACTGATATGGTGATATTGTTCCCCAACACGGCAGCTTGTGTTCTGTGGTGGGACTACAGTCAGGATTGAAATTAAACATAAAGGGACACGTAACACATTCTTGCTTTATACACAGACATATTTAAACAACAGTGTTAGTCTAACAAACAGGGTCACGCCAAAAACCACAGTCTTACACAAGGTGTTCACTGGAGTAAAGTAATTGGTCAATTGGCCAGTCCAAAGCAACAGCCTGGAGGAGAGTAAATATTGGTATGATGTTGTTTAACCTCATAGGGAGACAAATTCAGTGCTGATGTTATTCTTGACGTTTTAATTTGTTTGTCAATGTTATGGTTACTTCTTTTCTGCAAACACAAATGGGCTTGTCCAACTTTAATTAAAAGCGCTTTTCCTTTGTCTGATCAGAAATGATTTCAAGCAGCTTTACTCAAGGTGATTTGCAACAAATATTAAGCTATTGATATTCTTTAAACAGATTTTCTGGATTGGAGGAACTCTTGTTCTATCACGTTTGTCTTTTTTATTTTACAGTTATCATCTTACTTTTATCCTCAAGGGTGTTGGTGAAGCACTTTAAAAGGTGCCTCGTGGATTCAGATTATTGTAATTTTTTAAATAAGAAAAAAAGTAAAGCGGCTAATTTCTTCATAATGATAAACAGGAAGAGTGTTGATGTGAGTGCACTATCTTCTTTGGTTTGTTTCAGCCCTTTTAAAGTAAAAATAATAATCAACTTCTCTTCTTCTTTTAGGTAAAGGAGCTGGAGCTGAAAAACAGCGTGCTGTTAGAAAAAGGAAAAATAAAGATTGACTTGACTGTGAAAGTTTTCTCCATCTCTGACCTGAACATGTATTTGCTCTTCTGATGTGGTTAAACAAAGAGATCATTTCAGGATTTCTACTCTGTTATTTGTCCTGTTATTTTAGGTCACATGAAACCTTATAATGTTGGAAGTCACACTTTGTAATTAAACCTCTGATTTCATAATTGTAATTACAGGATAAACCTGAATGTTTTTCTTAGTCGTAGTCGAACTACGTGAAAGTCATGTATTTTTTATTATTGTCAAGATAAAATGACCTAAAAGAAAAAAAAAAAAGCTGTCTTTTGAGTTTTTTGTTCTTCATTTGGCTTCGAACCCCCGCATTTTACTCAAGAACCACCTGAAATATCCGCCAGGGCATAGTGTATTTCTTCTCCACCACTGACCTGAAATAACACCACTCTCCCTGCTCCCACTTTCCCGCGAGTTCACTAAATCTGTTTTCCTCAAAGCTCCTCTCTTTAGCTGTAAAACCTCCTCCACCGTTAACACTCGACGTACTCCGTCTCCGTTGTTACTGCAGCTCCGACTTTTTACAACTTGGAGCCCAAATCGAGTGTCCTGTAATGACCTCACATCCTGTTTTCCCACTTCCTTCTGAATGGACCGGTTTGGGACGGTCCGGCCGGAGCGCAGCGTGGATCCCTGTTGTTAAGGCGCGTGTCTCCAAACACATGCGAAAAGACTGCTGCACGAGACGTCAGAGGAAAGATTTGATGCATCGGTTTACTCGCCTGACTATGCACCGTGTGATGCACTGACGAAGAGAGGAAAGGCACCGGTAAGTCGACGTTTATGCATGAGTTTGGTGAGTTTTGCACAAGTTTAGGAGTACGTGTCACCCCAGCTAAACTTCACTTACACCAAACAAACTCTGATGTGCTCTCACTCCTGAATGAGGATGCGATCAGCGACAAGTGTAACAACAATAATCATAAACCAGAGACGCAACAACCTGTAAGATGAAATTTTACTTGGTGGTACAGCGAATTTAATGTAATATTCAGCTTTAAAATGGCATGTCTCATTACAAGAGGAGTGGGTTGTTCATAGTCCACAATAATGCCATATCTTGGACTTTGATTTATTGTTTTACGGCTTGGAATTGGGTTGGGTTTGCAGTAGTTTGTAGGCACCTGCCAGTATGTTGTAAGCTGCTTTTAAAAAGAAAATCAGGAGAATAAACACCAAGTTTTGTGCTAGAAGTGAAGCTCCACGTGCACCTCACCCAGCTGTGAGGATCGCACATGTGGATTTGTTTTCACATCTGGACAGCTTCTTCCTTCTTCGATCTAAAAACTCGAGTCATGTCGCAAAGGTGACCCTTGCTTGAATAACAGCTTGATTCTCTGCCACAGATAAATTTGGGGCTGGACTGAAACCTTGGCTCTCGTTTGGCTGCGCCAGGAATTTATCTTTACTTGTTTCGAAGCCAGCCTTGTGCAGCTCTGGTTTTCTGTTTGGGGTCTTTGTCCTGCTGGAAGATAAAATAAATCTTACTTAGGGTTCTGGTTCACTTACAGACAGCAGCAGGGTTTCAAACAGGAATTCTATTTATTTCTACTGAATGGACCGGCAGAGAGTCATCCTCGCAGCTTGAGCTGAACTATGGTGCTCCTTTGTGGCGAGGACGATGCTCAGTGGTATGAAGTCTCTTGTTTGAATAGTTTTGTGAAGTGGATAAAAACTTGTCTTTGTTTCAGTAAACCATAACAGCCTCTCACACGCTCCTAAAATAACAGTGGATGTGGAAACTAAGGATATCAACACCTTGCGTATTATAAGTTTTCTTCTCTTTGAATGAATGTCAGGCTGCATCTCAGAAAAAATAAGGGAGTAAACTCTAGTTTCTGGAAATGTTGTGCCAAAATTGTACTATGAAGTTGTAAAATGGTTAAAAACAGACTGAATCGCAAGTAAAGTCTAAAAATGAATAATCAAAAGTTTTATTGAAATAACGCTTGGAAAGAGATGGATTAATACAATGGTACTTTTGGCAAGCGAGTAAAACAAGGATCGAACTTAAACTGATAAGACTATGGAAGGACTTACACTCCTGTGCTTCAAGCATCTGTGATTAACTTTCCATTTGTGTTGATTTTGTTGTTCATGTAAATCTTGTGGGTCAAGATGTACATCTTACAGCTGCTGATCTTACCCTGCACATACCACAATATATTTATCTGACAAAATTTGCTGTCTGTTTTCTTAAAATAGTCACTCACTGTGTTTTTTATTGAAAATGCTAAAGGCTGTCTCTTCAGCATACTCTAAATTTGCCTTTCTGACACTTAAAATATAGAAGTTGCTTGTCTAAATGATGGTCTTGTTTGCTTTTGAAAGAAAATTGTGGGATAACCCCTCACAGGTGTGGTAGCTGTAAGGGGTTATTACACATCTGGCCATCTGAGGAGACTGTTTTTGGAGTATTTCTAATTCATGACAGTTTAGGAGAATTAAGATTAGTTAAAAATGTAAGTGCTACATGTAACAAGTAGATCAGTCTGTCCCCAACAATATGGCTAAATATTATCACTAAGAGTCACTTGACTGAAGAGATAAAGACTGAGAGACTCTCTTGACCTTTACTTTACCCCAAACTAACTTAATACAAATTCACAGAGAGATCATTATAAGAGAGACAGGATCCCTCCTCTGATTTTACCTTCTCCTGCCCAGATATGTGAAGCCGCTTTAAGACCCTGAAAAGATATAATGAAAGATGAAAATAAAAAGGTATTTTAAAAGATGATTTCATATACACCATCACATAAACAGCTCAATATCAGAAAGAAAAAAAAAAGGTCCTGAAAATCCTGATGAAAAATGTTATGAGGGTCTTTAGGGCAGACTGTGGGCTCGTATATTGTGTTGAGGTTAAATACAAAGAAACCTCAAAAGATGGACATAAAGAAGGAAACAATCATGGAAAAAGGAAACTAATAAGTGCTACTTTCGAAAACCTGATCAAAACACTGTGGAAAGGAGAAAGAAAACAAAAAACTCAAGACAGCAATCATACCAATAGAAAATGGCATGGTATTATTAAGAAGTCTAATTTCTGACCTTTTTAGTTTTGAGAAAATCAAATTTTAGGAATGATGAGAAAAGTGGGAACCATTGACTTCCTCCAAACACCCTCCTTTTTGTTAAAGATATTCATCTAATGGAAAACAAATACACATGTCTCCTTTTCCATGGACAGAAAGACGCCTAATCTTCTGAACTCTTTGTTTTTTTTGTTCTCTGATACAATTACTGAAAAAAACTGAATAGATGGATGAGACAGAAAGTTATCTGACAAATCATCTGAGTTTATTTGATTTGAAATGAAATGAAGAAAGAACCAAAATATGATAGCGATGAAAATATAATAATAATTATAAGAATGACCTTGTGTTTGTTTTACTTTTATTACTTTGTTTTGAACGGTCAGGTCACATAGAAAGAACTGTGCTTTACTTTAGGTGTGACTGTTACTGAACATGAAAGGTTTGTATGGTACAAAGGTTATTGTATGTCAGCTTCAAACCCTTCTGTGTACAGTAACACTTTTTTTCTGCAAATACAACACATTACACATTCCTCAGGGAGTAGAGTCGGCAGGGAGTTGATGTGTTGATGGAGATTTTAACAGGTGTAGTAATAATACAGTGAAGTAGATCCTCCAAGAAAATTCAACAGAGGACTCAAAAAATCAGGAAATCAGCTAAAGAATAAAAAAGGGAACTATTTACAAATAGTGTCAAAATTAAACATTACTTTAGTTTCTGTCTCAGTAAATGTTTCAGGAAAATCTGTAAATTCAGACTGATGAGGACGATTCTCATGTAGCTGTTTTCTCCTATATGCAAACAGAGACTGTGAATGCACCACCATTAAATGAGGTTCAGTCTTCAAACAGCTCATTACTCATTGTGAAGGGAAGGATTTTCTGTGTTTCTGTCTGACACCAAACAAACATACTCCACATGTCCTGTTTGTCCACCATAAGAAACATTAACTCGACCAAGTGACCCCCCCCCCCCTCGGCTGTTTTTGCTTTATGACTTAAAATGGTGCTTTTTATGTCAGACCAAGTTTGAGGTTTTGATATTTTTGCTGAGCCAAGAGTCCCAGCAGACAGAAAGATTTGGTCGAAGGATATAGTGTCAAAAATGCACTATAGAATATAGAGTTGTATTAAATTGACTTTTTTTTTTTTTTTATAAACATTGATAATGAAGGAGCTCTTTCTGTGTCGTAGCTGCTGCAGCTCTGACAGAATGAAGACGAGGGAGATGAAGATAATAAACCAGGGCCTGGAAGATGAGATGGTAAATATAACTCCAGTCTGAATGCTTTATTCTTTATTTATCTGCTTTACTGCTTTACTCTACTGAATAATGCATCATTAAATTGGGAATTTTGTCATTTAAAAAATATTTTTGATGCTTCTCTTACTGAAACATATTGGAAATACACAACCCCAGTTGAAGGTGTTTAAAGGGTAGCTGTTGTTTTGTTCTGCACATGCACTACACTCACAAAAATTTCCTCGAACATTTGAAGTTGGCAGCTTGTGTTAATGTGATTTTTTTCAACCCATCCTTTCTGAGCATTTGTTTTAGATTTGCATGATTATTGAATTCTGGTTTATTTTTGATCTTGCTCTATTCTCTGGTTCATTATCACCACCTCGACCTACTGGGACAGTTAAACTGAACCATATTAACCATGTTTATTAGATTAGAATAGATTAGATTTTCCTTTATTCATCCCTCAGTGGGGAAATTAACAGCAGCGGTACACACAACATACACCCTTCATACTGGGTACAAAAAACAAATAAGATAAAGAACTATGGTATTAAAAAGGAAGAGGAGTGCAAGGGAATGTTATGTTTATTGCATCGTCTTAAATTACAGCCTGTCAAAAAATACAAAAAAAAGAAGCACCACATCTAATTTCCCCTCACATGCAGTGTATTAACCTGAGTTCCTGCCTGTACAGGAGGTGTGGGGGTATCAGCCCTGTCTGTGGAAGATGGTCCTGGTGGGTGTGGGTGCTGTATGCTCTGGGGGTCTCCTCCTCCTGCTGCTTTACTGGTTGCCTGAGTGGGGTGTCAAAGGCACATGCACACACAGCTCTCTGAGGGACGCGCACACACTTCTGCTCAGAACCACGGTAGGAAATGCCTAACCAGCAACAACAAAAACTTTATATTTATCCTTTTTTCTTTGATAAAACATTTGTAGTTTGCTCATTTATAAAAGTAACATGTGTGAAGTCAGTTCTTCATTCGTCCTATGCAACTGCTGTTGACATATAACCACCACATTCTTCAGCATGTACAAACTGTACTACACATCATACATTCAGGGTCTTCTTCCAGCAAATGAAAACATGTTGTTTTTATTTGATCATCACAGGATGAATTCAAGCAGTGGTTTCGAGCCAAAGTCCACGTGATGGTGGCTCCTGGGAGGAAACCATTCGACGGCCTGGATCTGCTGTCTTCAGACCAGCTTCCAAATGGAGACCACAGCATTGATGCTGTTCACGAGGAGCTTCATGGGAAATTTACCCATACGAAGAGTGCTCAGGTAGCTTCCTGAAGCTATGAATGTCTATCATTATCAACATTGGCTTATTATTTATTGTAGGACTAAAAAGCAGAAATGTGAGCTTGGTATTAGCTAAATGCAAGCATAAGCTGTTGCCTGACAGTGCACAAAAGTTTCAAACTTTAAATACTGTCTGATGTCATATCACATTTTCACTATTTGTTGATTTATTTCTCAGCTTCTCAGGTCAAAAGTTTGGACACACCTTCTCATTCAATGCATTTTCTTTTTTCTCATTACTATTTAAATTGTATATTCTCAGTAAAGGCATCAAAGCTATGAATGAACACATGTGGAATCATGTGCTTAAGAAAAAAGTGTGAAATAACTGAAAACATGTATAATATTTTAGATTCCTCAAAGTAGCCACCCTTTGCTTTTTTTGATAGCGCTGCAAACTTTTGCTGTTCTCTCAATGAGCTTCATGAGGTAGTCACCTGAAATGGTTTTTACTTCACAGGTGTGCCGTGTTTGCTTTGTGACTATCAGAGTCAGTCACTAAGTACTTCTGTCATCAAGAGCAAAGGGTGGCTACTTTAAAGAAACTAGAATATAAAACATGTTTTCAGTTATTTCACACTTTTATATAAGTACAAAATTTCATGTGTTCATTCATAGTTTTGATGCCTTCAGTGATAATCTACAATGTAAATAGTCATATAAAAAAATAAAGAAAAGACATTGAATGAGAAGGTGTGTCTAAACTTTTGGCCTGTACTGTATATGTCTGACTACTTCTTCTTCTGCCCTTTTAGATCCACTACTTCACACACCATAGCACCAAGTACTTCTGGAACGATGGGATACAGAACTTTGAACTGTTCAAGTAAGAGTACTCCTAGAAAAAAAATCTCTTCTTTTATTTAGAAACTAAATTTATTTTATTTACTTTACTAAATTTCAGTTATTGTTGGCAAAATGAGCCTTAAACATGCATGTATCTGCTGTTCTGCAGCAGTGACAGTAGAAATGACGCTGTGTTACTTTTTTAGAGGTTTAGAGGATTTAAATGTGAGCTGTGCAAACATCCACTCTGACCACAGCTCTGGGCTCTCGAAAACATTGCAGGAGTACAGGTACACAAACACGCATTTCAGTTTTAATGACTCTTGGTAAGTGTGGGGAAAGTGATGCTTCAAATTCTCTCTCACCAGGATGTTGTTTTTCGGTGAGAATGAAATTGCTGTACGAGTGCCCTCTCTGTTCAAGCTGCTCATAAAAGAAGTGAGTTTAAACCACATTTTCTTTTTTAAAATTAATTATCAAAATCTAAATGCTAACTCTTTTCTCTTCCTCCATCAGGTCTTAAATCCTTTCTACATCTTTCAGCTCTTCAGTGTTATTCTGTGGAGTTTTGAGGACTACTATTATTATGCTTCAGCCATTGTTTTCATGTCTGCTATCTCAATAGCTACCTCCTTGTATACAATCAAAAAGGTGAGTCACAGCATTGAGAAATGAGATGAAATACTGTTTGACCTTTGATGTAAATTGTTAGAAATGTACCTGCTCTGTACATCTTGTCCATTTGTGAGTTAACATGTGTGTGTTTTGCAGTGGTACTTGTCTTCTCTGTATGACGTTGTCTCTCTTGTTCCAGCAATATGTGATGCTGCATGACATGGTAGCAGCTCACAGTGTGGTCCGTGTTTCTGTGTGCAGAGGGAATAAAGGCATGTTTGACTTTCTGAAAATAACACTAATCTCACTGTAAACACAAATAACCTCATCGATGAATTTCATAGCTTCTAATTTTGTCAGTCTCGTTTCTAGACTGCCTGTGTTTTTTTTTTTATTGTGTGCATTAATGATATTAATCAACTCTTAGAGTAAAGTCCTGATTTCCAGCTGAGTGTTTGTGTTTTCTTATTTTCTCTGTTATCTTTCTTATTGATTAATCCCGGTAGATATTGAACAAGCCATGTCCACTGAGCTCGTGCCAGGTGATGTCATCGTTATTCCAGCCAATGGGATGATCATGCCATGCGATGCTGTGCTCATCCATGGATCCTGCATTGTGAATGAGAGCATGCTTACAGGTATATTAACCCTTAACTGCCCACCTCCTTGTATTTAGCAGTTTTATATCTTTGACACACAGAAACAAAATCTCCATGTGTTGTTATTTACTAAGTTTTTTTAAATAGACTTTCCAACTGCCTCCCAAGGTATTCTCCATTTTGAATTTTTGATGCTCTGGAGTTTTGTATTCAACATTCAGGGGAAAGCAATTATAGTTAATTGGCCTTAAGAATTGAGCTTCAGTTCAGAGTTCAGCTATTTCCTTGATATCATAAAATTAACAATGATTTTCCATGCTTGTTTATCTTCATGCTGACTTATCTTTAACACATTACACAGTATAACTTGTTTGTTTAAAAAGAAGTTGATATTTTAGTAGCATAGGCTTGAAATGCTGTTCAAATGTTGTCTCTTAGCTGTTGTGAAACTACCTGCCTTTAGCTGTGGCTCTGGTTAATGGCTACTGCCATAATGCTATAATGCTTTACTACCCGGATGTTAACAAGCACAGAGGATAGATGGTAACTCATGGTGCTGTTTGGTTGTATTTTGATCTAGAAAATTGAGATGTATTTGTATGTAGGGTTTGTCTTTATAAACTGGCCAACCTGAACATTTTGTAACAAGCAGGAGGAGGACTGAAGGCTGGTGATGCTAACTTTTCTAATGTTGGGCTGATGAGTCAGAAATTTAACTTCCATTCAGACTTTATAAAATTAGCTGCTTCAGATCATCAGAATCGTAACCAATGTAATTTACTTTGGTTGTTGGTTTTGGATTCTCTGCTGCTCACACTGTAAATTCAACTTCTACACATCACTTATATAACCAGCTGATCCTGTAGTAAAGTTTACACTACTACTACTATTTGGGATCAGAACCATAACAAGTTTGTTGATATTTTTGGGCTGAATTTAGGGATTAAAAAAAACAAAACTCTCTAAGTTTCCATGTAAAGACCCATCTGTCCTCTATGAGCAATCCAAATACAACCCATCATAACAGACGTGAATAGAGCCTCAGTTCTTTTATATAGAATTAAACCAAAACTATAACTTTTATATTAACACACAGCAGACTATTTTCTTAGTTTAGTTAAAAAACATGTTCTCTGCTGTGTTTCAGTCTGAAAAATACACTTATCGTGCATCGAGTCAAGTTTTATTTCTATTAGAACATATGTGTTTGATTCTTTATTTTCTCATCCTTTGGTTGATAAATTTGTTGAAGATTAGAGTTTTCTGACTTTATGCTAATGTTGAACACTATAGCTTAATGGTGTGTTACATTGCCTCCGTGTTTAGGAGAGAGTGTGCCGATCACAAAGACGGGTCTTCCCAGCTCGGGTGAGGAGGCAGCTGAAAGCTACAATATGGAGGAGCACAAGAGACACACCCTGTTCTGTGGTACTCGAGTTATCCAGACCCGCTTCTATGCAGGTGAACTGGTGAAAGCTGTTGTGGTGAGAACAGGTGAGACTGAGACAGAGTGAGAACAACAGGGCTTTGATAGTTTAGCTACAGACTGATCATCCTCATGGTTTTTCATATCAATCTAAATGAGTCCAAGACAGTAATGAGGTGTTGATATTCCCACAGGCTTCAGTACAGAGAAAGGCCAGCTGGTGCGCTCCATCCTCTACCCTAAACCTACAGACTTCAAACTGTACCGGGATGCGTACCTGTTCCTGCTGTGTTTGGTGGGAGTGGCAGGGATCGGTTTTATCTACACCATCGTCTTGAGTGTCATGAACAAGGTATCACTGCTGGTGTAGAGGGAAACAAACCTTTTCTCACGTTATTGTGTTTATTAATATCAAGATCGCACTGACATTTTACTACAAAACTCCATATGTCATATTGCTTTGAACATCAGTGTTGGGATTCAAATTTTATGTTCACAGTAAAAAAGAACAAAAATGATCAATTTTGATTAATGAATAATTCACTTGGCTTTCCAACACGACATTTCAACAGCTTGAGCATAACTGGAATATTGCTGTGCAGCACATCTGCTTTAACCTGCACACTTCAACCTTTACCATGTTTACGTCTACACTGGTCAATCATAGTGGAATTTCATTTTCTTTGAGGGAATATGTTGAATTTTCAGATACAATTTTTGACACAATCTGAAAAGAACATTTTTTTTTTGTTTTGATCCTGTTTCATTAGTTAAACTTATTCAGAGCAGCTAAAGGAAATACATTAATATTGTTAAAAGTCTCAGTGCTGTTCTATAGATACACACTGTCTTTAATATTTTATTCATGACATGACAGCCAAATTTTGTCATACTAGATTTAAAGTAGGTGTGTGTTTGACAGGCAACAATTCCATCCCATTCCATGACAAAGAGAAACCTGCACTCATCAAATAGGAGATCATCCTGCAAGTCTGTGATGGTACCATTTAAGTCCTGAGCCCCACTGTCCTCTGTTGGCAGTACTGCCAATCTGCTGAGTCTCTCCTGCCCCATGCTGCTCCTAAACACGATTTCATCATTTTGAGCTGAACACTCACCCTGTCGTCTCTCCTCCTTCCTTGTCTTTGGCAGATAACTGGCTGTCTGGTTAGTTTCTCCCCTAGCATCTTTATACAAGGTTGGGAGAAAAAGTTAGGTTTATACAAGTTATCTTGATGCGGCATCACAAAGACATTGGATGTACACATTAGCATTTAACAGCCATCAACCTGAGTGGATAGTCAATGTCAATCTCAATGTTAGCTTTATTTATATAGCACATTTAAAACAGCCAGTTGCCTACTAAAGTGCTTTACAGTAAAATAGCCAGAAACAATAAAAACAATAAACGTTAAAAAAACAATAAAAGTGTAAAACATATAACATCATAAAATAACAATACAGATTTAACATAGCAAATAAATAAAAGATCCAATAAAAGTAACTAGACTATCCCGAAGGCTACAGTGAACAGGTGCGTCTTTAGAAGTGTTTTAAAAGTCTAGACGTGGTCCTGCTGAAAGGTTTGGGACTGCTTGTTTAGGCAGCATACGACTATCATGTTCAGCCAACAGCTGCACAAAATATACTGTCACTAATCAGGTTACTTAATTGGAAGTTGCTGTTTGTTCAGCGGATGCAGAAATCTGTCTCTATATCTCGGATACTGCTCTCTTTTTTGATGGTTCTCCCTCTGTCTCATCCAGGTTCCAGCTAAAACCATTATCATTGAATCTCTGGACATTGTCACCATCACTGTGCCCCCGGCTTTACCAGCAGCCATGACAGCTGGCATTGTATACGCACAGCGGCGTCTGAAGCGTGTGGGCATCTTTTGCATAAGTCCTCAGAGGATCAATATGTGCGGTCAACTCAACCTGGTTTGTTTTGATAAGGTACTCTGAAGCACAGCTCTTATTTTTGTCTCCAGCGATGTTATGTTTTCTTGTTGATGCTGAATTTTTAGAAAACATAATGAAGTCATCATTTCCATGAGTCTTACATAATTTAGAGTAATAAAGTCCTCATTTAGGATGCATGGAAACTTGTTGTCACACATTCAAACCCACATCTGTCCCGAGAGGTTTTTAGTTCGAGGAATGACTTTTATGTTTGATGACCGTGTTCTGATGCGCTCCTATTTTTGAACAACAGTGATGTCAACAACATGATGTTTTTAAGCTTTGAGGTTATAAAATATGTTTTAAATTGATTTAGCTTGAAAGCATAACCAAAGCAATGTTATTAAACATGCTTTTTGAGAATAATTAATGTTTTTTTTTGTCTGTTTGCTCTTGTGACAAGAGTAAACCAAAAGTTAAATTTAGAAAAATCAGATAAGAAGAATGGTAAGTCAAAGGGTTGTTTGTAATTGTAGGGATAGTTAAATTCACTTTCAAAGCTGCGTCATGAGCTGTCAACTGAGCCCTTTTACTTTCCATTGATATCACACATTTTAGATGTCTGCAGTTGGATCAAATTGTGCTTTTCAAATGATTCATTGTGGATAAAGTCTTCTGAGTGGCTCTTTAGTCTTTGTTACAAATCCACACTTGTCAGAAAGTGTGTGCATGTTCCTGTGGGGCAGGTTGGACTCAGATTTGAATCAGACTTTTAATGTGTGTTTTTAAAAGATGTGGTCTAATGTGATCGATGTTGTCCTCTGAGGTGGGATTGAAACAGTTTGAACTCATTGTTAAATGTTTTTTGTTTGTTTCCGCAGACTGGTACTCTGACTGAGGACGGTTTGGACTTGTGGGGTATACAGAGAGCTGAAGGGGACAGGTAGGATCAGATTTGGGTTCTTTGTCTTTTTCCTGAGTGTAATTAAAAAAAACATAACAGTTGAAAGAACAGTGAGATGTGTGGATTTATGCCTCTTCTGTATTGTGACACTTTATCTGCTGCCAAACTAGTTTGAAATCAGTTTCATGGTTGGATAATGAGACAATTTGTCTTTTGAGTCAAATACATTGTACACTGTGAATTGTAATCAGGTTTCCTCTATGTTTTTGTGGAAAATAATACAAGGACAAAAGCAGATAAAAAATCAAAGAGCAGGACAAAAAGCTAAACCAAAAACAGTCAAGTAGCTAATATAGAAAAAAACTAAGTCAAGTTTATTTGGTACAGCACTTTTCAGTCAATTACAGTAATATAACAAATAGAACAGAAAGCACAGAAAAAAATAAGCTGTAACTGCACTAAAAATGAATCAGATGGTCAAAAGCCGGTTTGAAAGAATAAGCCTTAAGCAGGTTGGAAAAGCTTGAGTAGAAACTGCAGAGTGTAGTCACAAAGAAGGAGTACTCTGAGGACTCTGAGCCACAAATTCAAAGACAGAGGCCCACTCCCACTGAATTTCAGGCGTGTTCCTGCCAAGTCCGTACGGCTTAGGGCTGTCTCACCATCAAATCATAAAGTATTTACAGGATCTCCTGGAGCCTTTTGAGCACTCTATGCATCCTTTCCCTGAATGGCTATCTCTGCAGACTCAGCGTGAGGGAATTACCCATAGTTCATAGCACTGTGACACGAAACACACAATTCCCCGGAGAAGCTCACAAGCATAGAAAGGTTAATGAATTCCTTACCATGGAAATTTCAGTCAAAATGATGGAGGTGAAACACTGACACTTTTAAGGAGTCTATGTAGGTATATGAATAGGAAATATTGTTAAGGTGTACCTGTACCTGAGAAGCTCAACCATGACAAAATTAAACAGATTTTATCCCTATCTAAGAGGTTGCATCCACACTGCAGCATGAAAACTAACAATGAAGAGTGTTTGTGAAAGTAAAAATCTTAGATAAAAATCCTGAATGCTTCTACAGAGAAAAATACTGTCAGTGTTTTGTGAGAAGTTGCAAAGTGATGTTCAATTTCTGGTTATATCATTTCTGGGCCCTTGCGGCATCATGCATCTGATCACTTTCCAGGTGATGTCAATTTCAGGGCTCAGGGAGGAAATTGGGATTCAGCCAGAATGACTGTTTCCTGGCATTATAAAGCTGAAGCCGGTCAAAGTACACAGGTGCTTGCTCTTAATAAACCAGGACAAAAAATCAATCCTGAATTTGATCAGCAGTTAATGTATGCAAAATCAGATCAACTGTGGACAGCTGAGGGGGAATTTAATGAGGCAGATGAAAACCCGGTTTATAATGCAACAGATTTCAGTTTTAAATGTTTTGTTAAGTGAGAGATACAAACAGGGTAGAAGAGGATGTAACCATGTATCGGTTTAACATTTGCATCCACAAATATCTGCTGACATGGACGTATAATGGGCTGTGAACTGATGCCAGTAGCTGCCAATAAAGTCGGTCGTGTCAGTTGTAGTGCATCAATTTATTGCTGATCTGTTTGTAAACTGAACTGCTGATTCAGTAAAAGAGGCTTTTAAATGGGCCAAAGAAGTCACCTTGGACAAACTCTGGTGTGACATGAAAGGGCAACCAGCGCTGTGCAGACGTGTAGGATTGTTGACACGGCCAGATGAGAAACATAATGTCAGCAGTGTAGAAGGATCACACCGTCTTTGAGAAAAATCAGCAAAATGGAGATTATGACACATGTCCTCGTGACATTTCAGTTTTTACATTTGATTTTAGTGATGTTTAAACATGTTGATCAAATAGCAGAAAATGACTTCAAAAATCAATGCTCTTATCAAACTTGGCTGCGATGTTGTCATGGAGATTGATAAAGACCTCTTTCTTGTCAATGTTCAACTAAAGTGTGTTATCATTCATCTGTTTTTGGATGGCATCCAGACAGTTGTGGGAATTACTGAGTTTATCAGTGCAATCAGGCCTAAGATATGTACAACTGAGAATGATCAGCGTAACAGTGGTATGAGATGCCTCAAATGTTTCTTGTAACATTGGAGGCATAAATAGAAAGTATTTGGAAAGGACCCAAGACAGTTCCCTGAGGCACACCACACATCAAAGTGACAGTCTCAGACATTGATGGGCCATGTGACTCTAAAAAACACCTCTCTTAAGTCATATCAGACCATTTATGTATCCTGAAGGAGGCGGGGCTTGGTCTTGAGTGACAGCAGCCTCCTGTCAAAGTAAAAGAGTGTGTCTCCTGAGAGAGAGGGACCACATTACCTGCACACCCTAGGCTGCTGGTGGCGCTTGGATTTGAAAGAGAGAAAGTGGAGTGTTACCAGTTGTTAGGGTGATTTTCTTTAGCCAGTCATGTCAGCTTTTAGGGTGGTGGTGCTGTATCACTCAAATACCTCAGATACTTTGGTGCTAGATTTCTGGAGCCATGGGCCTCCGACAACCATCCTCAACAAGGACCTTGTACCCATGTTTAACATCAGTCGGGCTCCCAAAATATATTGTGCTTTGTTATTACCCTACATGGACTCTCCTTTAGGTCAAAATAGTATCAGACCAATCTTTGTTACACTTGTGTTACACTTGTGGCATGATGAAGCTGTAACCCAGATCTGCAACCAGTAAAGCTTGTCAAAATGATCATTCGTGTGGACCTTCCATTTTTTAAAGTGTGAACATGGGCTAGGCATCCTTACACCAGTCAGTTCCTCTAGTCACCTCTTTATCGTATTTGTGGTTTTATTTGAATACAGTGGAACTTTACAAATTATTAGACAGAAGTGCTTTATGTGTTTATTGGAAATTGTACAATGTACAGTGGCACCTTAATTTGTCAAGTTTAACATGAGTGTAAAACCAAAACAGAATTAGAAAACAAAAGAGAAAGAAAACATTTCCGCAGACTGAGTATTTGTGTGAAAGTCTCCTTCTGTGTTTCAGCTTCTCTCCTCCAGAGTCAGATGCCGCTAAAGAAAGTTTGGTCAACTCTGCGTTTGTGGCCTGCATGGCTTGCTGTCACTCACTGACTAAGATTGAAGGAGAGCTTTCAGGAGACCCTCTGGACCTCAAAATGTTCAGTGCTACAGGCTGGGTGAGTGAAGTTTTTGGAGTGTTTACGGCCAGTGTGCTCAGTCACTGGCACCACAGCCAGCAGAGATACCAGTCTGTTCATGAATTATGCAGCACCAGGCTTGTGTCTTTGGCAGAAAAAAGGTTCTTCTCAGCTAAAATGTTTCAACTGTGACACCATGGATACCCCGGCATGGACACGAGCAAGCTGGGACCTACTTTTTCATGTCCCACCAGCCTCAATGTAACGGCTCCTCTAACATGATCTAACGTTTACTTAGATCCTAGAAGAGCCCACAGAGGAAGAGACAGCTCTCCATAATCCCATCATGCCCACAGTTGTACGTCCTCCAAAGCACGTTGTCCCTGAGGCCAATCAGAATAACCCACTGACCCAGAACATGGTACAAAGTTTCTCTTCATCATTATTCAGTGATCAACATTTTCATTTGGGGTCATTTTCGCAAGATTTCTAAAGTACATGATCTTAAAATACTTTTGCTTTTTTGTTTTCCACAGGAGCTCTCTGAAACATCGGTAAGTTTTCTTTTTTTATGACATTTGAAAGAGATTGTTTATTCCTTTAGGTGGAGTTATGTGAGGTACTTGTCAAGATAAATATAGTACTTATTAGTCAGCTTTTGAAGTTATAGTAGTTTAGCATAGTTTAGCATAAAGATGGTAAAGGCTCTCTCCTGTCCAAAGTCAGCTCACTGATCAGCACAGTTCACCACATCTGGCTTGTTTCTCACGTTTGAAAACACTTAGTTTGATTTCATCCCAGCTATCTTCATTCATTTTTCAGCCTTCATGCTGAACTAAATTTAGCGACTGTTAGTTGGATCCTCATGTTAAAAATTAACCTTCTCTAGAGCTCACCAGTCAGGATTTTACAGACTCCACAGATGTGGTATCACAGGGGGATTATGCCTCAGTCCATCTCCTTTGTGACTCTCTGGAGTTTCTGCTGGTGACTACACAGTGATGACAGGACTCGACAGAGCCAGTGTCATTGCTCCCTTTTGTTTAGGTCTGTATACTAAGCTAAGTTAACTATCTGCTGGATGTTGTTTCATAACTCCAGAGTGAATAGTTTCACCATTTACCCAAATAAGTCCTCCAAAGGTGTTTAACTGCGGTCTTGAACCAGTCTTCTGAAGTTAATGTGAACTTTGAAACTGAACATGTACACAACATGCATGTCTTGTTCCTCAGTCCTGTGAAATCGGCATCGTGCGTCAGTTCCCCTTCTCATCAGCTCTGCAGAGGATGAGTGTGGTGGTCAGGAGGCTGGGGCAGAAACACATGGATGCTTACTTAAAGGGAGCACCAGAGGTTGTGGCAAACCTCTGCAAACAGCACACAGGTCTGACACTTTGTCTGTGTGGTTAAGATTGTGTAAATATCTTCTCCGTATATTCAGTATCTCTTAAAGAGTACTGACAGTTACTGACAGCAGAGTAATAACAAATCATCTTTTTTCTCTCTCATTGGATTTAGTCCCACAGAGTTTTACAGAGACTCTGGAGACCTACACCAGGCAGGGCTTCAGGGTCATCGCTCTGGCACATCGACAGCTGGAGTCCAAACTTTCCTGGCACAAAGTCCAGAGCCTCAGCAGGTATGGCTCCCTCCACAGAGAACACACTGTCCACAGTTCACAGAGAAGTCCTGCCGTAAAACGCTGGCACACAATCAAGTTTTGTGATTTTGTATTTACAGTAACTCACGACTTCTACCTTAATGTCTGAATGATGTAATTCTGCTGATAATGAGATAAACATGGGCCAGTGACACAATAAAGACTGATATTAATACCTTCAGCTAACAGACGTGAGCACATCACTCCTGTCCTTAGCCTAGGATAGGATTGATTTTAAACTTTTAATGCTTGTTTTTAAAGCTCTTAACGGCCTTGCCCACATCTTTTTATAAGCTAGGAATAAGCTCCCCACTGAAATGAGGCTTATTTCCTACCTGGGCCTTTTTTAAATCTGGATTGAAAACATATTTAATTATGCTGGCTTTTATTATCCAGTAGCGTGGTGACACTTTTTATTGCATTGTACAGATAAAGAACATTTACATTTACATTTACAGCAGTTTGAGTCAGGCAGGTCCACAGCAGCAGGTCATCTGCGGCAACTATCAAGAGGAACCTGTGAGTTTATGGGATTCTAGAAAGATCTATGGTCAGTAAAATCAAAGTTAGTGACATGCTGACAGACAGAGGAGCAAGAGGGAGAGATGTACTATACACTTAATCATCAAAAAGGAAAAGTTACCAGCTTACTCTTGAAAGTAGAAAGGATGTTTACCTCCTGGACTTCCTGGAATTAAAATCATGATTTTGCTTTTGGAGACTCTTGGTACAACTAAAAGATCTGTATGCTATGAGTGTACCATTCTGTGGTGTAGACAGAAGAGAATTGATAGAACTTGTTCCAGATTTTATGGGAAGCCAGAAATAATCTCCTTTCCTGGTTTCTGTGTGGTATGAGTTGCTGTTATCAGACATGGGCCTCGAGAATTAACTCTTTGAACTCTGTGATAGGAAAGTCATTAGTTAAAGGCTGATGTGAGTCACGTTTATTTAATGCACTTATGTAACTAAGGTGTAATAAATAGATAAAATAAGATTTACAGTAACAGGGATGTAATATAATAGTGTCATAAAATCATTCAAGTGGAGTTGATATTTGAATAGAGTGAATTATAAAGCTCAGGCTCTCTGTGGTAAGATCCAAGCTATTATGATATTATTAATTTATTATCTGAAATCAAAGTGTAATTTTATTTAATGAACTGTTTGCTAACTCTGAAGATGTCCTAAACCCCCATGGCCCTTTTAGTAAAAAACAACAACAAATTACATTATCCTGAAATTGTAGTTAACCATTAACCATGGTAAAGTAGATGAGGAAGGGAAACAGGAGGGTAGGATCAGGAAAATCCTGTTATGCAATCAGCATCAGACATTAATGTCTAATATTACAGAGCAGAAACATTGGTCTTTCAGAGTCCTCTACCTTCTCCTATGATATAGGAATCCTCCATACGTCTTAAAACATGAATTTGACACGGTCCTTGTTCATAATAGTTCACTTTTTTGACACCATTATTGTATGCTATGATATGTTGTGTTCAGGGACCTGATAGAAACCAATATGGAGTTCCTGGGTTTGATCATCATGCAGAACAAAATCAAGATGGAGACGGCCGGGGTTTTACAAGAATTACGAAAAGCTGACATCCGCACTCTGATGGTAACAGGTATTAATCTGTGTAATGTTCCCTTTTTTTAATTTAACTCAATATTGCACACAGAGTTGATGGGCTGTGTACTGTCTGTTAGGGGACAACATGCTGACAGCGATATCTGTGGCTCGGGATTGTGGGATGGTTCGTGCCCATGAGAAGGTCATTATTGCAGATGCTGTGCCTCCTAAAGAATCCCAACCTGCCAGCATCACCTGGCACCACACTGAGAACCATCAAACCGTCAAAGACTCGCAGGTGAGAGAGAGAGAGAGAGAGGCCAGGATCTGAATCCAAACTGAGCGTTCTCAAATGTCTGTACAATCCAAAGAAAAGGAGCTGACACTGCAGAGTTCATCCCAACATACTGTCAATGATGTGAAAGTCTTAAAAACAATTATTGTTGAGCCATTCAAGTATTTAATTTTTGGTTTTCCTTTTTTACACAAAAATACAAAAAATACTGAACAAATCAAGAAAATTCCAAAGCATGTGAAAGGCTGTGGTAAATATTATTATCATTGAATTACCTCAGTTAAAAAAAAATCTCTTGGCATAAAAAAGGGGATGAAAAACATGTGCACATTCTCTATCTGCTCACCATTTATAAGATATGGTTATTATAAAGTGTTACCGACAGCCCTTTTTGATTTTAACCCAAGGTTCTTTGCTCCATATCATCTCCCTTTTTCTCTCTTTTTCCTGTTTCCTCATCCATATATTGTCCTATCATTCATTTAGGGCATAAAAGCCCCAAAGTTAACTTAGTGAAATAGAACAATTTTGAGCAACAATTTCAAATAGTTCATGCTGTCAAGTTAAAAAAAATATTGACAAAAGAAAAAATGTAAGACTCTGTTAGTACAAAAGTAACAACTGAGGGAAATTTAAAACATAATTTTTAAAATAATTATCAACAGCAAACAGCTATGTTTGATCAAAAAGGCCAGGGGATGCTTTATGCTAAGATTTTTTTTATACTTTATCATTTTTTTTGCATTCACATGTCTCTCATTGGCAGATTTACATCATGTTTTTGTAAAATAATAATGTTTATTACCAAATGGAAGGTGAAATCTGTCCTCGTGTTTTCAAGATGTCTGTCATTGATGGACGTTTTCTTTGTCCTCAGACTCTGGAGATAAATCTGGAGGAGGGGTCAGAGGAACAAAACTATCACTTTGCCATCAGCGGTAGAGCCTTTGCTGTCATCATTGAGTACTTTCCTCAACTCATCCAGAAGGTACGGACTCATTTTGTGACACTGATACACAATTTGGGTCATCATTTGATTTAACTTGAAAGCCTCGTCGTGGGAAAAGTTGTAGTTCAGACTAGTATTCAAATGTTTCTGCAATTCTTTCTCTGTCCACATGGGGGTGCTGCAGCTTGCATTAAGAACTACAGTATTTGCTCGCATGGCTCCAGACCAGAAGACTCAGCTGGTGGAAGTCCTGCAGAGCATCGAGTGAGTCAGTCGTTTCTTTGTAGCCTGTGATTTGATGGATTTATATAGATAATTAGATCACAGATTCAAATGCACAACTTTGACTCACCTCATTTTTCCTGCAGCTACACTGTTGGGATGTGCGGTGATGGTGCAAACGACTGTGGAGTAAGTGACAAAATACAGTAAAAGTTTGTTCAATATACAAGATATTGGTTCTGTTGTATTTAATGATGCATCTGTCTTCGTCTATCACATGAGAATGTTTTAGGATATACACTGAAAATCAAATGTTGCTGTCATTCACATGTTGTATACCATTGCATTATATTTCCCCTCCTAAAATCAGCACACACACAGAAAACTCCTCATGGAAACTTTCAATAAATCAAAGCTCTTTCTCTCTTTGTGTGTCAGGCTTTAAAAAGAGCTCACAGTGGGATCTCTCTGTCTGAGCTTGAGGCTTCTGTTGCTTCACCTTTCACCTCCTCCACCTCCAACATCTCCTGCGTCCCAAACCTCATCAGGTGTACACTCATTACTCATGGTTTTTTAATGAATTGTTCATTTTAGATTTGAATCTTTGAACCCTGAATATAACAAATAGTCTACATCATATTTAAATCAGTTGTATCTATGAACACCTTTTACAGACATGAACTCATTTTGTGTCACAACAAAGGCCTCACACTTTGACTCTTCCTCCACATGTTTTCTGTTTGACTTGTAGATTTTATGTGTACAGGCTTCTCTCTCAAAAATAATAATTTTATATGAAACTACTTCTTATAATGCATCATAAGCATATTTATAAAACCTTTTAAATGCATCTAAAATACCAACGTTTATAAAGGGTTATAAGCAGTGACCATACTGCCTTATAAAGGTAAGGTTTATATTTTGCATTATGTCTTTATGAAAAGAAAAAAAAAAGAAAATTTGGATTTGATAATGCATTTAAAATTTAATAACTTTACCTGGTTATCAAGATTCATAAATAAATCATTCTTTGTGGTTCTTAATTTTAAAAAAGGTTTTATTAATACTCACAACATACTAAAGCATGGACTTTGGGTGTTTCAAGTAAAGTGACAGCACTACATGAAGTTATGAACAATTACATATTCCTATAAAATATTAGGTAACACTTCATTTGACGCCTAATAGTTATAACATATATAATACTTGACCTTGTAATTCATGATAAAATGCTTTATAATGTGTTATGATTATTGCTATAACGCATTATGATCATGTATGAGTGTTTATAACTATAGTTAGACAGTGCTATAACGTGATTATAACACATACGGAGCAACATACGTATATTTATAATGCGTTATAGAGATAAGCATCAAATAAAGTGTTACCCAGTATTCTGTGGCTCTAAGTAACGAGTCAGACAAAAATACCACAAAACAAGAACAAATATTTATGTTTTTATATTTTTTCCTTTTGCAATAAAATGTAATGAATTATAAATTATACCTTTTATAGAGCAGTACACTCACTGCTTATTATAACACTTATTATAAGCTGGTCTGAATGCTAATTATCACTCAGATGGGTTGCCATTAAGCCTTATAGACGCATTTAAAAGGCTTTTTAAATGAGTTTATGATTCTTTATAAGACGTAGGGTTGTATAAAGTGCTAGCCAAACCTGAGCTTCTATAGGTGTAACATTAAGCCATTACTGTTTCTGATTATCTCTACACTCCTGCTTTTAAAGGGAGGGCCGAGCTGCACTCATCACATCCTTCTGTGTGTTTAAGTTCATGGCTCTGTACAGCATCATCCAGTACCTGAGCGTGACGCTGCTCTACTCGGTAAACTCTCTTTACAAAGCACTCCATTTTAGCTAGTGAACGGCAGAAGCCTTATTTTCTGTACATTAGTTGTTTTTAACATTAGTAAACACCATTGACATGATCTATCTGTGTTATCATCATTTTCCAGCCACGTGTTAGAAGATGCAGCATTAGTGGGATTGGGTCAGAAAAACTGTTTTTGTTCACATGTGAGATACAGAGTCAGACGTGAAGAGCATGTAGACGAGAGTTTGGGCTTAAAAAAGACGTGGGAGTTTCCATCCAGTGGCAGTGACACAAAGGCAGCAACCACAAAGAGACATTGTTTTGGGCCTAAATAAGTTTTATCAGTTTGGACTTTTTCGACAAATTTCTCAGCTGCTGTGTGACTTTTTTCATATTTTAGATTCTCAGTAACTTGGGAGACTTCCAGTTCCTCTTCATTGACATCGCCATCATCCTCATTATTGCCTTTACCAGTGAGTAAAGCATCAAGAAAAACATGTTAAGCTTTGAAGGGGCATTACTTGGTAGATATAAAAACAGTAACTTATAATTTTCGGGGAATCAGCTCACTGATTGTTTTCTTTTTCAGTGAGTCTGAACCCAGCGTGGAAGGAGCTAGTGTGCCACCGCCCGCCATCCAGTCTGATCTCTGGCCCACTGCTCTTCTCAGTCCTGACTCAGATCCTCACATCAATGGTCTTCCAGGTCCTGGTTTTCCTTTTAGTGAAACAACAGAGCTGGTATGAGATATGGACACCTCAGTCAGAGTGAGTAATGTGTTTAAAAAAAAATGTTCTCAGACATAAAAGTTTACTGTACACCAAACATTTTGATTGATGCTCATAACTAAATTTAAAAAAAAGAGTACAATAGTTTTAATGAATTTCAGTAAACAAAAAACTCAGGCTGATGTCAGTATTAACAGCAAATAATGAATGTTGTTTCTGTGATGTACCAGTGATGGAAAGATGAGTCAAACTAAAAGGAAAGCAGAAAAAAAAAAAAACAAAGTGCAAAAAAAAAAAAGGCTTAACACTCTCAAATTTTTCACACTTTATTTGAACATTTTTGGGATCCTAACCTATGACTGCATTTTTTTCCCCTCAAATCAAAGTCAAACAAGCTGTTTTGGTGTCATTGTCTCAACACATTCCCGTTAGAGCAAGACATAAAGAACAACAAAACAAAAAAAGTCAGAAGTGTTGAATCATTTCTGTTCTGTTTCATCCTTTCCTCTCTGGCAGTGCCTGTAATGTCTCCAGCTCCAGTCTCTCTCAAAGCGTGAATGTAACAAGCCCTCATGATCACAAAAACATCAGAAACTACGAGAACACCACCCTCTTTTACGTCTCCGCCTTCCAGTATTTGACTGTGGCCATCGTCTTCTCCAAGGGGAAGCCCTTCAGACAACCCAGCTACAAGAACTGTGAGACTCATTCAGAGCTTTTTAAACACTTACTGACCATCAGAGTCAGCTGTTTGAGGATGATCATTGCAAGCAAAGAAAGAGTAAAACACTTTCAGGATATGTTTCAAATTTGTCGGCATGTACACAGCTGAAAAGAATCTCCTTTTTTAGGTTAGCTAGTTACTTTAGACACTTAACCCAGAGCTCTTAAAACAAATTTCCAGGTTTTTATTTTCCTAAAGTCAACTACTTTGTTTTTAATCCAGTGTGAGAAAAACACAAAAAAGTATTACAAACTGTGCTCTTCGTGTCCTCATTATTTCTAAACCTGACATATTCTTACATGTTTTAAAAAAACAGTGTTTCTGTTTTCTTTCTCTTTAGGGCCGTTCATGCTGTCCTGTGTTGCCCTGTATTCTTTCCTTCTCTTTATCATGCTGTATCCTATTCCTGCCATTGACAAATTCCTGGAGGTAAACGCTGATTTGATCAATTTCTCGTATAAGAAAAGAATTACGAAAAAATTTAAAATGTGTTTTTTAATTAAAAGTAGTCACGAAGGGAGCTTTGGCTTTTACAAGTTTGTAAGCCTGTTGTCTGGTCGTGCTCAGTTGGAAGCTTGTTCACCATCCAGTACATGACTCGTGGGTCAGAAAAGTTCCTCACAATTTAAAAACTGAAAAAACAAAACAAAAAACTCAGATTCATTCACAGGCTCTGTCAAAACATTTTCAGTTTCATGGGATACTTTATGTTTTAAGTTTGTGAACTCCCTGTCTCCAGATTCAGATGTGGATTTAAGATTATATATATGAGGTATATGTATGAGGTATATTTAATTTATTTTATTTAATTTTACTCAGTTCTCTATTACCTCATTGATCTTTTAATGGGACTGACTGTTTATATTTCTTTTTGTCCACACCTGACTCTGACCTAAATGACCCAGGTTGGTGGGAGGGAATGGTTTAGGTTTCTGACGTTCTTCTATAACTGCTCTTCATCTGCCAATGACTCACACTGGTGTTTGATGTTATATTGACAATGCTGAATTACAAAATTATGAAATCATTAAATTATGACATTACTCTTAGATCGAACATGAAATGACCCCTCTGTTTACGTATTTCTAAAACTTTTGAGTAACTCTGTCTGAGATATATCTTAGAGACTCTGATTATTCTGCACTCAGCCTCAGGTGAGATTCAGGAATGATTTGAGAAATTAAATGTGACAAAAATGTGACTTTGTTAGTAACACTTAATCTGATTAGGTGTAGTAAAAACATAATATAAGGATTCTGTTTCAGCTAAATAATCCCCAAATAGCTGCCAGAAAATTTGAACAACCAGAACCCCGGATTAGGTCATCCTATCAGGTTTTGAGAGGGTGGCACAATCGGATGTTGCTTTGAAAAACTGACACAGCCACTCAGACAGATTATCTCCTCCTGTATAGAAAACGATTGAGTCTTTAAATCATTTGGATTTGACCAAGATGAATCTCTTCAAAGTAGATTTGAACTGTTCATACTTCTGTATAAACTGTAGAGGCAGAAAAGGCTGATGTCCAGAGTAGGTATGATGGATGGGATGCTGCATTCACTGCATTCACCTGTTGCTCTGCCTTCACAGATCGTGTGTGTTCCTCATGACTGGCGCATCACCCTGGTCATCATTATCGCCGTGAACGCAACGGTTTCTTTCTTGTTGGAGGTACACTTTAGAGATATCACACCCTTTCAGCCTCTTGTCTCCTCTCTCCTTCATTTAATTAGAAATCCTTGATCTGCATGCATTGAGTTTTGCACATCCGTCTAATGAATATGTAATCCTTCAGTTTTTTCCAATTCAAGTTATTTCTTTGTGCATTTCTGCTTCTGCAACCCAATCATCATGATCAGCTGATTCTCAAATTGCGGCTGAAATCTCCCGTAGATTTTCATCCTTGACATCATCTTGTGGAGGCTTGTCTTCAGAGGGAATCAGGGAGTAAAACGACCCTCACAGCCCCCCTCTGCTGACACACCGCAGGTTGGCCGCTTCACTTTTTAAAGTTTTTTCTCTGCTTCCACTTAAAGAACAAAAGACCCACGCACATCCTGTTTTCTTATTGCCCTTTTCACTCTCTGACATGTTACCTGTAGTGTGTGCTGTGTAATCAAAAAAGACTAAATCTATAGGAAACTGAAATTATTGAGCTGGCCATTCATACATTTTATTTAAGGGTGTTTTTAAGCTACGAATTGATTTGACTCATCATATAGAACTATCAGCTCTTATGAGGTTTTTTGTGATTTTTGAAGTAACACATCCTCTTGAGTGCAAAAATATTATTTTTGTTTGAATGCAACAGACCTACCTCTCAATACCTGAAGAGTTTCAGTTTCCAGTTCCTGGAGTATCCTGCATTCAGTCCTATTTGAATTACTTTCAATCCTGATTCTTTACATCTTCTCAGGAAGCCAATGACTGCTGGGGCTCGGCCTTCCTTTCCTGGTTGTTCTGTAGGAGAAACAAGCCCCCTGGGGTGCGCTACATTCATGTGGCCCTCGAGATGCAGGATGATGCCAACTGGCCCCCCAAACCCTCCACGGTCACCTTTGCCAGCAACACACAATCCCAGAGCTCTGACCCGCTCTGACAACCAACAAGTTAACTACTGCACGGACTAAATTTAAACCTTCATCCTGAGTCCTTCAGGACTGAGCTGGAGTTGAGCTCAGACACATGATGTTCAGGCTGGGATAGAAAATAGGGAGCCTACTGGATGCCAGATATTAGTCCTCCTACTGCAACATTTTAGTTGCTCACTCATGAAGTTCTCCTGCTCTTTGATTCGTCTCCTCTGAATTAACAAACACTCCGCAGCAGGGATAGGGTTAGGGTTAAGTCACGTCTCAAAGCTGAAACTTCAGCTTTTCCTTGGCTCAATTTTCGTTTGTGTTTTTCGTTTGTGTTTTAGTCATGTTGAGAGTTTGATAATAATGAGACCAGGTACCTCCGAAGTTGATATGAAAGAAGTGGCTTGAACTGGTTAGCTTAGCTTAATTTGTACACACTGGAAATAACTTGCTTTTCCAGTTTATTTTGACTGGTTTTATCTTGACCTGGACTAAGCTAACTAAACCTTGCTATGGCTTTGTGAGAGCCCTGTTTACCTTCTCGTCAAACTCCCAACAAGATTATAAATAAGGAAATTACAACCACTTTTAAATTAGTTTTTTGCTGCTACCTAGATTACCTTTGCCGTACAGATTTACATGACTGGATACTGAGAGCAGTGTGAGCGTCACAAGAAGTTTAATTTTCTTCTGATCTAGTTTTTATGAAGCCCTCAAAGTCCAGATTAACTGATCATTTTTATCATGTGTGCACAAGTTATCTTGTCTGCAAGAATTATTATGCATGCAAGTTATTACAAGATATCAAAGTTATTTTCTCAAGAAAACTATCACAGTTATTTTCTTGTGGACACAAGATTACTATCCTGTGTGAACAATATAGTAATTTGTGTGCACAAAATAATAACTTGTGCCTGTTAGATAATTATTAAAATGATTATCTTATTCAACTTCAGGGGCTTCATAGTTTTATTATCTGACCCAGTATTTGAAAGAGTTTCTGTGGTTTCCTGGAAATTTAACATATAAACAAACAACACTCAGACAGATTTGATCCAAAAAGCACTGGATGGATCTTTGTCCTCTTTACTATCATAGAAAAAAAAAAAAGTTTTCCCTAACATTAGCTGCTGCTTTAATCTGAGCGTTTGAAAACACTGTGAGGTTGTTTTTATGGGTTCAGAGAAAGATGAGAGCCTTGTGTCTTTTTGCTGTTTTATGAACACAACTGGTACTGCTGTTTTTAAGACAGAAAACCTTCCTCTGCTGCGTTTCTGTCTCAGAGTTGGTACGGTTACATTCTTCCTGTGGAAGAGAGGAACAGAAACTTTGTGTCCCTTTTTTTCAAAGAAATTAGAGCCAGTGCTACCACTGTGTGTCTGTGTGTGAGTGTGTGTGTGTGTGAGTGTGTGTGAGTGTGTGTGAGTGTGTGTGTGTGTGTGTGTGTGTCTGTGTCTGTGTGAGTGTGTGTGAGTGTGTTTGTGGCTGAATGAAAAGGAGAGCATGAGTGTGTTAGTTCAAGCTCCTGTGAGGCATTTTTAACTGCTCATAAAACACACTAAACTTTGTACAGATGCTTTTGAATGACCTACAAAAACAAACCAGACCACCAGCAAAAAGACTGATCGTGTCTGTTTGGTGGTTTTTAATGTCTGTAGTTGTTGTAAGGGACTGATGAGGTGATTCATAGAGAAAGACTTAGTATACACTTACCACTAAAAACATTCAGAATAACACTGTGATATGATTCCTGTTTATGAACGCAGGATGCGTCTAACACGTACAGGACAAAACCAACAGAAAAATACTGTTTTGTCCACTGACGCCAATATCAACAAGTGCCAAATGTTCCTCATAGGAGTTTAAAAAAAAAGATTCAAAATGAGCCATTCCTGAGTCTCTTGAATGCATCATGAAGCATCTATTTTTTTTGTTTGTTTTGTTTCTAAAGACATTGAAACTTTATGGAGCGGGAGGTTTTTCACTTAGGATTACATTCTCCAATGTCTTCTCTTCTACTAAAGTATTGCACAGTACTAATGATGTTATAATGATTAAAGAAAATCAATCAGATTAATCAGATGAGTCAATGAGACACTTGCTGCTGTGAATTTTATAACAGTTGATTTTAACGTTTGATTCCTGAAAATGTAACTTTTTGTGTTATGAACATATTTTTATAGTTAATGATAATTTTAAATAAAATGTGAAAGAATAAAGAGTTTCATTGACCAAAGTGCTTTTTTTCTAATTGTGTAAAAGAGAGAAATGTTGTTTAGAGAGAGAAATCATTGTGTTTTCTTGTTTCTACAATTTTCCGAAATTTTCAGAGTCCGTCCACAAATCAGCCGGTGTTTGCTCTGAAGAACTCCCATTACATCTCCCAATAAATCTGGATATGAAGCTACTCTTGCGTGCTTCGTGGGGGGCTGACCTTGGTCACACTTTTTCAGCCAAGACTTACTGATCAATTATGGGCTTTCCCAGCCTCCTCGCTGCCTGGCATATGGGCGCTTAAAGGCTGCAAGAGTGGAGGAGAAAGAGGGGTATCATTTCATGTGGAGATCAGGGCCTATAGGCAGTGAATGGGTGGATTTAGGGGGGACTGTGAATGAGGGGAAGGGGGTCCTCGCTTGTACCACAGAGAAAAGAATCTCCCACAGATCAGGGAAGAGCCTTTTTGGGAATATTCATGATGAGGATGAGGAGGCATCATGAATTCATGTGTGTCTCCCTGACTTGCACGGATCATCTTTTCAGTAAACAGGGATGTGTGCAGAGCCGGGATGTCCTGCTTTACACTGTGTTTGCCATGTAGTTTGGTGGATAGTGTTGCCTCTCCACAAAGCAATATGGGTTTTTGTGTACTCTTGCTGTATTCCCTTTGTGTGGTTAGAGTAACAGATGGGGAGTGGTGGGAAAGACATAAAGAAGCTAAAACACACAGCCTTTCTTCTTCACAGTTAGCTACGAGCTCCAAAAGGTTTTCTCAAGCTTGAGCTCAGACGTGTGTGATTTTGAACATTTTGGACTTCGTCTCCTTTCTCAATGACCCATATGTTTTTTTTCTTTTTGTGTCTGTGTCAGATTTGGGCTTGTGCACACACTCTTTGTTTACTGTGTCTCACTCCGAAAAAAAAAACAGGTCGGCCCTGACTGCAATGAGAAACAGCCACTGAAACACACTTTTCTCCAGCAGGAGTTGTCATTTTAGCCGCTTTCTTGACGTCTCTATCAACACCCCTCTCCCACACATACTTTCTCTTATTATTTGCCTTCTTTGACGGTCGTTTGGCGCTCATTTAGCCCTCGTCTTGATTAATAGTCTGGACACAAGGCCAACCTGATGCTCACTTACGGTCGGCCTCATTTTACAGATGACACAAAGGCGCCCACGTCTGCTAAAAGGTCTGTGACCCACCAGACGGTCACAAAGCCTCTCTCCTCCCTCCTGTCCCCTAAGCATGGGCTCCTTCAGCAGGCCTTCACAGCATCCCTGTCCCTCTTCCTTTATCAGTCCACGCAGGCCTGAAAGGGCTCTGTGGTTGGTCAATAAATTCAGTGATTCAGGGGGTGGACAGTTGCAGCCGTGTTAACGTTTGTTCACAGGCTTGTTGGAGGGATGGGCCCCGCCCAGCCGCTCTTTGTCCTCTGTGGTCCCTCAACAGGTTAGAAGTCAATGGAGAGCCTTGTGCAGAGGTGGCGGGGGCATGGATGGAGCCGCCTCTCACATGGCGTTCACACAGGGGGTGGACCAGCTCAGGATCACTGTGACACTTGTTAGTGTGGGGGGCCTCTGCACAACATTGCCGGGTTGCCTCTCTCTCACTGTCCCCCAAGGGCCCTGTGTGATATTCAGTGCTTTAAACAAACTGATGGTCCGGGCAGTCCGGGTTTGCATCGTGGTAAGATGATCTGCACTCAGAGGCCTGCAGTGGCCGCCGAGAAAAGAGGTGCACAAGTGTATCTTACAAATCTCAGTTTACAGATCAGACTCACAATAAAAATGAGGTCAGGCCTTTATTTGGAGCACAATCTGTGGTGAAGGTCGGTCTTTAACTTTAAACCAGAGAAGCACTGAGAGGGAAATTTCTATTTATTAACCAAGGCCCTATTTTATGTGTGTAAATGACTTGTGGGTTCAAGTCTGTAACTGGTGTGTAATTTCTCTGTCAAGCTTCAGTTCAGCGCTGTTGTTGAAAAGCTTCTGCAGGTCGAGGACAATGACAACTTGAGTCTGAGTGCAGAGAAATGAAGTCGAGAAAATACTCTGTAGAACAGGATCAGAAGTCATTGCTGGTTCTTTCTGACTTGTTTCTGTCATTGAAAATGTTAAGATGCTCACCAGGGGTTTCATAAAGACAATTTTTGTGTAGTTACTGCTCGCTGTTGGTAGCCAGAGTTTCGTCCTGAGATCGCTACATATAGCTGACATGGTCTTGTTGCACTTCAGTACAGCCATATAAAACCAATATATGACTGTGGAGCTGGTGTCTTCTTCAGTGAAGTATTTCTTTACATATGAATGTCAGGCCTGTTAAGATGGAGCCTCATGTCAGAGTCAAGGTGAGTCCCTGCAGTATCTGCTCCTTAGTCTGTGTTGAAGCTGACTGTTGCCTATAACCATGGGTTCACGTAGGGTACATGAGGGTAACGTCCACCGCACTTCCAGTACCTTTGCCCCCAACACTTTTCTAGCCTGTTACTCCAAGTTGGATAACCCTACATTCATTTTAACAAGTTTCATTACGTATCGGCTACAGCACGATATGTCTTTCCATGAGAAGCATGCATAGACAGTGAGACAGGCGCTCTGACTCTGAATGCCACAGAGAAGATGCAAGCTAGATGAACCAAAGCAATATTAAAGGCCCACTGAAGTCAGTGGAGCTGTTTTGGTGCTTTATTACCAGAGTTCTTGCTTCATATCTCACCAACAGGAATTTATGAAGCCAAAAAAACAGCAAAAGGCTGTTTTTTTCATTACTTTAATCGTATTTTGCAGTTTGTTAACTTTCTG